CTTTCAAACCATTTATCCTTAGCCAAGGAGGCCTACTGGGAAAGGAGACCTCGCAGACCTATAAGGAGCTGCAACAGTCCTTCTCTCCTAGTATAGCCGAATGGCTAGACAAGTACATCTCTACTTTACTTGTCCGACTCCGAGCCCGGAACTGGATGGGATACGGGATTAACTAACACTACACGATCTGAAGAAGGTAGACCACCTGTTTCCTTACCGCACCTAGGTTTCTAAGTTTAGGAGCATAATATAGCTTATATAGTATTGTATCGAAGTTCTGCAAACCCTAACCCTAAAACCCCTAAGCGCATTCACGCAAGGCGCAGCTCCTGATGTTTACCTCAACGTTCCTGAACTCCATGTCGGCCGCATCGAACTCGTCGTCGACAAACTTAGTGCCGACCTCAATTTGAACGCCAAAGTCGCAAATCTAGTTCAGTTGAATGCCGGCGTGCAGGTTGCGGTTGAAAAAGTCAATATCACTATTGCAGAGGTGGACGCGGAGGTTGAATTGGTGGTCCGACTTGGTAAGCATCATTTTTTGTCATCATTGATGTTTCCTTGAGACTGACCCAAATGCCTTCAGGCCATCTTGTTGATATTGTCGGTCGCGTCTTTGATTCTCTGGACTTGAATCCTCTTCTCATCTCGACCATCGGCAATGCAACATCTCTAGTCGGCAATGTGGTTACCGATGTCGTAGGCGCAGTAGACGGGCTCCTCGGCTCCATCACCCAAGGCGGCAAGACCCTCAACTTCGTCGTTGACAATCTCGGAAACATCGTCCAGAAGGTTGGCGGTGTGAGCACTATTGTCGGCGACTATACAAAGAACATGACGCAGACTGGTGCAAGCAAGAGTGTTGGTCAGGGATTGACTCAAAAGGAATATTCGTATTCGCCGTTGAATGCCCTGGTGGATATCGTCTTCAACTCCGCTGGCCAAGTTGTTCAGGCTGTTGTGCAGAAGAAGAATGGTGGAAGCAGTGGAAGTAGCAGCAGCGGCAGTGGGTCAAACTCAACAGTCTCTGTCGCTTCATCACCAAAGCATTAATCACCCACTTTGGCAGTACACTCCAATCCAGCCAGACTAAGGATTTTTTTACAAGCCGCTTGATTGACCAGCATCTTTCAGATAATCCTCATGTGCCACATGCGCTATTAGCGAAGCTTTAGCAGATGAGGGTCCAATGTGATATAGCCACGGAAGGGAGAGGTCGGCTCGCAAGTGCAAACAGGCGTAGAGCGGGAGGCCGAGCGACATACAGAAGCTACCACATCGCCCCGTTGCTATTCGCAGCGTAAAGTCTCTCTGCTGACTTGTGCATTTATCATGCCTCTGAAGTCTCACGCAGCCCTTGTAGACGTCGTCCTCGACATATCTGTGAGGGAATGAAGTCGCTTGGAAACGTTAACGCCGCGCCAGCTCTGTGTGATTCGGCCATCAAGAGTGGGTTCCTTGATTTGGCGGGGTATTCGGAGCATTGCTGCACGTGATGGGGCCGAGCATGGCCGAGTTCCCGGGGGACTCCACCTTCCCGAAAATCTTCTCCGGAGCTCGGTCGGCATAGGTGGGCGTCCCGAGCACTTGACTTTGTTTAAAGCATTAATGTGCACGTTTTCTCGGCCAGCATCACCATCGCTTTTACTCCCTCGCACAGGCCTACCCTTCGTCCCTCGACATTCAACCATGGGTGTAGATTGGCAAGGTGCCAACCCGGTACCCATCTCCTTCAAGCCAGTCAGCGAGCCTTCGATCGGTCACAACAGTTACGAGGGCTTCCACCCAGGTCGACAGGATTTACTCAAGAAAGGGCACTGTAAAAAGCAGTGGGATGACCAAGATGGCAAAAAGCTAGAGTGTGATATCATCCGCGACAACGATGTTGAGATCGTCATGCGAGATGGAGTTAAGCTTTATGCCGACATTTATCGCCCTGCCGATGCAAAGGAGAAGATCCCATGTATTGTGGCTTATGGGCCGTATGGCAAGAAGTACAACATGGCTGGTATCGCCGTTCACTTGCCATGGAAGCTCGGTCTTAGGCCGGACGACACCTCCGGATACGAGACATTCGAAAGTGTGGATCCCAAGGATTTCTGCGCGTGGGGATATGCGGTCGCCAACGTCGATTCTCGAGGAACGGGTCATTCGGAAGGTTACATCTGCATCATGGGTGAGCAAGAGGCCCAAGACGGATACGATGTTGTACAATTCCTGGGCCATCAGGATTGGTGCAACGGCAACGTTGGCATGGCCGGCAATTCACACTTGGCCATCACGCAATACTTCATCGCAGCTAAGAACCCGCCATATCTGAAGGCTATCGCGCCATGGGAAGGATGTTCGGATCTGGGTCGTGAGCAGTTTACCAGGGGAGGAATCTTCTCCATCTCGAACAACAACTTCATCACCAAATTCACCGTGCGAGGCACAAATGGATACGAAGATTTCGAAGAAATGTACTCGCGATATCCTCTCTCATCAGCATACTGGGAAGACAAGCGTGCAGCTCTAGAGAAGATCAAATGCGCAGCATTCATCACCGGTACCGATTTCGCCGCAATGCACACCATGGGCTCCATCAGAGCCTACATGCAGATTGACAGTGAGAACAAATGGATCAAATGGAATGCATGGCAGGAATGGTTTGACCTTTGGGCCATAGAAGAGTCTCGACTCGAGCTGCGCAAATTCTTCGACCGCTACCTCAAAGAGGAGAACAACGATTGGGAGCAAACTCCGAAAGTCAGGTGGTCTGTATTACAGTACGGCGACAAGCCTCCGATCGAGAACATCGCACTACCCGACTTCCCTCATCCCGAGACAAAGTACACTACCTACTACCTCGGCGACAAGACCCTCTCACTTTCCCCTGTCGAGACTGAGTCTACGCACTCGTACGACTCGGAGGGTAGCGAGCGCGTCAAATTCGAGACTACATTCAACCAGCCCACCACACTTCTCGGTCCTCCCAAGATCTACCTCCACATGTCCTGCAACGACCACGACGACATGAATGTGTACGTCCAGCTGCGCAAGCTAGACAAGAACGGACATCCTCTGGTCCACGTACAGATTCCAAAAGAACGATGGCAGATCAAGTCCACCTACGATCTCCCCGAAGGACAGACCAACAACGGTGCATTGTACTTCAAGGGCAACGTCGGTATGCTGCGAGCTTCACATCGCAAGATTGATCGGACTAGGACAATTCACGATCACATACCTTTCCACCCGCACGACGAAGAACAACGTATCCCTAAGGGTGAGGTTGTTGAGCTAGAGATTGGTATTTGGTCAGGCGCCACTCATTTCGAGGCAGGAGAGACGCTGTCAGTCCAGGTCTTCGGTTTCATCTCGCTTAACCCGGAACTCGAAAAGTTCAATAGACCTAGACCGGCTGAGCAGCTGAACCATGGAAAACACTATGTTCATGTTGGTGGCAAATATGAGAGCCGGATAATTCTACCGATTGTTGATTTAGGACTATAGAATGATAGAGATATCCATCTTATCCAAAATCAAGATCCTTTAGCATGCTTCCCAGGTGACCAATGTCGGCTAGGTGACCATCAGAGACAAGCTGATGTGACGAAAAAGCTTCGGCAGGCAGGCGTCGCCATTAAAGTTCTTCGTCCTTGGATGATGCTTGCGGACTCACATCTTGGTTAAGAGCTCGTCTGATCAGAAGCGCTATTGCGGAACGTCTCAACGCTTTTGCAAGGTCCATCGGTGTCTTCCCCCAAGACTCTTAAGCCTCAAGATCGGAGCCATTTTGTATGAGAATCTTGGCCATTCCTACATTCTCTTCTATTGTAATGTGCAAAGGCGTTTTCTCCCTGGTGCTCCTGGGGTTGCACCGTCGCTTCTCTCGCATTTCGTCAAGAACTCCTTTCTGTTCTTATATAGTCCCAGGGTTCAAGCGATGGGAAACGTAGTCATCAAATTATAAGGTGGAGACAATGTCGATGATGTTTGTCAGGGAACGAGAAAGAGGCGCACGCCGTGCTTATCAGAGCCAAGCGAGCAGACATTACCACGGGAGCTTTTTATCCTTACAGTGTACGTACATCTTAGCAAAGCTTCCAAAGCCTTGTTCTTAAGCTGTTGGTGTCAGGAGATTTCCAAACCTGTCACCTGGCACACCAATCGATATAGACGAAAGAGAAGACTCTGACCAACTACAGTTTCTGCTCTAATCTGTACTAAGCTGAATGCTCAAGGCGCGACGGACTTGGTCGCATAAGTCTGGAAACTTTGTGGCCAGAAATCAGGAATAACATCCAAGACAAAACTTTGACATGATTCATCAGGCCGTAGCAGGCACTTCCTTGACAGCAACAACAGAAGCAGTAATCTCCGACTTCAAATTGGCGTTTTTCTTATCCAGCAAAGCCTTGAAATTTCTTTGCATCGCGTTTCTGGTAAACTCGCCTCCAGTAACCATGGGATACTTCTTCTTGGGCCCCTGAATCTCTGCACTCTTTCTTGGCTGGTTGAAGAATGCAATACTGTATCGTTCTCCATAGTAGTCTCCAGGCTCAGAAGGAGCCTTGACTCTGTGGAAGGTACTCTTGAATCGATCGTCAGACCATGACATGAGCAAATCTCCGATGTTGCAAATGATGGCATTGGACTCGGTGTCAGGATCAACTTTGGTCCACGTATCTCCGTAGCCAAAACTCGTTGACACTTCACGGCCGGGACAGATCTCAAGTCCTGATTGACCGGCTTTCTGGAAAAGCAAAGTCAGGAAGTCCCAATCGGTATGAGCGCCAGCACGATGGAAAACTTCTCCGTTGGTGTTTTCGGGTGTCGGGAAGTAGTGAAGTAGTCGAGCGACAGTCTGTGAGTCGTTTTCGGAAACGTCGTGACACTTGATGAAGAAGTCGTCCTCAAAGCCTAGCCCTCTCGCAAAACAGACCATCAGCTTTTCCGAGACATCTTGAACGCTGTGCATGAATGCAAGGCTCTTGTCCTTGAACCCAGGGAGTACATCCTCGGCGATCCATCGACCTTCCATGTTCTCGCTGAATTGCATCTGATACGACTCCTTTTGGTCCGCAGCACCAGTACTGGGTCGTATCTGCGCATTCTTTTCCCAGCCGGCGTTATGTACAGCCGAAAATGGTACAGTAGCTTTTATGCTGTCTTCTAGGTTGAAGAATGCAGCAGAGTTGTCAAACATCTGGTCGACCTGTTCGCGAGAGATGCCATGGTCGACGATGCAGAAGAAGCCATCTCTCTCAGCTGCTGAGACTAGCTCAGAAGTAATGGCATCAACCCGAGAATCGAAATCGGCCATGGAAATGGTTGGAATGGACCTTGCGAGGTACTTTGTCGTGCCCATATTGTTCGATTGTGGTAAGGCTGCAGAGTTGATGACTTGTGAAGTTACTGCTGGGGAAGGAGCTGCGCTACGGCCAATTGACTTATATGCTCTCTCATAAATCACCTTAGACGCATTCGTATATCGCACAGACACCGATAAGTCGTTACGCACGATAAGCAAGTCAATACGAATCGGAACAAGGTGATTGACAGGCTTTTGTGTCGCACGATGTCGGCTGATAACGAGTTGATGGGCGAAGTGCGGGGTCGGATACGACCATCTGCGTTGTACGATGAGCGAAGTTCAGGTGGCAGAGAGGCACGTTCCAACCACAACATGGGTCTCCGAGTCTTCCGTTCGGAGAGACGTGAGACGTGATAGTCTAGCTTGCAACAGCTGAAGATCTTCGCCATTTGTCGGCGTGCGTGTACGACAGCAGCGCTTCGCCTATAAGATATCGTACAACGATTGCACGAAAACGTCAATAGCAGTTCTGTCACAGCGAATACGGCGTGGGGGAAAGCTGCAACAACTTCAAGTCTAGAGCGCAAAAGCCGTCCGGAAACATCTCTGACTTCATTTCATTCTGAAAAATCCAGAAGCTCACCGAACAGAAAGCTATTTGAGAAGCCCGCTTGTGGAGGAAGAAGCTCCGCAATCCGCTTTTGCACAAAAGTCATCGGGTCTTCCTCGAAATCATGCCCATCTTCGTGGTCTTGGTTACCATAGAGAGCGAGTGCATCGCGTACCGAAGTAAGATCTATCTTGCTACGCTTAGAAGCCCGAGTAGCGGTATCATCGCGAGGAGCCGCTCTTTTGCGATTTGCGGACCAAGGTTGGACAAGCTTCTTCCTTTCTGACAGCAACGTGGATAGTATACATACGCCACGGCGCGCGATCATACTTGTTCCGTATCTTTGGAGCATTGCAATACACTCATTGACCATGTTGGTGTGAGTTGTATACTCAGGATGATCGGTATGCTGATGGATGATGTCGAGGCATAGTATTATTCCTGCGACTATACAGAAGGCCTGAAAAAAGGTCAACTGTGAAAGTCAGACCTCGATTTGAACACATACCTGATCAATCCATATCACTGGTTCATCCTCTTGCTGCTTTTGTTGAGCTTCTCGCAGTATAGTCTTCGAAGCTGCGATACATGTATTTCGAGTCATCTGGAAGGCAGGATTGATGAAACTTCTCCGGATGAAATCGCGATGGATCATGATCATCTTGTGTGCAAAACAGATGGTCAGACTTCTTCTTGCCCATGGAATGAAGCAGGCCCATGACTCCTCTATTGGTGTAGTGACGCTGAAATAAGCAGGCATCTCGTTTCGTGCCAGATTCCTCATCTTCGCATCATACTGAAGCACCTTCTCGTACAAAAGAAATGCTGTACTGGTTTGAGCTTTGGCAGAGTGGTGTTCTGCGACCAGCCTTGCAATATCATTGACGTAGTTTCCGTAGCTGATATATGTTGGAGTAGCCTCTGGGAGCGGCTCCATGGTAATGTGATCCCTGTTTGAGGGTTTCGTGGAAGTGAAGTCTAGCAGGCCGATACTCTGGCATCCAGTAAAGGGTAGCGAGAACCAGTCCTGTATACACAAGTGTGACCATAGTCGCCGACCTATTTCCCGCTCAAGGACTTGTACACGTTGCGATGGAGGAGAACTTTCCGTTATGTTCTCCAATCTCTTGACTAACGGGAGTCTGTTCAAGCCCAAGCTCTGCGCAATCCGCAAAGCAGATCCCAGCATAACCAAAATATCCTCAGAGAAACCTAAAGTATGAGCCGACATGGTTAAGGTAGTGATAGCATGCACTGCATAAATGTGATGGTTGCAAGTATACTCAGCAAGATTTAGACATGTTGAAGTGGCTTTGTACCACTGCCTAGACAATCTCCTGACCTCATCGTCTCGAAACCCCCATGACTCGATCAGATTCCTAGTTGCACACGCCATACTTCCAGCCATGATGGAAAAAAGCAGGGCAACCCATTGAAGGTCAAGAACAGCCAATGGAAGTGCGTCGTCATGAGTTTCTAGACTCTCTTCCAACTCATGTCGGAAAGTGGGTCCATGATAGCAGCCATGATACCACAGCAAGAACTTCTCGTGGTAATCAACCAGAGACCAAATCTGAGAAATACTGGGTAGATGCAATTCCAGTAAAGCTAGTGAGGTTGCGCGAAGATCTGGAAAACCAGGCGGCAGCGGAGATTGTGCTGGAACGAGACTGTCGACCGATAGGTCTTGGCTACGTGTAATACTCGGACTTTGCAAAGCCATTTCATTCGATTTTGAACCATCATCCTCCCCGCTACTGTGTCCATCCTGCTGAGTCGGGATGGATGTTGAGCCATACTCGGGTATCGGCTCATCGGGAGTAATGCTCACACTGAGCCTAGTTGACACATTTGTTGGCGAGACCACATGATCGAATGAGGACAGCCCTGAATTCTCGTTGGCCCTTCCCATCTGGCTTGGCTCCGGGGTCTCAATTCCAGCTGAAGTATTCTGTCGCGCGTGTCGGCCCAGAGAGACACGGTGTGATCTAGCCTCCTCTCTGCTAGACCATATTCGGGTACAACGATCAGCTACGCCTCGCCTGATACATCGCCCACATGGCGTTTGGCGATCGCACTTTTGCCTTCGAATAGAGCATTCGGTGCATGTGGTTCTTTCTTTCGGCATCCAGCGTGTTGTACGATGGCACTGATAGGATGCTTCAGAGAACACGTCGCGTCCCTGGCAACGTCAGTACTCAGGCGAGCCAAGTCTTCTGGCCTGTCGGGACTCGAATTATGTCTCTTGGAAAGTCATCATTATGGCCATAAAGCTTGGCCATGGGGGAGTAACGAGGGACGAGGAATCTTCTTTGCTTTACTACTCTTTGTGATTGATGAAGGTTATCATGGACGCCCAAACGAGCAGAGCAAGAGGACAAGTACACAATTTCCAAAGCTTCCACATGACATCAGACATAGTTTCTGGCCTGCCTCGACACAACGCCAGCAGAGTTACGAATACTTTTCACCGCTTGACGTGCTTGTGCCAGTATCTCGTCTTCGTCGGCGCAGAGAAGATTCTGCTCTCGAACAAGAACTCTGCCATCGACAACTACCCTCTCGACATCTGAACCAGTGCATGAATATACCACAGTAGTGACTGGATCGACACCCCCATGAAGTAGTTGTTCATGATCGAAAGGAGCAGAATGCAGTCCTCCGACCCGCAGTACCACGAAATCAGCAAGTTTCCCAACCTCCAAGCTGCCAATCTTGTCTTCTAAACCTAGAGCTCTGGCACCATTCATTGTCGCCATCTCCAGAATTGTGTCGGCACTCATGACAGCAGCATCTCTTCTAACCCCTTTTTGAATCAGTCCTGCCAGTCGCATCTCCTGAAACATGTCGTAGGTGTTGTTGCAAGGAGCGCCGTCGGTTCCTAAGGACACGTTGACGCTTCCATCCATAAGTTCCGGAATAGGTGCGATGCCCGAGGCGAGTTTGCAATTGCTTACGGGATTGTGAGCGACAGTAGCGCCACAGTCGCTTAGTAAGGGTACATCTTTCTCGAGGTCGAGATTGACCATATGTGCCAGAACTGTTCTCCCACCGCTCCGAATAAGATTGTTATCCTTGCAGAACTCTGCAGGACTCGAGTCATAGCAATCATGGAAGATGTCAAGGTCCTTTGGGGCCTCAGCACAATGCATGGTAAGACCTAGACCGTAGCTCTCGCAGGCATCTCCAATAGCTTTGTGTAAAGCAGCTGGCGAACCTCTGGGCGTTCCTGCCGCCATCCACACATGCAATCGGCCATCGCACGAGCCATGATGAAGATTGTGCGCTTCTAATGCAGATGCTATAGACATGCTTGAGATATCTCGGTCTCTTGGATCAATCATACCGGTTGCCTTGTTCGTCTCCTCGACCTTCACCAGTTTGCCCTGCGAGCAATTAGCTATCCGTATCGGCTCTCGCAAGCATCAACTCACAAGACAAGCTCGTATGCCCATTTCATTCACAGCGGTCGCCACATTCTCAAAACCAGACCGGTGAGTCAACATGGCTTCCAGAAAACATGTTGTTCCGCTCTTCAGCATCTCGGCGATTGTCAATCTCGCTCCTATGTAACCATCTCTCGGGCCAAAATTTGCTTCCAGTGGCCAAATTGCATCGCAAAGCCAGGAGTGCAAGGGAAGGTCTTCTGCTAGACCACGAAGAAGAGATTGCGCCAGATGCGCATGTGTATTGATCAGTCCAGGTAGAATAATTCGACCAGAACAATCGATGCGTTCTGTGTCTGACGATACGAGAGGGTTGTTCAAAAGGTTGGCTGTTTTACCAATTGCTGCGATTTCATTGCCTCTGATCAGTAGGGCGCCATCAAGGATAATGCGTCTCTCTTTGTCAACCGTGATGATGGTGGCATGGATGTAAAGACTAGAAGTCAAGGCCATGTTGATTGGAAAGCAGGAAGAAGGAAGTAGATGAATTTTGCCGAGTGTGTCGTGCAGTCTGATGATACACTTCTTCTGCCTGGGACGCTGCCAGGAAAAGGTCAGATTATCATTTGTCACAAGAGAATTTTGTCGAAAGTCTTCAAACATCGGACATGACCGAGTGCACCGAAGGTGACAAGATTTGTTGTACGACAACCCCGCTTTATCTCGCGCGCCAATCATGATCGATGGCGACTGTCGTACATTATCCGTTATCGAATCGTACATCGCAAAGATACACCACTTAGAAAGCTACAAGTCGTCTTAGGACATTCATAACAGATGTGTCCGGGACATCAAATCTTCCAGTTCCCCTCAATTGTCACTGCATCACACAATGACTACGACCACAACCACCATCATTCCTGAGAAGGCGCACGATCAAATCGCGACAGAAGGAGAGGTGACAGAAACTACGCAAGGATCCGTGACAGACTATCGCACACAGTCCAAGTTAAGACAAAGATACCAACAATTCACAAACTATGTTTTCAGCAAAGACGGATGGCTTGGGGACTACGACTACCTCTACCTGATCACCCCCAACCTTCCACCATTCAACAGAAAGTACAAAGACTATGCGACTCCGTTCTATGGCCTCAATGACAGAGTACCCATCCTTCTTACACTTATTCTGGGCTTCCAGCACGCACTTACCATGATCGGGTCGATCGTATCGCCACCGCTTGCCCTCGCAGGAGGCGCATTTTACCTCTCGTCCGCTGAAACATCATACATGGTTTCAGCCGCCTTCATCACGACTGGTATCGCAACAGCAATCCAAGTTACACGATTCCACATCAAGGGCACACCATTCTACATAGGCACCGGCCTTCTCTCAGTCGTGGGACCGACCTTCGACATCATCGCTATCGCCATAACATACAGTGAGAACCGTTACAAGATTGGATCGTGCCCGACTGCTGCAGATGGGACCCAGTTGCCATGTCCCGAAGCTTGGGGTGCTGTACTTGGCACTATGCTTTGCACAGTCTGGGTCCAGATCTTGATGTCTCTAGTCCCGCCGCGCCTGCTCAACCGTGTCTTTCCGAAGATCGTCACTGGGTCTCTGCTTCTCCTTGTAGGAGTGTATCTGGTTTCGAACGGGATGCAGAACTGGGGAGGATCATCAAACTGCAATGGAGGGAAAGGCTTTTATGCCCTTTGTCCAGATACTGCCGCACCTCGACCTCTGCCTTGGGCAGATCCGAAATTGATCGGTCTGGGGTTCAGCGTCTTTGTCAGTGTGATCGTGGTTGAACAATTCGGTTCGCCTATGATGAAGTCTGCAGCAGTCTTGATTGGTCTCGGTGTAGGCTGCGCAGTCTCAGGAGCCACCGGCTACTGGTCATCCTCGAACATTGACTCAGCTCCTGCTGTGACATTCCTTTGGGCTCATACCTTCAAGCTCTCCGTGGATGGCACGCTAGTCTTACCTCTACTGATCATGTTCATCTGCGAAGGAGTCAGCTGTATGCCGGACATCCTCGCTACTGCAGAGATATCAGGCGTTGAAGTCGATGGTACACAATTCAACAGCAGAATCCAGGGAGGGATACTCTGTGATGGAGTCGGTAGTTTGATCAGTACCTTGGGCACTGGACTGCCAATGGTATCGCAAGCAGGGAACAACGGTGTCATTGTTCTCACAGGATGTGCAGTAAGTCTCGTTAAATCACAAACATAGTCTGCCTAGCTGATTTTTCTTCCTAAACAGAGCAGAAGAGCAGGCTGGTGCGCCCCGGGATTTCTGATTCTCATGGGCATCTTTGGCAAGTTCGGGGGTGTCTTCAGTGCAATGCCTCCTTCGGTCCTCGGAGGAATGCAATGCTTCCTCTACAGCACGATTGTCGTAGCCGGTCTGAGAGTGTTGAGTCTGGTCGAGTTTACTCGGCGAAACAGATTCATCCTCACCTGCTCACTGGGTATCGGTTTTATCGACATTGTGGCTCCAACATGGTTTGATCAAGTCCTGAACTACAGTGGGGACAACCTCCAGCTTGCAGGATTCGAGCGGGGAATCAACCTGATTGTCAAGACACCTTTCATCATCGCAGCCGTGATTGGAGTATTCTTAAACTCGATACTCCCTTCAGACAAAGGAGAGATGGCTCATTTGAGGCCGGGCACATCATCAGGAGTCGTCGCTTCAGTGGAGTAGACGCCAGTCTTTTTTCTACTTGTTCGTTGCTTTTACAAATCCATTTACGATCAATTGCCGACTATCTTCGCGAAATTTGTTATCTGGTTAAGCGCTGCCGTCGACTTTATTGGTTCATGAGAGATTTTGCGACTTCGATTTAGCCGTCGTATCATGATGGCCAATCGTCAATCATGGATGGACAATTGTGCCACATCGACGTGATCCAAAAAGGCAGCGAGCGCTTGTACCGCCAATCATTCTGATTTGAGCGTGCTGCAGGGTGGGAGTACCGAGGCGTTGGGGGCAAATCAAATTCATGCAAACCACAATGGTGTTGTGTCGTTGGTCCATGGTGAAGTCAAGTGAAACAAGTAGAAGGTAGAAGATGATACCTTCTCTATCTGTTGAAAGTGGTACTCATTGATCTGTGAACACGGTCCAGGAATAACTCTGGTGCCTAACAGCTGCAGTTGTTAGGCGCCGACAGCTGCAAGGCCGTACTGTGTGGAGAGCTTCATATATCGTGGCGATGACTTCGATTTGACGATGGAAAAAGATTCATCTTTGCATCATTGATATCCAGAATGCCCTCAGGAAAACCTCGTCTCTACGTTGCGCTCTATCCTAGTGGAGTGTCAAATAATGAGGAACGCAAGTACGTTGTCATATATTTTTTCGAGCAATACACCATGACTCATTCCAACAGATATCACTGGGCGTTCTTGATCGGACCAAAGTCTGAAAATGCTAGAGAAGTGCCTGGCGTGCGCCACCATGTCACCAACCCAGCTCATGTTGGGTGGCAATACGAAAAGGCGGACCTAGCCAACGTCCGTATGACCAACAACCTCCTTGCACGTATCGCTATTGCAAAGATAGAGGACGTAGAGAGACTCGAGGCCATTCTGAAGAGTGTGCCTGTCGTGCAGAACGACTCCAATTGGAGATGTCGAACCTGGATAGCCAGCGCATTGGCAGAAATAGAAAAAGATGGGAAGGCTGTTGGGACCGCTGTGTTGGACTGGAAAGAGATCGAGGAGACTGCGAGAAGATATGTCGCTCAGAAGACTGCTGCAGGGCGCTATCTGGACGTCGAAAAGATCAGAAAGCCAAGACCGACATGGAGCATGTTGGAGGATAAGGAGACTACGACTTGAGTGTACTGTAGTGTATCAACAGGCAGTCAACTCGCCTGTGGTGAATGATATCGCAAATTGACGTACGCAAGAGACTCCAAGAGGACCGTCTGATCTTTGTGCAGGAGACGCAATCGCATCTTGCAAACACGTGTGAGTTCTTCCAGTTCCTCAGATCATGTTCAGAACTTGTCGATATAGATCAAGCACAACCGAATGTCCGCAATAGCTCAAATTCAGAATTCACCCCACCATCTATTGCGCGTTCTCTCCATCGCGAATTCAGCGGGGTGTTGTTCCAAGAATCCACTCAGTGTGTTCTGCCACTCAGTTCTGATCAGGTTACCAAACCATGCAGAAGTATATTCCCAGTAGCGCGGATACCATCCGGCAAACTCCCAATCGATGATACCAACTACCTCCTCACCGCGCACAAGAATATTACAGGGATTGAGATCAGCATGTGTGAAGACAGGCCTTGGCCACGGTCCATCTTGCATCTCTTCCATTTTTGCGAGATTTTGCCGCTCTTGATCATCCAGTTTCTCAGGATGTGGGTGCTCGGCCAGCCGAAACCCTTTTCGAAGCCACAAGTGAAACTCTTGGATAGTTGCGAAAGGTCCGAAGCGACCCTCAGGTCTGTTCATTCGAGAGTCGTAAAGGCTTCCTCCACAGCAACTCTGTACACCAGTATCAGGAGGTGGCTCTAGAGCTCTCATCTGTCCTATCATTTGTTTGAGCTGGGCAAAGATTTTGGTGCGGCCTTGGTCTTCCAGCCGTGCCCAGGCACGAGGTAACTCCTCGCCTTGTATACGCTCCATGAGAATATACGTGCGATCCCTGTGAACAAACGAGCAATACACTTTCGGCACCGGGATGGAAGTGTTCTCGGCGATGAATCTCATGGTCGCTGCTTCAGTCAAGTCGACCCAAGGTCCAGTCTTGATGATCAGCTTGCGCGAAATAGGACTACAGTACCCATCGGACTTGTGCAATTTTGCCAGAGTCTTGAGAGCTACTCTGGTGAAGATGCGATTAAATCTGGTGTTGTTGATGGCTAGGTCTTGGGCGCCTGCGTTGACGCGCCCGCCGTCGCTGGCCGCTGACGACTTTTCTGTCATGTCTGTCGTTGATGTTGTTCAACGAGATGGTCTCGCTTGGAACGGTAACGGCTATACGTCCACGACGATAGACGTAGCGTGAACAAAATATAAGTCATTCCATGATCAAATTAGTCGATGGATGAGAGCTGAAAGGTGATGCACGGGCAAGCCAGGGACGAGTTTCCTATTGTGAGTGGCCAGAAGTGTTGGCCATGGAAGCACCTTCTGCCAGTACACGAGTCAGCGCTCACAACGCAACTCATCAAATCTCTTGGCAGCAGCCAAAACAAGCAACCTCTGTCGATCATGCCTTTGCAACAACAGGCAAATATTCTGAAGATCATTGACTCGGAGAATTAAGTCATGTCGATCATAGACCCTCGCACAGATAAGTTTGAAAGACACATAAGAACCTTTCGGCTAGACAGACTCATAAAGACGAATCAAACTTCCCTCTACCGAACCTCATACAGATTCGACTTCAATTGTGATACGAACACCTCAAGGACATGACTGGTAGTAATGCTGTTCGAGATGACGTTCATGTCGTGTTCATATCATGCCCCTTGTACGCACTTGCTACTCAAGCCGTGTAAAAGAGACGTTCCAACTTACGAGATGCAGCTACGGACACGTTCGACCACTGCGAACCCTCGCATCTGGACTCAGTAACCTCGGATACCGCAACATGACTTTCATAACAGGCAACACCTTCCGTCATGGCATCGAGGCCATCAACAATGTAACCTTCGTTCCACTCAAAGGGCTTGCAGAATACGATCCCGACAATCTGTCAGCGACGTTTCCGGACCGCGCCTTGCAACCTCAAGATGAAACTCTTGCTTTGTGGGATATTGAGCATATATTCTTTGGAGCATTACACGATCAATTTGAGGTACTCAGGGATGTTATTGAGTCTTCTGAACTTCGAAGCAAGCGTGTTGTGGTCGTTGCTGACTGGTTGGTTACTGGGACATTGCCGATATCGTTGAAGAGTCCGCATGTGCGTCAAGTTCCTGTGATCGCAATAGGACATAGTGTCTATTTCGGACTGAGCAAAGACTGTGCGCCTTTCGGAATGGGTCTACCACCACAAAGCCAAGAGCGGAATCTGGAACTGAATGCAATGACGAAAGAGATGTTTGGCAAGGTCTTTGCTGGAGCAAAGGAGATCATGGCAAGGTATGAATGTCCTAGGGGACTTGAACATGAGTTTGTGGTTGAAGACATGATCTACTCTGCCGATCGCTTTTTCCAGCTCTGTGTGCCTCAACTGGAATATCCGAGGTCTGATTTGCCGCCCAATGTCGAGTTTACTGGCGCTCTACTGGGGAAAAATGATAGCAAGAGGGAGCCGGATTGGTTTGACAGCTTTGTTCGTGGGGACGATGAGCGGCCTCTCGTTGTAGTCACTTCTGGAACTGCAGCATCAGCTGATGTAGGGCAATTGATCGTGCCGACCATCGAAGCTTGCCGTTCATTACCAGTGAGAGTTGTGGTCTGTGCCGTCAATCTCCACCCGCCTAAGGATATGCAGATGCCGGAGAACGTCAAGATAGCCAAGTGGATACCATTCGAGGAGCTGTTCAAGCATGCCTCGCTCGTAGTGTCCAATGGAGGTTTTGGCGGCATCACACAGGCATTCGCAGCTGGTGTACCCATGGTGGTTGCAGGTGTGACTGAGGACAAGATGGAGACCACCGCTCGTGCGGCGATGACCGGGGCTGCGATCAACCTCCAGACACAAACACCAAGCGCGGAGCAGGTTAGGCAGGCAATCGAGACAATGACTTCGGGAACAAGCTACCAAGAGAAGGCGTTCAAGCTCAAACAGGCATATGCGTCGTATGACACTCTAGGCATCATTGAGAGTGCAGTAAGAGTGACAGCAAAGGCTTGACATCTCCCAGCAGATATCCGTCTGGAAATGCTCGGAGTCTGGCTCCGCTAGCGGCCATGCCCGCCTTGTCTTGCGGGATTGATAATTGAAATGTGTTCGATGATTCAGAAAGCATAGATAGACCTCTTTTCGAGTAGATGACGATAGACTTGGGACAGACTCAAGATAGATAGCGTTGAAACATTTCGCATTGCAAGTAACATACTTACAATATGGCAACACCATTTGGCGGGCTAGCAACACCTCCAGGGACGTAGATGGGCATACTGCTGAAGAAGAAAGACCACTTGTTTTTGTCCTTGCACTCTGTAGCCAGCCTGTCCAAGTCAAAGATCTCACCAATGGGTAGACCCCAACCAGCGAGCAACCATTCGTGCAAGAGATACTTGGGGTTTGGACATGGCCAGGCTTCAAAACTCGGTTGATCGCCTGCGACGGCGGCAAACCCCTTCTCCCACATCCAGCGGACGGTCTTCTCGGAAGACTCGACACCAATGGCTGGATGCGGCGGTGTCTCTGACAACTTTGTCTGTGCCTCGGAGGACAGTTTCTCGTATGCACCCGTCCAGCCCGTGCGGATGAACAAGATATCTCCCTCTTTGAATTGCACACCTTGGGCTTGCGCGATTTGCTCCAAAACATCAACAGTAATGGGTGTCGTCTGGAAGCAAGCCTCTGCACTCCAGATACCTTTTTCCTCTGCCCAAGACTTGTAGTCGAGCAAGACGCCTCGTCCGACTACACCGCCATTCTCGACCCAAACATGTATACCGTTCCTCTTTGATCCCAGTACATCTTCATTGGTGCAGTCGTTATAGTATCTTTTCTCTTTCTGGTATCCATAGTGTCTGAAGCCATCCCACTGAGAACTGCTCTGTGTGTTGATAGTCACGGTATCGTCGTTCACGCTTCGAGGAGCTTTGTTGATGATGTTATGGTCCAGAGGGATACGAGTGGAGCGCGGCGGCGTCTTGTTCAAGGGCCAATCGACAGAGATGCGGATGCCGTGGTGAATTTCCTTTGCTGCGGAAGTTGTGTTCGAGGCGGTCAGGAGGTTGAGCATCCCGAGCTCGTCTTTGTCGCCCCAGAGACCCCAGGCATTGCCGTGAGGGCCATTGGGATCAATTGGAAGAGAAGAGAAGGGTGGACGTATTGAGGACATTGAAAGAAGGTCTACGGTATAGCAAGCTGCGAGGGGCATCAGGCATGTTTTTGTTGACTGTGACGTGTGCGGGGTAGCTCTCCTTTTCCGACGGGTCTGTATTTCTCCGTCCGGAGCTCTCTGCTTTTCCGCCATCTGGAGATTATCTTATGAGTGCATGTCTACCATCTATTCTTCCTCAAGAGGAGTTCCAAAACGATCGCCGAGGACAATGGCCCGATCAGGTTCAGCAGAAGCCGTTCCATCGCGGGATGAGGGTGTCCTCCAAGTTTTATGACCATGATATCTGGGAGCAGCCAAGCCATCCAGCAGAGCAGAATCGTTACCATCAGATTACCCGTTGCGGTGTGGACTGCAACCAGGTATAGACTGGTCGCGAGTGTGTATGCAGCGAGAACGATGAGAGGCCGATACTTGGAAGGTCCACGGTTGGTCAATTGCTTTTCCTTAGTTGGAGTCTTGGGAGCCATGCTTGCGGAGTAGTGATTTCTGAGCGATGAGGAAGGGAGAAATCCTTGGAAAACATGAGATATATAGCCACCATCGGACAGCAATACGAGTATTTTATCAGTATTCTCTGACGATTCCGCGCTTTCCGTAGGATGCAGACAATCTTACTCAATGCTGCTCGTGATCAGCGAAAGGCCGGGAATAAGCCAATCCACGATGCTGAGATGAACACCCTGTCCTTGGATTGTCTCGATATCGCGTCAACAACAAGACCTGTTAGACTGATCTGAAGATGTAAGAACAGTCATTGATATGCATTCAATTGTACACAGTACAAGAGCTGCAGGTACGAGAATGCGTTGTCCTCATCTGGACTGATAACATAGAATGGTAAGAGATGCCGCGGGCTCCGAGGGTGGAACATATTGACCTCGACCTGAGATTCAACAACACCACGTGCTCTATGGCTGCCTTGCCTTCATACTTGTATAGAGAAAGTTGGTCAAATTAGTGTTTGCAGTACTCTATCAAGCACATTCACAACTTGTTTGGTCAGACTTTCTTTGTATGATCATTGAAAACGCAATTAGCTCAACTAGCAACCGCAGAGGCAGTATTTCTGTCAATAACATATCAAGAGTGTCAGAGCCTGAGCTTACAACGACATAGCGCTTATTTGCTAGTAGCTTAGATATATCGTCCCTATTGCGCACCTAATGAAGGGTTGAGATAACATAGGAGCAATTACCACGCAGGGACTGTCATGGCTTGCAAGCCACCAAAGCCAAAATGTTCCAATTCTGGGGCCGATATTACTTTGTCGCAGATAGAACGCGGCTCTACGAACATTCTTTGCACTAACCGCAAGATCAGAGTTGAGGTTGGAAATCTTCAAGAAGCCTTGATATGATTTGTGGATGTATGCTGGTTATGTGGTCGAAGTCGTTCGTCGTCGGCAGGTGCTATCGGCTGAGTTTGGTGTCGCTTCTTCGCACCCCATCTCATCCTCATCACACCCAAGATCCTGCGACAGCGTCATCCCCAAGACAGAAATCAAAATCCGCACCGAAAACTCAAGCCACTTTCAGCGAACTAGGTGAAATGCCCTGACGGGTAGCGCACTTCGCCGTGACGGAAAGACGTCATAAGCAGATCGTCACGATAGAGTTCCAAGCCCCGATGGCCTCTCAGCGATCCGGAAACGGCCCTTTCACTCCACCACTCACCCAAAAGACACCTTTTTGCACCGTTTGTAAGGAAAAGCTCATCGATCTGCGCGGCTTCGATTGCCATGTTCGACTGAAGCTTCGATTTCACATCCACCCAATCGCGGTTGCCTCCGCGGCTAACTAGCGATCTAATAGGCTGCGCATGATGATTTTGTGGATGGTGATATCATCATTTTTCCTGACACATTCAAAACCCGCGTTTTCCTTCAACACATCATCTGGTATATAGGCAGGACGTACAGGTTTCATTATCTATTTACACCACCTGCTATCCATCTGTTTGCACTACCAGGTCTTGCCTGGGACACCCATCAAACATGGCTCCTTCCTTGTTTGTTGATACAACCTTCGGGTATCTCATGCGCAACATTACAGGTGGAAGACTGTTTCCATACGAGGACACTTACAATGAAGAGCTCCGCGAGGAATACTTTAACCAAGGAGATATCAAGGAAGAAGAATCTTCCGACGACGAGGAGAAGAATGGCGCCAAGGGAAAATACAAGCTGATCGAATTCAGAGAGAATGACCCCGATGTATGTCCTGCCTGAACTCACTGGACGCGCGCATGAGCTGATTTGCTGCAGAATCCGCAAAACTGGTCCACTTTCAAGAAGTGCTTTGTGACCTTCAACATCTGTTTCTTGACTTCTTCCGTCTACATTGGTTCTGCCATTTACACTTCTGGTCTGCCTTTCTTGACCCAAGCCTTCGGTGTGTCGACAGAAGTCATTACCATCGGCCTGACTCTCTACGTTCTGGGTTACGGTCTTGGTCCTATGATCTGGTCACCTCTCTCTGAAATCCCTCAGATCGGCAGGCTTCCAATCTATATCGGCACGCTGATCGTGTTTGTTTTCTTCAACTTTGGCGTTGTTTATGCAAAGAACATTGGCATGCTTCTGGCTTTTCGTTTCCTCACTGGTTTCTTCGGTTCTCCTGTACTCGCTACTGGAGGTGCCTCGTTGGCGGATATCTTCTCTCCTGCGAAGCGTGCGTACGCACTCTCCGTTTTCGGTATTGCCAACATTATGGGACCTTCGCTTGGACCAGTCGCTGGTAACTGGGCTGCTCAGTACGAGGGCTGGACTTGGCCTATCTGGATGCTCATCTGGATGTCAGGCGCTTGCCTCGTCTTTCTAATCTTCTTCTTCCCCGAGACCTCTGCGGCCAACATTCTATACCGCCGCACCGCTCGTCTTCGCAAGTGGCAAGAGAAGAACGGATACTTGGACGACAAGCCATACGACAAGATCAAGTGCGAGCCTGAAATTCAAGGCGAGAACATGGGCCTTGGAGACATCGCAATGATGACTTTGGTCAAGCCATTTTCCCTCACTTTGACAGAGCCCATCGTCTTCTCCATGAATATGTACATCGCCCTCATCTACGCTGTTCTCTACTGTTGGCTGGAGTCGATTCCCCTTCTGTTCGAAGATCGTTATCACTTCAGCCTCGGAACCACTGGCTTGTGCTACCTCGGCATTTGTGTTGGCGGCATTATTCTTATTCCTCCTTACTGGTACTACAATTACTACTATGTTGAGCCTCGTTTCTCCAAGGATGGCACCATTCGTCCCGAGATTAGAATGGAGCCTGCAGTGGCAACTTGCATCTTTTTGCCCATCTGCTTGTTCATGTTCGGCTGGACGGCCAATCCCTCGATTCATTGGATTGTTCCCATCATTGCTACCTCTTTCTTCACCATCGGAGCCTTTGGCGCATTCTCAGGTGTGCTCAATTACCTTGGCGATGCCTACCCTGCAGAATTTGCCTCCATCTCTGCTGGTAACGACTTCTTCCGATCCTGCTTCGGTGCCGCTTTCCCTCTCTTCGCTCGTCAAATGTTCAACACGCTCGGTCTCAATTGGGGTAACTCGCTTCTCGGTTTCCTGACCATTGTGTTCATCCCTGTAGTCGTGTTCCTGTGGTTGAAGGGAGACAAACTGCGAGCTCGTAGCAAGAGAGCTTCGCAAGAGTACCTGAACAAGAAGTATCAAAAGAACGACGAAGAGAAGAGCGATGACGAGAAGACCCAGGTTGGCAGCGACGAAGACAAGGAGCAGGAGAGAGAGGAAGATAAGGAGAAGGAGAGAGAGGAACAGTCGTAAATCCCCTATGATCATGAATTGTATAGACTTAATCTGTAATAATATGTAACGATAACGAAATGTATTTGTACGAAACAACCCAAAGACTTTCTATGGATTTACAGTGCTGGCAAGCAACCACAAAGCCTTAACCAAATCGGCGAATGCATGAATAGCTATACAGCGACGGATAGCAGCATAAGCGGCTAAGCGTGTTTACTGCACCTGTCTCGGCTCCGAGAAATGTGCTGTGTCTCCACAATGCGGGCCAGAATGCGTGCACAATAGGGCAAGAGCATCTAGACACCTACCGAAGGCGCCTATATTAGATATTAGGAGCTTCAATAGTGCGCAAGTATAGGGTATTGGTGCTATACTCAGGCGTACCTTCAGCCAGCTATATTGAGCCTGACCCTCGAGAGCTTGAGAAGATGTTGCCAGACTGTCCAGAGCCGCAGCTTCAGCTCGGCGTCGCTTCCGATTACCCTGCGGCTCAAAAAGCGGTTATCAGTGGGATTGTGGGTGCGTGCCTCGGATTCGCAAGAAGAAAACTCGATCCCAAGCCCTTCCTGGGAATGGTCGAATACGGCAATCGAGAGCAGTGGCGCTCAGGGCTCAAGTAGAAGGAAACGCCATGTAGTCGGCACTCCGGATGTGAACGCTTCTTCGCAAGCAAAGACGTTCAACGAAGAATCTTCAATCACATTCTATGCAGCAGCGTCCGGCGAGCTCGTCGAACTAGTGACTAAAGACAGAGGTGTCATGCCGTCACAGGGAGGATCAGATTCGGTGCAGGAGTGGCTTCGTTTGCGAGCATTGGCAAGGTCGGTACTCATGATAGGGCGCGTGGTGGACCGATACCTGAAGCCTTGAAGCCTGACACGACTCTGCGTGGTATAGATACTTCGCTCCATACAACATCACTGCCGACGATGTCAATGCCGACCACGGCGAACCGGCCCCGCCGTCACTGGCCAAAAGCCCGCTCCTGACAGCCGTCACGCAGAATGGCGCTCTACGTATGAACTGCGACCGCGCCTTTGTCTCGCTCATCGACTCGTCGACGCAATACATCCTCGCCGAAGCCACTAGGTCCATCTCTATCCGCGACTCGACCAGTTTTGCCCACCCTCAAGATGCTCTGTTTCTTGGTGTGCAGAACCTGAATAAAGAATATGGCATCTGTCCGCAGTCAGTCGCCATCTTCACTGATCGCACCGGTCGACGGGCCGTCAATACCCATGATGTTGTCGCCAATACCACACGCTATGTCATTCGCGACTTGAGAGAGATGGACCAGTATAGACACTGCCCCTACGTTGTTGGCTTCCCTCACATGGTCTCTTATGCTGAGGTGCCTGTCAAGAGCGCTTCGGGCCATATCCTCGGAACATACTGTGTCATGGACAACAAGATTCGCGATGACTTCTTCGACGACAGCACCATTGAAATACTGAACGACATTGCAGCCTGCATCACTGAACAATTGGAGCTTCATGCCATCAAGCAAGAGTCGGGACGAGGAGTACAAATGATGAGGGGCTTGTCCGACTTCATCGAAAGCAGACGCTCAGGAACGGAAAGCACAAATGTCTCACGAAAGGGCTCGTTGAGTAATGCCGTAGACTACTTTGACAGCCAGCAGCAAAAGCTGGAATCACGAACATCATCGTCCGCTTCGCCAGACTCCCAGAAACAGACTTCTGATGATTCTGCAAAACAGACCCCCACTCCGCCAACGCCTCGAGAAGACCTCTTCTCCGTCAAAAGTCCTGGAGTCTGCGAACCTGCCTTGGACATGTCGAACAAACCATTTGCTGGCTGTCAAACCATGAAGGATATCTATTCGGGAGCCGCTCATCTTATCCGGGACGCCATTGACATTGAAGGACTGGTCTTCCTGCATGGATCTACTGATGACGCAATGACGAGTCTCGATCAATCTTTGACCAAGCCGACAATAACAATCAACGCTTCTGACACTAACGCAACATCATCACTCTGTGAAGTCCTCGGAAGCTCAGTCGTACCCGGCGGCTGCAACCTTGGCACTCTACACCAGCCCTTGGTCATACATGACACCGCGCTTCGCTATCTCATCAAGAACTTTCCCCGAGGCTGCGTCTTTGTTTCCGACACTCAAGGCAATCCTGTCTTTGACAAAGACGGCGCTTTCATTGCTCAGACCTATACCCAACAGAATTCATCTGCGGCCGTCGAGGTATCTAGTGAGCTGCAGGCATTGATCCGCAAAGCCCGATCATTGATCTTTCTTCCTCTTTGGGACTCGACGCAGGAGAAATTTATAGTAGGCATGCTTGGCTGGACCAGCGATCCTACAAGAGTACTTGCAGAGCAGGATATGACCTGTCTGTCTGCCTTTGGAAACACTTTCATGACCGAGATTGCAAGGACAGAAATGACCGAATTGGCACGCGCCAAATCAGACTTCTTATCTTCAATCAGTCACGAACTTCGCTCGCCCCTTCATGGCATCCATGCCGCTGTCGACCTTCTGCAAGATCCCGAACACGACTCCAGAGCTGAATTGGTAGAAATGATACAGAGCTGTTCTTCGACGCTACTAGACACTTTGAATCATGTTCTGGACTTTTCACGGGTTAGCAAACTTACAGATGTCAAGATTGAGGCACAGCCTCTCACTTCTGGTGAGACTGCCGATGTCACCAATGCCTTTGGTGATTTGACACAGGAATATCTGTGTGACCTGGTACTATCAGTGGTTGAAGGAGTACATTTCGGTCAAGCCTCGCGAAAAGCCACGTTTGAAAAGCTACAGAACACCATCGTCAACCACGCTGCCAAGTCACATCTCTCGTCGGACACGACGTCGCTCGATGTTGCCAGCAATAATGACACACTTTCGCAAGGCCCTGAAGCTGTCGCCGTCTATGTGAATATTGAAAGCCGATCAGACTGGTGTATGATGGTTCCCGCTGGCGCTTGGAAACGCTTGGTCATGAATCTTTTCGCCAACGCTATGAAATATACTGAACAGGGATTTGTCGAGGTTTCTTTGAAGATAGTGCAAGATCCAAGCGTCCCTACCACGCGATGTGCCCATCTCACGGTCAGTGACACTGGTATCGGTATGAGTTCTGATTTCTTGGATCGCTTGTATCAGCCATTTGTCCAAGAGAATCCGATCGCTGATGGTACTGGGCTTGGACTCAGTATTGTCAAGAAGATTGTCGAGGACTTGCAAGGCACTATTGAAGTACAAAGCACACAAGGCGTTGGTACACGCTTTGATGTCTTGATTCCTGTCCCGGACTCGGACCCATCGGATGAGACTCGTCCCGTGGGTGGGCAAAGATTGGATCCAAATGCAACGCTTAAGGGTCGGACTATCTGCTTGTTATCACCTTCTGGCATACATACGGACAAAACGACTCAGAATGCGTTGCAACTTCGACGCACTGCAACCATGCAATCGTATGTGCGCTCGGTTGCTGATTCGTGGTTTGGCATGGATGTCACTACTAGCGACAACCTTGAGGGCCTTGATGCTGACATCCTCCTGGTTGAGGAGACATATCTCGCCAGCCTGATAGCCACCAACCCGGGTATCTTAAACAAGCTCAGCAAACAGCGCATAGTCTTGGTTGATGCTCAATCGTCTCACAATCCTAACAAGCTTCGATTCCCTGGCAGCACTGTCAATCTGTCTTACCCGCTTAGTCCAAAAGCACTTGTCCGTGCTTTTACAGCTAGCTTGACCTCTAGCGTTCAGCATCGGGCCCTGCCGTTGAGATCGCTTTCACCAGTGCGCCATGAGCAGGACACAACTCAACCGATCAGTCAATCTCCTACCAAGATTGCCAAAGACAGTCCGCAAGACCAGAGTCCCGCTCACGAAACTATCGCAACACAAGACAAACAACACTTCCTTCTCGTCGACGACAACGCAATAAACCTCCGTCTCCTCTCCACCTTCATGAAAAAGCTCAACTTCACCTCCGAAACCGCCGTCAACGGTCTCGAGGCATTTGAAAAGTTTAAAACCTCGTCTTTACCATTTACAACTATTCTCATGGATATTAGTATGCCTGTCATGAATGGTTACGAGTCTAGTCGAGCAATAAGAGGTTATGAGAAGGAAGGGGGAATGGAGAAGGTAAGGATCATCGCGTTGACGGGGTTGGGGTCGGAGGCTTCGAAGTTGGAGGCTAAGGCTAGTGGGATTGATGAGTTTTATACTAAGCCGGTTAAATTCGATGCATTGAAGGAGTTATTGCAGAAGGAGTCTCAAAAACTGGGATTATATTAGGTTAGAGTAATACAGGCACTCAAGCGCCGAAGACAATTATGAACCATTTTCATTCAATTCACCAAGCCGGATACTTGTTGACCCTTTCTCTTTGCGCTACATCAGATGTCAAATATCTCTACAACGATTTCGATCATGGCTTTCCAAGTACCTGCATGTCGTCCAGGCACGCACCCCAAGGCGCTAAAATGTCGTGCATAGTGGTAGGATTGCGGAGAAGTGCTCCGACCTCAAAACGTCCCTCAGCAAAGCCTCCATCTTCCTGCACGACTCAATCTCCAGCATCGTTATCAAAGAAGAAAAAACTTACCAAAGAAATCACACAATGACACAACCAACATCCGCACCCCCACACATAGAGATCTCGCTCTCCATCATCCCCTCCCGCCACAGTTTTAGTGACCCTTTGCCACCAACCCTCTCCATGATCCTGCTCTCCCATTCATCCTCACCAATAACTTTGTTTACTTGGAACACATCTCTACATCTTCAAGGTTGCTTAACGAACAACGGCATCACAATCACTGACCTGGCATCCTCAACTCCCGTCCCAACAACAGTACTCAGGATCCAACGGACCCCTATCACGAGGGTGAGAGGTTCTAGTGATGAGGAGTTGTATTTGACACTTGAGCCAAACGTTCCGCTGGTTTTGAAACGGTCGTTTGGGCGGGGAGGTGTAAACGCCAAACCAGTTGTGAAGCCGCTGCCTAAATCTATAGTTCAGCAAGGCTGGGAACTCAATGACAAAGGCGAGGCTATAAAGATCCGCAGGTCAACAAAAGCAACGGGGGTGGATGGGTTAGAGGCTGGTCATGTATATCGTGTTGGTGTTAATATGGAGAAGTTAAAGGGTGTTAAGTGGACGCATGGGACGAAAGAGGATGTGCTTGTTGATGGGTGGGGGAAGGGAGCTCAGGTGCAGGATTTTGAGTGGGAAGAGGGAGAAGTGGAGTGGAGCGTTAAGGAGGCCGAGGTGGAGGTCGTGGACTGACGAGGTTTGGAGACTAAGAGGAGATATACGCCGAGTTACGGTTATGTTCGACAAGACTCCAGGCTTAATACTTATCATTATCCTAGCAACAGATCAGCTGTAGGATCACTGCGTTTACACAATCTGAGGACATTGTGAACCATAAGAGGACCTCAATGGAATAACGCAGCAGCGTGGCGGCCTGATAGTCAGACAGGGAAATCTCATGTCTGTTCGTAGCCACATGCAATGATCTTCGATCTTCCCAGTTCTTGATCCTTCAAGTAGTTCGTCTCGAGTTGGCAAGTTATCGATGATCCGGATATAAATAAAGTTCAGTTTCGGATAACCAGAATGTGGAGTTGCGGAGGGGAACATCAGGCCGGTAACCCTATTATAGCACTCTGGGCCGACAAATACCGATCATGTCGGGTTCGGCCTTTGACGGCATGAGATGGCTATACATCATTGGTTAAGTACGCTTCGTCATCTTGTTGATAGCAGTCGTCAGTATATGCTCTTCTTTGGTCGCCTTGTGATCACTGTATCTTTCTCACCAAAAATTCACCTACGGAATTCTGATCCTCTTAGCCTGTCAACATGGATACTGCTAGAACTCAGTCAATACCAGATCTCGTCCATGGTATGGCAAAAAGTATATGGGTTTTTTCTCCAGTCTTGTCTGACGGAAGCTTGCATTGTCTGATCCACTATTCAAGCGATTTGCCAACTCAACGATACAAGTACCAGATGAATATCCTGGCGTCTCCAACTTGATACACACTCGCGCTTCTGCGACATATGGCGACCCGTCACATCCCCTGGCTTTTCGACTGGGCAACGGTGGTGCTGGTCATACTGGCATTCTGAGATTACTCTGCGAGTACTTCATCGCTTCTAGAGGTGGAGGGTTTTGCATCGAATGGGTCTCGAACCATAGTCGGCATTCCCAGATTGCTCTTTTGGGAGATGTAGTCCAAGTGGCTCTGACGTACGAGCCTGAGTATGAGGATCTGGCGATTCGCGAGGGCTGGGCTCGACGGGTGGCCAAAGTGTTCAACGACCATTTCATCTTGGTTGGACCCGCGGTCAATCCAGCTGGTGTTGTTATCGACGGCTGGATCAAAGCTGCAATGAAGGCGATTGCAGACTATGGTTGTTCAAGCGACTCAAAGCACAACAACGGAATTTTTCAAACTCGTGGCGATGGCTCAGCCACATTCTACAAAGAACTTGCCTTGTGGGATCTCGCTGGAGTCGATCTGTCTTCCGCAAACTTTTGGAGAGTTACTAAGCCAGGAACACCGTACGAAGCATTGCTGCACGCAGACCATACAGGCGCTTACATCATCACTGATCGTGCAACATATCTCACAGCTAAACGTGACAATGTTCTGGTTGGTACAGTGCCATTCGTCGAAGGTGGACCAGAGTTGTTGAATCCTTGTTCTGCACTTGTTAACATCAAGGCTCCTCATAATGCATTGGCGAGAGACTTTGCTTCGTGGTTAGGTACTCAAGAAGTGCAGCAGATGGTTGCAAAGTATGGTCAAAGATGGTCTGTTGCCACGCCTATATTCTCGCCGGCAGAGCAGCAGGATATGATCAGGGCGGAGAGATTAAGAGCTAAACTATGATACTTGCAATGTACTATTGCTTTCTATTCACGCCTGAGTTCGTGTGCGGTTGTGGGTTGGATGTTGTGCTTCCCACCTGAGATGATAGTCGAGATCTGTGATCTAGCGATTGACCACCGGATACGAGAAAGGCGCAGCGGACCAAAGGGCCCACGCAATCTACAGTCGTGTGACTGATGTTGGACGTTTGGGCTTGCGTTGAAGGATCAGAATGTGGTTCATCTGGATCAGTATTGGTCGGTCGGCGTATGAATTGAAGATCTGGCCAGATACGAGGCACCAACCAGTGGACATCCAAAACATACGACCGTACAAGGAGGTGACAGTGTCCCTAGCTGAGAATCTTGCCCACGTTTGTTTTGTGATCCCCCAGTCCCCGCTTGAACCATTGAACTCAGCACTGAATACCGCGTGTTACCGTCAGAAGCCGCAGGAGTTGTCAACGATCAAAAAGCTTGTCCTTGCCGACAAGAAAGCTTGATAGGATGCAATGCTCGGTAAGTCATGCCGTGCTACTGAGGGGAAACATACCCGAAACCTGATTTGAACTCCCCGTGGGGATGTTCACGCGGGGCTACTGGTTCTGACTGTGGTCACGCTACGGACCGGGCTACATATTGATAGCATCAATCAGTGCCCGATATCGAGTCATTGACCGAACACATTCCCCAGATCCTTTTGTCAGCCGACGACTGTCGAGCAGTTCCCGAAGGCGATCGTCTATAAGAAGCTACATATCGTCTACGTTTTGTTCAGCTTCTTGTGTTCCAATAAACCTGACTTGTCTTATCATCATGTCTTCTTCTCCAACATACATGCGCCTCAAGGGGCAGAACCTGGTCTACGCTGTCACCCTCTCCTGCTCTCTTGGTTTCCTGTAAGTAATCTCCCATCCAGTGGAGCACTAGATGGCTAACATCCTGAAAGGCTGTTTGGCTACGACCTCGGATTCATGGGCGGTCTTACAACATCTTCAGAGTTCCTCAAGACTTTCGGCAACCCCAATCCAACTCTGCTTGGTTTCCTGGTCTCTTCTTATGAGCTTGGTGCACTATTTGGAGCGGTCTTCGTGTTTCTTCTAGGTGATCGCTACGGTCGTAGACCTATCAAGTTGGCGGGAGCTGGCGTCATCTCAACCGGCGCCACCATCCAGTGCACTTCCTTTGGGGTCGGTCAATTCCTTGCAGGTCGTATCATCGCTGGCTTTGGTCTCGGTATGATGACTTCTGTCATTCCCATCTGGCTTGCCGAGTGTGCTGCACCAAAGTCTCGTGGACGCATGATTGCCATGCAGTTGTCTAACCTGATCATGGGTCTCATCATTGCCAATTGGCTCGACTATGGCATGGCTGCATACCCTTCAAGCATTCAGTGGCGTTTCCCTTGCGCTTTCCAGATCGCGTTCTGCATCTGTGTGGGCTGCCTTGTACCTTTCCTGCCCGAGTCACCTCGTTACCTAGCCAAGACAGGAGATTTAGGTCTTGCCATCAACAACCTCGCTGCTTTGCGTGGTATGCATCCTGATGATCCCGAGTTGCAACAAGAGATGAAGGATATCGAATACATCGTCGAGGTCGAGCAGCGAGAAGAAGGAACCTGGAGTGATGTGTTCAAGGACGGTGGCATCAGTGGCTCAACTCGCGTTCTCATCGCCTGTGTCGCAAATGCGCTTCAGCAACTCACTGGCTCCAACGTCATGTCCAGTTTCGGGCCTTATATCTTCCAGAAGTCCATCGGTATGACTCGTCATCAGGCACTATTGGTCTCAGGCGGTCTTCAAGTCTTCTTCTTCGTCAGCAGTATCATCCCTTGGTTCATCATCGACAAAGTCGGTCGACGTCGTTTGTTCCTCTTCGGATCGACTGGTCTTGGACTTTGCATGGCATTGTCAGCTGTCTTTGTTGGAGTCAAGGGAAATAAAAGTCTTGGTTATGGTGCAGCTGTCATGTTGTATCTCTACCAGACATGCTTCACCGTTGGTTGGATGAGCAACATGTGGGTTTGTAAGTTGCATTTTCCCTTTCGACCTCGATGGCAACCATACTGACCAAAACGAAGATCCCTCAGAACTACTGCCCCTCAAGCTTCGTCTTCGTGGAGCTGCACTTTCCGTCGTCTTCCAATGGCTCGCCACCTTCCTTGTCGTCGAGATTGTACCACCCATGATTAGCAGTATCGGCTACAAATCCTACATCGTCTTTGCGGCCATCAACGTCGCCACGATCCCTATCGTCTACTTCTTCTTCGTTGAGACTTCAAAGTTGCCACTCGAAGCGGTTGATCTCCTGTTCGCTGACCGCGATGGCAAACGGCCAAGCATTCTGCAGGTTGTTCGCGACAGCAAGAACAAGGAGTACATGGCTGGCATTGTGAGCCGACTTCACCAAGAGGCGGAGATCCAAGTTGGATACAAGAGCGACATGAAGGAAGATGTTGTCTTTGCCGAAAAGGTGGACATCTGATTGTTTTTGCGGTGGATTCGATGATGTGTTCGTTCTGTGCGCTGGTCTCCGATGGGTTTTGTCCATTTTACCAATTATTTATGCTGTTACGAGTTTTTGTCTCAATATGATGTCTTTGTTCTGGATTTGAGACCCTTTCGATCTTGCATAAGTTCTGTTTGACGCAATGATCAATAGATTCTCGAGTGCTCTTCCTTTGACTGGAGTAGACTCTTTTCGGATTAAGATTGCGAGCAGAAATGATCCTCAGAATCATCATGTATAAGGACAAAATTATCGTGAAACATGATTTCTTCATTAAGGACAGTATTATCGACGGCCGACTAACATGAAACTGCGATAGGTCTCGCGCAGCGTCCTACGCTTTCCAAATCACAGTCCTCTTCTCATAACACTTTAGTTCTCAATGACATCGGTCTTCTTGGGAATGCAGCTCTTGCACTCGCCGAAGTTGGCTGCAGTGCCAGCAGCGGAGCCAATGCAGGACAAATCGGCAGCAGGGTTGGCGCCGACTTTGATGATGGCGGCGCCGCAGGAGGCAGTGGTGCCAATGAGGTGGAAGGCACACTCTGGACATGTGGTCAACCTGATGAATTCTTTGAGTGTTGTGGTTGAAACTCACTGGCGAGGTCGGTTTTGGTGCAACCGGGAGGGAGAGAAATCAGAACTTGGCCCTCAACTGCCTGCTCGACAGGGACAGCGAAGGCGGTGGCAGCCAAAGCGAGAGCAGCGACGATGGTGAACTGCATGTTTGCGATGAGATCAGGTCGGAACGATGTAGTTGAGATAGAGGATGAGATGATGAGGATACCAGAAGCAATGCTGGTGTTCTTGACCCTTTTTATATCTCTTCGGCTCTCTAGCATCCTTTGAGAATTTCTTCTCTCCCAGTAATCTTGCACAGATGTTGATGCTCTGGTGAACGGAGGTTGGGGTGCCAAGTGAGCATACTATGGAACATGGTGTGATTCTTGCTGATGCTCATCACCAATAGTTCCTCAAGCTAGATCGCTGATGCTCCTGCCTCAGCTCGACACGATGCAACGCGTCTTTGATCATTGGATACCCTACCTGCTGTATATGGAGTGGTATACGAGGTCAAACTGGAAGCGTGGCACGTCACATGATTTGGTGTATCGCAATCTGTGCCTCTGTCTTGTTTATCTCGCTCATAGGGACGGCCTCGAGCATCGTGAGCTGCAGACGATGTGCAGCTGAACGTCTCGCTTGTCGCACCTCATGCAACTAGGTAGTTCTATTGATCGTCTCAGATGACCGCGGTCGATCAATGCTACTCTAGGACGACAATCCAGCATATAATCACGGTGGAGTGATTTCCTTGACTAATGGCTGGCAGATAGAGCGCTGTGCCTGGATGTTTCATGAACATGATCTACGAGAAGCCTGGTAACGTGGCGTGTGTTCGCGCAACGGGGATCACTCTGGTGTGAAAAAGAGCAAAGGCTAGTAGGATGTGACCAAGAATACGGGAACATGAAGGAAATCAACATCAGCACTTCCACATCGTCATTTTTCAGCTCGCAGAGGTGGTCATGTTGTTAGGCACGTTGAAGGATGCAAAACAGTTCATGGATTGAGGCATCACCTTTGACTAATGCAACCATACAATGCGCACCTAACTTTACATTGCAAGAATGCCTCATGCCAGAGACCAATCAAGCAAGCGTTCTTACTCCTGAGCTTGTCAAAGCTTGGTCGCAGATTAATGGCTCGTGCAATACGAGCGAATCCTGATCCTTCGTGAAGATTAGCGGCCGTAAGCATAGCACGCTTCACCCGACCGCCTGGCACTGACGTCGACTATGTGGTAAATCAAGCTTTCCAAAATCCTTATAGGGAGGTCTCAGCTCCTTCGCGTAAGTCTTATGAAGAAGCTGTCTCTCTATCCTTGGCCTTGTTCCATCCTATCCTCGCACTGAGTCCATCAACAATTTCCCCATTCCTCAGGCGACAATTCAGCCTATTCCCGGTTAAAATCACATACAAGAATATCTTAACGACAGATATGGGGTGCGGAAGCTCGAAGCCAGAATACACCAGCGGCAATATGCCTGCGCAGCCCGTTCAAGGCAACACACCTCAGGGATTCGCAGCTCCCCAACAAGCACCCATGTACCAACAACCGCCACAAAAGACTGGACGTGGACGGAAAGCAGCGAAGAACCTCGGGTTCCTTAGTATGCTTGCCAATTAGTGGTGTTCCAGGTACAAAAGAAGATTGAAGATGGAGTAAGCATATGCTGCTGAATCTTCTGCTCGATCAGCGGAGACTAATGATCCCAACAGGGTGTGCTGAATAGAGGAGCCTGCTCCAGTATCCGAAGCTGGCGTCAAAGATTCCTGATAACTACTTCTTCATTGGTTCGCAGGTGGCCGAGATATGAAGTGGTGATGTCGTCGAGGTGTCCCAGCAGTCGTCTGTAGGGTTGTGAGATTGATTGATGTCCTTCGTCCGGACCTGGGCTATGGAGGACTTTCTGCTTGCTTGAGATTGACTGGCCCCCTCTTATTGTTTGTCACGAAGAGATATGGTACTTCAAACGAATGATCAGCAGACATGACGGGAGTGGCGTATTTTGTGGCTGCCTAGAGCTAGACTTATAAGTATGTCGTGACCTCCAGTAGATCTAAAGATATCCTCACAACTTATCGCAACAAGCTTCATCATCTATCATGAGTGCAACCTCAAACCCCTCAACCCCAGATTAGAACAAGTGAATCTCGGCCATCATGTCAAACTTTGAAGCTTCAGTCCACCGCCGAGGATATGTCGACGACGGCAAACGACCCAAGGACGTAGATTCGATCTACTAGAACATGAACTGTTTGCCAGCTTCTCGCATGTTCTGTGGCGGTGGATCTATGACTGTGAAGGGCTGCATCCATCGTCTTGCACGGCAGATCGTAGAGGGTTATTTTGACGAAAAGATCAGTGTTTCTGGCAGCAGCAACAACTTTATTGTCGTCGTCGAGACTGGTGTGTCTTAGGCTGAATTTTACAGACGAACCTGGCCGCTGGAGAGCTCTCTCTTTGGTGTCCGGTCGATGAGTCAAATGCACACAAAAAACTCATTTTAGGGAAGAGATAAGAGCTTGAATATAAGTTCTTGATTGAAAACCAGCGGATCTTCTAGACAACCGCCTGACTCGAATCATGCGCATTTCGACTCATGGCTCACGCGAGGCAGGATTGTGGAGCGTTTCTGAGTAGCCGTCAACGACTTGGTGATCCACCACCTCAATTATCCTTTTTGAAGGCCCAATCAACGCGTTTCTTCTTGTGCACCAGCTGCGTAAAGTCCTTCTTATCGAAAACACTAACACGCGAGCTCCTAATCTCAGGACTTCCAAGAATTTCCTGGTAGTTCTTTGCAAAGTCCGATGCCTTGAAGAAACCAGTCTGTTTGGCTGACTCGTCGACCTCTACTCTCAGATTCAAGTAGACTTCGTTGAAGCGGATGTTAGTGTTCTCAAGGTCGCGACAGGCCACGTTGGAAAGAGAGTAGAGGGCACCTTGGGTCAAGGCTGCTCCTGCGCGCAGACCGACATCGCCCATACCGCCTGTGCAAAGGGTCCATGTGCTGTCTTTGTGTCCTTGTTCAAGCAAGTATGGGACGGTAGCTTTGTATGCGACTTGACATACTCGTTAGTCGATGTTCTGCCTTATGTAGGTGACCGCTATACTCACAAAAATTGGTCTCGAAGTTTATGTTCATATAGTGCCGAAGTTCCTCAGTTGTTATCTCGTGCAAAGGTGTTGGTCCCATTAACCCGCCAGCTAGATCATGTCAGCCAGAGATCCGAAAATTACAAGAACCATGAATCATACCAGCGGCATATACATGCTGGAAGGCCGGTAATTTCCCTGCCTTGACATCTTCCACCAGTCTAATCATGTCTGCTTCAGATGTGATGTCTGCTTCTGCGATGGTTATGCCTTCACGTGTGCCAACATGCTTGAATAATTTCTCGGCTGATTCTTGGTTGCGCACGACAGCGAGAACATTGCGTTTGGTATTGAGTGCACCAATGACAGCGGAAACGCCAATATTGCCAGTTGAGCCTACAACAAGGACGCTCTCAGATGCCATGCTTAGATACAAGATGGCGGTGAAATTGCAGCAGGGCAGATGTCGTTGCGATAGACGCCGGATGCCCGGCCTTATATGTCATGTAGCGTTCGGGTCTCGGAGATGTCATGTATCAAAACCCCGGACTCTTAGATTTCATCACTAAGTAACATGCATCTCTATTCTGCAAGACTGAAGATTGCCGCCAGTAATTATCCAATCAGGCGTGAAGTTCGCGCGAATTTGAAGGATGCAGGATGTGTTCCTTCGGACATCGGTTGTTCGGCATCGGACCGCCAATCTTTCTACCCGAGCTTGCATGAAATTTTCGCGTGGGATCAGGCAACGATATTTCGAGATGAAAAGAATTGCTTGTGCCGAACCTTGTGATATTGATCTGGGTATAAAAGATACAACGCTAATTAATTGACTGTGGCCTAGTAGCGCTCAATCTGATGTCCTTGACCAAAATATCAAGATGTGTGTAAAATCAGCAACGCAGCATCAGAGTCAAGTGCGATGGACCACTGGGATTCCACGTACCCGTATTTGCTTGTGGTGCTGCTTCCACTGTGGTGCTTTTACAATGATGCGAGCATCATTGAGAGGATATGTTTCAGATCTCCGTTTCCAAGGTCGTAGGGTCGAAAACAAGGTTTAGTCTACAACTGCCGTTCCTGACGATCAGGATGTTTTACTTGGAAGCTTAAGCTCTGGAGTCCAAGAAATTTGCTCTACGGAGTATTTCAAGTTAAACCGGTCTTGTATATGATCTAAACCTTGACCTTGCCTATTCCAACAAAAATCCTCCGAGCCTAACCAGAATTAGCAACTGTTTTCCCTTGCATCGAGGCGGTAGGATGTCATGTGCCAGTATGGCATTTCTACATGCATCTTTGGTGAGGCTCAACTCAAACAAACATAGGGTCTGATCGCAGCAGCTTCGATCCGAAGGCGGCAAACGAGGGTAATCTCCATGTGGGACTTCTGAATAGCAAAGCAGATGATGGCTCACGGCTTTGGACGTAGTTGTGGGACAAATTGACTGCTTTATAATGCTAAACAGAGGTTTCAACTCATTCTCATCCACCTCTTGTCACACTGTACTCAAGGATTGCAAGACGAATGTACCGATCGTCGAGTTCTGGTTGGTCAAACCGTAAGACAAAGATCAACTTACCTCGCTTTGGCAGCATCTCCGGCACTGTCAAGTTCTGATTCTTGTCGGCGCTTCAATTATTGGCTTCAATGCACCCGCTCGTGCTCTGCTTACAGGTCGGAATCATCGGTCAGAAGGATACGATGAAATCATGTCGCCAGGATCGAGATATGGATGCGAGCTTCGCAAGCTGCGTATAGCATCCAAGGAATTTCAGACGGTGATTGCCTTATTGCTGCAACCTATGTGGTTCGTGAGTAGGACAGGCTCTGAGTGCTTCCATTCATTCCATCTGTCCTGTTGCACAGCAAGTCTCCGGAGTTTGCGGCGGCTCGGAGTTCAGTCCGCAACTTGAGCCTCAATCGAGAGCACCGTCCAGATACGCATGACTTCTACACTGGGAAGAACACCCATCGGCAGCTTCAGACGGCTTAGCATCTGCGCCTCTTGTCAGATTGCCATCGGTATGATGGCGTGGAGCCGCCAAGTGTGTTATGACTATGCATTGCCTGATTCTTGCTCGACGAGATAACCAGATGATACGATCGCAGTTGAAAGTGCGATGAAACTGTGTCGTTTGTCTAATTCGCCTTCTGCATGCAATTGCCTATGATGACAAGTTTACAATGTCAGCGAGAGTGACGTCGTCGTTTGGGATATGTCGCCGAAGGATGAGGCGTCCACAAAGGCCGCGACGGCAGATGAATGCAGGGAAGCACCACAGGCTGGTACAAGTCGGGGGATTTAATCACGCCGAGCGCGCAGGAGTATCGTCATGTTGATGTTATTGCCAACTACGTAGCGGCAAAGGAGTTGCAGTATGACCCGTCCATGTCGACGTTTGGGTTAGGACCCTTTGTTATTACCCCGCCAAACGTCATGATTGTGAGGCTTTGAAACTGCTGCGCCCCACCTGTTCCAAGCTCCTCTTTGGGAGCTCCAACAGCTATATAGAGCCTCACGAGCTACCGTAAACACAAACTTCTTTCTCCATCAACTTAATCTTTGCATCTTCAACCTTACTACAAACCACATCAACCACGTCTATCAACATGCAGAACGAACGCGGCCAAGGTGTTTCCCACGCCACCGACTCTCAGGTCCCCGGCAAGGTTCAAGAGAAGGTACATACAATTACAAGTCATCCTCTCCTTGGTCAACACTGACACCATTCTCAAGGCTCCCGCCAAGCTCGAGCACGAACTCCCTGACTCTGTCCACGACACTGGCTCAAACGCCCAGACCGGCAAGGTCAGCCACGCCACTGGTCCCAGCAAGGTCCCTCAGGCCGTCCAGGAGGCCGCTCCCAAGAAGCTCGAGGAGATTCTCCCCGAGAAGATTCACCCCACCAAGTAAACTCTTGCTTTGATGGTTACGACAACTCGAATGAGCTGCATCTGAGCTGAGCTCGATGGAATGCGTTATGAAATGGTCCCGTGGCAAGAGCCATTGTGATGAAATATAATGAATGAACAATCAAAGTCTTGAACATACCTTTGGCACACGAGCGTGCTTGTGATTGTGCAGATGTGATGTATTTGAACAGAATTCCGCCTTGCCAGGTGATTTGATGTCCCTGGAACGACTTGAAAGTCTCGACTGATAGCACAACAGCTCTATAAGCACGAGCACATGTCATGCTCTGTGCAGGTCTCTTGTACTCCCGGTCGTATTCAAGATTGCTTCGACGCGACGACCACGCAGTGCGTATCGTGGGGAGTCGCACCCACCTATGACGCCTGCCGGTTCTGTTCATGTCGTCTGATTCTAGAGCACACGACTCCGTGTGCAGCCATGCGAAGGAAGAAGAAAGGATGTCATATCTGTATCGTGTCTTTGCAGGAAAAGAAATTGAAGCTCCTAGCGCGAGGACAGGTTGTGCCAAGAAGATCTTATCTGAGATAAGATTGATCTATGATCTAGCTGTGGTACAAACCCTGGCAACGACATCTGGATTGCAAACAATTGCGATCACGCTGTTGAAAACAATTCGTATGATGCTCGCAAGGCTCAGAATCGCATCTAAATCTACTTCCTCTGCAACAGAAGTCAATAACATAAGTCGTGAATGAGTTTTCGTGAAATCTGTTGAGTCTGCATTGGCTCTGTAAAACATTTACCCAGGTCAAACCCGTCATGATACCATCTTTCATTGTTCAAGCATGAAAAACTCTCGACGGTGTTGCCAGCACATTTTGGAACATTTGAGGAATCACCGGTCATCACTATTGAGACTTGATCCCAAGTGATGTGATAGAGACAGAGCTCTTGTTATGGCGATGTTACTGTCGTGATACCAACAAACATCATGATCCTCTAGGAGCGGGACTCCGCCTTGGCAGGAGCGCAATCTTCCCGCGCAACTCATCGTGATTTCTTAACACGTCATTCTCTTTTCCCGTACATTTTTGACAAAACCCTCACCGACTGGTTGCAGAGATGACCGACACTATCAAGTCGACGATACATATGTGCATCTGTTGTCAATGGCTCATGACCCGTCACACCGGCACTTCCTTATCTACCTGAGCGAAACATCGAACTTTCCATTTGGCGCCAACTGGCATTAAAACAGATGGCTGCTCCTGCCCACTCGGAGGGACTTCGATCAACTCAGGCACTTCTGGACTGCTGCTTCTACCATGGAACAATCTATCATCTCGACAAACATGTCTGTCGTCATTTGGTATGGAAATGAATGCCTTACTCCATATTTTTCTGTCCGCGTCTGCCCACGGAATATCGAAACTACGGTTGAGAATCAGTCAGAGAACCATGCGCTATGAGTGATGTCGACTGACTCATCAAGTGTTTCTGTGTCACCACATCCCAAATCCGGATTTATAGTGTGTCGTGGAGTACTGTACATGTGTACCCGTTGACCACGACGCTGGACCAGATCGTAGGGAGCGGAAACGCTTTCCATCATGCGGCTCAGGAGCGTCTCAGGTGCAAGCTTAAGCCGTCTTCCAGTTAGACAAGTGTGTCTTGTAGAAACTGCTTCGACAGCGTCTTAAGCCATATGTGTACAGCATGGAGGACACACGGTTGGTTATCTCTTAAGACCGCGTCATACAGTACTATGCAACATGATGGTCTTTGTACAATTGACAACAATTGGACCAGAGGCAGTGACGACAAAAAAGGAAAGTCCAGAGGCTTACGGCAAAAAGGTTGACGAGAGAAAGCCTATCCCCAAGTTTCAACGGTTGACTACCATATTCGATCCTTTTGACGTCAGTTTCGAGGCCCCGCTTCTCCGCGGCTCTACCAAAATAAGTTGGAAGGAGCTCGATCATAGCTCTTTCCGACTTTGACAGTTCCCGATGGATAACGTAATTCCAAATTCAGTCAGAGCTCTGGCGTTCACATAAGCTCAGCTGCCCAGCTCCCAACCCGCAGCTTCGTTGTTCAACCTTCAAGATGCCTCCGATACCTTACCGTACCTACGTTCGCGGCCATCCTGGCTCCACTCAAGAAGAGATTGACAACGAGCCTGATTGGAGCTTGGGCAAGAATCACATTGGCTTTCGCGACCGATATGATCGTGTCCCTGGACTGGTACACAGCGGCGATGATTCCGACAGTGAAGACAGCAATGAGTCTTTCGAAAAGGAAGCTGCAGAAGAATCCGACGAGCTGCATCAGGATTTTAAGAATCACCAAAAATTGGTCAACTTTCGTGAAGCGAAGGAAAAGCAAGAGGCATGTGCAGACATTGCCAAGGTACAAGCTGTACTGGCATTAACAAATCATAGGACTACTCTTTAGAGGAGCCGGAAGAACATCCCAATGGCTGGCGTTACAGACTAAACGAATCCGAAGACTTCATCAAGAACCAACAGCCTTGGCCTGCTAATTTGAAACGCCAGAAGCAGAAGGAGGAGAAAGAGAAGGAGGAAAAAGAGAAAAAAGAGCAAGAGGAGAAGCAAGAACAAGAGCATGAATGGAAGGATGGCAACCTCAATCGCGGCAGACACAATGATGCCTATGCTTCGAGCGGCGGACAAGATGACTCAAAGGTCACCAAAAAGGATAGCGACAAGCAGGATGGCAAGAGTGATCAAGAGGATTCAAAAAACGACTCCGGCGAGACTGATCAAGCAGATTCCGATGAGCAGAAAGATTCCAAGCCAAAATCCGAATACGAGAAACTGCGGGAAAAGTACAGTGTCCAAGAGATTGCGCTGCTGCGAAATCTGCAAGCGGAGAAGAAGATTGTTGAGAACCTCAAGCAAAGCGATGGCAAGATGAAGTCGCCTTGGGCACACCTCGAGCCTTCTGATGTGATCGACGATGCCGACCGCGCCAGTCCGGACAACTGGATCCCGAGAAATTCGAACATGATTCGTCTTACTGGCAAACACCCTCTGAATGCCGAATATCCTCTCAAAGATCTGTTTGAGACAGGTCTGATCACTCCAAATCGCCTTCATTACGTGAGAAACCATGGACCCGTACCACATTTGCTGTGGGAGACACACGAGCTGGACATCGAAAACGGGAAGTGCAAGTTTAGTATGGACGACCTCGAGAACAAGTTCGAAAGCGTCAACATTGCAGTCGCACTGGCCTGTGATGGTAACAGACGCAAGGAGTTGAACATGATCAAGAGATCAAAAGGTTTCAATTGGGGCGCCGGAGCAATCAGTAATGCATTCTGGAAAGGTGCCCTTCTGTGCGACGTTTTGAAAGCGGCTGGAGTCGACTATCCTACCAATGGATCTGGTGTCAGAAGATGGGTCAACTTCGCGGGTTCGGACCAGCCATCGGAAGGTACTTACGAGACCTGCATTCCATACGAGTATGCTATGGACCCGGTAAATGATGTCCTGCTGGCTTATGAGATGAACGACGTGAAGTTGCCTCCTGATCATGGATATCCTCTACGAGTCATTATTCCTGGATATGTTGGTGGCAGGCAAGTCAAATGGCTGAAGAGGATCTGGATCAGTGAGAAGGAAAATGACAGTCACTATCATATCTGGGATAATCGCGTGCTGGTGCGTTGCAATTATCGGCCATAGTTTGACGGCGCCTTATGCTAACAAATAATCTCTAGCCTGCTTTTGTCACTGAGAAAGACGGTGAGTTCTCAGAAACTCTCTTCCGTCATCCCGATACGGCATGCAACGAGCAAAACTTGAACTCGGTCATCGCAAAGCCGGGACATGGCGAGCGCATTGGGGTGTCTGGCGTCAAGAAGGGTCAGACCTACCGTATTGCTGGCTACGCCTATGACGGTGGTGGTCACGAGGTGCAGCGAGTTGAAGTCAGTCTTGACAACGGTGAGACATGGCTGTACTGTATCAGAGAGTTTCCCGAAGCTCCAGTCAGACATGGCCACAAATACTGGACCTGGATTCACTGGTACATTGATATCGAAATGGCCCACTTGCTCAAATCTCCGAGCATCACCGTGCGGTGCTTTAACGTCTTCAAAAACACTCAGCCCCAGGTAAGTGTCCTCCAATGCTTATCCTTGGTGCGTTTTGACTGACACTTTCTTTTTTCAGGTTGGCTCATGGAACGTCATGGGCATGATGAACAATGGCTGGTACAAGGTCAAACCTGAGATCACCGCGGACAAGGACAACAATATCGAGATCCTCTTCCGTCATCCTGTCGAGCCAGGCACTGGTACCGGCGGATGGGTGGAGCCTAGCGCCGATGAGAAGATTGCCAGCGCAAAGCAAAGTGCAAGCACACCTCAAAAGCAGTTCACCAGAGAAGAAATTGAGAAGCACGATAAGGAAGACGATTGCTGGATTGTGGTCGACGGCAATGTCTATGATGCGACCTCTGTGCTTGACTGGCATCCTGGTGGTAAGGCAACCATCATGAACCATGGTGGCAAACTCTCGCAAGAGACTTCAGAGAGCTTCGAGTCCATTCACGATGGCTATGCTTACAAGAAGCTTGCTGGTAGGTCATTCACTACACATTGGCGATGATCATTATGCTGATGCTCTGCAGAATGTATTCTTGGTACAGTGACGGACAAGGCCAAAGCACACATGAAGAAAGAAGCAGAAGCAGCAGCGAAAGCCAAGGCAGAAGCTTCGAACAAGAAGACCGATGTCGTGCTTTCCATGCAGCAGTAAGTCTACTATGATCAATGCCCTTCTCTGGGTCGTGGATGCTAACCTGAACTTGCAGATGGTACCCTGTCACCCTCAAGAAGAGGAAAGATATTTCCGAAGATACCCGCCAATACACCTTCAGCCTCGGCGACAAATCCAAAAAGCTCGGCCTTGGTACTTGCCAACACCTGCAGATCGGTTTCCACATGGCCGACAAGATGCTTGTCCGCTCTTACACGCCCACTGCACCCATCGTTGGCGCAGACACTGAGGATGGCACCTTCGATCTCGTTGTCAAGACCTACTTCCCTACTGATGATCAACCTGGTGGTGCCCTCAGCAACATTCTCGATGTCATGAAAGAAGGCGAAGAAGTTGAGATCCGCGGTCCTACTGGCGACATCAAGTATCTGGGCGACGGCAAGTTTGAGATCTTTGACGAAGAACAGCAGTTTGAGAACATCACACTGATTCTCGGTGGTTCTGGTATCACACCTGGATACCAGTTGATTGCCAGAATCATGGCTACGGACAGCGACAAGACGAAGATCAAGGTCGTGGATGCCAACAAAGATGAAAGCTCAATCTTGCTGCGTGAGGATATGGACAAGTTTGCCGAAGAGCACAAGGACAGCTTCGAGGTACAGCATATTCTCAGCCACCCATCAGACGATTGGAAAGGCGAGAAGGGCCATGTCGACGCAGACAAGATCAAAAAGTACAGCTATGCGCCTGAGAAGGAGAGTGGCAAGAAGAATGTTGTATTTTTGTGCGGTCCTCCGGCCATGATTCAGAAGGCTGCTATGCCTGCATTGAAGGATTGGGTAAGTTCTCAACACTTGGTTCGTGTGATAATGAGTTTTGCTGACACAAATCAGGGATATGAGGAAGGCAAGGACATGTTTGGATTCTAAAGCAGTAATAAGTAATGATCAGGCTTACCGACATACAATATCATTCTCAACATGTTCACGTGATGAGTTATGTTCATTCTGAAACAACAACGCATTGGGCACTTCCTGGGAGCAGCGGAAATTGCCGGTTGAGCTTCGACTTGAACGTTAGGCGATGTTCTTCTCTAATCTTCTTACACAACAGTCAACAGAACTGCAACAACAATCGTGTGAACCAGCAACAGTTGTGACTCAGATGTATTCTCAACACGGGACTGTGGAGGCTATTCTGGCCTTCTATCAACAACTCATCAAACACCCGTACCTAGATGAATCGGCTCTCAAAATTCCTCCAGCCTCTGGTTGGGACACTGTGGACGCAGAGACTCTACAAGCTCTGGGAAAGACTGACGCTGTAATTGATCTACTACGCCATCTGCCATATCTTGATGGACGCGGTGATGGCTATCTCATAGCATTTGAGACCATCCCAGTCGACTTTACTGAAACTTCGACAGCGATGACTGAAGAAGTCTATCCTATCCCTGGCCACTGCGTCTATCTTACCGAGGGACTGGGCCGTGAAGGGTATCGTCTGATTCTTGATACGGAGAGAGGTAAAGCAAATCTACACCGCCAGAACGTCTTGCTGATCAAAGGGACAGGCACTACAACAGCTTTCAGCATCATGGAATATGAGCTCTCAATGTCCGAGATCGACAAATACAAGCATCTACCTGAGACGGAACAATGGAGAGCGCACCGCACCCTTCCAACTACAGAGTTCTTCGCGGGCTGGACGCTACGATACGAGAGGTTGGTGTGGTTCATGTCCCCTCGTCCGTATCTGGCAGCAGGAACCTTCCACTCTAGAGTAGACTATTGGCAGCAAGAAGAAGAACTCTGCCACCAAGAATTGACCAAATGGAGCCCCGATCTATCTGAAGCCGAGAGAATCGAAGACGATGTTAGCAGAGAGCTTAAGAGCTTGAGACTGAAGTATCCTGCGGTAAATCTTGGTGTTCGGCGTCTCCAGTGCGTTTGGCTGATAGAAATGATGCAGGACGTCTATAACACATATCTTCGATATGGTTGGGGAAGCGAGAGTTTCGATAAGCAGGCTTGTAGAGTGGCGTTGTTGGAGCTGGAGAAGGATTTCAGAAAAGAGCGAAGGCGCCTGATGGATCTGAATGATCCCGACGCTGACATGTTCGACTAAGGCTCCGAAGCTCCTTTTACTTGTCAAAGGAGGAACATTGATATTGCTATTATGGCTTTTGAGTTAGCAAACATAGCTTTATTAACACGATTATAGTTCGCAACTGACCAACGATGTGTTGATAGTTTGTACCACATCTATATCGCAGTCATGTCAAGAGATTGCGCGGTTTTCAGTCGAATGTTGGTTTTTCATGTCATGACATTTCGACAAATGAAAGGTTGTTCTTGGACTGGCCGAGGCCATGATGTTAAGGGCACTGCAACGACTAGACCTGTGACTCCATATTGATGTATGATATCAGCCACAAACATTTTGTACTGCTGTAGCATACCACATAACTTCAGGAGGACTGGTAGTCTGGCCAGACACCTGTGCCTCCTGCCCAAGGTATCTTATATGGCTCTTCGTATGGTATCAGTCCGGGTTCCGCATGAAATCAAAATCTATGATTTTCTTGCTTTGATTGATGCTATCCGTTTAGCTCCAGGCAGTTCGAAGAGGATGGAAGAGTTTCAAGCTCGTCACAAGCGTTCATGGCAGCCTCCCAGAGCTGTTCGGCGTTGAGGACATCTCCTTATGACAGAGCTTGTGTGTCTATTCGATCTTGACGCTCTGCTGATTTCAGAGAACCCTTCGAGGACTTCACGAGCTTCCCAATGATATCTTCGAGAGTCGGCGGCGGTTGGGCGGATTCCTTGGTACGGTATCCTATTTTTGGGAGTATGTTCGAAGACATGACGATGTCTTTTTCTGGTCTTGGTCCAAGACGATGGATGGCTTAGTTACTTCGTCATGCGGATTATGGCGGCGCGAGAGAGATTCGGCCTCGATTTTTGCTGTTCCATCTATCGTTGCAACGTATGATGGTTCTATGCGTCGAATTTGCCATCCATCGCGGTATGGTCTCCCGCAAATGAATCGGGATATTGATATGAACCGTACTTCTGACCTCAGCTGGGCTTTTCGATATAGCCATGTATTGTAATGGCAATTTGGCAAATTGACATTGACGTGAAATTCTGTATACTGATCGCTGCCACTCTGGCGTGCGAACATTCTGCTATGGCATATGCCCGTTGGGCATATAGTCTTTGCCCTTGGATGTAGCAAATCGTATCTTCATGGGCTTATCAGTAGCCTTGGCATGGACAGATATGGCAGATCTGGGAGCTAATTTAAATAAGCCTAGAGCGATGTGGATTCTTGAATGCGTTTCTGATCAGAAAGTGTCTTGATCGCTCAGCGTTGGTCCATATTCGCAGAGGGCTGTTGAGGTGCTCTGAGTCATTTTCACCGGTAAAAAGTGCCGCCAGTTCGTTGCCACAAGGCATTGTACCACTGAATGATAAAGCACAGGTCCTCAAGCGTGTAAGACCAGTGGCTGACTTTGTACTTCGCCAGGAAGACGACCTGATTGTGCACAAATCCAACGGCGATTTGTTCTATGTTGAGTTGTAGCCTCTGAGCAGAGATAATTGTTGATTTGATCAGCCGTCTTGGCCTTGTGCTTGTTGGAGGCAGACAATCCTCGGTAAAGCTGCCAAAGAGTCATATATCCGACGCAGAGGGTCGTGTGAATTTTTCAAAATGCCAAGGAATATCGAGTGTTCCCTGGCATCGGGTTGGTATCCTTACAAGTGTGATTGATGCCTGAAGACAGATATATATAAGCCCAAGTTGCAGTCCAAACATAGACTGGACTTCTTCGTAGGCCAAGACTCCAGACTTCAATGCTTCGTACTGGTTGTGTATGAGCAGTTGACCAGCATTTATCGATCGATCTTGTGCTGTGCTGCGGTGGTCATGGTCAAGAGAATGTTGCTCATTTATTTGCGGCAAGTCTGGGGAAGAGTCAACGAAACGTGACCACTGTGCAGGCCGTCGATATATAGAAAGAAAGACTGGGGTGTCTAGCATCTCGTCGTTGTTTCCTCGGTCGAAAGACATGGGGTTACGACGCCTTGCTTGGAAGTCTGAGAGGAGGAGCTTGCGATAACTTGCTCCAGGAGGTGCGGAATCATTACCACTGTATATAGAACAAGCCGTCTTCAGTGTCGGAGAAATCTTCAGAAACGTCTGCTTGACAATCCTGACCGTCGTCGTTGCTTGCTTCTCCTGGCGCTTGTTACGATCGTGGTTTTAGAATTGAGAAGATCCATGACACTCTGTCATGCGAAACTCTTACATGCGTTCAAGTCTGGAAAGCCACCGCTAGGTCTGTTGGCACATGAACAAATGGTATCATAAGTGCCGCCGATATATACTTTTGATCTCTCGTAGCGTTCGCCGTAGTCTTAAGGGCGGATATGAATGTACAATGGCAAATCGAAGCCACTAGGTACTCCTCTTCCGCGTTGCAGAGTTGGTAGATGCAATCGGCGAAGAGACCTTACGAGCCGGCAACGGCTGTTTGTGAGATCAGCTATCGTTTGAGGTAGCCAGATATCTACTTCGCTCTCGAGGTCATCTTCCTTCGCGGGTGCTGCGGTTGATTCTTTGTAGTGATTCATGCGGGCTTTCTGGCTTAGGCAGAACTCATCCAAGAGGCAGGGTCTGTTGCAGCAGGGACAGGTCATCTGGTGAACTGTGCAATGAGGTGGGCTGCTACCTCGGGAACGATGACAGGCACTTTGTGCTTTTGGTTGTTGACTAAATCGCACGGTCTACTCTTCCTGTTCGAAAAGGACCTGGTCTCGAGAGAGGCGACGCGCCAAACTCAAGCTTGAGTTTCGGATAAGGAGACAAGCCGGTTCTTGAGTTTCTTGTGGAGTGCTTCTGAAGAGATGTCGGCGATTCTAGACCTCTTTGCTCCAGTTCCTTCTTGAGCCCTTCACCCTTGACTCAAAAGAGCTTGTAGGTTTATGAACGGTATAAATAGATGAGCCACGGCGACATATATAGATGAGGAACTTGGTGACAATGTCTCCTTGAATACCATGACAACCGGTTCTGAGCCCTGTGGAGGTTTCTGAGACGCTTGCTTGTGGGAGCTAGCGGTATCATGCTTGACCGGGCCTAGAGGAAGGCCAACCAGTTTCTCTAGTTTCTTAGCAGCGTGCACCGAATGAGATGCATGCGATTGCCTTGTTTTGTCGTTTCCTTCTTGTTTGAGATTTGGTTCTGAGACGGATGAAGCAGAGGTGTCGCTGTGGCCTTCTTCGCATCATCGAGAATCAGCTGGTAGGGTAACTCAGCAATGCTCTCACAGAAGGCCGGGACCGCGTCAAGCTTATCGTAGTATCTGAGCGTTTTGAAGATCTCATAAGAGGTGCTGCCTCTATATAAGCTTTAGTCTGGACGCTTGCGACATCTCGCAGGTGCAGGAAACTAGCAGGTCGATCTTGCTTGGTTGTCGTACGAATTGATTCTACGTATGCTGCTCGGAAATTGGTCACGGCGCGACTGGCAGACTGATGTTATTTGGGTTCTCCTGTCTGCGCTTCTCTTAAGTGGGTAATGGCGCCACGAAGGTCGTCCATCTGCCCGCCGCATGGGCCTCTAACCTGCACGAGGCTCAGAAAATCAATCTGCAAGTCCAGCCATTGGATATTGACTGCTTTTTGCACAAACGAGACAAATATACTCGGAGGGTGGCCCATCACCTCGGGCGCTGCTCAATGTTCTTATCGCTGCTTGTGTCGTTGCCTGAATTGGGTTCAGCACCAGATTTTACCCATTTGACCCTGTCGCGAAGAGGCTGATTGTCCTGTGGAGAACCTGGGGGTCTCTTCATGGCTGAGGAAGTGGTTGGCGGAGTTTCTGATGAGACTTGGGGTAATTTGATGTACGGCCACTTTGTGACCAGTTTACAGAACGCTGTGTCTGCCTCGATCTCATCACTGTATCAACCGACTGCTTAGAAAGTCTCCATGCTGGACTATACATTTATCCGTATCAGTATAAGCATGGAAATAGCGTCTGACCTCTCTGCGTTGGCCAATCTCAAGGGTGTAGAGGCCGATGCTCTGGAAGATGTCCAGGTCGGATTATATACTTATCCCTGTCAGTACAGGCATTAGATCTATAGCATTCAACTCTGCTAGGCTCGCCAATCTGGAGCGTTGAACGCGGCTAGAGCGATGTTGATCTCGTTCGCATTGAAGATGTGTTGTTAGCATGAAATGCCGGGGAACCGCAGGCATCTAGCTCTCTCCTGCTACTGAGAGTAGGGTGCATGAAGAGATAGCTCCAGAGAATCTACATAGCTTCTGGTGGATCTCTGCAGGTCCGTCTGTACCAGATCCACTGGTCATCATGGACCACTATATATCTTGAGAGTCTTCAAGGTTTGGTATCGGAGGGAATTTCCTTATCAACGTATTCCTCCTAGTTGGAAGGTGCTAGAGTTACAGAAGTGACTCTGGCGGCATCAACGGAGGGACCTTAAGTCGGCCAACTGCTTGACTCGCCACAGTCCTGATGAAAGTTCCCAGGTCAGGAAGACATCCATTTCCTTGCCAAACGCAGAGATTATGGTGTTGACCTTGAAGCAAGGAAGAAGCCAGACTGTGTCCCAGAACACGACAAGCACGAAGAAGATAAAACGCGCACAGGGTGCACCCGAGGATGATTTGTGGTAAGCTACACATCTTTGCAATGCTGGGTGCTGTGGACCACGACTGTACGCTCGTGTCATGGCTTTGTGATCAGTCAACTGTGTCTCAGGCACTGGACGTTCAGAGAGAGCCAAAAGATCAAGTGACTCTGTCAGACGTTTAACGATATTGACCAGCACGATCGCTGCCATTTGAGACTCAACATAGAGTTTCACCGTATAGAGAAGGAGTGACCGGTCGTCTTGGTTGATGTAGTTTCCTCTTTAGCAGACCAAGAAGAACTGAGACTTTGTGTTCGGCACCAAAGATCTCGATGAGGATCTGTTCGAACTGCGGGTCGTAATGCTGTCGGTACAGTCGAAGGCATACTGCTAGTCAAGCCATGGTATATATAAAGGGCAAGTGAAAGCCAGATCCTGCTGGTGTAATCCATTTGTGGTCCAAGTATACGAGTCTGTCTACACTCTTCTCTGTGATGCTTGAACGAAAGAGGGTTGATCAATATATACAGCCTCTCGAAGTCCTAAGTCCTTCTGGATCTCAAGCATGATTGCCTGGATCGAGGATACCACTGTGATGCTCTTCTTCATCATAACTGCGTTGCATACAGTATTCGAGATAGAATTGCAAAGTTTTGAGGGCTCCTGAGTGGTCAAGGCCAGATGGGCAAGGGATGCCTAGCCGAGGAGGTCTGTTGAGAGCCCAACGTGCCAGTCGATAAGCCCCTGAACCAAGCCTCCCCACATACCTGCATCTCTGGGCTGGTATTGAGACGCGAGGTTGGCAAGCTGCATGTACGCAAGACATCTTGCAAGGCCAGTCGACTCTTGTGCTTTTTGAAGCAGGACACGGAAGCTTGGTAGGATCCACACGCTCAACGTGGCCATGCACCGAATCTTCCACCATCGTTGACTCGAGAAATCTTTGGAGCAGTGCGATCAGCTGGCCCTTTCATGACAGACCTGGACAGACGTCCCCAAGCGATTTCAGGGAACGGCGCAAACATTCTGCTATATATAGCCACGTCAAGATGCAGAATGCGGTTCGAGAATGGTGGGGTAGGAAATACTGGCGCTTTGGTGGTGGAATGGTCTCCACAGTATATACTCGTGCTTTCTCTTCCACACGGCGGAGTGAGGCTTGTGGGGTCCCAAAGCATCGACCTCGAGAATCACTGCCATCATACATTGTGGAGAAGTCCCGAACACCGATGTTCAAGTGAAAAGAATGTGCGACTTTTGCGATGCCTTGAGTCGGGTCCCTAATGCCTAGGAAGAGAGCTAGCATCCTCCCGAAGAAGGCGTTGACTTGGTGCTTCCATCTACTCCTGGAACTCCACTCGAAAGAGGCTTGTATATAATACTGATTTCTCCTCGAAAGTATATATAATGTTCTGCAGTGTTGACGTGCATGAACTCGAACAGGGCGCAGAGCTCGATGGCTTCGGTCTGAGTCGAGGAGACTGTCTTGGGGGGGCATGTTGGTTGATTGAGAGCATCTTGCACGAAAAGTGGTAAGGTTCTTGTGCAAGCCAAGAGCTGCAAAGTCATTCCCAGACGACAGAACCAGGACAATTCGTCAATATATAGTTCATTGAAGACATCAGAGATGTCGAAGCAGGCGCCTTTCCGGGCCTGACAAGGACCGAGGCGTTTCGGCGGTTCTGGAAGAGTTCAAAGAACACAAAACAATCATGTGGCGCTTCTGGACATTGTCTGGAGATACACAATCTTTCTTGATCAAGAAAGATCAGAAGCATTTCTGCTTCCATGATGCTATCAGATGAAAACTGCGGAATCCATGTTGAGATTGGAGTCGCGCTGAGGGCTGCAAGAGGCTCTGGTGTATGTTGTGTCGTTGATCATCTTCGTTAGACGGTCCAAAAGCCCTTGCAGAGCAGGCATGTCAGCATTGTCTGGTGAGCGGAAGCCTTCCAGAAACGCCCCAGAGCCTCCCGATGACGCTGGTAAAATTCTTGAATGGTTTGGTCTGTCATACTGACCTCGTGAGCGTTGACTTGGCGCTGCAACTCATCGATCTTCGAACACTCCGAGCCACGTATGCTGCATTCTGGGGCGTATCGTCAAGATATGAACCGATATGTTCATTGTAAGTCTGTGGATGGCCATGGCGTCGAGCTGAGTAAGTAATTTCTGGCAACCGCTCTTCTCAGATTGCAAAGCACGTTCAAGGTTATCGCAATCTTTGCTCTTATCCGTTGATTCCTTGGATTGGTATCGCTCTGACTCCTCCGGCCTTTTATGCTTTCTGCTCTGCCGATTTCGAGCTTGCTCGGCAGTTTGCCATGCTTCTCTGACTGTTGGTGTCGAGAATGTGGCCAATGCATGTCTCTCAGGCATGTCAGCATTTCTTCATGGAGAAGGCCCTTGGAGACGCGCTCGAGACCTTCACGGCAACATTGGCAAAGGTCTGGATAGTGGTAACATCGTAGGTCCAGGGGTTGCCACCTTCGTGAGGAAGCCGAGTGTGGATCACTTCAGGGCGTTGGCGTCTTGAAAGTCGCCAGACCATGTCTGTATATACAAAGCACTTCGATGACAACAGAAAGCCCACTAGTATGACTGACTACGACTCCTGAACAGCAGAAGAGGCGAATGGACGTAGTTGCTTGCTTTGCAGTGACCATGCTGTCATGCACTTTGCTGGTGCTGTTGCATTTTTCGCGAGGCCTTGTTTTGCCAAAGACTGTGCATCATATGTATTGTGATGACTTCGGCATGATTGGTGCGGTGCCGTCCAGAGACCTTGATGAGGGAGACGACACTCTCGAATCCTTTGATTGATACAATCGTTCAGGGCTGGGTCACGAAAAGAGCCCACTCCGACCTCGGTAGGAGTACGTTGGTGAGCTATGATTGATTTTCTGCATGTGTTGTCAGATATTATGATCGAGATGTACATCAATTATACTGAGCTGACCTTCTTCTAGCAATGTAGTCACAGCCAGTGCATCGCCGAGACCGTAGCCGCGAGTTGCAAGATGTGACTTCATGTGCGTGTCAGTCACATCATGCATAGTTTTGCCGTTGGTCAGGCACTCGCGGCAGCGCCAGAGGAGGAATCCTGGGTTCTTGCATGGGTCACTTCATCCCTCTGTTGCACCTGTCCGCTCGGATGGATGAACCGATGTTCGGCCTGACCAAGCCCTCAATATATATAGAATGCAGAAAATTGCTGCATTATCGTGATGGTTGATCTTGTGTATTGGTCCAAGCCATAGCAGCATCAACCTCTGCGTTGATGGCAGCAAAGACGCGTCCTGAGCCTTGCCTCTACAAAAGGCAGTTGAACCACTGATTTGGCATGCGCAGGTGTGAGCTGCGTGGAAGAGTTCATCACCGATATCAAAACTCTTCTCGACATGATCGATTGCCTTGTCTAGTCGCTGAAGAGTCGTGCCAGTGTGATCCGTAAGGACTGCCAGCTGGTTCTTCTTCTTTGCGACATCTTGTGTTTTTCTGGCGATCCCTGCATCGCTCATCTTGATGCCAGCTATCAGCGTCCCTGAGCTGCCGGACTCAAGCACCAATCGAGACAGTGTGAGGTATATATATGTACGACCAACAACCGTCGATCATGAATATCGCCACAAGACTTCACTTTGCTGCGTACGCACGAAGGCCCTCGGACTGAGTGGTGCCGTCATGCATTGTCCTTTGACACACGTATACGACGGAGGGCTTGTTGTCGGTGCTGGCAATGAAGGCTTGAGATTCCAATTGCTTCAAGCCAGTATATAGCGGAGTGCGATGGGACTTTCTTTGAGAGACCAAGGTAGGGTACATGTGTAGGTACGTGATTGGCCGTCATGACAAGAGTACCGAGGTTATGTACCATCAATACTGACTGGACATAAGTTTGCTTGGAAGCCGCTTTATTCAGGTGTGGGAGCGGGAGATTGCGAGCCATCACGATAGCACCAATGATTGTCGAAATAGGAAGAGGTTATCCAAGCATGAGTTTGCTACCCGTTACTCGGTGCTGGTATCGATCTTGATGTAGTTGTGATTGGCAATGTGTACAGGAGTAATCCGCGTTGTAGAAGAGCTAGGTTCGGTGATCCCCTAGGCGTTGTTGTCCTGTGTGTTGCCCATAAGCAGTGTGGTCAATGCCTGTCCGTAAAGTGGATGGTATTCAGGCACAAGGTTCCAAATACAATGCTCGAGGCGGATTGGGTCTTCTGAGACGCTTGCCAGGAGATCAAAGATGGTGGTACCGAACCTCTTGCTCATTTCTAGACTGTTAACGTGTGTGAGTGCGAAGCCAGGTCGATGTGCAATGGTCCTATATTAATTGATCGGGTCGTTGTAATGCGATGGGTTTGTGCGGTGCACTCCAATGAAGACTCGACCTCCAATGGCGAGGTAAGTGTTCTAGATGGAGAGTGTTCTCTGGAGAGCGGAAAGTCCGGTGAGATTCCAACCACACATTAATCTTTAGCACTGGCACGCTGACGTGTTGGCTGCTCTCCTGCCTCATGACATGTTGGCTCTCCAATTCTCGAGGCCAGCAATCAACGCAAAATCAATTGCTGCGTGTCGACGAATACTGCAGAACGTGCTGCGGCTCTCATACTCGAGCGCTCCGCCATGGTCCGTGATGTATTCAGTGAGACCTAAGCTCATCAAAGGCAAGATGCGGTCGACACCTGTACCCTTGGTTAGGGATATATACAGAAAAAGAATTGTTGAGATCAACGGTCTCGGCAGCGATGTCCAACTGGTCACCGTCTAAAAGCTTCTTGATCGAGTCGAGGTTTTCTAGCAGTAAGAAGGCGGTATGAAACAGACAAGATGGACCGGTTGTGATCACTCGGTAGACTCGCGTGATCCGTCTCAGAACTCCGAGCTGAAGACAACGAGATTGCAGAAGCAGCGGACACTCACATTGAGTAGTCTCGGATCTCCGCTCATCACTCTTTCCACGAAGAGAGGACCCATAGCTTGGTGGGCTTTGCATCGTAGTTGGAAATGAGACGCGAAGGGCGCGAGGACATAGTCGCCTGTGACTGCAGACGATGTAGCTGATGCGAGATTCAACACGGCCGGAAGCTTGTCAAGCAGCATTTCGTCCTTTTCCTCAGCAATGTTTCCAGTCAGATACAGAGCCACGGCAAGTGCACTTTCATAAAACGCATTGCTATGAACCGTACGTAAGGTTCGCAAACACTGCTCGTCATTCTCGGGTATCGCTGGCGTCGCGGATCTCTACAAGCTCTGCTGCATATTGTTTCCAAGAGCAGTATCTCGAACTCTTCGATTGCGTTGAGGTCTGAAAAACTGCCACTTCCTCGACCACATACGAGGATATATATAGATTGTAAGTGATCTGGTCATTGAGCTTGTACGAAGACAACTCGTTGTTCTTCTTACCCTTGCCATTTTCCTGCGCAAGCATCAGAGACTTCTCCTTCAAAGGCGGCTGACTCCGTGAGAGGGTCCAGCGTTTGACCAGTCGTTTCAAGTTTTCATAGCTGTCACCGGTACTGCGAACAAGCTGGATGGATATCGATGCTTCTAGCAAGTCCTGGAATTCAGAGTTTGGGATGCATTTTGAGGCTGCGCCGAGATAAGCTTGAAGACATTGGTCCGTGGTCTCCAAGTAGACCGCTCTAGGATGCTATGCCACAATTGCGCAAGACCAAGCAGGAAGGACTCAGTCTACCTTAGGGCAACTTCGGGGTTGCAAATCTTATATAGTACCACAAGCCGAGATCATGACTGGTACTCTGAATCCAGGCTGTGGCTGTCGCTATTGTTTTTCTTGTCGTCGGCCTTATCTCTTCTTGATTGTGAGATGGCGATCTGGCGTAGGCAGGCAGTTCCCTTCAGACGGGCCTTGCCGCAGCAATCGCAGACGAGTTGATGAGTTGTACAATGCGGAGGTTCATTCTGCTTGGAACGTCTACAGGGTTCTTGGCCATTTCTTACGTCTCGGGGACAACGGTGCCCTTTAACCATGTTGTTCTGCAATGATCCAGGTCGGTTGGTGACCCATGGAGCCTTGCGAAGTCGAGTTACGTATCGAATCGCTGACTTGCAACACTTTGCATGCGGCTTGTGAGCTCGAAAGACGGTGGAGTCTCTGGCACAGGACTTCAACCTTGTCTGCGTCGACTCCGCTATATACAAATGATATGATGCATAGGCGCGATAAAGAGTGGTCGATTGCATTTGGCTTCGCACAGAGTCCAGCTCGAACCAGCTATCGCGGCACTTGGTTCTCGGAGATTGAACACGAAGTACTGCATCCGTGATATTTGCAGAGAGGGAGTAATTCTCGTTTGTGGTTTGGGTGACCGGGTGTGGATATACAGGGCCGTGAAACAGGAGACAGTCACAAGAACCTGGAGCATGACCTTGTAGTAAAACCAGTTAGGTGCTCCATTGCCAAAGCCGAGGGCTTACAGCTTGGTGTATAGCCTCCGCTATATATACATAACGTCGGGCTCATAACCACTTGAAAGTGATAAAGAGGTAACATAGTGCTTATCGAGGGCTCCATCGGCGCCAGAGATGAGAGCCCAGAGGTTCCTGGTGGAGGCGACTGCCGTCAAGTCAAGATACCAGAGGATGTAATTGTCTTGGCCGGTAAGTCTCACGTGGCTTGAGTGGATGAAGAGCTCGGAAGCGTTCGTCAACGAGGATGACGCCATGGCGGTCGATCCATGGGCAGTTCAATACCACTTTCGATTACAGGGCCGAGCACCACGAGATAATCACAAGAAGTCGGAGCATAGCCTTGTAGTAGAACCGCTCGGGGATTTCATCGCCATGGCTGAGGGCTTCCACCTTGGTGGTACCGACTCCGCTGTATATATCTCGATGTTGGAATGTGCTGCGCGAGGACAACGCGAACCGCTCAACCACATTGGGTTTCTCACATAGTCCAGCTTGAACCAGCACTCCAAAGCGGTCGACTTCTAGCGGGTGTTGATGAAGCACAGCATCCACAGTAGTTGGTCGAATGGAATGGCTGGAATTCACGAAGCATTAGTGCAGTAGGTTGGACGTCGCCACGCTGCATGAGACACCGACAAGAAAGTGGCATCATGGCTTTGTAGTAAAACCACTCAGGAGCTCCATTACTCTGGCCAAGAGTGTCCTCCATGACGAGGTCGGCAGCTTCTATACAGGGTTGAGGCGAATGTGTAGCATCTAGTCATTCCGACGCTAGATGCCGCGAATAGATGGAGCAGTATTTCCCACACAGCTAAAGCTGCTCTTCCATGATCTATACCGCATCTTGGGCCTGATTCATGCAGAGACATGATTCGTCCATCAAGTGTGGACGATTGCATAACTGACAGAGCTTCTGGTGGACTTTGCAAAAGTTTCTCACTCGTCGACAGTTTTCTTGACCCTTTCCCGCCAGTCTTGGCAACTTGAGCAGCAGAAACTTCTTGGTCCAGAACTCCAGCTCACAGGGGGTAATCTGTGATTGTATATGGTTGATGCGAAGGGGTAGCATTTTGTCAGTCCGAAGATTAGTGTCTATGGCGGACTGAGCAGTAATCCTGGCAGCTTGAGCAGCGTCCAGTTGAGTCTGCGTGTCATGAGTATGTTGCCTGGTTCTGGCATGCTCTGCCGTGGCTGTGCGGGCTTCTTCTTGATTACTCTTGAAAACAGGTCGCAGTTGAAAGCATACTTGACGACTTGTCGATACATTCACTAGCAGATCAGGAAAGCTGTATCTGCAATTTGTATGCAAGACAAGCGTACGAGCCTTCGCGCTGCTCAGCTTGAGCTATGTCGGAAACCGAAAGGCCTGCTGACACCTCTCTTGGCTCCCTTATATACATATACCAGTGGGAGAAGTTGGACAACTTCTCGATTCTCTGCTTTGATCCATCTTACTAGAATTGAACGCTGATCCAGAGAGACACATTCCCTAGCAAATCAAGGACGAAGACGCCGGCACAGTACTTGATTCCTTGGATCGACAGGTGAACATCTCATCAGACCGCGCCATAGCCTTTCATGTCTTCGGTAGGACGAGGAGCCCAAGCACCCAGCTCAGTGAGGTCAGCGCCCTGTGCACCAATCTCTGGACCGAGTGGTGCAATGTAGATCTGGTCTTTGTCGGTTTCGCGAAGGCAAATGCGGTTGTAATACTTACGTGAAGCGCAGGCGTAGAGTTGATCAGCAGTGACATCTGCTTTCTTAACCTTGACCTTTGCGTACAAGCAAGCCGTCTTGTTGATGTTCCCTGTAAAATGCTGAATGAACTGTTGCTGACCAGCTTCAGCCATGCCGAAGACGGAGGAATGCTTTTTCACGCCTCTCTTGGCTTCCTTATATACAAATTCTCGTAGGAAATGTTGGACCACCATACTGGTCTTGATATAAATGTAGGATCTTGCAAACGAGAGATGAGTGGCCTCGTCAAAAGTGATCGTCTTTACACCCTCGCTTCCCAGGTTGACAGGTTTGTCTGGTGCTGACATCCACTGCCAAAGGATCTTGACACCCTTCTCCTGCGAGAGTGCATTTGGCACACTGTCCACAGGGTCGGTAAGGGTTCCAGCTGGAGTGGTAGCAGGTAGCGGCGACTGTGGCTCCACCTCAGGCTTATTGCTCTTCCTCGAGGGCGCCGTTGTTGTGATTCAACTTGACGTAAAAGTCGGACAGAGCAGAAAGAAACACATCCGATGTGCTCGCCTCTTTGGCTGCGCGAAGTGGGCCTTCAGACGTTGTCAGTCTGTTAGACACTGAAGGACCAGCTTGACGTGGCTTCGACAGAAGACGTCGCAAACACAGTCTCGCCAATGGCCTTCATCTTGTTCATGAGGCGTGAGCGTTCCTTGCAATCCATGCCGAGGTTTGATGTTGAATATTAGACTAACTGAATCCACGCAAATGAAATACAGAAAAGCCGCGACCGCAGTATATACGTGAGAAGGACTTGAAGTTCACGCATTGAAGAACTCGAGGTTCTCTTCGGATGGGATGAGGCAAGGCTCCATTTTTTGATATATGCTTTGGACGTTGTTGCCGGACAGAGACTCCGGGATCGATATGCCACATTGATGGCAACAAAACTCGTGGGCCTCCGTCTTGAGACTGATCTGTCTCTGCTTTATATAAGCAGTACCTGCCTGCTCTCTTTAGCACTCGCTGCCGAACTTTTTGTGCTTTCTGATCTGTGAGGTAAATGAGGCTTTACTGTTGCCCTTGATCGAGGCTTTCTTGACCTTAGGAACATTCACAGAAGCTATATTGAGCTCGATTGCCCTGCACTGCCATTTAGAGTGGGTAGTGAGCACAACTTCTTTGGGGTTGTCGGGATCGTTAGGGTCGAGTCGAGAGAGCGTGTTGAGTAGCCCGTCATCCTTGTATCTTATCTCGCCGTCGGATGGAATGACAAGGCCTTGCCCCCTAGCGGAGACTTTGCCGAGTGTGCTGGTGGGTGCAAAATACCAATACTCCAGTTGGTGCCAGAAAAACGTCTCGTACTCGTCCTTCCATGTGTGGAAAGAGCCCGCCGGGACATTTTGCCTTTGCACTGATGTGCCTCGTGGACAAACATGAGACCAAAGCTTGCTTCACGATAGGTGATGAATATATATATATAAGCAGTAGCTGCCTGCTCCCTTGAGACGTCGCTGTAGGATTCTTTGCGCCTTCTGATCTTTGGAGTAGATTGGCTCAGTTGCGGTCCTCATTGGATGCCTGCTCAAGATTGAACAGGTTAGCAGAGCACTCCCTGCTGGTCTGGTTGAGCTAGGAGGCTCAGTGGGTGTAATCTTGGTGCGCTTGTTACACGCGGGAAATCAATCGCTCCTCTGCGCTCAGTCGTCATGAGACATCTGAAACAGGCTTGATACGGTCCATCTGATGCTTTTACGAGTCTGCAGCGGACACCCTTCCCCCCTCGACCCATTTCAGCTTTGCAGTCTTGCTCGTAGCAGTAGGGTCAGCTATAAGATCTTGCCATGAGTGCTGCTCCCGACAAGTGTTTTTCTTGGTGCCAGAGCCAGGACAAGTGAGTTCAATTCCAATTTTCCAGCCGGCAGGCAATTTGTTAGGGTGCGCTTTTGAATGTGCATAGCGAGACGAGCAGTAGTAGAAAAAGTGGATCTACAATGAGCACACTTGTGACTGCGTTTGCGAATACCAGAGCCAGTGTACCTGTCGCCAGAGTCAGGAACCAGAGCAGGAGTTGCGGGAGGCTTCATGGGAGAAAGATCGGCAGTTGGACTAGGCTATGGTGGTGTCATATACACCACGTTGGAGCCATCCTCAGGAGGAGCGAAAGTTGTATAATAGGATCTCTGTATCTTGACGAGTGACTACACATTTAAGGCGAAGCACGTGCAAGGTGGGGACTCTTGCACGGCAACGTAACACGCCCAAATGCGGCCGTTAGGAGACACCAATTTGAAGTATGAGTTCCAGGCAAACGAAATTCTCGAAGAAATAGGCAACTCTCTCCTGATGAACGTCAAAGACATGAGCATTGATGATCATAGTCTCAAGGCCAGGGCTATAATCGACCAGTGACAGAAGCCAATCAGCGTACGAATCACCCTCGTTCATTTCATCAACAAGCTGCACGGCGACACGAAGAGGTCGTTGAAGAAAACCAGCTCAATGTGCTCAGGTACAAAGTCCATGGTATTGACCTCATGGAAAGCCTCGTCATCCAGTGAGAACACCAGCTTCTTCAAGGGGTAGAGATGAGCCTGGGGCGACTTGATGGCTGCTTTGCAGACTGTGAGATGAAACATAATAGCTGAACCTTGAAGTTTGTGATGAGTCTAGACTCGCGAGTCGGTGTTGATAGCCCAACCAACATCGCATGGAAAGCGTATCCTGTTCGCATCCTTGGCACTGGCAGTTTCAACCACTTTCTGCTGATACTCCAAGAGATCCGGCAGATTGGTCAAAACTGCACCGACGCTGCTTGTAAGACTTGTTGACCTCTGCAACAATGTTGATATCGTTGACTGATGTCTTCCTGCCCAAGATTGGATCGTCCATCGCCTCGAGACATTGCTCGTATTCCGAGCGTGGGAGGCCTGAGGCAGTTTCCTTGTTCGTCGTTGCTGTACCGCTACGGCGTGAGGCTTTGGGAGCGGCAGTCGCGTCACGTTTGATAACGCCAGCAAGAAAAGAGGTTTGGGCGCAGACATACTTCTTGGGACCCTGCGGTCCTTCAACGCGCCATTTGTGTTTGTGGCCATGTACAACAACAAGCAAAGATATGACACTTTCCTCGCTTGACCACTGTATATATATAACATTGGAAAGCTGGATGGTTGACTGGAGTCTCGGAGACGAGTGACCAGCGTCCGAGAGTCCGACCCAGCTTGGGGATCTGTTGGCTGAGGACTTCCAGAAACAAAATGGAATGCCCAAGATTCAAAGAAGCACTTCCATGATGTAGGCTTCGCGGGACTCGTCGATGAACATCCCAGCTCTATGATATCGCCTGTGGATGCATGCATAGATGCGGCCCGAGAACCTGACACTCTATCGACATAAGCCGACAGCCGCAGTATCAAGACCACCGAGAGCGCCGCGCAGAAATCTTGAAGCAGCGTCTCGCAGCCTCTCGTCGAAATCAAGACCTCCGGTGCTGAGAAAGTGGCGGACATCATGATCACTTCCGAGCTCGTCAATCCGGTAGAGGTAGTATCGACGACCGATACTTGTGGCTCTCTCGAGAATGTCGACGAGTGTGCTGTGATCGAGGAGTATGGGGTCGATGATACCGGGGATTGTGGGCGTTGAAGCGACCAAGTCAACATTCCGCCTTCCTGCGACCCCTCGTCCTTGGATCACTGCTCGAACTTGCGATATTGTCGGCGACTGCGTTGGAGGGTACAGCAGCATGATGAGGATGAGGGACTGGTGAAGCACTATCTGCAGGAGCTGGTGCAGACTGGGCGAACCAGGGCACAATGTGCAGTGGGAGACAGGAGTCATTCTCGGTCTGGGCAGCGAGATTCATGGTAATATCGTATAGAACATCGGCGAGGAGCCGTACCTCAAGCCTGATAATCCAGCGATAGCAGGCGGTAGCCCATCAACACCAGCACCAGTATCAAGCATGTCCTCTTGCTGCTTCTCTTCCAGAAGACAAATTACCGGCCAGCAGCCGACAATGGGGAGTTGTCCAGTGTCGACGTTTGCCCTTGGCTACAGATGATGAAAGTGATCACCAGTATATAAAATTAATAAGCCTGCGCGATGAACGGCGTCGAGTGTATGGGAGACAGAGAAGGTCCGCTAAGGCAGCAGTGTAACCCTCTAAACTTCAAACATGGCGTTGGCGCTCACGACTGGTTCTTGTTGAAGATTGTACACCAACGATACCGTCAAGAGGAGGTCACCAGTATCGTACTGCTCTGGCTAGCAGTTGTGCAAGATCGAAGGTCTCAATGAGGTTGCTCGCACGACCGTTTTCATTGGGGTAAAAGCGTAACCGTCACCCAATTCTGTCTCCAGATCGACATCTTGTCTTTGGCACAACACGGTTTGAGCTTCATCGGTGAGCTGTCTTTGTGGTTGTAGAGCCGACATACAACCATCGACCGCTTTTCGGCCTATCGTTGCCATCCTGTCCGAAAAGTCTTGTGGTTCAAAGTCGTCTGGATCTTCGCACAAATCCATCGCGTTGGCGCAAGTGACAGAGCATTTGTGAGTACCGGTTGAAAAGGATAGTGCGACAAGACTTAAATCTTGAGCTTCTGTGCCCATACAACGAGCGAGGTCCAGAACTCAGTCACGGCCCAGGCACGATCTGAATTTAAGTCCAAGGGTCTTGTAACGAGAAGAGGCCCTGATCAACTTGCTATACTGTGAGCGAGTCGTTTTTGAACGGGACTTGGCCATCATGGACAACTGGTGATCTTGCCAGCATATCAGTATAAATGAAGTTTGCGCTGAGATAGCGGTTGGCGGTAGATACCGAGCCGGCGCACTTTTCAGTCTTGGAGTTCGTGGTTTCAAACAAGCGAAGGTAGTACTCATTTCATTCCAAATGACTAATAAGAAGGCCGCGAATGTTGGTTTTGTGCGGAAGCTCTGCTTCTGTCGCATTGTGGTCCGCGATAGGGGTAGCAAGGACCTCAGTCTGACAACTTTGGTGCTTGAAAATGTGCAGACGATGACCGAGACGCACAATTCGAGCGAGGAAGTTGAGGTTCATCTGATCGAGGAACATTCGTTGATGGGATTGTCAGTCTCAATGCAGCTGTTCAACGTCGCCAACCATAGACGACATGACAACTCCTTCGCATAGTCAGCCGTATATATAATTTTGCTGGCTAGCTTGATGGACTTGGCTTTGCCAACAAATGTACTACCCAGCACTTTGACCTTCGCCGCGGGTATGCAGGCGACTTCCACTATATAGCATCGCGCTGCTGGGTGGTGTAAGGTGCCCACGACAATTGCATCTCCTCAACTTTGTGGGCATTATCTCCATCATCGCCACAGATGCAAACTTCTTCCGGTCTGTAGCACAAGTTGAGGACACCCAGGGTTGAACAGTACACATGCTCGTGTGTCTCCGAGGCAGCGCGACACGGATTCTCAGCTGATATCATCGGCAGTGAATGGCCGTGATTGATGCCACTAAGCCGCTCGATCTCTTTCAAGGCGTCTAGCTTATCGGTCTATAGTTCAACCAGATGAATTCGATCGGCAAGTCAAAGGAGACAGAAGAGGACACAGCAACTTTTGTCTACATCGAGGTCGCGAGCAGCACATACTCCAGGATATGGCGGCAGCTTGACACACTAGTGGTTCATGAAGGTTTCACGAGTGTGTTGCTGTTCGATATGTAGTTGGTGGTCGGGATGTGAGTCATCCAGTTCGTTGATGTCATTCTGGACAATGGCACCTCTCCAACCAGCCAGCACTGCGGATAGTGCGACGCATGAGGGTTGTGGGTATTGTAAGAATGATGACCGCCTGCGTTCCCAACATCTTTGGGTTGCGGTATTGTTCGAGAGAGCTGATGAGATTTGCGGGGGAACCATGAATCCTGCATGCGCATTGGGTTCTCTTCCGGCCAGTTGTGTTTGAACCACGTTCGCAGACAGCAAGCAGTTGCTCATGACCATCATCATTGTCATCATCACCATCACTTCTAGCACATGCAGCAGGTCCAAAAGTTTCAGTACATATACGAGTAGCAGGAAGGCTCTTGGGGTGTAAAGCTTCCAACAAGGCACCCTGCAGTATCCTTGCTTGATTTTTCGTGCACCATGTTGGCAATGCTATCAGATATAGCAGGATCATCGTGGTGAGAGGCATGACTTCCTCAAGAGAGGTGCAAGAGTCAAAGCCGGCGCTTGAGGAAAGTTGCAGTCGTTTCGAGATGTGGTCATTAGATAGTCAACTTGCAGAAGGCAGTGCCGGCTCTGATGCGATCTTTCGCGAAGACCGACCTACGTCTCCATGCTAAAGTCGACAGTCGCGAACATGAGCATCGTGAACAGCCTGTGATGACTTGTTGTTGGATGGTACGAGTCATAAGATCAGCAGCTATCCGATAATTCAAATCCATGGCAAAACCTGATCACAAGATATATACACAGAAGTTCCCAGCTCTGCGGTCGATTACTGCTAGTACAGCAAGGTTCGACCTGCTCAATAGTGGCTTCAGTGCCGGTTGCTCATCATCAACATCATGGTTGTTGCCTGCAGCGGAGTAATCAGAAGGGAGAAGGTTACGCACATCATCAGAACCAGGGCTGAGACGTCTCTGCTGTCCAACAAGCACACGAGGCTGGCAAGAAGTAGCAGCATAAACTTCGCCACTAAAGTCCAAGCACTTCTTTCTGCTGCGACACCTGCATAGGCTGCAAGGTTGTGACCCTGCTGCGCCAATGCGAGACATTTCAGACCTCAATCCCTTCCAGACGATTGTAGTCTGCTGCCTGGCCGCAAAGTCATTGCTCTGCTTTTCCATCTTGATTACTGCCAGAGGATGCTCCAGACGACTTTGAAAAGATGACCAAGCGTATCCCCGAGCTTGTCTCTTGTGCGCTCTATGTTGGCTTGGTGGGCCTAACCCCTGAGTCTCCTGCCTCCACGACCTGACTGTGTTCTCTGATGTTCCGGGTGCTGAGACATGCCTGAGCTGGCAGGGGTTGGTGGAGGCGACTGAAGCAGAGTAATGGTCGCACAGCTTGGGCTTGCCAACCTAGCCGCAGTACGAACACGAATTGTGAGACAGACCAGGAACGATGCGGGTCTGGATGATGGTTGGCATCCTGGCTTTCTTGACCCTGGAACAACGGCGCTTGTTCGTAGGAGTGCGGCCGCGGGAGAGCATCATTATGGCGAGCACTCTGTCGTAACGTCTGAAGTGCTTGTTGCTGAGGCATCCTTTACGGGCCAGGAAGGTCTGAGTTGGCATGTTGAACACGCTGATAAGACGGGGAGTCCTTTAGAGCGCATCGGCAATAGCGTCCTGGCCGGTAGCGGTGATGATAATGACATCAAGCTGGTCGTCGTTTTGGTAGACAGACGCAGTAAAGGGACCCTCGCCGGCGTTCTTGACCTTGGGCACGCAGGGTTTCCATGATGAAGAACATATACGTAGCGAAAGCACTGTTGACAGATCACATATATACAAACGGTGGAGGTGGCGGTCTTGACACATGCAAAGATAAAAATGAACGCCAAACAGCCTGTTCGAGAGACAGTCTCGCCAGCAACCTGAATAGCAACAGAGAAGTATGTGGTGATCGGAAATTGCTGTTTGGAACAGTGAATGATGGCCTTGACAAGCGATCGAGAGAGGTGGATGGTGAAAGCAGTTCAAGATGAGATATGGGGAGCTGCCAGAGGGTTAAGCAGCCACCGCACTGCTAGTCCAGTATCTCCAGTCCTTGCAGAGTGATGAGATACGCAAGCGTGCGATTCTGGATGGATTGTTGTGCGAGGAGCGCGATAGTAAAGTCATCGAGAATGTCGTTGATCAACGGCACAAACGGCACCTTTCACAGGATCAACGAGAATCACACATGTCGACAAGCCGAGCAAAATTCGACTTTACCGATCCGCCCAGGCTCGGAGCGGGAGCGACAACGAAGATCTTGTGCGTCATCTGCATAGATCAGGATGAGATCGAGTGAAACATCAAAGCGGCTTCTAATCTTGTCGAAGTCGGTCTGCATCTCAGCGACCTTGATTGCAGTTTCGACAATGCTCATTTGCTATCCGATTGCGCGCATGTTAACTCTTGTCTTGTTTGGACGGAACAGCATCGCCAGGCTGCCCACCAGAGGGCTGAGTACTACCAGCAAGTCTAAGGGAACAGCATTTGGTAGGCGGATGGGAAAGATCAATGATATAGGTAGAGCCGCAATAGGAGATGTGGGAATTGCAAGTGGAACAATGGTGAGTGCAGAGGCAGTAGATATACCAACAGTCGATGCAAAAAGCTCGCTGCATCATGGCAAGCGTTGCATTCCGGCAGGGTTAAGTCAGATACGACGCCAGTCAGAGCCAACGACATTGTGAGTTCGTTCAAGGATATCCAGCTCATCGATACGGTCGTTGTAGTGGAAGCCGATAGTCACGGCTTCGTAGATCAAGTGAGAATAAAGCGGACCGAAACAAGCCAAAAGCAGGTTGATATATAGCACCAGTAGGATTGAGCTGTCATGATGGAGCGGATTATACGTTTGTCCGAGTCATTCTTGACCTTGTGGCTCTGCTGAGAACTTGAGAAGTGCGACCAATGCTGATTTCGAGAACGATTCTATGGACGACCTCGAACTCGTTGGTGTGCATTGGACGTCAAAAACGAAATTCACGAGCGATTGTGTAAGGCAAGGTGTCGGTTTGACTTTGGACCCATGGACCTTCGACACGAGCATTGAGGGTTTTGACAGGATAAGCAGCATGGCATGAGGATTCTATGGGCATACAGCAGATCTGAACGTTTTGAACTGTGGGGAAGGTCGGTTTGTAAGGAGCCAGGCCTGTTCAGAGTTGTTCTCCGGTATATGCTGAGACAAATGGAATGTGCGAAGCAACAGAATCTGCTTGTCCATATGAGGCTGTAGATGTGCACCGAGAGATATGGATACGACCACCAGATATGAGATGGCACCGATTTGCCAAGATGGCAGCATGATGCAGACTTGATCTCTGCACATGCCACTTGGCGAGGGCTCAGATGAGTGATAATACTTTTCGAGGTCTGGGTGAGTCGGCCAAGGACTGTAAGTAGCATCGGCCCAACCGCGAGCAATTGGCCGCATCTTTGCCGAAGAGCAAGCTCCCGAAGTGTAGACGCAGAGTGTCTCGAGCAACAGGGCTCGTGAGCGCTAGCGAAGAACAGTGGTGAGAAGCCACGGTGAAGTGCCTGGAATATCAGGAGAGAGCTGCTGGGCACCGGGCCGAGAGTTGACCACGCCAGTGATAGGGAGTTTTTGTCAGGCTTTGGGACGGGTCTTCTCGTACTTGGTGAACTGCACAGTGTGCAACGGAGTGCTGCTGACAGTGGGAGAAGGCATGGGTTGCTTAAGACGTTCTCGACAATGCAATATGATTCGAGTTCGCATCTCTGGAGCATTGATTCTCGCTGTGTTGAGATGAGGGCGAGAGCCTCTAGCAGGCAAGCCTTGTAGCTCAAGTCTGCCAACATGAGACATCAGGGAGGTTCCTTAGCATGAGCGCTGAATCAAGTCTGCCTAGGGAAGGGCTCTGTAGCACCTGGAAACGCTCTGTAGCGCAAGTGTTGACGGAAGCGATGCAGTAGCTTGACATGTCGGCAAGAGTGATGTCAAAGACGTGAACGAATCACGTTTGCTAAATTTTGTGAGTAGTCAAAGCAGGGAAACAAAAAAACATTCTTTCGTGATGAAGGTAGAAAGAGGATGGTGCAAAGAGAGGAAGAAGAGAGAGATATGTATTAGAAAGCGAAACCATAACCGACCACCCAACCAAGCCGCCCCTCAGAAAAGGCAGCATGGCATGCAAGCCCAGTGTAATCCCAAAAACAAACCTCTTGATCATGGACGAGGCATGAAAAGACCATCTATGGAAGCCGACTACCTTGAAAACCTTTTACCTTTTCCTTCATAGCCTGAAACCAGGCTTCAAAATACCCTCACCCTCCTTTGCGCCTTCGTTGATCTTGTCGTTGTATGCATTGGGGTCTCGTAGGAAAGACTCGTCGGTGGAAAACGCCCTGTTGTGCCGGAAGAAAAGAGAGAATCGTAAGCTTGTGTGACTTTTTTGTTGTGTTTCTGAATTTTGCCGATGTTCTTGCGGTTTCGTAAGGGTCGTGAGTTGCATGAGGTACGAGTAAAGCAACGCAGAGGTGGACTTATTGCTTAAAGCATGCCAAAAACAAGAACGAGATGCTGATCTTGAAAAGAGCTGGCCAAGACGTGCGGGCTTATAGCTCTAGACAATGTTGGCACCGCCAGCACCGTACGTTGCGACAGTGACCTTTGGTGCCAAGTAGTCAAGACCAGGCTCGAACCACCAGTTCCTAGCTTAGGATAGTATCCTCTTTCAAACCTTGTAGAGTGTTGATGGAGGGGAGAAACATGCAACGAAAGGTGATGGAGAAGGAAGGGAGCGTCGGCGCACGAAAGAAAAAATAAAAGAAAAAGGAAAAATATCATACCAGCCACGTTCTTCGCCCTTCTCGAGGAAGGAACAGTCACCATTGACCTCGCAGTCCCAACCACCCTTGACACCCTTACCTTTCCAGTCGACAAAGGGAATGTTCTCGGGTTCGTCCAGTGTCCAGATGTGTTGCTTCTCGACGGGAGCTTCGGGGATGTTGCGGCGAGTGAACTTTGATAACGAACAGGTAAAGCACTTGAAATCTTCTTCGCTAGGATCTTCAGGCATACGTCCAGTCAGAGCGCGGCCAATGCAGATCATGCTGGCGGCGTGTGTGCAGATGAGTAGTGTCTTGGGTCCGGAAGGGTCCTGGTCGAGCTTCTGAATGACGTGGTAGAGGGCGTATGCAATACGGTCGTGAAGAGAAGTCAGACTCTCGCCATTGACGCTGGGGCGAATGACAGGAACGTAAGCCTCGGCAAGGCCACCAGGGAAGTGCGTGTGAAGGACATCAAGAGTAGCAGGTGAAGGGTGGTCAAAGCGAGCAAGACCGTAGAATTCGCCGACTCCGTTCTCGACGTGCACTTGGAGCTTCTTGTCTTCGGGACGGGTAGAGTTGAGTTTGGTCACAGTAGGTGCCAGAGTTTGTAAGCAGCGGTAGAAAGGAGAGCTGTAGATGACATCGACAGGAGGATCCAGCTTGGAGATGTGTTCGGCCAGTTCCTTGGATTGGTTCACGCCATGAGCTGCCAGTGCAGGATCTGAAGCAATGCCAGTGGGTGTGGGAAGGTTGCTTGTGTATGTGCCAGTAGTAGGGTCAACCACCCAGTTAGAGCGAAACTGTTGGAGCCATGAGTATGTGTACCGAGGTTGTGAAATGGGAAGAGAGAGGAGGGTCAGGTGTCATGGAAGCTCAAGACTAATCGTCACACCAGAGAACAAACGAAGAGATGAATTTGCCAAGCTCGTTCTCATAGTTCACACTTGGGCAAGTCCAACTCTTTCTTTGTGCAGGATTGAAAAGGAAAGTGCGGCCAGAGTTCCCATGACACATCGTATCGGCGGGTTGAGCAGGGAGGAAGGAGAAGCAATAGGACTTACGCCGTGTCTGGTAACGTAGATTGTTTCGAGAACCATGATGCGTCGCTTGTATGCAAAAGTCAAAAGTTGGTAGATGTTGACGTTGTTGTCCACAAAGGTGGTGGAAAGCGCGGCGGCTGCTGAGCGGAAGTTTTGGCGGCTGCGTCAGCGGCGTGGCCTGGAGTCTCAAACGGCCGTGCGAGAGTCAAAAAAAGTAGGGAAGCTGAGAAGGGCAGACCGATCACCGGCTTGTAGGCGGGCCTTATAGGTGTGATGATTAGAAAGAGAAGAGATCACGGAGAGGCAGAAAATTGTGAGAGAAAGTGAAGCAAACAGACGTGGGACAAAGAATTGCGTCTTGATGGTCACGCTCAAAGAGTCCGCATGAAGTTGCCGGGCATCAATGGCAGCCTGCATATGAACACACACTAAACAAGTCAAAGACATGGAAATCTACACCGCTTGATTGTTGTCGTCTTTCCGTACTCGCAAACACGGTCAATGTTGTTTCAGCGGAGGTGTTCGATTTCCGTAAGTCAACACACATGTCACATGAACCATGGAAAAGGTCATTGATGAGAAGAAAGATGGTAGACAAGCGTCATTGGCTCTTCATTGAAAGATGATCAAAGTGGTATCTAGAACAAGACGAATGCCCGAAACTTTTGGTGGCTTTTTGGTTGTCGTGAGGTGCAGCGTGCAGCAGATGCAACAGAATCTAGTAGAAGAAACCGATGATCTTGCCGGCAACGTGCTTGCGGCGGGCCTCCTCGTGGTCCATGATACCGGCAGAGGTGGTCAGGACAATGTAACCGAACTGACGCGAGGGAAGGAGCTTGACAACCCACTTCTCCATGTCGCGGAGCTGGACGTTGTAGCGGGGAGAGATGACACCAGTCTTGTTGAGGCGGCCGTTGAGCTGGACAACGATCTTGCCGTTGCGGTGGTCGTCGACCTCCTCGAACTCGCCAATGTAGCCTGTTTGAGTCTTAGTATGTTGCGAGAAAATAAACAGCAAAACATCATTGAGCAGTCCGAAGCCGTGTAAGTTCCTCGACGGTTTGATCTCCCGGATACTTAAAGGGCAAAGGCCGTGGGTGATTGAGACCGTTCACCTAGTTATCAACCCGGGTGTGTTGCATTTCTTCTTGGGGTAGTTTCCTCCTCTTGCTGCTTCGGACTGGCGCAACGTGTCGACTCGACTGAGACTTACCGTGCTTCTGCATGACGGAGAGGAACTTGACAATGACCTTGGAGGATGGACGGATCAGGACCTGGCGCTTGCCGCTCTTCTCGGCGTTGTTGATGGCGTTGAGGGCATCGTTGAGGACGGAAGTCTTGACCATTTTTGCGGTTGTCGGGCGAGATTCTCAAACGGCGACGAAGTAGGCGGTAGGAGGTATCTGCTGGCGACGAAGAATACGTGTTAGCCCTCGGAAGCCGTGAGCGCAAAGAGTGCCCTTCGGGATGCGCAAGCGAATGTGCGAGTGCGACCAGAAGGGTTCTTCAGCTCGTCCATGTCAGACGGGCGGTGTCGTTCTCTCGGTGAAGACAACGATACGCCGGTCTGGGCTACCTGAAGGGCACTCGATTGCTAGAGTGACAGCGCATGACTGCGACTGCCATGTGCGACGACTTACCTCACGGATTGGCGGCTGGAGTGATGGTAAAGAAACGACAGAACTGACCCAGAGGCAGGAGAGTCGAAGTTTTTGCAGGCGCGCAGTCCCAAGTCTTGGCGGTCAAATTCGCTCGACACGGGCATTGTGGGGGTCCAAGCGCCGCGCTTTCCCGTTTGAGCGCAGGCGTGAAGCGGCCAGACGCCAATTTTCTGCTGGACGTCTCCGCAACGAGGGAAGGAGCGAAAGAACAAAAGCACCCCACCCCCGAAAGACGCAGCAATCTTTTTCCTCGTTCAGTTGCTCCTTCTTCTTTCCATCACCACAAACCTCAACCACAAACACCGCCAATATGCTGATCTACAAGGTCCGACTCCCCGACTGCTGAAAAGAGCTGCTGCCATTCGAGCTTCTCCGTCTTTCACACGCTGGAGCTCGAATCGCCGCTCTTCTTGACAGCTCAACCCCTCCCTGAATCCTCGAGCAAGCAGCTGACTCGACCCTACAGGATGTTATCACCGGAGACGAGATGATCTCGGACTCTTACGACCTCAAGCTCGTTGACGGTGTTGTCTACGAGGCCGACTGCGCCCGTATCACCATCGGTGCCGACAACATCGGTATGCTCGTCCTGAATCCTCAACAACTTTTCCGACATGCCCCAGGGGCTAACATTTCTCGCTCCAGATATCGGTGCCAACCCCTCCGCCGAGGATGGCGGTGACGAGGGTGCCGACGACCAGACTCAGTCTGTCATTGACATTGTCCACTCTTTCCGCCTCAACGAGACCTCCTTCGACAAGAAGTCCTACCTCGGCCACCTCAAGCAGTACATGAAGAAGGTCAAGGAGTCCATGAAGGCCAACGGTGCCTCTGACGACGAGATCAAGGAGTTCGAGACTGGTGCCTCCACCTTCGCCAAGAAGGTTGTCGGCTCCTTCAAGGACTGGGAGTTCTTCACTGGCGAGTCCATGGACCCCGACGGCATGGTCGCTCTCCTCAACTACCGCGAAGATGGCACCACCCCGTACATCGTAGTTTTTATGTCTCCCCCTTTCTTTTCTGCATTTTTCGTAAAGCTAATATCTCGCAGGGAAGCACGGTCTTTCGGAGATGAAGGTTTAAGCGATGCAAAAATGATTACGACAGGGCCTATACCCAGTGCTTTGCTACAACACAACGCCCTTACTCTTATGAAAATCAAAGATCCCATTTTCCGCGCTCATACTTCTGTCTCACGTCTATTCTGTTCTCATGCCTGTGATCAAATCTACGTCCAAGCTTCTGCCTTTATCTTTACTATTCGTAACAACGATTCCCGATCGAAAAGGTGTTGTGGTTCAACAACGAGCGATACCTCAGACAAACAAGCCTTTTAGAAACGAAAACTCGTTTTCAGAATGGCCTGGTGCAGCGCACCAAGCGAAATACTCAAGCAAAACTGACAAGAAGAGTCTGTCAAAAACGAGTATTCGTTTTCAGAATAGTCTCGTGTGAAATAACAAGCATATTCTACGACCGAAAATGGTAAGAAGAGGCAGTTGAAAACGAACATTCGTTTTCAGCATGTGCGTGTGAGGAGGAAGATCGAAGGTGTGAGTGTATCGAAGGCCGTGATAGAGCTATATCACATGTATCCAATTTGATCGTCAACTAGATTTGGTTGATAGAGGGTCCAGGTACAAGACAACGAGGTCCTTATCAACTAAATTTAGTTGATGGGAGGTTCGTCTCCATGGATTGGCACGAGTCTCGACTTTCTGTCAACTAGATTTAGTTGACAGTTGAGTCTCGTAATCAACTAGATCTGGTCGACGAGAGCTCAGCGTTGCTTCTCATCAACTAGATCTAGATGATAAGACGTCCACGTATATGGTCATCATGACTTCGTGATCACCGGAGCTCTGGATTTGTTGAGTCAAGCCGGAAGGTCCTAGGACTGGTAGATGTTGCTCAAATATAATTTACCAGTCCTAGGACCGTCCGGATCTGCCCCGAGGCGAGTGGACACCAAATTCGCTCTGAAGAGGTATATGGTCAGCCAATTCTGAGAAGTCAATTTTTTCTTGTGCCGCACGAAGAAAAACATCCGCGACCTATTTTCTTGTGCCGCACGAGAAAGAAATGTTCAGACAATTTTCTCGTGCCGCACAAGAAAAAACATGCTCAACCTATATTCTCGTGCCGCACAAGAAAAAAATACATGTTAAAACCATTTTCTTGTGCCGTACGAAGAAAAAGAGGTGAAAGCGGCTTCTCGAAGCAATACTACAAAGCCCTGGATTGGCAGAACAAGGGCAAAAAATTTCCTAGTCCAGGACTACACAAAAACCGCTCATAGAGTATTTTTTAGTCCAGGACTACAAAAAAACTGCTCACGAGAGTATGCCTTAGTCCAGGACTGCAGAAAGACTTCTCAGAGGGGTACTACTCAATCCTGGATTGAGAAAACTTGGACTTACTGGCTGCTGACTGGCCAAAAAGCATCTGAGGAAGGCACGGGTATAACCCAGGAACGCAGTTTCCCTTTTGGGCAGTCTTGGCACTCATTCGATGATCAAGTTGTTGGGCGAGGACCTTCCTCCCGATCGACATTTCCTCTTCTTTTCCTTCTCTGCGCATCATCAGTGGCACTTTGATCAACGGTGCCCTGAGATCCGAAAGCTTTCTTCCCAGGTCTCCGTCATCCAAGTCCTTCTCCGGCGCGCGCGCTCCCTCTTCTTCCTTTTCTGCGCATCGTCAATTGCATCTCGTCTGAGACTCATTCAAGGTGAGATCAGCTCGACTTCTCCTTCACTTTCTTTCCAGCGCTGACGTTGCACCAGATGTCAATCGGCTTCCCTCCTGCCTGGGAGGTGATAACTCGTTGCCTTGTGAATGCCATCAGAGACACATTCTCCGATGATGTTGTTCTTCGAGAAAGCTGCCAGAGCGCCCTGCAGGACTTCTTGGCTGTTAGGAGGTCACATCAGGGGCAAGACCAAGGCTCCACGTCCGGCCGCGTGTCTCGTCGTACAACATCCGAATGGATGTCTTGGGACAAGGTCATCGATGACATTTGGGAGGACTTCCTCGCGGAGCTGCCTTCCATCCCTGGCCGCCCCAGGTCCCGCTTCGTCAAGCCATCAGGTCCCTCCGGAGCCGTCATGTTGATCGTATGGCATGTTCCTACGACGAACACCACGAAGTACAAGGAGTTTGGTGTGGTTGCTGACGGCTCAAACCCATCCCTGAGAAACATGGCAGTCAAGTTCGGCATGGAGCCCAAGCTCGACCCCATGAGCCAGAAGCTGATGTGCATGGAGCACGTTCCCATCCGCTACTTCCATGACCCCAAGCGCGGAAACAAGCTGCCATACGATGACCTCTCCCAATCCGACATGGACATTCTGCTGCGTTACAAGCTCAAATTCTGGAACGCTTCAAAGGCATCGGTCGTCTTACTCCTTAGAAGGGAGAACACCCTGTGGTACAGGAAGACCTTCCCAGACTCGACCGCCGTCAAGCTCTCAGAAGAGGTCGTCTACGGCAAGCCCCTGGAGTTCTTCATGGAGTGGGCACCAGATGGCACCCTCAAGAGGTTGGTATTCAGTAGCCTGCATATGAAGGCTTTCTTCTGGCCCACCGGCAAGAGGCTTTCAAACCTTTACGATGCAATCTGGAACATGGCTGCAGGGATCGCCAACTACCCGGTCGTTAACCTTAAGCTTTTCGTGCGTCTCTCCAAAGCCACGGATATGGATTTTGACGACAACTCTGCCACATTCGAAGCTTTGCAGAGCGGCACAAAGGGCCTTGGTTTCGATGAGAAGCCTTGGGAGATTGCTGTTCGGCTCCGTCGCGAAGAGATCGAGCGTGATGTACACCTTCCCCTGAACGCATTACCTGACGTCCTGCAGAAGTGGTTGCAATCCACAGGTGGTCTTGATCTCCTTGCCCCTGATAGCCCCGTCCGCCAGTGTCTCCGAAGATTCGGTCGCAGAGCCTACGAGAAGCAGGTCGCTGAAGCCAAAGCCAAGGGTGAGGACTACCAGCCCCGAGGTCTCCTTTTGGGTCACATGCTCAACGTTCTGTCGCACCACGCATGTCTTGTCACAGCCAGGGCCAACTCAATGTTGAAGGTCAAGGAGCGCGATGCCCTGAAGACCCCTGAACAGCTGGCATTTTACGAAAAGCAACGTGCACGCGCCCGTTCTAGGGACCGACGAAGAGATGCTGGTGAGCCTCCCAGACGCCCAGGGGCTCCTGCAAAGTTCGCTACTGCAGAGGAGAGAGCCGAGAACAAGAAGGAGAACCTCAAGAAGCGTGATCGACTGAATAAGGAGCGGAGAAAGGCCGGTCTCGTCAACGTTGCCCCTAAGGGATTCCCTTTCCGCACTGCAGATGAGCCGATCACCGAGGCCGAACTAGCCTATCACGCCCGACAAGCTCTGATCGCCAAAGGTCGACCTGACACTGACTTCGGTATGGGCTTCACCTCAGAGACTCACGAAAGCAACATAGGACAAGTGAGATGGAAAAAGCTTGCACCTGGACGTATACCCGAGCAGCCCGCACCCCCGCCCCTGTCTGCCTTCGACCGCGAGAAGAGACAGAGAAGAAGTGAGCAGGATCGAAAGTACAGGGCACGTAGAGCAGCCGGTCAAGCTATACCTCTACACAGACAAGGCCCTTCAGGGGCACCTGGCACTGGAGAAAACGGACTTCAGGCCTCCGACAGCAATCGTACAAATGGAGATCTCCCCGATCGTGCTGTCAGTCAAGGTTCATCCCTGAGACTCTCAGGCGAGCTAAAGACAGCTCCAGCAGGCCCCATGGTATTGATTGAGAAGGCTCGGAAGATGTTGGCCGAAGGCACCCTGGTCCTCTCGTCGGAGCAACTCACATCTGAGCAGCTTCTCGAACTTCGCAAGGCCCAAGATGAGAAGACAAAGCAAAGCAAGAAGGAGAGCATGCAGAAGCCGCAAGCCAAGATCAAGAAAGCCGAACGTCAACGTCAATACAGAGCACGCAAGAGTGCTGGTCTTGTCGGCAAGTCAGTGGCTGGCAATGGTCGCAAATTCTCCATGGGTACGGCTTCTGTCGACGATGGAGGTCAGGCTGATGACGTCGAAATGATCGACCTGACCAAGGATGACTGAGTGGTGCAAGGCGATGTTGCAAGACCAGTGGAATACATCATTGCTGAGCGGATGACTACGTTTATGATGACTTCAAAATATTGCTATGTGAAGGATGTTGCTGGGAGAAACACGAATTATGGCTTATGGAGATGTGGGACACAACTTATGACAGCATGGGGTATACGACGACAGGGCACATGAAATATCAACGACGGGTAATGGCTTTTTTATGAAGGAGGATCATGGGATACATAGCTTGATCAAACATTCTATCGAGGTATGAAGTTGCTGAATATCTTCCTATTCTGTCCGTCGTGCTCTTTCTGTACGTCTTGCGCGCTGTCATTATCTGCAAGCACGAAGCTTCAAGTCAAAACAAGATAGTCGAGGAGCATTTCCTGAAATCCTTGATCAACGTCGGCCGTCTCCTTGATATCGACTAAAAAGGACTGAATTGATCACTGTGGTGCCGCACTGTCCCTTGATGCTATTTGACCTCAAATGGGTATTATTGGCCCTCGAAATGGGCGTTGTGGATATGGGCGACATACGCGAGCAGGGTGCTACCACCAACGAGACTCTGCCTTGATCAACATGATTGGTCAGACCAGGCTGGCGCTTAACTTGCGGCACGGACCGTCAGTTCGACCGCAGTTCTGTCCCGCTCGCGTCACGCACATACACACTTTGTGTGTCTCGTCAACAAACATCTGAACTTTGTCGTATCATTTGACATTCTTTTGGCCTTCTTGGAAACCCATATCACTCACTGATTGCGATGCATTGAGCCTCAAATATTATTTCTCGCATTGGTTTTCTGCGATGTCTACTTTTGGCCCTGGTTTCGGTAAATCCAACGGCGACTCACCTGCGCCGACGACTCCCCGAGGCCAGACAAGCAAGGAGATCAACGCTATCATTGAATCGACTGCCCAAGAGTTTGGTCTACCTCTCAGACCTCGCGTAGGCACGTTCTCGCCGAGCAAGCGACCCGACGGCTACGCCGAGCGATGTGTCGATCACATCAACTTTTTGTTCTTTTGCAATCGCGTTGTTATGCACGATGTGATAGACCAGTTTCGCAAGGACAAAGCAGACAACGCCGTCTTTGGAAACCACCTAGAAGAGTTCTACAGTCGACTCAGAACAGCAGCCTATCTCGAGAAGCACAAACCACGACTTGAGAAACCGCAATGGGAAGGACAGGCACCACGACAGGTTCCTGAATTCAGAAAGCCCGCCTCAAAGCTTTCCTTGACACAAACAAAATTGATTCCGACGATTAAGAAGCGCTCGGAGCCAAGTCAAGTCAAAGGGGAGGATACCGAGAAACGAAGCTCCAAGGATCAGCTACTGCCAAGTGATCAATATGTTTTATCCGATTCCGCTACGGCTCCTCGAGGTGCCAAACGTCTTTCGGATCAGGAGTCTTATGGCTCTTCAAAGTATGTACGCCCCAAGAAGCAGCGGCGACAGCAGCATCCTCTTGACAACCATTTCTCATGCAAGGTCAGCCCTTCCAACCCCAGCTTGAACTCAACACATTCAAGCTATCCTGTCACCATCAACACTGGACAAGCAAATGAAAGCTTCGATACAACCATCGCTACTTCATTCGATGGCGTCTACGACGACTGGGACTCGTCAAGCGCAGACTATGGACCGGAGCTTGATCCATCTCAAGCAGAACGGCTCGTGGCCAGTGTCGAGCAATACGTTCCCAAAGAGTGTGGAGTAGTCAGCAAAGCTTTTGACAAGTGTGAACCTCTGAATGATCGATCTCACAACTATTCATCGATCACATCTGCGAACGCAGGTACACTAACTGCAAAGATTCAGGTACAATCGGCGAATCACACAGCTGCAAAAGAGCCGAGCTTGGAATCCAGATCTGCTTCATCAAAGCTTCCTGAACATAGGCTTGTTCGCACTTTGCCGACTAATGGCCTCTTCGGTTTGCTCGCCGCTGTCAGTATCGATCACTCGTCATTTCATCATTTATGGGAAAGCTACAGACTGGCGGATGCGACCGGACAACCTTTTCATTATTACGCGGATGAGAATGAGCTGATTCGCAATATACCTGCTGGTACACAATTTCTCCGAACTCCTGCCTCAGTGTGGAATGCCACCGCAGACTCAACTCAATCGGACAATATAATTCTCAAGGCCAGCCTCACTTTGAACACCAGCGTTTCTGCGGACAAGCTTTTCACTCTCTCGTTACAACCACTCAGATATGAAAGAGCCTGCGTGTTTCAGAGACACTTTGGCCCGAGCAGGTTCCTCTACATTGAACTCCCAAGAATTAGCACTCTCAGCGATTCTCGTCTCAACGGCCAGAGAGACTTGCTCGAATCTCGTTTTCTAGAGTGGATGATCAAAGAGAAGAAGTTCCTTGGTCGAACATGGCGTCTATTTCACATCCAGGATGTCAAGAAGAAAATCAAAAAAGACAGCTTACCCAGTCAGCGGTTGGTGTTTTTTGCAGTTGATGGTCCTGGCTTGCAGAAGATTAGCGTTGACGAGTTGATTGATTGGGCCATCCCGACCATAAAGAATGGCGGTCAACCATTCTGCAAGATATACGCTCGACTTGACTTGTTTCTTTCACAAACTATTCCAACAATCAGGTTCACCCCCCAGGAGATCAGGTATATCAAGGACACTTTGGGGGATGGTACCCCTGAGAACGAAGAATTCAATGACTCGAGTCTGAAGTTTGAGTGTCCTTCTGGTCCATCGAATGAGAAAGTTGTGATGAATGATGGCTGCTCGCTGATCTCAGTTGGTGCAGCAAAAGAGATTTGCGATATCCTTGGGATCAAGGGTGTTCGTCCTGTCGCTTTCCAAGCTCGCATCAATGGCTGCAAAGGTGTATGGATGATCAGTGCACCGTATGATACGACTGAGCCAAAGCACTTGAGAAGATGGATCCACATCGCAGAAAGCCAACGCAAAGTCATACCAAGAGATGAGGACTTCACGGACAGTTGCGAGCCTGATCGATGGTCATTCGAACTGGTCAAGTACACAAGTCCACCAAAGCCATCGACCTTAAACCTGGAGTTCATTCCCATCTTAGATGACCGCCATGTTCCACGCCACACACTTCGTCGAGTCATCGAGAGCCAACTCGAAATGGATTTCTCGACCTTTTTGGACTCATTGAATGACCCGAAAGATCTGCGTCGCTGGTTACATTCCGAATTCAGTGGCTCGGAAGAGCTCAATCGAAACTTCGGCATCAAACAAGCTGGGAATTTCCCCAGTGACTGTGTTGAGAAATGCATCTTACTGCTTGAATCTGGATTTAACCCTTTGGAAAACCAATACCTCGCAACGTGTGTCCAGCAAGTTGTCAGATTCTGGCTCACCTCAGTCCGTTCTAAACTCAAGATAAACCTACCCAGATCTGCCATGGCTCTAGGTATAGCCGATCCAACGGGCTGCCTGAAGCCTGGTGAGATTCACATGGCCTTCTCGGAGACTTTTCGGGACGAGGCCTCTGGCGAACATTGGTCACATCTCAAGGGTGAGGTGCTGGTCGCAAGGCATCCCGCTTTGAGATGCTGCGATATGCAAAAGGTCAGAGCGATTTACAGGGAAGAACTCAGCCACTTAACCGATGTCGTGGTATTCCCGTCGAAAGGATGCGTACCACTTGCACACAGACTTCAAGGTGGCGACTATGATGGTGACACCTTTTGGCTTTGCTGGGACCCAAGGTTAACAGCAGACTTCAAGAATGCACCTATGCCGCTGGACGAGCCCGAATTAGAGTACTACGGAATCAAGAAAGACGCACGTAGCTTGAAGGAGGTTCGTGGCACTGAGAATGATGTGAATACGTGGCTGTTTGAGAGCTTCCGATTCAAGCTACGGGAGAATCTGTTGGGTGTAGTTACGAACATGCTTCGAAAACTCGCTTACAAAGGTAACTCAATCACGTCAGACAACGTTGAGAAGTTTGCAGGCTTGCACGGTCGTATCATCGATTCTTCAAAGAACGGTTATATCTTCACCCCAGCCGCATTGAACGAGTTCTCTAGAAAGCTTGGTATTCGAGGTTCCTTGCACAAGCCAGCATATGAGTCGTGGATGAATCCAACAACTGATAGCGCAACCGATCGTCTGAAGCCCAATCGCAAACACATAATCGACTATCTATTGTTCGAAGTCGTCAATCCTCTCCTTGAACAACTTACCAAGGACTGTCGACGAAAGCTAGCTGTTGCGGAGAGCTATGACGAGGACCTCATCAAACCTTTTCGGGATCGAAAAGTCTCAGATGATCTCATCATTGTTGCTGTCCTCAAGCAATTGACCACTGACTTGGCAAAGGTCAACTCTATCGGCAACTCAGTAGAAAAGATGACAAAGGAACTGTACACACTACAGGCCAACCGCGTTCTCGAAGCATACACCGCGATCCAACCCATCCGCACCGAAGACCGCATTGTGCAAGAATGGCTCATGAGAACCACACCAAACTCTTTCAATACGTGGGAAATCATCAAAGCCTCAGCGTTCTACCTGGATAAGCACCATTTCCGGTCGACGTTGGCATTTTTGGTCGCCGGGAAAGAGCTTTGTTATATCAAGGCTATGTCAAGGCCTGGTAGCAGAATTGTCATTGAGGACCTATATGCGACGTACAAGCCAAAGAGGGAGAAGAGAGCGATGAATAAACGTCAAGCTCCATTGCCAATCGCGGAGTCTTCGGAGTCGAGTGAGGCTGAATTTTTCGATGCACTTGAATGAGGCGAAGAATGAAGCCAGGATAGAGGCGCCAGGAGAAATAGATCGAAAGACTACGGTGTGATGAATGTACGATTTATATGATAGCATGATCAATGACTTGCATTTCTTTATCATTCACTTGTGCTACGCCCGTACTTTAATGCTTCCAGAAGGATTTCCAAACGTCCGTGCTGAGCCGAGACTTGACGTCAATCCATCACTGACACCAGACATCTCAATTATCTTGTAACTGCAAAGCAAAACACAACTTCCTTTTGTTTTCAACTTCAAGATTACCAGAGCGATGTCCACAATCGATCTTTCCTTACCTGACTCCGTGCCCGAGATGGCCCGATACGAGGACAGACCCATGACCCTCGACTCCTTCGCCATCTACAATCTGCTGGCACCGCAAAACGAGCCACCAGACCTAGTCGAGAGATGCAACTCTGAATGTCCCCGCGATGACTATGTCCACTTTCGAACATCACCTGATATAACCTCTCTCAAGGGTCTTATAAGCTACCATCTCAGCACAACCGTACACGACAACTTCGACCCTAACTACTTTCTCGTAGTCACAGATCCCGTTTGGGAGCACAAGGGAGTTTGTGTCGTCACTCTAGGTGATGAAGAAGGCAAACCAGATAAATTCATGATCAAGACGGCAGAATCTGGACTTTTGCTTGTGAATCTGCAGATCGGGAATACGGATTGGTATGAAGCAAAAGAAAATTATGAATTTACTGGTGATGATGATGAGGACGAAAAGCAAGACTCTGAAACAGGTACTGTGCATCTCATATGTGTTTAAGCTTTTAGTGCTGATGATGATGATACGCAAAAGGAACATTTCCCGATGGAGCTTCGAGAAAAAGGCCAGGCACGGGGTTTTACATAGCCTTCTACGCTATCCCTGGCATCGACCCTTCACAACTGATTCGCGACGTTGAACCCTTCTACGACGGAAAAGAACCACAAGACCGTGTTTGTCGGTTTGAAGGCTTTTTAAATTCTGATAGGGATCTTGTTTCTCAAGCTATGGATTCGTGGCATCCGCAAGCTTGTATGAGCAACACTTTATTGTGCAAGATGTACTTCTTTGTGGTGGACAGTAAGGATTACAAGGAGGATGGTATCCTGTTGTGTAATGTCAAGGAGCATAAGACCAAGAGAGTGCTTTGCAGCCCAGGCGTCACAGTGGCGGAATTCTGCGATATCGCACAGGGGGATAAGGGATGGGATGAAGGGTCAGTCCAGCAGACCTCTTGAACTGAGATACCATGCTGGTCAGAAAAGCTTCTGCCAGATCTCGTATTTTGTGTTTGCGGATGACAGCATAGAGCAGAGATGACTCACGGAGCGAGTAGACTGAGTGCCAAGCCCGTGGCCTCTTCATTGATAACAACCACCGTCCCCAGTCTCCAACATCGATACATTCACATATCCTCGGAAGAAACGCATCGGACTTTTCGATTCTTGTTTGTGTGTAGTCGCCAGATCCTTCTTGTACACATTCCGTCCAAAGTCTAAGATTGCCTCAAAAGGCGCGTATCATGACTCCAGTAAACCTGATCAAGAGTCTCGAAAAACACAATAGCGAGGCACGAATCACAATCTTTAGTCCTGATGACTCACTTTTAGCGGTCGCTGCCTCCAATGACGGTTGCATCAACATCTACCGCACCTCCACCGGTATACTTCAAACCAGCACCATGGAACACAAAGACATGATCTGGGACATCTCCTTCTCTGCCTCTGGTGCACACATTCTTTCCGCCTGTGACGATGGCACCGCTCGTCTCTTCAACACCACCACTGGAATGCTAGAAAAACAATTCCACGATGATAGCGAAGGGTGGAGTGATGAAAGGATGTTTGTCGCGTGCTTTACTCCAGATAACAAGGCCATAGCTACCGGCACTGACATCGTTCAGATCTGGAATTTGGAAACTGGAGAGTTGGTGCGGGAGTTGATAGGCCCTAGAGATAGAGATGTTTTGCCGGTTGCGAGTATAGAAGCCATGGGCAATGTTTTGCAAGATGAGACCTCTATTTCGAGTATTGAGTTCTCGCCAGACGGGAGATCTCTGGTTTCTGTGGGGTTTGGAGGGTGGGGAGATCAGTTGAGGATCTGGGATATGCAGACTTGGGAGTTATGTTTTGAGTGTGAAGGTATTGGTGCGGTATTTTCAGTCGATGGGAAGAAATTCGCCGTTGCAGAGAGCGAGGAAGTAAAGCTGTGGGATACAAGGACAAGAACATTGGAGCATACGCTTCAAGGAAACAGTCCAGTCTTCTCGCCAGATGGAGACGTCATCGCTACTTCCTCGCGCTCACACACGATTCACCTCTGGGATGCTGGATCAGGACATCTCCTTTACGAATTATCTAGTTACGGCATTGCAGCTCCCTCTGTCCTCTTCACATCCGACTCTAGAACCTTGCTCTCAAATTCCGGACGTATAGTCCATGTCTGGGACGTCATAAGCGGGCATCTAGAACTGTTACTTGAAGACCATAAGAAGCAAATCTATACCATGGCTCTTTCACCGGATGGCATAACGCTTGTAATAGGAAGTAAAGACCGTACCGTTAGACTATGGGATGTAAACACAGGGGACTGTTTACAAGTTCTGGAAGAGCATGTGAATGAAGTTTGGGGTGTTGCATTCTCATCTGATGGGAAGAGGTTGGTCACAAGTGATGATGGTGGGAAAGTCTTACTTTGGGAAGTGCAAAGTAGCTGAACACGCTGAAAGAAGTTATTACCCAGAAACATCGAATGTGATCTGTAGGTTGTTCGAGAAGACGTTCTCAAACAAAATGATGAAGAAGACTTGGCCTCGGACCTAGACAAAGTAGGATTTCACTCGTGATCCATTGAATCAAAATCTCTCCATCCTAGAACATGAGATTTGATTGACGATCGATCCATATAGTGAAGCGCATCTTGGTCTTGAAGTCCACGAGTATGGTGTTTGACCTTGAATAAGAAGATCATTCAGATTGTGCTCGTCCTGTGAAGATTCATGTGATCACTTGTATATTTGAACTTGGGATCATAGATGCTGGAGACAGAGTTCTGCATTCTTGTCTATTGTACACGGTGGACCTTGTTTCTCAATCCCTGTTTGCTGTCTTCTCTGACTTCACTTTCTCTGCCTTCGATTCTCGGTATCTGAAGTGCGAATTCCTAGAGCCCAACCCCTGACTCTCCAGCTCTCTCATGACCGGGAATGTGGATATCGCACTTTCTTACAGCACGAGAATCGTCCCTTTACTGTAGGCGTGCTGATTCAAGTTCAATGTCGAAGTCATCCAGATCGAAGTCGCCCAGGACGATATTACTCAGATCATCATCGCTCAGGTCAACCTCACTCACGTCAAAAGCAGGGTCTTTGAGCCTGAACTGCCTGTTGAAGATATACCTGCATGAGCTGGGGATGTCATCTCGATTCATGTTCCACAGTTGGTTGAAGGTAGCTTCCCTCAGTTTGGCAATCCAAGTCGCGTCTCTCAGCGCACGCTTGTACGTGAGATTCTGGTTTCTGGTAGTGGGATGGTTGAACAAAACTCTCAACTCCGCGAAAGACTTGTCCTTGAAGTTATTGTAGAGTTGGTCCCACTTGGCGCTCCAGAGCTCTGACATGTGATCATCCACGGCGTCAAGAGCAGCAAGATCTCTTTCGTAGGTCTTGACCTCAACAACCTCATCAATCAAGAAGCGAAACTTCTCAGGAACCAGGTCGCGGTCAATGACGTGAAGAAGGTCGAGGGTCATGCGCTTGAAGTTGGCTTTCCAGGTTGCAGGGAGTAGATCGTCACCATAGAGGGTTCTGAGCTCAGGCTTGGTGAACATCTTCTTGAGTTCGGCGTAGGATTTTGTGTCGAGGTTTTCCTTGGAGTCTTTGTCGGCATAGTCACTGTTGAGATTTAGACTCGCAAATTGGGCGAAGGCATCATCAGACCAAAAGTCGGACTCGGCCCCACTGTTCCTTTGGATTGAAGTTCGCTTTTTGATCTGAGGCTTGGGAAGTTTACGAGTACGCTTGCGAGGACGTGGGACTATCTCGGTGTCGGACTCAGAGTCATCTATGCTTGGGGTCGGACCTGGCTTCTGGAGAGTGACAGTGCGAGTTGATGGAGAAGTAGTTCTTGTGCGGGCGGAGCCTGAGGGCGGAGCTTCGGGAGGCATGCTGAAGTCGCTGTCCATGTCGTTTGCGGGCTCGATTCCGTTGTCAGTGATGGTCTGGATCGATTTGCATCCGGAGTGGATCTTGAATTTTTTTCTGGCGCCGTTCGACTTGCTAGCCTGTGACTCGAAACATGGACGCTTCTGGGAAGAAGTTGTAGGTTGACCTTGGGCGTTGCTGACGTCGAGGTCATCCATGTCGGAAGTCTGATCTGACTCCTTGTGCAAGAAATAGCGAGGCATCGGAGAGATAGATCCTGTACGAGAGGAGGTTGAGGTCGGAGTCTCGGGAGACATGTTGCGAGTTTGGTTTAGTTTTCGGCTGCGGGCTCTCTTTCTTTTTGTCGAGGTGTGGTATGGAATCTGGAGGAAGCTGGAGAGGTTTTGGAGCCTTTTTGTAGTCGAGAGATATGATGCGGAAAATTGAGAAGCGAAAGTCGGCCAAGCTGATGGGTGAAAGTGATGCAGTCGATTGCATCTGCGGTAGAGACCAGCAAATAGAGCAACTTATTGGTTCTTCACTTTGTGTTTTCGTGTTCCGCGGACGATCCTTGCTTCCAGAGCCAGATTGGTTGCGGAAATCTGAGAAGTCAAAGTCAGCCAAGGTGACGGATGAAAGTGACACAGCTGTTTGCCGCCTGCGTAAGTAATAGAGGTCGGAGATCTGTTGATCATTCACTTGTCGCTCTGTGCCTTGCAAATGATAGTCGACGCAGCTCCTCGTTTTGTTGTGCTCCGAAGATAGAGCTGTGAAGAAGGAGCCTTGTTATCTCGATCTAGAGAGAAGAACGAGAGACGTGAGGAAAAGGTGACAGTCAAAAAGAAAGAGGACCGGTGGCAGTTTTGTCGCCGGCTCCTTCTCACTCAATTGTTTTTTTTTTTTTTTTGGACTCGCCAGAATCTTGTTTGGCTTCACTCCAGACCGGTATTCTCGCTCCATCTTCCGTCACAAACCAATCCCCAAGAACGGAGACCGAAGATTGCACAGGACAGAATCGAGGGACAACCATGTCTTGTAACTGACCAGCGACAAACCAACAAATATTCATATCCCATCCTCCCTATTTCTTCTATGCAAAACTCAAACACCATCCCCATATCCTCCCCTCAAGAAGCAAAACACAAGCACAAACTCTGGAAACACAGCGTAATTCCCAATATCACACGTGTAGTTACACCTCCCTTCACGCTCGTACATTAACCATTGATAGCCCGCTTGGTAGCCACATGATTACAGTAGAGAACTTACATCATGGTATCTGCGCTCTTTCCGCTTAGTCTTGGGCTTATCATCTTTGTTTGCATTACCATTCATATCGACACCAGGAGTTGGACTAGAAGATCATTTGTTAGTCAACATCAGGAGGCGAAAAAGAGAGGAATAGGATAAGGTCCAGAGTATCGCAAAAGCCAACGAGAAACAGAGAACGAAATTCAGGCAAGAAGAAAGAAAAGCGGACTCTATCACAACATACCAATCCCTCGTCGATTGCTGCATCGCTTGCGATGAACCATCCAAATTTCTAGTGTTCTGCTTAGAGATGACACCCATTAGTTCTCCTTTCCTTCTCTCCTCTTTATTAAAAGCGAGCAACACGAAAAACAAAAAATAAGTCGAAAATAAGAGTTTTTTTCAGTATAGAGGAATGAGCAAAAGTGCGAAAGTTCGAATGAGGCGAAGAAAGTCGCGGATTAACGTTCATTGTCGATCCTTCTCGTATTTGGCAATCCTTTGCCAAGACCATATATAAGAAAGGAAATACTTTAGTAGTTTTTTTTGGGGGAAAAAAGAGATAGAGCTGCCCAAAAGCATAACAGTAGAGAAGAAATATACAATGAGGAGTTCTACATATATTGCGACTTGCTTTTTACGCTCAGTGGACATGATTTGACCAACATTGCTTTAGATGCCATAACGTTGACTTTCATGGGATAGAGATAATGATATTGGATTGACGTTTAATCTGTTTTCATGGGCTCTTTGGTCCATCTTGCATCTTTATCATTAGTCCCTTTTACGTTTGCTGCTAGCCGACCCTATTACTTCCATGATCATGCTCGAGCATCGTTACATGTGCATCTCTCTAGCAGATACCGTTGTTAGGATCGACACTACAAGAAGAGCAACAAAGTCAGCCAAACAACGAAACAAGTTTTGCCGAATCGAACAGGGATCCAAAAAAAAAAAGAAAAAAAAAAAAAAACGTACCGGAATCTCCAACCAGCGACAACAGACTCGCCACCACGATCACAGCCATTGATTTCGTTCTCAAGACGGAGAACGCAGTCGGCATCGCCGAGATCGAATGCGGCGTCAGTGTTCAAGTTTTGAACCGTGATTTCGTACTTTTGAGTGTTGGTGCCTTGGACGCAGGCGTACTTGGCCTCTCCGCGTGCAAATGTGCCCTGGAAAGCGCCCTGGTTGCCGTCGTAGCCGCGGCAAGCTCTTCCGACGTGCCATCTGGCGTTGCCCTTGTCTTGAAACACATCGCCGCTGCGATAGCAGGTGGCAGCAACGCCGTCGGTAGTGGCGCCGAGGACAACGGCAAGGGTGGTAAGCATAGTAGTGGTCTTCATGTTGGATGTGTTGCGTTGAGACTGTTCTTGGTTGATAGAATTGCTTTGTGACAAGAATGAAAGTGGTGATAAGGAGTTGTCATGGACAGGAAGAGCGTCCCTTATATAGACGATGGTCAGCCAGTCTGCTCTTGGGCAATCCTTATCGACAGTCTTCGTCAAGGACAGCAACTCTCCGCCCGAACCGGTCAACTCATATTAGCAAGTTTGTGACTGGAAATAAGTGTATGCATCAAAAAGAACCAACATCCCATCCAAGAAGATCCTTACCCTGACGGCGGAACATGAGCCTTCGCAAACAGAGATTGTAGCATTGGCGCCGAGCTGACAAGCCTCCAACAGCTTCATCTCGTACAGAGCGGCTAGACTTTCCTGTATGCATCAATGCCATAGCTGATGACTCCACCTTATACTCTTCGACTTTGATTTAAAATAGCACCACATGCAACTACTTTCCTGTTTCATATCCACTGCCGTGATGAAGAGTATGTGTGTCGGATATATCCTGGATCTTTCTAAAAAGACAATCGCTCTATGCAAAGTGTTGTCTCACGCCCAGGATATGACCAAAATCTCTGTGTACGGCGAATTTGATCTGGTCTGTTCTCTGGCAATTCGCTAGAAGTGAGCATGTGCATTAGCAAGAACCAACATTCAATTATACGAGATCCTCGCATCATGTAGGCCCCTAATTGACAACACTGCTCGCGTGACACAGTCATTATCCCCACATACAGACGTGATGAACCCCACAATCCCTGCAGCTTTCCAAGACCAACACCTTAAGAACACCGCGCGAGTGTATGCACTTAACCTTGCCTTGATCCTTCGCCAAGGGCTGGTTACAACAACAAGTGCAATATAATCATGCTGAACATATTCACTTTAGTATGCTCAAATCCGCACTCGGCAACAAAGTTTCAAAGCCAAGGAGACGAGTCATTCTCCACTACTTGACAGAGCTCATGGCATGCAATTTTGAGGGTGTTGGTGCAGTAGAATGACGATTCTTGCATCTCGAGTTCTTGGTAGCATAGCCACTTTTGCGAGACTGTGATACAGATTGTCGCCAAGTATACATACCCATCTATCCTTAATAGACTGTTCTTTGTAGTGCTTGGCACATAAGGATAAACCGCCTAATGATTTATCTCAGACTTGCCTATTTTTCTTTTCTTTAGACTTGTAAGAAAGAAGACAAGGAAAAATAAAAAACAAGGGAAAAAAAAGAAGAGAGGGACACGGTATAATTATCTCTCAAAGGTACACAGATGGTTTTTTTTGTCTGCAGAGAAAATCCACAAAGGACGACGTGTCGTCGACGTTTGGAATCCTTTGCCAAGAAGCACAAACAAGAAAATCAGGAGATGGTATTATTTTCGTGGAGAAAGATAAAAAAAAAAAAGAAAAAAGAGGTTGCCTGGAATAATACGGAGGATCTGACGTACGGCTTTGATCCTTCGTGAAATAGACGATCAGCGCGTATCCTTTATAGATTTCCACAGTACTCAAGGTCTCAAAGTTGTACAGATGTGTCGCGAGGAAGAACAAAACTTGGTAATATGCTGCATTGAAGCAGTTTGGACATTAAACAGCTATATCGTTATTTGGGCGGCATTTGTGATGCATATCGTTCCCCGTTCTTGTCACCTTTGATCCACCATTCGCAGGCTACTTGCAGTAGAATATTTAAATGTCCTCAACATTAGCCTGGCTGACGAACCAAACACCAGTCTCGGTATTGTTGGTAGCGTTAGTCTGCTTAACCTGGCCAAACTTGAGAGCGCCAGACTCAACAACACCGCCAGCAACAGGTCTCTGCAACTTATTAGCACCGCTCTTGACGGTAAAGTTAGCAAGAGAGATTTCGTCAGGGTTGCGGTTGACAATGGTGGGCATGCCAAAGTAATTGGCAGTGACTTCGTCGTAGTTGATGTGCAGTTCAAAGTATCCTCTGTAGTAGATGTCGTTCCATTGTAATTCGTCATTGGCGTGGACGAGCCAGTTGGAGGCGTTGTTGGCGGCTTGGAGGGTGATGTTTTGGCCGTAGGGGCAGGGGGAGGAAACTGCAGAGCCAGCGAATTCGACGCCGATGCTGTTATTGCCGGAGGTCGAGTTGTAGCCTTCGTGGTCGAGCCAGACGAGATCAGAGACCCAAGAGGCGTGGGAGTCGCCGGACATGACGATGTTGTTGCCAATGCCGTTGTTGTAGAGGTGAGAGAGAGTGCGGTTGCGGTTGGCTTGGTAGCCGTCCCAGGCATCGTAATCAAGAGGGTTGGTGTTGCCGTAAGCAGCAGACTCATTGACACGGGAAAAGACGGTCTGAGAACCGATCAGACGCCAAGCAGCACCACGGTTGGCAGACTGTGAGAGCTGGTTGTAGAACCAGTTTTCCTGTCTGCTACCCATCATACTTCTTCCGGCATCGTTGCTGAGCTCATGGACGTAATCAGTGTTCCAGTAGAGATCGGTGATGGAGCGGTCGTATTGACGAGTGTCGAGCATGATCAAATCGAACAGACTACCGATGCTGAAGCTTCTCCAGATACGGAGATTGTCGTCCATCTCAACTTGACGAATAGGCATCCATTCGAAGTAAGCTCTGACAGCGTTCATCTTTCTCTGGTCAACAGAAACACCACCGTCGCTTACAAACGAGGCTTCAGTGTTGTTGAGCTCAGAAGCACCATCACGGTATGTGTTGTCCGAAACCTCGTGATCATCCCAGACGGGAATCCAGGGGTAGTTCTGGTGAGAAGCGAGAAGATCAAGATCAGTGCGGTAGGTAGCGAGACGCTCGCGGTAGTCGTAGAGGGTGAAGATGACGCGTTCGGGCTTGGGAACGCGGCCGATGCTGTAACCGTAGCCATAGTCACCATCGCCGGCATACTCATAGATGTAGTCACCAAGGTGGATGACGTAGTCGACGGAGTCCTTTCGCACAGGGTTTCCAAAGGCATTGAAAAAGCCGAATGCTGAAAGTGAATTAGTCACGTGCGGAGGAAAAGGGTCAATATGGCATACGGAAGTTGCTGCACGAGTAGACAGCAAGTCCAACCTCGGCAGTGTAGTCATTAGTGTCAGGAGCAGTTTTTGTGCGGCCAAGAGGACTAGTCTTGTTGGAGCCGCAGATGTTGAATTGGTAGTAGTAGCGGGTAAAGGCAGTCAAGTTCTTGGCCTCGACCTGAATAGAAACAATCAGCCAGTGCATCACATCTCATACAGAAATGTGATTCTCACCTTGACAGTGTAGTCGATGTCGGATGAAGTGTAGGCGGTACCGCTGCTCTCAACATGGGTAAAGTTGGGAGACTTGGAGACCTTGTACTGTACACAAACAGGAGCAGTGCTAGCGTTCAAGGTCGCGCCATGACCATACAGAGGAGCAATACCAGAGACGGTCGAGTTGTCGTCAACACTGTTGACCATGGGAGCAACACGAGTCCACAGAATGACAGAGTCCGAGTAAGGATCACCAGAAGCAATGCCATGGGTAAAGTTCAGCTGCGAGGCAGAGTACTGAGTACCAGGCACATTACGCTTGTTGACCTTGTGAAGAGAGATACCAAGACCAGGGTGGTGGTCAGAAGGACTGCGGTAGTTCAAGTTCTGAGTCCAGCTCGCAAGAGCAACAGACGAGAAAGAAAGCAGAGAGATGACTGAACGCATCTTGACTGCTGGTAAAGATGAATTGGGTGGCTCCTACCTTGGTCGAGAATCTACAACGGGGATCTTGGTTGACTTTGTACCTTTTGGAGCTCGGATGAAGCTCTTGGATTAATCAAGGATCAATCAATGACCCTGTACTGCATGCTGAGCCCCACAGCTTGTCAGATATGCCACTGACGATGCGGATCATATAGCAAGGCCAATGAGGAGTGCTTCATTTGACATGCTGAGGGCTATGGCGAGTCGGCCTGCCTCTTTTGACCAGGCTTGCGGGAAGAATAGAGGGCTGCGCTGAACGGACAAGGTGGAGGCGGAAGATTGCCAAGCGAAGCACGCGGTTCTTGCAGAGCAACGTGCCTTTCTGACTGAAATCATTGGTCGGAACCTCCTTCTTGGCATTGCAAGCTTTCCGCATCGAAGCTTGGGCAGGTAAAGAAAACAAAACTATGGCGGGATTGTGCATCAACAAGACGAACATTGAGAGGGTACGAAGATCGTCTGCCATCTACGAACGGCATGTCCATTGCCGTGTGGCTATGCTAGAAATCAAAGTTGTTGTCGAGACTAAGTGGAGCTGCTGAAGCGGTGGAAATTCTGGTTTCGTTGTGGCATGACCAAAAATCGGTTTGTATACTATCGATCACGACAACATGGCGAGCCTGACTCCTTCATTGTTCCCAGGGCTTGTCAGTGCAGATGACAGTTTTATCTTCTGATTCTGCCATGTGAACTTGACGAATGATTTAATCAGCCTTTGTCGGGCTTTCCAGCATCAGAAATCATGACAGGGTAATAGGGGCACCTTTGTCGATCTGATCAAAAGTTCCACCTTGAACTCGTCAATTGCAGAAGAGGTCCGTTCGAGGTCGGGGTGAAACATGCAAAGATATAAAAATGTGGTCGAAGGTTCCAAATCTCATATCTTGTTCGTACAAAGTGGGTATCATAAAAGCGGCAGCACCAATCCAATTTTTGCTCATAAATTCGTGACTTGCTCTATCCAGGCAGTATCTTAGTCTTCCATCTTGTCCGAAGCCTGGTTCTGTGCAGTCATGGCAGCGAAAATGTTTTCCAGGGCTCGTGTCTCTTCTCGACCCATGCGTCTGCCCAAAGACTCGGTGTCTGGTGTTGGTGCAGCATCCACACCTGCCCTGTCCAGAGCGCGACGCGTCTGACTTTCGATATAGACGTGTCTTGTTTCTGTGGACTGGTCGACTGTAGCTGCCATGTCCTTCGCAGGCAATGTCGCAAGATGTGAGCGCAGGGTACTGACAATCTCTCGTAGCGCGGGGATCTGCGAATAGACAAAGTTGGTGTTCTGAGCGAGCGAGTTGGCGTGTCTTTCGCTGCCGACCCCGAGAGCTTTGGCTGATGGAGTATTCGTGAGAAAGGAGAAGGAGGCATTCTGAGGTTGTTGCGGCGTGTCTTGGTCGGGCTTGAAGGAGGATTGGGCGGCTGGCGGAGCGGATGTGAGGGGTCGTAGTTGAGCAAGCAAGGCTTCATTCTGAGCAGCTTCCGCTCTCAAGGCGGATTGTAGCTTCTCCGTCTCTTGTACTTTGCGGCGCAGGCGGTTGACTGATTCGGGAGTGGGCGCATTGGCGTCTGTCGATGGTGCTTGAAGGTTCTGAATTGTGTCAGCTGTGCGCAAAACAGGTCAGAAAAACGAGGCGCACCTTGTAGTGATCCAGGACTATCCAGTTCTCTAGTCCTTCGTCCTCTTTCGCGTTCGAGACAGTCAGAAGATTGCGCAGGGTGTAGATTTCGAGCTTGTCAAAGTTCTTGTCGATGGTCGAGTTGAGCAGACTCTCGAGCTTGACGATTCCAGCCTCGATTTCAGTGCGCGCAGCTTGTTCTGACGCGTCTTCGTCATTGTTGCTATCTTGTCCGTCTTGTTGGGTGGGCGCATTGGCGGAGAAGCCTAGTTGTTCTTTGGGCACATTGAGGAGCGCAGTCTCGATCTCGCCGACGGCCTGGTAGACGAGCTCGTTGACAGTGTTGATGATGTCGTCCAGCAGCGTCTGTTTGTTGTCAGCGGTGGGTCAAGATCACCCTCGAGAAGCGCCATCTTACCAGTGGGGTATACCGGAAATGCTCGGTCAGCAGCGCATTCTTGATTTGATCATTCGTCGCCATGTTGATTGTCCAAGTCTGAGTTTGTTGTCGAACGAGCGGCGCTGGCGCATCCATCAAAGTGTAAACAATCGCTCTTTCCACCGGGAAACGCCAAGATTCAATCACTTCCTAATCGGGCCTAGTACGCGTGCCTAGGCACCAACCTCCATGTACTACAATATATACCATGTCATCATTTCTTAACATCTGATCGAAGGTACTCTAATCAGAATCTATCCAGAATCAAGATGCCGATGCAACATCCTGTCGTGTGTGCTGCTGCTTTGACTGAGGAGGTTTGTAAGGAACTGCTGTTTCGCCAGTCTTCGCCCTGACACCTCATGCAGGTCATGAATCGCTTTATCGACGACAATGACATTGACGAGGATAATTGGGACTTCGTCTTTGTAGACAGTATCGATGAATACTATAATGAGCCTTCTCTGGCACCCGTTGATGGTCCGAGCAATCCAAACTCACCATTTATCGGCAAAACGCCTCAAGAATGCTACGAATTGCTTAAGAAGCTTTGCGAGGATACCGAGTCGGAACTGCTTCGCTGGTATTTCATAATCATGGATGAAAGGTCTATGCAGGATGATACTGTACTGCTTGTAAGAGCAGAGGATGGCACAGAGCTTTCTTCCGTCCGCGCTACCTTTGAGACATCAGCTTCGTCGCTGGTGTGTTATCTTACAGGACATAGCAGCCCAAACACGGATGCTTATTCTGCCGGAACTGATGGTGTTCATCGCGGACCAGATAAATGGAACTACAAGTAGCTCTTCGTTGTTCATGTCACAATCCCATGATCGACCGTCTCCCATTGCCACATGGACTGATGTTGTTGGCTTTTGAAACACAGAGTACTTCCTGGATTCAAGTGGTATTCCCAAGAGGATATGCTTCACCACATGCAGAGGTATCTCGGTCTCACTTCGGACATTATACGTTACGAGTGACGTCGCTATGGACGTGTTTCGATCGCACGAGTCTACTCCACGCGAATTGCACTCTTGATTCAATATCTTCCTATTGGGGTCCAACGACCAAGATGGGAGGCCGGGGAACCTCTTTCCCAATAGTCTGCACAGCTTTACTGAGCAAAGAGGTTCGTAGCATTCATTTTCAAAGTTGCTGCCTAGCCCAGACTCTAACAGACATAGATAATGAACCGGTTCCTCGAGGCAAGCGGTATCGCCGACGATAAAAACCTTCCCTTTGCATTCGTAGACAGTATCGACGACTACTACGATGGGCCATCAGAAGTCCCAATAACTGTCTCTAGCAATCCAGACTCGCCCTTCATCAACAAGACACCCGAGGAGTGCAGCCAATTACTCCTACAGCTTTGCGAAGATACCGAATCTGAGATAATACCCCATTATTTCATCATCATGGACGAGAGATCGATACAGGATGATACAGTATTGCTGGTTTGCGCAGACGAAGACGAGCCTGTATATTCCGTTCGCGCAACTTTTGAAGTGTCAGCCGACGAAGTAATGTTATATCTGACTGGACATGGCAGCGCCGAAGAAGACGCAGAACGAGCTTTGCAAGAACACGATAACGTCTTTCGTGGAAGAGCGTATGATGAATAGGTCATCATCACTGAGCGATCGGTCTTCATCGTCGTGTTCTCAGAGCCATCACATCGTAGCCGCAATAGATACACAATACTTTCTACATCGGATCGCTGTCCACAGAAGGATGCAATCTTAGACATCTACATGGCCATCCTCCTATTCTAGAAGCAAGTGTGCATTTTGACAGCCCACAACACGGTAATCTGACCGCATGGAGATGTATCAACAAGAAAGCTTTCAGGTAAATGGACTCTTGCTGAGATATCATGTGCAGACGGCTGTGAGCATCAAGGCTATGGAGAGTTATCAAAGATTGAATGACTGAGGAAGTATTTACCGAGAGGTGAAATTCTGTTTGCTCTCTTTGGCCATGACTTCATTTAGCAATCAATTGTACATTCTAACAGCTGAGCACATTACATGCTTTAATATTGGAAGGCGCACCAGCTTGTGTCGCTGCCTCATTGAGGCTAGTACGCTGTCACTCAGTACTTCCATTGCTCGACTTTTGCATCTCTGTCGCCTCACTCGGCAAACACTCAGCACTCACTCCATCAAGTTACATCTCTTTGACTCTCACTCGCTCAAAGCAATCCATCCAGCACATATGGGAAGTCGTCCAGCATCCCGATCTCTCCTTCCTTCTTCCATCAATCAACATCCATCAACCATCATGGCCAACAATGCTGTCGAGCAACCCTGGGACATTAACTCCCGTCTCGGCCACTTCGTTTCCAATCCCTCGGATCTTCGTCGCCTTCTTGGAGTCAATGAAGGTCTCATCGTGGGCAGCACCGCTTTCCAGTTCTTCGCCAAAGTTGCTTGGCCCGACTCTACTCTGGATGTGCTTGTCGAACGCGGACCAGCAGTCTCGGAGATCTTTGCGTACCTCGTCAATGAAGGTTATAATCAGGAGCAGACCGAAATATTCTATGGAGGATTACCAGAACAATTCACGTACAGAGTAAGTTACTGGCAACCAAGATGAACATACCATACTAAGTCTTACCTAGATCACACCCCGGATCAGAGATGGAGCCGCCAATACCAAGATCAACGTCATCAACGCTGAGGTCATGTCCATCTGGGGCTTCCTGGCAGGACCTGTCTTCTCTACAGCTTCTGCATGCTTCATCACATGGGATAAAGCCTACTGTTTGTTCCCCGAACACACTTTCAACAAACGCAAGGTGAAATTTGCTCACGGTCTGGACACAACTTACGACTCAGTCCTTCCTTTACTGCGCGAATATGTCCAGAGGGGCTGCTTCCTCGATGAAAACTCGTTCACGCAGGGACCTGACATGATCCAAGAACGTCAAGAAACCATCGCAGATCTTCAGGGCTTCCGCAGAATTGGCGACTCGAAAACCTGGTCTATCCCACTTGACTGCACTGGAATCACACCTCTTGAAGTTAACAGCACTGTCATCGACAAGAACACATTCCACGTTCGCGCCGAAGAAGGTCGGAGCGGACTTGAAATCACGATCCGAACTGGCGCATTCAAGTGCTGCGTCCTGAAGCACACTTACACCTTCGATACACGCGAATATCCCAACGACGATTTCCATGAGTATCTTCGTTGGGTCCTTTGCCGCAAAGCTGCCAAGCAGATCCAGGAGCATGTTGATGCTGGAACCTTTACTCTCAGCAAGGTCAGCTATCGCCAGGCTCTCAAGAAGATGGCCAACGCGACCGAGGAAAACATGGGAGGATCATCAGGCTGCAACGAAAATTGCCATCTTCTGGAGTCACGCTCTACTAAAGATGGTTTCATCACTCCCGTCGGATGGAAGTACGCGGACGACTCGATTCCAGAGATCTATGAGGAGTGGTCCAAGCGTGATCACGGCGCAGTTGAGGTTGAGATCAAGACAGACGACGCTGGAAACGAGGTCGTAGTAGTCATGGAGGACAACTGATTGACCTGGCAAACAACGAACGAGGCATTGAGCCACTTACTGTGTACCAATATCGATAGCTTTTATGCTCAACAACAAGGAATTCAACTCAGCTCTTATTACTGCTACCTGCCCAAACATTTGACACGTGTACCTCTGAAATTGCACAAGATCATTCAAGAATCGATCCATGCAGCGTACTGACATACACTACCTTTCTCTAGCAGTTTCGTTAGTGAAGAACAAACATTCCAACTATGCTTCAGTCTAATAGTCACGATATATGCGAGTTTTGAATAAGACCTCGACTCAATTAGAGGAAGTGAGTTTGGATTATTTCTGCTTTTTTGTTTGCGTTTTTTTGAACCTGTTTTTTAGTATTTTATTTCTTACTTTTCTATCATGTTGACTTGACACCTTCTTACCGGCGGAACTGGAGTAGATAATCCACCACGCTCGCCATGATCGTCCAGCGACATCAATCCCACTCGCCCTGTCCTTTACACCCGACCACTCAATTTTCCACCATCTTGACCGAGCGCCTGACATCTTCCGGCAACTCGTCCTCCTTAACGATGCCAAGACTGAGCGCATCGCCCCAGAAGAACATGGCTCTGTCTCTAGCATAAGCCAGATAATCAAATTCTTCCTCTGCTTGCTCATCGTCCTCCTCATTCGGGTCAGGTCTCTTGTCCCTGATGTCGTCTTGCAAATCCTTGGCTTCCTGGCCCAGGGGGTCCGAGAAGGGTTGGTCTTCAGTGGGAGTGAGCTCGTCAGGAGTCTCGGAAAGAGGGATAGTTGAGGAGGGAGCATCGGGCAGACCAGGTACCTTGGCTTGCACGATACCCCAAGCGACCCATTGAGCAGTGTTTGCAAGGCGCCACATGTGTGTTTCACGCAGGAGAGAGCGCACTTGCTCGTCTTCCTGGGCTTGGTACTCTGCGTCCTGCTTTGCGGTAGTTGCCGCACTCTCAGGGGGACCACGGGCATCAAGCATGAAATTCGAGATGCTGCTAGTGGGACCAGCTGGTCGTTTTGGCTTCTCGCCATCTTGTGGTCCAAGTAAAGGAGTCGCAGCATTGAATTGAGGACGATGGCGGACATAGGCGCGGACAAAGCGGTCTTGTTCTTCAGATGTGGGGTACAAGGAGGTGTTGCAGAGCCAAGGCACCTTTTCGTCGTGGTAATTGTAGCACCATTCTGTAAAGTGGTTGGCAAACTCGAGGCCGGGGGTGTTCGCGTTGGCGTATTCGAAGTCAATGACAATGAGCTGTTTGTGTGTGTTTGCGGGAAGCAGGAGCGGTGAAGTGCCTGAGGGGAGAAGACGGAGAATGTTGCCGTATTGAGTCTGTGAAATGTCAGCCAGAGGAAGGCGCGAAGTGATGAAAGACTAGACTGACATCGTTGTGAGCAAAGACGTAGCGAGAGCGCAACTGGCCGGGTTCGGTGTACTGCGCCTCGAGCCATTCGCGGTACTTTTGCACGGTCTTCTTGAAGACAGCCCATTCAGTTCCACAAACAAAGCCTCGGGCCTGCCATCCTTCCTTTGGAGTGTTCTTGCTCTGCTGATGCTTCAGCACTTCGCTATCAAGCCACATGGTCACATCTTGAACACGTTGGAACCACTTGTCCCAATTTTGCCAGACAAATGCGCCTTCATCACGCTCGCGCTCAAGCAGATCAATGCCTTCATGAAGTTCGCGCATACGTTTGGCAATCTGCTTGGACGTGTCGGGATTGCGCAAGTCTTTAGGATCAAGAGCTTTCGCGTGGAAGTACTCCTCGAAGCGTCCGTTGCTGAATGTACCTAACAAACGAGGTCCTATACGTTTGCGGGCCAGACGACGAAGGATCTGAAGTTCCGACTCGCGATCAATCAGGTGCTCGACTTGAGGACCGTAGATACGCAAAAGAAGTTTGGCGGGAGGAGGACGTTGCACGGGCTGTTTTCCATCGGCGCTTGTGGGACGTGGAGGCAGGACGCTTGGTGGTGACACAACGTAGACGGCATTGGTAAGAGCGCCACTGAGTCTCTCAACAGTGCACTCATTACTCATATCCATTGGCACACGACGCCAACCCTTGATACGGAGGGTGTGAGTAAGGCGAACGATCTCATACTTGAACGATGACCAAGCTTGACGATAACCAAGACCAAGACTTTCGGTCGACTCTGAAGGGTCCGCAGTGCCTCCAGCACTGGCCAAAGTCTTGGTGTTATCAAGCCAGGCTTCAGCCGAGGGCACAAGAGCATCGCCATCAATGTATTCAGTGTCTGATGATTGACCAGCATTGGACGAAGACTTGTGCAAGCGATTGACTGATGGGCGCTTTCGGATGCTTGGGTGCAGAAGTGACGGTCTACGAGGCTTGTCGAAATGCACGCTTTCCTTCAAAATCTGCTCCAATCTGCTGAGATCAACACTTTCGGCAGAACTGCGACGACGAGATCGTGATGCTGTCTCGATGTTCTCATGAGAAGCGGCATCTTCCTTAGCTTGGGCATCGGCAGACTTGCGCGCCTTACGTGCATCACGTTTTTTCTTTTCCTCACGAAGCCATGCAGTTACCTGACCGACAAGTCCACTGTTGAACAGATGATGCTCGTCATCCTTCTCAGCCTCGGAGGGTTCAAGAGTCGGCAAAGAGGTGACAGATGCATTACGGGAAGGTCTTCCTGACAAACGCTTTTGGTTGGGACCTTTGGCTTTGAAAGTACGAGGACCGCTGGGCACTCTGTCAAGTTCAAGATTATCAACATCCTTGTCCTTTCCAAGCATCATTGGAGAGATTTTCTCCGCATATGGATCAATGGAAACAGCTGACACATGATAAGCGATCTGGCATGATAAAATTGATACGTGAAGGTAAGGAGTCGTGATAAATAGCGGATAGAAGATTGAAGAGAGCCAACACCGGAAATATTATGGCAGCACATCATGAAAGGAGATATAGGAGATACGTACACTTTGGACCCTCTCTCGGCGATTGGGCATAGCGGAGGTTCAACAACTGCGACGGTGAGACTGCCTCGCCATTCTGAGTGGCTTGAGCGTTGTCATCGTTCTTCAGGATTCCCTGGAGCTTGGGGGAATCGCGATGAGACATGACTGTGTTGACAGGGGGTGACGTTGATGTGTCTGCGGGAGAAGGAGGTGCAGTGGCCGACTTCCAGCTGAACGAAAACCGTGCACAACGCGTTTGTCTGGCAAGCTTGGCACAATCGTTCTTTCCTCAAGCGCGTTGCGACAAGGTGTTGTTGTTTTGTGTTTGAGATAAGCAGGAGAGAAGTCGCTCCCAAAGGACACGAGTTCAGGAAATTACCTGTTATCACGACCGGCGTGACTTTTTTTGTGGATGCTCGAACAAACAGGGTTTATTGTTGCCTATGGCTTGCACAACTGCTGCATAAATTGACACGTGTTCTTGGCACTGGTCTGGATCCCGAGCCATGACGACGCTGACAGCCTCCTCTTCCAAGTTCCAACATCCTTTGGAACATGATATTGTTTTGTATTACAAGTAATCACAGGATCGGTGGTAGCTCCCTGTGATGGGAGTACCCGAGTATTCCACAAACATCTAGTCGATGATGCGACGGCTCTCCTTGAGGCCACGTTCACCGGGAAGTACGTTGCATAGCGCTGGATTTGCAGACACCGTTTGGGCTCCCATGTGCTAATAAGGTATGTCACGTAGCTGTAGAATTTAACAGTGTGATCAGGGAACAAGACAAGTCCACTGAAAGTCGATAGCTTATCTGCTCTCTCTGGTCAGGCTTATACCGAAGATCATCGCGCCTTGCAATAGTGTATGCTTTGCTCTTCCTCAAAGCTGAAGATTGATGGATCTTGTAGGAATGAGGTGACACAAGCATCTTGAATCTCGACCACTCCACGGATTTTGCAGCCCCGCATTCTTGTTCAAGAGTGTATGAGCAGATTACAGCCAATAATTCAAGCTTGGCTATGACTGGATCTCCGGCAGGCAACAGCCGCCTCCTTACGCCTCTTTACATATAGAATCGCTTTGCCAGCTTCTGCTGAATCTTCGCTGAGCAACGATTCGCACGGCCGAGCGACCTTTTCGGAAAATCCTCAAATCAAGCGGCATTTGCAGACCAAGCGATCCATTTCAAACTCCGTCAAAATAGTTTTGCCGCCATGTCTACACAAGCTCCGTACGCCACAGATGTCGTCGATGCAGCGGCGCTGGACCACGAAGTATTCCAGCAAGAGCTTCTCCAGGCTATCAACTCAGCAGATCCCATGAGTGTCAATTGGCGTAATCTGAGCGTTTTGCTCAAAGCTCGAATAAACCTCCCACATCCCATCATACTCGCCAAGTGGGTAGAGCGTTTCACAACACAACTGCGCTGGTCTCCGTACGATTCCGTGCCATTCGTTCCAGAACGCTTTCCTGGGGTGAAACTCATCTCAGCACATCATACCTATCCTCAGAGGGATACAGTGATGCTTATGCTCTCTGTACCCGGTGCTGTATGGGAGAGTCTTCAGCATTCATCGGCATCTGATTCAATCACTATTCTGGAGCATGTGGGGGAGGAAAACGTCGTTGGAGACTTGCAGATGACCTATCTGCTTACACGAGCAGCAAGGCGAGTCAACGAAGGACCGATCTCGATCGACCAGTTCATGGACGATCTCAAAAGGGTATGCTTGGCCATGAATGACGGTTACGGAGATAGGGTAGTAAGAAACTTCGTCTTTCCCCGAGTCAAATTCACCGTAAAGATGACGAAAGAGAACCACGAGGACAGTCGAGAGCCCACAGGGTTACCGTGGAATGATATACGACTCCAGACGAAGTCCATGAGCCGTAGTGGCTTGAAATTTCTTGGTGAATCTCCATGTGAAGGAGGCTCTGAAACCACGTTCGTTATTGCCAAGGACTACTGGCCGTACCTCGAAGCCATCTCCCACACGTATTGCTTCGCTGGTTATGTTGAGAAGCGCGAATATAGGGAGATCTCACCAAATCGTCACTTTCGACCTTCCCCAGAACCGACACAAGCAATTGCGGATACACAATCACCTCAAAGGGCAACAAAGGCGCGCTCTCTCTAAGCCAAACCACCAAAATCTCAATCCCGACTAATTTCGGACTTCCTTCATCAACCTCACGATATCGCCTGCCGTGCCACATGATCTTTGAGACTCTACAGACCTGTCTGAGCGTTTGTTCGCGGCATCTAGAATTAATCTGCAGCTACTACACATTGCTTGCTTCTGTACAAGTGAAACCTCCTGATGAAATGGAGACATACAGGCTTGCTACATCTCTCTCGTCACGGCAGAGATCGCAAAGACATATTCATGTGCTACTCTAAGACTTGACGCGAAGCAAGCTGTGGGCAACAAACAGGATCAACAAAGAGTCAAAGTCAAACCCTCAATATCTTTTTCTACAACGGCCATGCTGTTCAGACTATGTCCCCCTCCAGAAGTCCCCGTATTGAGTTCATGGACGAAGATCCGAACACTCAGCAGCCTGGTGGACCAAGCTTCGACTACACGCGGTACAGAAACATGCTGGATACGTACACTCGGGGTGAAGTCTTGATACTTCTGGATTGTTGCTATGCATCTGCAGCTATCGCTGGTCACGATGGACCCGAGATCCTGGCGGCTTGTCCTTGGTACGACGTAGCAAGCTCCGACCCAGCTAGGTGCTTCACTACAACGCTGAACACTGCTTTGACAAACATGAATGGTGCCCCTTGTAAGGTCGCCGATCTCTACACGGTGATGAAGCGCGATCCGACCTATATGAACATGACGGTATCACCAATCCATGTCTTGGGAGCCGGAAAGTCACAGAGTGTGACATTGGCCAAGTGTACCGGCCAGAACACTGTCGCCCAAGTTTCAAGATCCAAGCGCATCGCTCAACAGCATGGCCACGCTACTGATCGCGTCGTCCTAACCGTGCACATTGTTGATGTGGCTCAGGGCAACGACATCCAGCAGTGGATCCAGTGGCTCACAAGAGACGTGCCTAATAACATCGCAAGCATCGATGTCAAGGTCGAGGTCATTGCGGCTCACCGGTCAGAGTCCATTCAACTTCTCTTCTCCGTCCCAACTTGGGTTTGGACGTGCATGGATCCCACTGTGGAGGCCATCAGCTTCGTCAGCCACGTTCGGGGACACAACTTCTTACCCCCTCCCACCCCTCGCCCAGTTGGTATGCCCCTTCGCCAGGTCCGTCAGAACCAGAACGAAAATCGGTCTCTTGGAGGTCACAAGCACTCGGCTAGCATGGGTTGATGCAAAGCACGGTACTTTCGCCAAGAATGACAGGTCCACAGAGATAACCCTTTTGAGTGCTATCTCCATGGCCAGTGTCATTTCTAGAATGCAACTGTGCCTTTCGACAGCTTGAGACACCCTTCTACCTCGGCATGAAGGCAGAGCCAATTGCGAGATCGTGACAGTTCTTCTCCCCTTTACGCCCATAACGACCTTTCCCTTTCTCGCAAAGCACCAAAATGATAACTTCAGGGTTTTGAAGCTGTCGAAACATGTCTTTTCCTTGTTTTGTTTTGTTTTCTTTGTTTCTGTCACATGGAGATCCGGCTTTTGGGCTGTTGAAGCATTTTGTTACTCCACCAAGAAATCAAAATTTGAGATTCGCATTATCCTTCTGCTTGTGCCTTCTTCTAGTGCGTTCTATGGTTACACTGACGTGATAGGTTTCTCTTTTAAAAAAAAACAAAGCAAAAGCAAGACCGAAGAAAAGATCCAGGAAGCCAGCGACAGATCAGTCATCAGAAGAACAATAGTCTGCATCATTGTTGCCGATTCTCTTGAGCACATTGATGAGATGTGCACTTCACAGGAACCGAGAAGATCTGCCCGAATATCAGCAAGGTCGTAGTGAAGCATTGCTGCACTCTCCTGTTCTAGAGCTCGAGATACCGCTATGGGAAAAGTTATTGCATTTGTCCAGCTATCTTTTGTGATTTAGCAGAGTCAGTTTGCAGAGGGTGGCTCTGAATGGCTACATCGCTCATGCACCTTAATCACATCTACCGGATGGTGTACCCACTTTGAACCACTCTCACAGAATGTCAAGTCCAGACTCCACCGCAGCTTGCACACTACATAACCCGCCAAAGCCCAAAATTCTCTTCTGATTCTCTCAATATGCATCATCTTCTACAAATCGTCCCTAGCAAGTTTTACTTCTGGCTTGATGAGGCTATGGCACATCATGTCGCTGCTCTCAAGACTATGAAAGATGACGTCCACAAGGCTTATTGCGAGTACGAGATTACCCGCGACGTGGATGTGAGAAGGAAAGATGTTGTTGTTGTTGTATGAGGAAAGGTGGTGGAGATGGGTTGCTTCCTGAGAGAGGTTCAAATAGTTTGCTCTGAAAAGGAATCAAGACTAAGAAGCTGGCTACCTCTTCCACGTATAGCCAAAAAAAAAAAAAAAAAAAAAAAAGAAAAAAGACGAAAAATGCAAAATCCTTTTATACTTGTGCTTGACCAGTGGCTTTCGTGACGTTTTATAGAAAGAAATGCAGTAATAAGAGTAAAACTTCTACTATTCAAACTGGAACATAATCTGCTGTCCTGAAGCTCCATCCTATCAACGACAAACTTCACCATCGTGGCTTCCACTCCCAAGCATGTCCCTTCCCAAAACACCTACACACTTCCTCCCCTCCTCCCTTCCCACCTCTGCACAGACCCCACACCACCACCTCTGATCCAACCCCCTGACATTCGCCCCAAAGCCCTGTGCCTGTAGTCTCGCACTCTCAAACGTCGTTTTCTGCGCTACACAATTGTGTGCACAGAGTTCTGGCGAAGAAGTAAGGATCAAGTGACCGCAAGCGAGGCGATGGGTTAATGAGCCAGAGGTGCAGGAGGGAAGGATATGGATGCCTGAGGTGTAAGGATGGGTGTGGGATGGGGATGGTGGAAGAGGCAAGGGTAAGGGATCAGGGAGAGAGAGGTAGTGATGGTAGGGTCTGGTGAGGTGCTTTTGGGGGCTGACAGAAAAAGGTGAGATGACAACTTTAGCAGCAAAGTCTTGGATCGGTGATAGAAAATCTCTTTTCTCTTGTTTGTCCTCGGTGTTGAGATTTTCTGCTTCTCTGCTTGATGATGATGATGACGAACAGCCAAAAGTGTCAACAACATCTGTAGTATCCACAATTCTTGTCATCGATGACACGGACACGCAAACCCCATCCTCCAGACCCCCAGGGAATCTCAACCCCAGTCCTTTTGGCCGGACCTGCTCCTGCCCCTTCATCATCACCCCAGAATTTTCGGAAGCTGGCGGAACAAAGATGGGGGCACCAACAACGTCTCCACTTGCTGGCGTCTTGATGATAATGTTGGGGTTACAAAGCGTATTCGTATCTGCTGCTGTTTCTTCAACATTGTCAAATTCTTGTTGGAAAAGTGGACTTGGTGATGGGTTTGGTGTACGTCGTGGTGTCCTCGGAGTACTCGCCCTCCTCTTTATCACCAAACGCTCAGGTGTAGTAGGCTCGACTCCATCACTGCCATTTCGACCTTTCGTATCTGCGAGCAGAGACCAAGTCTTCCTCTTCGAAATCACAAACTTTGGAGTTGGAATCTGTGTAGGCGAGTATTTTCCTGGCAGCGCTATGCACTCCAGCCGTGCTATTGGTAATGGAGATTGCGCGACAGCTGGCAATGGCTTTGTTGTTGTTGGAGACTTGAAAGCTGGCGACGGTTTTGGTGACGCAAGTTTGAGAGTTGGCAATGGCTTGAGCGCAGGTGTCGAGTTTGCCGGTTTGACTGCTGGAGACTTCGCAGGCGGCCATGGTGTGATTACTGGCGACGAGCTTCGAGGAAGACAAGTAGTCGTATCACTAGCGCGACGTGTGAGATCAGACGAAGAAGAACGTTCTGGCGTCTGTGAATGCGGCGCAGAATATCTCGACTTGAGTGAATCACTCCTTATGGGTGGTGTTCTTCTAGTTGTGCAGCGTTCTTCTGTTTGTGTTGATGGCATTGTATTTGTCTTTTTGCGTTTAGGAAGATGGTGACGACTAACAGATTTCGGCGGCTATGAACATTTGTAGTCGTGATGAATGAAAGATGACAACAATGGACATGCCAGCACAAGACATGTGCATGTGTATCTGTTGGATTCATTCTTTGTGATGTCAATGCTGAAACGTGCAGTGTCATCTGAAAGAAAAGTGAACCAATGTCTCACGAAGAATGATACGACATATAGGAAACGGGAGAGAGAGAGAGAAAGAGAGACCGAGTGAACAGAAGATAGAAATACATTCATTGTACACGTGAAATCTAAGAACCACATTACTTATCTCAGACACACAATGTCTCCCAGAACCAAAATCCATGCAAGCACATTCAAGCATGCTTGGCGTGCAAGTCGTCAGCGTTGTGCTTGGCGAAGACCTTGCTGGAAAGGTCAAACACGGGCAGAGGGCAAGGAATGCCAACAGAAGCGCAAACAGTGACAATGGACAAATACCAGCCTGAGATCAAGCCCAACCATCCAAAGCCACCACCGATCTTGAGAAGAGTGCTGACATGGTTGAGCACGGCGGCGGCCTCGGCAGCACTGGTGGCGTGCTCGACATTGGGAACATAAAAGTCTGCAGCTGCGATGAAGGAGAACAACATGGTCAGACCGAAGAATGTGGCGGTGAAAAAGGCGTTGACGCGGATAGTGCCGATAAGGAAGGTGAAAGACACAAGCACCATGACCACGTTGTGGAAGCCTTGCGATGAGTTCCACTCAGCACCTGCTGAGCTACCGACCTTGGCGAAGGCGGAGACCTGGTTGTAGTAAGGGTCTTGTGCGTATGCAAGACTGCCCCAGTGGCAACCGTAGATGATAAAGACGGACATGGGGAAAGCTGTGATGAGCTTGTCAGTACCTTTAATCAAACTTGGATCAGGTGGTCAAACATACTGTTTCCAAGAATGAACTCTGCAATTCCTGCAAGAATCATGCCAACGAAACCAATCATGTAGTAGTCACCGTCCAAACCAATCAGACTGGTAGGCGCGACAGCACCTCGGAGACCACAAAGGGTGAAGATGGTAGACGTGTATGGGACCAAGAAGCAGACCAAGCCGAGAAGAGTCGGGTTACCTGTATTGTTGTCAGTATGAGGTCGATCTCAGTCCGGGGCTTCAAACAAAGACATACCAAATCTCTTGGAAAGGTCTCCACGTCTGGGTCCTTCGGGCTGGAAGAACAATCTCTCATATTGTTCGGGAGTGAGAGCCACGGTCATTTGACGACTCAGAGGTGCGCCCAAAGGTGCACCATTGCCGCTGGAGTGGTCCTCCGTCATGGTGTGGTCGATCTTCTCGGTAGACATTGTGGGTTGAGTTTGTATCGCTGAGTTGTCGTAGATGTAGGAGAACGAGTCGTGTAGGAAGGTTGATCAACGATGGTAGTTGTAGGGAAGGATTGAGAAGGCCACGATATGAACAGGTCAACCAGGAGGAGGATCGACCTACTTATACACAACCAGTCCAGGCAGTGTCCCATCCGTCGCGCCTTCCTTGGAACACGGTAGCGTCCTCAACCGCCTCTCCAGACGTCTATAACTCAAACCCCAGATCATCCGTTCACCCCCACATGGAAATATGGGGAGATCTCCGCACCAATTACCCCGGAAGTTGACGCTAGAGCAAGCGCTGGCGTGGCCAACGGCTGATGAACCGTCAAAAGCGGCTTGGGGGCTTGCAGCATGCATCAGGGGAAAGAGACTTGGATACGAAAGTACGAAGTCGATGGCTAGACCTCGATCTGCATGTCTCGAGTGACCTTACGATCCGAAATGTCACTACTCTCAACGACAGACTCTGCTGAGATTCGACATTGAAGTCGAGATTGCCTCGGTTTCGTTCCAGCAACAAACTTCCCATGGATATCCTGAACAGTCGTAACTACAACGTCAACAGCTTGCTTTTTCACTTCACAGACGAATCATCTTCGGCGACCCCGCATCCGGAGCCAAGAGAGATTATGGTTTCTGCTAGCTCCTTCACCGCAGTGTCTAGAGACGAAACCGAAAAGGTAGGTGTTGACTTGAGAAGTTGATGGAAAGATGCCGAGGCTTGTAAGAGCTTAACCGAGGTGAACTGTAGTATCCCCGCTTCCACATCAAACCGTTTCTGTCTTGATTATTCTTTTGAGAGTCTTGGAGTGTCTTGTTTCCGACGCCTCGTGAACTGTGTTTTGTGAATGAGGAGTGTGATCAGTTGACGCGGAGATGGGCTGAAAAGGAGGCGTCGGGAGTTGTGAAGTTTGACCACAACAAGACTCTCCGCGGATGGTGTGAACGTCGAGGCTCAAGAATGTCTGCAGGTGGAAAAAACTTTGGCAACGCCCAAAAGGGTTCGGAAAGCTTGGAAAGGCTTGAGGGGTTGTTGTGACTGTCGAAAGGTTCAAAGAAAGAGACGAGTGAACTTTTGATTTTCGTTACGTATCTCCAAAGCCAGCTTGTTCCCATTTGGCAGCACCTGGACCTCCTTGTGCAGCCGCGGCTACCTTGGCACCAGCTATGGCAGCGTTGCCAGCAGCAACAGTGTGGGCTAGATGTGGCGTCGTGTCGCTGCTTCCGCCCATGGAAAATAACATGACAAAGACCAAAAGATGAAGTCCAACAACCCAGACAGCAAACATGTTCCTGCTGGTCCTCGTTGCTAATACAAGTCTAGATGCTTGCAAGACAGCTCGTTCAGGCAATGAGAGTCTTTGGAAGGCGCGACTGGATTCTTTGCTTCGAAAAGCAGCGAATGGAGAGATTGAGTTTTCGTAGGCCGATTTGTAACGTGCATCGGTACCAGGGTTACTGCGATCGATTGTGATGGTGGATGGGTTGGTGGACGAGTAACCAGACGTTGCACCACCCTTTGTGTTGTAACTGTTGACATATCTACTCTTCTCATACAAGGATAGATTGTCTTTTTGCAGGCTAGCAATTTCGGAGCGCAGAGACGAGACGAGTGTGTACTGTTCCTGCAGGTTCGTCTCTAGCTCACGGGCTTTAGCCTTGAAGCGGTCACGTTGAGCAGTGACCATTGGCAGGATGCCAGCGTTGGGAGCCTCCGGTCGCAACGAGTCCAATCCTCGAGGTGATGAGGTGCTGGTATCAAAGCCAGAGATGATGGAAGAGGTGGGTGATGTGTTTCCTCCACGACGGATTGATGCAGCGTAGGAGGACTTTGGGTAGCGAGAGGTGTATGTACCTGCTACAGACATGGCCGAGGGGTCGAAAGCGTTGCTGGCCTCATTCTGAGCCTGCAGCAAGTCTTCCTCGAGCGTCTGCGTCAGGTTGCGCGACTTCTCCAGCTCCATATTCGTATTGGATAACTCTTCTTGCAACGACTCGAGACGAGATTGGAGGTCGTTGTGCGAAACGCGGAGGATGGTGAGCTCATTGGACAGCTTCTTGTTGCGAGCAAGAAGAAGCTTCTCCAGTGACTCGCCCTTGTCACCAGCAGGAGCGGCGTCTGGCTCATGGTCGGAATCGTCTGCGTCGCCTGTCGCGAACTCGATCGACTGATTTTTTGTTAGCAATGCTTGCTGCATAGTACATGTCGTGCAACATACCTTGAGCATGTCCAACTCTTGCTTGACCTCGTCATAATCGCTGCACTTGTCCAGCTTGCGCTTGATGCTTTCACGATCCTGCTTGAGAGATTCCAGCTCTCTTTCGAGTGATCTGAGGTTGGAATCCCACTTTGTCTTTTCTGAATTCTTCTCGTAGCGCTGTGCATCGAGCTTTCGCAGTAGCTGCGAGTTTTCGGAGCGTAGACGTAGGAAGGCAGGGTCATCTTCGACAGAGAGGGCGGTTTGAGATGAGCTCTGGTTCGCGGTCGACTGGGCGAGCTCGAGGCGCAATTGCTCGTTGCGGCCTTGCAGCTCAGACAGACGCAGGTTTGCCTTTTCGAGTTCTTGGTTGACGAGATCAAGCTCCTGCTGTGATGCGCCGTGGACAGAGTCGGACGTGTCGTCCTCGGTCTTTCCTAGACGTTGAGCGACATCGTAGCTGGCCTTGAGCTCTTTCAACAGACGGTCTTGGTTGTCGACCTTTTCCTCCAAGCTCTTTTCTCGCGCATCCCAGTTGTCTTGCTTCTCTTTTAGAACAGCGTTCCAAGATGCCTCGACTTCCTTGATCTTGGAGTCTTGATTTGACTGTGAGGATTGTCTGGCGGAGCGCTCTTGTTCGAGTTGAGATTCAGTCGCTTCGAGTTGTGCGGTCAAGTTGGCGACGGTGGATTGCAGGTGCTTGTTCTCGGATTCCAGCTTGGGGACGACTTCTTGGGCGGTGACGAAGGAATCTATCGAGGCTTCGAGCAGCGGGTATGGATCGGGAGCTTCAGACAGGGGCGAGTAGAGTTGGAGAAAAGCTGACTGGGTCGACTTGGACTGGTTGGAGATGAGGTCGATAAAGGACTGGTAGGACTTGAGCAGAGCCTTGATCTCATCCAACTTGGCGGCATCTTCGAGTTTGCGAAAGTCCTTGGTCTTTTGGGCGAGCTCCTTGCGTTGTACCAGCGTGTCGCGTTGGTGGGTGACGAGGTCCGAGGCGGCTGTGTCGAGCGTAGAGATGAGAGAGGTGAGATCAACGTCTGTGCAAGGGTCAGTACTGAGTGAATACAGAAGACAAGAGGAAGGAAGGGCGTACTCCGCCATGAAGCAATTGCTTGCTGGAACTTGTTCTCTTTCTCCTGATGACTGGCAGCGCCCTGGACAGCCTGGGGCTCTACGACTTGGCTTGCCATTGTGTGCCGATGCACTGCTTACAACACATGTGGTTATAAGCGACAAAAGCAAGAGCGAGCTTATTTGTTGGAGCAACGTGTCGGTGTGCTGATGGAGCTTGGAGGGAGCATCCACAGGTCAGGGTTGCGTGGAGATTCTTGGCGCGGGCTCTGACATGTGAGAGTGACGCCGCCCGCTGCAACCACCTTGATCGATACTAATCCAGACATATACGATGGAAGAGGCAGTCGCGCCATGAATGAGGAAGCATGGAAGCCGCAGCTAACGATGGTGCCTACGTCTTGCGCGACTTGATGCGCAATGCCCCACTGTCGCCTGACGGAGAAGAAGAACATCATGTCCACATAACCTGCGTCGATGCCTGGGGTGAGTCGCGACTTCCGAAAGCACCGCTCTTGCCATCTTTTGCTGACTCTCGACTAGACGGCAACCTGTACATCGGCACGTCGGCAGGAGAGATCCTCCATTTTGTCTCAATTCCCTCCGACGATTCAGACCAACCTACCTACATCCTCGCATCCCGCTTACAGCCCGAGTATTCCAACAAACAACATGATGCCTTGCCAGCCGTCGAACAGATCCTGTTGTTACCCTCGGTGGGAAAGGCATGCGTCCTGTGTCATGGCACCTTGACCTTCTACACCCTCCCCGAGCTCAGTCCCGCCTTTGGAGGAAAGATCAAACAGAGCGACTGCACCTGGGTCGGAGGTCTGGACCGCGATCTGGATACCCAAGACTTGGATCCTGCCGATGGCTGTATCATTGTCATTTGCTTGAGGCAGAAACTGCGTGTCATCCGTATCATGGACCAAGGCTCTCCTCGCAAGATCAGAGACATTGAGCTCGGCAATTGTCTCGACATACAACGAAGAGCTGATCTTGCCTGTGTCGCTGATGCTACTTCCTACGCCTTACTGGACATTGTCAACCAGCGCAAGATCGACCTCTTTCCCATCTCGTCTCTACCCAATCCCAATCCATCCTCTGGTCGCCAGAGCCCAGACATTGATCCTCCTCCAATACAACGTCCGCCATCGAGAAGCTTTTCAGCCACCAGTCCTGTCCGCAGACCCGACCTTCGCGCTCAAGATAGGGTAGCCAGCGTTGGAGGCGCTCCTCAGACTCCCGGACGACAGACTCCTGATCGACTCCACCCCAACGACTCACCTTCACCATGGCCGCATCGTGCCGCCTCTCGTCAGGCCATGTCCCCGAGTCCGACGAGACCACTTGCCAGCCCATCAGTAGACACTGAGGGCAAGGTGTTACCTCCCACACCTCAGCTCGAACGGCCGCAGCCTCTTCCCCCGACCGCACACGTTTCCCTGAAACCTCACGTCTCCACTCCCACACCCAACGAATTCCTTTTGACCACTGGCACCACTCCTGAAGATCCTGCAGTCGGTATGTTTGTCAATCTGGATGGTGATGTTGTCAGAGGCACCATCGAGTTTGAGAGTTACCCTGACTCGATCATTGTCGACGGTCAATCTTCAAACTCTTCGATGCAACAAATGCCTGGAGACATGTCTCAAGAAGGCTATGTATTGGCTGTCGTGCGTCGTGAGAAGAATGGAGTCATCGAGAAACTAGTCGAATACCAACGCTGGGACGTTGATCCTTCCGACAACCAATACCACAAAGACTTTCTCAGCCTGCCGTATTCTTCCAAGTCCGAAGTACAGATGGCATTACGAGAGGCTACTTCCGCGACGACTATGAGTCTATCTTCTGTAGGCAAAGCGCTCAGTTTGCGCCGCCTGTATCTTCATGAGCCTACATCAGAGGAAACGGCCGTGGACGTCAAGCGCAACGATGACGAGGACAAGTTGATTGAAAGATTTTCCAGCGTGCAGACCAAAGTCTTGCTTTTCGCAAATGACTCGATCTGGTGGCTTGTTCGAAATCCCTTGGTTGTACGACTTGAAACACAATTAAGTGCTGCTGTCAACATATCAGCCAATTCCTTCACTGTACAGGGCAAGCAGGTGCAAGCAGTCCTAAACAGCATCCGTGGTAAAGAAGCCACCAATGAGTTCGAGTTCTTCGGCTTCAACTATGTTCGTCAACAAGCCTCGCTACTGCTTTTGATCGACCTCATTCTCAAGACCAACCAAAACATTATCGCTTCCGAGGCTGAAAAACGTGCGACTCATGACGCCTTGGTGGAGGGAGAGATAGATCCCCGCATCATCCTATCCATCATCCCGGTCTTGTCAGACGAGGTTGTTGAAGGTCCACAGGGCCTCTGGATACCTGGTGGTCTCAAGAATGCCATTGATCAATTCAAAGCACAATACCATGCAGAATCAATCAATCAAGATCCACAAGGACCCTATGGAGATAATCTGTTGCAAGTATTGAAGCGTTACCTACAATCATGGAGGAGGAAGAAGGGTTTCGGCAGTATTGCAGATGAGAAGCAGGTCTCTCACACTGTGGATGCTGCATTGTTGTCTCTACTCTTGATGCTTGACAGCAACACATTTCCAGGACCAGCAGCACCTGGGTCACTGCGTGCTGAACTCAATGATGTGGTCGATCAAGGTGTTGAATGTTTTGATCATGCAGTTGAACTTCTCGAACGGCACAAACGACTCTACATCTTGTCCCGACTGTACCAAAGTCGAAGGATGGTAGGTCAAGTCTTGTCAACCTGGCGTCGCATACTCGAATCTTCTGAAGACGTGGGTGGCGAGTTGATTGATGGTGAACTCGACGTGCGCAAGTATGTCACCAGAATCAAGGATGTCGAGCTTGTCAAAGATTACGGTACCTGGCTTGCTAATCGTAATCCCCCTCTTGGTGTTCAAATCTTCGCAGATGAGAATGCAAGAGTCAAGTTTACACCTGCTGAGGCAGTTGATCTATTAAAAGAGCGTGCCCCAGCTGCCGTCAAGGACTACTTGGAGCACCTTGTGTTTGGCAAAAACCAAAATCAATATGCCAACGACCTTATTTACTTTTACCTCGATACCGTCACGCAGGCCATCGATGACTCATCAACGTCTGCAAAGGACATACTTCTGACGAGCTACCACACCTATCGAGCCTTGGCCCCACCGAAACCGACATACAGCCAATTTATCCTTGACAACAATCTCCCAAATACATGGTGGAAGAATAGACTCCGACTTTTGCAGCTCATCGGTGGCTCTTCTGTATATGATGTAGAAGCTCTGAGCAGCAGGCTGATATCATACTCAGAAGTCCTTGTACCAGAGACTATCGTTCTTGCCGCCCGGCGCGATGAGCATCAAAAAGCTCTCAAGCTCCTCGTCCACGGCCTGGCAGACTTCGATACGGCTGTACGATATTGTCTGCTCGGTGGCAGCAGCATCTTCCATCCTGCCTCATCCTCGACAACCCTTCCTCTACCGTCAAAGGAAGAACAACAGGTTCTGTTTTCTCACCTTTTACACTGTTATCTCGATCTCGACGATCAAGATCAAATACTTGAGCGAGTTGCAGAGCTTCTTGAGAAGTTCGGGAGCTGGTTCGATATTGCCGAAGTACTGCCCTTACTTTCACCATCATGGCCGCTCGAGCATTTTGGCGCGTTCATCGCCAGTGCAATGGGTAGACTTGTATCTGAGAGAAATGAGACTGTCATTGTCAGGGCGCTCGCGGGCGCGCAAAACCTTAGATTGGCTGTTGATGTCGTCGAAAAGATTGAGAAAGAGGGAGCTACTTGGGAGAGTGTCAAGAAAGATAGCGGTGTTGCTTAGATCTAAGCGTCTCGAATCAACGGGCGCTCTCTGTTTGAGAGCGTGGTGGTGCTGCAGAAGTAAGACAAATTACTGGCTGGGAGAAGGTGACCTCCACGACTTCTGAATAAAGGGTAAAGCAACCTCTTTTGAGGTGTCATCGCGTCGTGATATTCATCGAGTTGGCTGCTTTTGAAGAGTCAGCGACAACCATTCCGGAAGGTGGTAATAGTTCTAGGTGTTCTAGTGTTTGCTCTGTTTGATTGGCTGTGCAAGGCGTTGACGCTAGAACTCGTACCCTGAGCGCATGATCGATTTGGCTGGCAGCCACCACGTACACCTGCAAAATTAGGCGGCAGGCAGCAGAGTTGGGAGCACAGCAATCTGCTCAAAACGCCCGAATTCTTGCTCGTCTATTCCCAAAAGATGATTGGATTTGTTGATCTGTGATGGTGAGATTTCAAAAGTCAAAAGACGCGTGGTTCGTGGCGCACAACCCAGATCCTCCTGAATCGTTCATGTCGAATACAAGACTTTGCCATGCCTCAGGATGATGAATATAGTTCTTGGACCATGGCTGTCGCTGGTTTTGCTTGCTCGCAATGCTATGGCAAATTCTTATCGCCGTTGCTTGTCTGTATTTTCTGATTTTGACAACAACTGAGACATTTACACGTCTACCGAATAGTCATGGCCATACATCGACAATCTACCTACTGCCTCCTCAGGCCAACGCGACAACATCTCTGATCTGCAAATCTGTACATCCACACTTTGCGAGTACACTTTTCCCCGTCGAAAAGGACGTCTACGAACGCTTTTCTGCTGCACCCGATGCACCGTCTAGTTTATTAACCTACCATGGCATTCACACCGATATTCCCTCTGGTCTAATTCTGGAACTCGCAGAAGGAGGAAACCTTCAAGATTGGCTCCTCAACACCGCAACCCCACCAAGCGAAGCTCTACTGTACAAATGGACACTCCAAACCGCCGAAGCCCTTTGTTTCGCACACAGATTAGGGATCTTACACTCTGACATCCATCCTCTCAATTTCTTGCTCAGCGGCAATCTCGATCTTAAAGTTGGAGATTGGGGCGGTGCATCTGTGGATGGAAGTCCTTCGCATTGCTCCTATCGCTACAGATACCGTTTGTTCACTCCCAATGGCACCGACTTCGTCAAAGAAAATGGTGTTTCTCCGGCAACAGAGATCTTCGCCTTTGGAATGGCGGTGTACGCGATAGTATCTGGAAAACCGATCTGGCCTGAATTAGAGGAACCAAGGGATTGGGAAGAGATCAAGAAAAGAATTGTGAAGAGAAGATTTCCTGATACGAAGGGATTGAAGATACTGGGGGATGTTGTGAAGGGATGTTGGAGTGGAAGGTTCAACAGTATGGAGGAAGTCAGGGTTGCGATTGAGCGGGAAAGAGATGCTGCTCTATCGCGAGATGAAGGTGCGTCGCAGCAGATACCCTTCATTGCCAATTAGAATATTCCTCCAGCCTGTGTTTCTGTCCCTTGCCGAATTTACTCAAGATTGACATTCCACAATGGAATACACGTCTTTGCTTCTTCCGCATTCAAGGCACCAGCATTCGAGCGGACGAAAAACAAGCCTCGCCAATTTTAGTCCTATACCAGATCTCGTATTGCCAAAGGGCTGATCTTCCCTGCCCAGACCACACGAACAAAGTCTTAAAAATAGACAAGCTCTTGGAAAGCACTTGCCGAACAGTGACTTGCTTGTTTCTTTTTTTTTTTTGTGATCCTTTGCCAAGACTATTGTTATGTACTATGTCTAGTCATTGATTTTGGCATTGTCAATAAAACAGTGATGAAAGATAACAAAACCTTGCATTCTTTAATCTACTAAGATTTGGTAGTGTTTTATAAAAGGCAAAAAACTCTGCTTTAGTTGCCTAATATGGTAAGAGACATTGTTTTATATTTAGAAAGTCTATGTTGATATAGACAAAGGGTAGATTATCTATAGAATGAAATATTAAAAATCTTATAAGATTTCAACCTCTTTTATTTTCTTGGAGTAAATGTCTGAAAGCGGCATACTTCTATATATATAAAGACTTCTAAGTTTTAAAAGCTAACTTTAGTAGTACTAACATAGAAGACTTTACAAATGCGGCCAAGCATGGCATAGAAAAAAAAGGAAAAATGGGCATATATGGATGTTTTCGAGCAGATCAAGTCACGAGAATATAATAGATGGAATGATTGGAAAGGGGACGAGATGAACACGGGTAAAAAGAAAAACGAAAAGTCATATTTCAATACAGTAAACAGTGGAAAGACTTACCTGCAACGCCAAAACGCCAGAAGTCTAGATTGGACGTCTTCCAGTGACAGCAGTCATGTCAGGAAGAGGGATTTTCTCGTCTAGCGATTTCTCCTTGCGCGATTGAATGCCTCGCGGTTTCTCATGACCCACCTGATCCACTGCACTCTTTCAGCAGAGTACACCCAAGCGTGACGATCAGTGTTCCTATTATGTCGCATGGCAATCTGTTCAGTAGCGCGAAGATCTTCAGGCACAGAAACCGGAGGTCCACCATAGGGACCCCAGTTTCGAATGTGAGTGAGCATGTTGTTGTCTACCAAAAATGCATAACGGTGGAACCAGTCAGAGCCGAGGTAGGTTTGTTGTGTAGTGATATCTGTGCCTTGGAGCCAGTTACTTACATAAGGGTTGAGAGAAAGCAGAGCATCTCGTTCGATTTGGCGTCTGAGTTGTTCGCGATGTTGGTTGTATTGCGAGATTCTCGTTCTTAGTCCTCTGTACAGTTGGCGGTACATCTCGGGCTCGGGCATTCCAAGAACCATGCGTTGAGCATATTCATCGGTTCCTGCGATCAGGCTTTGGAGGTGGATAGGAAGTTGACTAGCCACAGGGTGGAGGTCAGCAGGAATATTGGCCAATGAATTACCTGCTGGTGGCTGTTCGGGAGGAGTCATTAGGAGGCTCCATTGTTCAGCAAGAATCTCTTGAACTCTGGCTACCTGCTGTTCATGAGACATATTGCTAAGTTGCTCACGGGTCTGGTCATCAAGCGGATCCAGGAGCTGAGACGACATCTCTATAGCCTCAGCGGACATCTGTCCAGCAGTTGGAGGTTGCATTGGCTGTTGGAGCAGCCAATCATGATTAAAATTGGGAGACTCTGCGGCTTCGAGGAGTCTGTCGACAGCCTCTTGTTCATCAATGTCCATAGCGGTGGGATGTTCAGCTTTAGTGTCAACCTGCTCAAGAGGAGCAGCAGCTTCAGCCTCAGCAGCTTCAACAGCAGCAGGGGCAGGAGGATTGGGAGGAGGAACAAAGTTCTCACGAGCTTCAGCAAGAAGTTCATCCTGCACAACCTCGCGACTACGAGCAGCCCTACCTTCGAGTCTCTCGAGTTCGGCACTTTGCTGTTCTCTATTCCAACTAAAGACTACATCTCTGGGAATGTTGAAATCATTAAGGAGTCTGTTCTCCAAGGCAACGTTGCGGTCGAACTTTTGCTTCTTGCCATTGGCGTCAACCTTGGCTTTGAATGGCATCTTGTTTCCTGGGATTTGGTTTGTGTGGTTGTTTTGTGGATGGTTGAATTTGGAGTGTGGGTTTCCAATTGCCGATTAGAAATGAGGTAACCCTGTCCTTCGTCGAATATAATAATGTTTGCGAGCTAGTCTGTGTGACATGGGTCCTAGCCCCTGTCCATTGTCAATTGCTGCTTTGAGCATTGTTCTAATCAAGAACTTCCAAATGCCCTCAAAGAGGTCGCACAATAGACTGTCTACTAGTCTGGGAGTTCAAAGCAGTACTCAAAGGCCGACCCAGGAGGGACGTATAATGATCAAAGGATCATGTCCTCTGCAAGTCAATGAGGGCGATGCCATCCGAGGATCAGACAATGCTCAAGTGCTTCCTCAACAAAGAAAGCGCAGTATACAGCTTCCCTTCTTTGTCTTTGCCACATCGTCTTTGTTCTTCCATCCAGAACCCTCATTGTGTCGATGCCTTCGGATCTGTCAACAAATTTCTTTGTTTGCTCGGGCAAAAGAGTTTATAATGTTCAGAATGACCTAGCCGACCTGGCTTTGCGCTACCGAACCTCGTATAAGTCCTGGCGACAAAATGACTGACTACGGCACAAGTTCTCCTATCAGCGCTGGTACGTTTGATTTTCCTTCAACACCTAATGTTCCATCTACACCTAGCGTTCCATCTACACCTAAGGATCCGGCTTCCCCATTGGTCCCTTCTTCTCCTTTTCCCAAGGATGAGCCTATGGCTGAAGATGAAGAGATCCTTCCTCGCACGCCCGAAGGTCTGAGCCGAAGACAATACAACCTGTTCAAGAGGAACAGAAAGGCAACGCTCAAAGCTGCTAAGATGATGACTCAAGTAATGGAGGAGATGAGCGATGCCACTGAAGACATCACAACTGAGTCTGAATTGCCGGAAGGATACCAAAAAGGTGACTTCGGCCGTCAAGCTCGTAAACTCCTCAAGTCAAATGACAAGCATGGTATGTTGAGTCCCGGTACCCACAAGGTGGTCAAGCCTGCCGTTGTCAGGTATTACTCGTACAAAAGAGACTTCAAGGTTGCTGAAAGGCTTGCTGAGCGCAAGTCGAGAAAGAATGGTGGTATTCGTATGATTTGAGAGTTGAGAGTACCCAGTAGCTCGAGAATGATCCCAATCCGTATTGTTGAGCCTTTCAATGGCGGGCTTAGTGTAATGATCAAAGTATGAGCAATCCAGATCAAGCAGACGTGCATCCTTTTCGAACGATTTTCTTTTCAAATTGATATTATTGGTCCTGTCTGCATAGTAGTGACATTCGTCTTCGATCAAGGTCTTCTGCTTGATAGTTGTTTTGAAATCAAATTCGTAATTTTATCGATGAATACGACGGCTACCGCGCTGATCATCTTATGAATGGTTGCCTGTCAGTGACACTTTGCAGAACTACAGAAAAGTGAATATCTGATCGTGGTCGCAAGTGAGATATCGAGACAAGGCCATCCGTATCGTTTCGTGGTTGCCTTGCCAAAAGCGAATATTCCGTGACTTTGATCACACAACAAACTTGACTGCTGTACTTACGCGACCTCATCATTCTCTCCAGGTCAAACAGCAGACTGCTCGTTTCACTTCCACATGCGTCCAATCAGTATCCAAAACAAACACAAGCGTCTGTCCTCAGCATTGCGCATGCTCTACACAAGTTTCTGCAGAGCCTTGATCGCAAAACAGTCTGCTTCTGCCCAAGGTGATCACATGCGCAGCGCTCGTACTTGTATATAAGCTCACTTTGCTCTTAGCCATGTTCTCTACTTCCATCTTCGTCGTCGAGGCTGATCTCCGCGACAAGCCTGCCACTCACGACAGCAGTAGCAACAGAAGCAACAGCAACAGTAACAACATCGACACCGAGGCTATGCCTCCCACTCCCAGCACCAAGAACAACAAGGCTCCTGTCAAGACCACTTCTTCTCATTGTTTCCTGTCTGCTCCCATTCCCAAGCCTGAGCCTGTCCCTGAGCCTCCCACTTCTGAGACCGTCGACGATGCTCTCGGTCCTAAGCCTGAGCCTATCTCTCGCCCTCCTACCCCTCCTGTCTCCTGGAAGGTACTTTGGGCTTCCTTGAGTGCTCCCACCAATCCTGCTGTCTAAACTCCAGGAGGTTGCCGTTTCTAGCTTCTTATTAACCCCTTTAGGTGGTATGGCGTACTGCTCGGTACAATGAGGAGGTTCACGGCGGCGTCAACTCCTACAGTCTCTACTGAGCACGGAGCTGCTTTTCTCTTTCGTCTCTGGTTTCGGTCACAGAATGGTTGTGCGCATCACGACGAGCATTTGGGATGGCGCTCAGGGAGTACACTTCGGTTTGTCAAGGCACTTCATACACAGCAAGCACAAGGTCATTGACGACCTGGATTGCAATCAATCCTCTATCATGCTTCTGATCATTCTCCGCTCCAAGCTGGATAAAGTCAGTGTGAATCTTCAACGTCCCTTGTCAAACCCCCTCATGATCTTGTGCCTACTCACAAGGCCTTCACCACGCTTCACGACCATCTGAGATAGGCGTTCAATCACGTGAGGGTCGCCGACCTCCTGTCTCCCCTTAGTGCGTTTGACTCAGCTGATTCTTGACATTTATGACAACACCACACACCATTGATTGAGGTCTGCGACCCCTTGTCTCTCGAAGATGATGATCGTCAAGTGATTCGCACTTCGTTTCATGATCCAGTAAGTGCTTATATACGTCAAAAGATCAGATGAGGGTGTCCCTTCTAGGATGTCCACTGCCTACAGCAAAACAAATCCTTGCAGTCTTCAAGAAGTGCTTATACAGCTATGTTGACCATTCCACAAAAGCAAGATCTAGTCTGGCCGAGCTCTCACACGGACCATCATCGCAGGTTTATGCCACACAATATGCATCTTTGAGTCCCTATGCCAGTCCAGATTCGTATTGACAAGTTCAAGATCGTACTTGTAGTGCAACTTGCACATCGTGAGGTTAAGTTCTGTCCATGCCAGACTGCCGAGATATTAGTTACGTACTTGATAGTAGGCACGTTAGGGTTTTACCTTCGTCCCATGCAAGCTCGTGAACCATACGAGAAAGGCTGGGATGCGTCTAGGTCGTCTTGGTCCTTGTTGTCTAGCCAGCGCTCAGGTGCGAAGGTGAAAGGGTCTTTAAAGTTGGCGGAAGACATGGAAGCGGCGAATGGATTTGTAGACACAGTAATCTGTAGTCACAAAGAGAACGTCAGGAACAGTAATGCTTGAACCATGGACCGAATCTCAACTTACGCCTTCGGGAAGCACATGCCCATCCACAGTATCCCCACCCTGTGGGACAACTCGAGGCAGAGCGAATGGAAGTGGAGGATACATGCGCATAGCTTCGAGACAGATTGCATTGACAAGCTTGAGCCTTGAAGCTGAGGCAGAGTTGATGTCTTCGTAGCTAGGGAAAGCACTACGGATCTCTGTGCGCAGTTTGTCGTATAGTACATTATCGCGTAGGAGGTAGTATGTAGCGCAAGATAATGTGGTTGCGGTTGTTTCGCTTCCAGCAATGCTATGCCGTGTCAACGACGCGTAACTGTACGTCAAGAGGTTATCTGCTTACATGAAGTCAGAGGAGTGAGCGGCGATCTGCGATTCGGAAATGATGTGCATTTCACGTTCTTCGATTATGCGTGTCAAAAAGTCTGGTCGATCTGAGTTTTTCTGCAAACGTCTAGACGAGATCAGCACACTCACATGAACAAGACTTGAAGAAAGAAAATCGTCACCTTCTCACAAGATCCTTCGTATGTGCGTCATGCTTGCGAGTATCCTGAAGAATTTTGTCAATCACTCCAGGAAAAAGCTTTTTTACCAGAGCTGCGATAGTAGGATAGCGACCCAAAGAGTCTCCTAGAGCTCCTTGTTTCATAGATCCGACGGCCAGTTGAATCCATTCATGAGACTTCGCGGACTCTAATCCCCCAAACGATTCTCCAAAAGCCAAGCTGCCAATGATATCAAAAGTCATAAGGTTAAACCACATAACGATATCAATGCCTTGAGGACAATCACCCAGTTTCCCAATCTGATCGATAAACAAGTCAATAGGTTCGTTGACCAACCCTTCCTGCTCCCTAAGACTCTTATCCGAAAACGCATTGCTGAGTTGTGCTCGCATCTTCTTATGATTTGCCGGATCTGTTTCACTGATTATCGAAAGTGTTTTCCCATCAAAACTCGCACCTTCATAAAAAGGGCTTTTGCGGAAGACTTGATGTCCTGGTCTGGAGCCGTATATGTCTTTCCATGATTGAGAAGTATTGAAGGAGAGTTCGTTTGGTGATGTCCGGACTACTGGACCGTATCTCTCGTGAAGTGCGAGACGATCGTAGGGCTGTCTGCCTCGGAGAAAACTCAGGCAGTGTGGGATGTTGCTGATGGATGCTAGAAAAGGGCCAGGAAACTTATACAGAGGATGTTGAAGATACGATATGATCCAGTATGTGATATAAGCGATGACGGTCTAGAAAATTTTAGACGTGATTAGATCTGCTCCTGGGGTCCTGACTTACCAGTCCTAACGCGATTGATGAGGGAGGCCACGAGGTTACCATAGAGTCGTCGTTCATCTTGGAAGAATGAGAGTGTTTATCTCGAACTGATTTTGAGTTTCCTCCCCGCCTTAGACCTAGAGCATGTTTCACGTGTACCTCATAAGCAAGAGGATGATGGATTATGTTAGACTGGCCATGGGCTTATATATTCGCAGGCGTAAAAAGATTCTTGTGATGTGGCCATACCTGATTTGTCTTTGCCTCGTGAGAGAAGGAGCAGCCGATAGTGGTGATAGATTATTCGCTGCACTCGTGCAATATAATATGGAGTCTTGGCCTTGCACAGGGACATCACACCACGCGGGAAGCGGCAAAGAAGCGGGGAGACCAGCATCTCTTGCCGCATTGGGAACATATAAATGATGCCGATTATCTTCATACTATCTGCGCAATATGTTTCATCTTGGCTTAAAGCTGCTCTATCCCCTGTTAAGTCAAGTCTCGATGGCTACGAGTTTCAATGTGCGACAAACTTCCTTGGTCATGCTTCGCTGACAAAGTACTTGTTGCCTATACTCACTACCACCGCATCTTCCTCTGTAGACGCACGTATCATAAATACCACATCAGAAGGTCTGATGCTTGCTCCATCCGGCAAGAGAATTGCCTTCGAAGACCTCAAAACAAAACAGGAATATGGTTTCGGGGCTCGCTGGAGGCGCTATGGACAAAGCAAGCTTGCTCAGGTGTTGTATGCAACCCAACTTGCGCGGAGGCATCCTACAGTGCCGTCAATCGCCATCCATCCAGGAGTAGTCGCGACAGATTTGGCCTCGAAATTGGAATGGGCAGGTTAGTTGGCAGTCTAGGCGACCGCTAAAGTGTTGACGTCCAAGGATGGGAGTAAAAACTCGATGTGGGGAGCCACTGCACCTCGTGATGCTGTCGAGAATGGTGCGTACTATTCTCCGATTGCTGAGCCTGGAAAGCAAACAAGATGGACGCAAGACGAGGATCTAGGAAACCGACTGTCGCAGTAGACAGAAGAGGCATTGCAACCCTTCGGCGGCCATACATAATCGGAGATAGAATCTGTGAAATGGCGAGCGATCAGCAATTTGAAACAGTCAACTCAGATCAGGATTGATTGATTCTCTTCAGGCCTTGATGGAAGCAAACAATCTGCGGGTGATGTGCAACCGGGTTCAGTCCGGAGGGGTGGTTCATCCTTTGTTGAAAGAACTTGAACACAAAGAAATGGTCTCGACAAAGAAACTCTCAAACATTCCTCTGGTGACATTTAATGTTTCTGTCTTGATACATCCATAGGTGGCTGGAACAGCCCAGAATTGCATATATCCCAAAGCACATTAACCAGACGGCGGCAGCGATATCTCCGCATCACCAACTCAAACCATTCAGTTGATAGAGGAGCTCCAGTATACGATAGAATTTTGCTCTTCACTAGATTTCTCTTTGACGCGTTCCTCTCCGTGAACGACCATTTCCGGAAACGGAAAATTCTTAGCGTCATCATGCCGAAGCCATCACCGCGTCTTCACTTACCGCGTTCAGTAGCTTGCGATGGAATCAAAACAATTTCAGAGCTGTCTCACCGAACCTTCACCAGCAATACGAATCTTGACTGCAAAATGAACGTCCGCAAACTTCTCGAGTCGATACCCCAGATTCAGCGGGCTTACGAAACAGAGTCTGATTCTGGCTGTTCGCTCAGAGCGAGAAAGAAGCACGATCGCCACGATGGCAGTGCGGTAATGATCTTCAAGGTATCTGGCGCAGGCAGGAAGAAGAGACCATGTGGCATGCTTAACTGTCCGCCTTGTGGGGCCCTCTGGCGTGAGTATCTTTTTGCTGTCATCTGAACTCCAGACGAAGTAAACTGACATGGACCAGGAATGTTCCTCGATGATCTCGAGAGTAAGGTACCGGACTTTGTTTCAGATCAGCCTTCCGCCTCGAGTGCGCGCAAGGCAATGTGTGCATCATCTGCGGCCTCCACCACAGGCTCCACCACTTCGACCCTGACTGAACTTACTGAGATGTCGGAGATCTCACGGGAGCTCCTTGGTCGAGACATGGAATCTGGACTCCTCACACCTGCATCAACATCTTCTTCTGTCACACTCGACTACTCGCCAGCAGAGAAATTGACACCCACCAAATCTTCCAAAGGCGAGCACAAGTCATATGGTGTACCATCTCCAGCCTCTTCAGTAACATTGGCCGACTTCAACGAAGACTCGACATCTCTAATGGACGACCACGCACAAGATTCTTCATCGATGTCGACCTTGACCGACCTTACTGAGCATAGCCATGGCTCCAGTGTCGGGGTCCGCTCTGCTACGTCCGTTGCGGCTTCCTCAAGCGCCATCTCGACCTTGACCGACTTCTCCGAGGTGCAATCTTCATCATCACTATCGGCTCCATCAAGCAGTCTCTCATCGATTCCACCTACCTTGTCTACAGCCACCACAATCACAAGTCCCACCTACAAGCGAGTCAAGGTCCAGAAACGCAGAAGAATGATTGAGATGTCGGATGGCTCGAGTTGGATACCACCAACCCTTGAGCGAGTCCAAGCATACATCACTTCTCAGGGCGAGCGTCGCCTGCCCAGATCGGTGCGTGGAGTGGTCGCTTTCCATGCTTTGCGCGGTTCGCGAGTCGGTCTTAAGTATGAGAGTGCTATTATGAAGGTTGATCGCAAGGTTGGCAAGAAGTCTGAGACTAGGGAGGAGCTGCTTGCATTCAGGGAGAAACTGCTTGTCCATGAGGATGACGATGAAGATATGGAAGGCTGAGAAGATTGGATGAAGTTTTTCACATTGGTGAAAAATCGAGTTGGGAAAGAAGGTGATGGATGCGGCTTGGACCTCCCAGTAATTATCCTGGTTGTTCAGGAAGGTTTCATGGCATAGCAGCGAGATATGGTGTTCAATCAATGATACGCCTAGTGAAGACACCAAACAGTATCAACAAAGATGTCGCAATTTGAACACAACTGCAGTCTTCAAACATTGCCAGTAGCTGCCTCGGAATCTGAGCAGGGGTGAAGACCTTCCAAACAAGTCGGAGTGACAAGGCCGCATGCGGCAAGAGCTGAAGTTCAGAGGTTGTGCCAAGCATTCCGGACGCTCCTGATTCTCTTTGCGACGACGAAGGATCCCGATCCTCCCGTCCGCGGACCGCGTCAACCCAAGAGAGCCACCGGCATTCATCTGCTGAGACATTGCTGGCTGATCGCTGGCTGATCGCTGGTTGTGAACGCATATAACCGTCAAGCAGTTGTACTCACCCCAGCTGTGTGGGAAGGATGCGCCCGGCAACCAACAGCCGTAGCCATCTGAGACGACTCTTCCTCCATCTCTGTCACCCACCGGCCACTTGTGCCAGCTGACCGATCAATAGATCAATCTGCAGATATGCATATTAGAGCCTCAACAAATGCATGCAACCACTTCGTAGCGGCCGTAACTTGTCGTGGTCCCATATGCTAATCAGAAGTGCCTCCGCGGCGTCCTTCGCTGTCACGACCGACATCGCTCACGCCTGCCAGTACGCCAGTCCCGCACTGTGTCACTTCTCATATGTCCGCGAAGACTATACAGAAAAAGAGCTTGGGCGAAGGAAGAGACATGCATGCATATTCTATCGAAAGCAAATCCTTCGACTGAGCACGATCGTCTCGAGCTGCCAAAGTCAAATACCCCAGCTAGAGCCATCGCTCTGAGTTGCTGTAGTCGCCCTACAACGATTCTCGCGCATCTATGGGTAATCGTCACGGGATCAACCCGGGCTCAACGGATCAGGCCAAGTCAAGGTGCCGCGGACATGCTCACGCGCCATCGATGGCCTTGAAAAAAAGGACGGGCTTCTTTGTCCGGCCATCTTTCACGGTAGCGTATACGTGGATAATTGCAATATAGTTGCTGTAGTCCAAGTACGTAGCTACTAGCACTCCTATAGCCTCGTCTAGTCGCGGTAAACTAGCAAGCCTACTCTGACGGATACGAGTGATCTACAGTACAAAAGAATTGAACGCCTCTCAAAGTCTCTGAAACATCTGATCCAGATTCGCAGTTGTCGGAGAAACTCTCCGAGCACTTCTCCTGCTCGATGCGACAGGCAGGGCAAAGTCCTTGGCTATACGACAGCGTTCATTCTCAGCACTCTGAGCTAGAGCTGACAGTCAAAACATGTTTGTAGTCGTGAAGCAGCAATATCTAGACAGTTCGCGAATACCAGAGGCGGGAGGCGTTGATCAATCGACCAAGAAAGTTTAACAAATCACCCGTAGCCGAGCCCCGACCACTTGAACTTTTGACGACTCCTGATCACCAACATCCCCTCCTTTCTACACTTTTTCCAGACGACTAGATTTTTTCCATCACAAAACTTCCACAAACCGTAACATCAAGTCGCTGTCACTTCGCTTGGAAAATTATCTTGTCCACGCCACGGACCATGTCATTCGCTGGACGGAAATCGCGGGGAACCCTTGTTTAGTTCTCTGCAGATGAAACAAGCCACGGGTCAAAAGCTTCTTTGACGAAACCACCTTCTATCCTCCGTGTCATTAATTTATCCTACACAGGCTATGCCTACGAGCAGGGCTGTAAGTAGGGCTTTCTGCTGTTGCTCGGCTCTGGAAGAGGTCTTGAAACGCGATGCCCTGTGGACTGTCGGCTGCAAAGCACGTTTTTGTGTCTAGCATGGATCACATCTTTTCGTCACGTCCGTCCATCAGTACGTGAGTATATAAGCCAGGTTCAAGTATCTGTAAAACAGTCTTTCTTCTCACACATCTTTCAACTTCTACCGATTTTCTTCTCTTCCCGACCCAAAGTCAGACTGGTGCTGTCTTTGTATACCATACTCGTTTTCCAACTTCAACTCGACTCTCCTTCATCCTTAGATATTCTCAGTCTTCGACAGCATGAAGTTCATTACTGCTGCTGCTGTCATGCTGGGCGTTGCCTCGGCCGCCCCTACTGCCACCATTGAGAAGCGCGCTCAACAGTGCGGTCAGTGGGACAGCAAGGTCACCGGTGCCTACACTCTGTACCAAGACCTCTGGGGCATCTCCGGCTACACCGGTTCCCAATGCTCCGACATCACCAGCCTGAGTGGCAACACTCTGAACTGGTGGACCACGTAAGTCTCCCCGACACTCAAACCCACATGAAGAAGTATGTCTAACATATTTCTCAAACAGTTGGTCATGGGCCGGTGGCTCCAGCCAAGTAAAATCCTACGCCAACGTCGTTACCAAGACCAACGCCGTTCAAATCTCCAAGATCAAGTCTTTGGCTACAAAATGGAGTTGGACACAGACAGGCTCCAACATCGTCGCCGACGTCGCCTACGACATCTTCACCTCCAGCACCGCAGGCGGAAAGAATGAATACGAAATCATGGTCTGGCTCGCCGCCTTGGGAGGTGCCGGACCCATTTCTTCCACCGGGAAGCCCATTGCTACCGTCACCGTTGCTGGCCACTCTTGGAAGCTGTGGTATGGCAGCAATGGTGTGAACGAGGTTTACAGCTTTACTCCTAACGGAGCGAATGTCAGCAACTTCAGTGGTGACTTGATGGATTTCTTTAGTTATTTGATCAAGAGCCAGGGATTCAAGGATAGCCAGTATTTGGTTTCTGTGGGCGCTGGCACTGAGCCTTTTACCGGGTCGAATGCTAAGCTTACCTCGTCGTACAGCTTGGTTCCTGCTTACAAGTAGGAATGTGGTGGGACGAACAATGGAGGTTGTGCAGATGGTATGCTTATGGAGAGGCACGTTGATCCATGGATCCAGTCTGTGGAGGAGGATTATGGAATTCTTTCAATGTCAAAACTACAAAACTCAGCAAGCGCAATGCCACTACCTGTCTCCTTTTGTACGAAAGAATTGCCAAGATCATGTGCAACAGCGGATGAACATCCTCTCTGCCGCGATACCGAGTGTACTTTGCGGCGACTCCGACGGAACATCCTATCTCCTCTGTCAACACATGCAAGAGACTCACCATCTTCTAACTTCACACGTGCTGCGACATCGTATACACCGTAAGCGTATCCGGCAAGGCCGCGAACATGCCAACGCCCTCGAGAGATGGTTAGATGAATGGTCAGAACACAAAAGTCCCTGATACCACGAGTCAAGAACCCAAAGGAACGATTGGTCGAGACTGTTGTTCAAGAACAGTGGTTCTGATCTAGACTTTCTCAGCCATCAAGGTGCTAGACAAGGCTTGAGGTCCAGAACCATCTTGGTCACGGGGTAAAAAAGTCCAAGATACCCCAAACTGGCAAACGCGTAAAAAGCATAAGTGCAGAAGTGTGCAGCGGTCTGTGTAAAACTCTATAGTTATGCGAAAAACCAAAAAAAGACTTTGCGTGTCTGTTATGCTGCTACTTCTGAAGTAGAGTATGTATGTCGTAGGTGGTATAAAGCTGCAAGATCCACACTTAGATATCCTGTTTTTTTCTCGAGAACTTGATAGATTGCGTATGTCATGCTTGGAAAACAGGTAAAGGTATCATCTCAACCTCCCCATATAGATTTAAGGTGTCCGTAAGAAAAAGCCAGCAAACCGTTACACGACAAACGTCGCATCGTACCAACTATTGCATTTTCAAACTCTCGAGGAGGGCATGCCTAAAAGAGAGGGTCTACCTTCGTCACGACGGTTCCGTGGGCGTCAAGCCATGGCGCTGGCTAGAAGACGTCGCAGTGTGCGCATGACATGGTCAGAATCAACCAGAGTGCAAGAGTGGACGAGAAGAGTTCTCAAACTGTCTAGTATATACATTTCCGGCTTGGAGAATAGGCAAGCCGGAATGACAGAAATGCTGTAATAATGGCAAGAGGGGGTATCAGAAAGCGCAAGATGAAGCAGGAAGAGAAGATCGCTAGAAAATGCAAATGAAGAGTCCAAGTGATCAGAACGACTGCATCTGTAACCTCACGGAGGTGCGGACATGGACTTCCTGGGGACGACCACATTCCAGGTCTTTTAACGCAACATCCTCCCAGTCAGAATTGCTACTCGTTAAGCAAGAGTCGGCCTGAGATTTGGGCTTGCCAATAAGTGTTGCAACGCTTGTGGTATGGCTCTTCTTCTTCCCGTTGAACATTTTTGACATTTTCGATGCAGAGTGGAAAGACGAAGTACCATCGAAGATAACGTCCTTGTCGAATTCATCCCATGACATGGAAGGAGGCATGCAATCGCGACGAGATTGGCGCGCCGAGTCGTTTGTTGGTATGTACCGTGCTTTTTTGACTGAAAACCAGGAGAGAATCTTTGTCCAAAGAGGGCGGAGTGAGGGGACGCAAGCACAAAGCTGCACATGCACGTCAGCAGTGCTACAAGCAAGTAAAGGTTCTGATCAAGACTTACTAGGCCGACATAAATCTCGACATCTGCACATATCCACAGAGGCAGTGCTCCCCAAGTCGGGTCATTTGAACCCACAAAGGCTCGGTAAACGTATACCTCTCTGACAATGCCAGCGGCGGTTGCAATGGTTCCTAGAGAAAGCAGCACTGTTGCCGCGAGCCTTTGTTGAAACGCGACGTTCAGGCGAGCAACGATGGGAAGGGGTAGAATGTTGACGACGAAATCCATTACCGTTAGTAATGCTCCCACAGTAGTAATGTCGACTCCCTCGTTCAGACATGTTGCATTTTGCTCGAGGATGTTCCAAGCTGCACTGATAGGCCTAGGCATAGTCAGAATCAAGATCACCACTTAGATATTTGTTTGAACTTACGAGCATCGGAAGATTGAGATCAAGATGCTGACAAGGCAAAGGGTAGCGTTCAGACCCATCACAAGATAGATGATTCGCCTGAGGCCCTTCTCGGGGACATCCTTGATGAGCCAGAGATAGAAGAGCAATAGGGCTGTGCGCACGCATGTACTGCTCACGATGAACAATATTTTTGCGGCGGTATATGCTTTGCCGGAGTTTCTTAGCACATCTAGCGGGATGGTCCAGATGTGACGATCCCATTCATAATGTCCCTGATATGAGTGTTAGTGGCCTTCTTGATGATCCCGGTCGACATTAGCGGTATCCATACCATTGCTACGTTCACAACTGCACCGAATCCCACTGCAAACATCTGGATCGGACGCAGTTAGCTCACTATGAACATGTCTCACGCATTGAACATGATCCACATACGAACGCGAGTAGTATGAACAAGTCGTCCCACCAAAGACCTCGCTTAGACCCCAGACGCATCCGACAGTAGAATCGAGTCGCAACCACGGCAAATGCGAGGCCCATCAGAATGTCATTTCCATAGATGTAACCTTTGGCTCGATCCGAGAGGCCGCCCCGGTCCATCAGTGCCATGGTGAAGCCAGAGATCACCAGATCCACCAGATTGCTCGGCCGTAAGTTCCTGGATCCAGTGATGCGGTGCGTCTGTGCACTGCAGAAGGAGGCTGGGTAGTAGTTTGGTTTACCCGAGTAGTGCCAAAAAGTCGCGTCGCGTGTCGAAAACTCAAGAAGGAAGCTACTGCACGAGAGATGCAGGCAGGGAGTTTATTATACTTGTTGGCTTGATTTTTAAGGTGTATTGAAACCTGGAGCTGTTTCAGTCGTGGATGTGCAGCCACGAGAGAAACTGCGTAGGCACAACGTGGATTTTCGCTGCCATGCCTCTTTCAGCATATAGAGCATTCAGCTTCTCAGCGATATAACGACCCGTGGGGCCAGCTTTGTCTCGGTCAGAACGCCTGTTGGCAACTGACGCGAGGGACGCTGTCATGCTGATTTGCTCGGCTTTCTGACCAGTGCAACGGTTGTATTGAGCGGGTGCCGTGTGTTACGACTTCGCTGATATAGTGTCAGGGCAAGGCGAAACGGCTACGGCAATTAGCAGCAGCAAAACTCGAGATGAGAAAATAGAATTCTCTCATCGAAAGCAAGTGGACTTGTGGCGGCGAATAAGGCCTGTCAAGCTTGTCGATTACAGCAACGGGCGCGGCAGCTCCGTGAGAAGAGAGCTCGTCGGTGGGTCTTGCTTTATCAATGTCTCGCAGCAGACGTATGGCTGTCATTTCAAACGATAGTTACAGCAAGCGCAGACCTCAGGGTTGAAGTCGGCTTGAGGCAGCAGAGACATTGCTCGTGTATTCTTGCAGGCTATCGGTGAATCGACCAAGCATGTTTACCACGAGAGCAGCGTTGGAGTACAAGTACATTCATCGCGTGAGCAGCTTCTTCGGCCATGAACTAGAAAATTCGGACGAAACGGTGATGAACATGTCTTGGACGATCATGGAGAGCAGGCCTGAGTAAGCAGGAGTGAACGAAAGAGGTTGTCCGCCAAGCACCTTCCAGATCCCACGTCGATTCGAAGTTTGGCAGGCGCGACGACCACAAGCGGAAAGACCCGATCCGGCTGCCCGTGCGCGCCCAGACTAATAGTCCGTATCGACAACGTCTTTTCGTGATATCAATCAAGGCATAATGATGCTGATCCATCATCGCAACCCAAAACCCCTTCGAAGAACGCCGCTGGAGTCATCGTCGTTGTTTTGCTGTAGATGCAGTTTGATGCCTCAAGATCAAACTAATCGGGACACCTCGACTGGTGCTACCTGCGCCGCAGTCGGCACTGTCATTTCGTTGTCAACGGCCATGCCTCATGCCGGTTCCTTCGGTTCCTTGCTCTCCCACGAGGGAGAAGATCCAGAACATGTTCGTTCAGAGGTGCATGCCTTGAGAACTTGAAAAGCCGACCTTCGAAAGGGGCCCCTCTTGCGAACGATGAATGTGGCTTTCGGCCCTCAACGCTTGAGGCAACCGTTGACACTTTGCGAACCCGTCGCAATATTGTGAATCACTCTGCGACAATGGGTTGTGCTGAGTGTTTAAGGTAGTCTCGCTTGCTGTCGTCTGCGACACGCGCCTTTTACCATGTCGCTTGCGCTTCTCGACGACGAGCTTTTTTTTTCTCCCCTCTTCGCTAGCTATACTCGCTGCCTGAGGAAAAAATCAGGCATCAACCAGGTGAAAGGCCACTACGCGGATGGCGCCCGGCGCACGGGTCTTCATCCCTGCATACGGTTGATCGCAAGCCTTCTGGCTACTGGCCACTCCAGGCTCGCGGCAAACAAAGCCTCGGGACGACAGGACCGTCCCAGAACTATCCCTATTCTCTAGCGAAGTCCGGTGTTGTATCCTGACCACATGGCTGGGCAAGCTTGGTGTCGTGTCCACTTCTATCTTGAGTCATTGCGACTCTCGGTTACGAATTATCCCTGGTAGGTGCCTTGAAAGTCGCGACGCGACCAAAGTTTTGTGTGGTAGACCTCCAGACCAAAGCATTATGACGTTATATCAGGCCCTCTCAACAGTCGACCAACACACAACGGACAAATTTTACAAGCAATCTCTGGCTCCGGTTATCTATCTTATCGTCTTGCAGGTATCAACAAACCTTTGCAATGTTGATCATGAGGTCTGAACGCTGGAAATTACTCGGATCTTGACGAAGTGTGGTTGTGATGGCCAATTTTCATTGGCCTGATCCCTCGCGACTACGTACGAAGGTGAACGCTAAACCCCGATCGCACGCCGACGGCTGTAACTTCACCTTGAAACTTCACGCCTTTCATGCAGGCAAATGAGCTACTCATGCATGTCACGCCATGGCCAAGTGCTATTCCTACACCATTTCCTAGGCTCTCTCGGTATACTATCATCCCTGCGCCACTTCAGAGACTGCCCTATGCAAAGAGGAGTTAGATTGCCGTATCGTCCGGCTCTATTTGCGCCTCGATGCTGCATTGACGTGGTTACTACTCGTGATGGTCGATTTCTTTTCTTTCGTCCAGGACTTGGATCCGAGGATGGGCGGCCGCGAGTTTGGTATAAATCAAGGTGATCCGGAGGTTTGTGCTCAAGAGATTGTTCAGAGATCATCCCTTTTGAGTTTGCGCACATTCGTTCTTTCACTAGACATGCCTATCCTTCTCACTTCTCTCCTGGGCACCGCAGTGGGTTCTGCAGTAGTCTACTACACCTCTCCCACTCTAGCTGCTGTCCTTGCCGGATCGGCACTCGACTGGATCACGATTCACTCCTTGGCAATCGACGCTCTCTTCGCCATTCTGATTTGCTTCTTCATCCTTTGCTATTTGGAGACTAAGTGGATCGCCGTCAATCAATCGTTCCCCTACACCTTTCATCTCAAGAATAACCTTGGAAAATCTTCTTTCAACTTCCAATTGGTGGTATTTGAGCTCTGGCATACCAACAAGTTGAATAGATATGGACACATGGTTTGTCTGTTCTGCGAACAGCTTCTATGGCTTTACATCATTAGAATCACTTTTGGTGTTTCAGGTCTGGCATTGACAAACATCGCTCTGGGTATGCAAGCATTCTCTTTCGGCGACATGAGACTCGGCTTCGGTACTGCTGTATTCAATGCCGCCTACTCATTGCTCGGCATGTGGGCCTTCGACCGTTTTGCAGCAGTGGCCGCGATCGACATCTGCAAGATTGCGCTCTTCTGGGTGGTGGTTGTCCGCACTGCTGTACACGCTGCCGAGCCACTGCCTCCCGTCTACGACAGCGAGACCGACTCCTTCGGTGAGACTTGGGGTGATGATGGCTACCATCTGATCTTCAAGAAGCCTTTCGCCGCTCTGTGGCTGTTCATTCTGGGTATTGTTTCGGAACTGGCCTCTGGCGTCCCTGGACGCCTCTTTGGCACTGCTCTCTACAAGGCTTTGTACAGGGCGGGCGGTTTCCGCAGCAGCACTCTTAAGAGCGTCGACACCGCTAGAGAAGAAGCTCTCTCTACCCTCAAGAACGGCTGGGCCTCCAATGAGATGCTCGCGCCTTACTTCCTCAAGTCATCATCTGCTGTCATTGTGGAGAAAGTCCCTGTACAGTGCTGAGACTCTATAACTCCTTTGTCCAAACGGACAAGCCCTTTCTTCTTTTCTCTCTATCATCCTTCTAGATTTCCAATTTTTTTTTTCCATTCTAGCGCGGAGCTCAGTTTTAGACGGGGTTAGATTTCGATTACGCAGCGTCGTTTCCCTTTTTTGTCCTTTTTTTTCTTATTTTTCTTCTCTTTCCGTTCGACTACACTTATACCCCTTGGCGATTATAGAAGAGTTTGGTGTTACTATTTTCATGTCATTTTCACGATTCAGCAATAGATCAATCTTCTTTCTGCTCAAAGCTTTCTTTCACAATGTCGTTCAATTGTCCCGAACAACCCTTGCTGTCGTCGTCAAGCCATGGGTAATCCGCGGTCCGTCCCGTAAGCCATCCGTCTCCAAGCATTTCTTCAGCTTGCCACTGCGAACCAACACAAAAGTCGGTTTTGGCAAGCTCTCGGACGAGGGACGGGCCAATAACCCTACCTGAAGCTGCATGGACCACGGGTTTGTGACACCATACATTCAGATCTGCAAGCCAGGCCTGTGCATGAAGCAAGCTTTTCGGCTCTGAACCCTGGTATGTATTGTTGACTACACCTCCTTGTCTCCTCGTTAAGGGGGCTCTCAAGAGTGTTACGACATAGATATCGCTTTGGGTCCCGCTTCGCCGCTCTTCTTGATCGTTTCCTCTCCTATCGCTGACTGCCCGACCTACTCCTCTATGCATAAGCCCATTGAAACATTGTTGAGCCAGTGAAGAAGCTTCAGACGACCCTTTGGTCTGACATCCTTCCCCAGCGTCATCCTACACTGTCGGCTGCCGTCCAATAGCACAATATTTGCTCCTGAATCGCATGACATAACCGAAAGTCAACGGAGAGTCTCACGCTCAATTCTTCAGGACCAACGCCACGCATGCAATCAACACCTAACGAAGAGTTCATTAGACGCGTCAAGATCCATCTATTGTGCTTGTTGTTCAACTAGCAATCATGAAAGCGAGTCTATGTTGTGTATGGTTCCTAGACGGGAGTGGTGGCGAAATTGGTGACAACAGATCCTTCTGTCGTGCTTTGGGGTTGCCAGTCTTTGGTATCCGCTATAGCCCACCTGAGAAGCCATATCATGAGCACACCAGCCCTGCCAGCTCCTACTTCGTAAACTCCAGCTTGGACATTAGGAGACTTGTCATCCAGGCGGAACACAAGTACACCAGACAGGTCTCGTATACTTCTCGTATACTTCTAGAGTATATCTGTAGGCATTGTGATGATTCGCATCTACTCGAGGCCTAGCTTCATCACCGTCACAATGAGTGAGCCCCCTTTGTGTTTACGACATGAAGAACTCACAGCTCTCGGAATATGATCGATCTACGCGGATTCGCCGTCTCTTTCGTACCCGTATTAAACCACACTTCTGCATTCCCTCAACCTTTACAACTATCACCATTTTCAAAAATAGCAACAAAGTCTCAGGAGCAAACCTACCAATCATCCGCGTCGTATTGAACGATGATTCTGCACAGCCAGAGGGGATGAAGGTGGTTTATTGTTGCTAAATTTAGTGCGATAACGAGTAAACCGAAGGTATAGTGTTGGGGACCGGAATACCTCGGTCGATAAAGTCCATCCGGATTTCCTCTTTCGTACTTCTCCCTTGAAGTGTGGTTCGTCAATTTGTTTGAGCCACAGAATGTGAATCACAGAGCACTGCTGTTTTGGCACGATAGGTTTGCACCTGTTCATCAAGGAGACGACGGCATGCGTTTGGTACTAGCGGGCATCTTGACAAAATGTCTGAGCAAACGTCGTGATGATGATGAAAGCGGGTATCTATTCATAATCTTCATAAAGACCATCTAATTCTTCGCCAAACGAGCAAGTGTATCCATGCCTATACAAGTCTACAAGAACCTCAAAATAATAAAGGAGAAACGTTTCAAAGCTTCCTGCCACTCTTGACACGAACCCTTCCCATACCATCTCTGCCGCGATGAAGCACAAGCACACCAGTTTCCAAACACCACCTCTCTAGCTCGATATCCCTTCTCCACTCTGCCACTTTGGGCACCTCTTGCCCATCGCGACGGAATCTCTCAAAGTGGCGAGAGATGTGTTCAGTACGTTGAAGCCAAGCTTGCGGAGTAGAGAAGGTTTGAGTGCAGAAGATGCATTGCGCGGATGCAGGAGGTGAAGGAGGTGGAATATGACAGCGATCAACTTGTTCAGCTAGCGAGGCGGGAGTGTTTGGTATCGTGATACAGTTGAATCTTGCTGTTCTGATGCTGGGGACTGTCGATGTTGATTCGGAGGAGTTTTCGCAGTGCATACGGCGTAGATGTTGGATAAACAAGTCTTTGCGATTGAAGTCGTTGGACTGTTGTGCGGTGGAGGATGAGCAGGGCTTTGGGATACAGAGGTCGCAACGAAAAGTGCTGAGGGACAGGTGTTGAGCGTTGAGGTGGCGCTTCCATTCATTCTTGGAAGAGAAGGATGCAGGACAACCGTAGGGAAGGAAAGGGCAAGGGTATGCCGTCTTTGACCTGTTGGCATGCTGTTTTCTTGGCGACGCTTCGATGCAGATATGATGATGCTCTGTGGGCTCTTCTTGCTTGATGTGAGGATGATTGCTATGAGTGGGAGAGCCATTGGACGAGGCGGTGGTGGATGCGATAGTGGAGGAAGGAGCTGGTGACGACGAGATGATCTGCTCAGAAGTGCCTTGTGGATACTCCGTCGTCGCCCACTGTCCTACACCGAAAGTGTCCAAGCCCGATTCCTCGAGAGCTTGGAACTGGAAGCATTGTCCGGGGTAGTAAGGTTGACAAACAGGCTCTTGCTGATAGTATGCAGGAACGTCTGGCTGACATTGAACTTGGTCCAACGAGGTGAAAGATTGCAGAATTTGTCTCGAGTTTGCTTGAGACCATCCAAGATACTGGTTGTAGTAGTCTGCCGGCTTGGGAGATGGAGAGTAAACAATGCTTGGAGCAGGCGAAGACCATGTGCCACTGCAACCATCACTCATGCTCTCTGACGAAAGCCACGAGGATGATGGCCGAGGAGAAGAGTATGCCGAGTCTTGCATCAAAGGAACCTCGGCTGCTTTGTCCACGATAGGTGCTGGGTAGCATATATCTTCGACCCCACCCTCGATAAAGTTACATTGTATGGTGGCATCCATTATGCAAGCTGGATCTCTGGTGTTGGGCAACCTGAAAGAAAGAGGTGATGCCTGATCGAGTGTTGGATGTCAAGTTTCGCTGTGCGTTGTGTCTGGGTTTCGTTGTCTAGCGTGGTGGTAGATATCGAAGATCGGAAGCTTCGAGCTGGAAACCGATAGAGACAGTTGTAAAGTGATCAATATCGAAGCAGGACATCAAGTTATCTTCGAGAACAGGGAAGAGCGGGCAAGATGAAGAGGGCATGTTGAAATCCATGATGGCTGGTAAGAGCATATATAGAAAGAGCGTGGGTAGAGGAGATGATGGGGGCAGTGACAACCAATCAAATTGAACCAACCCATTTACCTGCATTCCTCTAGCCAACGATGGCTGCTTTTTCGCAAAGCAGAACGCCATCCACATCGGGGATTTGGTTGCATCACCGCAAAGTGCCATCAATGGTACGTGGGGGCTGCAAATAGTCAATCAAAGCAGGGTACCGTCGATCCGTTGACCGGTCTACACAAAAAAGCCCCCACAGAGTTGACAAGGGTAGCCGGAAAGGGTAGTTGGGTTGACCAATAGCTATGCGGAAGCAAATTATCACCTATCTTGCTAGACATAGATCAGAGATGTGCTCCAGGGTATCGGGACTTTTGCGGATGGCTTCCTCAGGTTACAGTACGCACATGCGCATCAGGAGGCCGTGCTGTTCTGCATACATGATATATCGAAGGCTGAGCGAAGGATTCTGGGCGGCGCAGTACAGAATGCTGCCCGCCCTGGTTCGTCATGGTCATGCCTGGATACTATATCGCTAGCATGGCTTAGAGTTGTGAATGTATAGAGGTTCATGTTGTTATGTCGCACGTAGAGGTAGTGTACAACCCAGGGGCAATGCGGATTGGATTGCTTACTCATCCCGTGTCTATAAATGTACCGGTCGAAGCAGGATGCGTATCTCGGCGACAGCTTTTACGAGCAGTGTAAACATTAAAACAGCGCGACTTTGGTCTGGACTCTGGAGAGACTGTTCAAGTGTCGTGAGACAACAGAGAGCTGCAAGAAGCAGAGATCGACAGGTGATGCCGAAGGAGGGGTCGGTGACTCGGCAGTGAGCTCATCCGGTGGATCGGATCGGCGACCTCCAACTGGAAACTGCAAAAGAGGCAGAGCAACCTCAAGCCATTCTGGCCCCAATTCCGTTAAGTCGCCTGATTCTTTGAACAAGGATGTGACTGTGAATGTCGCGACTGAACTACCGCAATCGTCGACACTGCACGAAGCTTCCAAATCACACGCCTCGGGCATCACGAAGTAAAATTGCTGCTGCTGTCTACGCTAATCATGCAAGCCGCGCAATACCATCCACACGTTCTTAGTTGAAATCAAGGATGCGATTCGCACTTGCCATGACCTCCCTCTCTCCTGGGGTGCGACCAGCGTCCTCATCGAATCTCTCCAAGCCCATGGCGCGTAGACCATTGACGCCCGAGATAGCCGAAATGTCTTCTTGCACTGCGCGACCGATGTGCTGGCTTTCGCCAACGCCGCCAGGGAAATCTGGAGAAGGAGTACCTGCATGGCTGTTGTTAGCACGAGCTTCATCGTCTCTCTGATGCGCCTTGGCTTACCTCTTAAAAAGCAGTCTCTCTGGCGGACCAGGTATTCGGCATTGCGCTCCGTTAGCGGGCAAGCAGGAATGTAGAGTACACTCGAGTCACTCTTTCCGCAGTGGATCTTGTCAACGGCATGAATGCCGTCGCAGTGCCAGACAACATAGTCGCCAGGTTGTACTCTTGGTATGTGCACCATGGTCTCGGGTAGATTGAGATGAGGATGAAGCAGCGCGTTGAGCTCCTGACCACGCCCAAGGTTGGCTCCCTGCAGCCACGAAGTCGGTGTGTCTTCAAGCTTCCAGTTGTCCGGAGAGAGGAAATCATCGGTGTTGGTTTGTTCCAACGCTCCATTCACCGACACCTGAGTCGAGGGACCGTTTTGGGGAGTGAAGAATGGACGGAGCAGGAAATAGGCGGTCGCAAGCTGGAGCAAAGGGTTGACAAGCAAAGTTCCTTCGAAAGCACTGCAGTGAGACATGCTCAGCCAACCTTGGGCTGCTCTGAAGGCACTGCAAGCACCGGCGCCTTGGTACAGATCTGACTCGACAGGCAAGCGGCTGCTAGATTCCCAAGGATCGTACTTTTCCCAATTACCTTCCCAGATGTCTTGGTAGACTTTGCCTAGGCCGTAACCAGTCTCTTCCCATCTCTCGCAGCTTCCTCCATCTATGTGTGGCTGTCGAAAAGTCAGCGCTGTCTCGGAAGTTCTAGTGCCAGGCAACATACGCCGAGAGCGAACTTTGCATCACCAGGCTCACGCATGCGAAGTCTGTCGCAGTATGATATCGGCGTGTCCGAAAACAATGCGTTCGGGTCTTTGGAATGCCAAAAACTGAGCAGGAACTGTTGTGCTTTGAGCAGGTTGGGATGACCTCTTGCCCGAATTTGCGATTTGCTCCAGTAGAGTTCAAAGACCTGCTGTGAGAAGCCTTAGGTTGAATGTCAGCTTGCTGACATAGCCTTTCACTGGTCGTGGGCGATGCTTACTTTTTGTCTGAGGATTCGCCTTGATGTACTCCCTAAGATCCTCCTTCATCTGCAAAGCCTCGGCCTCGGGAATTGCACCTTTGATGACTGCAACACCACGCTTCCTATATTCGCTACTGAAGTACTCAGAAGGAGCGTCGATGTCTTTGAAATCAATCTGCGGGATAATCGACGAGCCCAGTCGCTTGATTTCCTGAACTTCATCTTTTAATGTCAAGAGTAACCTATTCCAAGATGCTTTGACGGCTTGTTCGTTTCCTCGGATGAGATTCTCTTTTACAACGGCGAAGCGTGGTTCGAGTGCTTCAAATTGCTGACCAGATAAGGAAGCAAATGAATCTGCAATTGTACCCTCGGCTTTGCCGCTAGTGGTTGTTGCAGCAGTGCGCAGTTGGTTTGACAGCCGCAGCTTGGACAGTTGGTATGGTGTTCGGAGAGTTTGGATGGTTCGCAGCATGTTGTTGGCGTGGTAGTTTTGCTTCTCGGGTGAAGTCTAGGAATTCAAGCTCCTTCTGCTGAGTCTTGTACGACAGTAGAGTGGATGACACGATGACCAATGAGATGAATCAAAGGCAGTGTAACAGAGCAATGTAACAATAAATCGTCAGCAGTGATTTGGTGCGATAATCGCAGCACACAGAGTTGAGGAGTTGACGACAGTTGGACACGATCCGTTCCAGACGAGCAGCCGGGTCCGTCCATAAATATTGTTATAAGGATTGTTTGCCCTGATACATCGGCAATTGTATTGTCGTGGTATGATGATGACCAGTTTCGGCTCTTCCGAATAAGTGCTTTGCCGCGACGGTGAAGCGGTGCATACCAAAAATGGTAGTACCGTGCTTCCTTTTGCGGCTCCGACAACGAAGCCCTATGCGACAGGTCCGATGAAGCCTCGGATCTGAGGCACGCTTGCAGACTGGAACCCTTTTCCCGCGAGAGAAAGATATAAGAAACAAGAAAAGTCAGGAACCCGAACAAAAGGGTGGATTGTAGATGGTGGAATGGAAAAAAACAAAATTGATTGCCGCTTCTGTGGATCGAACACAGTGCCTCCAGAATTCTCTTGCAGACGCAAGAAGGACAGAAGTTGACTTCAGTCTGGCGCTCTCCCAGATGAGCTAAAGCGGCTTAATTATGCTGGCGAGTTTATTTTTCTGAAATATATACTCGTTGAGATCACTATCTCAATGGCACCCGCTCAGCACACAACCTATGCCACCTCGGAGAGATCTTGTCGAATAAGGGTCAGTTTCGTGTATATCATGATCGATCAAGGTGCTCATTCCCCCGGCGCTTGCGGGTGTCGGACGCAATGTTGTTGGTAATGGTTGCGGAGTAACAGATCCGAGAATTTCGAAATGAGCAACACAAGCCGACACCTGCTAGGAGACGCCGCTTGTCAGTCCTGACAACCAAATTGCAGTGGTTTGCATCAAGAACATCTTTATTCGAAAACGCATTATCCATCGCCTCACGATTGTGAAAGATGAAAGCACGATTTTCACTTGAGATTGATGCTAGAGGGACAACCCTGGCAGTAGTACGCACGTCATGCCCCACGGCTCGGAGTGAACCCTGATCAGCATTGGCATTTTTATGAGTTGGGGAGGGATGTCACAGTACCTCGTTACATATCTCTCATGTTTGATCTCTGTAATACAATCTTCTGCCATCCAGGCGACCTTCCTCTCCTGGCATTGTGGGTGTTGTTGCTATCTTTCGTGGTTGCAACGCATGTTACACGTGAGGCTTGGCCTCAACGATCACCGGTTGGAGACGCCTGTTATGGAAGGTCCCTTTATCGATTTTACGAGCACTATGCGGGCATGAGGAAGGATGACGCGACATGCGGTCTGGACAGAACGACTTCAGTACTTCAGGCACTCAACGAATCCATCTCTTCACCATTTCCTTGCCACATTCACACCTCTGCCTGTTCGTGAGCTGTCACGATGAAGGTCCTCCCATTCTTATATGCGCTTCCGCTTGTTTCTGCGCTGGGCAGCAGACAACACAAGCGAGATCTGGCAATTTCAAGCCTGAAGAAGGTAGAACATTCTCAGCCAAAAAGCCGAGGCCGAATTGCTGACATGTGCTCCAGCGTGACATTGATCCCCAACAGCTCTATCCGGAGTACAACATCTCGGTGCCTGTAGACCACTTCCACAACGAGACTCAATATGAACCACACAGTAATGCTACTTTCGACCTGAGATACTGGTTCGATGCATCGCACTACCAACCTGGAGGACCTGTCATTGTACTCCAATCTGGTGAGACCGATGCTTCAGGACGCTTGCCATATCTGCAGAAAGGCATCCTTGCTCAGCTTGCCCAAGCAACTCATGGTATCGGTGTTGTCCTCGAGCACCGCTATTATGGAACCTCTTTCCCCACTCCTGATCTTTCTACCAAGAACCTCCGTTTCTTGACCACTGAGCAAGCACTTGCCGATGAGGCATACTTTGCAAGAAACATTGTTTTCCCTGGACTCGAACATCTGGATCTCACCAGTGATTCAGCTGCATACATTGGATATGGCGGATCATATGCTGGTGCGTTCAATGCTTTCTTGAGAGTTGTCTACCCTGACGTCTTCTGGGGAACCATTTCCAGTTCTGGTGTGACCAAGGCCATCTATGATTACTATGATTATTTCACCCCAATCGCCGAGAATGGCCCTCCCAAATGTATCTCGACACAGAAGACGTTGATCAACATTGTCGACACAATTCTCAAAAAGAACCAGACAACCCTCACTCACCAACTCAAGTCTGCATTTGGCCTCGAGAACGTGACCTATGACAACGACTTTGCCTCAACTCTATCCAATGGTATTGAGAACTGGCAAAGCCGCAACTGGGACCCAGAGGTCGGGAGCCCTGCCTTCGAATTATACTGCAATAACATATCATCCGATGCAACGCTTTACCCTGCCACCTCTTCGCTCCGTCCTGCCGTCGAGTCACTAATCAAGGACACCAACTACACCGTCGAGGAGAGTTTGGTCAACCACATGCTCAACTTCATTGGGTACGTCAACGTGACCTCCGTGGTCCCCTGCGCCAGAGGTGGAAGCACGCAAGATCAATGTTTCAGCAACCATAACACGGCATACTACCAGCAACATGACCTAGCGTCATATGTTTGGCGTTCGTGGGCGTACCAGTACTGCTCCGAGTGGGGGTACTTACAGACTGGTTACGCACCTCCAGGCGAGTTGCCAATTGTCTCGTCTCTGCTCGATCTCGAATATGAAGGCCTTGTCTGCGTGGACGCCTTCAATATTACTACTCCTTCCAATGTGGAGGCAGTCAACAAGTATGGAGGTTATGACATTTCGTATCCTCGTCTTGCCTTTGTTGATGGCTCCGCCGACCCTTGGCGTCCTGCTACACCCCATGCATACGCTCAAGGTGCTAAGAAGCGCAAGTCGACTGCTAGCGAACCCTTCATCCTGATCGATGGAGCCGTTCACCACTGGGACGAAAACGGCTTGTTCCCTAATGAGACGACCGCTTCTCTCCCACCATTGACGGTGGCTGATACTCAAAGACAGGAGATTCAGTTTGTGCAGGAATGGATGCTAGAGTGGCAGTCGGCGCAACAGGTCAAGATGGCTTATCAGAGGCCAATTACTCAAGGCCCTATGTGAGCGGAACTGCATAGTTCCAGCGATGCATTTATAGAATTCTTGGTATCCTTGACAATTACGAGCATTCACAATTTGATTGTGTTTCGATCTGCAAGATAAGTGCCGACGTGAGATTGGAGGCTCATATACTATTATTGTAGATGGGTTGCCTATTGTATCAGGATTTTGGCTTCTTCGCGGATCGGAGTTACGACTAGCCGCCGATATATATATACGACCGGATGTGGCCGGCATCCTCGCGACTTTGAGCAAGTTCCAGCCCGACCTCGATATTTGTGTGCATACTTTATCGACCCACCGGTTTTGCCCTCAAGGTGGCTGTTTAGGCTGCCTTTCGCTGCAATACTTTACATACTCGAGTACAAGGCCAAGAGAAAGAGACCGCGGAACAGAGAAGTGATTTGATACGTGACATCATTGTTTGGACGCACGGTGTGCTTTGGGGAAAACAATCTAAAAGCAATCGCGATCGCGGGGCACGACACAAGAAAACAGGAGTCAGTGTTGTCGATTGATGTGGCCACGCAAGAGAAGGTGATTGTCCTGATGTACGGCTAAGCGAAGTAAACTACAAGCAGACATGAAATTATAAAGGGTCACACAAGGAACAAACGTTAGCTCTGTTGGAAAACCAGGGCCAAAAAGGAAATAGGCAGGCTGCGGAGGGGGCTGGAAATTGATAAATCGGATCTGTAGGTTGCGGTAAAGCCGCTTTAGAGCCGCAATTTTTCGGAGCTGAGAGCAAGGACTTGGTGAGCGTATTCTGTCGCAAGAAGCAGAAAGCAGGAATTGCGACGAGTTATAGACAAGCATGACGAAGCAAATACGCATGTTCTTGTCATAAGTGCACAAGATCTACAAAATAGGCAGGGGGCTCTGAGCAAGATGTAGGTCAAAAGCGAATGCTTGTAACGACTTGGGCAGGAAGGGAACAGGCTTGGAACAAAAGCTTGGCCGTACGTCATTTGTAGGTGATGGGCGCGCCCAAGGTGCAGAGACGTCGTGGGGGAACGGACGGTAATCTCTGACTGACCTGAACCCTCGACCAGCAGAAACGCTCCGTTTGTCTTTTTGTCCTATTCATCCAATTTGCTCCTTCTGTCTCGCAACCCTCTGTCTACCCTCTCCATCTCCACACCTCTATCCCACTCACACCCCCGGCTTGCTTTCAGCCATGAAGAAGGCTTTGCACAAGCTCGTGCCTGGCCACCGCCGGAGCACCAGCGCCAGCGGCAACTACAGCAACTCGGACAGCGGTACGCCCACATCTGCCAGCAGGGCCAGCACAGATATGGCTGAGCGCCCTCGTGCCTCTATGGACACAAGTGCTCGCCCCAGCTCAAAGTCTCGCTTCGCCTCGCCGCGAAACTCGACCTCGATCGACACGCGCAAGTCGGTCGACCACCACAACCGTGCCTCTACCGACCTTTCTCACCGCCGCCAATCTCGTTCTACTTCACATCACAGAGCCACCCACAGCCCATTGGGCGCCTTCAGACACAAGCTCCGCCGTGGTTCTTCGTCCTCGTCTTCCAGTGATGACCGCCCCCTAAACAATGCTGGCGAACCCATGTCAAAGGCTCAGCTTCGCAAGCGTCAAAAGCTCCTGGAAAAAGAGGAGAGGCACAAGAAGGCCGAGGAGCACTCTGCTGCAGATCGCAAGCTGCAAGAACAGACACAAGCTCGTGCTGAGGCCGACGAGACAAGCGATATGAAGTCCAAGTACGGCGTCTTGCCTCTCAACTACTACGCTCCTGCAGAGCCTCCGAACGAGAAGAGAGTCAACATTCTCGAGCTATCCGAAAGAGATGTCGGTTCAATGGTCACTTTCCGTGCTCGTGTCCATATGGTCCGCCAGATGAGCAGCCGTCGTGTCTTCATCGCTCTGCGCCAGCAGACTGCCTCGATTCAGGGTGTCTTGCACGAGCACGCTGGCGTCTCGCTAGGTATGGTCTATTGGGCCAAGCATCTCAGGCTCGAGTCTGTTGTCCGCGTACGTGCTGTCGTACAGGAGCCCAAGGCCAAGCAGGGCAAGATCACTGGCTGCACTATTGGCAACCTCGAAGTGTCAATCCACGAGTTGCACGTTGAGGGCTCCAGAACTGCTCCCCTGCCCTTCAACGTCCCCGAAGCCCAGGTCACTCGCGAACAAGCCGAAGCTACAAAGAACGCCCGTCATCATGTTTCTGACCGCACCCGTCTCGCTAACCGCATCGTCGACCTCCGTACCAATACCTCACAAAGTATCTTCCGTGTTCAATCCGGTGTCTCTTCCTTCTTCCGCGAGTATCTTCGTGGTCAAGGCTTCATGGAAATCCACACACCCAAACTGCAAGGTGGTGCTACTGAGTCCGGTGCCAGTGTTTTCAAGGTTGACTACTTTGGCAGACCTGCTTTCCTGGCACAGTCACCTCAGTTGGCCAAGCAGATGTGTATTTCTGCCGACTTTGGCAGAGTCTTTGAAATTGGTGCTGTCTTCCGTGCTGAGAACAGTAACACACACAGACACATGACCGAGTACACCGGTCTGGATCTGGAGATGGCTATCGATGAGCACTACCACGAAGTTCTTCGTGTCCTCGATGGCCTCTTCAAGTACATGTTCAAGAAGGTCTACGAGAACTACCGTCACGAAATTGACACATTGAAGGAACACTTCCCTCACGAGGATCTAGTCTGGCTTGACAAGACCCCTATCATCCCCTTCGCTGAGGGCATCCGTCTTCTTAACGAGTCTGGTTGGAGAGACGAAAACGGCAAACCTCTTCCCGAAGACGAGGATCTTGGTACCCGCGACGAGATCCAACTCGGCAAGGTTATCAAGCAAGTGTATGGCACCGACTACTACGTCCTCGACAAGTTCCCTGCCGGCGCTAGACCTTTCTACGCCATGCCTGACCCCAACAACCCCAAGATCACCAACTCTTTCGATATTTTCCTTCGTGGTCAAGAAATTCTCTCTGGTGGTCAGCGTATTCACGACGAGAAGATGTTGGCCAAGCAAATGGAGCGTCTGAAGATGGATCCCAACACGCTAGATGAGTACATGCAAGGATTTGCCTGGGGAGCACCTCCTCACGGTGGTGGTGGTATTGGTTTGGAACGTATGCTGATGCTGCTGCTGTCCCTCGGCGACATTCGCCATGCGACTCTCTTCCCTCGCGATCCCAAGTCTCTACCTGCCAAGCCTGTCGTCAAGCAACTCAGACATCCCGAAGCCAGCACATTGCACCCTCCGTGGGAAGGACAAGACCGTCGCGCTGCTGGAATGGAGCTTCCACCCATCGAAATGCTCATCGCCAACTACGGAGACGCTTCCAACACATCTTGGCTCGAGCCTCGTACCGAGATCTGGAGAGACGACGCCACTGGTGCCGCCATCGGTTTCGTGCCTCACCAAGGCTATGCCATCACGGTTGGTGACCCGCTTTGCCACAAGAGTCAATACGCCCGCACCATTGCCGGATACTTGCACTACATCAAGAAAGAGCGTGGAATCAAGCCTCTCTGGCTGCTGTGTGGTGGTGATACCGAAGAAGTCCTCTCTTCGCACCGCTTCGATTGGCGTACATTCTCAGTTGCTGCTGAGCAACGTCTGGATCCTGGCAACAACCCAGCTGTGCATGATCATGATATTCAGCGCAAGATTCGTCACGCAAGCAAGGAGGGTATCAAGGTTCACGACTACCCCCTTGGCACCCCTGTGCCAGCCGAGATCAAGAAGAGGATTGATGCTCGCATCCAGGACTGGCTGGCGAACCGTAAGGGCAAGCAGGTCCATCTCACAGACATCCACCCTTGGCAAGACGAGGCCCATCGCCAGTACCACTACACAACCGACAAGGACGGCAAGATTGCCGGCTTCGTCATCATGGCCCAGCTGTCACCCGAACACGGTTGGCAAGTCAAGTTCTCACTCGACTTCCCTGGCGCCCCCTCAGGTGCTATCGAGATGCTCGTCATGCACGCGCTTGCGCAAGTCGCGGCGGGCGGTGCCGACTCGGTCACCTTCGGTGGTGGTGCCAGCTCCAAGCTGACTCCCGGTCACAACTTGAAGGGTACACGTATCAAGGTCCTCAGCAAGGCATACCACGCCATTGCCACCGAGCTCAAGCTCACAGCCAAATCAGAGTTCAGAGAAAAGCTTGGTGCCCAGGATGATCCTATCTACGTGTGCTACCCACCGCACGGTCTCGGACCGGGAGGTGTCAAGGCAATCTTGACCTTCTTCGAGGACACGGAAGATCCCAACAGTTAGAAAAAGTCAGAGCTAGACATATCATGCTCTTTATTTCTTTTTCGTCTGTGATAGATTTGTACGATGGGTCGGGGCAAGCAATCTTTGGACATGACATGGCAGCAACAGCAGCAGCGATACCACCTCTTTTTTTGTCTTCCCTTTTTTTTTTTCTCTGTTAATGTCTCGCAAAGTTTGTTTTCTAGTTGTTGAATCGGTTCACGAATTGATAGATGTATCAAACATTAATTAATGCTTTTACGTACTCTGATTCTCTGTTCCGTTATCTGTTGTCGATGTTCATACATGTATTTATCATTTGCTCTGACGACACACAAACCTTCGTGTTGTTGGTAAGGCTCGAGGGGGATTGCAGAAAGGTAGGCCGTCATCGAGAAAACAGAAAAGTATACATGGAGTACGGAAAGCTAACAAGTCACAGTTTGCGAAACTCCTCAGTCACCATATCGATCCCAAGAAAAGATGACGTGGTATAGAATTACAGCTACTGCGATCCAAGTGGCTTCGGGCAGGGACAGCAGGCTCGCTGCTTCCTCGACAACAAACGCGAAGCTTCAGAGTCTTGTTGACATGCAGCTGCTGGCTTCTTCCTGTTCATCCCATCATCACCACCAACCTCACCCCTCTATCGATTCATTTGTATCCATACATCGATTACGCATCATGGTCTGCGGAAGCACCACAGCGGCTGGGGCTGGCCTTGCTACAATTCTCATCCCTGCTCTCGTTGTACCATTCGTTGTGCTCAATATCATCGGCTGGACAGCATTCGGAGTGCACAAGCATCGCAAGCACAAGCGTCAACGTGAAGGGCGTGGTCAGGGTGGCGGCTATGGTTCAGCTGCAGGAGCTGGCAACACATTCGTCACAAGTACTGGACCTGGTGGAGAGACTATTGTCACTGTGGTCCCAGCCGGCGGTGCTGCTGGCTCTGCGGGAACTGCTGGGTCTACTGGTGGAGCGGCTGGCGGAGCTGGCGGTGCCAACACTACTGGAGTTTCTTACACAACTGGTGGAGTGCCTGTCGAACGACGTGAAGTTGTTCAGACAGCAGGCGGACCCCAAGGAGAGACGGTGGTCGTCACCCAGCCTCACTAAAGTAAGTTTGTCACATGTCACTTCTTTCACTCTTTCTCTGCACCAAACATCTCGCACCAGCCCCACCTTCCTTTTTGCTCATCATCAATACACAATCATGTCAACCTTCAGCTGGCGTCCGCCATCTGTTCCCTTCGAAGCGCAGACACGCGATGGCTCGCCTTTTACTGTCTGGCATGTCTGCATCATCTGCCAACAACCAAGATCTGCTCGCTACCACTCTGAGCATCCTGTTGACCCAACCCTCGCAGTCTCGCCGCCTCAGACCATCTGTCGTCGTTGCGCAAACAAGTCTCCTTCGTTGCCATTACCTCTTTTGCTTCCCGCGCCTCAAACTTCACCACCACCATCATCATCACCTCAGATCCCGCCGCCTCAAAGTCAATCATCTCCAACTCCAACACCTCAGGTTCCATCACCTCAACCTCCAGCATCGTCCAGCCCAACACCTCAGTCAGAAGTGCGCAACATCCCATTTCGCTACGTCAAGCCCTTCGCTCAAAAGCCTCAGCACATCGAGCCTCCCCCTGAACCTGCTCCATCTGTCGATCCTACTATCACATCAACTCCGACCATCCAAATCATGCCTCCTCGTCAACCATCTTATGATGAGTACCTTGTCGTCAAGAGAGAGAACACGCGCACATGTTCCAATGCTCCATCCAGAGACGACTATCTTCCACCAGATCGGGACAATCCACGACCTTCGAGAGACCGTCTCGCTCCGGCTAGGCATGTTTATGCTGCTCCTCGTACAGACTATTCGGCATCATACAGAGACTATCCTGCACCTACTCAAGACCGTCCTGCACCTATCCAAGACTATCCTGCACCAGTCAAAGAGTACTCTGTGCCCTCCGGAGGCGTTCCTCTGCCCTTTCAAGATCATCCATCAACCATCAGTAACCGTTCAGCACCCATGCAGGACTATCCACTGCCTTACAGGGAACGCCCCTTACCTCTTGCCAACAACAAGCCTACCAAGCGGCGTGTTTCCTTCTCTGAGGAGGATGAGGTAGCTACTCTTCCGCCAGATCTGCCCTCCAATCACGACGATCGTTCCATGCAAGGCCTTTCTCGCATGCGTCTGCAACCTCCCAACCTTTCTGGAAAGCCAGATGTCCATGACGACTACGTGTACGAGAAACAGCGCAGTCGCACCTATGTCGACCCTACCGAAAGACCTTATGTCCCAGAGCCCAAGTGGGTCCCACTCAGCGAATCTCCTGGACGCGAGCTTCCTCTTGTAGAGGAGTCGTACGCTCATGGCCCTTACAGAGCTGAGAACTCACCTACACCAAGCATGCAAGTTCACGTTGACAAGGACGACTTTGTTCCCGACAAGGGTAGTGAACCTCGCAAAGCTCCTCGACAGTATTTACACCGACCAGTCAGGCAGGAAGATCGTTCATGGACCAGATATGTGACGGTCAAGGAATACAGAGACGAAAAGGGACCTTTCGTTGAAGTCGAGGAGAAGTTTGTCTTTGACGATTGAGCTTTGATACATCACCGACCCCTTTTTTGCCCCTAGACTTGCCCACAGTTATTGCTTTAGCTATGCTTGAATTGAACCTTTGACCTTCTCAACAAACCACGCGCTCCTTTGCGTCCATAAAGTTCACGGTGTTAGTGTCTTGTTGTTAGATGCATGTCAATCTCTCGCCGGCAGGTGACCCGGGCGCTTTGTCAAATCTCTTCGCTGTGACAAGCGACATCAACTTTGCACAGACAAGGATCAACTACAAATCGAAGGGTTGTGCTGTTCCCAGGCACAGGTTGGACGATGTGGGGATGGTCTTTGGAACATGGCATGTCTGGGGAATCTACCCTTCCGTCTCGATGCTTTCTCGCCGATGGGGAAATCTGATCTTGTTCTTTCTTCTTTGCTCATTGGCCAATATCTGTCCTTTTTTTCGAAGGATGAACACTGTGTCGCCGGCCCACTTCTTGGCGCCATCTTGCCGCTCTTTGCGCGACTTTGTCTCCATCCATCTACCATGTAAGCGCAACAACCACTCTTGTCCGCCTCTTTTGAAACACTCGGCAGACCATTCTTTTATTTTTATTTTTTCTTTTGTGCCCCTTCTTTGAGAGAAAGCTTGAGGTAGGGAGACACGGAACAGAGAGGAACATGACCATATCCATCTCAAAAGTCTTGCGTCATGAGGTTTTCTCATGGTTTTGACCCTACAGTCCTGATTTGGAAGACTGCCTGAGGCAGTTCGGTGGTTTCTGCGTGGACGGATACTGTCAAGCCGAAGCCTGCTAATGCGCCACGGATTATACCACAGGGGAAGTAGAGGAACTGTTTTTGCAGAGTTAGTGGTGTTTGGAGAGAGTAAGTTGGTGAAAGCTAGAGAAGGAGAGTTAAAGAAAAGAAAAAGAGAACAACATACCGGTTGTGCCTTCCTCAACGCCTCCTCGGCCCCTCTGGCTCCCCTCCCTCTATCTACACTCATCCTGCCCAAGGCCAAAAACTTGTTATCCGTAAGTACAAAAGTGCCTCTATGATTTGTCTTGAGATTGTCGATTTGTTTCCGAAACACCACCTGCCACAAATCTTTACAGATGAACTTGATCATGTCTAGTGCTGTGGTAGGCCGAGGAGAGTTCTGGGATAGCTTTTCGACTAATCCGAGGCCCACACGGTAGCCTAGAGAGTCCAAGCGATAGAGAACGGATTCTTGGAGGCTGTCTTGGGTTTCTTCGTCGTAGTCTTCGTCGCCAGCGAGGGGAGCGGTGGTAGTTAATGCTGTTGTGGTTGTTGTGCTGTGGGCACCTCCTGTGGCCTCTGTGCTCTTAAGACTTTGGCGTTTGTCGGTTGGTGCTGGGGGTTGTGTGGAGGATTGTGCTGTTGTGGAGGTATTTAAAGTGGCATTTCTTTCTAGCGAGGAAGAGAGCAAGGCTGTGTCTCGGGCGTGAAGGTCGGCGGCTATGCGATGCGCTAGGGGAACGAGTTCTATGAGGAGGAAGTCGAGGGTTGAGGCTGCGACTTTGGGGTCGGAGGTTGAGGTGGCGTCTGTAGTTTGGGTTGTTGTTGCTGCCATGATTGTTTGTCTGTCCTTCCTTCCGTGCTCTTTCCAAGACTTTGTTGGTGGTTGAATGGCGGCAGATTGGATCGCGTGTTGACACAGGTTGTATTGGACGAGATGGGTATGGTCACGAGGAATTGGAGTGGGAGAGGTAGGTATTGTTATAGACGGGTTACCAAGATGTCGAAGTATCGTAGAGGATTATTGCTGTGAGAGAGGCCGTGCAAAGAGATCCAATCGCACGTTTGACAGTCGCAATTGCATGTCCGAGAGTGACATCGATGCCGTCTGGCTGCGCCGAGCTTGGACCACCTTTCACATGTCTCGTTATCTAAGGCACCCTGTCCGCCATGACACTTATGCTTCATCTCGACGAGCGGAGAGTCTTTCGATCTTTTGTTGATATACCGCAAATATTTGCACCGATAGAGCTTACCTATCCAGTTTTCCTTTGACTTCAATCACAACTTCCAAAGTCGAGGCACAGATTACGGTATACACCAGCTTCAGAGTCGGTCCAAGTTTCAAGTGACTCAAACAATCGAGGCTGGCTCTGACACGACGATCAAATGCAATGAAAACAAGGTTGAGAGAGACTGCGTGTATGAGATCTCGATGTGTTCTTCATATCCAAGACTTGATTCCCATTCTGTAAGTCCTGTGACTGTTGATCCACCCGAATCATCAGGATGTCACCGGACAGAAGGAGATTTATACGCTAATCAAAAAGAATGCTTTCCCAATACGCCGGTGCTTCTAGCATGCTATCGCTTGTTGCTGCTCAATTGATCACAAGACCACTAAAGATCTACTCAGACTGCGTCAACCAGTCGACACCTGCCTGTGCAACTTGAAGATCTTGATCCGGAGATCCTCCACTGACGCCGATTGAGCCCAGGAGGAAGTTGTCCTTGTAGAGGGGTAGACTGCCACCAAAGACTACCAAGCCACCATTTGTCTCTTGGATACCTATCAAGGTGTGAGTGTATGCCAGATTGACTGAAGGTTACATGAACTTACCGTAGAAGGGTGCTCCAGGCTGTGCGAGGTCGTAGACAACACCACTGGGCAGTCCATTGAACAGAACTGTGGTACGAGCCTTCTTGATACTCAAGTCAATGCTACCGGGATAAGCATTGTCCATCCTCAAGAACGCAACCAGAAGGCCTGAGGGATCGCAGACGGCAATGCATTGTGGAGTGACGGTCTCAGCACACTTTGCAGCCGCATTCAATACTCCTTGTGCTTGAGTCGCGGAGATGACATGACGCTAGACATTGGATACACATGGTCAGAACTGATGTAGTACCGCCGAGACAGTGTCCTTGCGCTAACCTGGGCTGGCGTGCTGCCAATTCTGTTGGTTGACTCGTGGTTATTGGAAGCTGAGCTCATGTTGAGATGGTGAACCAGTAAGGAATTGTCTTGGTGTGTCTGCTGAGCGGGTCTCCAGAGATTGATATATGGAAGGTATCCAGGAACAAGGTCTCTGGAATGAAGCGCAACGTGGTATTGTAACCTTGGGCTTAAGCTTAGATGCGCCTCATTTTCTTCTCCACTGACCGTTGATCCTCATGAGTCGCAGAATCTTAGCTGATATAACGTCCATCCCGAATTTCGAAAGTCCATCAAAGGAAACTTGGCATGCTTGAATTCATGCCGTAGAGGTCACTGCTCTGGAACCAAGACCGCACACCGTCTCCAGGTCGATCTCAGTCGGTTGCTGCCGTCATCGGGACTACCGAGTAACAACCCGCTGATCGACAGCTAAATCTTAGACTGCGACCGTGCACTCGTATGTAGGCGAGTTGCGTCAAGCCACAAACCCCTGGAACAGTGGAACTTCTGCAAAAGCCGCATCCTTCATGTCCACGTAAGAGATTGATTCGACGCTTGTCACAAGCCAGCCTGGGCCCTAGGGCACCGTCGTCAGCTTCTTGATGCTGATGTATGGCTTTGACACTTTGCGTGATAAACGTGGAAAGAGTCTACTGATCCTTCGTCTCAGAATTAGCGAGCCGAAGTTTGATGCATTGTTACTTGGACGCATTCAAGAGTTAAGCGAGTTGTTGGCTGAACTGATATTCAGGATACGATATGAACAAATGAAGGGTATTTTAATCATGAAAGCATAAGAAAATAAGATCTGTCTGGTACAGATTAACTGTTGAAAGTGTATGAGAGAAATGAAAAAAATGTCGGTTCGAGCGAGCTTATACTGCTTCACCAGCTCTGGATAGATCCTTCAGAGGTATCTGCGATTCGTCGGATAGACGATTGGGACTGTGGGTCTTGTTGAATGGGTTGTTGGAGTTGTATTGGGGTGTGCCGTGGGTGTTGTAGTTGTTTTCGGTAGACATCCTTGATGAAATCTTATCCAGATCATCGTTCTGGTTGTCACTGTCAGAGTCTCCGACGAAGATCTGAACCTCCGTCTGTCGTTGAATGCCCTTTACGTCTTCTCTGTTGGTGCTGGTGCCTTGTGTATGGCCGATGTGAGCAGTGTTCTTTGCTCCATTGACAGTGTCGCGATCGTTGAAGGTGCGCTGAGCGTAGGATCTGCTGTCAGGGTAAGGTGTCCCAGATGATGTGCCCGCGCGAACATCGATCTCAGATGAGGTTGCGACCTTGACAATCAGGTCGGCCATACTCATTTCGATGTAAAGTTTGACCATCTGGCATTGATGTTAGCATTGTCAATACAGACAAGACGAGCGATGAGGGAGCTTACATATGCGACAGGGTGGAACTGAATGTATACCACCTGGTTGGGTAGTGCCATCAGGCCGAGGAGCATGACATCCATGCAGACGGACAATATTCCAAGACGTGTGTAATATCCGATCAATGGCTTGTACTTGCGGAGACCGTGTTGCTTAACCAAGCGAGCGTCGACAACGTGAATAAAGTACCAGTTAAGGCCTGCATCGACAAGACAGATGAGGATCTTAGAAACACGATCCCAGTATTTGTTGACCTGGACATAAGTCTGACTTGGCGGCTTAGCCATATGAGCAGGAATCCACTGCGAATCTGTTAGTATGTATCGGGGAGAAGGCTCAAATTGTGGCAACTGCTTACAATGCACATGACAACAATGTTGACCATAGAGATGAAGATTGCAGTCGCCCACTTCAGCTTCGTAGCCATGGCTCTTCGCTCGACGATGATGGCAATGCGATTGATAATGATTTGGAGCAACAATTGAACTTCAAACACATAACAGAATAGAATGAAGAACAGGACAACGGGACTGTCCAATGGTTAGCTTTCGGATCAAATGCTCACGAAACTGAGCCAACATACTCGGCGTGCAAAACTCCATTCAGGAACAACCATCCCAAGATACCGATCAGTAAGTTGGCTAGGATTTCTCCCCAGATCATAAAGACAAAGGCACTTCTATGAGGAGACTTGTTTTGCCTCGTTTGCTTGACAGCTCTCCATACTGTGAGCGTTCCGAATCTTGAATACGTCAGTCCTATCCGGTCACATTCGATGCTTGAGACTTACCCCAAGGTGAAGCCTGCTGCGGCTGCTGCGAGCTGCAAGTCCCCTGAAGAGGTAGCCATTAAGGCGCGCAGTGAGCGAGGTATTCAACAGAGAGTGACGGTATCAGAAGATCAATGCGGAACAAAGGACGTGAGCAGTATGAATCCGAGGTCGAAACAAGCTGATGTGTGGCAGGGGCGTGCCCGTGTGTCTATGTACGTGAGTCGAGAGACGAGTTAATAAAGAAACTCAATCTATCCGGAGGTGTCTGCCGTGTTGAAGTTTTCGGCCAGTCTCGCTAGTCAGAGTACCATCATCGAAGAGGGTCCCGATCTTTGCAGGGCGGTTTTCGCACCGTGAAGGGCATCACTTCGCCAAAATGGCGACCGTGAAACGAAGCAATGGCCACCGGCCATGAGGAAGAATAGTGGGCAGACGGTAAGAAAGCGAAGGTTCTGCCGCTAGACCTCTAACCGCAAGTGCAATAGCTACAAAGCCCTGCCATGTGGCGCTGCGTCCCCAAGCCTCGATACGACCATGTTGAGACCTGGGGTGCACTATGTGGATCTCGGAAAATGTATGTGCTCTGGATACAAGTGCCGTGCTCACCTCAGGAGGCTCATGAAACTCAGGAGATGGGAAAATGACTTTTCGGAAAGGCAAGAAGGCGGGTGTTCACAAACGTTCATCTGACTCAGGTGGAGGCATCGATTTGGACCAAATGCGACAACTGGCATGGCCCAAAATGTCTCGCGGCCGAATTTGTCTTTCGTTGTTCAGACGGGGCCACGTAGTGCTGAACCAGAACCGCGTTCTGGCGTGCTGTTGCTTTACAAACGAGGAAGGTGCTGGATTGCGTGCGCATGACGAGGGGTTTAACCAAGCTTGGCATGTCATACTCGAGTGAAGCGACTTTGCTCAAAGCCAAGAAGCCTTCGTTCACGATTGATCTTGCAGAAATCCTTCATCTCAACATCTCGATTTTAATACGTACAATTGTACGAAACGTCCTGTAGAGGTACTGCATCTGTCGACTCGTTGGGCGTTATGATGTACTAGTGGCATCTAAGATGTATTCTATTGCCTTGCACTATCGTGGCCGAGTTTTTCCGTCGACCCTCGAACAAATGCCGTTTTGTGAGGCGCAAGCAACGAAAATTTACTTTGAAGGTGAAACGAGAACGGTCGTTACTCGTGCTTGAAGGTTGAATGTACCGTCCCCTACCTTAACTCTACCGCTCGGAGTACCGAGATATCAGGGTCGAAATTTTGCTGGGCAAATTCTCGGCAAACGATCTTGCTTTTTATCTGCCCTAGCTATCGCTTTCCCTCTGGGTCACGCGAAACATCTGAGCAGCCAGGTTCAGGAAGAGAATATTGCATATAAAGGAGTCTGATGAACTGCGAGCACTTGCCGGTTTTGAAAAACAATGTTCCAGAATTCCGACAATATGGTGCTTGGGCTCAATGACTCATGTAGCTATTGATTTCGGAGGCTGTTCCAGAAGAAACGTCCACATAACTACGTCCTGCCCGGTTGGCCTCTGACCCGGAAGGACGGCATGCCCAACTAATTTTTCAACAGGCAAGAAACAAGATCTTGGCTCACAACCGTCAGTGTTGACTCAAGGGCGATGAGCATTCAAGCCATTCAAGCATGACTCTTCAAGACATCACGTTCCTCTATGTCCGCAATGAAGACCAACGCCATCCTCGAGTGGGGCATTCTTTGCAAATCATGTCATTGACGATATAGAGAGCCTCAATGCGAGACCGCGCCGAATTGGACAAGAACCAAAACTACTGCTGGTCTGATCGACAAATATCGGTCTTTGGTGGGGTCTGGCTGCTTCGAACCTTGGAAGAGGGAGCTGATAAGAGTTTCGGCCGGCATCAATCATTTGTCAAGCATGTGTATTTGACCTGGTGACACCAACACGAGGTAAGTATATATGCCGAAATCACACTGCCATGCCTCATGCTGAGTCTTGGATCTCGAACTACCGAAATCTGCATAGGTATTCACTTCTGCGGGGCTGAAACGCTCAGATCAATCGTCCGAACCAGTCGGTCGATGTTTCGAGCTTCTTGATCTCGCAGGCCAACACCACGAGAGACAGCTCAACCGTGGTTCTAATGCTCACTATTGTCATGAGATGCACCAAGCTCACATGCAGTCCACATGAAATTCAGCCCTAACACTTCATTCGAATTTGGCATCCAGATCTGCGGGTCGACACCAGTCAAAACTTCAGGACTCCACTTCTGATGACTTATCTGATCGACGCTGTGCCCTGCCCTATGTTTTGCCCTGACTGCAGATGAATCTCGGGCACGAAGCGAGAAGTCCATGAACATTTTGGGGATCCTCATGACAGATTCATCTCTGATCAACCCATGTCATTTCATGACGATCACATGGCTCTCATCTGGATGCACGCTGGAAATATCCTCCTTCATATGGTCTTTTCTTCCGCCAGCAGTCTGAAGGACATAGACTAATCGAACGAGCTCTGGAGCACTCGTTGTCAACAAACCTTCACCAGTCTTCTTTCGGAAGTGCCATAAAACCAGTCAGAAAATGACAGGAAGCTGGCTGCCAAGTTCACCACCTGTTAGCCATCATCTTGTGGATCTCACGAGGCCCTACGCGATGAAAACCATAATGTGGATGGCCAGGCCGTGATGTTTTCTCGGCAAGGGATCTCGTCAACAAATGAGAAGGGGCATCATTGGCTCGCAATGCGGTATACCCAGCTAGCTGGCAGTACTTTCGACTATACGAATTCCTGTTGAGCATTGTCAGAGATAACATCGATCCACTGACCAGGTAGACAGCCGCAATCTCCCTGGTCTGTAGTTCTTGGGTGAGTCAAGGGTTACGAGAACAGTATCAACCAACTCGTCGGAGAGGTCGATCAGTCACTTGTTGTCAATGCAGAGGTATACCTAAACTATGATTAAGAAGTAAAGAACATTGTGTACCAGGTTGTTGATGTACCGTGTATCACCGAAATATGACCCACGAAGGCTACCATACTGCCAGGCTCTATTCTGCTGCCATGTCCGATCTATACGATGCTGTGTCTGTGACAGTGGATGCTTTAAGCTGATCTGTATCTGAGGCTTGACACAAGATATCTGATCTGTCAAAGTTGTACTTTTAGTACATACGGCCACAGTCAGCTGAAAACTGGGCATCCCGTCCGCTCTGCCATACATAAGCAGTTGAACGGCAGATTAGTACTACGGTGGGTGACCACGTGGGAATCCCTGCTGCTGTATGTTTTGTCCTTTTTCTTTTTCTTGTTTGATCGAGGCAACTCTTAGTATGTACGTTGTCAGCGCCAAAGAAGTCCTTCTCTTTTGTGAAATGAGGAAACGTCGCTCTTGCTCCAGGGACAAATCTTGGCCCAGCAGCCGTCCGTCGTCTTCCTTGGCATTATCGAACCTCTTCTACCAACCATAATTCATCATTGAGGGGAGAAGTCACTTGCACGGACCGACGAAGATGGTCTAGGGATATAGAGCCGACCGCAAACTCTGCCTCCTCTGCAATATGCAATACGCGCCTTTCACACCTGTCAGCCCGTTCTGGATGGTCTAGACTGCCATCGCGTCGACAAGCATCTGGTGTCCATTATGGCCTTGGTGATCATCGGCATCGACATCTCATCAATCTTTGCCATTGCCTATACGTGTGCCATCAACAGCCATGAGCTCCAGGTAGCTGCGCCTGCTCCGCACTGGCGGTCTAGCTGGTCACAAGGTATACCATTGAGGCTTGCCCTCAGAGTACCCGTAAGGTACTAGCCAGTCGAAACGCGAGAGCGACATCGCACCATCCCACACATGGGCCATAGTCTGCTTCAACTTGTCATACTGGCAGTCCTCAAATCTGCCTTACGGAAAGGCGGTGCGCTGGCCCGACCGGCTATATATGCTGCATACTGCACCATCTCCTCAATATAAACAAGCCTCGGTTGTCTCTTGGCCTACACGTGGTATAAAGCTAGATTCTAGAGTTCATTTCAGCCTCCTCTTCTGCAGGTGCAGCGCTCCATCCCGCACCTGCGGGGTTGTGACCCCTCCATTTGAACCTCCATCTCCGCACTTTAACCGCTGTCAACTTCCTGCTTTGGTTTGGGTGCGATGGTACCTGAGTCCGGTGTTTGATCGAAGGCATGGATCGATTTGCGATGGAGGACCTTAGTCCTGACTGACCGTATTTCATCCTGGGCTATAGCACCTCTGGGGCGAAAGCCACATCTCGAAAGCTTTTATCCGGCGTTCGAGCTTGCTTCTCTCGTAGACATCTCCTGGCAGCGAGATATGCAGGAGCGGGGTTTGCTATACCTCCTCAAGCCAGGCGCTACTGTATCTCATACTTTGCCGAAGTGAAGGGCGTTGCAGATGTGCAGCAGCTGACCATTCTGGACCTCGCCTGCAAATCTCAACTTGCGGCAGAACGGCATTTTTCACAATATGGTGCAGATATGGTGGGCTCATGGCAGTATATAAAGACAGATCGACGCTGTGATGAGCTATTCGCAACAACAGCATCACCAACGCCTCACAGCAATGTCTCCTATTCTCGCTCTTACAGGCCTGATCGCCATCGCCGCGGCCCAGCAGATTGGCAAGACTCCTGAAGTCCATCCAAAGCTGCCAACCCAGCTCTGCACTACCCACCATGGATGTGTGACTCAGCAGACATCGGTTGTGCTCGACGCTCTCACCCACCAAATCGAGGACATCAAGACTGGCGCTTCTTGCCAGAACTCGTCTGGCTTCCCCGACCAGACCATCTGCCCCAATGCTCAGGCTTGTGCTAAGAACTGTGCTATCGAGGGCATCAGCAACTACGCCCAGCATGGCGTTATGGTCAACGGAAACTCCATGACTCTCCATCAGTACTTGAACATCAACGGTACTGAGACAAGCGTCTCTCCGCGTGTGTACCTTCTGGCTCCAGGAGGCGAGAACTATGACCTCTTGAAGCTTCTCAATCAGGAGTTCACCTTTACCGTGGATGTCAGCAACCTTCCATGCGGCATGAATGGCGCACTCTACCTCTCCGAGATGTCCGCCACTGGTGGCCGCTCGGCTCTGAACCCTGCTGGTGCGGCTTACGGTACCGGCTACTGCGATGCTCAATGTCCGAAATCCGCCTGGATCAATGGCGTAGCCAATATCAACGACAACGGCGCCTGCTGCAACGAAATGGACATCTGGGAGGCCAATGGAGTGTCGACACAATTCACCCCTCATGCCTGCAATGTCACTGGCTTGTATGAATGCTCTGGCGCCGCCTGTGGTAGCAGCGGTGTCTGTGATGAGTCAGGCTGCGGATACAATTCCTACGCTTATGGCAACAAGACCTTCTACGGGGAAGGCGACGTCGTCAACACACAACATGTAAGTTATCCATAGTCAGATGTGTACCAAATCATTCACTAACCTCTTCTCCAGCCCTTCACAGTGGTAACAGCCTTCCACACCGACGACAACACCGCCACCGGCACCCTCACCAACATCACACGCCTGTACATCCAAAACAACAAGATCATCCAAAATGCCGTTGTCCAAGTCGCAGGCATGCCCGTCAACTCTATCGAAAACTCCTTCTGCGAAGTCGTGGCTTCATCCTTCCAACAACGTGGCGGACTTGCTCAAATGGGAGAGGCGATTGGACGTGGTATGGTGCTTGCCATGTCCATCTGGAACGACCCTGGCGCTTTTATGAACTGGTTGGATAGTGGTAATGCAGGTCCTTGCAATGCTACGCAAGGAAATCCTGCTCTGTAAGTTTTGTTTGTGTGGATTTTGTTGATGAAAATCGCTGACATTGAGGATTGCAGGATTGAGGCTAATGACCCGACTACGAGTGTTACTTTCAGTAACATCAAGATCGGAGATATCGGATCGACGTACAGTGTTGGTCATTGAGATGGACATGACTCAGCTAGGCTCGTTGCATCTGCGTCGTCGTAGACAGTGTTACAAATGAATGTTACCAATATTTCATCAAAATATGAAAGACGAGTATCCTCAGCAAAAAAAAAAAAAAAAAAAAAAAGGAAGATGTCAGATTGACAATGGGTATCCTCTAACGAAAAAGTCTGTCTATTCTAGGAAGTAATAACACCGTCCCAATGCTCATGTCAGACAGATTAACACTAAACAAGAAAAATCCAGCTAAAGAGTCCCAAGCCTCCCAAAAACCATTGTTGCTGACTGACTTGACAATGTGATGCTGCAGCACTAGAGGTCGAGGCTGCTGCTGAACTAGTAGATGAAGTGCTAGTTGCTGATGCTGACGACGAAGAAGAGCTTGTGGCTGAAGGACCTGTGCTCACAGCATCCAACGGCCACTTATTCCAGAATTTGAGTAGAAGGGGAGTTGCATCAAACGGACTTCCAACATCGAGAGATGGCCAATAGTGTCCAAGGTCATGTACCTTATAGTGTATGTGAATGGCCGGATAGGTCTTGTTGCCGTAGTCGTATCGAGTCACGTCTTTGTGGTAGAGCGAGGTCGATCTGTTCAAGGTGCCAAACCCGTCACGTTCAGACCACGCGGTCATATAGTGAGGAAGGCTAGGCAGACAGCGGTCGCGACGAGGTCCGCCATCGTAGGGTATGGTATCATCAGAATCGCCGTGGGTCGTGAAGAGCGGGGTGAGAGGTCGGCTTGAGTCGCAGGGTATGGGTACCGCCTCAGCTTTGCAATCATCCTCGCTGTCACCCTGGTAGTATGCCCCTGACATACCTCCATACGCAGCAAAGATAGTAGAAGCTTCAGGGTGACAAGCCAGAGTATTAGCAGCAAACGCACCGCCGTTTGACTTTCCTGCCGCGTAGATTTTGTTTGTGTCCACACAGTAGGTACTGGAGAGATTGGCCAGGAGTTCGAGAGTAAAGCCGACATCATCGTAGCCAACAGCATCTGGATCGCCCTGCCATTGCTCATTAATGCCTTGCGGGTAGACTACCAGATAATTCGGATTCATGGTTTCGTTGGACATTCCAGATACGTCCTCTTGCTGCTGCCAAGTCTGTAATCGGCCATGGAATGAGAAAGCCAGTGGTGTGGGAGTGTCGCTGTCGTAGGATGTCGGTACGTGTAGACCGTATTTGCGAGTAGTTCCATTAGAAGTAACGAATTCTAGCGAGTTGGTGTTATGAGCACCTCCACGCTCTATTGATGCAGGTAAAGATTTTCGACATCCTGAGGTTGCAGCAGATTGGACGGCTGTAGCGAATACTGCTTGAAGAAGAGCGATGTGCTTCATGGCTCGCGCGAATGATGTGTGCTCAGCTTGCGAGAATATAGAATTATATATAGCGGCTGCTGAATAGTTTCAGATAATGCGAGAAGTCAAGACGCGACAGGTAGGCGCCCGCGGGGTCCGCAGCTTCTTGTGTAGCTGAATGTCTAGACGAATACGGCCTGTCGCTCCCACGTGTTTCTAGATGTCTCAACTCTCGAACTTGCTTCTATAGTGGCGCTGCGGTCAGTTGATTATTGTTGAATTGACTTTTCAGCTCTTTTGAATCTTGACGCCTATCGCTCGCAAGCGTTGCTAAGACGAGGCTTGCGCGTCTTTGGACATGACAAAGACGACGTTCATCCCCTTTTCTCAATGCAAGAATTCATGCTGCTACTAGTGACGTGCTCCATAAATTTCCAAGGCTCCAAAGTCTTGGTCTTGGATGAACGGAACATTTGCTATGGCTGACTATGGTAGGAGCGATGGGAGATCTCACTCATGGTTGAACTTCGGAGGCTCCACCAACGGCGGTTCCGCGGGATGCGACAAACAATCATCGTCATTGTTTAATCGTCCTTCTTTGACTGCTTTCAAGGTCATGCGAAGAGATGCATTGAACAGCTCGCCAGCATCTGGCGTTATTGCCTCTCATATCGCTATCATTTCAACATGTCTGCGAAGCCGCTCTTTGCTGACTTTGGTCGATTGTGATTCGTCCGCCATCATCATGCAGCCTGCAAGCCTACAGGCTGAGCGGCGCGTGATTGACTGTCAAGGCTGGCATTGGACCGACCGATCCTGCTGATTGAGGATACAACATCCTCGCCAACTCGACCTCCTTGACAGGCCTACTACCAACCTCCAGCTCGCTGCAATGAACAACAATGCGTCCCGAAACGCGAGATGAGTTCGAAATTGCCATCGTCTGTGCTCTGCCTCTAGAAGCTGCTGCTGTTATAGACTCGTTCGACCAGCGCTATGACAAGAACTGCAGTGGGTATGGCAAGCAAGAGGGGGATACAAACACTTACTCGACTGGACGAATTGGTCAACACAATGTTGTTCTGGCTCATATGCCCGGTATGGGCGTATCTAGTGCAGCTAGCGTTGCATCCGATATTCAGCTGAGCTTCAAGGGAATCAGGCTTGCACTCATCGTTGGTGTATGTGGCGGTGCTCCTCTCGAGCGACCAACGCCTGCCATTGTCCTCGGAGATGTCATCATCTCCAACTCGGTCGTCGAGTTCGACTTCGGAAAACAATATCCGACTCGTTTCGAAAGAAAAACCGACCTGGACCACACGCTCGGTAGGCCAAATCCCGAAATCCGAGGTCTCCTCAGCAAGTTTGGCGTAGCATCTATACGCAAGGAATTGGAAGAAACGATACTACAGAATCTCAATATATTGCAACAGAAGGGACATGCAGCGGGATATCCAGGTGCCGAGCACGATAGACTATTCCCTGCCTCGTACCGACACATACATCGCAGACAGACTGCCTCGCAAGATTGTCTCTGTGTTTCGTCTCAGTCTGATGGCAGAGCTTTGTGTCTCGAAGCTCTGGAGTCAAGTTGCGACGCGCTTGGTTGTATTGTGGAAATTCCAGATGGCTCGTCTCGACAGATGCGTTTTGCATCGGGAAATCCTACGCCCTTCGTACACATAGGTACAATTGGCTCTGCAAGCACCGTCATGAAGTCTGGCGAACACCGTGACGCTATCGCTCGTGGAAACAACATAATTGCTTTCGAGATGGAAGGAGCCGGTGTATGGGACAACTTGCCTTGTGTCGTGATCAAAGGCGTCTGCGACTATTCCGATAGCCATAAGAACAAAATGTGGCAAAACTATGCAGCAGCGACAGCGGCCTCAGCTGCAAAGGCTTTCCTGGATCACTGGACTTCCAGGCAGTACAACATAATTCCAGCGGCCCCTTCCAGGAAACGGCGGCGCTCATGCAGCCCTGAGGACGACTACAATGCCTCGCATGGCGCTCGCCGGCCGCTGCGTCCGGAAAGACAGAAAGCCGTGGCATCGGCCCTGCCCCTGACAGACCAAACGAGCACTGGCCTACCAGCTCCTTGGGTACTCGCAGACCCTCATGCACAGAAGATCACATTAGACGCTCTAAATTTTGAACATCTTGATGCTCGTCAGGCTACTATCAAGACTGCTCACACTGCTACGTGCGAGTGGTTGTTCAACCAATCAAAGTACCTGGATTGGCAAAATGAGGACAAGACTACCGAGCACCACGGTTTCTTATGGATCAAAGGAAAGCCTGGCGCAGGCAAATCGACTATCATGAAGTTTGCCTACACCAATGCCAACGAGATTTCAGGGGGCTCAGTGGTCATCTCTTACTTTTTCAATGCCAGAGGTGAGCATCTGGAAAAGTCCACTGTTGGAATGTACCGATCGCTCTTATTTCAGTTGCTCAGCAAGGTTCCACGGCTCCAGGAGATCCTCGATACGAACGAAGCGACTAACTTGCAGACTGTTTCTCCGGAGTTGTGGACGACCGAAACTCTGCAGTTGCTTTTTTTGTCAAGCTATCGAGAAGCTCGAGGAACAGCGTCTGATTTGTTTCGTTGACGCACTCGATGAATGTGAGAACAATGAAGACCAGGTGCGAGAAATGGTTCGATTCTTTGAGGCATTGGGAGAATGCGCAACCATGAGAAAAACACGATTTCATGTGTGCTTTTCCAGTCGACACTATCCGCATATCACAATCGACAAATGTGTTGAGCTGGTTCTCGAAGCTCAACAAGGTCACTCAGAGGACATCACGAAATATATCAACTCGAAACTCAAGGTTGGACGTAGTAAACGTGCCGAACACATAAAGTCCGAAATGCACGCGAATGCGCAGGGTGTTTTCCTTTGGGTGGTACTCGTTGTGCCGATACTCCAAAAAGCTTATGATCACGGTCGAGTGCACGCCCTTAGCGAATGTCTTAAGGGTATCCCAAAAGGCCTTGACGAGTTGTTCGAGGATATCCTTCAGAGAGACACCGAGAATATGGAGAATCTGAAGGCGTGCTTGAAATGGATCCTTTACTCGGATCGACCACTAAGCCCCACAGAGCTCTATCTCGCCATTCTGTCTGCATCAAGTTCAGCTCCTGCCACAGCATGGGATCCCGAGGATATCACAATTGGAGACATCAACAGGTTCATCTTGAGCTCGTCCAAGGGCCTTGCTGAAACAACGAGGGGCAAAATTCCAACGATACAATTCATCCATGAATCTGTCAGAGATTTTCTCCTCAAGGGAACTGGTTCGGCACTTAACGCAGACATAGGTCTTGTTTCTGCAGGGCTCGTACATGATTTCCTCAAGCATTCCTGTCAACGGTATTTGGCCAGCATCCCAAGCTCTTTGGTCAGCACACCAACAGACAGCAACAAAGATTTCGTTCGCGAGAACGAGACCAACTTTCCGTTTTTGAGTTATTCGATCCGCTCTATCTTCAAGCATGCTGAGTCTGCGGCTAGCCTTGGAGTGTCACAAGAGAGATTTCTCGAGGTCTTCCCGCTAGCACATTGGATCTTGTTACATGACTGTACCGAGAAGTATAAGATACGTCACTACGGTCATGAAACAACTTTGCTGTATATCTTGACGGAGAGAAATTTCCTGAACCTCTTCCAGATCGAGATTTGTCGAAGTCAATCAGTAAATGCTAAGGGTGGCCGGTACGATTTTCCTATCATCGCAGCCGCAGTCGTTGGTAATGACAAGATCTTGGATCTACTGCTCCGTTATGGTGCTGATCACACCAAACGAGGTAAAGAGTACAGACATGCTCTTCATGCTGCTGTGGATAAGCTCCACCCACCTGCTGTCGCTATGTTGATAGATCGCGGTGCTGTGCCCGCTTCAAAGGATAGCATCCCTCCGCGTCTGATTCATCAGGTTGTGAAATTACGCGAACTTACGATAATGAGGCTGCTCTTGAAGAATCGTTCACTTCTACCATTGCGACCCAGTTCCGCAGGTCTTGTTGAAACGGCTATCGACAACAGCCACCAGGAGATGCTCGAGCTTTTTCTCGAATTTGGCGTCGTTAGTACAGCTAATAACTATAACTTCATTCAAGCTTTTCGCCAAGCTTCATGGGATGGCAATGAAGATCTCGTGCGTGTATTGATTGGGCTTGGTGCGGATGTCAACGTGGCCGGGAGACTAGGCACTGCTCTCGAAGCCGCTTCTCGTGCCGGACACGAGGCCGTCGTGCGTTTGTTAATCGAGAAAGGTGTGGACGTCAACGCAGTATCTGTCGGGCAATCTGGTAGGAGTACTGCACTCTATGCCGCGTCGGCTAGCGGTCAACAAGCCATTGTCTCCATACTCCTTGAGCATGGCGCAGATGTCAACGCGGCATCTGTCGAGAAATCTGGAAAGAGCAGTACTGCACTCTATGCCGCGTCGGCTAGCGGTCAACAAGCCATTGTCTCCATACTCCTTGAGCATGGCGCAGATGTCAACGCGGCATCTGTCGAGAAATCTGGAAAGAGCAGTACTGCACTTTATGCCGCGTCGGGCAGCGGTGAACAAACCATTGTCTCCATACTCCTTGAGCATGGCGCAGATGTTAACGAGGCATGTCCACTTTACGCCGCTTCATATAATGGACACGAGGCCGTGGTGCGTTTGTTGGTCGAGGCAGGTGCGGACGTCAACGCATTACATGTTAACGCTTTTGGAAAGAGCAGTACTGCTCTCTATGCCGTGTCAGCTAGCGGTCAACAGACCATTGTCTCCATCCTCCTTGAGCACGGCGCAGATATCAACGAGACATGTTCACTTTACGCCGCTGCATATAATGGACACGAGGCCGTGGTGCGTTTGTTGATCAACGCAGGTGCGGACGTCAATGCATTGTACGATAATCCTGATGGAGCGAGAAGGACTGTGCTATATACCGCGGCGGCTAGTGGTCAACAGCCCATTGTAGACATACTCCTCGAGCATGGCGCAGATGTCAATAAGGCATGTCCACTTTACGCCGCTTCATCGTTTGAGCACGAGACCATCACACGCACATTATTGGAGCACGGTGCTGATCCTAACCAAGCTGACGTCCCCCTACCTTTCAGAACACGCTACCTGCCTCTTCATGCAGCTCTGGAGAGAGGCCACTTGAAGATCGTACGCCTTTTGCTCGATTTTGGCGCAGTTGTAAACATGTCGTCCTCCATGTATGCGGACGCTTTCACAGCGTTGGAAGATTGCCGTGACCAAGAGAAGCGTGCCGCATGTAAGCAGCTGTTACTCGAAAGGCATGTCGTGGATCCGCACGCTCTTTACCTGACTTGAACCGATGTTGTTGCATACCTCAACTTCCCATACAACCAACAGAAAGAGAGTATGTGTCTCGATCAGCTTGAGTTTTCAGCCACTCCCAAATTCCGGATGAAACCTATAAAGGGAAGAACAGCAGAAGCTTGCTCAAAATCTCAAATCTGGATATCCTTTACTGACTTATTCCTACCATGTATATATCACTTACCTTCTCCTTACTTTGTTTGTCTTCTTGAGCGTCGTCGTTTCCTGTGATGTAATACCAATCTTTCACACTGCTCTTCATCTTCCTTATGCTGTAAGGTGAGCCTAAACTGATCTCAATGTTCTATTTGCAGCTCTTTTTGTGTTTGCCTAGTGCCATATTTCCCTAATGATCAAGTGCTTGTACTGGCGTTTGGATCAAGCAGAAGAGTTTGGGTAGGAATCGCAAGAATCCAATGATAGAAGGGTTTCGCAGATGGTGAGCACAGTCTGTCATAGCCAATCTGAACAAAGGATCATAGAGCGATCAGTGACAGAGTCAAGAGTCAAGTGAAATCAAGAGTGCAGTGAAAGTGCAGATCAGCGGAGGAGCGGCGAGGCAGCGGAGCGGAGAGGAAGTGAAAGTCGCGATGATGCTGCCAAGACAAAGGAACAGGCGCAACTTTGGAGCTCCAGTCAGTTGCATGCGCGAAACCGAAGAGCTACTTTAGCACCGCAACATCGCCTGTCTCACAACAATGGCGCTCCAACCGACTCCAGACCAGAAGATTGACAGACAGACGACGACGCCCTTCCTCCTGCGACTCTACTACCGATCCAATGGCTTTCACTCACCCAACGAATTCTCGACAGTGCCGCCGCCATCTTGGTTACAACAGTCCAGTCTGCAAATCTACACCTGGCCTTCATGTACTCTCGCCGAATTGACCACTCTTCTCACCTCCGCCCTACCGAATCTGCTTCCCTCACCATCTGTCGGCACTCGCATCGGCTACCGTCTAGTCTTCCCAGATACGCGAAGTGTTCCCTCGTCAGGCGGCTCAGATGCGCCAGGACGATGGTTATCAAAAGAGCTCGGTAGTGTGATTCTAGGACAAAGCAACGACTACGATCAAGACAACGATCCCGCTGGTCTTGGACGTATGGATGGCGACGCGCAAAAGACTCTGGCAGACGCCCGCTTTGTCATTGGCGACTACATTTCATGCGCTATCTTCCCTCCCTTGGCCGATGGCTCTGTCGCTCCTTTGCCCCCTGCTACACCCGCCATCAGAGGCACTTCTGGTCGAGGAGGTCCACCACCACGCGGCGAGAACGGTCGTCCACCCAGGTCAGGAAGAGGTCAATTTGCTGGAGATAGAGCCTTTGGCCCACAAGGTGTTCCTCATGGCGAGTGGAGACGAGGCGAGAGAGTGCCTGAATACGCCCGCTCAGGAAGAAATGGCGGTGGTGAACGTGAGCGTGAACGTGGAGGAGGAAGAAACAGGCCTTATTGAACCTCGTGACACGACGTCAGCCTCGTTCAAACATACACCCCTGAGTTTACGCCTGGTCGGTTCAGCACACACAGCCTTGCTTGACTCGGCAACAACTTTCTGCGATCGACGATATTATGCGCAGAGCCCGCTCAGCAACTGCGTGATTTGCAAGGTCGGTATGCACGCTCAAAACACAGCCTGCTCCCGCCGCACCCATGGTCGAAGCACTTTCTGTAAGCGCTCCTCATAATCTCCAATCATAGCACCACCATAGCGTGACAAACCCTCCGCTGGTGAGTTTGCTGATTCGTCTCGTCTTTAAGAGTCTTAAAGGCTCCGACGACCCAAAAGCGCGACACAGCGCACCTATCACAGCAGTATACAGGACTCCATAGAGACACAAACACGAACTGCATACCTGAACATACATTTTCCACTCTCCAATGTCACTAGCATCTAAGACTTTCACAAGCAAGATAAACAATCATGAAAGTCTCACAAGATCTTTGACGGTCTTCAATTCAATCCATCATCGTTGTATTTTCATAATTACCATGTCCTACTCTACCAGTCCATCAAGTCCATTCAAAGACATCCTCTTGCTTTTCCGACCCATCAAGAACTCTTGGTGTTATTCTCATTCTGCACCACAAAGTAATTAGCAGCAATAGGCTTGCCAACTTCCTCCTCCAAAGCCTTGATCGAATAGTTCATTCTTCCAAGGTAACTGAAATTAGCATACATGGCCTTAGCACTCAAATCAGGCTTATAGCCCTCTGGCTGCTCAAACAAATAAATCACATAATTGTGCGGTTCATCTCCTTGAGGGGGTTGAGGACCTTCGTAGTCTGCAATTGGCGTCGAGAAGTTTTTGAGCTCAAGGTGGGGAGGAATGGTGTGCACGTTGTATTCGAACCAGTGCAGGCGGGTTGTGCGGTTGGGACCAATACCGGGGACAAGAGAGGCAAAGTCTGTGGTGTTGGGGAGGGCGAAGAAGGGCAGGTTCAGGTCTACCATGGTGAAGATGTAGGTTTTGTCTTTTTGGGGAGACTTGTGCTTTGCGAGGTTGCGGTTGTTGAGTTTAGGGGACGGGAAGTAGAGGGTTGGTTGGCCTGCGTCGGCGACTGTGGAGGATGTTATTACTTTGCTGGCCAACAAGATAGGGTGGGAAGGAACTCACCAGCTTGATCAATCATTTCGCCGGGCTGGACATTGTTCTTGCCGAATTGAATGCCCAAGGTATTAGCAACCTGAGGAGTTGAACCCGGAGGTGTGGCAGCAGAGGCAATGTTGACGCCAACAGCAGCAACAGCAAGCAAGACTTGAGAAGGCTTCATTGTGACTTAGTATATCTTGATAAGTTTGAAGGTTTGCTTAAAGTTGCAGAGAACCAAGACGCTTTATATGTTCGCTGCTTCGTTGCTGCGTTGACGGCATACATCGCTAGGGCAGCGCCTTCAAAGGTCTAGATCCCCAGGCCACCTCTTCACGTTGCTTGCACGAGTGGTGCTATGCATCTTCCATATTGGAAACGTTGTTTCTGGCTTCTTATCCTCGTTGCATTAGTGAAAGTCTGAAGATCTGCTTGGCCTTTTTTGTTTCTCGTTCCTACCCTCACCAACCATGAAATTACCAAAAATCATAACAATGCAAGACTTGAGGTTATGCTCGAGTATACAAATCAAGCAAGATAAAATCCTTCCGCGGTTCCTGAACCGATTCTTCGATTGTATATCGGTAACCAATCTACAATCCTTGTCGATAGCTTCCGCGCATCATGCATGCAACTATATTCGAGGAACCCCTGTATGACGCCCATGTGTCTTTTTGGCTAAAAGCAAATGAGATGACGAGAGATGATGTGTGGCTGGCCAAACGGGACGGTTCCCAGACCTCGGATCGGTGTTAAGGTATCCCCGAAGATCTCGCTGTTGTTGGCACCCTGCTCCTATCCACAAGACCGAGAATGACAACAACATTCAACAGTAGGTTTGATTTTTTTAGTCTACCTCTGAACTCGGTGATCTATACTATATCATGAGTGTATGTCACAGGTTCAATGCTTGTTGGGTTGCTTGTCAGAGCCACAGCAATTCTCAACATTGATGGCAAACACTTTCCGATGAATCACCACGAGCAAATGACCTGACCAAATGTTCGCTGGTCATGGAGTTGTGCAGAAAAGTGATGAGTGCAGAAACTAACACGATGTAGAACATGCAATTCTGATTGCTTAAAATTCATTGTCGGGACGGGCCAATGGACTTTAATTAAATGAAACGTCAACCAATAACTCCCTTCGCTTCGCGATTCAGTGACCCGATGCGCAATGTTCACCAAGACATCAGACACAGATCCAAATGACAGTGGCAGTCTGCGTCAATGGTACCAAGTCTCAAGAAAGCGGGGGGACGAGAGATCGAAGAAGAAAGTGTAAAATCGGGTAAATGTATTTACAGGTCCAAGAAGGCCCTTTTACCCAAAGGGCGATGGTCAAAAGAAATATTTACAAGAATGTTAGGCTGCCGGAAAAAACAAATAGGAAGCTTTGGGTCACAAAGGGGTGTACTTGTAAGAGTAGTTGCTCGTCCCTCTCTTCCACTTGGGCAGGACACGCTCTCCTTTTCGGAAGCGTCTCACAGCCTCGAAGCTGATTATCACACCAAAGATGCCTCCAAGCGGAAGCAATATGCTCCATACGCTCTGTGCTGTGGTCATCGGATCTTCAATCGCAAGCTCGGAAGTTCCGAGAACGTTGCCCTCGTCATCGGAAGCAACAACACGGTATGACATCTTCGAGTCACCCTCGGGTAATAGGAATGAGGTTTCGAAGGTTGTCTTGTCAACTACATCGACATCGCTAAATTCGGATTTCGCCCAGGAGTCGGTAGATTGTAACGTCCATGTCGCAACTTCTGTAGCACCATTCCAAGACGCGTATAGCCTCCCGTCCTGGATTTTTGCTTTCGGAGATTCCAAGGGCACGCCCACCCAGTCAGCCTTGAGTGAGCGGTAGGATGTTACACGGCCATAGTGTGAGATGTACTGTGCGCCATAGTGAGCTTCACATAATAATGTGCCGTCAACATCGAATTCTGAAAAGACTGGCGAATGGCCCCAGCCAACGAAAACGGTGTTCGTCGATGGTAGGACTTGTACTGAGCCTTGCGAGGCAGCGCGAGTGTGTCGGTCAGAGACGTATTCGTGCAGGAGTTTCGCTGTGTTCTCGGTCGTGTTGATTTGAATCATGCGAGCGGTAGAATACGAGGCATCAAGATGGAGAGGGCCGGCATCGCTGTTATCGAAGACGGTCAGAGTGCCTTGGTCCTGATCCAGCCAGCGACCATCGTGTTGCCAACTGAAACTTGTAGCTCCACCAGCCGAGATGTCTCTGAAGCTGTTTTGCTTGCCTCCAAGGACCCAGACAACGTCGCCATTGGTGCCATTGACCTTGATCAGAGAGTGCAAGTGACGAGAAGATATGAGGTAGTCGCCATGGGCGTCCTTCTCAACACTGTTGATGTGGAACCAGTCAAACGGAATCGACTCCCAGTATCCGGCCAGCGGATGTGTGTAGAACGAGTCCATGATAGAGAAGTGGTCCAGCGCATTCCACTCGAACAACAATGTGCCAGTCTCGACGTCAATCTCTTGAAACAAGTTGTTGTTGACCCAGCCATTGACCGGCCTTCGCATTGCAGTCATGTCGGTTTGTGTTACGTTGTAGATGGTGATGAGCGCCGTGCCGTCTTTCGTTAGAGTGAATTCGTGAAGATCGCCTTTGAGGCCCTCGCCAACGGCAGAGACTTGATATCGTTCTTGGTATGAGGAGTCGAGCTGCGAAACCGTTAGCTTCGAGTGGCAGTGACCAACTGTTGAGCATGCTCACCATATAGTAGTCTCCATAGCCATAGCTCGAGCCTCTGAGACCAGCCCAGAAGGTAAGGTATTTCTCACCCTTATACTCCTGGACCTTCAAGTTCATGGCCTGCCCATACCGGTCTGTCTGCCATACAAGGTTCCCTCTTGCATCTAGGATCATAGGGCCGGGATGTTCGACTGATTTGCCTTGGGGAGAGATAAAGATAAAGCCATTGTCGCATTTGTCGTCCCACCGTACTTGTTGCAGGTCTGGTGAAGTCAAGTTGTGTGAGACGTAGTACCGTTGCGGGTAGCCACCATATACGGCAAGATCAAAGAATGTTGATTCCAGTGAAGGGAAGATCCAGCCGACAACGGGAAGCACAAGCTGGTGAACCGCTAATAATGCTGCGAGGAGACCAGCCAGAGCAGCAATCAACAGACCAGCCAACCGCAGGTGCTTGCAGATTTCTTGTTGTAACATGTTTCCAAGAGAGAACGACAAGGCTGGAGTCAACAAGACTCCGCTGAAGGAGTTTTGAAGAATGAACTCAAAGAGAAAGGAGGAGGTTATTTGGTTTGGCTCATTGAATGTCCCGAAGCAAACACCACCGTGCATCAAGCACAGCCCTGATACATTTAGGGAAGTAGATCTTATAGATTCGTAACTGCCAAGTTGGCAGTGCCCTCCAGGGCACGGCGACGGGAGGCCATGAACGCCGTGTCGCCGTATGGCTGCTCACCAAGCGTATGAAAGCGTATTCTTTGATAAGCTGCTTGGCCCTGTCCAATCGAATGGCCTATTGACGACATGTTCGGTCTGATTTCGCGAGCGGTTGGTCTCCAAGAGAAATGGTGGATCATCTGGGCGCAGTCTGGCGGCAGGTAGAATTGAGTTTGACATGCATCGGAGAACTCGTGCTACGCATGTGGCTGCCACTTTCATGACTCTACCTTCCCTGTAGCCTTTCCAGCCGACAACCTTGAATTCGTGTATTAACAATCTCGAGCCCTATTGTGTTTGAATTCAAGACGTCGCTGACATGTGCTTTGAGACTTCATATTTCTGAAGCATCATTCTGTGACGGTCTCAAGAAGACTGTATGCGCGTTGTCTCAGCTCTGCGGCCCACCATCTCCATACGCTCCTCAAAAAAAGGTGGATATCGAAATTTCGGCAAGAGCTACCCCCAAACGCCTTGCCAAGAGCCGCCTCCGCGTTGTTGAGAGAGGGCAAGAGATTTGGAGATGGAATGAACTTGGCTTTCCAGCAGATAGATGACAACCACAAATCAGGGTTGAGATGTGCGATCAGTTCTGCCACCAATCGAACAAGATCTCATGGCGACGATTGCACCATCGAAGGATTCGAGAATCGATAACAGCGTAATGTGGCTGCTTTCACGCGCGCTTCGCTTTCGGTAAGCAGAGCGCTCTCTCTCGACTGTGCTTTCCGTTTCGGACAAGTGAGTTCAATGACGCGTGCGAATTGGCAACTGCAGTGCTGAGTGAGGCTGTGTAAAAGTCTCAAGCACATGAGGTTCAAGGTTTTTGGTTGAAACCGACCCGTCTGCGTTGATCGTGGGGAGGCGCTTCCGCCCTGTGTCACCCTTGTCACTTTCTCAGCTTTTATCAGATGTTTGCCAAGTCGTGACAGGAGATTCAGATCAGGAGAAACTTTCGTTGCTGTTTGCTATCTTGACGCTTGTCGCATCTCGCATTCGCAACTGCTTCCATTTTGGATCTGACACTACAGGTGGGAAGTCAGAGATATAGGTGAATCAAAAGCCAGTGCGGCAAGAATGCGGGCGCATTGTTGTCGTTGCTCTCCAGGAATCGATTCCAGAAACAGCCAAGCACTTCGAGGGGGTGTCAAATCACTTTCTCTGGAGAAAGCATCGTCGGTCGCCAAATTGCTGGGCGCGGAGGTGCCGATGGTCTCTTGGGCACACTGAAAAAGGACGTGGGAATCCCGCATATATACGAGAGGACGTTTGCTTAAAGTTGCTGCCTTCGTTTGCGGTTTTTGAGGCTGAAATATTACCCGCTCGTATTGACAGCCTTTCGGATCCTTCAGGCTTCAAGCACGAGCGCAAGATGATCCTTCTCGACTTTACAATAACGACATCTGTAAAGATTACGACTCATGCTATGCTCTTCATCAATTTCGGATGCAATTGAACGGTTTGAGACATTTTATATGATTTGCTCAGAACACGTTCGTCAGAAATCATGCAGAGACGATATTTATCGGCTACCGCGAATTCCAGAGTAGAGAAGATAACCATTGCACATCATTACATACTGTGTTAATTTGCTGTGTCTAGTGGCCGGTCACCTTTACTGCCCTTGTCATCATCACGCCCTTGCCTGAATATGGCGGCACCCAAGTTCTTGCAGTCTCATACGCATGCTGTTCGACCAGCGAACCCTGACTGCTTGTTCTGTGCAATGCATTGTCGTCATTGCCGAGATCGACCATCTCAAATCTCGGACTAGCAATGATGGTTTCCAAACGTGATGTGGCATTGTCAAACACTTGGAAGCCCTTGTGATCAGCGAAGCTCAAGCGCGACCGTGAAGCGTGTTGGGAGCGACTGCCGTGCCTTCTACAGGTGCCCATTGCACTGTTTTTGGTTCTGTTGGATCCCGATCTGGAAATGTAAGGTAGTGTCTTTTCCACCATGCTGAGGAACAATGGTCGTAAAGCGCAAAGTGACGCTGCTGTGATCGCTAGCCCAGGCTCCACGATGGAAAGCAGACCAGCATCGACCGCGGTGGTGAAGAAATTGGAACTGGTCACGAGGCCACTGAGGTACGCGATACGAACGATCGACGCAACAGTACCAACACAGCCCATGCTTAGAAGGACGCAGGCTGATATCTTTGCTCGACGTGGCATCAGGCTGTTCCACAGGACGATGGCTGGGAGAAGCGCGAAAATGACATCGACTCCGGAATTGAGAACACCCGAGATGTAGAGCATAGGCATGATCACATCTTCCGAGATGCACTTGCCCCGGGCCGCGTTGATGAGCAGGTCTTTCGGCATTCCACAGCGGAAGGTGACCAAGAAGATGAAAGCAATACCATAGACGGCGTAGATGGCGGTCGAGATATAGATCAAGAGACGCTGCCATTTCAATACGACAATCCGCAGGAAGAAGATTGCCAGACTGATCTTGAAGATGATCGTGGTAGCTATGTAGAGAGCATTGTACGTGACGACGAACTGCCGACAGGTCAGTATGTTTCATCCTAATCAATTTGCGATCTGTACTTACCACCATTGCCTGTGTCAATACGGGCCATATTGCCATCAGGTCCTCCGTGTTGTAGGCTATCTCTACTTCTGGTTTGAAGCAGTATTTAGCCTCGACAATTAAATATGCGCAAAAAGTGGTAAACGTAACCTGGCCAGATCAGCTCCATGAACGTTTTCATGTCATCTTCAAGACTCACAGCTGCCCAGATGAGAAAGGCATCATCCCATCCAAACGCTTTGATTGTGAATATGCGGACGTAGACTCGAAGGGCGAGTGACGTCCATACCAATACCAGAAAGGTAACACTGAAGCCAAACAGAAGGTGTGCTCTTGGTTGTAGGTCAAGCACATTAGGTAGAAGTGATACACTGAAAGTGTCCATTATGACGCCGTCTACTTCTACTGACAGACGCAAGGAAGGAGAATCCAGAAGGTAGCAGCGGCAACATTGAGTATATACTTACCAGATGCCAGGTCCGCGGATCCGCCTTCCCGGAGCCACTCGCATCTCAGCTCATCAGTGCTGAAGAGCTTAACGAAAGAGCCAATAAAAGAGACAAGCCTTTCAGCTCAAAGGAGACGGACGGCGTCTAGTTCGCCATCGCGAATATCGCTACCATTCAATCATGATTGTCAAACTACCGGACTACAAATCCAAGTCATGAGGAGCGCGAGGCTCGTATGAATCGTCTGGGTGCTCGGTTCGCAGAATGACCGACCAGATAATATGGATCGTGCCACAGTGAAGATCAAGACGGGAAAAGCACTGGCGGCTGAGATTAGCGAGTCAAGATCCGGAGGTATAAAACCCATCATGTTGGAGACTAAGACAGACCATACATGTGTGATCCGTGTAGCATCTGACTCCTCTTTACAGAATTTCTGAAACGAGAGAATCAGGATACGCATTTTGTATGATCGGAAAAGAACATGGGATGACTGGACGTCGTGTAATAGGCTCGGGCTCGATGAGGGTTCTTGGTGTATGACTTTCTCTTGCTCACACAAAGAATGAGCTGAGAGCCAATTCTCCGTACTCGTAGTAGTGCTTGGCATGTCAAATGTTTCAGCCTCTAACAATGGGTTGTGCAAGTGTTCGGCGGGGTGGGTGAAAGGCGTGACAGAAGTTTAGAAGCATGTCGCCAGAACGCTATGGGAGGAGATGAGCACACAAGCACTTTTCGCAGTAGCTGTGGTCTCGCCACAGGCACAAGCTCTCTCTAGTCAAAGACCACGGCTAGAACGTCGCGACTAGAGACAGTGCTTGTCCTTCTGCACCCAGAAGCATGCTTGAATGTACGGGAGAGGCTTATTACAGATGATGTGACAAAGAAAGGAAGCGAAGTTAGTAAGGTAGGGAAGCGGGGCAGGTGCAGGCGAGTCCATGGCAAAGACGCGTAAAGGCTGTCCGTGCCGCACTGGTGTACCAGTAGAATGTGCAGTCAATAGTGCTCAGAATCGACAGATCGGGCAGGTGGAAAATTGGCCACGAGTAGAGACATAACTTGTGATGAGAGCGGTGAAGTGGAGGTTCCTATGACAGTGTGGGGTCAATCCGAGGAGAGTAGAAATGCTGACTCTTTCCCATGTCGATCAAGGGACTTTTCACCATGCTACTAAAATAGCGGTTTCTCAGGAATACTAATCACAGGCGTAGCAAAAAACATCGAACGAGAAGACTGTGCCCATTGCACAAGCTGCTGCAAGTTGCAGCAGACAAACCGTGAAAGAATTGGCGGAAGGCGTTTCTGCAGAGTTCCAAGCGAGGTCGACTGCCGAGCTCGGCATTGGCGGCTGCAGCTTCTCGCAAATGGCAAATGCTGAGAAAGCGAAAGCGAGCCTTCCATGTGTCTGAAGAATGCGTTTCACAAGTGGCTGATGACTTCTGACAAGTTACAACCTCCTTGGAAATTGACCACACGGCTACAGTCGCTCGATACACGGTGCCTCACTCGTTGAGCTGTCGTCACGGCGCGATCAATGCATCTACTGAACGGGATACCACGAGCTCAAAAGCAGCTCTTGCTGAGACAGGCATTCTTATTTTTCTTTGTCGGTCGGCTGGGCTGCTATAATGACACGGTTCGGGACTGAGAAAAAAGTGACAGGTAGGTAATAGGTGGTAGGTATGCAGACAGCCTCTGCAATGCGACCGGGCAACCAGCTGCAACTTACCGCCAGTCGAGTTAATCTAAACGATCAAACGAGCAAAGTTGCAACACGGATCGACTGGCGACTGAAGGGTGGTAATTTTCACTAACAAACGCATTTCGAGCTGAAGCGACCTCTTAGCAACAGCTGCAAGCTCTCACCACCTCCGAACTTAGTCTTTGTTTACGCGAGCACGCGAGCATACACCCATGCATTATGCCTACACGGTACGACACCACTCCGCCATGGGGCAAAAAGCGCAAGCGTGAGCCTTCAACCTCTTCCAACTCGACAAACAAGTCGATTGCATCTCCATCACCACGACACTTTGAAGCACAAGACAACAAAGGCCTCTCGATGGACGACCATGACCCTCGCCAACGACAAACACCGTGGGCCAAGCACAGTGACCCTCTTAGTCCGAGATCACTAATCAGCGACCACGACGAGTTACACCAGGCTGCCAAGGACATGTTAGACTGGACACGCTCAGATCGTCCCATTGAGGAGTCTCTTGCCCATATGGAGCGCATCGTTGAGGTTTGCCAAGATGAAGCATCGTGGTCGGGCGAGAAGAGATGGAAACAAGTGATAATGGCATACAAGTCTTGCGGGGCTTCTGCAGATGCTGTACAGGACCTGAAGGATTCACGAGAGCCTTTCTGGACCCAGTGTCGAGTCAAGCATGCCTCAGCCACCATAGCTACTCGCAGAGCTCTGGCTGATTCAATACGTACTATGGTTGCTGAGAGCGAGCGAGCCAACGGGTACTACCTCGACACCGAGGTCAAGGACGAACTGATCAAAGCCGTCGAGCGTGTCTTTCCTCGTACTGAACCCAAAATCTTGATACCAGATAGTCCGGAGCAACCTGTGTGTCATCTCAGCCAGCGCCAAAAGCCCGTTGCGCCTGTCGCGCGAATGCTCAAGATCGATACGCCACCCTCGCATCAAACACCTATCCCAGCTGCTCCCCAACAAGTTGCACTCCCAGCAACAGATCCGTGCCTTGCATCGAGACCTCCAGGTTGGGCACCGGCTGCCGAGAAGACACGAAATGACAGTCTGGCCGACTCTTCTAGTTCTAGGAAGTCTTCAGCTGCGTCTCAGCCAGCACCTTCGCCAGATATCGAGCCATCGCAAGTCATAAAACCAAAACGCTCCAGTCGTTTCGCTCCACGAGCTGCCGAATCGAATACTCATGTCAATCACGTCGTCCCACCAAGCCCTTCTGCCTCGCCCAAGCCACCCGCACTTCCACTTCCAATTCAATTCAAGATTGCTACTGGATCGAACCAACCACCCATGAAGCGTCCTCGTTTAGATCTAGATGTCAACCTCCCACGCAAACCTATCAATAACGTCTTTTCGACCCCATCATCACCTGAACACCGTAGGTCGTCGGGCCTCAATCCCAACAACCAACCTCTTGCACGCCGTAGGTCGTCGGTCCTCAGTTTGCGCGACCAACCACCAACAGGTCCGCGTAGTCTGCCCCTGTTCCAGGCCAAAATCGTCGTTCCCAAAGAACCCCTTATGAACCAAGCACGCCAAAAGCAATACATCCTTGAAGCTTGCGATTATAACAACATCCCTGCTCAAGACGCTACGCCCTGCTCTTCTGACGATGCTACATGGATACTGCACTTCCGAGATCTCATAGAGTTACAGGCATCGCTTGGAAAGATGACTATATTGCACAACATCAGCATACCCATGCTTACATATGCGCCAGCTCAGCCTTTCCAGGTCTTTGGCCTTGTGGAAAAGCCTTCATTCATGACATCAAAGATTGAAGTAGACATCATCAACACGGTGGCTCGCACATTCCGCCACCAAAAATTCATTTTGCTTAGGCAAAGAAGTTCAGTCGCCAGAACCAACAAGAAATGGTTGATCGTCTTTGAGCAGCCCCTTGATCGCGACAACTTTACTCTTGACATGAAGATCAATGGCTTCCGTGAGAAGTTCGACTTTTTCGGATTGGCATGCTCGCAGGAGATGGAGTGGTGCTGGGTGTGTAAAGGACATGATCATCATGTTCCCAACTGTGAATACGTCGATGCTGTCGAATTGCTGCATCAAGACAGTCAGTATCTCCCGACCGTTCCAAAGCTGAGATGAGCTAGTCTGGGGTCAAGAGGTCGATTGGACATAGAGATACGTAGCCTCAATATCAATTGATCAGTCCTTGCCTATATTCTCATATCAAAAACAAGATTGTGAATCGCTTGCTTCCCCGTATCATGTGATGCTTCTAGCAGTCGCGTGAAAAAAACAACATCTACATCGTCATCGGCATCGACATCGACATCGACATCAGAACCATCAACATCGACATTCAATGATCGCCGATGATGACGATGGCGATATTTTCGATGTCGATTTCGATGGCGATATTTTCGATGTCGATTTCGATGGCGATGGATCATAGCGATGACGATGGCGGTGGTCTTGATGTCGATGGTTTTGCTGTCGATGGTTTTGCTGTCGATGGTTTTGCTGTCGATGGTTTTGCTGTCGATGGTTTTTATGTCGGTAGCGATGGCGATGGCGATGGCGATGTGAGATTGATCTCACCGATACCGTCAAAAACAAAGGAAGAACAAATCGAAGGCAAACATGCATCCTCCATGTATGTGCCTACTCCGAGTATGATGATGCATAGTACTATAATCTATGAGTTTGCGATGGATATGCCTCTTCTCCAGGGATATATCTCTATCTTGTCAGTGTAGCGTTCGTTAGGCGGAACGCGATGGAGAGGGTTTACAGACTTCAGAGCATGGGGAGCATGGAAGTAGCAAGTCAGAAGAAGAGATAAGAAGATTGTCTCTCCTATGTGACCTTGAGCGGTCGCCCAGCTACAGAGACTCCTGCTCACAAGATCTGTGATTCTATGACAAGCTTCTTCTTGTTCTTGACCTGGACTCAACGTTCACGCTGTCATTGCAAGTATTGGTAAGGCAAGCTATTGACTAGAGTACAAATCACAGCTGCCTTTGCAGTACAGGGACTGTAATGTGCTTTGAGTTTTGGAGAGAATGGCTTTGTCATTTGAGATCTTGTCCTTCGAAGTATTCATACTTTTATGTACGTCGCTGTTGATATGGTGGATTATAGAGCAGTAAGGCCATGTGCAGGATGCGTACGCGACACAATGCAATGTAGCTGGTTGTTTGGATGGCACACATGGCGCACTTGCTTTCAAGACAGATTGCTTGTAGTGATGCTTAAGATGATGCATCAAGGTTATATGCGCACAGGCTTTGAGTAAGAGAATGACAAAGCCAGTCTTGTACTGCAACAATAGCTCGAGGAGCCGCAATGTTGTTGTTTTATCGTCTGCAAGCAAACAGGGGCTTCCTAACCCGGTATACCTCTGCTTAGAGTTGCATTGCTTCAAGTATGTGTGCTTGGAGCATTCTGTGTCGCTTGGTGCTTCATGCGATTCTACGCTGCAACTCCCGTTCGCGCTACCCGGTACCGCCTTTCGTTCTAGACCTCCATCACCTTGTGTTCTCGCTCGGTTGCCCTCGATGTTCATGCTTGACCCTTGACTCTTTCCCGACATCTCTTCCTAGCACGGCGACTCTTGTCAAATCCAAACTTGTCCCATGTCTGGAGTGCTCGTATGTTGGTGTTCTGCGGCGAGTTCTGCTTCTCAGCTTCTCGTGCGTAGTCCAACGCGCGTCTTCCGCTCTTTGAGTGTATGTTGACAGTCGAAAGAAGACAGCAACTGACAGATCGACTACATCGTGTAGGTAGGGCAATACGAAACGATGGGTCGATGGTGTAGGTTGAGCGAGGATAGTGTACTGCGGCGTCTATCGGCGAAGATCTCGTTCGTACGCTTCATGATGCGAATGGACTGTCGATTGGACGATGTTTTCAAGAAGCGGAAGGTACGCAACGACAAAGCGAAGAGTCAGTCGCTACTGCTCGCGATGAGGTACAGAGCGGAGTTGTCGATCTAGTGGTTGGTCAATCATCTGACAGAGTAGACTACTGTCTTCCTTGATCATTGCGAATGGCTGAAGCTAACAAGATGAATCTCCTATAGAGAGTTCGGTCTTGGAGCCTGTGGGCATACCATGGTCAGTGGCAAACAGTGCCTGTGTGCGTATGTGGTGTTCTTGCTTCGTTTCTCTGGCTGAGCGATTTCATCCGGACTGGCCTCCGCCTCCATTCAAGATGCAGCCACCAATCATGATACTCACGGAGGAAAACTCCTCTCGCGATCTGGAGAGATTGGGCACCAGCCAGTCTTCTTACACTGCAGAAGGATGCTATGGAGGACGAAGCAGCCGGATGTGACATCGGACCACTCCGATGACCAACCTGTATGCATGTCCCAAATTAGGCAATCGAAGGTTCAATGCTGGCACACGACACCGCAACTACTTCCCATTTGAAGAATTTGCACCAGGCTTTCAGGATACAAACGGGTCGCTTGTGGGATATCTATCCAGTAACGTTGCACATCAAAGACAGGAGTATCAAGAACCGAAATACACACCCTTAGGCACGGCATTGAGACAGGTCTGACTCGTCAGGTATCCATGTGTTCGGGAACAAGGCTTGCACGGTTGTCCTACCCAGCGCCGTTTGCCCAGCACCTACCACTGTTCCGGAATAACATGCCGGGATCGTATTTCTAGGCGAGTGGCACAAAACGGATGCGAGTGATGGCAATTCAACAGATCACCAAGATGTCTCGACATGACCTCAGTCTCGGGCAGGCCGACGGCAAGCGAGATGATGAGACCAAGAAGACCATCGGCTGATGTATCTTGAGCTGACATCGCGGCGATGCAGCCCGCGCCCGTCCACATATCATACTCGGATTGTACTCAACTCGGGGGCATAGTCCGATCAGAGCTACGGTGATGAGGTCCGTCTCCGAAGCAGCTCGGGGGCGACTCCGGATAATCGGCTTTTACGTTTACTGTTTCATTTAGCTTCCTTGGAACGCATGGAGAGGTGCATGAGTAGATCACGCTGGACGTGCTCTCGTTAATGTGCATTCTCTGTATAACGTTTGCAAATGGACAACCGGACTTCCCTTTGCATTGTGGCTTGAACAAACTTTTCTGACATATGTTATCAACACCTGTTGGGTGTATTCATACTCGCTTACGCGCTTAGTATGAATACATGATGAGAAGCAAGGCTTGTCAAGACTCAGCAACATTCTCACAGCGGCAATGTTGGATCTTGAGCTCCTGGCAACTTTGGAGCGAAGCAAATCTGGATTATGTCGGGCTTCCGGGTATAGGCTGCTTTTCGGACATTAAACTTTCGGTCAATTCGCTGTCTGACCTTGTAATGGTGGCCAGTTCCGGGCTACTCTTCTCTCCTTGCACCATTCCCCAAACGGTTTCCAAATGGCTTCTTTCTCAGCAGGTTTGAGGCTGGCGGCAAGACCACTCGTGCTAGTCGTGACAAAGACCTTTGCGCCTTGGTAACCATCCTCTCCTACATCGGCAATACGACCCATGTTTTCCTTTTCGTCCTGCCAGCCCCAATGGAATTCAGCTTTAGTAGGATTTCTGCCATGGCGATGGCGGAAGATGGCCTCCCAGATGCCCTTACCGACAATGCAAACACATTCCGGGCGCCATCTGCGACACTTTTCTTCCAAGACTGGGGCACCATCACTCATCTCGGCCTTGCTTAGTTCGGCAGCATCTTTGGTAGGTCGCTCAACGATGTTAGTGTTGCCGAGAAGATAACGAGCAGGCAATTCGACGTCTTGGTCCGGACGCAACCGTTCATCAGTGCAGCCACTGGAGTGAAGAAGTTTCCAGAATTGATTTGAAGGATGTGCGTATGCATGGCCTTGAGCTGCAGTACGTATGCCGGGGTTCGTTCCGACAAAGACAGCTATCAGGTCCGGAGCGAGGATGTCGGTAAGAGGGCTAAGGTGTTGATACTTAGATGGAGGCGCATACTTGCTTGGCGTCTTACGCTTCTTGGACGGTTTTGTGATGGCAGGTGCAGGCTTGGATGTCTCGGCGACTGGGTCAGGATGTTCTGTTTCGCCTCTTTGCGACCCGGTTGCCACTGATGTCGGGCGTGCTCGTGGGCGCAACGCGCGCGTCGTCGCGACCGTATTTACAGAGTTTTGCGATCCTTGGTGAGCATACTGTTGCAACATATCCTTAAAGGGAATTTCCGCCATGATGCTAACGACAAATCCGAGCTGGTGGCAAAGAAAGCTTCTTAGTCCAAGTTGCGGTTGTTTCTGCACGTGACAGTGAACTCATAAGACGTGTTTCTACAGGAAGGAACACTCTCTCATTTAGCCAATGGACGGCGGAGGCGCGCACTCCGAGCCCGAGAGGGTCTGTTTGCCAATTGAGAGCTAAGGTAGTTCAGTGCGACATGCCACGTTCTTTCCCATCCGTTGCATTCGGCTAGGCTGATCCAAGCACAATGCGGCGCTTCCAACGTCGATCTACAAAACTCGAGTTCATGAGGTCGTGGCAGCCGCCTTCACTCAGCCACACCAGTCCAGATGGTAGCGCGAATGGAACATTGAAGAAAGCTATCTTATAACCTGATAGTCGGGAAGACATTGAAATCGTGGGCGGATCGAGGGGCCGTGGGAATCCCTGCATCTTGGAAGTGTGTCACATTGGAGCATATCTACTTCAAGCGGTACAATTGCAAAGTTTCTTTCAATCTAAGTGCATCCTCCTCCTCTGCATCCAAGATTATTTCCTGCTTTAAGCATACTTGAGTGCCACTTGACTCATCTGTCTGACACTTGCTTACCTACTTGGTCACCATGGCTCTCACTAAAGGATAGTTCATTTATTCGTGCTTTTAAGCAATCTCATTCCCCATTCTTGGAACGGTTTTGACTATCTCTTGATCCAAGACCAAAGCTCCACTCGATCGCTTGCCAAACCTTGAATAAGTCCTCAACAAGTAATTTTGAGTCTCTAGTTTGCAAGTCCTGATCTGCGAGTCATGATGCAGTATAAGCAACACCCTAGGGAACCACCGACCTCAATGAACACCGGGGAGCAGGTGAACTATCCGACAAGAGACGGAGTTTCTCCCGAAACCCTTTTAGCCCTTTATCCTTCTGCCTACTCAAACCCAGCCCACACGATGCGGATCTAGCGGGTTACTTGCACTCGAGTCTGCCTTGGAGATGTCTTGAGTGTCCACTCATGCACGGAATCGTTGCGATCTACCACGTTCGGAAGTCGCGTTATCTGCAAAAATGTCCATGTTTTCTCTATGGCCTTACTCATACATGCGTCACCTGCGCCTGCCCTTTCTGGGTCCGTCATCGCCTTCGCTCATCCCTCTCCGCCCTTCAATCGACGTTGTAAAAGTATATGGTGGTGTACGCATTTTCCACCCTTCCATCTCAGCTCATCTTGCGCGGCGGGACCAGGTCCGTTCCGACAGAAGCCTGGAGGGTCCAGTTGGTAACGCTCAATCTTCAAGCGTCTTCTTTAGATCCGAATTGTCGCGTCGCTGACGCTTTGAAAAGCCAAGCTCTGACACACTCATCGTGTTATAATCCTCGCCGTGGTGCGGGGCCAACTCCGTGGTAAAAAGCCGGATCCTAGAGCAAGCGTTCGGTTTCTCCTGGATAGTCAAGGTTATACTATCATTGTCCAATGCCTCAGGACAAGGACAAACAACGTGGTAGAGCCACTGTTGTCGATGGGGAAACGCCTGGTGCTCCAGGCGGTCAGCAGTCGGCGCCCAGGAAGCTCACTGCTGTCGCCTGTATTGATTGTCGCAAACGGAAGCGCAAGGTAATTAACAATCCTCGCCCAACGATTTTCACCCGTCTTGTTAGACTTGCTGACAAGTGTTCAACTCCAGTGCAATGGCGAGCGACCTTCGTGTTCTGCTTGCCAGACTAGAGGACTGACATGCATCTATGATGTCGTCGAGGGGGCAACGCGAACCGAAGATCTAAAACAAAAGGTCTCGTCGCTGTCGCTGAGAGTGCGTAATCTCGAGTTGTTTGCCAACAAGTTGAGGTACAGCACCGACAACGAAGCAAGCGCAATCCTCGCTCAGCTCAGACTTGGAGATACCATCGATGGGATCCTTGGCGCCGACATGGTTGACGGTGTTTCGGAAATGGCCGATGGAGAGCAGGGCAAAGAACAGTATGTTTTGTGTGTGCGATATTGTGCTTCTTGCAAAAGGTTGGCTGACCCTATCAATAGAGCTTTACCAACATTGAGAAGCGGGTCAACATTTGGCATTGGACTTGCTCACAATCCAGCAGGTCCATCTCTGCTCACCAATATCCCACCTTACGACTCGACGCGTTCGGAGCGGAGTGTTAGTGTCGTGACGGGTAGCCCTGGCTTGGTCGATGGAAACCACCGAGAAGCAAGTCTACCACGACATGAATACACTGCTTCTGCGTGGGCACCTCCGTTGTTTGCTCAGAACGATTCGCAGCACTTGTTGTTTGAGGATGACCTGTACTCAGACATACAAAGCCCCAAGAGAAAGTCATCGGTACTACTCGACGGCAATGTGTCAGACTCCACCTACTTCGCGAGCGACCACAAGAATCTATGGATCGATCCATCTCTATCCTCGTCGACTGCGAACCCTACTTCGAATTCAACCCCGGCTGGGTTGAGGGGGCACCCAGAGATTCTGGACGGCCAAAGAGCAAAACGTGGAATGCTCAGCAACGATGCCCGTCCTGGAGGCGACAGCATCACTATCTCGTCGAATCTGTTCAGCCCTGCCGGGACTGCCCCAATGTCGCTGCCTCTGAGCCCAGGGTCGCTCGGAGTGGACCTGACGGCACCGGCATGGGCAATCACGTCCATGTACCTCACTGACGATCTCGATATGATGTCCAGTGTGTACGTCGACTTTATCCACGAAGCCAAGAGACTCATCACTTCCGGTGTCGCTCCAGATCGCTTGTTCGGACTTCTCCCAGACGTCGAAGCTCTCGTGAGCGAGCCCGCTTTTCGAAGAACATCTTTCCTGTCGCAGTGGACCGCAAGACTCGCCAATAGCTTTGGAATCCAATCACTACCATGTCGCATGGCCATTATGTGGCTCCAGTGGCTTCTTATGCGATGGATCGTTCACCCGATCCCGTCAACCTATCTCGCCATTCCAGACTGGTACCGACCTACACCCTATCAGATGTTTGTTCCACACCCTGTCTATGTCGACTTCCATATCTGGCCAAGACTTCGAGATGCAGTCATCCAGCGTGTCGATCTGCAGCGTCAGCCCTTGTATTGGTACTCCGAGGCAGCCAAAACGCTCGACTGTAATTGGCTTGGTAGCGATCAAGATGCCGTGTCCTACGACATGAATGCCAGGTTAACGCTCTCAACACTCTTTGTTCAGCATTTAACGGATCTTAACAACTGGAGCCTTGGACCTGTCATCAGAAAACATATTCCAGATGCATGTAATGTTGTCCAGATCAATTACGGTCCAATGTAAGAGGAGGTGCAAGAGGAAGAGTTGAGAAATTGTCAGCATATACGAGGACGCATACAAACCGCGACGCGCTCGTCGCTTTTGAAAAATATACAGTGCGCTGCTGAAGAATCGTTGAGGACATCATTCCTGTCCAGCGAGCATTCTTCCTTCGAGAGTAGCAAAGCATTGTTGGAAGCCAATTCGCATACGTTGAAGATGCGAAATTGCTCGCTCAGAAACACCCTCAAATATCGATGAGGATCCGGGCAAAGTCGCACTTCTACCAGCGCTTGCGGGAGCGACAACGACAACAACAAGCTCCCGACGATCGGGCCGTAAGCCCGCCTCCGAAGAGCCTTCCCCTATCGAGGTGTCTGCAGAACATTAGTCTCGTGTGTCGAACAACACTCTTCAAAATCGTTCAAGGCTTTCTCGACGAAGCTGAACTTGCCGATTTGCTCGCATGCAAAAGGGCTAGTTGCTGTCGTTGTGAAGAGTATGGAACCGGGACAGTAAAGCAAGGATTACAAACGGCATGGCTGTCCATAAAAGCCATGAATACTACAATAACTGCTATGATCTCCAAGAACAAACCCTCTGACCCTAAGTTCTGTCAGACACAATCGAGAGGGAGTGGTGACATATCTCTGGACTGTTGTTGCAGCTGATAGCAGCGACCCTTGGCTCTTCGATCAAATCATGGCACATGATACAATGTTGGGTCATCGTGAGACTCTTGTGGTCAACTTGACAACAGAACATTGAATCTTGGACACCCTTGCGAACGGTCGTCTTCTTCAAATTCAGAGCTTCGCAATCTCTTTGCAAGACCATTGACGCAGAATCCAGTCGTGTGGCTTGTTTGCAGTGAGAATGAGCGACGCTCCGACGATATCGACGCCTGCGCAATGTAATCGATTCAAATGACAAGCAAAGACCTCATGATGATTTTCTGGCTAACAAAAGCTCGCGACTGTCTGCGTATGCAGCTCTTTGGGAGTAAGAGCTCAAGAGGGTCCCTATCATTTGCCTCCATGATGACCTACGTAGCCCTCGTAGCCGCTTTACCTGCCGTAATATCAAACCACCACAGCACCACAAGTTTCGAGTCTTATAATGTCTCAGCTTCCAGGCTCGGTTCCATCCCCCAATTCAATCGCATGAGCGATGAAGAGCATGTTCTGAAGGCGCGAGGAAAGTGTAACCATACTGCACCAAGTATGCCGTCGCGACAAGCAGCAAGACCATGCAAGAACCGTCGCGGTACTCTACATAGCTGCGCATATTGTCTCCTGTAGCTTACCAACCATCTACTCAAGGTCTAAAACTGGTTCGAAGTGTCTTGTCCATGAGGTTTCGGTAGCCATGGTCCAGGATGTAGAACCAGAGTGAGGCATGCCCATAGCTCTAGAAGCTCTTCTGCCGTTCTCGTCTGTGAGCAGCAGAAAAAAACGCTCGGCCGAGCAGGAAATCTCTTGCTCTTTTTTCTACCTTGATCTCTTTTCAATGCCAACAACATTTCCGTCTTCATGACTTTCACGTCGAATACGCCGCATGCCGTTTTCTTGGTGCATTCAGCTACTATCGATTAAAAGGGCCATCAATGCAACCGCAACCGTGAGTGCATGCGAGGAGACTATTTGCGCCCTAGCCTCCGCTTAGTTCAACAATGGCATTATTTACAAGCTTACTTGACCAGATCCTCATCCAACGAGATCTAACCAGTCTTGGGATTCTTCAAGGCGCTTTGGCGGAGTGGTTAACGCGATGCCCTGCTAAGGCATTTCCTTCGGGAGCGTGTGTTCGAATCACACAGGCGTCGAGCTTTTTGCCGATCAAGACTCCTTTTGAACCTATCTAATGTCCTTTTTGGTGTTTTGATGGGGGGGAAAACAGGTAGGAGATGGTGTTGCTGGTAATTTTGGCGAGATCTTTGGCAGAGAGAAATGGCTTGGCGCTAGAGCGGACAGCGGAGCGGAGCAAGCGGAGATTTAGACGCCGATGCACCGTGCCAAGCCAAGCCTTCCTTTCCTTTGCGGCTTCCACTCTGTGACGCGGTTGTGCGACCTTGGGTCCTTGGATTCATTCACGGATATTTCAATTTCATCTAAAGTTCGTTCAACGTCTCTACAGACTGTGGACAAGATCTTTAGCCGCAGCGACACAGAAATATCAGGCGCGGGACCCTTCAGAAAAGTCGCAAAGCACGTCTACGGCGTCCTCAAGATCTGACCATGTAGGATACCGCGAACAAACAGGGGTGACAAGGTCTATGATGCTGAACTCTTTGGTCTGATATCCAAATATGGAAGTCTGCTTCATCCACTGTGGATTGCTCAAGAGAGGAACAAGTATACGTGTTTGATGAGGGAGAGAGATGATGCTGGTGCTTCAAACCTGATACTCTGCTCATGCTTCATGACCATTACATTCACACACAAGGTCTTCGTTACCATCGCCCTTGTCGACGACATAAACTTATGGAACTCGCAATAGTATGACATCGGCTGTAGTTGCGGTGGAATCACAAAAAGAATCATAGTTTGGATCTACTTGCCGCACGTGCTTGAGGAACGCCGGTAGCAACCCTCTTGCTCGCAGATCATCAGGCGATACATGGTCGACCGCGATATATGGCCACAAACAAGAGAGATGTATGATAACTTATGCTTCTCCTTCTCGACACATGACACATCAGGCATAGCGAAGAATGATCACTTTCGGATTCGTAGTCTAGCTCCTAAGCAAGCGTCACGCACGATCGCCACCCTCCGTACGATACGAACTCAGCCATCACGTCTATCACTGCTGAGCTCTGACCTTGAATGGATGGCCTTCGGTGTTGAAGACCCAAGTCTGCTCCTCGCCCTTCTTTGCAACATGCACTTTCGCATCCTCGGCCTGGATCAAATAGGCATACTTGAAAGTCTCAGCAAACATATAGCTCTCCTGGAAGTTCTCAAAGCTTCCTCCATGAGGAGCATTGACATTTGAGACAGAAGAGAATCCAGATCCTGTTCGACAGGTCGCGTTGATGGCTCGGAATGCTTTCCAGGACAAGTCTTGGTATCTTGTATCGCCTGTGGCGCGGTAGGCATAGTAAAGTGACTCGAGAACTTCAGGTCGCAAGTTATAGCTAGCGTCTGTGATGTTGAAGCCATTGTCCTCGATGAACATGTCAACCTCTTCATCGTCATCCTCGAAGAAATTTTCGTCTTCCCATTCCCATGCCTCAGGACCGATACCTGTAAGAGTAGCATTGTAGGTTGCGGCACAGCTGTCTGCAAGATTTTGGCCCAAGTCAATCAGGCTTTGATTTCCCAAGACCAATCCGCCCAGGATCCAATTTCCTCCAGCGAAACAAGCGAGATGACCAGATACCAGATTTACATCTTGCCCATTCCATGAGGCAAGGAAGGTCAGGTCGGGACGAGAGTAAGGGTGTGAGAATATGTCGCTAGTGGCTGAGGATTGAACGGCTTCGAGCCATAGGTCCTTGTAGGTAGTGAATTTTGCAGGATCATAAATGAACATCTTTATTAGATACTCGTAGAACGAGTCGTCTCCGCCACCCCAGCTACCACTCACGTCAAGGAAGTTTCCTGTGCAAAGATCAATGCTTGTGCCACGAAGACCAGGAAGTGGTTGTATCGTGGCATTCTGGTAAGTAGGATGAATCAGATATTCTTCGGCGTGTTGAGTCAAGTTTGCGTAGTCAATTCTGCGAACCATATCTGATAGACGAGTCCATTCGAGGACTAAAGAGCCGGCGACAGCAAGCCCGGTCGCTTCAGAGAGGTCGAAAGTGTCTTCTCCAAAGTTGAGATCGTTGGAGGGGATTCCTGTCGGTGTGTCGAACGCAAATCTTAGTTTAGAGGCCAGATTGACAGCTTGTTGGGCCAATGCGATAGTATCGTTTGCCGATTCGATCAAATGCTGGTAGGGACCGTTCAAGAGGTCGACAGCCGAGAGTATGCCTCCGAGATAGCGAATGGTAGTCTCGAACAAACTGACCGGTGTGTTGCTTATGCTGATGTTGAAGTTTATGGTCGGAATGTAATCCACAATGGCTGTGACAACATCCTGTGACTCCATCAGGATAGCAGTACTGAGAGCATCGACAGCAGTAGCACCCCATCCATTTCTGGAGTTTGAAAACGAGTTGGTGACCGGAAGCAATTCATCATTGGGGAAAGCATATGTGTAGTAACCATGCCAAGCGAACTCAAAGGCTTCCTTGACTGCATGTGCTCTCTTCTGTGGAACGGTAAGAGTGTCGTTGACGTTTCGTGTTTTGGGCAGGGGGCGCGGGCTTGCCGAAGAAGTGCAAGAGATGAGAGCGCCGAGAAGAATATTGTGTAGACGCATGTCGAAGCTGCGAAGATGTATAGACAACAAGAGTTGTGATGGACCGAGACAAAGAAGGCTAGAGCAAGAATAATGATGGCGGTGGTTGGAATCGATGAACAAGTCGGGATGAAGATGGTGATATGAATCAAAGATGCTGAAAGCATTAGTTCGGCAAAAGCTTCTTCGACGGAACATGAGAAAGGCAAGAACGATTGCCGATGATCACTCGAGAGATCGTCCCTGTACGATATGTTAAGAGAACCGCACCTGCTCTCGCTAGCCATACAGAACTAACTGTAAGCTAATGTAATTTCCTGGTTCATCATGTGCATCTTAATTCTTGGTGCAGTGGGTCGTGCAGCAGTATTGGTTAATGCAAGACGAGCACCCTACACTCGTCGCCTCGCTACTCGGCAACAAGATGCCGGACATCTGGCAGAATTACATGTGCTTGGAATACACAACGATATTCATGGCGTACTTTGGACCTCTCAGCCTGTTAACGATTAAAACTGATGAGTGCTACGATGATATCTGGCATTTCCATATCCGAAAGGTCGACTACTCCACCCAGAGGCACTTTACTAGACGGCTTTTGACATGATCAATCTTGTTCCTGGATCTGCAGATGCATGTGACGATAGACAACATGGCATACATGCAATCTTTGTAATCGTTCAAGGATCAGCATACAGCCGCAGGACATGGTTCACGCGATGCCATGTCTCCTTCGTATCACAGCGCGTGACTCTTGACTGTAATCAATTCGACTCGAGCGGGTCTGAGAAGCAGATCACAGCTATGATCTGCCGAAGATGTTGTCGGCGATTTTCCGCAGGCTGCGATTCGCTTCTCCATACTTTGCATGCTTTGCGATGCAAGACCTGGATGTGGCTGCTGACTCTACGAGCTTCGGAAGGACGAGTCAAAAGCAGTTGTTGCTCACACGTTCACCGCATGTGCGCACTGCATGTGGACATCCACTCAAACCATCTTCACAGGCAGGTGATGTTTGTTAGAGTGTTGAAGGGACCAACGATGCGGGGTCCTAGAGAAGATCCTCGGCTTTGATTCTCTACCTCCCATGATCAGGGGATGGTGTGGCACAGCAGCGATGGGCGTGTCACCTAAAGAACCAATGTATTGAGCAAGCGACCTCTATCTCTGTGTGCCCCTAAAGTAGACAATGTGTAATCTGCGTTACCAATCAACGTGAACCCCAAAATCCCTGCCTCACATCGTCCTGGACTCGCATTCCGATATTCCAAATGCAACAAGTTCCTCGTCAATAATCACATAAACTCGACTTTGTCAAGCAGACTTTGGCTAGCAACAAAACTGAAGCCACCGAAAGGATTAGATCCAACCTCGAACTCCTTTGTACTCGGACCAATCTCAATGCCTGTCATAGTAGAGTCCTGCATGACAGAAGATTTTCTTTCATCTACTGGAGACATCGGCAGATCTGTGAACTCCTTGGAGAAGTTCTCGGCCAGCTCTGGGTCTGTGATGAGAGGCTGGATGGGAGGCTCCAATTCACGCTTTGCGAGTTTCTTCCAGTCAATCTTACGGAAGAAACGGTGCTTCTTGATGATGTCAAGATCTTTCGGCATGTTGGCTCCAAGACGCTTGTTGGCCTCTTTGCGCAAGAGTCGAGTGAGCAAATCCTTCGAGTCGGGGCCAAGGAAGTAAGGCAATTGCAGCTTCTGCTTGAGGATATTCTGCTGAATCTTTGCGTTGTTGTTGCCACCAAAAGGAGGCGAACCCGTGAGCAAGTCAAATCCGATGGCACCAAGCGACCACCAGTCGACAGCAAAACCGTAAGAAGTGCCTTGGACGACTTCAGGTGCCATGTACTCCACAGTGCCGAGGAAAGAGCTGCACGAATCTTCTTCGAGCGCAACCTTGGACAACCCAAAGTCAGTGAGGAGCAGATGACCGTCCGAGTCCAACAAGCAGTTTTCTGGCTTCAGATCACGATAGACAACACGAACGTTGCGGTGCAGATGCTCGAGTGCAAGAACCATTTCAGCCATGTAGAAGGAGGCGACTTCCTCGGTGAACATGCGCTCCATGGCCAGGTGAGTGAATAGCTCACCACCTTGGGCGTACTCGAGGATCAAGTAGAGTCTTTCGTGGTCTTGGAAAGCGTAAAACAGCTTGACGACAAAGGGATGACGGTTGACGCTCTCAAGAATGCTGCGCTCCGTTCGAGTCTGCTCGATCAAGCGTTTGTGGACAGTCAAGGAAGCCTTGCGAAACTGCTTTTGAGCGAACAGACGACCAGTGGCACGTTGTTTGACCAGATGGACGGTGCCGAAGGCTCCCTTTCCCAAGCACTTGAGGGGTTCAAAGTCGTCGGCTGTCATTTTGCGAAGGGCTGATTCGGTGCGAAGGCCACCCTCGACAGTAAAGGCATTTCGTGGTGTAGCGCAAGCGTCTACGCTGGCAAAGTCATGTTCTAGATCGACCTGGCAGGTTTCCAATTCCTTTAGATCAACATCACTAGCGGCCGAGGACATGGTGGGAGTACTGTCAAAGTTGGAGGTAGTGCTGTTCTCGCGCGTCATGGATGGTGATGAAGGTGGACGACTGAGACTCAGAGCGTCGAGCTGCATCTTGAGAGCGCTGATGCCTGAGCCGCTGGAAGCGCTAAGTCTCGGGCTGTTGGCTGCGCCGTTCATACCGCGCATACGTGGAGTCATGAGTGGTGAAGGACAGGTTGAGACGTCCGACTCCTCTCCACCAGAGGTAATGGGTGTCTCAAAGCCTCGAATGACATTCTGGGCAGGAGCGGCAGGGGCCATGCCACCCTTCTTTTTCTTCTTTCTCTTGTTCTTCATCAGGTCGCTCTTGAGAATGGCCGACAGTGGCTCGGCTGCAGTGCCTGGTGGGCTCATAGTAAAGGTGCGCTTGGGAGAGATATCTTCGGCCGTATCGGCAGCGTCATTACGGTCAAGGTCCATGGCTGGCATCCTGGTGCTGGTAGTGGTTGTTGCGGTTTGCACGGGGAAATAGATATGCTATGCGGTCGTCCAGAAGGTGAATGACCAAGAACGCAGTCAGGGAAATAGAAGTGCGTAGATGTACCTCGTTCCGGAGGGTTTCAGGAGTTGTCGAGTTGAGTGAGAGCAAGAATGCGCATGTGATTTGCGGACCTCAGCCCTTGTCTAAGAAGACGTCCGCCTTTAGTCAAGGCGGACCTGCGACCACAGGCCACAGCAGAGATGCGAAACTCGAATCGGTACGTGATAGACCGGCGACAGTGTCGGGCACGGTAGCGGAGGGGATGCTGGACAGGCAGCAGAAACGGACGGAAACGGTCTGAGTGTCGAAGCCCATAGATGAATGGCAATGAATTTGGTAAAAGAGCTGGCTGTCTAAGCAATATCGCTGGATTATGGCCCAGCGACTCCCGAATTGTTCGTCTTGTTGTCGAGGTTGAAAGAAGTGAAAAACAGAAGAGTCGTTCATCGCACTTTCCTCGATCTCAACTCCACATTTCCAAGTTTCTGATGATGCGGCTGAGCCTTCCGTTTCCGGTTCGCCATGACATCCGAACTCAGCACAGCCTGGCCAGCGACTGCCAAAGACCAACATCAAACACTTTTGAATTATTCTTGGCCAGCAAGATTGATCTACCTCTTGAGGTCATGAGACAAAATCATTAGCAAAGCTTCCCATCTTCAGCGCATCTTTGAACATTCTTTTGAGGGAATTAGATTACTGAACTCTGCTCGGGTCAAGATTTTTGGCCGCTCAAGACTCCTGATCGTAAACAACCAATCCCCAGCTCTCCTCATTCACATGTCAAACACGTCAACGGTTCTGCTCGATCTGTCAAGGCATCTTCAGGAATGTCCAGGAGAACTTCCACCTTCCGACCTCCTCGTTCTCCAGGCTCACATCTTTCTTCCTGGAGAGTTGTGATGCCCATGCGTTTAGTGCACATTTAGGAAACCCTCTCTTGGTGGCCACCTGATTCTCAGTGCTGATATTGAAAGAATTATGAACTGCTGTCGAACTTTACAGGGAAAGACGTCAACGATATCACCGCTCGGCCTCCTGTTCGAAACGCTGGCGACTAAATGCTCAAAACATAAACTAGAGTGAGCTTTCTCACTGGGTTACTGATTATACCTAGCCCTGATTCTCACAAATCTCAAAATGCATTCAACTACGATCTCAACCTTTGCAATAACTAGACATCTGACAGGTTTGGCGGTCGTCAAGAGGCGGCGGGTGAAAGAAAATAGAAGCTGTAAGCGCCCATCTTGGAGTGGCTGCAGCATTACAATTTACGCGCCCACGAGATCCCCCAACTTGTCATATGCACTGATGATCTTTAATGAACATTTTTGGCTGTCGCTGCTATTGGTGGGAATCAAAGGGTAAATGACAGAAAAGGCATGTTAACAAGAAATGCTGGTTGGCATGAAGGCATGGAGGCTGGTCGCTCAAGGTCGTACAGCACAATGGAAAGATGCAGCAGTGTACAAGCAGGTCGTTTGTCAAATCTCCTGTGTTTCACAAGTCTTCAAACGCTCGCTCGCTGACAGCTTTTAGATGACTATCCCATCAAACGATAGTTCAACCATGCGAGCACTCCGAAACGCTGACATCAAACTGGACAAACAAGCATGTTCAGAACTGCTGCTAAGAAAAGACCAGCCACCAAGATTGTGGCTATCACTTGCATACCTGCATCTTGTCCCGCATCATCCAGCCATGCATACCCGCATATTTCTGAGTCGTGTGCAGCTTGCTATTCACAGAAAAACGCCTCATCCATCCATCCGAGTATTTTCGAAATAGGTTGGTCCAATCACATCTCTATCGGCTATGCAAATATTGCGGGTTAAGGTCTGTTTGTCCATCCTCATGCACGTCTTTTCCGCCTTCCAGCCATGCGTTGCAACTTGGGAAAATCGATGTGGTGTCTCAACATGCAAGCGCCCAACGGACAGTCCTTGAATATAAGGGTTCGTACGGGCGCTTCTGTGCTCATTATCCTCGTTTCGTGTCAGTTTTGGGTACTTTCTGGTGTAGTGGAAAAAAGGGAATCGTCCCTGCTTTGCATCCTTCTCTCTTCTGCTGTGCCTCTTCTCCACTGCCTAAGCATTCTTGGTACCTCGACTTGGTCCTTGGGATACATGCGAAAGGTTCGTAACTCGACACAAATACGGGCCCTTCATCAGCATAGTTGGCCATCACTGGAACCCACTGTTGGGACACTGGTTTGACTCATCTCCACACCGATCTGGAATTGCTCTCAGAAAGAGGCAAGCATGAAGACTTCGGGATTCACCACTACATTGGCATTATTGCTACCAGGCTTTGCTGTTACAGCGCCGACAGCTGAACAACGCTGGTCTTCTCCCTCTTTTTGGGCTTCCCACTCTGGAAATGTTCCATCGGTCCGCCGTGGCTGCGATTATGCCCTCTGTGATCTATCGAAAGCAAGAATGCCTCAAGGTATCACGACACGCATGCTCACCATTGCGAGGTATACGACTGACAGGCGTTTCAGCTCCTATACCACTCCCACCACCATCCTACAACTTGACCTTGAGTCATGTGTCTATTGGACGTGGCACGCAGAACTACACTTGTGACCTGTCCAACAGTACGGCAATCCCTGTGGCTACAGGAGCAACTGCGTCTCTCTACAATGTCTCTTGCATCGCCGCTAATCACCCCGAATTGCTCTCCATAATTCCTGGTATTGCCATCAATCTCCCTCTACCTTCTGCATCGTCTGCAATGTCACCGATCAACATGGATCTGGCTGGTCACCACTACTTCCTGGATCCGACTACACCCTTCTTCAACCTGGATACCGAGACGCATTCATACGGTATCGGCGCTTTTAAAAAGGCAAACGGTACTTCTGCGCCGGAGGGTGCAGTGATTGGTGTTGATGGATCTGGCATGGGAGCTGTGCCATGGCTCAAGCTGACTGAAAAGGTTGGCGTTGAGGGAAGTCAGAAACTTAAGGAAGTCTTCAGGGTCAACACTGCTGGAGGACAGCCACCTGCTACATGTCAAGGCCAACAAGAAAGCATTCTTGTGCAGTATGCCGCCGAGTATTGGGTTTATGTTTGAATGCTTCGGTTTCTATTTTGGTGATGGTAAATTAATGGTTGTTTGCAAGGGCTCACATGGTGGAGGAATAGAAAGCGATAGTGAGTACCATAAGATGTATTCAGGACCCTTAAGAATATTATTGTCAAGCCATGAATACGTTCCGCGGAAAGTCAACACATGTGATGAAGGTTATGGCTTGTAAAGAAGGCTCTTCCTAAATCGGAGAGAAGTGGTTTGGCGAAGATCCAACGGTGTGCCGAACGCCGAACGGGCCGCAAGACGCGCTCATCATCAATACAAATCCGACGTCATTCTGAACCACCCCAGTCAATTCAACCACCCGGATGCACTCAATTTTCAATGACGATGAGCATAAGAGAAAAGTAAAAAGGCCCGTCTTATCAATCAACGCTAAGTACTGTATGCACCCATCAAAGTAGGTGTTCCTGTGTTTTCTTACCTTCTGTTCCTCTTGTTCTTCTTCTTCATCTCTTCGTGCAGCAGTGATTGCTTCATTCCGTCACATCTCAGAGATTTGCTTATAGGACAGAGGTTTCAAAGCCCGAGTTGAGCAATAATGCAATCATATCTTCAGTATCGCAGGTTCCGCCGAACCTTGGAATCGCAAATCGAGACGGATCGAAATCGCACACGTGCACTCAATCGCGCAAACCAAGACCTTCCTCCCATCGACACGTCAAGAGCTGCCGATGCAGAGAAAGATGTCGAGCGAGGCGAATCAACCACATCGAGTGACAACCATACAGCAGTCGACGAAGCCACCCTCGGGGCAACAGCCCAGGATTCGAACCGACGGACTGGTCCCGAAGAAGAGGAGGAGAAATATGACATAGGCGCCGACCATGATCCAAACGACCCTGGCGAGAGAAGAGACGAACTTCCACCAAACAGTCATGACATGGAAGCACGTCGAAGACAGGGCGATGCAGACCTTTCGCGTATATCCACAACAAAGAGCGGCCGTTCAGGTCTCAGCAGAACCGGTACCGCGCTTGGTCAGATTCTCACCGGTGTCAAAGTGCGAAAGAGGCAGGAGGATGAAGGTGGTGATGGAAATGTTTTCATTGTCGACTTTCAGGGAGACAAGGATCCCTTGAACCCACACAATTGGAGTTGGGGCATCAGAATCTACATTACCTTTATGGTTGCGGGTATTGGTTTCGTGGTCGGTGTCGCTTCTTCCATTGATTCGCTTGCGATTCAACCCGCCAGTCAAGACTTTGGTATCTCGGAAGTCGCAGAGAGTTTGGCTACTGGGTAAGTCTATTCGATGCCACTAATACAACATCTGCTGACAAAGATAGTCTTTATCTCATAGGCTTCGGAGTAGGTGCGCTTTTCGCAGGTCCCTTCTCAGAGACATTGGGTAGAAACCCCGTCTACATTGTCACCTTGGTTGTCTATATGGCTTTTCTTGCTGGAGCTGGAGCCTCGCAGACATACCAGCAGCAATTCGCGACCCGCTTCTTTGCCGGTTTCTTCGGAAGCACTCCTCTTACCTGTGCAGGTGGTTCGCTTTCGGATATCTGGAATGCAAGCGAAAGAACCTTGATGTTCCCTATTTTTGCCAACGCAGCTTTCTTGGGCCCAATCCTAGGCCCCGTCATGGGCGGTTATATCGTGCAGAGCTCTTTGATATCTTGGAGATGTAAGTCTTCCACTGCATGCACCTCGACTCTGCAAAAAAAGAAAAAAAAGGGAAAAAAAGCTGACAGCATTGCAGGGACTGAATGGATCACCATCATCATGTCTGGGCTCGTGTTGGCTCTGGTGTTCTTCACGCTCCCCGAAACTTTTCCTCCCATCCTCCTCAAGTGGAAAGCTGCACATCTTCGCCAGATCACCAACGACGATCGTTACAGAGCCGAAGTCGAGGTTAGGATGGATCCTTTCTTCACTCGCCTGGGACGTGCATGTTACCGACCTTTCCTGCTCACGGTTACCGAACCTATTATCTTATTGGTTGCGCTATACCTCACTGTCGTCTATATCATCTTGTTCACCTTCCTGGATGGTTACGACTACATCTTTGGTCAAATTCACCACGTCAGCATCGGTGTCGAAGGTCTCTGCTTCTTAGGCATCGCAATCGGTCTGTTCCTCGCCTCTCCACTCGTATTCCTCATTCGACATCTCGCAGCAAAAGAAATGGAGAAAGCAAAAGCCGAGGGCAAAGACAGACTTGCTCCTGAGTTCCGCCTATGGTTTGCCATGATTGGTGCTCCCAGTATCCCTATCTCCATGTTCTGGATGGGCTGGACATCAGATTCCAACATCAGTATCTGGTCTCCTCTTGCTGCTTCTGTCCTATTCGGCTTTGGTATCCTCTGCGTCTTCATCAGCAGTTACCAATACATTATCGACTCGTACGAGATTTTTGCCGCTTCTGCTTTGGCATCAATCACGTTGATTAGATACGTGGCTGCTGGTGCTATGACAGTTGTGGGAGTGCCATTTTATCAAAATCTGGGTGTGCACTATACGTGCACGATCTTGGCTTGTATTAGTGCTGCTATGGTGCCCATCCCTTATTTGTTCTACTTTTATGGGCACAAGATCAGAGCAAAGAGTAAGTATGCTCCTGCTCTGTGAGTGTCGATATCTGCTTCGCAAGAAACCTTTGCATGGTTGATTTTTGTTTTTGCTGCTGCTGCAATAGAGCGTTCTCGTTCCTCGAGCTTTCGAAAATACACTATACTTTTTTAATATGATCGATTTGCCATTGTAAGGTATCTATGTGATTTCTCGCTTGCGACTTAAACCTGCAAAAATCAACGCGCTGTGTCTTGCCACAACACATCCAGTGCGGCGACACTTGAAACATGAAAGCTTGGTCTGGCGATGTCGCATTCTTTGCTCTCTGCCGGTTTCTGCAATTTGGATCGATCGCATCTTCTTCACTTAGTTCAAGCTTCCTCGGTAAACTTTACGCGCTTGCTAGGATGTTCTTCGCTGGTGTCGGTCTGCTCGGTAGTGAGAGGCTCTCCAGTGGCGGCAGACTGCTCAGCAACGATGGGCTGTTGAGCGAGGGTAGGCTGCTCGCTGGTAACAGACTGTTGACCATCATCAGGCTGCTCGTCCACGGTGAGCTGCCCATTGCTGGCGGGCTGTTCGGTGACAGTAGTCTGTTCGTTGTTGGTGAGCTGGTAGTTGACGATAGACTGCTGAGCGGTAGTGGGCTGCTCATCAGTGTCAGACTGCTGAACAATAGCGGACTGCTCATTGCCGGTAGCTTGTCCAGCACTAGCAACCTCATCGTCATCATTGATCTCAATGACCACCATTTCACGATCCTGGGCACCCTTTGCCTGACCATCAATCTCATCCTCATCCTCGCTGTCAACCTCCTCATCCTCCTCATAGTCGCTGTCACGCTCACTATCAGTCTCCTGTTTAATCAACGCCTTGACCTGATCAGCCCATTCCCTCACATCATAGACATTCTCCGCCATATGTCTCTCAAACCTCTTTTTGCTCCTCTTAGCCATCAAGTTCATTCTCAATCTGATCTTATTGAATTTGGCAGCTTGCTTTTGCTTCAGCGTAGCAATCTCGTTGACTTGGTTGGTAATCTTCTTCTCTTGTCTTTGCAGAGTTGCGTAGAGAGAGTCGAGTTGCTTTTGCTTGCCGGCGATGGACTTTTTGGCTACGGAGATGCTGGCGTCTTTTTCGACGATGAGGGTTCGAAGGCGGTGGAGCTCGGTGTTCGCGAGCTGGATGAGGCGGGTTCTGTCGTTCTTGAGGAAGGTGTTTTCTTCTTGCAGTTTGACGATGTCGACAAGAGGAGCAGTTTCTGCATTGTTGCTGGTGTTGGTTGAGGGCTCGTTGTTAGGGGCAGGACTAGATGTGGTAGTGGTATCGACTTCGGCCTCGTTGGCGACGTCGACGGAGCCTGAGGGACCCTCGTGGCGAGGGTCTTCCTTGCTGCCGTCGACAGCCCGCTCTTCCTCGATGGAAGTCATGGTTGCTGCTTGAACACTGGTTAGCAATGCGAAGACCTGTCAAGAAAGGGTTCGTCGAGTACCTTGTTCTCGCCCAAACAATGGCTTGTCCAGGACGAAAAGGAAGAAAGAAAGCGAGACGGCGCCACGGAATGGGAAAGGTGATAGTAGCTCCAAGGATCTACGAGACTGATGCCGAGACGCACGAATGTGGCTCTCGGAAGCTGTAGTGAGATTCCAGGAGGTTCCGTGGATGTGAGTAGCCATTCAATTGTATCTGAGTTCGAATTGATGGCTCTCCTCCTGCCATGATGTCTATTGTATGGCTATCAAAAGACAAAATGGTATTGTGTCTGGATCATGGCCAGTGAGAGTGGATGAGTTTGCTCGAGTCTTGTCACTATGTCTTCCTCTTTGGATACAGCTGCCTGCTCTGAGTTGACCATGAATTTTGATAGATACTTCAGCTGTAGACTATAGCATGAGAGAACTCTCAATCATGGTATTTGCATGCATACCGTGCATGTTCAATGTGCCGGTCTATCTCAACTAACTCCTTCTTGTATTGATGGCCGTCGTAAAGCTATCAAAAGTCAGAGAAGTGTTGCACCTGGAATCTTGGCCGATAAGAGTGACTTTTTGACTCATATCTTACCGTCTACATGTCTCGCTCGTTGAACAATGCTCTCTGTTCTGAAGTTATCGTGCATTTCAATGAATACTCCAGCCACATGCTACAGTATGAGATGGTCCGGAATCATGGTGTCGGAGAAATCGTCTTCGGACAACTTTTTTATGAAGGCTCTCTACCTACTACTATATCAGCAGGAGAACGAATGTATTGAACATTCATAAGCAGTGAAGATGCCTGGCGGTGGTTGAAACTCGAATACGATTGGCAAAACAGAACTCTACCTACGGGCCATTGCAGGAAGAGAGACAGACTCGACCGGATGGTGTGGTTTGCTCTTTTGTCGGTCCCAGAATCCAGTGTCCAGGTCCAGATCCAGTGTCCGCAGAAGTAGTCCGTCCGTTCTGTGGCGCAGGGAATGGAACCCTGGCCACCTCAAGAGTCCCTACGTCCCTCATAGTGGCTCGTTCCTCGAGGGGACGTGATAGAAGCCCGATCATGCTTGTTTATGAATCAAGAGTTGACTGGATTGGAAAGTGAGTGATGGTGATGGCTGTTTTGAGGGGTAAGCGAGTGAACTTCTGTCTCCTCCATGACTTTCTTTTCACCATTTATGTGTCTCCAAAGACAAATCAAGTGCTCCCTTCACCTCTTCCACTATCATGCTTCGACTATCGCTTCTTAATATATACAACTTGACAGGTTGTAAATCCGATCATCCGCGAATTTCATTCTTGTACATGGCCAGCCAGGTCGGAAATACAAACTAGCTCTTGTCTCTCACCAAGGATCATCAGCCATATCAGAAACATTGGATGCATCAGCAGCGGTGTTGATGATCCCACACAACGAGCAACAAATGGACCCACGAAAAGGTTGGGAAGGCACGAGGTACAGACTTTCCCTCCCAGTGTCCTCCTAAAAACGAAAAGTGTATCGTGATCATCGTCAGCTTCTTCTCGATGATTCCTCACGCGCAGGAGCCTCATTTTCGACATGCTCTCAACGAACGACATCACTTCCGGGCATTGACTCTTTTGTTTACTTCCACGACGGAAAATGTTACTCCTCTTCACTGCCCATCCTCACTTGCTGCCAATACGCAACCACAACTTTCACGCGCTGAGGGTCATCCACACGACTCACAACTACCTCTCTCAACTTGCACGCGTATCAGATACCATTGCATCTTCTTCCCAAGACTTCTCTACATCAAGTCGCTTTCGCAGCGTATCTCTCTATCAACAACATGTATGTAAACTCATACTTGCTGTCCCCTGAGCTCCTGTTGACACAAGAAAGTACGAGATCGACTCTTCATCCTTACACACCCACTCCATTGCTTTAGATATCCTGCGCGCAAGCCATCCTCTTCGACTCTTCTTCGCAGACAGCTTCCTCAAGACACGTAAGTCTATCCTTTCTTGTGACCATACCACGGCCCCTGACTGACACATCAGACGCAGTCATCCATCAAAAACACGTCCAAGATGTCAACCACCACCGTCTCCAAGGTCATTGCCATGGTCAACGACCCCACCCTCACTTCCCTTTCCGAACGCATCGCAGCCACTCAAACCCTCCTGGACTTGCATGAAACAATCCGCAAGAACCACCAGACCGCCTTCAAGCGCCATGTCAAGAACGCTTCTGCCAGCCTCGACAAGGGCGGCTCTCCAGACACTCTGACCCACATGGAGAAGGGCATCGAGATCCAGAAGATGATCTGCGACGAGACTGATGAGATGGCCAGGTATGCCAGAGAACTTGTTGAGCTGCTTGAGGAAAGACAGAAGGTCATTCGTGGTATGATGGATGTGGGTGAGGACGTTGCAATGGCTCCTTAAGGGGGAATCAAGGACGTGGCCAAGCGTTGGGTCATTTTTTCGCGGCATCGAGCTTTGATTGGCGATGGGGCTGGGCTGGAGTCGGAGGTGAACTGTGCCAGAAAGACTAGGCATTGAATGCGAGGTTCTTTTATCAGCGGGCGTTTGGGGGTCAGGGGTTACCATGCCTCGATGAGCATTCTACTGTTTTTCCTTCTCCTTCTAACACAACATCGGCGTGACCAGCGCCGTGAAATGACAATCAACGATTTGTCTCATACAGAACCTCAAATGCAAACTCCACTACCGATTAACAAAAACCACATCTCCCAGTCCCCTCAACTTCCTAATCGCTTCCTGCTGGGCCAATCCCGTATCCGTACAAACCTCATCCAAACAGTGACACCCATCCAAATACCTCGCCAACAGCTGATCCGCCAAACTCCTTCCTTTGCCCAACTCCTCTACTCCAGGCATCTTACCATCCTTTTCTCCATCCTCTTTCTTATGTTCCGCCACAGCAGCCCCATCATCTTCATTTTCCTTTTTTGCTCGTGCAACCACACCACCAAACCCACCATCTAGGGCTGGTTCATCCTGCAACGCAACGGGAGTGCGCCATCCACTACTCATTGCCGCTTTGCGCCATGTTTTCTCTGCTTCTCGGCGCGCGCGCAATGCTTCCTCGGCTACTGCTGCATCGGCTGCTGTATCTGCTGCCCTCAGGGCGATAGCATACCGATGACTCCTGTATAAAAACCCTTTTATGATTCCGAAGGTTATGAAGCGGCGGATGTCGATGTAAGCTAATGAGGAGGCGTGAGCGAGACACCAATCGCGTAGGGAAAGGCCTTGGCGTAGTGAGGCGTAGAGATGGAGGACTGTTGCTCTTGAAGGCGGTTGTGGTGTGTTCCCCGAAGAAGGGTTCAGATTACTGCTTTTGTGGTTTCGGGAGGAGTAGCTGGTGGAAGGGTTAAATGAGGAACTAGGTCCTTGTCCTTGCGAGGAAGGAATAGAAGATCCAGAGATACTGTTTTTGAACGGCGAGTGCGGTGTGACAATGTATCGTCTACACTCATCTTGCATCTTTGTGTCTTCAACGAAAACGCCGATTTCGGCTGTTGTGGCATAGATGGCATGGAAGTGGAAGGTGTTGAGCATCAAGATGCAGCCGTAGTATAACAGATGAGCTAATGCTCGTCGAGTGAGTGTTAGATCTGTATCAGCCAGGATAGCGATCTTCTGCACAGAGTTGATACCATCGATGTACGGGATGATTCGCTGAACAGTCAGATCCCACGTATTGGTCTGCAAACTGCTGAAGCGGACAGTACTCAGCGGAACATGATAGATCTGAATCGGCGGCGGAGGTGATCTCGTGGGAAACAGCTTAAGGTTGAGCGTATTCGAGTCATCTGTAGCACCAGGTCATCAGCAACTTGCCTCTCAAAACTGAAACCCCATTCCTCCGACATTGAATAGCAGAACTTACCAATCGGAATCATACACTCGCAATAACAATTCAAATCCTCCAGCACCATCTCACAAACCGCAAAAACACGATTGCCACCTCCATACCCTCTTTCTCCTGCCTTAACCCATCCCTCCCTTTTCTCCTCTTTACTCAACCAACCAGCTTGTTCCTCAAGATTTCTCATCAAGCGCGCAAGTTTACTAACCACACTGGCATAAGCGCCCCACTCTGCATTCTCATCCACCACAAGACAGAAATTAAATATAAAATCTGAACGAGGGTAGAGAATGGGATTGTGGATGCAGACAGGGAAACCAATTATACGGTAATGAGAAGCCAGCAGACTCAAAGGGCGGTCGCAGAATTCGCGGCGTGGGATTATGTGGTTGGAGACGCTGGGGAAGTGGAAGAGTGGTTGTTGGGTTGTGTTCGCTAGGGGAATGACGCTGCCTTCGGGGACTTGGTGGAGGACTGTAGGACCTGTGAGGGTGTCAATACCATTGTCCTGTACTGCTTCGATATGGCAACTGGAATGGCATGGGTATAGCAGGCCCTGTCTCAATTTTTGATAGCAATATACTTGATGATAGCAGCATCAGACTGACGCCACAATCGCTTTACCAGCGACATGCCAATTCGTGAGAGAAATGAGAGCGAGCATAAGTTGACGCTATCTGTCACCGTGTACGCTCGTACTGCACCAATCGAAGAAAACAGAGAACGAGAAAACAGTCATCAAAAGAAATAGAGCGCGTCGCATACCTTTCTCCTCGTGGAACCTCGCATAGAAGATCGCTTTGAGCATAGTGCCCGACATATTGACATGAATCGATAGTTGAGAACTCAAGTCTGAGGTTTGGCTGAGTTTGACCTGGCCTCCCCACGCTCCCGTTCTCTCGTGTCTTTTTCAACTACAATCGACGATAGCTGATGATGGGTGCGTATTCATCCGAAATTCACAAGCTGATTGCTATATCTTCGCGATCGTGTGCTCGCCGCACTTATGTTGGACAATATGTAAAATATCGTGAAGATAGTCGAGCTCATTCAAGTAAGAAGAAATCCTGAACACCGTTCGAGGAGAGGAGATGAAGTATCGTGATGTTTAGAAGTTGTGGTTTGTTCTGCCAGGGTTGCCAGAACAGCGCAACTTCCACTGACCAATCAGAGCGCAGCACAGGATAATATCATCCAACGTCTGGATTCAAAAGCACCACTTGGAAGTAATTTGACAGAGACAAAAGAAAATGAAATAGATTTGAAAAAAGTAAAACGGGCTAAATGTACATTTTTGAGAGTGAACACTAACAACCCGGATCGGCATCTCACTCTCCATCGTATCGTTTGCGATGCTCCGCCAGGCCAGCAAAAATGGCCTCCAGCATCTTCTATCGTATTGACTTGAACAAAAGGGGAGATGTCTTTTCTCGAGTCTCCTCTCTCATCTAGATAAGAAAAACATTAAACACAGAATATAACTATCCTTACGACAGCATTCTGGTCATGTCACCGCGGATTCTCGAGTAGTCGAGCAGACCCTCGATCTGACCAACGGCGGAGATGGCAATGTCGCGGTCCCAGAGCTTGCGCTTGGCGAAGTCCATGACGTCCTTGGCGGTGATCTGAGAAACAACACGCTCAACCTCCTCGGGTGCGAGACGGCGGCCAGTGGTGATGATCTGGCGACCAATGTCCTCGGCAACGGCGGTGGTGCCGTCGAGCGAGAGAAGGATCGAAGCCTTGAGCTGAGCCTTGGCGCGCTCAACCTCGGACTCGGAGACCTGCATTGACAGGCGAGACCACTCACGAAGAGTGAAGTGGACAAGATCGTCGATACGGGTAACGGCGTCGGTGACGAGGTAGATACCCCAGAGACTGTGATATGTTAGTGAGAGCGCATATAATATAAGATTGGTGGGATATTTACCCGGTGTCGCTGTAGCTGGTGGAGAAGCTCATGAAGCTGTTGGCGAGCTTGTGCTCGTGGATGAAGGTGCTGAGCTTGCTGCCAAGGTAGGGCGAGTTGCCCATGGCACGGTCCCAGTTACCAACAATGGCCTGAGTAACGAGAGCGGTGAAGTAGTCGTCATCCTTCCAGCTAACACCCTCGACGGCGATGGCAATGTTGGCGGTGGGGATGGTGTCGTCACGGATACGGACCTCAGAACCAACAAAGTCGGGCTTCTCCTTCTGGGCGTTGGCAATGGCCTGAGCGGTCGAGGTTGGGGGAGCCATGGGGATGTTGCTGAAGTACTTCTCGGCGAGCTGGACGAGCTCCTGGTGAGGAACACCACCAGAGCCAACAAGGACCATGCGGTCAGCGGTGTAGTTGGTCTTGATGTAGTTGGTCAGGTCGTCACGGCTGATGGACTGGATGTTCTCCTTGGGGCCGAGGATGGTGCGACCGAGGGGCTGGTTCATGAAAGCGGTGGCGTGCAAGTGGTCGAAGACAACCTCCTCGAGCTGCTTGTCAACCTCCTCCTGCTCGCGAAGAATGACGTCGCGCTCGCGCTCGATGGCCTGGGCGTCGAGCTTGGAGTTCTGGAGAATGTCGGAAAGGATGTCGACGGTGTTGGGGACGTCGGAGTTGAAGGACTTGGCGTAGTAGACGGTGTTTTCGCGCTGTGGGACATGTTAGATATAGGTTGAGTTGGTCGTGACAAAGCTTGTCTCACCGAAGTGTAGGCGTTCAGGTGGCCACCCATGTTCTCAATCTCGAGCTCGAGCTGGCTCTGGCTGCGCTTCTGGGTTCCCTGCGACGTCTCTTAGATTGTGTCTTGGCATTGATTTGATTGTCGAATGTGGTGTACCTTGAAGGCCAAGTGCTCGAGGAAGTGAGCAGTGCCGTTGGTCTTGTCGGTCTCGGCGCGGCTGCCAGCATCGATCCAAACACCGACGGTGGAAGTCTGGGCGTAGGGAGAGTGCTCGGTAGCAATGGTGAAGCCGTTGCTGAGGGTGGTGCTCTCAGTCTTGGAGCCGTGGCTGACGGGGGTAGCGAGACCGCGGAAGCGCGACAGCGAGCCATTCTTGATGGCGTTGATGGCGGTGCGGCTGCGCGTAGCGTGCTGCAGGTTCAGAGCGAGCCGACGGGAAGCCATTGTCGAGGCCATTGTTGGCGACGGGATATAGGCGGAGAGATGGGGGGAATAGGGTGGGTGGTAGTGGCAGCTCTGGCTGGATGCTGTTGCTGGTATGAGAGACGTCGGACTTGCCTCTTTTCTTCGGTAAATGCCGCCGCCAACAATGGTCAGCATTGACACGAGCCATGAAGTGCCATGAGCAGCCTCGAGCACGACTGTGCGAAGCCTGCATACCGGCTTCTTTCCACTTTCTTCCGCATCGGCGACGAGCACTTCGACGTGACCTCGGTAGTAATATTACTTCTTCATTTTCTCTTTTATCTCCCAAGCACCCCGGCCAATCACAACAATTCCATAGGTACTCCAGGTTTCCTGCGTTGTCCCGACCATCTCGAAGCATACAGGAACTTGTACTTGTCGCAGCATACCGACTCTCCACTCAACCTCACATACACACAATGGCCACCTCGTTCCGTCCCGCTCTGCTGTCGCGCCAGCTCCTGGCTCAGCGCACTCCCATGGCTCTGCGCTCTTTCCACGCCTCGCCCACCCGCGCCATTCTTCCTCCATTGCCCCAGGTCATCAAGGGCACTGGTGCGTGACGACTGTCCACCCGCCTATCTGGCTAGACTAACACAAGCACACAGTCAACGATGCTGCCACTGTCCCCGACCCATCCTACGCCCACGGTAGCTACCACTGGAGCTTCGAGCGCCTCATCTCCGTCGGCCTGATTCCTCTGACCATTGCTCCCTTCGCTGCCGGCTCCCTCAACCCCGTCATGGACGGCCTCTTCATCTCCACCATCCTCATCCACTCGCACATCGGCTTCCAGTCATGCATCATCGACTACTTCCCCGCCAAGCGTGTCCCCAAGACCCGCAAGTTCTCCATGTGGGCTCTCAACGCCGCCACCATCCTTGCCGGCATTGGTTTCTACGAGTTCGAGACAAACGATGTCGGTCTCACCGAGGCTGTCAAGAGAGTCTGGCAAGCAAAGAAGGCCGATGTGTAAATCAAAAAGAGACATGAATCTTTTCTCCTTTTCTTGTTCGTTTCAGAAATAGCACTTGGGCTGCTCGGAGTTGTGTAGATAACACCCTTTCATTCTTACCACTACCATGACTTTTATACGTTCAAGATCCCGGCTTCTTTCCTGCAGTTGTCAAGCCTTGCGCCTCTTCAATGGCTTTCTCTGGACATTGCTCCCTTCTAGAAACCATCGTGCACTTTCGTAGTTGTCAAGACACTCGAGAACCAGCATGCGAGAAGGTAGGCATCAAGTTCAGGTAAAACCGTACGGCCCATCAGCACAGCAAGACTTTTCCATCTTATAAAGTCCACATCCCCTCACTTGCAGCCTAGATCCAGCAAACCCTCTTGCAAGTACAAGCTTGAACAGAAGCCACTGATCCACGAACAAGGCTAAAAGCTCTGTTCTCCTGTTCTATCCAATGCAAGCCCTTATTTCAAAAACTCAGGTCAACCTCAAGCTGATCTTCCCACATCACTCTCGACTTCGTCAGTGAAGTTTCAGCCAGAGACACAGACACTGATCCACGTGCTCTGCGACGATCAAAGGTGTGGATTCGAAGATTTCAAATAGGGTGCTAACAGACCCTCACCATGTCTTTCCAAACCAACCTTGGTGTATCCAAAAGAACTAGCCTACGCGGCAGAAATCTTCTGCCGCTGACTAGGCATATCCTCAACGCCGGCTTCAGCAGCAATAATTCGCTCGAATCTCTAGGTCAGAATTCAAAATGGATCAAATGTGTCTGTGTTCTGGTCTATAGATAGTGTGAGCTTGCTTCTTGTTGATGCAAAATTGAGAGCGGTTCGGGGGTTAAATGGTGGAGCCAGAGAAGCATCTTTCAAAGACTTGTTATCGTACACTTCTACTGAATTAAGTTACATTGCTTTCACTTTGGCATAAGGGAGGATGAATCGTTTTCTGTTGAAAAAAAGGATCTTTATTGACAAAAGTGCAATAGAACTATAAGCTAAATCATGCTTTTCTATATATCCATCGTTTGAGAAAAAGGGGGAAACGCCATGCTCAAGAACCAAAGAAAAAAACAATGCTTGTCTTTCTAAATTCGTCTCATCTCATCTCATGCTTTCATTCATCGTCTTTTAGTCGTAAAGTTCCATATCACCCTCATCTCCATTCAACTCAGCAACTGCATCCTCTTCATCCCACATCTCCGAGTCTTCACCATCAGAGTCAGTGTGGTTGGGAAGAACCATGATATGTCCATCCTCAAGCACAACCCTAGCAGTCTCGCCATCGCGAATAGAGCCTCTGAGGATAAGTACCGCAAGTCTGTTCAGCACTTCCTTTTCAATCAGACGAGCCAGAGGACGAGCACCATAGGCAGGTGAATATCCAGCAGAGCCCAAGTAATCCTTGACGTCTTGTGAGAGCTGTATATGTACATTTCTTCCATTCTGCGACAGACGGTTTTGGATTTCTTGGAGGCGGACATCGACGATACTGCGGATCTCCTTCTTGGAAAGACGGTTGAAGATGACGATGCTGGAGATACGATTCAAGAACTCGGGCAGGAAGTAGTTGCGCAGGCTGCCCATGACCATTTCCTTAGTTGTGGGGTCGATCTTGCCGTCAGGTGCGTTGGGGCGAGCTAGGTATTCGGCACCCAAGTTAGAGGTCATGACGACGATACAGTTGCGGGCGTCGACAACACGACCTTGGCCGTCAGTGATACGACCATCATCCATGAGTTGGAGCATAACTGTCAGAACTTCCTTGGCGGCCTTCTCAACCTCATCGAAGAGAAGGATAGAGAAGGGACGACGGCGAAGTGCTTCAGTAAGCTGACCGCCAGCATCGTGACCAACGTAGCCAGGAGGTGCACCAATCATGCGCGACAATGAGTGTCTCTCTTGGTACTCGGACATATCGAAGCGGATCATGGCGCGAGCATCATCGAACAGGAACTCGGCCAGTGCTTTGGTGAGCAGAGTCTTACCAGTACCCGAAGGACCACAGAAGAGGAATGAGGGTGGTTGGTTGGGGTTGGCAAGACCAGAACGTTGCAGGCGGATGGCATTAGCGACCGAAGTGACAGCTTCTCTCTGACCGACAACAAGCTCGCTGAGGTGACGTTCCATTTGCAAGAGCTTGTCCTTCTCGGTGGTCTTGAGGCGAGTGACAGGGATACCAGTCCAGCGGGCAACGATCTCGTTGATCTGGTCGGGACCGACAGCATCAGTCAGAAGAGGAGTCTCGCCAGATGCTTGGGCTTGCTTAAGCTGGTCAAGGTCGGAAGCGGCCTTGTCCTTCTCGAGCTGCTTGATACGTTCTTCCAGATCGGGAATGGCGTAGTACTTGAGGTCAGAAGCAGTTTGCAAGTCGCGCATACGCTCTGCCTCTTGCTGCTTGGTGATGAGTTGATCACGTTTCAGCTTGGCCTCTTGAATCTCCTTGCCACGAGCTTTCTCGCTCTCGTACATTTCGCGAAGAGGCTTGAGGTCTTCTTCAACATTGGCGGCCTCTGCCTTTGCCTGAGCAAGTCGTGCCTGAGAAGCTTCATCCTTCTCACGGTTGAGTGCGTGAATCTCAATCTCGAGCTGGCGAAGCTTGCGCTCCATGTTGTCGAGGGCTTCGGGTTGAGATTCGCGAGTTACACGAACAGCAGCGGCAGCCTCATCGATGAGATCGACAGCGGAGTCGGGAAGACGCCGTTGAGTGAGGTAGCGAGCAGCCAAGGTGGCAGCGGAAACGATGGCACCATCGAGAATAGTGACACCGTGGTGGACCTCATACTTCTCCTTGAGACCACGAAGAATCGAGACAGTCTCGGGCACTGAGGGCTCCTTGACCAAAACTTGCTGGAAACGACGCTCGAAGGCCTGGTCCTTTTCAATGTACTTGCGGTACTCGGACAAAGTGGTGGCACCAATGCAGTGCAACTGACCACGGGCAAGCATGGGCTTGAGCAAGTTGGCAGCATCCATGCCACCTTCTCCTGACGAACCAGCGCCCATGAGCAAATGGATCTCATCGACGAAGAGCACAATCATCTCCTTGGCATCTTCGATCTCCTTGAGAACGCCCTTCATGCGCTCTTCAAATTCACCACGGTACTTGCTGCCAGCAACAAGAGCACCAACGTCCAGGGAGAGCAGCTTGCAGGCAGCCAAATTAGCAGGCACGTCTGCATTAACGATGCGCTGAGCAAGACCTTCAACAACGGTGGTCTTGCCGACACCGGGCTCTCCGATCAGGACGGGGTTGTTCTTTGTGCGACGTGACAGGATGCGGATGACTCTTCTAATCTCTTCCTCTCTGCCAATGACAGGATCCATCTTGCCCTCTCGTGCCATGGCAGTCATATCAATGGTGAACTTCTTGAGATTCTCGCTCTCTTCTTCGGCATCGGCAGTCTTCGAGTCAACGCGCTTGTTGCCTCTGATCTGCTGAATGGCATTGTCGATAAGCTTGGTGTTGGGCACGTTGGCCTCGGCGAGAGCTTTGGAGACGGTTGTGTCCTGGACGAGGCAGGAGATGAGGTGGTCGATGGCAATGAAGCTGTCCTTTTGCGTCTTGGACAGTTGGTCGGCAGCGCGCAGCAGTTTTGAGAAAGCAGGGCTCATGGAGAGATGCTCCGGCGGAGGATCCTGACTGGGCAAGCGGACCATGGCCTTGTTGAGGGCGCGAGTAAGTAGTTGGGGATCTCCATGAGCTCTCTCGACGACTTGCTTGAAGAGTGGTGCTGAAGATGCGCTGTGTGAATCGTGGCCGGTCTGGTTCTGCTGGTCCTTGCTAAGGTCTGGCGGAGGATCGAGCAAAGCGACGGCCAGGTGGATAGGTTGTAGCTGTGTGTGAGAGTATTGTTGTGCGAGATCTTGAGCATCGGCCAAGGCTGAAGTGGCCTTGTCGGTGAATGACATTCCTGAAGCTGCCATTTTGCTTTTAGATTATGTGTGAGAAGTTATAAACAAATGGGTATAGTGGTATAGTGTCGTTAGTCGTGAAGCGTAGAGAAGTGAGTGTTGTGTTTGGTAGTTGTGTGTATGTCTTGGTATCTGATGGAGCAGGAAACAAAGACGTCGACAAGGTTGATATAGCGATTGGGCTCTTGCGGCAGAAGACTCTCCTGACGACCAGCTTGCGCCAGATGATGCTAGCATGATCAAGCCTGCCAGGGTTGCTGCCAGAATTTCCCAGAATCCTCCAGAACCTTCGACGTCACTCCTGCCCAAAATCTTGACTCGACCGACCATCACCCCGCACTTGTCACCAAGTCAGGCTTTATTTGCAATTTTTCTCCTTTTTCTTTTCCTGCCTGCTCTATGCTTTGTAAATTGTCCAGCTGATTACACTGAATAGCAACTTTCGACATGTGTAACAGTCTTCCTATCCAGACTCCAAACAAGCAGAAGATCTGACCCGAAGTCAAATGAAGCCTTAGGCGTGATAGTTGATCCTTTGCTAGTCATCTATCAGCAACGATACGGACACTGAGCAAAGCAATCACGTCCATAAGCATATAGAGATTTGCTGCCATTCTCCTCTGGTTGTATTGATCAGAGCAGAACTGTATGACTGCACGAGATAATGCGAAAGTGCATGTCGGACTAGTATAACTCCATTGCTTCCTGTGCGACTCTCTCACGTCTGCTGACTGTGAGTGCTCGTACTCTGACCGTAGCAGAAAGCATGGTATACCCCATTGTAAGGCACGGTTGTTTATGCGTTGTGCGTAAGCATTGATCGTGTGTCTGATCTCTTTTTTCTTCTTCGTTCTTGATCCCCATGTTCCATGAACACTCCGCTGTCTTTAGTTGGTCAACAGCTCATCTTCCCGAGCTCTGTGATCTGAGTTGCCATTGCCCTCCGTTCCCTCACATCAGCATATCAATGTCCATGTGCTCCTCCGTCTCAACATCTCTCTTTCTCTTCCTGCTCTCTCGCTCCCTCGCGGTATTATCGTTATCATCGCCATCGCTCTCCTCCTTGGCCTCTTCGCTGTACATCTTTCTCATCTCCTTGATCTCCTTCTGATTGCAATGGTCCCTCTCTTCTTCCATGTCGTTTCGTAATGCTCCGATCGCTTTCATAACCTCCGCCTTCTCCCTCTTGTTTCGTTCAAGTTTCTCAATCATGCTCTCGAGAGCTTTCTGTCTCTCCTTCTCTTGCTTGTCAAGCAGCTTGCAGTGATCAGTGGTTTTGGGAGACAAACTACTACTTTCGGGATCATGTGCAGCTAGAGTGTCTTCCAAAGACTTGTTGACGGCACGCGCGTTGCGCTCGTTGGTGGTGATCTGTGAGTCGATAGACTGAAGAAGGGAAGCATCAGACGGTGTCTTTTCGAGCTGTATAGACCGGTTAGTTTGTTTGCTATGTGGAGGTGAAGAGATTGTAAGCTTACAATCCAAAGGCTCGTTCTCAAGGCAATATCCTTGAAGATTCTGTGGACGCGATCATCGACACCGCCTATAGCTTCCTCGATGTAACCATGAATTTGTGTCGAAACTGTCTTGGTCAGCAATTCTGTCCGCAAGTCTTGAAGAGGAGTATAGCTCACGTTGTGCTGGGAAGTCTCTCGGATAAACATCGTCATGTGACACTTGCTCCTTGGCCTTGATGGGTGCTGGCTTTTGGGTCGAGGCAGGTGGCGGCAGCGGTTGGGATGTTTCGGGAGTAGGCTCATCTTTGCTGACTGATGAGCGAAGAGGCGAACGGTAGCCAGAAATATACACATCGTTGAGCTCATCCTCGCTGTCTAACAGAGATGGCATTGAACCTTGTCTTACAGAAGACGGACGAACAGAGAGCTGACGTTTTTTGATGCCAGAAGAGCCATCCGATCTCGTCCTGGCAAAGAAGGGTTGCTTAGGCAGCTTTTCCATACTTTTGGGTGGCTGACTGTTCTTGGATTGCACCGGTAATTCTGAACCAGAGTCCGAGTCGTTAGTCAGATCTTCAAAGATCTTTGCAACAGTAGGAGGTTGTGGTGGCCCCTTGCTCTTGATGTTTGCCGTAGTCTTTGCTCTTAATCTTGCCATCTTTGTGGTGGTATTTAAGTGCAAACAAGCTGGCGACGCTTGAGACGATTGAGATTGTGTTCGCTGGTGACTTGATTTCTGCTTGGGCTGGCTGACAATGCTCAAAGAGCGTGGACGTGTCGATGTTGGCAATGAGGATCTCGCAAACTCGGCGTTTGTTTGTCCCGGAGTCGTCTTCTGTTTCTTTGTTGGCGTGTTTGCCGTCGATTGACAAGATCTTTTGGTAAGATCCAGAGGATTGCTTCTCTGTGTTTCTGGGATAACCATTGTTGTCGAAGGTGACGAACCCGTGTAGGTCCCAGCTGCTAATAGACTTTTGCGCATTTCCTCCATCAATTCATCCAAGCTGTGTAGACTGCCGCTTGATCTGGTTGTGGTCCGAGAATTTTTGATCCAGTCTTCCCTTGTTATGGGTTAGGGGGATCGGTGAGGACTCTGGTTCAGTGAAGAAGGCTAGCAGAAATCAAAACACCACAATGAAAAAAAAGCAGGGCAGAGCAAGTAGTTTGATTTTTTGTGGCGTGAAGAAAATTGCAGGAGCGAAAAAGGTCAGGTTCAGATTTGGCGGACCAAAGTCGCGGAGTAGGTGGTCGCAATGGCAAGAGCGCCCAACCGAAACTCCCTCACTTAATGGTCTCCTCCTTCTTTTCTTCCTTGATAATCTCCTCGTCCTTTGTGGCTTCCTCATCTTCAGATTCTTCGAATAATTTGTCGATGGCCTTGTCTCGCTCACTGATGGCGCTCAGCTCACTTTGGATCTTGTGAATATGAGCCTCACCAGGAAGCTCATTCTTGAGGTTGGCAATAGTCTGCTCGATAAACTTGTTGTCCGCGTCGTTGATGCAGTGAGCAGCGTTCAGAATCGTGGTGATAGGACCACCCTCGCCGAGTGTGTCCTCCTCAGCGTCGAAGGCAACACCTGTGATAATGGTGTCGAGTATTTCGAATTGTTCATTGCGAGATTTGTAGTGTTTTTCAAGTCTTTTCACCAAAACAGCGACTCTCTTCGCCTGATGCATGTCAATTATGCAGCTATAAAAAGGCAGAATATTGAACTTACGAACTTGAGCTCCACTGAGAGCTCGATCTTTCTGACCATCTCGTCGTGGTCGGCCATGCTAGTAGGAGGTTAGCATGAACAACAGCAGCGTATATTCTGATACTCACTTTGTGGAGAGCGAAGCCATTGTTGGTCGCGCGTCGAGGTAAGAGGGAGAAAAAGGGGAGCGAAATAGAGGTTATCAACGCAAGTGAAATGCCGAGACGTCTCGTGGTTCCGGAATCGAGTAGAACTCGACGACATCATAGCGTGATGCCGAGACAGGCGCGCTTGTATGGGATATACAGGGTAGGAGTTGGTATAGGGAGTCCTCGACGCCCTTTCTTAGTCTCCGATAGTGCCCGAGGCCCTTAGTACTCGCGGTCCTTACTCTTCTATACCATCGCTGTATGTCGCTCTACAAACCAGTTTGGTTGCGGGACGGCAAGAGGTATAGTTTCTTGACACACAACTTCCCAAGGATACTGGCCACGATATTTACAGGGGGCACCGAGCGCGAGACTGACATAGCACCTCCTGCACCTGCACAGCATTCTTGTCTCTGCGTTCCTTTGTTTGTTCGACATCAACACCAAGCCATTGTGCTGTCGTTCCCATTCTGGCAAGATGTTGTCGCAGCCACAGAGATGGCAAAGATCTCGCGAGGAAGGCTCCAGCCCCTGTCCAGCTCAGGGCGATGTCCAGGCACAGGGATCGTAGCACCACACTGAAGCTGTACTTGTACCAGAGACAATCGAGAATAGCATCAGGAAGACGAATTTGGAAGAGCGATACCACGAAGAAGGATACCACGAAGAGCCCCTGAGACGGCTTGCACAGGGCCATGCTGGATTCACGCTTATACTACAATCCCAATCAGCATTGATTCCTCAAGGAAGCACTCATGGTCAAGTACAATCTGCTAAGCGCTCGTCGTCGCCCAGACTGAGAGAAGCTGCAGAGACTCTCTGTTTGCTAGCCGGATCAGGTTTGGAGACCGAGTTGCCGGACTCACGCCAAGTCCCGTACTCGAACGATCAACTTTCACACCAACACATCAACACGACCGCGACTGCGCATCAGCTCAGTCTTTCTCATACCGGACAACACGCACACGAGAGCGCATCACCCCTGAACCCGCTGGCGACATCAACGCCAACGAACGCCTTGTTGAAATCATCTCATCCATCGAACGCAAACATCCAAGCCCTATACAAAGGCAGCAACGTGACAGACTCTCAGCCAAGCCTGCCCGAGATGAAGAGTTCAGAAATCGATGTCGAGAAATACCTGGATGGCGTGGAGGATCGATCTGCGCACAACAGAAACCGTCGCATTCTCGAGGTTTTGGACAGCATCTACAACCTTCCGACCGGCCAGCGTGGAACACAACTCCGCAACTTTGTCAGTTGTCTTGAACTGTCCCAAGGAAAGCAAGACTACGTTTTCCGCGTCCTCAGAAGTAGACTACAAACTATCAACGATCCTTCCAAGGAGCGTTACCTAGTCACAAAGTGGCTGCTCGTCTTGGTTTTCCATGCGCAGGAGGAAGCAATGAAAGCCAGAGACGCCGCCAAGCTTGCCGAACAGGTCAAACCCCAGGCACCTCTCTGCGGCGAAGGTTTCCACAAGTTGAGATGTGGCCATTACCGTGCCTCTCACGAAGAATGCGGTATGAACTGCTACGGCCGCTCAACCTTCCCCGACAAGCCTCTCGATTTCGACGCTCGCATGTCCGAGATTGTTTGCTTCAAGTGTCTTTGCTAGACTAAGACTGCGGGACGCATTCGGCAAGAACAACAAATCTGGCGACGACAGCGACACCCGGCTTGTTCCATGATCAGAAGGTTGTCGACGACGAGAAATGATGAATGTTTGGCGAGACAGACATGATTGGCGGAGGTTGAGATAAAGCATTTGGCCGCATCTAGTTGGTCACAGGAGAAAAGACGAAGCGGAAGAAGTATTGTTTAATCCAAGAAGGAATGCTGCATGAGATGGAAACCATCCAGAGTCCGTGGGTCGGAGTTGGCAGATTCGGGCTGATTGCCATTCGAAGGGGCGGTCGGAGCAAGGTACAACACCAGTGAAAGATGTCCTTCTAGAAAGAGGAGATGAAACCTTAAACTCATTCGTTCTTTCATTCAACCAGTGGAAACCAGTCTTCCTTGCATCTCACAAAGGCGGTCGCCAGTAACAAACCAAGCTGTCGTCACTGATTCCTGCTCCTACCTGCATTTTGTTGATTTGGCGCTAGCATATCAAACCTGACTGCTTGCCGTTGTTGCCGGTTCGTTGAAAATTCTGAGAGGCTTTCTATCATGAAGCTGACGATGGTCGCTCCGCAAAGCTGAAGATTGAAAGATGGTGGAACAAGGAAGCTCGAAGCTCTGAACAAACAAGCTCATTCCGGTTGATCCTCGGCATCACATTGGCATCAACCAACCTTCCATACAATCTTCCTCGTTTGGTCTATTTGAACATAGTCATTATAGTCAAAACTCATCAAGCGTTCTCTCCGACCATAAATCAGAAGATATATTGAAACTTGTTGGTGCACATGCAGCAATGGGCTATTTCTATCCGCTCCTTTGCGAGAACCTTTGCAAGAATCTTTCATGTCCAGCTATTTATGTATTGTTCTTCCTTTCAGCTGCATTTCCCTTTGCCGGAAGAGATACCCATTCTATGAACTGAACCCTTCTACAAACATTGATATGATCTTGGCGCTGCTTGGACTGATATCTGCAGAAGATGAACCGCCATGCTCACTGTATCAATCCTCGAACAGCAGAAACAGGTGCCTGCCGACGAACAAATTATTGTCGATGCATTCGAAGTCAAATTGGAAAGACAATGGTAGAGACCTGTGCTCAAGAAGCTTGACTGGTCGAGTGACGAATCCACAGACCAGAATTGAGAGAGCTATGGATGCTCAATCGGGTTGCACATTCTATGACCAGCAGGCTCCAATGCGTGGATAGAGTGGATCACTTCCTCATGTGCTCGACAGCAAGTCATGCGCAGACTGATTATCTGGACTAGTCCTTGAAGAGCGTATGTGCATTTCAAGGGTCTTCGCTTCCACGTCCAGCTTTTAGTGATCCAGCGATCCTTATGGCCGTAAAGCGTGCCGGTATGACTGTGCTTATCTCAGGCGAGCAAAGCACAGAGTTGTGGCCATGACCAGAGGATCACTATCTTGTCATTTTCGCTTTGGAGAGACATTTGAGCGAATTGCGCAAAGTCGCAACAAGAATACCAAGGAAGTCCTTGGACAAAGTCTCGAGTCGCGCTTGCCTTCAGTTTGTTAGCAAGGAAAGCTGCCAATTGTTCAATAATCCTCGTTGGCCCAATGGGTCAGCTGCTACCAGAGGTCTCGAGTTCGAGCCTCTGCAAGACCAGTCCGCTGACAATTCTTCAGTTCTTCACTGGATCAACTTAACAACAACTGCGGGACTGAAAAGTCCGGTTATACTTGCGGGGCAGTGTCCCGTTTACTTGAACTAACTTGCATCGAGTAGTCTTGCAAACACAAGCTTCTCTTTCCTTGTCAAGTTCAACGTCTGCGGAAGCAATGGCATGATCTTGCAAACACAAGGATTGCTTGCGCTGAAGCGGACAACTGCTGGGGTTTCCCCGGGAATCTTTCTGGATTCAAATAAAACAAAAAACAACTTGTAAGTACAAAATTCCTGAGACCTCTGGTAGCATTCTTTTTTGTACTTCCCAAATCAACTTCTGACTGTTCGCACAGTCGAATTGTAGCAGTCTATCCGTTGAATCTCTAAGTATGCTCCATCTTTTCATCAGATGGCTAGCCATGCACTGCGCACGACCAAGAGTTGGACTCGGCGCAACACCCTTCGAGCAGTCGATTATCGGCTTGTTTCTTCCAGACTCACGAGCGCACTCAAAAGCCTTGATCAAACGCGATGCTAGTAAGACGAATTTACGTTCGACAAAATTCTTGGATGATGCGGTTCAGTCAACCAGGGGTATTCTTAGAAAATGTTCATAAACTCCAAGCTTCAGCAAGAGATCTTTCCATGTGGTAAGCTGTTGGTTGGCGATGTGGTAGACCTGGCATAGCTCATGTCAACTTATCAACGAGGCTTGAGTTGCGCCATGCCCGTCGCATTTCCTGTGCTCGTGAGATACCTCTAAGGCCTCAAAGTTGACTCTGTCCTGATTACGAGTGGATAACTTGATTGCGAGTCGTAGGATGATAGGACATATCACTGTGAGGATATTCGAGGGATCGAAATGCTCGACAGCATTATGCATGGTGTGCTACGTGGTCCAATTGAGTTTACCAGCGTCACACTGCATCCTTGCTTGAACCGAAGCATCATCAACCTTTCGAGAAACACGATTGTCATAAAAGGCTTCTCGATCGGTCACAAGCTGGCCATCAGAAGGCGTGTGACCAAAACCGTCGTAAGTTTGAGATCAGTTTCCAGACATATCTTGGCGGAATGACCGGCACGACGACGTTTCGTATCGTTCGTATGGCTTCCCAATATCATTTTATCCTTATCGGCAAGTAAGCAGGTCGACCGGCCACACCATGATCATACGGCTGAAAAGAGCAGGAGTGTGACTTCGCAAACAGGAAAAGGACGATGGGTCTATCTTGCGCGTTGGAAACGTGCTTGTGGCCCACCTCTCTACAAACTGGTTGTCATGGGCGCCGTTGGTCCGCACGCCACTACCACAGCTTTATCAAGTATTCTTAAATGCACCACATACGCGTTGGCGTTCTTTCCGATAGCCTATGGAGCGCATCTCATCTAGATCGAGCTATCGAGAGGATGGCCCAAGATCAAGCCTCGTTAAAGACACAAGACTTCATGTTCTGCTAGGTTGACGATGAAAGGTTGGAGAGAGAGGGAAAAAGCGAAGCAGCGATCAGCTGCACCAAACCACTACCCCACACCGCCAAGAGAACTTGGACGAGCTGAATGACGCGCGCAATCAATTGTTGCCGACTTCTTGTCTTCTTTCTCTCTCGGTACAACGATACCCTGTCTCGAGTACGCATATTGAGCTAATCATTCTGGCACCGATGAACGTTTTTCGACATGGTACAGACGCCTAGAGAGATGGAGCCTCGCAAATCATACCTGAGTGTTCTGGGTAAATCCCCTCCAGGCCGTTGCGAAGCCAAGATATCGACAACACGGTTAGGTGTCGCTGCCAACTCAAAACCCTCCCCCATGGCGTTCATTGGCGGGCCTTTACGGCCGTTCTCTTGCAATATGCAGTTCTGGTGACTTGAGCAAAACCAATGCGTTTTGCCGAGAGCCGAAGCGCATCCCAATTCTCCTTCCAAGATGCGGCAGGGCAAGTTCAGGGTTCTGGTCGAGTTCTTAAGAGACCTGTCGATCCCTGTTCCCACTTTGCAGTCTGTCAACCTCGCAGATGGCAAGCGTACCTACATTACATGCCTTCTTGTGGCTCTCAGTCACCTGGATACTATATAAAAGTATTAGCCTACTGTATATTCGCCGACAGCATGCTATCAAGTCTCGTAAACTGGCTTGTGAACCAGCGCCATTATGGCCCGCCACTAATTTGGGAATCTCGACGATCAAACAGATGATGGCGGCCCAAAAAGCAGGCCGATTTCCCGCCTATCTCCGTGAGAGGGAGGAAGTCTTGTCTGAATCGCAGAAGAGACCCGTGCATACCATGCGCCTGTCTATCCTTGGCAATGAGGCTCATTTCACCTCGGATCCCAAGAACATACAAGCTTTGTTGGCAACCCAGTTCAAAGACTTCGGACTAGGATCTGCGAGGATTGGCAATTTTGGTCCTTTGATGGGCGATGGCATTGTAAGTTTACATGACCGTTGAGGTCCATTACACTTGTTGACCACTTGTTTTAGTTCGCATCAGATGGCAAAAGATGGGAACACTCTCGAGCATTACTTCGTCCCCAATTCGCTCGCGACAACATCAGCAACTTGGAACTTGAAGAAGTGCATGTGCAGAACATGATGCAGGCTCTGCCTGTGAATACCGACGGCTGGGTCGACGAGACTAATGTTCAGCTCCTTTTCTTCCGGCTCACCCTTGACAGCTCGACGGAATTCCTCTTTGGCGAGAGCATTGATACTCAGCTCGCAGCTCTGAGAGGCGGAGAAGCTGGTGCAGCAGCAGTCTGGAAAGACGAAAAAGTGTTTGGCACTGCTATTGACAGCTCTCAAAGCTATCTTTTCAAAGGCGCACGATTTGGGAACTACTACTGGATGGCTCACGACAAGCACTTCAAGAAACTGTGCAAGGATGTCCATAACTCCGCCGACTACTACGTGGACAAGGCGATCAAAGCACAAGGCTCCGAGAAGCGAAGACCTTCATTGACGAGAAAATTTGTGTTTCTCGAGGAACTCGCCGCTCAGACACAGGATCCTGTTGAGCTACGCACACAAGTACTCAACATTCTGATCGCTGGCCGCGATACTACCGCTTGTTTGCTTAGCTGGATGCTGCTGCTTCTAGCTAAGAATCCAGATGTTTTCGAGAAGCTCCGCGAAACTGTCATTCATGACTTCGGAAACTATGAAAACCCTCGGGATATCACATTTGTGTCTCTGAAGGACTGTCAATACCTCCAACACTGCTTGAACGAGGCTCTTCGCGTGTACCCCGTCGTACCTATGGATGGTCGCCGTGCTTTGACAGATACAACGATCCCACGCGGTGGTGGCGCCGACGGTCTGTCCCCTATCTTCATTCCTAAGGGTACCGATGTCAGCTATTCGGTCTATGTTATGCACAGACGCAAGGATATCTGGGGCGAGGATGCTGATGAGTTCAAGCCATCGAGATGGACCTCGAAACGACCTAGCTGGGAGTATCTGCCCTTCAATGGAGGCCCTAGGATCTGCATTGGCCAACAGTTCGCACTGACTGAAGCCAGCTATGTTATGGTCAGACTGCTTCAAAGATTCGACAAGATTGAGCCTACAGGACCGACGTTAGACCCTGAGCCCAAAATGCGCCTAACGCTTACCTGCTGTCCTGCAGACGGTGTCTGGGTGAGAATGAGGCAAGCGAAGGACGTTACTTCCCATTGACGCTTTTGTTCAGACGTTGTTCATGATTTACGCAAAATACGATGACCCAGAAAAGACCCATATGACAAAAGATAATGTTAGTTCGTTAATTAGTAATGTTCAATGCGTTAAAGCTGTATTTTCATAAGGACCATACTCCTCACGCGATTACTGAGCATTGCTCTTGCATGTCCATGACCCATTTCCTCCATCGGCAGCAATCGCTGTGCCTGAACTGTACAGTCCAGCAACACATACTGTCGCACCAATCAATATGACCGCCCAATTGGCGATGAATTGCGTGATCTGCTTCCAATTGTCGAACCAGTGTCCATAGTTCAAAAACAGCCCAAACACACCACTTAGCGTGTAGGTGAAGTGAGAGGCGAACAGAGCACTGATCAAACTAAGCAAGTCGTTGAAGTTGGGGATTGACTCGGCAATAACCCAGGCGATGACCCAGATTGTAAGAGTAATTCCAGTCCATGCAAGAGTGCTGGTCTTAGTTTTCTTGGTCATGTGTTTTGTGCCTCTGAAGCAGCGTACGAAGATGTATTTCGCAGCGACATGGCCGTAAATGACGCCTGCAATGATGATCTTAAAAGGTTATCAGCGTTTGGTATCGGGTTGTCAGGGTGGCAAAGTGGACTTACAGTTGGAATAGCAATTCCCCAAGCTACTTTCTTGATGACTGGACCAGCTGATCCGAGAGCGGGTGACTTGACATCGGGACCAGCGTAAACATAGATGACGGTTGCGGCAACAATGTAGAGGCCAATGTCCCACGTCTGCAGGAAGATCAAAGCTTTCGTCCAGTCCTTTTTGGGATCCTTCATCTCGGCAAGGAAGCCAAAGAAGCCTTTTTTGTTGACCATTAGCAAAGCTGCAGAGTAGCGTGGAGGAGAAGATGACACTCACATGAATGACCAGCGTAAGCGAAAATGATGTTGCTGACAGAAACAAAGGCGTCTGTAAATGGCAATACCGTAGTTGCAGCCAGCGGCGTATTGCCTCTGGGCTTGTGGATGCCAATCGCAATCATGCTGATCATCACAGCAGAGAAAATGGAGATGAAGGACGCGATGGACATGAACGAAACCTTCTTGAGAGTCCTAGGCAAGTCGAAAATAAAGAAAATAACCAGTCCAACTACTGCCCAGACAACGGTGCAGGTAGCGCTGTTTGTTATGGTGTTCAGGCAGATCGTCCAGGTCAAGATGTGACTGGCCATGGTGAAGATCAAGAAAATCGTTTGTGCTGCGCCGAAGACTTCGCGGCCGATGGCACCCATCTTTAGCGGCTTGAAGAGAATCTCGCCTGCATCTGCAAAGGAAACGACCTACAAGACTGTGAGCTTCTTTGGCTGATTGTTGCTGAGCACGTGCTTCTTACCCATGGGTACTTCATTCTGAACTGTCCGATAACCTGTGGAAGTTCATGTCAGCGCCGAGACTCCGTGGAATCCTACTCCTACGCCTAAGCTTACCCATCCGGTATAAGTCGCAATTATTCCAAGTCCAACGAGCAATATTAGTCCAGGCACGAGACCAATCCTCGCAAGTACCGAAGGTAGCGAAAGGATCCCCAGCGAAATCGTCTCGGCAATCATGACTTTTCAATGTCAGTAACGAAAGCTATAGCTCTTTGCCGACGCCCACGTACTCATTGCTGCTTGCCTATAAGTCTGTCAGTAACGCGCCAAACAATTTGGATGATATCCATAGTCGACTCACCACCACTCCATTGATTGATAGTCAATCTCTGCATCTTGAACATCACCCTCATCTACGCTTTCTTTCCGCGCGAAAGGGTCCTCATATGCACTGTTCTTCCGTCTCGACATCGACGACCTACGCCGTCCAGTCTCTGGCCGAATATCTTCATCGCCGTGATCTAGACTCTCCTTCTTTTCAGGGTCTTCGAAAGACATATTTACGTCGCAAAAATAGGTACGTAGAGCAAGGAGAGAAAGCAAGAGCAGTCGAGTCAACCTATATTCACTATCAGCCTTGTGATCTCATGGCTAAAAGGTGTACAAAGATACATGGATCATGCATGACGTAGCGTCATTAATGTAGAAATAGATTGGCGATCCCTGGTGCGGAGAAAACGGGAAAAGCAACGGATTGTGCTAAACACGGTGAATGCGACGGCTCTATCAACCGAATGATCAGCAGATATCTAGGGTCTTCGTTTACACTCCGTATCGCAATAGCTTATTGGGCTGTCAAAAAAATCCTTCGAAGAGGTCATTTGGTCTGGTTAGAGAAAAAGGTTTGTGAAGCAACATCTTTCTCTCGGGACGCGTTCCGCCTCCGTTTTACGTGTCTCGCTCTATTACTTGCCAGCCATTTCTCTAACCAAGCCAGCATTTACCCATCCTCTTGCGAAGTTTCTGCCACTGAACAAGAGGAAAGCGATCCACCAGACACGACCAATGTAAGCATCATACCACATTTCCAATGGTAGATTTCTCTTCTTCCTCCAAGCCATTACTTTTCGGCGGACAGCTTCCTCGACTACCACGGCGAATCCGTTCGCAGCGAAGAATTTGGCTTCTCCGAGTGCACGACTCCACTTGCCGCCTAGCACTGATCTGACGGCGAATGAATGGACAAAGGCGGAAGAGATGAAGCCACCAAGCACCTTGCCAACGTCTGCTGGTTCGTCGCTTCTTTTGCCTGTGAGCTTCCTCTCAAGCCACTCACCAGGCCAAACACCGTACACTAAGAATAACCGGGCAAACAGTCTGTGCCAGCCGTAAGACCAGAAACCTCGCACGGATTTGATATCCCAAATGCGCGTGCTGTACAGAGGTGGGAAGTATGCAAGTGGCGAAGGAGCCAAAGGGCTCATCAATATGGCAGCCATGGAGTGTGCCACAGAGAAGGCGGCCATAAGGAAAGCACCAAGAGCTGCAGTCAAGAGGAGCTGCAACCACAGAGGTAAGCGACTGTCGAACAAATTCTCGGTGTGAACGCCAAATTCTGCTTGAGGCACTCCCTCGAAGTAGTTTACATAAGTAGTCCTGATGATAGCAAAGCAGACGGCCAAGACAGGGCCAACATGGAAAAAGATGGAATGCAGACGATTGGTGGCAGTTGGCAACCACGTCTTGCGAGAGTGTCGCACATCAGCTGTTGTCCAGGTGAAGCCAATACCACGCATGCTAGTTTCGAGCTCGAGAGCCCACGATGCACGGTCCATGAAATTGTGCGGCCAGCCTTCTTCGCTCGATGCCAGTTCGTATACAGGCTTCATCTCACTGAGATTGGAAAGCTTCTTCTCGAGAATAAAGTACGAGTCGGCTAGCGATCCACGGCGAGCTTGACTAGCAGCATTAGAGACAGCACCAGAAACAGTCGAGTTCTCGGCATTGGCCTGGGCTGCACCTTTGGCTGGGTTTTCAGGCTCGTTATCGACATCTACCGGCATGGGCGTGTGAGTTCGCGAGATGTGCTTATAGCGAACACGGCGCGGGATGTGCCCAAAGCCATAGGGACTGATGAAGAAAGCATCTAGAACTCTGCACCCGCCATATAGACCAACAAGAGCGAGCTGGTAGTTTAGTCCGATGCTTTGCGGAACGTAGTATGCCAATGGCAGCCGGAAGAACAAAACTCCAGCTAGAAGAGCCAGAGCATTCCGGAGCAGTTTGATTGCAATAGTATCGATGGACTGTGGTGGTGGAGGCGGTAAGAAGAGTAGTGCCAGAAAGTATATGATTGGCGGTAGTACGGCAGCCTCGAAGGTCAAGGGTTTTGTGTTCGGGACAGGCTGCAGCCCGGGTCTTGGTGTCGCATCGAAGAGAAACGATATTAAGGATGTCATGGTGATCTGTACCGTGTGCACCATGCAAAAGACGGTCGACGGTGCTTAAAAAGAGCTTCCATTCTAATGGCTTTTCTGATCTGATGGAAAACAATGAATGGAAGATGTCATCGAAGGGAAACGCTCTTGGGTGCGGATCGGGCCGTGCGATCGCTCCACCCTTCTTCGTCCCTGCCCTTCCCTTTCTCTCTGCTCCTTCTCTGACTGTCGAACGTGCTGCAAAATATCATTGTATACAGCAACAACTAATCAAATGGCGTTAATACCAACAAGGTCGCACCAAGGTCATCTGAACATGATTCCGACATTTACCGATAGCGTGGCTGGCACGATGAAACTCTCAAGCAAGCCTCGATGTCTGCTTAAGCAGATTGTGACCGGTCTTGGTCTAATGCTTGGTGTCGCTTGTGTCGCGTCTTCACACTCTCCACGTGTCAACGTGGATTGGTTCAATATCAAGACTTTTGGCATGGTTTTGCGGTCCCTTCGTATGCCCGACCATCAAGAGAAAGCATTGACCCCTCTTCGTAAAGTCCTTTGGGCAGAAGAGTGATCACGCACTCAATTTTCACTCTACTGGGACATCCTACAAGGTAACAGAAGGATGGCGATCAACACCGCCTTTCCTTAAGCAGAGGTGGTGTCAGGCTAGGTTGCCGACCAATCATCTGCTCTGGGGGTCGACAGGGATCCGGTGTAGGTACTTACTGTATACACGCGAACCCTCTAAACTTGGTGCTAGCTCAAGTAAGGCCCTGTCAGGATCCGTTTCAAAATCTTTGCAACAGCTAGTTAAAGGGGACCTCGGCATGCAATGCAGTATGCGTCCAGTGGAGTCCTGCGCTCATTCCTACAATAATCTCTTGGATACAATAGGTCACGAGCCCTATCTTGCTGTATTCTCTTCATGTCGCATGCTTACCCTGGACAACTCCCAATACGATGTTTCGCAGCTCCTGTGGCTTACGCTGATCTGCTTGCGGGGTTGGCCATGTGCAGTGCAACCATCACGGAGAACGATCCTTCAGAACCAGGCGACAGAAGCAGCCCAACTAGCTATTTAAGCTGTCTAATAGGTGTCCTGAGATGCTCTGTTCTCTTTTCCATAGATACCTATCCGACACACTTTAACAACATGTATAAGATTGGCAATATTTACTACATCACGGCCATTTCGGTCATTGGCGGTGGACTGTTTGGCTTCGACATCTCGTCCATGTCTGCCATGTGAGTGCAACCAAGTCAAATTCCGAACCTGAACTGACCGCCAAAGCCTGGGCACGAACCAGTATAAATGCTACTTCAACCAAGGCCCTGTCGGCCCACCGTTCACGGATGATGAGAATTGCTCCGGTCCCAAAGCAGATGTTCAAGGAGGTATCACTGCCTCCATGCCAGGCGGTAGTTTTGTTGGTGCGTTGATCTCCGGCTTCCTCACAGACTGGCTGGGTCGAAAGAGAGCTATTCAAGTCGGTGCTGTCATATGGTATGTTTTAGAAGAATGACTCAGTGATGCTGCTAATGATGCTCAGGATCATTGGTTCAATGATAGTCTGCTCTTCACAAAACATTGGTCAACTTGTAGCAGGTCGGTTTATAAATGGTCTATCTGTGAGTACACACATATCTTAAGAATCATACCCGGCCAAATTCTAATGTGGATCGTTCCAGGTCGGTATCGAATCGGCTCAAGTCCCTGTCTATGTCGCTGGTATGTCGGTTCTTGAGTATAAATTACTCCCTGGTTGACTATATCACAGAGCTTGCCAACCCTAGCAGACGAGGACGAGTTGTGGGAGCTCAGCAGTGGGCAATTACGTGGGGCATCTTGATCATGTTTTATATCTCCTTTGGCTGCTCGTATCTCGATGGTCCAAAGGCATTCAGAGTACCATGGGGACTTCAGGCTTTGCCAGCTCTTTTCCTGCTAATCGGCTTGTTCTTTTTGCCTGAGGTATGAGCCATGCTCTTGGACTTACTTTGCATTGCTGACGTTGCGTAGTCTCCCCGCTGGTTGGCTCGCAAAGATCGCTGGGAGGATTGCGAGAAAGTTCTCATATTGGTTCATGGTCACGGTGATCCTAACAGTCCGTTTGCGAAGCGAGAGCTACGAGAGATTCAAGAGATGGTCGAGTTCGAGCGACGCAACCGCGACGTCTCGTATCTTGAGCTTTTCAAGCCGCATATGATCAATCGAACTCATATTGGTGTATTCACTCAGGCAAGTCGACTGTGCATTACCAATAGAAAGTACACTGACTGCTTCTAGATCTGGTCGCAGGTAAGTCGTGCTTACGAGGTTTCAGACCAGAAAATGCTAATGCTATGATGAAGTTGACTGGCATGAATGTCATGGTAAGTCTATTACTTTTGACAACTACCTGAAGGCCAAGAGAGATGCTGACATAACGCATATGTACTACATCACTTATTTGTTCGGCATGGCAGGCCTCAAAGGCAACAACAATCTCGTCGCCTCATCCATCCAATATGTCATCAACGTCTTCATGACCATTTTTGCCTTGCTCTTCATCGATCGGTGGGGCCGCAGACTGCCATTGTTGGTTGGAGCCTTCTTTATGGCGCTCTGGCTCTTCATCAACGCTGGCCTCATGGCTAATTATGGACATCGAGCACCGCCAGGTGGTGTCAATAGCGTCCCTGAAGAGAGCTGGCAGATCTCTGGTCCAGCATCCAAGGCTGTCGTTGCTTGCACTTATCTTTTCGTGGCGTCGTTCGCTCCTACATGGGGACCTGTCTCGTGGATCTACCCGCCAGAGCTATTCCCCTTGCGCGTCAGAGGAAAAGCCGTTGCGCTCTGTACTGCTGCGAACTGGATCATGAACTTTGCGCTGAGTAAGTCTCACCACAGCACAGAGCATGGGTCTATCAATGCTGACACACTACGCCCTAGGCTACTTCGTTCCACCAGCCTTCGTCAACATCCAGTGGAAAGTCTACGTTGTGTTCGGTGTCTTCTGCGTCACCATGTTCATCCACGTTTTCCTGTGCTTTCCCGAAACTAGCGGCAAGAGTCTTGAGGAAGTAGAAGCGCTCTTCTTGCAAAAGGTACCAGCTTGGAAGACCAAAGTGGAGTACCAGCATGTGCGTGCGTTGGAACAGAACCGCGCCGATGAGAAAGCTGCAGATATCGAGGCAAGTCCTGAGAGGGAAGTCACGACTGTGGAGAAGACTGCTTAACCAAATGCTGAGGATGGCATGATTGAGGGTGAATGATGTGGTGACTCGAATTTGAACTTCAGCTGGCTGGATCGGCTTTTATCCTCTTGTTGCTCGCGATTGTGGTGTTTGGTTTGAGTCCGTTCGCTTGACGCCTCCTGTTATGGAGAAGCCTTGGGTGCAGGTTCTGTGAGGGAAAGGGAAGGGGCTATGAAGTTGAGCTTCGAAATTGCCAAGCTATCAATTCAAAATTGAGCGTCCTTGTTGCTTGTCACATTAATTTGCCCAATAGCTGAAAATGTGAACCCTGCTGCTTGGAAAGGTTGCTGTCACCACTGGGCAAAGACAAATCTGACATCTCGACGGAATGTGATGGCCTGGCTCACGACTTCCCTACCACGATGAAGTCAGCACAAACTCGATTTCATCGTGTCTTTCTCAGAACACCTTTCATCATCTTCATCTTTTCAAAACCACACATGAACAAAAAGAGCACAACCCAAGACCCAACCCTGTCGGCCAAATCTCGGAACGATACCCTCGCCCCACTTTTCCGAAGCATCTCTGCCCTGCCCAACTCCACAACACACCACCAAAACAATCAATCCTTTACACAACAAAAAAAGCTCTCCCGGACAGGCTTGAACTGTCAACCTCTCGATAGCCGATCTGATGGTGATCAAATCTAACAGTCGAACGCGCTAGCCAATTGCGCCACGGAAGATGTGAGAGCTGTGCACTCGGTGGTTGTGTTTGGCTTCGATGGGTCGGCGGCTGGAAATGCTGGTATATATCGCTTGATAGCACACTTCGGACAAGCGAGATGTTGCAAATTGTGTTATGATGTTTTCAGAACCTTGCGAGTATCGCACGAGAGTGTTTGGTGGATATTTATGTAACATGAGGCCCGGAGAAGTTGAACCAGGAAGCGTCTCCATCGGCTTACCAAAAACCACCTTGTTGAACGTGTAACCGTCTGATTCAGCGTAACGACATGAGCACAATAGATGTGTTGAACCATAGAAGGCAGATTAGAAGAGACATTTGCATAGTCTTGAAATATGTAATAAAATGGTAGATGTATTTATGAGACGATACACATCTTGTGATAGAAAAAGTAGGTCAGGGTTGTACAGACAGGATCGTCAACATGAAAATTCTAAAATGTCCCGGGACGAGCTCCTACCAAGATTTCTATCAGTGCCCTATATGCCAAAGACTCCTTCCATCCTTCAGAAAGCCAATATACGAGAGGTTGAAACAGAATTAAGTTGTGTCGTAATTACATGATATTTTTATGGCGATTATGCTGAGTCCGGCGCAACATGAATCTGCCAGTAATGTTGATAGCACTTTGGCATCTTTTGGGTGCCATTAGAGGTTTCATCGTATTCGGGGTGGGTGACATCTAAAGCGAGCAGCCCCGTTCTCCTGTTCGCTTTTTGGAAGAGCATGAATTCCTCAGTAACGTTGACGTACATCCTCACACCGTCGATCACGTTGATAGTCGATCCTGTCGTCCAACTCAACAGCGTGGGTTCGATAAGAGGAGCATCTGTGACAGAAGGATGTGATGTGCCTAATGAAGTCATGAACCAGCCGGCCTTCCCGCGTTGATTGACCTTCTGGACGATCTCCTTGACGACGTTGAAATGAGGCTGACCAAAGAAAATAGAGTGCTTCTTTGACCACGAGTTGGAGTGGATGACCAAGACTGGCACATTGATGTCGTAGTTCAGGGGACCACTCGACTTGCCAGGATCAAGAATGATTGCACCGTGGAAAGGACGTTCCGGACAAGGCGCACCCTTTAAAGCCCGACCAGCACCAGTAGCGCCGTAACTGTGCCCTGAAATAGTGACGTTCGTCATGTCAAGTTGTCCAGTCCAGCTGGCCAAATGTTCGCCCTCCTTGCGTGGGTTCATCTTGAATACAGAGGCGCCATCGCCATCATTGATGGCTCGCAAGACCCGAACCGTTTCTTCGATCTCTGCCTGGCGGAAGGTCAATTGTGCTTCCTTGAGCTCGGGTATGCCAAAACTCTGATCCACGTCTAAATCACGGAGGCCGAAGTGGTATAATGGCCTTTCGCTACCATCGACATTCATGATCATGCTTCCAGGTCCGCTGCCATCTCTGTGCTCAATCGCAGCAACGATATATCCTCGACTGGCAAGCTCACCGCAAAAGTGTGTGTAGTCAGTGCGAGAACTGGCCATACCGTGAGAGAAGATAATCACAGGGAAACGATCGCTGCCCGCCTCTGGCTTGCCCTCACCATGCTCCGTGAACTCGAAGCTAGGCGCCGTTTCTCTTAGAGGGACATCAACATTCGCTGGAATGGTAGTACTGCCCGCTAGACCCCAGAGCGCGACGGTAAAGATACTGTCAGTGAGGAAGTTGCTGATGTGGGCGAATTTGGCATAGCCTTCTGCTGTGATTGAGAGCGGTTTTGGCACCCAGAGATGTTTTGGCTTGTTGGATTTGGCTCCCTTTACGGCTGGATAGTAAACAGAGAACAAGACTGTTTCAAGCTGCATAAACTGTTAGCAAGCAATGACCATCATATAAGCGTCATACATTGATACCAGAAACGCAGGTTGGCCCGTTGACTTGAACTTCACGTCGCTTGTCTTTCGGCCATCACAAGGACTTTCAATGTCGATGGTGCCGACAGCATGTGGCCCCGTATAGGCAGGGAGCTTTGAAGACAATAGAGGCATTCCCCACAGCCAGCAGTAGACGACGTAAACAGCAGCTATGGAGCACGCGACGTATTTGGGCGTCAGGCGCGGACGCAAAATCGGTGGTATGCGGGAGCGCGACATGGTCAAGGGAGCATGGGAATTATGTATCGGAACAACGAGATTCGAGCAAAAGCACAGATACTTTCGATAATTTGGGCAGTCAAAGGTATGTCGAGATCATGGACTCGATTTCGAGGTCTGACTTTGGGCGTGTCGCCGCGGCGGGCCGAGGACATGATGTCACAGCCAGCTCATTCCGCGTCGGCCGAAGTCCACGCTTTCCTTCAGTCTCCTCCTCTTAATTGAACGCGTGTCCGACTGCTTCGAAGTATGCGATAAGCTGTTCGAGTCTTGAGGAGCTCATCTCGGGAATTAGAGGCCGTGGTGGTGAACAGAGGCATATCATGGCACCTGTCACGACGGCAACGATTAGCTTCTGCCGAAACGATCCGCACCGGTAACAGTGGACGAGTTGCATTCAATTAGGTTCCGTGTTCGAGCACAACATCTTGTTCAGGTCGTTCCCGTGTCTCTGAACAGGGAAATGCAATCGTAGTCACGATGGTCGGCAGCCTCCAGATCCGCGTTCTCGAGTATAGAAGCTGGGAAGGCTTCTAGTTGTCGTTGCACATCAACCTCGGTCGAGTGGGTCGTCCCTTCTGGTTCTGATAAATATGTAAGATGCAAGGCTCGAGACGAAAGAGCAAGCGCGACCTTACCACCCAGCACATGGTTTACGCGTCGAGACTAATGTTAAGTCGTGTTCGAGGACCTCGAGAGGATGCATGTAGACCATACCACAGCCCAAGCCCATGCTCAGCCTGGCTCTTTGCTCAACAGGACTGTGCATGTGACTAGCCAACTAGTCTTTATCCAACATCTGGACAGTCAATCCGCCTGCAATACAATCGTGGACGCGCCGAAGCCCTTGCCGTGCAGCCAGCCAGAAGCTACGGCACAGAGCGAGTCAATCGTTCTTCTGATCGTTTCTTCGCTCACTGCGACTCTTTGGCGTTCCGATGACTTGAACGCTCGTATGATGATGTGGCTCACTTGGTGCTGTATGTACCATATCCAAGGTAACGATTAAGAAGTCAGCCATGACCGACAAGGCAACAACCATTCAGTGAAGCATGAGTACAACAAGCTTCATCGGGCTATTCTCCTGCTGCTGAACCATGCATTGAGCAGTCTTCACTTCGTCCCTGAAACCTGAAACAATCTCTGCACGCAAACAGCCCCTTCCACTTCGATTCTCTCTGTGCTTCACACTGCTTCCTTTCCACAACCTTCAACATTCACCCTCCTTCAAATTGACACCACTACATTCTCCAAACACACTTCATCACATCATAACAACCACCGTCAGCATGAGCGCCTACGCCACCCTCTTCGAGAACGCCGCCCGCTTCTCCATCAAGTACATTGGTCCTGAGAAGACCTACGACATCTGCACTACACTAGTCCTGCTCTACGCCCGCATCAAGCAGGCCCACATCGCCATGGCTGCCAGCAGCGGTGTCCCGGCCTTTCTTGTCATTCCGGCCATCGCCAGCATCATCATCTCTCTCACGGCCTCGTCGACCTATCTGCGCATCGGCCCCCCTCTCGTGATGCTGGTCATCCTCCTGCTGGCCATGGACGCCGGCCTCGCCTCCCACGGTCCTTCTTACTAAGATCTTTGACTTATGTCAATTGTTGCACTAAGACCATGAAGCGTCCACACAAGGTAAGCACAAATAAGTCCCCTTGTTGTTACACGTCACTGACCCGGTTCTCAGCGCATGTCTGACTCAAGTCTATTCATCGTCATCAACAGCTGTTCAATCTCAGGTGGAAGGAGAGAAGCGAGATTGAATTCTGAAGTACTACAGATGCAAATGTAGACGGAGGAGCACGAGGAAGGCTCGTTGTCACCAGCAAATATCACTGTCATTTCCAGGATTCCAAACATCTCTCCCTATCGTTGTCGTCGCCGTGAGCACTATAGAAATGCAAAAAGTAGTCGAGATTTTACGTCGTGTCCAGAGAAAGCCTTCATGTGACCACCCTTTCTTTGGAGTGTATGGTGTATGTGGCATATCGTCTTGCATTCCTATGGTCAATCAAAACTCTGAGTATGTGTTTTGGGAGAACGATATGTCCTCCGTTCTGGCCGGGCGAACGAACGTGTGCATATCGGGCTTCTCGTCGATGAGAGTTACTCCGTCTCTGTCTCAGCACTGCCTGACTATACCATAAAAATGCATGATCGAATTTGATTGCACAGCAAGGTTATAAGAGAGCAGTCCCGGGCATGTCCACATGCGGCAGACTCGTCAACAGTGCAGAGGTCGTACCCAACCCTATTCGCAAGTACCATCACAGCACACACCATAAAAAGGCACGATAGAATCAAGAAACATAGTGTCATCCGGAGAAACATTTGAATTTCTTCAACTTCGATGGAAACGTCTCCAACAGCGAACTGCCTCCTGCCTTTCTACAGCACCCCAGCCACGCATCTCTCGACCCTGAGATCCCTTACTCAACAATCTCAAACTTGGCCTTCAGCTCCGGAAACAGCTTTCCCACCTTAGAAACCTTGACATTGGGCTTCTTGACCTCAATCTCCTCAGCAACATCATCGGCAAAGGTAACTCGCTTGACAACACGAGTAGGTGTTTTAGCAGGTGAGTGCACAATCCAAGCATCGTCTTTCTTGATGGGTGTGGTGCGAGGAGCAGGACGAGGAGTGCTGCGTGGAGAAGAGACGTTAACCAGTTTCGCAGCACCGGGCTTGTAGGACCACATCTCGAGGGCTTGAGCTGTGTGATAGCTGTGCTTGCATTAGCGATGAAGAAGTGGAAGTGGAAGGAGAAAAGGTGGGTCTTACACTCTGTTCTCGGAGCCGTGGTGCGAGAGGATGCGGTGGCAGGTTAACTTGTGAGCGCGGCTCAGGTCGGGGCTGCGTAGGAGCAGGCGAGCAACGCGCTGGGAAGAGGCTACATCGTTGGCGGCGAGGAAGTCGGTGGCGCGGACGATGAGGTAGTCGTAGGCTCTGATGTGCGGAGGGGTGTGGCTGTTGTCTGTAGCAGAGCGGTTTGTCATTGTAGAAGTGCCACCCATGCTGGCGATGATTTTTGCTTGCGAGAGAGTTGTTGGAGATGGGCGGCGGTGGACAGTAGTCAAGGATCGAGTGTCATGAGGTACGATGTGTGAAAGTTGGTCATGACATGTTTCGAGCAAACAGACTGCTACAAGTGAAAGTGTGTAAAGGTCAAAGAGGACGAAAACAAATGCCGTGGCGATTTTTCAAATGCTACAGAAGAAATGCTTGATCAAGACTTATACGAAATAGAAGAAAGAAAGATTGACGGAACGTCCTTACGCTCCTCGAGTACCACCTCCTCACACCACACCCTCAATTCACGCGCATGGGCATCTTTAATCTCTGCATCTAGCAAGAGGCACCACCGCTGGGAATGTTCTCGCATGCGGAGGACTTCTTGCCGCCAGTGATAGAGTTGCCGCTCCAAGTCCAGTTGGAGCAAGAGCCCTTGCCGCAGAGAATGTAAATATCGGTGGCAGAGCTTGAGACGGTACCGGTGTTCTTGGTCATGGTCAAGCCAGTACTGTTGAGGATGTCAGTCAGATTGTTTAAGAGACAGAGTCCTGGAGGAATCATGCTTACATTGGGACACCGGTGGTAGGGGTGCCAGTAGGGCTGCCGTTCTCGTAATCCTGCTCGATGACAATACCGTACTTGGTGATGCCGGAGAGGGTGTTGCCGGTATATGTAACGCCTGAAACAGAGCCAGTAGCACCAGAGACAGTCTTGATGCGAAGACCGTTCTGGCTGTTGATGACCTTGTTGTTGGTGAAGTGGACGTTGCTGACAGTGTTGTCAGAGCGGCCGCCAACAGAGCCGACAGAGAGACCGTGGCCACCAGTGCAAGAGCCGCCGGAGAAGGTAATGTCAGCTGGAAGCAAGCGTCAGTGACAAGAAGCAAACGTAGGGCGCTACTAGCAACTTACAGCCAGAGTTGATAGCGACACAGTCGTCTTGGTTGTGGACAACAGCGTTGGTGATGGTGACACCAGTCGAGTCTCCGATGTCGAAGGCATCTGTATCGTGTCAAAAAATTCGTCTAGATCATTTCGAAAGAGGACAATAAGCATACCAGTGTTGTGTCCGAGGCTGTCTCCTGCAGCGCCGTCAATGGTGATGGAATCCATAGTCAAGGTCTTGGCTCCATCAATCGAGAAAGTCTGAACCGGGGAGTTCTTGATGGTGAGGCCGTTGCTACTCTTGGTCAGCCATTGGTCGTTCTCGAGTTAACTGCGGGGCGCGCTTACATGGACGAGGTTGTCATGCTGTGGGCATAGAAGAACTTGGGCTTGGTCTTGCCACCGTTGCTGCCCTTGCCATCCCACCAACGAGCACCATCGCCATCGAGGACACTGCCAGAAGCACCGGTGACGGTGATTGAGGTACCAGAGACACTGACAAGAGGACCCGACCACTCTTTGTAGCCGAAAGTAGTGGTTCCCTCGAAAATGACGTGCGTGCCAGTTTTGAGACCAGTCAGGTCGAGGGTGGTGCCAGCGGGAACAGCAACGTTGTTAAGAACAATAGTGGCGCAGGCAGCCTTGGACTGAGTGGCGGAAGCAGCACCGCTAGAGCCGCTGAAGGTGCAAGTAGTCGCGCGCTTGTCAATGGGAGAGGATGCAGGAGCAGCAGAAACAACGGCGGCACCGCCAATGGCAGCGGCTGCGACAAGAGAAGAGAAGTGCATGTTGAGCGATTGTAGTAGTTTGACAGTAATGTGAATTTGGACGATGAGTAACGAAAAGGTGGTTGAGAAGTGTATTTCAAGACCAGCTTGAGAAAGTTGAGTTGCGTTGCTTGCTCTGTCGATGTCTGGAGGTTATCTCGATACTTATACCATCTTTGTTACGTGCGAAGGGTGAGCCCTATACCATCTTGTTTCGCCAAACGCGGCTCTGCCCTACTGTGTCAGTCTGCTCGCTGTCGGCGACATGCCCCAAAGCCCTCGCCATGGCGTGAAGGCTATAGTTGGATTGGTAGATTTTTCCGTCCAATGGGGAAGGTTGGGAACTCGGCCCAGACTGTTTGGGTCAATATAGCGAGGTCATGTCCTCTGTAGAAGGCCCTTTTCGACGGCAGAAGCTGTCAAAGTTTCTGGACGCCGGACAATGGTGAAACAGAGAGGGGGCGAACAACGAGGTCGAAGATTGCCCGAAGGCATTCAGCCTGAGCCAAGTCCTGCACCATGCGCCAAACAATGTGGGGGAAAACCGTCCGGGGAGCAACCAAATTAATTTGCACCACGCGGGACCTTTTTATCCATGCACTCGCCTATCACATCAAGCCTCGCTAAGCATACCATACAAGCCTGTCAAGTGGAGCTCTGAGCCCTAGCCTAGTGGCCTCGTGTTTGTGGTATAGTGAGACGGCCATCGACGAGATGAGGCGTGCGTGGCATCCAGAGCCTCAGTGGCTGTAGCCCGTCTTGTTACATTGCCCACTGATCTTGCCCTGTACGACGTGATGCAATGTTAATAGTCTCCAGGGCTTCCAGGTCGATTCTCTTGACTTTTCTTACCCCTGAAAACTGTGCTTCTCTTCTACGCATGCAAAGCGGGAGGATGAAGAAGCAACATGCACGGCAACATATGAATCCGGATCCGTTCTTGTGATCAACTGTCGATCGCAGGCTACACTCTAACGTCTAGGGCGTATAATGAACTCTCGATAGTGCACCTCTGCAAAAGACTTCAGTACACTCGTTTGGCGGCGGAAGTCACCATTTTCCACGAGTCGGAGAGCTCTAATTCAACTGTTGTCTCACGGTCTACTCTGTACGGGCGTATTTCAGAGCAAGTGCAACACAAGATTCTGGTTGGACTTGTGTTCAGCGGGCTCTAGTGGATCTCATAGCCCAAGCTGTGTCTCTATAAGTGGGTTTGATTTTGAAATGACATTTCGTAGCGAGTTACTGGTTCTCAATTCAATCTTATGAAGGAGCTACGATACATGATTTGTGCGTTACCACCGCACCCGGCGGCGGCTTCCATTCCCGTGAGTGCTCAGTGGTGAGCGAAAAAAAGATAGTGGGCGACTCCTAGGGCAACCACGCTGATGATTAACCAGCGGCTGGCTTGCACATGCTCACTGCCGTTCAGACCGAACATCTGCGAAATGTTCTGTTCAATGGAGATGCTAGAGCTCGAGGCAGCGCGAGTCGAAGCCGAGACAACCACCGAAGTCGTGGTGATGGTCGTTCCGGCGTGCTTGGTAGTGGTCGAGGTGACTTCCTGGAACTCTGTAGAGGTAGAGGTGACTCCCTGCAAGGCTGTAGAGGTAGAGGTCACGGGAGCAACGACAGTGCTCAAAGAGGTGACGACCACACCGTCGACCTCTGTAGAGAAGATGGTGGAAGTGAATTCGATGGTCTGGACAGCCATGCTCTTCATTTCGAAAGAGGGGTCGTAGTCAGCAGAAGCGGAGGAACCGAAGGCCGGGCCATGAGGCGCAAGGCCAGGCAGAGTGGCAACATTGATTGAAGTGGTCACGGTGTGGAAGACCGTCTTGGTGACTGTAGCAGTCGTGGTAGAGTGCGTGATGTTGTGAGCGCAGACTAGTGCTGTCAGTCTACGCTCGTTCAGCCTTTAGTAGATGATTTGGTTACCTGTGCTGAAAAGAGCAGCCAAAACAAAGGCGAGAACCATGAAAGCCTTCATTGTGAGTTCGGGTTGATGCTGCAGTCTTGTGTGTTATGGAAAGGAAGTGTTGAGATATTCCTAGGCGAATGGTAAGAGTCGCGAGAGTCCGAAGGCAGACAGAAAAGTCGGCGATTGAGAATTCTATCTTGTTGAATAGGGACAAAAAGTGAAGTTAACTTCGTGACTTGGTGTAGCGTTGAAGTTGGGTGCAGCCAGGGAGGGAGATGGTGATAACGGTCCTCAAATGCTCGGACTTGCAAAATCTTGCTCCTCGAAAACCAAGTCCAGCAGCCACCCTAACGCTCTCTTCCATACCTGATATGACTAACAACATGACACTGGGCCTTCGAACGCTTGAGATATGTCACCTTCTGCAAAAAGTCTAATGCCGGCTCCATGATGTCCGCACAAGATGATCGCCTGACACGCTGCAACAAAGCAAGTCTTCTGCAACATAGAGAGAGGGATCTGTCAAGGCAAGAGAAAGACCCTTGAAAGCTTCCAACCACCAGCGTAAGTCATGGTGCGCTGGCGCGTCCAGAGTCGATCGCATGGTCTTTCACGCAAAACCTTGATGTAAACAATAATTCTACACGCCAATCTCGCAGACGAGTAACCTTGTCCAGGCGATAGCAGAGCTTCATTCGCTCCAACTAGGAGCCAAGAACAGAGATTCAGCATGGTATCGGCAAGGTAATCCTTCGACGAAAAAGTTTGACGAGTGACCGAGTCGCTTTCCGGGTGCTTAGGACTTGCGCGAATGATCCGCTTCTACACCCGCCCATGACGTGCAGCAGCCAGAGGGGGCCAGGATAGCGATCTTGAAGACTCCTGAACCGAGTTTTGCTCTTGTTTCAAGGAATACATTCCTCGAGAGTTGGGCCCTCATGCACCATCGCGACACACCTTTGGTGCTCGAATCGACCATCAGACAAACACAAGACATCCTTGCAGACAAGCAGTAAGCAGAAGGAACGACCTCGACCGACAAAAGCGATCTGAGGTTATTCTTGCCGACGACTACGATAACGAAAGCTCGAGACAGGAAGTCGCAGGACAAGGTGTCACTGTCGTTCCTTCCTTCACCGCCCGGCAGTGATCACCTGTTCACGAACGCGACCCATCCAAGATCATCCTCAGGCCGAACACACATGAAACCAATCAAAGGGCGGGATAATGTCAGACAAACACCTGGGAGGACGAAGCTTGAAAATTTGCAGGCAATGCTGCCATCAAGGTGCTGTGGAGCAAGTCCTCCGTCCTCAACAGCTCGTCATCCAGAAACAGCAACACACGCGGCACCTCGTCGAATTTGAGCGACTTGCTGGCCACTCATAGCGTAGCTTAATCACACAATAGTTGACATTCGATTGGCAAGCATCGCGCACAGATAATATTCTTGCCATCAAGGTAGGCACCTCAGCTCGTAGTCGCCGAGAATAGAGGCAAGTAGCCAATCATGGGCTAGCAGAAATCATCAAGGTGGTCTTCCCAAATCGCACAAAGGTCAGCATTTATAGCGACTTTTCTTTTGTTCCTTCGACAACATGGCTCTTAAACGCAAGCAAAACTCACAGCAGTTGTCATCGGCGAAGAAGAAAGCCAAGCACGCAAAGATGGCCCAACAAGTCAAGGAAGCATCTCCGTTTAAGACCCTTCCCATTACGCTGCTCTCCGGCTTCTTGGTGAGTTCAAGTTACTGTTGTTCACACCAACGTTATCTGACTTTCGTGCAGGGAAGCGGCAAGACAACATTGCTTAGCTACATCCTCAATTCGAAAGACCATGGACTGAAGATCGCTATGATCGTCAACGATATGGCTGCTGTGAATGTTGACCAAGGCATCATCGTAGCAGACGGCAAGAAGAAAGGTCGTGAAGCAGAGAAGATGATCGCCATGCAAAACGGCTGCATCTGTTGCACGCTTCGTGGCGACTTTGTCATCGAACTGGCCAAGATGGCTAAAGCTGGCGAATATGACTATGTCTTGATTGAGAGTACTGGTATCAGCGAGCCGCAGCAGGTAGCTGAGAGTTTCACCACCGATTTCACCGAGGCAATGATGGGTGCCGATGGAGCACTTGATCAGTTCGACGAGGAAGAGAAGAAGGTCTTTAACGAGATGTGAGTGGCCCACGAACAGCTTTGATCGATACGGTGTGGTCCTGACAGGTTGAAGCGCTCAAAATGGTGGTTTGAACAAGGTCGCCAAACTCGACACCACAGTCACAGTTGTGGATGGCTTCAGATTCTTTGAGGAGTTCGAGACCATCCAGCTTCTTCACGAACGCTTCCAGTCCGAGGTCGAAACTCCTGAAGATCAAAGAACCGTCAGCGACTTGATGATTGATCAAATCGAGTTCGCCGATGTGATCATTGTGAACAAGGCAAGTAGCGGTTTGTGCAAGGATTTTGGTATGTCATTAACGATCCATAGATTGACATGATCAACGACGATGTGCTTGCTCGCATTCGAGGCCTCCTCAAGACCATGAACCCGGGAGCTAAAATCATCGAGACTAGCCTCCGAGCTTCGAAGCAATCTGAGAATCCCTACGGCGTCAAGCCTCTAGACGTCAGAGAAATCATCGCAACAGGCATGTATAGCGAAGAGACCTCTATCAAAAGCTCAGGTTGGCTCAAGAGTATCAACGAAATGTCTATGATTGATAATCATGGTCGCACCGTTATGGCACCCAAGCCAGAAACACTCGAGTATGTGACGACCCTAAACGACTTGCCTTCTCAGAATATTGACATTGCATCAGATATGGCATAAACAGCTTTGTCTACCGAGCAAGGAGACCATTCTCACCCGGTCGACTGTACGAGCTCGTGCATGATAAGTTTGTCATCTTGGAACCTCAAGACGAAGACGAGGAGGAGGAAGAGGAAGAAGAAAGCGAAGATGAAGCAGCCGGCACCCAAGACGAAGAAGACGCAGAGCAAGACGACGCAGCCAGTGACTCCGAAAGCGATGAGAAGGAAATCGAACAATCTTTGGAAAGCAAGGCGTCGCGACCAGACTCAGAAGCACACTCCTCAGACTCTTCGAGCGACAAGACAGCCTCTGAGACCGACGCCACTTCCGTGGCTTCAGACGATCAGGACGCGCTCGACACCAAGTACCCAGACCTTGATCTACCAACTCGTCTGGCCAACAAAAAGGCCCACCCTGTGTTCAAGCCTCTCCTCCGCTCGAAAGGTTTCATCTGGCTAGCCACGCGACCCTACGTCAGCGGTGACTGGTCTCAAGCTGGCGCTATGCTCACTGTGTCCGGTGGCCTGAATTGGTTCGCTGTTGTCCCAGAGGAGCAATGGCCCTCTCCCAGCCAAGAAGTTACAGACTTGATCAAGAAAGACTTCGAAGGAGAGTGGGGCGATCGCCGCCAGGAGATTGTGTTCATCGGTGAGGGCATCGACGTCAAGGCCATCACAGAACTATTTGATGGCTGTCTCTTGGATGACGCAGAAATGAAGAAGTGGGAGAAGACCATGAGAAGAAAGGGCCTTACGAATGAGCAAAGAGAAACACTTCTTTGCAGGCACTTTGATGATGGATGGGGGGAGTGGCGCAACCCTCTTGAGGAGGAAGACGCCGAAGGTCACGATCATGCAGGCCATCACCATCATTGAGAGCACGCTCGCATCGGTTTGAGGAAAGTACGAAAAGCATTGTATGGTTAGAGACACATTTGCACACATGGAGAGTCGAGAAGATAGGGGGAAAAAAAGATTTATTGATGTGAGATCTCAGACTAGAATTCGAAAAGAAACTTACCATTCAAAGTCAGACCTGGCGCCAAACACCGAACGCCCAAGTACTCGAATCTGTGAAGTTGAGTTGTTCTTAAGGGTGTCTAGTACCATTTCTTGCAGTAGTAGCAGTACCAGAGAGTGTCAGCATTGTATGGAACAAAGACACAAGGCATACCACAAGTTCTGCATCTTGGAACATTAGCAAAGCGATCACTAAGAGTGATGTCAGTGGTGGTGATGGAGGTGTTCTTGCTGCACATTTTGTTAGTGTGTTAGAGTGCTTAGTTTGGGTTTGAGTTTGTTTGTTTGTTGGTGTTGAATTGGTAGTGTTGGATCTGGTCTGCATAATATCAGATGGAGTCCCACTATATATAGACAATCTTTTGGGTGGCTGTCCTGGTGAAGCGGCTCGAACGAGGTATCACTGAGACAATAGACTTGTTTAGTGAACAAAGAGACACAAGACAAACGGTCTGAATTATGAATGGAATCCTTGTAAAGTTCAAAGAAAGTGCATATGATACCAAAGGGTTGAAAAGACAATGACTTTCCAAGTGCGAGTGCAGCGGATGGGTCTTTCCGACTATACTGTAATGCTTGTGAGGAATTGGTAGAGTGAGTGATCGAGCTGTGGAAGGGCTTCCTGATGCCAACCGAAGTTGTGCTCTGTTCAGAAGAAGCAGCCAGCCAGCTGTTGCCAACGGGCGTCTATCTGTTGGGAAAGTCCTCCTCCGCAATTGCTCCTCCTTGCTTTTGCACCTGCCACTCTCTCAGTCAACGAGAAAGTTGAGAATGCAATTGCCCATACTGACATTGTTTTCATGTGAAAGCTTCTCTCATCGTCAGGTCATCTTTGCGTGAGCGCATCGCAGCTGCATTGGCCTCAGTCACCCAATCGTCGACCTTCTTAAGAACACGTACGCCATGATGCCATATAACGTGCCGGACGTCCCACGACCGAACAAATTTCAGAAATGGCTTCTACTCGCTTCGATAAGCATTGTGAGGCGGTTTCGCAACCGTACTGGCAGTGTACTGATGCTGACCAGCGATCTCTGCGTAAAATATGGTAGCCGCCTCGATGTCGTCGAGGCACAAACCATGCTCTTCATCGCCAAGCACACCAGTATCCCGGTCCCCAAGATATATTTTGCTTTCACCGACGAAGAATGCACTTACATTCTGATGGAAAGAATTCACGGTCACTCGGCTTCTAGAGGCTGGGTTCGCAGGTCTGATGCTTCTAAACAAAGAGTTCTTGAGGCCTTGAAGAAGATGGTTCTTGAGATGCGCGGTTTGATCTCTCAAAGCAATGCCATCTGTAGCGTAAGCGGAGGCTCTCTGTACGATATGAGAATACCAATGAACACCAGGCGATTTGGTCCTTTCGACAACGTGCAAGAGTTTCACAACCACCTGCGCAACGGCAAACAAACATCAAGCAACTCCTGCGACGAATACCTGAGATTATTTGAATTACACTCTCATGACTGGAGCAGCCCTACCTTCACTCACGGGGATCTCAGCAGTCTCAATATTCTTGTACGCGGAGACGACGTTGTTGGTATCATCGACTGGGAGACCGCTGGGTGGTATCCCCCGTATTGGGAGTACACGACAGCCTGCCAGGTCAATCCACGAAACCCATTCTGGAGAGATGAGATCGAAAAATTTCTAGAAGAAATGCCGGAAGCACTTGAAATGGATCAACTCCGACAAAAGTATTTCGGAGATTGGTTCGGATGAGATCAAAGCACTGCTCCTACTTGATTGTTTCCTTTCCTTGGATCAGATCAAAGGTCGGAATTCGCGAAGTGTCGACATTTGTCGTGCCGTCAAAGCGATGCTCATCTCTCTTTCGCTGGCAATAGGACATAGCTGCACTGCGAACAGCTTCCCAGTCAAGCACGCTCGTACCCATGACGTTCGTTGCCGCTTGGAGTACCGAAAGCGCCTCTTTGATCCACAAAACACAATTCCAGCCCTGCTGTTCCTGCCTGATAGGTATCTGCTGCAATATTTGAGCAAGTCTGTCTGTGTGTTCAATTTTGCCAATCAGGATTCGAATCAGAATCATCTGCATCGGTGCCATAGTAGCGGGCTTTTCTTCAAGCACCTAAGCAGATCTGCCCTCGCGGGTTATATGCTCCCGAGCGTGATATTGAACACCTTCATCGTCGGCTTTGTCGCTCTTGGGTCCCACTAGCAGAGCCCAATGGTATCTATGACCTGATCAGCCAGCTGTTTCCTTCCTGACGACCCTGCACACTCACGTGTCCTCTTCTCCGGGCATTTTAGCAGCACCTCCTCGAACATAGAGAGCTACGTATAGTCGAGCTTTGTTGGATGGCATTATCGGCGTTTAGAGCGGTATATTGACGCTAGTCACAGGTCTGATGCACGTGGCTGTTTTGCTCGGTTCAGATCTGAAGGACAGCTGAGCCTGATGGCGACCGTGTCTTATGCTTATAGCACGCTTGATGCAGCCAATCTGGAATATCGCTTGGCTTTATGATGAGCGCTTGCTAAGCAAGGGGTTTGACGAGGGTCAAGCCAATTCGAGCCGAAATCGTCTGTTCGTCTGATGTGCGTCTTTAAATCACATCTTTTTGAGCACGTTTGCGTGTCAGCCTTCCATCTCGAATTTACGCGCCGCCCCGAAGAGGTACGTGAGGATGACCATCCGGATATATCGGCATTAAGTAAGCGCCAGCTGCTCTAAGCGCGATTGAGACGCAGGAATCAGGTGAGACGATCAAGAGTTGAACGAATATCTCGCGGTGAACCACATTCAGAGCAGGATTTCTTAGATACTACCTACTCGGTGTCATGACGCCGAGACCCAGAACCTCTTAAAACGGACATACCTTTCTGGTCTCAGAAAATGGCTCAGACTGAAATTGTATTGATCATCGAAGCCAGTGTCCTCATCAAACAGAGCAAGTTTCATCCGCTCCAAGCCGACATTGAGTTGGACGAGCCTATCAACGCTGCATTCGAGATTGCTCGGTCACAATTTGGCCGTGTCGATGTCTTGATTAATAACGCAGGTACAGCCCACGGACTCGTACACTGACTGCTGTTTGCCAACACGAACATAAACCACAGGAGGTTTGTCCGACAATTCAAGTTGTTTGACGAGTTAGGCGGTCCGAACATCTGGCCTAAAAACTTCGATGGCAGGGCTCTGATTGCTCAAAGCTATCACGATCATATCGATGGAATATCTATCGAAGAGATCCGCAAGTCACACGCCGAGGCAAAATGAACCCCTCACCTTGGCTTCGATCAAGAAATCAGAAGAGCTGCGATTTGGGCAGGCACTGGAGTTGGTCTCGTACGCAAGAAAGCGCCTGCCTCTGAAATTCTCACAGAAGTCCGTCAAGCTGCAAAGACGGCATTGGAAAGAGCAATGACAGTTATAGCTTGAGGCAAGTACGTTCTCGCAACTTGGATTGCGTAACATGAGTCATGATTCAATGATAGGTAGATATTATATGCTATCAGTCCAGAAACAAAGACGAACAAGAGGTCTCTCAGGTTCGACGTATATTCTAGGTAGACTTTGAGGGGGTCGCGTATTGTATCTTGTGCATCGTCTGCGCTCAAATATTGCCAACGACACCCTTAGCGAACTGAGCAGCAGGAGTAGTATCCTCAAAGGAATAGGACAAGTGAGCAGCAGAGATAATAAAAGCGCCATTGCAGACGCCATCGAGAAGATTGCAGTAGACCTTGGTACGACCAGCGTCGATGTTTCTGAATGGGATCCTCTGGAGCGGGTCGCCGAAAGTAAGAGCAACCTGAGCATTGTCAGCGATCAGAAGATAGTCATTCGAGGTGATAGAAACTTACAGAGACCTGTCCCTTCTGAAGGTTCATAAGAGCGCCATGCACTTGCTCAGCACCCTGCGAGTAGCCGGCAAGAATAATCTTGGTATCAGGACACTTGCTCAGAGCCTGCTGAGTTAAGCTAGCCATGGTACGGGCACCCTGAGCAGAGCCAGGATTGAGAGCACCGCTAATAGCGCCAGCAACATCAGCAGGATATGTGACACCCTGAGTAGCAACATTGTTGCCACCAAAGGCAGACTCCAGGGCTCTCTGAAGAGCTGGGCCGACCGTGGATCCCATGTTGCCGAGTTCGGTGGTACCACGAGCGAAGATGTAAGTCACGGGCTTGCAAACACCGTCGATGACATCGTTGCTGGTTAAGCTGCCGAGACCACCGCCGAAGCTTGGGAAGCCGCCCAGCTGAGGAGCAGCAAGAGGTGCTGCGAAAGCGCTGGTCGCAGCAAGGCAAGCAACGAAGAAGGATTTCATCTTGCAAGGGTATGTGTTCGTTGATGATCAAGCGAGGGACAGATTGAATGAGTGGCTGAGGAGAATGACAGTCTCAGGCTGAGAAGTCCAGGAGGTCGATGAGCGTCAGTCCACACAGGAGACGCAGTCAACCTTTATACAGTAAGTCTTCGTTGGCAAGTTGCGATACCGAGGCACTTTTTCGATATACAAGATATTGTTGCAACGCCATGGCGGGCCGGTGGTAGCATCGTGTATGAGCCAAGATCGGGTTCACACTCATTGACTGAATATACAACTTGACAAGCGCGTTCTTGAGATTTCCATGGCAGCTAGGTGCATATCCAAGATATTGGCTTCTTCGCTTGGGCTTGGCCTAGAGATTGTAGCGGGGCGAGGTAGAGGAGCGTGACAGCAGGAAATAATGGCAGGGCGAACTCTAAATCTTCGTCGTGGGAGAACTCGAAGTTCCGAGGGCGTTGAAGCGAGGTGAGTTCATATGGTTTATATGCCAGATCTCGCAGTCACTTATTAGACGGCTATCATACTTACCCATGGCATTTCTGGGTGACAGACAACTGAAGTTCATGTGAAGAAGCCCTGATGTCTTTCTGATACTGCACCACTGCGAGCGCTATGCATGCCTGAAACGTGGAGTTAGAGAACAGCATGTCTGTTGGCCAAGATGAAATCGCAGGCTGGTCAGGATCGTCAATAAATACGAACAGCGCCATCGACAGTTTACGGATGTTCCTGCATTGATCAATTTGCAATCTTCCCAGTCGTCGATCTGGGGATGTGATTCTTGTTGGGAGCTCATAGGCCTTTCTCCGACACACGAAGGTCAGGAGGAGTATGGTAGGAGTTCACTAAGTGATTAGTATGTAAGTAGGACCAGAAGCTGCATAGCTTGGTCGTTCAATTAGTACAACTTTAAGCGAAGTCCGTCTTTTTGTAGAAGGAACAGAAGTGCTAGCGATGTCAAGGCTTGTCGTCGTGTCCTGAAACACTGGCGGAAGACATGACAGCCTCGGTCCAAATGGTTCAGAGGTGTGAGTATTAAAGCCTTTTACTGTGTCCTGCTAACCACAGAACCAAGGCTCTAGCAATACGGGCTTTGAATGTCGATCCTCGTGGGAGCAACGGACGTAAGTGTCGACAAAGGCAGGTGGCTGGGAAGGAAGCTGCCCTCAGGAACGATCCGTGCCTCGGTTCGAAACTTTCGCAAGTCGCGACGTCGACACTAGAGGTTTTCATCCACCAATAAATACCTATCAGAACTGGAAACCGGTTGGTACGACATAAAGCAGCTCGTCGCGGCGCACTTAATCAGGAATGGTACACTCGACTTGCGGCTGCCGGCTTGAACACCGCGACATTTTCGTCGTGGACAGCCCGGACGCCAGCCAGACCGCAACAAATCAATCTTTCTTAATCTGCTTTTACTTTGAGGTGCCCCACTGATACAGTATAACAGACAACCAGTTTGGGTATCCTGCATCTATCATATTGCATGTATAAGAGAGTTTCCTACCCGACAGATCAATCTTGATTAATTTACTCTCCTCTGAAAAAAGGCTCCACTGTCGTAGTATGATGGGTAACCGCTTTTGGTATACCGCATGCCTATATGTAAAAGACTTTTCACCTCAGCCCAACCAGTCCCACCTCTATATTGCCCAGAAAAAGCTCCAGATCTGTGCAATCACGATAAACACACACCGCTATCATCTTTTGCATAAGAGTACTGTGGGATCCTCCCAATGGAAAGCTAAACCACTATGCGGAAACGGAAGCTATTACCATTATCTTTGGCATGATCAAGCAACAAGACTCGGCGCAGAAACGTCTTACCGATTATAGGTAGGTTGTGAGTTGTCCCCATTCCAAAGGCTTGATCGATGCCATCATGTCAAGTGCCTCACACACACATGTACACTCGTATTTGAAAACACACAGAGCATACAGAAGACGAAGACGAAGACGAAGAGGAACCATGACAGAAAAAACAAGTTCATAAATTAGCCAAAAGCCACACTAACAGACTGATCTACCCATCCGCCCATTCCAAGCCATCCCCTCCTGAACTTTTCCTATTATCCTTTTCGCCCAATTTTTGTTGTCAATTGACAAGAGCCGAAGAAAGAGTCCGTCCCACCTCTAGTTAAGAATAATACTACAACAGTCCTTTTGCCATCCCATTGTCACCTCAGACCCGAAAAAAGTAAAACCACACCGAAAAGAGAAAGAAGACAACAGTAAAGAGCCCGACATGCTAGAGAGGAACCGGGAAAGGGAGCAAGGGTAAAGATAGAGGTCGTAGAGGGGTCATCGAGAAGAGATGCTGATGCTGAAATGTGAGTTTTCTGTTGTTGATGAGTGTCGTTCGTCGAATCATTATCCATTCGTCGTCGAAGGAGGAAAAAAGAAGGAGGTATCATGTGTGAAAGCAGAACAGATCATCCGAGAAAGGTGCAGAGCATACCAACGTCCCGAGAGCAGAAACCAAGAAAGAAGAAAAGCACAAGACCATCATCCAAGCCAGAAACAGAGAAGGGAGCGAAGAAGGCGGACGTTCCATCTACTTCTTCTCCTTCTTCCCCTGCTTAGATCTGCACATCCCACAAGCCCCAGCCCCAATACTCATCGAACAAGGAACAACAGGACAACCTTCCTTATCCCAAAGGATATGAACGCCAAAGTCTCTACCAGACTCTCCGTTCATAAAACTGAGCACCTTTTCTTGTTGCTCGAGAGAGTCTTGAGAGCGCACCAAAGTCAAGAATTGGGTGGGAGAGACTGGCCAGTTGCGGCCTCTGGACTTGGCTTTGCCGTTTGAAGTCTTGCTGCGTTCGCGGACGAGGGCATCGTTGAGGACGAGGTAGGCTTTCACGTGCGTCCAGTGGTGAGAACGATTGTTGTCGCCACGGTTCTGCTTACCGTCACCGTTCTTGCCGACCGTGCACTGACTCTTGGGGTTTTCAGGGTCGAGACGGTGATCCCACAAGTAGCAGTGGAACTTTGACTCTCCCGAATGAGTGGTCTCGTGCCTCTTGCAGTGCTCCGATCGACCAAACTTCGAGTTGCAAGTCTTGCATTTGTGCATTTTCTTGCCCGCGCTGAAAGTCTTCTTGTCCTCTTCATTGAGGCCATGGAAGATCTCCGACTGTTCATCGGTGAAGACGGTGATCGAGGTGTTCGAATTGGAGACTGCGACACTCTTGCAAATTGAGCGACGTTTGTCAGCTTTTGACATCTTCCGACCCTTCTTGCCTAAGCTCGAGCGGGAAGCATGACCATAGAGAGAAGAGGAAGGAGAGATCTCGGGCTTGACATAGGAGGAGTCAAACGAACAGTCAAGGGTTGAAGGAGTTATGGGAGAAAACTCTGGAGGTGAGGAAGAGTGCAAGATGTTGCTGTCATGCACAGGGGTGTGCAAGCCGCCCCAGCCGGATATGCTCATGTCGTACTCGATGATATTCGGTGCTTGATGCACGGCCTGGCTAGGCGCGATGCAGATGGGAAGGTCCTCGTGATGAGACGATTCAACGTCGGTCATGAACGACGCTGAGGTGTCCTGAGATGGCAACATGAACAGGGAGTTCGGATCAGGAGCATAGTCGACATTTGAATGGTAGCTCATTGTCGAGCTGTTCCAGTCCTGGTCAGTCGACAACAATGCTGAGCTATCCTGGTAGAACGAAGTGTCTACTTCAGGCTTCTGTCCAAATGCCATCGGCGAGTTCCATGCTGGCGAGTTGCAGGCAGTAGTATAGTTCTGCTGACTCTGGGTGAAGTCGACAGGACTCGGAGGAAATTGATTGAAGGTAATCTTCATCTTGTCGGACGGCAACACGTTGTAGACGTCCTGACCAGAGTAATGAACTGGCGTGTTCGGATGGTATGTCGACAAAGGTGTGTGATGGAAGTTCATGTCGTAAGAGCTACGACGATTACTGTTGGCTGACTCAGGGGGCGAGATTAAAGCCGACTGCCCATTGAATGCGTTGGTGTCAATAGACAAATTGGCAATACGGCGGTGAGCCATATGGAAAGATGCTGTAGAGTCCATGATTAGTATCGTGTGATGGATTGGTAAATTCCACACTCAAGACCCGTTGAAATGTGGCTTGCAATCAAAGAAAGGAGACAAGAGGGTGAAGAGAAGGGATGAAAGCACGTTGCTTATATCTGCTTCGACGTACCATCATACAGTTTCTCGCTCCTCATGATGGTTGGCTGGCAAGTCAGTGGCTTGTGTAACAAGTGTGTGAATGAATCAGTGGGCCTGGGTTCTGAAGAGTTCGAGCCTATCGATGCTGAGGGCACGGCTAAGCTAATTTCCAAAGGTGAGGCCGCTCGATCTGGATTGGAATGTGACTGCAAGGGACGCGGTTGACAAGTAGGGCCCTGAAGAGGAATGCACCCAGGTACAAAGGGTCCAACGAACGTACACCCTCAGGATGACGAGAGGGTATGAAATGAAGGATGGGAAACACACAATATTGGTTTGTGCCTGTATCAGCCCTGCAGTAAAGTTTGAAGAGTGCTGTAGGAAGGAGGGACTTTGACTTTTCGCCTCTGCAGGGACTCTTTATGTAGAATCTCCAAAAGCTATTACTTCCTCACCGATTGACGGCTTCCATCATCACAGCTGAGGCAAGTATCATCGAAACAGAATTGACTGGATCAGACGTGCACGTCTCCACTAGGCGCCTACCAGTTTAGAGAGTCCCAGAAAAAGCCGCATAGCAGGAATGATCCTCAGATCTTCCAGAGGCTACCCGGCTTGCAAGAGAGCTGATGCTGAATGTATGGTGTGCGGTACTGTGTGGTGTGTGGCACCATGAAATGCAAAGCAACACTACGCACAGACGAAGGGACCAATTCTTCGAAATCTGGTAGAAGAATTGCTTGGACGATGCGCGCTTGATTCTCTGTAGACGTCGTCTCGACTTGCTGCTGTAGAGTCTCTTGATCTACACAGGGGCTCAGGCGCGATCGACGGGGACACAACAGCTTGTCTGGCATTGTCCAGATTGAGAAGACACGGATGCTGGCTGATTTGTTTCTGACATAGTCCCAACAGCCAATTTTCTGTTACCTGCCGTGTGTCTTTGCTATCTTTGGTGCGGATCCCAGCAGGTGTCAATGTAGGCAGCCCTCTTTCAACGACTAGAGTCAATCTTTTGATCCAGATATCCACCTGATGAGATGTAACAACCAAGACATATTCATTGATAAGAAGCATCTGCTCTGTCATTATTGATGGTCCATCACGGGACCTGTCGTTCAGCGGCTCGAGTTGTGGCCCGTGATTTGTGTAACACGGAGAGACAAGGATTTGGATTCTCCAGCCGGGATCAATCGCGCCACCACAAAAATGACATCCATCAGCCGCAGCGTCCTGCAAGTCTGTTGCGCAGATTTGATGTGCAGAGCATTCCATCATACAACCGACGTAGACCAGAGTTTGAGAAGGAAGTTTGACCCGGTTGTTTGTCGACAACTCGAAAGCCATGCACATATTGACAGACGGCTACCAGCATCATGAACCGCGCGCGTCGCTTTGTTTTTTCGGGATAGACGCGGATAAATTGTCTCAGGAATGGAGAAACGATGCAAGTCATGAAGTTGTTCGTCTTGTCAGGAACAACCATGGGTCGCACCTGCGTAGTGGCTGGTGCGGGAGAGCGAAAGCAAGTGAAGTGGACAGGAAAGAGGCTTGACTTCGGCATCAGGAACCCATCCAGTCAATTGGCAAGTCAGGCACACCCACACCGCTCGCAACGACACCCTCAGGCAAGCGGGGATGATGACTGAGGATGCGGGTTGCTTTTTGCCAAAGTCCGATTTGCAGGAACCAAAAAGGCACGACAGGAAAGATACGATGTATCTGCAGGTCCCATTCTCTAGAGCCGTTGAATGGACTGCAGATTGCATAACAGTACAGCGGCTGCACGTCAAGGTTAGGGAAGACATTGCGAAGATTTAGGAGAGTGCCTGTAGAGATAGGTAGAAGCTATTGCTTCTTCCCCTCAAGTGCGGTGAGCAAGCTGAGATGTTTCAGGTGCTGCGACCTGCAAGCCCAGCATTTTAGCCTGATCCTTCATGGAAGCTATGCCTAGATCTCCGTCAAGGTCGCAATCGGAAGGCGTGCTGCGCATCCCCCAGGAATGGGTGATGTTGTTGCTGCGGTACGGCTCTCAGACTCCGTGTGACGTTCATTCCATGAACGAGGGCCAATGTAACAATGACATGGGTCAGAGAGAGGCTGGTGTGAGATGGCGATGTCGTTTTTTCGATAAGGATGGGAGCACACGATGTTCACGGCAAAGTGGGAGACTTACCGTCATGTTTCTGGCACTCCGTGTTGCCCAGTCAAGCCTCATCAACCCAATACAGGCATGACAGTCTTGGTTCGCGAAGTCAAGCCTCCAGACGATTTGCACGCTGATACACCACTTTGGAGCCAAGACAGTATGATAGAATGCAGGATACATACATAGAAACGCATTGTAAGCTCCTCACAGCTTCGAGCGGCCGACCACACTACCACCGTCAATGACGATGTGGGCGCCGTTCAGATGACTGGCTGCCCTTGAACAGAGATAGACGACAGTGCCAGCAACATCTTCAGGCTTGCCTAGCCTCTTGTTGGGGTTTGCATCAGCCAGGGCCTGTACACCACCAGACATGGCCATCAAACCATTGGCCATTTTTGTTGGGAAGAAGCCGGGTGCAATGCTGTTGCAGAGAATGCCTCGGGGACCCAACTCGACGGCCAGGTTACGAGTCAGATGAAGAGCTGCGGCCTTGGAAGCGCTGTATGCTGGGGTTGCATTCTCTCCCAACGAACCAATTCCAATACCTGCAATAGATGCTGTGACGATGACACGAGAGGGGTCTGTCAATGAAGCCTTCTTCTCGAGCAGCGGGGCGAATCTGGAATTGACTGGTTAGCTGATAGGCAAAACATGAAGCTTCCTGGTCTGCTCACTTCTGAATGCAGTAAAAGACACTGTTGACGTTGAGGTCCATGACCTTGGCAAAGGCCTCGGCGGGGTGCTTGTCGAAAGGAGCACCCCAGGTTGCTCCAGCGTTGGCAAACAAGATGTCAACGTGATCTGTGTGCTTCTTGACTTCTGCTACCAAGCGTTCGATCTCTGCAACCTTGGAGATATCGGCTGGCACCGAGATGGCCTTGCCCTTGATGCCGGGCAGCTTGTTAAGGGCATCGCATGCTTCCTCGCATGCCTTGGCCTTGCGTGAGGAGATGAAGACTTTGGAACATCCGGCTTGGAGGAGACTGTATGCATGTGACTCGGTCAGACAATGAGACAACGACAGGTGTAACACATGGCTACCCACCCTGATGCGGCGTGGAGACCGAGACCACGAGAACCACCAGTGACAACAGCCACCCTTTGGTTCAGGGAGAAGATGGACGAGAAGTCCTCGAGCTTGACATCTGCTTCGGCTGACATTTTGGATTGATGTTGTGATGTTGGTTGTGAGAGGCTTCGAGCTGGAAATATGTCAAGTCGGATGCCCATCACAGTAGCGGACCTCGGGATGCGGAGGGACAATAATGCGGAGACCAATCATGCCGAGGCACCTTGGTATGTCTTGACGCTTCTTTGCTGATGTGAACACCCTGCCTCCGATCATCATGCTAACTCTCTACCTGTGCTTGATGCATAGGCACTTGATCTGAATCATGTAATACTCGGTTAGCATTGTGCTTATTGTGATGCTTTGTTGCGCGTTGTACTTTCAGTAGTCGAGACTACCTAAAACATGAGCAGATGACTATGAAGCTTGCCATCCGCTTCGTGTCAGATACGTGCCTTTTGTATGCAATCGACATCAGAATTAAACATAAATTCTCCGAGCTTTTCTCTATGTACAAAACTCTCGAAGCTCAAGAGAACGAGAGCTCCTGAGCTGTCCAGGCATATACCGCAGACGCCTGTCTTTGTCCCCGATCTGAAGAACAAGAATCAAAACTATCTCGTACGAGGGTATCAAGAAGCTTCCATCCACCAGCTGCTGTGACAGCGCCTTCCAAAGTTCCCCATGACTTCGTTCTATCATGTCAAGACCCAAAATACAAAGGAAATTGAACTCCGTTAAAATGCGATAATATCTTTCTTTCTCGTCCGATCGTGGCAGCACACCGTCTCCTGCAGCGTGCTCGAAGGGGGCCACTAAGAATGAAGCGAGTCAAACTCGCCACTTTTTCTCAGTGCCTGCCCGTCTTATTGAAGCTGAGACGCTCATGTGAGACCTTTGCTTTTCCATTCTGCCGCGGTGCATCCTCTTCGTCACTTTCGGCCAAGTCGCCGAGGCTGAAACCGCCATTGGTGGCCTCAATATCGTAGTTGTGCATCAAGGCTTCTCGGTCACGATCACCAGATCTTCTGCCAGCAAACGACAAGTTGAGGCTGTTCGAGCGGCGGTGTGCATCGGAGCTACGGCGGGCTTGCATAGAGCGACGGGTCAGAGGACCAGACATAGGATCTGTGGGAATGCCATCAAGGTCGTAGCGGCTGCCGTTTCCGTTCAGTTGCATATGGCCGTGGCCTTCGGGGTCTTCGCGCGACAGATTGAGGAGATAGACACCAGTGAAGATTGTGAGGAAACCACAAAGGAGCGAGATTGTGTTGACGGCATCGCTGGTGTTGAAGCCTTGGAAGAGGATGAAGGATGCGACAAGGGTGCAGGTGGTGAAAGTGACGTAGTATAGCGGGTTGACACTAGGCTGGTCAGCAGAGATTCAGTATTTTTGCAAAAGACGGGCGTACATGTTAGTGTTGAACTGGCTCAAAGCTTTGTTGAAGTAGTTCATCTGCGTCAGAATGCAGACAACCGTGACAAGGATGAAGACGTATGTGCTGGGATGGGTGAATTGGTTGTAACCAGCAAATGTCAACTTGACGGCGATACCGACACCCTTGACGGCCATGATGGAGACGGAACCGACTGTGCTGCAGATGGAAATGTAAATCAGCGGGTTCTTGCGTCCGTAGCGCGGGCATATGCGGTAGATCATGACAGTCGAGAAGACGATGACCAGAATCACGTAGAAAAGGAAGCCTGTCCCAAGTCAATCGCTGCGTTCGGACCAAGCTCTTTGAGATGGCGCGACTCACCAGGTTGAACAGCGTAATTGAGAATCTCATCAATCGTCTGCACCTCTTTATCCGGTGGGGCGTGTAGCACAATGACGACGGATCCGATCAGACAGATTGCGCATCCAAGTTTGCCCAGCGTGCCCAAGTTCTCGCCGAGGAAATATGATCCTAGTACCGCTCTGTATGCGCCTTGTCAGCGTGCTTGTCCATATGTGTATATGCGCTTCCGACTCTTGACTGACCCAATGAGTACACTGAGGGCTCCTAGCGGCGTTACTAGAATCGGCGGTGCGAATGCGTATGCTGCAAAGTTGGCAACTTCGCCAATAACCACTGTATGGCGTGAGTATGTTGTTCGAGGTGTAGAAGATGGTTGAACGGCGTACTTGTGATGATTCCAGACCACCACACCGGACTCTTCAGATATGCGAAGCCTTCTCCTTCAAAGCCATGTTGTTGACTCGCTTGCATCAAGCCTTTTTTTGTGATTACGAAACTCGTGCCTTGATCGAATTAGCGGTCGGAACGGCATTGCTAGAGTGTTGGGCGCATTACCTATCGCAAGCGTAGAGGCGACGGCTAACGCCAGTCCGATATACCTGGGAAGAGAAATGTCAGCGACATGATTGCCTGTGGGCGTAAGCAGGGGAGCGCACTTGTCTTCGACCATGGCTGGTCTGTTGGGTGTGTGTGCTTGACTCGACGAGTTGCGATGATGGAGAAAGCGGGCAAGGCGGGACAAAGAAGAAGCCGCGTCGGATTGGAGTCGAAGCAGCTTTGTGCCCACTCGCTTGTTTGTTGTATTCGTCGGAGAGGGGATTAGGCGTAGAGCAAGGGCAGGCAGCTGTCGAAAAGTCAAAGGGGTTGGAGGTCGCAACAGGGTTGCTTTGAACCGTTGAAAGCTTCCACTGGACGATTATGACTTGTCCGATCCCTGTGACTTGTGACGAGAACAACTTAGGCCCCCAAACCACGCGAGACCGACAGACTTCAGTTTACAGTGTTCACTCTGAAACTTGTTCAAAGCACTTTTTACTTCTGTATCTAGCTGCTACCTACGAACTGTTCAATGCTAAGTTATCTGTCTTCGTCCTCCAATCTTCAAAAGACAAAACGAACATGTCTACCTCTTGCTTGACGTGCCTGTCGCATTCGATCTCGAAAGCGTTTGTGACCTGACTTGCAAGCGCGAACCGTTCCCGGTGACGACGCGTGTTGATGATTCCTATTTTAGTCCCGTCAAATCGATAGCGCTTCGCGCCATAGTTATTCTCATTTGCACACGCTGTCATATCTGTGCATACTGTCACTTGTTTGATGCTATTCATTTTATTCCTACATGTCATACACCTGCCTGTCATGCGGCTCTTTCTGCGACGTCTCACATCGCGTTTCGAAAATTGGTGTTACACCTCAAGAGTCCCATGCAATTTTGCTCTCATAAAACTCCACTCATGCTCTTCGTGCTGAATCATCCACGGCTCTTGTACCAGGCCTGTGTGGAACTCCTGTTCTTTCCGATCGAGACCATGCCGACCAAATATCACCATCATCTCCCAAAGACCTTCAGATATAGACCAGAACGCCGTCACATCCCAGATATGCTTATGAGTTCAACGTACATGGCTCCCTTACAGGTTGAGGGGTACAAATTTCTGACGACGTCCTTTACCGCGAAGCGCAGGAGGAGCTACCTCTGGCTGCGAGGATGGAGCAGCTTCTTGTGCGAGTGCTTGTGTCGCAGGCTGAGCCGCTTGAACAGGCTGCGCAGGAGTGTGCACCGGCGAGTGGAACTTCTGTGCAGCAGTGACATTGGCTGGGCCGCCTGCAAGAGAAGGGAATTGCTGGCTATATGCCTGGACTTTGTTGACTGTGGGAGGAGGGGCTGTAGAAGCAGGTCCTTGTTCTTCGGCTTCAGTCAACTCATCAAACAGGCCACCTTCAGGCTCTTCTCTGTTGCGGCCGATGGCACCGATTATGCGCCATGCACGACGGAATTCATCTCTGATGGCGACAATGCCGTTGTGCGTGACAGTTCGTGCAACATTGTGCGTAGTCTCGAAGGGATCTTCGATTGCAAAGAGATATCGATGGCGTACCTCCTTGTTGTCACCAACTTCAGTCTTTGCACCAGTCCAACCCTTTTCCAACTTGGACACGATGCCACCTCGAGATCTCAAGCTGAGCACATCGCGTGTCCAGAAGAACCCACCAGCATTGACGGCATAGTACCTGAAGAAACCAACCAGCAAATTGCCCAGTGACTCCTTGTTCTGTGTAATCAAGCCTTGACTAGCACGACTCTGAATTACGTCTTCTTGGTCAAAAAAGCGCACTTCGTAACCGTCGATGGTAGCGGGAGGTAGACCATAGGCTTCGGCCTCATGCTGCAGATTAGGCAGAACAGGTGGGTTTGCTACGTTCACAAGGTAATGCAAAACCATCAACGCATACCCATACGATGACAGGGTGCCTGAGTAGGAAGAGTTGATCTTCCTTCGCTTAGCCCATGACTTGATGAAGAGGACCATGGGTCGAACTCTAGGATCGCATTTTGAATAGCACCGCAACATTTTGGTGTTGTGAATACCAAGAGGATTAAAGAAGTTTATGTCACATTGGATGCCGACACCATCCTTGGGAAAGTCAAGGGGGCCGGGGGCCTTTTCGCGACGCCAACTTTTGTCGTTTCGCTGACGATTCGCCTGTTTGTCTTGAGATTGTTGTTGATCGGGTTGTTGTGTATTTTCAGACTTTGAAGAGGCTTTTGAGTCAAGTTCCAGAGCTTGGGTCGACTCGACAAGAGATGCGACACCGTCTGCAGACTTTTCTACTCGGGAGTCGCCATCACCTTGCAAGGTAAGGTCATTGCCACCAGTCTTAGATCCAGGCTGAGAGGGCGAAGATTGAGCGTCTGGAGCATCCTTCTCGGTGGCTGTGTCGTTGGCAGACGGCTTCGAGGTGGCGTATTTCTCGTCTTCAGGTAGATTGTCCCACTTTTCACGAGATTCTCGAAGAGCATCCAAGAGCTCCGGTGCCGGCAGTTCACAGATCTTAATGATAGGCACACGTGTGCGGGTGAGCAGGCGGGCACCGATGCCGTTATCAAGTAGTTCCTTCTCGAGGACTCGAGGGAGACCGTTCTCGTGCGAAGAGAAACGCTGACTCAAGTCATGCTCAGATGAAGTGACGATGGCCAGATCCATATCAGAGCCAGCAGTGGCAAAGCCAGAACTAAGACTGCCAAAGCTAGCCAATTCGACAGAAGGTAAAGGATTTTCTGGATCCGGAGACCTGAGATTTTCGAAGATTCGTTGCAGCTTGAGACGGAAAGCGTCCTTCAGTTCGACTTCAGAATCCAGCATTTGTGTCTTGGAAATCTCCTGGTTAGCAAGTGAATCCAGAAAGGAGGCCTGGCGTTCGAGATAAGGATTGTTAGTCTGCTGGGGACGAGATTGCGGTTGATACAGTTGGCGTTGTTGATGCTGGTGCTGATGTTGGTGTTGGATTGGGTGCGCCCGTTGCTGAGAGTAGGGTTGGTGAGAGCGCTGGCCTTGATGCGGAGGTCTATCGAAGGCATTTGGATCCATTGGCGGAGGGTTGTAGTTGCGATGAGGTGCCTGAGCACGAAAGTTGTTGTTGTGTGTCTGTGGAGATGCGTGGCGAGGCTGGACGGGAACAGGAGCAGTTGCATGATGCTGCTGTAAGAAGTGAGAGAAGTCTTGCTGACGGTCTATGGGTATATTGTTGGAGTAGCGCGGCTGAGCAGGCGGTCCCCCGAATCCAGGAGGAACTCTTGAAGGATAATCTTGAGCCATGTGAGAAGGATGGGGCAACACCCGAGGATCGCCGTGCTGCTGAGGAGTTCTGTTGTTCATGATCATATCTCGGAGCTGATCCTCGAGCTTCTGCGAAGCATAGCCGCCACTGCCTTGGTCCATCTCAGGCGAGTGCGAAGGCTTGTGATTAAATGGTAGATCAATCAAATATCATCAGATCTCTTCTTTGTCGCTGGCCCAGAAACAGTAGAAGAAAAACAGTAGGTATCAGCAACGCATGAGCAAACGGATGCTAGGAATCGATAGGTGAAGCACTGCAGTCCAGCAAATCATAAGCATCATTCACTTTGGCGGAAGATGGAGGTTTGCGGGGATTTTGATGCCAAGAGTTTTGGACAATGACATGGCAGCAGCGTGAACATCACCAAAGGCCCATTCGATCGAGGCTCGACTTCCACTTCGCCTACATACCACAACCACATTCCTCACACCGCTTCATCCACGTCTGTGGTACGCACTCACGGGCGACTCCATTTGCGCTCTCGAAATCACGCCTCTAGGATTACCGCTACAGTACCACATCAACGCTCGATGCAGAGGTAGAACCGCCGTCATAATTCAATCAAAGACTCCGCCTATCCGGACGACACAATGAGTGCTCCTCCGCCAGGCGTGAGCCCTGCCTCGCGACAGCCAAGCACAACTCCCAATAACGGTCAAGGTGCTCTCCGTCGCAGAAAGCCTACTGGTCCATTCGCGCCCAAGCCCTCTCGCAACCAAGCAAAGCGCCCTCCGGCTCCACCGCCGCAAAAGCTCACTGGCACCACCAAGCCTCTCGCCGCCTCGACCGTTCAGGCACAACCCGAACCAGAGGATGACCCCTCGACGTACAACGAAATCCCGCTCATGGCCACAAAGAAGGCCCTTCTTGAAGGTCTCCGTTTCCATGCCATCAAGTTCATCTCCAACAACGTCGTCAATCCTTATGACAAGGAACAATTCGAGCGACCTGTAAAACTCCACCGTCGTTTCCCTCAGGATACTCCTAATACACCTGTCGACGCCAACCCAGAAGATGACAAGGAACGTGAGAAAGAGGCTATCCGCAAGGCAGAGAAGGCTGCAGAAAGAGAGGCTACTCAGGCTCAGATTGCCCCGACCGACAAGGCAGCAGCGGCGAAGAAGCGCCAGCCATTCAAAAAGAAGACTGAGGACGTCTATTATCCCACAGATACACCCGAAGCTCAGAAGCGCGCCAGATTGCGCTACGAAGAAGGCCGCCCTTGGCATCTTGAAGACTTTGAAAACAAGAATATCTGGATTGGTACATATGAAGAGCCTCTTTCCGAATCAAATGTCATGTTTGTATTCGACAACGGCCGCTTCCGCATGGTTCCCATTGAAAAATGGTATCGCTTCAACCCTACAGGCCGCGTCCCACTACTTTCTCAGGCTGAGGCAGATGCTGTCATGGAGAAACGTGAAAAAGGTCCTAGATGGTTCTTGGAAAACGAGGCTGGCCGCGAGAAGAAGCGTGCCGAGCTTGCAAGACAACAACGTCTGACTAAAGGTAGAGTGGGTACTCGAGATGAGAACCGTCGCGTCAAAGATGAAGACGACGATGGTGACATGGAAAACGTGGACATTGCCGACGACGTGGACGAGCTGGACTTTGAGGCCGAAGACGAATTCCAGGACGACGATGAGGGCAAACTGTTCGGAGACGATGAAGAAGAGGCCAAAGAAGCTGCAACAAAACTCAAGAAAGAACGACATGAAGCCAACATTTTTGCTGGTACTGGTGTCAAGGATGAAAAAGATTGGTATGAAGAGGAGCAACTAGAGAAGCAAAGGGAGCGTGAAGAGAAGAAGAAAGCAAAGAAACTGCGTAAGAAGCTGGTTAAGATTGAGAAGAACTATGAATACGACGACGATGAGAGTGACAACCCATTCTCGGAAGAGGTAAGCCTTGCTTTGATTGCTCCTTCGAGAAGTCTGATCTAACCCTCATGATAGGAAGAGTCAGACGACTCAGACATTGAGCGTCAACGCGAAGAGGACGAACGAAAGAAGGAGGAAGAACTCAAGGCCAACGGGGACAAACAGCCATCCCAATCGTCGACCAACGCCAATACTCCTTCAGGTCGTGCTGAGAAGCATGCCAGTGGCCTCCTTCCAAAACAATCCATGTCGAGCCTTAAGCGTCCTGGCTCTCCCAACTTGTCAGAGACCAGTGGCAGCGAGTCCATCAACCGCAAGCGTATCAAGAAGGATAATCTTGGTGCCACGTCTCCTATGGGTCGTCACGCCGGCTCAGGCAGCGACACGGAGACTGAAAGACGTCGTACTGTGACCCTAAACCCTAGATCCACCCCCGGATCACCCGGCAATGCCACTCCCCTTGGTTCACGCGCTGGAAGTCCCGTACCCATGCCGACGGCAGACGAGATCAGAGCCGCCATTCCTCCTGCTGGTATTAGTATTCCAGAGTTGATCAAGCGGTTCAGAGAACAAGTGCCTAAGACCAAGGAAGGAAACAAGGCTTTCATTCAATTGGTACTGAGTGTAGCCAAGGCCATGCCAGGTGCTCCTGGTCTTGTTGGTCTCAGGTAGACATGCAAGCTTTCGAGTGCAATCACAAACAGACAGACCTTTCTTCTGTGTTGAGAAAGGTCACCAAAGCTGAGAGATGAAAGTCTGACTGAAATCAACAAGTTATCATGATTGCTTTCTTGATGTTAGCACTCCTTTTCTCATTCAATAGCGACTTCTAATGATACAAAGAAAGCATTGACACTGGGTGATTTCATACTTTAATTGCGTGTTCATTTATTTTGGCTAGAGATGTGATTGATATAATTATATCCGGCTCTCTTGATCCCGCGGACAGCGGACTGGATGAAAGTGGACCCTCGTATCGTGTGATCGTCAGGGTGCGGATAAAGTGCACAAGTTCGCACATCTCCCGTGTATAAAATTGAGATATACTTTTGCAGCCGTCAGTGGCTGGCTGGTTATTCTCAGCTGCTCGTGTTATCCGTCCAGGCAGGTACAACAGCATTTGTTGAGTGAGACGAGGCAAGGAGAAAGAGAAAGGTACACAGGATTGTACATAGCTAGCAAAAGTCGTTGAGCTGAAATGTAAGACGAGGGGGCTTCGGGTGTGCAATGCAACAATCGTGGTCTCGAAGGCTTTGGAAAGCCGGAGAAATAATACCTGCGCATGTAACTCCAACATCCCGATCGACATCGTACGGATCATGGCACAGATACTCCACATAACGGCTCTCCTCGGCGCGGGATAGAGATGGATAAATATGGTTGTGAGCAGGTATGAAGTTAAGTAGATTTCTGTAGGCGAGGTCATATTGCAGACGAGTCGAGATGCATTTACATGAGACGCGAGATGAGGGTCTGTCAATGTCGGATATAGATGAGGGTATTGTTTGAGCTATTGGGTGATGATTTCGGTTGCGAATGAGTGGAGTGAGCTGAGAAAGAGGCTGAGTAAGGAGCCCGTTCGACATGCACGGAGGTTACACGTGCAAAGGTCTGTATCCTTCGATCGTGCTCTCAGAATAGCAAAGAGCCAAGTTGTACACGGTGAAAAGTCACAACCACATCTGGAATTGAAGGCTCGGCCGCCCAGAGTCAATAAGGTATCGCATCTCAGTTGACAAGGTCCTGTCTTCTGATGGTGTTGTGTATTTTTATAGCTACACGCGTTCTACTTTAGCGCATGGGAAGGTAGCCGAATGTGGGAGGAGCGATGGAGCGAAGGAGCGTTGGTCCAAGCTGAAATCTGACGCAGGGGCAGTTGGGCGGGCTGACTAGGATCGGGCGCGGCGGGTTATAAAGGTTGGTGCCAGCTGTTCTTTTCTCCGCTTGCTTTGTCGTGCCTGCCTCTGACCATCAGAGTGTGACTCGAAACGCAAATCGTCATCAGGCAACAGCGCAAACAGGCCAGCTTTCCTCTCCAGATGTAGGCAGTCGCTTTTCGACTCAAACTACATCATGGCCGACGGAGTCCTATCCCCGCCAGATCTCCTGGCTGCAACAACTCCAGATCCACTCAACATGAACACTCCGGACTTTGCCCTCACGCCGTCCACGGCTGCCACCACCGCCCTCGCTACACCCAGCTCTATCCAACACGTCCCTCAATCGTCCGCAGCAAAGCCTGCAAAGAAACGCAAGTCGTGGGGTCAGGCACTCCCCGAACCCAAGACCAACCTGCCGCCTCGCAAGCGGGCCAAGACTGCCGACGAGAAGGAGCAGCGTCGCATCGAACGCATCAAGCGCAACCGCGCCGCTGCACACAACTCTCGAGAACGCAAACGCCAGGAAGCCGAGCGTCTCGAAGTTGAGAACCACGCCCTCAAACAGCAGATCACCGCTCTGCAACAACAACTCGCCCAGAAGGATGTCACCCTTGACAAGTGCAAGGACATGATCCCTGGCGGTCTCCCTCAACTCACCCAGGAAGAACTGGCAAACATCAAGGTGCCCGAAGAAAGGTGCATACCATCTTATGATTCTGCATACTCGTCGTCATGATCTCTAACCTTGTAACAGCACCGTCTCTCCTTCGTCATCATATGATACCATCGACCCTCGTGCCTCTCTGGCGCCTTCATCCATTAACGAAGACTACATGACGCCATCAATCAAGATGGAGCCCATGTCGCCGGCTTCTCAGATGCACCTCCCCCCTTCGGCTGTCCACAGGACAAGCATCTCGCTCGACCAGACACAACATTCTGCTGCGATGTTGTGCGACCTGCAGTGTCGGTCGAGCGAGAACAACAGCCATTCAAGGTGGAGTCAGATTATAATCTATTTGATGCATCTGAACATCATGACCTTTTACAAGAGCCTCATGGTAGCTTCGTGGACCTTATGGCCGACTCGTATGGCCACGATGATGAATCAGGTCTCAGCCACTTTGACAACCTCATCGAATACGATGATGTGCACTCCAACTACACGACGAACGCTACGACGACTGACGGCGGCGACGACATCTTCAACCTCTCTAGCTATGGCCTCAAGGACACTTTTCTTGCTCCTGAGCTTACTCTCGCATCGGCTCCCAACCTCTGCGACTTCAGCGCAACTTTTTGCGACGGGTCCTAGGTTCTCGGGTGTTAGCGCTCTCCAAGCGCTGCCTATTTCCGAGAGCGAGAGCAAGCAGGAAAAGGAAGTGTTTGAGAGGGACTTTGTTGAGATGGTAAGACTTGTTGCGGCTGAGGGTTATCTAGGGCGTTCTGGGAGTAAGGGGGGCACATTGGGAAAGTCATCGTCCGAAGAGCGAAAGGACTCTGGCGGGATTGGATGATTTTTCTCCTTATCATTTCTTGTGATGCATGACGACCAACAACAAAAAGCACAAAGGTGTGTCTGATAGCTTGAAGCTTCAAGGCACAGTCTTCTTCTTTTTTTTCTTTACAGGAAGGGCAAACATGGCATGGCGAGCGAAGAGTCAGTGTACTTTTATAGAACCAGAGTCCATGACACAATTGACTGTATTGACTTGTTTCAACCAATATCTCTCTCGTCTGCGGTGATCAGTGTGCAACGAACACGCTAAACAGTCTGCACTATATGCAAAGCAGTAGTCAACATGAAATCCGAGCATATAGTGGCTCGATAATGGTCGATAATGGTCTTCGAGTTGAGAAAGAGTCAGGCGGCTGAAGTGGATGAGATTGAGATCCCCAGGTTCTTGGCATGTTCGTACGGGGACAGCGGGTCTCCGGGAGATTGTTGGCGCAGCAGTGACCTCTTCGGCCTCTCTTGGAGACGCGACGACTTGGTCGACATGTTCTGACTCGACATTGAGACTTGATGCCTGCAAACGGCTCTCTCGACTCGACAAAAACACCAAGCACCATTGACCTGGACCCTCTTCTCTCCTGGACTTGAAACATACAGCCCTCGACACATCATCTTAGACGCTCGATCGGATAGGGGTCTACGCACACCATGTCGTCGTCAGGTAGCGGCCTGTTCAACCGCGGTGGTGGAAGCGGCAACCAAAACACCATGCGCGGCCTGGTATCCTTCATTGCAGACCTACGAAATGCCCGCGCCCGAGAACTCGAGGAGAAGCGCATCAACAAAGAGCTGGCGAACATTCGAGCAAAGTTCAAGCAAGGCGGTTTGAGTGGCTACGACAAGAAGAAATATGTCTGCAAGCTGCTGTACATCTATATCCTGGGCTGGAATGTCGACTTTGGCCATCTCGAGGCTGTCAACCTCGTTTCGGCTACAAAGTACTCGGAGAAGCAGATTGGTTATTTGGCTGTTACGCTGTTCCTACACGAAGAACATGAGCTGTTGCATCTGGTTGTCAACAGTATTCGCAAGGATTTGGCCGACATCAACGAACTCAACAACTGCTTGGCTCTGCACGCTATTGCCAACGTAGGAGGAAAGGAGATGGGTGAAGCCTTGGCCTTTGACGTTCACAGACTACTCATCTCTCCGTGAGTCTCGTCCTATACCTCTGAGAGCATCCAATTACTGACCCGTCCGAATAGCACATCCAAACCTTTCGTCAAGAAGAAGGCCGCCCTGACTCTTCTTCGTCTCTACCGTAAAGCACCCAGCATCGTACAGGCTGAATGGGCAGAACGCATCATCTCCATCATGGACGACTCGGACATGGGTGTCGCTCTTTCCGTCACATCGCTCGTCATGAAACTTGCTCAAGATGACCCCGATCAGTACAAAGGCAGTTATGTCAAGGCCGCTCAGCGTCTGCAAAAGGTTGTCGTTGAACACGATTGCGCTGGAGACTACTACTACTACAAGGTGCCTTGTCCTTGGATACAGGTCAAACTCCTGCGTTTGATGCAATATTTCCCTCCTTCGGACGATTCACATGTACGCGCTCTGATTCGCGAATCTCTACAAAAGATCATGGACAATGCTATGGAGGCCCCGAAAAACGTTCAACAAAACAATGCTCAAAATGCTGTTCTCTTCGAAGCCATCAACCTTACAATCCATCTTGACACTGAGCAAGCGTTGATGATGCAGATCTCCTCGAGACTAGGCAAATTCATCCAATCAAGAGAAACTAACGTGCGTTATCTTGGTCTGGAAGCAATGACACATCTGGCTGCACGCTCAGAGAACCTTGACCCGATCAAGAAGCATCAAAGCATCATTGTCGGATCATTGCGCGACCGCGACATCAGTGTGAGAAGACAAGGTCTCGATCTGCTCTACAGCATGTGCGACACAACAAATGCTAAGCCCATTGTTGGTGAGCTCTTGAAGTACTTGCAGACTGCTGACTACGCCATCCGCGAAGAAATGGTACTCAAGATTGCCATCTTGACCGAGAAGTACGCTACCGACATTCAATGGTATGTTGACATCTCACTCAGACTGATCGCCATGGCTGGTGATCATGTCAGCGATGAGGTGTGGCAGAGAATTATCATGATTGTTACCAACAATGATGAGCTTCAAGTCTATGCTGCATCCAACATTTTGGAGTACCTCCGCGCAGAGCAATGTCATGAGATGCTTGTCAAAATTGGCAGTTACCTGCTTGGAGAGTTTGGTCACTTGATCGCCGATAGCCCTAAGTGCAGCCCTATCGAGCAGTTCATGGCATTGCAGTCAAAGTTCAATGGCAGCTCGCCGAGTACGCGTGCCATGATGCTGTCTGCATTCATCAAGTTTGTCAACCTGTTCCCTGAGATTAAGCCTCAGCTCCTGCAGGCATTCAAGACATATAGCCACACTTTGGATTCTGAGCTTCAACAGCGTGCATGCGAGTATTTGACATTGGCAACGATGCCGACAGACGATTTGCTTCGAACCGTCATGGATGAGATGCCACCCTTCCCGGAACGTGCTTCTGCTTTGCTTTCTAGACTACACTCCAAGCAGCACAACACAACAGATAAACGCACATGGGTTGCTGGCGGCAAAGATGCCAACAAAGACATCAACGATCGAAACAATACACTCAAACGTTCATTCAGCGCTGGCAATTCTCTTAACGCAACGGCAGCAGCACAATCACCCACAAAAGCCAATGGCACCAAGACACCAGCAGACGAACTCGCCGGTCTAGACTGGGGCTCGGATACCAAAACGCCAAACTTTGCCAGCGCAGACCACTTATCACCAGGCTGGGAGCGCGGTCACGCTCGTATGCTCATGGTTCCCGAGGGCATCCTCTACGAAGACAGCCAGATCCAAGTAGGCGTACGCTCAGAGTACCGTAGCGAGCTCGGCTGCATAATCCTCTACTTCACCAACAAATCTTCGTTTGCGATTAACTCTTTTACCACCACTCTCAACAACCCTTCTCCCGACAACATCAAAATCGACGTCAAATCATTGCCCGAGACAACAGTGCAACCCTCCACACAAACCCAAGCAATGATAATGCTAGAAGCAAAATCCGTCTTCACGCTAGCACCCACAATTCGCATTTCCTGGCTCGCTGGTGCCTTGCAAGCACTAACCCTCAAACTTCCCCTTGCAATCCACAAATACCTAGACCCGGCCTCTTTATCTGCCGACGATTTCTTCAAGCGCTGGAAGCAAATCGGCGGACCTGGTCCCCGCGAAGCCCAGAGGATTTTTGCAGGCAAGGATGTGGCTCCAGTACCCACGAGAAGAATTCTAGAAGGGTTCAAGTGGGGAGTTCTCGATGAGGTGGATCCTAACAAGAAGAATTTTGTTGCTGCGAGTGTGTTGCATACTAGCCAACAAGGAAAGATTGGGTGTTTGATGCGCTTGGAGCCAAATCCTAACAACGGGGTATGTGTTTCGCTTTTTCCTTTCTAAGGATATGTGTAAGAGGTGCAAAGTTGCTGACTTTTGACGACAGATGTATCGACTCACCATCAGAGCAACAGACGAGTCTGTACCGAATGTTCTCATGGAAGCTATGGAGAAGAGATTGGCATTGGGAGAAGCTCCCTTCTATCCGCCGTAGATGCATTTACATCACAGCCGGAATGCAGAGCTGAAAAGTTTACGTTTTGCTTTTCCGAATGTCAAACCACGCTTTTTTTGTTCTTCTCGACTCTCTTTGGACGTACGTTGATTAATGAATTTGGCTGTGCATTTTTATAGCTACATTTGACACCGGTAGGTGCAATTTGGAGAGATTTGTCTTTGCGAGGCATGCGCACTGACCTCCTGCTTCAACATGACTTTCCTAGTTCTTGCCATGAAAATCGATAGTGATCCTGTGGTTCTATGATGTTTGAAGTAATGCACAGTCATTAGCACTCAAAGGATAAGAGCCGTAGCAAGAAAAGGGTCATTTTACATTTCTGACTCGCAAAAAGTACGATCAGCTATCAATCAACCCTATGTACGCCTCTCTTTTTAGTAGTTGAGCTCCTCAGCTCCTCCAGCACTGCCAGCAGCATCAAGATCGTTGTAGCTCTTCATCGTACGGCCTTCGACTGCTTGTCTAGGTCCGACGGTGTGCTCTCCTCCCTCCATGAACATACCGCGGCGGGGCGGCGTAAGGCGGCCGCTGATGCTTCGTCGCGGCTCAACTCTCATACCACGATCATATGGACCTGGTGCTCGAGCGTTGGTGGTGCGCATACCTCCTGTTCTCATTGGACCAGCTCCACGGTCACCACCTTGCATGTTCCAACCAGGCATCGTCATGGGGAACTGTCCAGGGACAAATGGATTGAAGCCAGCAGGTCCGCCTGCGCCTGGCATGGGCATCCCATTGTTGAAGAATGGCATGTTGTTCAGGCTGAAGTTGCGAGGCGTGCCCGTGGGCATGTTATTGTTGACAGGGAAGTGGCCGTTACTACTAGCATCGTTGCGTCCCTGTGCGAGTCTGGCTGGGTCAAGGACATAGCGGTTGACGAGCTCAATCTGTAACCGGGTTAGTAGTTGTCCAAGGTTCAGAAGGGGTAGTACTTACGTCTTCTTTGAGCTTATCGTGCCAGTCCTGATGCCTCTTCTCCACGTGCTTCTTCCAAAAGTTTTCGCCCTTGAAGAGTTTTGTACACTCTGGAACCTTGCATCTGAACTTGAACTCGTCCTCCTGTTTTACGAACTTGCTCATGTCTTCTTCAAGGCCTTCTTCAACCGGCTTGCCTCCAAGCTTCCTCAGATCGACATTTTCGGGCTCAAGAATCATGAGCAGTTTCTCCTCAAAGGTCTTGACCCAATTGTATGCCTTCTGAAGCTGGTTCTTGCCGTATGCTCGAGGGGCAGATTTCCTCTCCTCGACCGGTGAACCGTCTTCGCCATCTCCAGCACCGCTTTCTTGACGTTTGAGTGGGAATGGTTCTCCATTTGCGGTGGCTCTGGCAGTCTCTTTGGCCGCCGAAGTGAGACTTGCGCGAGGACGACGCAGATGGCCTCCTGCACACTTTCGTTGCAATTCGTGAACCGAATCGCATTCGAATACGCAGTAGAAGCAGAAGTTGTAGACACGACGAAGGTATTCGACGAGCAGATCAAGCTTCTTCTTCTTGATCAACAACTCTTCATCGTCGACATCTTCATCAATACCGCCTTCGTCTTCTTCACCTTCTTCCATTTCACCGTCATCGACATCTTCGTCCTTGACGACCTTAGGGGCTGGGATAGGTGGTTGCAAGTATCCCTTGCCAGCTAATTCGTCAACACGTTGCTCGATCTTGCTAACGCCGTCATAGTCTTCGCCCATCTCTGAGTCGAGTTTCCTGACCAAACGAAGAGCGAGATCTAGATCGCGTTCGACACGCTCGGGAGCGGAGAAGAGATCCCACAAAGCCTTTTTCCTAGGGTTCTCCTGGGGGTGATGAATTCCGACATGAACAGTGAAGTCGCCCTTCTCAGGGTCTTGAATCGTCTTGTTGTTAATCTCGTTCAAAGCCCTCTCGCAAATGGTCTGAGCGTGGTCTGGCTTGTCTTCATCCATAGCACCACCATCAGCATCCTGGTCATCGTCGTCTCGGCTTCCACGGCGTTTGGTCTCCTCTTCAGGTACGTCAGATGCAGGATTGAGCATAATCCAGCCAAGACGATGGAACTTCTTTCCTGGGTTCGGGTCACTCAGGCTCAGCCACTTATAGCCACCCTCGCCCTCACCAAGGTGTTCCTTGCAAAATTCTTCCATGCGTTCGCGCGAGACAGCTGGAGTGATGGTTTTGACGAGCAGTGTTGGTTGGAAAGCAACCGGATCTCGAACATCACCACCCTTGGAGGGCAGCAGATCTGATACAGCCAGAACCTCTGCAGCAGCACTGGTCTCTCCCTCTTCCTTTTCGACGATACCTCCAGCACCGTTGCTCTCGCTCTTGTAGATTCCCTCAAGGGTAAACTCGTCAAAGGTACCAGCCGTCAAGTCCGAGTCCCACCGAGCGAAGAGATCGCGTCTGAAATCGAGAACCTTTTGGCGCAAAGGGTCGCGAACTTCTGGTACGTAGCGTTCGCGGAACCATGTGTCATACTTGTGACCATGAACGAAGAGCTTGGCCATTCTTGTGTTCCAGTTCAGCTTGTACTGATCGTAGGCATTTTGGATCTTTGCACGCTGTTCGTCGCGTGATTCCTTGACGGGCTCAGGACGACGGCCTCCATTCTTCTGACGCTCACGTTGTTGTTTGATCTCTTGCTCGGCCTTCCACCACTCTGCGAAGTAACTAAATCCGACCTGCGAGGCTTCGAGCAGCGGGTCCCTGAGTTGATTTACTGGGATGGCTCTAGGGAGGGCGGCATCGTCGCCAGGGATGTATCGATCGATGTTCTTCGGAGCACCTGGCTGGATCTGAGGAGACGAGCGGCGTCTGTCACGAGGATAATCCTCACGGCCACGGTAGTAGTCGTCGCGTGAACGATCGGGTTGGTAGCGATCGATTTGTGTGGGAGAGCGCGAGCGGTTGCGGCCAGCTTGGCGAGCACGTCGATCAGAGTCTTTGAAGAGCATGTCAGTATATGATGGAGGGTTTGAAATGCGATTAGGGAACGCACTCGGCGACCTGCGTCGTTCACGGTAGGGATCCCTCTCACGAGATTGGTAAGACTCGCGGTCGTAGCTGTCAACCCTGGATAGATCGTTGGGCGACTTTGCCGAGTATGTGTCGAAGTTGTCCATGATAGCGGATCGAGGATGAGGTGCTGGTCCGGCTCAACAAGTCGACTCTTGCGCACTGATGACCGCCATGGCGGGTTAGAGCTCGTTCAGGAGAGGTTGAAAGAGTAAGAGCGAAACGAAACAAGAAACTCGGGGAGTAAAAGAGTGAATGTATCAGGGTAAATTGCAGTGAGACTTGAGAGTAACGATATAGCTAATCGGTGGGTACATGGTGACAGGGAGTTGAGGTTGAGGTTAAGCGGACGCGACGAGACGAGGACGCGGATTGAACAAAAGTCTCGCGAGAAGAAGAGAAACGATACGAACAATTTGGGCAGGACACAAGCCGAAGAACGGCGACGCATCAATGAAGAATTGAATGCGGTCGACCAGAGGGTTGAAGGAGACGGAGAACGAGTGCTGCTGCTGCTATCGCTCGAACACGCCGACTCGTGGAGCGCGACGTCGGCGCTAACAGAGCCAAGCCACTAAGTTCGGCTCAGGCACGGACGCATCTTGTTGCGGGGAAAGCTCGCCAGTAACAGATGTCGGGTGATGACGGCTTGTTTTGATTCATCGAGTGCTCATTCATGTGCTGCGCACCTGGCACCTGATATGGGAACTTTCTGCGAGATGTGTACTAAGCATCAAGAGAGGTCTGAATGCAGAATGACTCTAAAGACCAGAGCAAGGTCAGGCAGCAGCTTGCAAATGGCGGCTTCCAACTCCGACAAGCTTCCGAATCATTTGGCTGGGGAAGGAGCTTGCGAGCGTCATGGTTCGATTCGCGTGTCTGTCGCGAGCTGCGACTGTTTCCCGATCGACACGATTGATTAAACCAAGACACGCCTGTAAGAACAGGTCTCTTTCTCTATCTCCCTCCTGAGCCAGCTGTTCCTGTTCTCTGTTGCACCACCACCACCAATACCATGACTACCTACATTCCCCACCTAACACTTCCTTCGTCCATCTTTGAGAAGCCGGCGGCCTCCGTCTTGCTGCCTGTCGTACTTGGGACTGCTGTAGGCTACTCGACCAGACGTGAGTTGACACATGCCTCTGCAGCCCACAGTCATGATCCATACTGATCACTACTTTCTGCAACAGCCAAAGAGACGCAAAAGACATATCTCGCCCTGCGTCAGCCTCCTCTAAGACCTCCACCATGGGTCTTCGGCCCGGTATGGACCATGTTGTACGGAGCCATGGGATACGCCGCTTTCCGCGCCTGGTCCACTGCCATGAACTCGTTTGATGCAAAGAAGGTCCTTCTTGCTAAGGTACCCCTAGCCCTATCCCAAAGTCCCTACAGTTGGCAAGCATTGTACCCATACTCATTCCGTCACAGCAAGGCGCAACTCTCTACACGATCCAACTCGCCCTTAACCTCATCTGGATGCCCCTCTTCTTCTCCCTGAAACGCCCGATCGCTGCCACTGTCGACATTGTTGCCCTCACCGGCGTCACCGGATACCTTGCCTACATTTGGGGTCAAGTTGACGAGGTTGCTGCATGGAGTCTTGCTCCCTACCTCGGCTGGCTTGGGTTTGCGACCTATCTGTCAGCAGGTTGCGGCTACCTGAACAACTGGGACTTTGAGAGCAAGGAGCGCCCCGTTGCCGACAAGCCCAAGGATACCAAGTTTGTCGACGAGAAGAGCGAGTAAGGCAAGTTCTAGCGTCCTTAAGATACCCAATTTTGTCAAGCAAAAACAAGGCTGTATGCCATCACCCCATCATTCGTCATGGTTTTTGGCCATTTCGAGCTGGCAGCATAACTGTCATGCACGTTCTGTTTGCGCCTGTTCCGTCCGACATGATTCAAAACCTCATGTCGACCATGTCCGTAAACGCCATATACTGCAAAGTTGCACGTTGAATGCAGCATCTTTCCAAATCATTTTGCTTATCCCGGATTTCTTGGAGTGTTGAACAAGCCTAAGCCTACAGCCAATCGGTATTCATTCCCGACTGCCATGTCACGATTCTCAGTGTGGATGCAACCTCATGACCCAAAGAAACTTGATCCCGAACCCCACCCTTGAAACACTCCGAGTAGTTGCAAGTTCTCATCGCGACACCTAATTTCAGCAGCATGGTCAGGCCGTGGCATGGTACTTCTGTTGAGGTGCTTACCGACTCTATATGAATCCACATGCCGATACAACGACACTGCAACGCTGAAGGTCGACCAGCACGAGTTAAAAGCACCAATCAACCCCGATCACATCCAACACCGCCTCTTCGCACAGCCCCACCCATCGCCCTGAAAGCTCGACTACAAGAACCCTCCAACAGCTCTCTATTTCTGGTGTGCACATAGACTCGTACAAATGGATTCCTTTTTCGAGTTTAACTATGGTTTCATGGCAAGTCGCGTCTTGGTGTTTCTGAATACTTGCGCTACCCATTCACGGCCGTTCCTGTAGATCGACTTGCTTTGTGTGAGCAGTTGCACAAGGTCGCGCTAACACACATCGAAGGACTCATTTCAAAGGCCTTACACCATGCCCCAAGACGAACGAGATCTGGCTGAAGACCCCCTGAGCAGCATCTACGTGGACCCCTCGATCTATGTTGGGTTGGCCGAACCAGATGGAGTTTCGCACGTAAACTATGCATCTAGTAGCGGACAAGCTTTGCAGTACAACGAGGATCTTGTACAGCGACGCGTGGCTGAAAGCGCTCACGCAGAGCCCTGGACCGGGTTCGGCAGTTCTATAAACTTCTCGAGTGTATCAAGAATGTCGCAGACAATCGTTACCGAGCAGTCCATCCATACGAACGTTCAGGTGGATGAGACAGACTCCGGATATGCTTCACTGAACTATCAGCCTCTACTTTGCCTCCAGTGCGGCAAGGCGTTCAAGAACAAGGCCGAAGAGAAGTAAGATGCCCCTGTGCGTTAATGACCCATTGACGCATACTAACATTTTTAGAAAACACTCGTCGACACACAGCCGACCGTTCAAGTGTGGCGTCAAGAACTGCACAAACACTAAAGGCTTCGCAACATCTAACGATCTTGAGAGACACCAGAAAGACATCCACCTGATCAAGCCAAAGCACGGACCCCAGTCATACTACAGATGTGTGCTACCAACCTGCTCGAAGCGGGAGAAGATATGGTCAAGAAAAGACAACTTCAAGGCGCATATCAGTCGAATGCACAAGCACATAGGTGTGGATGTTGACCAGCTTGTGGCAAGGTGAGTCACTTCATCAACCCGTATGCTGTGTGGTGTACTAAATCAAGGGTACAGATCAGAGATGACACCTAGTCCGGCAGAGATGCAACATCTGGCTCGTGCCAAAAGCGCACAAGCGCTGAACAGAAGTAAAGGAAAGCAACGCGCCAACAATCAGTCGAAACAAGCAATGGTACCACAGTATCCTGAGATTGAGCCACAGCCCGAGGTAGCACAAACAGCAATACCGCTGTGGCAGACGAATGTCCCAGACTACATGGATGACATGCCTAATGAAGCGGCTGAGATGGTGTCGACTGAGGACAGGTCAGGCAGAGTTGCAAACACTCTGATCCCGAACATGGTGCTGAGATATCCAAACACTTTGCCAGTTGGGCAATATGGATACGAAGGAGTCAGTGGTCGGCACAACAGTGCAGATGCGAGCCGGGATGATGTGTCGGATTGCAGCTTTGCTTATTCTCATGAGAGTTCGGCATATGGTGGTGGGACGAGCGATTTTGGATGATGGTCAGACTGGTGTTATTGTTTCGGAATACGAACGAATGCTAATGTGTCATGATTGACGACTTGATCAGATTTCAGTCTATCCTTGAAGATTCATGAATTGCAGCAAAGATGGTAATGATTGTGGTTGGCGGGAGTGAGGTCTTCTGGACGCGGAGGTTTCACGGACTTTGCCGTGGTCAGAACATTGTCAGGCCGGAGCTCGGGACATTGACGCGCATGCTCGATGGTGCTGGGGTTGAAGCTTAGGTGTCGTGTCCGCTACGAGAACCAGCACCAGCTTTCCCAATACCAACCCAGTATAGACAGCAACCATGGCAGCCACCGTGGGAAGCTCATTCTTCAAGGGCGAGACTGGTCGTAACACCAGAGGTTTGCTGCGACTGGTCATCCTCGTCACAATTGCAGCAACCGCCGTGGCCTCTCGTCTCTTCTCCGTTATCCGCTTTGAGAGCATCATTCACGAATGTATGTCAATTCGACTGTTCTGACTCCTATTCATGCTTGGACTTGCAGCTTGCGCCATCAATGCCTCCTCTATCACTTGCACCTTTACTCTAGCATTGTCGTTCGCGATCATTGACTAGACGTCGACTCACTAGACCAACATGGACTCGGTAGACACAATCGCTAACAACCATCTTCTACAGTCGACCCCTGGTTCAACTTCCGCGCAACCAAGTACCTCGTTCAGAATGGCTTCTCGAGCTTCTGGGACTGGTTCGACGACCGCACATGGCACCCCCTTGGCCGTGTCACCGGCGGTACCCTCTACCCTGGCCTCATGGTCACCAGCGGTGCCATCTGGCACCTCCTCCGCCTCTTGACCTTCCCCGTCGACATTCGCAACATCTGTGTCATGCTCGCTCCCGCCTGCTCTGGCTTGACCGCCTTTGCCAGTTACCTCCTGACCTCTGAGATGTCCGACTCGCCCTCAGCTGGCCTCCTTGCCGCCATCTTCATGGGCATCGCCCCCGGTTACATCTCGCGTTCCGTCGCTGGAAGTTACGACAACGAAGCCATTGCCATCTTCCTCCTCGTCTTCACCTTCTACCTCTGGATCAAGAGTGTCAAGCAGGGCTCCGTCATGTGGGGTGCTTTCACTGCCCTCTTCTACGGATACATGGTCTCGGCCTGGGGTGGTTACGTCTTCATCACCAACTTGCTTCCTCTCCATGTCTTCGTCCTACTGTGCATGGGTAGATACAGCCCTCGTCTGTACGTCAGCTACACCACCTGGTACTCTCTGGGCACGCTTGCGAGCATGCAGATTCCCTTTGTCGGTTTCTTGCCTATCCGCAACAGTGACCACATGGCTGCTCTCGGTATGTTGTCGATTGTCCAATTACATTTTGCCTTCTAACAACATATCAGGTGTCTTCGGTCTTCTCCAGCTTGTCGGTTTCGTCGAGTTTGTGCGCCAGACTCTGCCAAGCAAGCAGTTCCAGACCCTGCTCCGTGCCTTCGTCCTGGTCGTCTTCCTCGCAGCATTCGGAGTCCTCGTTCTCCTTACCTTCTCTGGAGTCGTTGCACCATGGAGTGGTCGTTTCTACTCGCTCTGGGATACTGGATACGCCAAGATTCACATTCCCATCATCGCATCCGTGTCTGAGCACCAGCCTACCGCCTGGCCTGCCTTCTTCTTCGATCTCAACTTGTTGATCTGGCTGTTCCCTGCTGGTGTCTACATGTGCTTCCGCAACCTGAAGGATGAGCAGGTCTTTGTTGTCATCTACGCCGTCCTGGCCAGTTACTTCGCCGGTGTCATGGTCCGTCTGATGCTTACCCTGACTCCTGTCGTCTGTGTTGCTGCAGCCCTTGCTCTTTCCCAGATTCTTGACACCTTCCTTGTTACCAAGACTCCTGTCGCACCCTCAGCTCAGGCCAACGGCAACAACGACATCGCCAAGACTGCTGCTTCCCTAATCCCTGACACTCTGCGCTCTACCCAAAAGCCTCTTGTCGGTATCTACTCGACCTTCTCCAAGTTCGCCATGACTGGTACCATCACCGCCTACCTTCTGCTCTTTGTTCTCCACTGCACTTGGGTTACCTCAAATGCCTACTCATCCCCTTCGGTTGTCTTGGCTTCCAGAATGGCCGACGGCTCGCAGCACATTATCGATGATTACCGCGAGGCCTACTACTGGCTCCGTCAGAACACCGAGCAGAATGCCAAGATCATGTCTTGGTGGGATTACGGTTACCAGATTGGAGGTATGGCCGACCGTCCTACCCTTGTCGACAACAACACCTGGAACAACACCCACATTGCCACTGTCGGCAAGGCCATGAGCTCGCGCGAGGAAGTCAGTTACCCCATCATGAGACAGCACGAAGTCGACTACGTCCTCGTTGTCTTTGGTGGTCTTATTGGCTACTCTGGTGACGATATCAACAAGTTCTTGTGGATGGTCCGTATCGCCGAAGGTATCTGGCCTGATGAGATCAAGGAGCGTGATTACTTCACCGCTCGTGGCGAGTACCGCATTGACGACCAAGCTTCCGACACCATGAAGAACAGCTTGATGTACAAGATGTCGTACTACAACTACAACTCCCTCTTCCCTGCTGGCCAGGCTACCGACCGCGTTCGTGGTTCCAAGCTCCCCGCTGAGGGTCCCGAGCTCTCGACTTTGGAGGAAGCTTTCACCAGTGAGAACTGGATCATCAGAATCTACAAGGTCAAGGACCTTGACAACCTCAACAGAGACCACCAAAGCGCCATGGCATTTGAGAAGGGCAACAAGAGAAAGAAGACTAGTAAGCGCAAGGGACCTAGAGTCCTACGTGTTGACTAGATGCAAAAGAAAAAGTTGCTAGATTTTTCTCTTTAGACCAGTAGCAGATTCCTTCTTTCTGTATATCTCTTATCTTTTGAAATGATGAAAAAGCATTTGAGCAAAAATATTTTGGCGTCGAATCGTTTGGCTTGACCTCACGACCACGGTATAGTAAACACAAAACTATTATAATGTGACCATTTCAGGGTGTGAGAAGGGTTTCTGATATTGGTAAGGTTTTGACCCTGTTCCTCTACAAACTTTCGTCATCACTATTGGGAATGAGCCCTCTTAGCCCGCCAAGTAGAAATCACGGGTCTCCGGCAAACGATGTGCTCAGCATTGCTTCACCTCATGACTCTGGAAGTCATGCCCAGATCCAAGAAGTTTCTTGTCATGCCGAGTTTTGCTGGCTCGGTGGCCGCGGACAAGCTCCCCGTGTGTGAAAGACAGTCACACTGCAGCTATAGACATACACAAATTTTTGTAAAGAATGCGGTCTCCATAGAGAGAACACCATTGAAAGCTGTCTCAATGGCTAGCCTCGTATTCGAATTACAACTATGCAATTCTATAGCTACATAGGGACTGTCTTTAGCACACGAGGAGGAAGGAGAAAGGTTATGGTTTCCAGCAGATCCCTTGCGGGACCAAGCTTTCTTGGTGAGGGGTTTGTTTACGATTTGTGTGGCTGGTGAGGGCTCGTGGCAGTTAAAACACATGATTTGCAAAGAGTGGAGATGCGGAACGATCTGTGGAAGGAGTTTAATAATGAACAGAGGTGCAGAGGTACTCAGATGACAAGGAGAATACGCGAGTGCAATATGGAGAAGCACAGTCGAGTAATCCCTCTTGATGATCAAACCTCAGAGCTTGCGCATGTAGAACCTCTGTCGTCGTCATTGTCCAAGAAAGAAAATGATTGCAAGTCGAAGGTGAGGCTTGGCTGGAGCACGGGTGTTTTTAGCCTGCCTGAGGCCACACCGAGTAGACAGGCCATGGCAGAGCATCTCGATTCTCTGGCATTGTTGATAGACCGTGTTCAATCCAGAAGATGTGCAGCGGTATCATGCTCAACGTTCAGGCGATTGAGACGAGGATGTTTGGTCGGCATTGGTGAGAAAACAAAAGAGGTAGGTAGAATGGAGGATTTCAGAGCAAGAGCGGGCACACGAATCGGGGTTGTTCTTACCTGATTTTGACGCCTCAAAACATCAGTCGTCATCGGAAGCATACGCGGCGTATCATGCATGGATACGCTCTTAGCCCAGAGCAACAACATTTACTTTATACGAACAAATCAAGTCGGCGCTTCGCACGCACCCTCGAGATTGGAACCATCAATCCAGCAGCCTAGCACCAGAATATGAATAGCTCAGGGCAGAACTCCGCCCCTCCTCAGCCACGGTTGGAGCGCTTCAACACAGCGCCAGAAGATCCTATAGAAGAAGGCCTCGTCCAGCCAGTCGCTGTATCGCCCGAATCCACTCGCATCAACATGAACCGCTCATCTGCCTCTACCTTCTCGACCAAATCAATACCGCCGCCTGGATCTGTCCTCACTGGCAAACAGGAACACTGTATGTTTCCTGCCATGTCCAAGTCAGCCCCGCCGCAACGCTGACACCATCTCCTCAGACCTCAAGCGCGAACTCATCTCACAACAGACAGAATGGGAGATTTCAGAGCTGGCCTCCGAGACTGCCCTACAACGCTTTGGCGCTCCCTTCAAGTCAGATGCTGGTGAAGTCGCACCAGAGGATTCCGAGCTGCCTCTGCTGCGTTACATGTTTGTGAACCATGTCCGCAACTTTCCCTTTCTTGATAGAGCCAGAGAGAAGGAGTTCTGGCAAGACAAGCTACAGACGGTAGGTCGCATCCCTCTTTTCAGCACAAACTCAAGCTGACTGCCATACGTCCAGTTCCTCGAGTCTTTTGCGACGAAGCGCATATCCTCATCCGAAGATCGCCTAGAAGAAACAAAACGCCGAAAGCTTGCCGTGAAGGCCCAAAAACTAGTAGAACTTATGATGGTATCTGGACTGCCCACTGCATCTGGTTACGAAGAGCGCATCCGATTCTCAGAAATGGAGGTCGTCGATCGAGGAGCCAACGAGCAAGGTCTGGCATTGAATGTACCCGAAGGACATTACATAAATGGTTGGGATGTCAACGTCGCTTCCGTACGAACCACCAGTGTCAAAAGACATGTACGCCATCACGCACATGCAGAGTTTCTGCTCCGCGTCAAACGACAGGGCAAGCCCGAGATCTATGTTGGAAGGAGATACGGCGAGTTTGCTCAAATGCACAAGAGATTGCGCCTCGAAATACCAGGAAAGGTGCTACCGCCGCTACCTCGCAAGAATCACTCAAGCTCGTTATACACCAAAGACGACGACGACGATGACTCAATCTCATCTGTTTCGACCCAAGACGTGAAAGAGGCCGCCGCCCATGATGAGCCTGCGCCAGCCAGCACTGGCTTCCGCAGCTATCTTCCAAATCCTTTTGGTGGTGGTCACCGTAGGACCGCCTCACGCTCGTCGCAAACCGCTTCTCCTCGCGCTTCCTTAGATGCATCTTCGACAACAAAACTCAATCGTAAGTCGGGCGACTTCAGTCGAGACCATTCACCACCGAAAGTCCTATACAGAGAAGAACAGCGTGTCTCATTGCGAGCCTTCCTGCGTAACTTTTTGCAGAACGAGAGCATCGCCAACAGTAACGCTATGAACGACTTCTTGACTGGCAATGTCGTAACACTAAATCAGGAAGAGATGGATGATGTCAAGAGGCGTATCGAGATGGACGACAAGCGTATTGAGGAACAACGGCGCTTCTACGAAATTGCACGTGCAAGAGCCAGGGAGCTTGATGTTCACATGGAGAAGTTCAGGAGAGAAGTCGTCGAGAGCAGTAAGTCACACTTGACTCCTGAGAGTGTGGAGTGTGTTCACTGACGAATGATCTAGATGGATTGACAAAGCTTTTCGCCGAGATCAAGCAGAAGAACACGATCGCAGAATTGTCTCCCGAGTACAAGAAGTTTGCTGAATGGCTTCGCATTGAGTATGCATTCCAGATGCCAATTTCCAATATACAACGCTAACTCGGTGCTTCAGAGTGGCAGCTGTGATCTATCATCTGTTCCTGGCCGAAGACAACAGTCCCGAACTGTTCGCACAAGCAAAACGTATCCATTCCTTGATTCCATACACCGCCCTCAAACAAGTCATTCGATTCGCAAACCCAGCCGCCGTCATGGCTGGTGTGCTCGACCTGTTCCTTGCTCAACCTTTTGGCGCAAAGTCTCTTTTGCAACGTATATTCTCCCTGGCTCTAGGAGACAGCATCCGCTCCGTTCAGAAGAGCATCGACGGCCTAGCTGCTAAAATCAACGAGCCCGTCTTCTGCGAGAAGATCAAGAACTACAACCAGTGTAACCAAGACATCAAGGACGCGATTCGAATCGAAGCCACTCAAGACGACCTCGATCTCCTCGTGGCTATCTTGCGAAGCGAAGATATCAAGCCAGAGCTTAAACCTGAAGAGGTTGGAAGGGCATTCAACGCTTATGTGGCATGGAACAGTGCAGTCGAGAACGTGAGTATTGTTCTTCGCAATTTCTTACACTTCCGCTAACCAAAAATTAGGTTGATGAGGAACTCAGAACGGGCGCCGAGACTTTTGCTCACCTGAAGCAATTACTGAAACTCTACACACGTCAACGAGATAAGACTATGATGTTGCGAATGATTGAGGAGCCCACAACTTTGCAACTCTTCCGCGATCTTTTCACAATCTTCTATGAGCCCCTCGTCAGGGTTTACAAATCGGCCAACGTCTACAACAGTATCAGCGACTTCGCACGCTTCATGGACGACGTGATCGTTACAGTGGAGAAGTGTCAACGACAGGACGTATCTGCCGATCCTAACCAGACGGTTCAAGCCTTTATCGATCTATGCGCAAGACACGAAGATTCGTTCTACAAGTTTGTGCACGAAGTACATCTTCACGATAACGGCTTGTTCGACCAACTCATGGGCTGGATAGAAGGCATTCTCTCATTCCTTCGTAATGGTCCTCGAGGTGGCGGCAAATTGGATATGAATGCTCTCTTCCAGGGTGCAGTCGAGATGCGACAAATCGACAAGGATGCCGCTGTACGAGAGATAAACTCTCTTATCAAATGGCAAGAAAAACGCAAGAAGTGGCACCAAGACAAGACACGTCAAAAGATGGCCACAGGCGACGCACCCGGCGCGCCCGATGGCGGAGCCTCAGATCTCATCGCATCTTTCAAACCTGATGACTTTGGTCTCAACGCTTTGGACATCCAAGACCTCAATAACGACGAAGACGAATACAGTTCCACGGACGATGATGAGGAAGATGCTGATCCTATTGCTGCAGAGAGGAAGCGCAGGGCCAGGCGACAGGACTTCCTTAGGAGGAATGCTGGCGAACCTGTCAAGCCCGATATTGTTGAGGTTACAAAGATGCGTGACGGCTTCTTGGCCATGCTGAGGATGGTATTGGCTGAGTAGAAGCTTGCATCTTTTCTCTATCTCCTCATTGCTAGTGGTAATTTTTATTAATACACATGAGGCTTTGATGATACCCTGTATTCATGCTTCAAATCTTGAGTTGACACATTTGACCCTGTGTATCTGTCGCCCAAATCAACTTTGTGTTCTCGTCACTCAGATCGCCAGAGATCCTCAGTATATATTGCGGCACTGGACCGTTGCTTCTTACTATCAAAACCTCAAGTGGGTGACCAACCACCTCTCAGTGCCGCCAACAACTAGTTCACAGGACTCGGTCTTTTGCTGTTGTAACCCACCAATGGCAATCTGGCCAGTAGCGACCGACAAACGATAACCGCGTCCGTGTACAGCACAGAAAAAAACAGCGACTTCCCGTGTCCATCATCAACAAAGATGGTTGATGGGTGGTATTGTGCGTTTGTGCAATGAGATAATAAGCTTAGGGAAGGCGGAGAGATTGAGAAGGGGAGATCTATGCAAAAGCTAATAAAGAGGAGTAGCGTCGACATGCGAACGAGAGGAAATGTAGCGTTTCCCGGGATGGGAGGTTGGGAAGTTGGGATGGATTGTGTGATTGCGCAGTGTTTGTTTGTAAGCAGCAGTGTTGAAAGGGGAATTGTCAAGGCAGAAAGGATTGGCTAGATAAAGCAGGTTATCGACGCTTGTATTGACGATCGTATTCACTTCACCACGAAACAACAAGCAGCAAAAGCACGTATAAAAATGCAGAAAGGTAAACAAAGACTAGTCCTCCTCATTGAGACTGTCAACTCTCTGATATCGAAGCTTTTTGTATGTATCTGACTACACACTACCCAGTCATCGACAAGATCAGAGCTACTCTGCCTTGAAATCGATCCTTCCACCCTGGAAATCAGGTCTGAAAGCCACAGCACCACCCTTGGTTAATTCTCTCAAAGCCATAGTAGCATATTGGGAACTACCCAACTGCATCTTAATCACCACGGCCAATTTCTGCTCTTGCTGTTGCTCTGTTTTTGTTGCAGCACCATCAGTCATGTTGACATCTTGCTGTTCCAAAGACTTTTCAAGACTCTTATCTGAACCCAACAAAGCCTCTGCTCCTCCCAAAGCATCTGCATTTCCCTCCTCCTTGGCTTTTGCAATCAGTTTGTCCAGATCTGTTTGGCACAGTTGTTCTTCGTCGTGGAAGTAGGGTTTTACTTCCCAAGCCAAGCCTTGAGGTTTCGCCATCAGTTTGCGGTAAGATCCCGAGAGCGAGATGTCTCTCCATTTCCTGCGCATGTCTTTGGGGTTGAGTTTTCCTCCTGCTTCACTGCCCATGTATTCAGAGTAGAAAGCGCCGAGTTCGTTGGCTGGGTACATGACATCGAAACCAGGTAACGGCAAGACCAAGTCGAAAATCGTGTATTTGCCGCTGGAGGCTTCTTCGGGGGTTAATGCGCGAGCACGCTCGAATTTGTCTTCGAGGGAGGTGGCGGTGTCGTGGGCGGCTGGGCGAACGATGATTTCACCGCAGTCGTCGATGGTTTCTTCGTCTTGTTGGGCGTAGGCTTCTTTGTCTTTGTGTTCGTGCACGAGGACGAGGTCGCCGGCTACGACTTTGTTGCCGTAGAGTTCATATCGACGGCCGGCTACTGTGTTCCAGACTAGCGATTGGTAGGCGTGAACGTACATGAGACGGAGGTTGCGAGGGATGTTTTGAAGAGCACCTTGCCAGTCCTTTGCGCGTAGTAGTTCTCCGGATTTGCGGTCTACCCAGCCCAAATGTCTGATCAAAGCATTTTCGGCTTGGAAACGACGAGGGAGCTTGTCGAGAGCAGCTCCTGACTTCTTTGTTGTTTTCCAGATGTGCAGAGCCTCGGCGCGAGCAATATCATCGTGTGAAATCTTGGTTGAAGCCTGGTCGGGATTAGAAGCGGCGGCCAATGCCTCGGGACTGTAAGACAGAATGTCTTCAACAGCGCTCTCCAGGTCACCGCGAAGCATCTTCCTGCCGATAGTATCTGTGGAAATGGCAAAGGTACCGAAACGCTGGAGGCCGTAATAGTTAATGAAACCGCGCTCTTGGAATTGTGCGATGGCATCGCCAGTGATTTTCTTTGCATTCTCGAGCTGAGTGGCTGCATCGCCTTGCTGACCAGGGAACGTGCAGTCACGAAGAGTGATTGTGAATTCGTTTCCGTAAAGGTCGCCCAGATCAAGACCCTGGGGCATGTACTTGAAGCCACCGAGTCTGGCTTGCCTGAGTGTGGAGTTGATGCCCTGCAGACGATCGGCAGCAATGCGGTATGCACTCACGCGCTGGACAGTGACACCTCTGCGATCCTTTGTTCCGGCGAACTGGAAGTTTTTGACGTGTAGCTTGAGCTGACTGGCAATCCAGTAAAGCACCTCCATAGTATCCTTGTTCTCCTTGTACAGAGTAAAATGCAAGTGTTCACCTCCAAGCTCTTCCCAACCGACCTTGCCCTTTGGGCGAGCATTCTTTCCTTTTGATCCAGGAAGAGCGCGAGCATTGATCTTGTTTGCAGCAGCAGCAACCTTGATGGCGATTGTGTTGTCATCGTTGGTCATGGTGTCGATTCTGCCGTTGAAGATGCGACGGACGTTGATGTGAGCATCGGTACGCATTTGCTTGTCTTGGATGACATCTGATTGCAAGTTGCCATGATCTCTAGGCTTGCGCTCGGGGCGGGCGATGGATTTGGCGTAGAGGTTGCAAATGTCGGTTGTTGTCTTTTCGCCGAAGATGGTCTTGAGAGTGCCAATGTCGGCGGGTGCGATCTATAGCTTGTCAGATAGATGTTCTTAGCCTGGTTACAGTGGAACAAACCGAAGCAAGAGCCTCTTCGATGCGCTCCTTGACAGCCAACTCTGCATTGTCGGGCTTGGGTTGTTCCTCTTTTACAGGTGCAGATTCAGCCTTGACGGGTTCGGCAGACTTCTCCTTCTCTTCTCCTGCCTGTGTATCCTTCTCGACCTTCTTGACAGCCTTGACAGCGGGACCAGTCAATTCATCCAAGTGGAAAACGGTGCCGTCTGTGGAAATCTCGTTGACCAGGAAATCGGTGTAACGCTTCTTGACGACACCTCCAAAACCAGCAGATTGTGATGCAAAGACAGTGATTCCGGCACTCTTCTCTTGTTCCAGTTGTGCTGCTACAGCAGCGTCGACTTCTGGTAGCGATGTTGAGACTGAGTCCTCGGGACCTGTGAGGCGAACCTTCTTGCGCGGTTGTTCGTCCGACATAGCGACGATGATATGCCTGATAGTTTGGGTCAAAATTGGTAGATAGGCGAAATATCTACACAATTGTTGTCAAGTTCGAGTCCTTCAAGCACAAGACCACCGAGATGGCACTTTTTTCGGGGTTTGCTTTGTTTGTCTTTCATGACGGCAGGCACTCCGCCCGTGCCTTCCCAACTTCGCCTCTCCATCTTCTTTTCCTCTAAAAAACATTCTTATCAAGATACACAATCTTCTCTGTATCAGGTCTTCGTCCTGAGAGATGTGAGCATACGCTGAAGGACAGGTACAATCAATAGGAGGGTGTCGTCTCCCGCACGCGACCTAGACTCATTGTAGCTCCTTGCACTGCCAGCAGTCCTTCTTGCTGGTGGTCCAAGTAGCAGTCGCTCGGGTGTCCACAAGCAAGTGATACTTGTTCTGGTGATTCATAGCCATGTAGCAGTGAGAACTTTGTGGCCGGTACGCAATGCGTAAGTTTTCGTGCTTTTCAAGTCGGTGGTGAGACTGGAATGTCCGTCTAATCGCGCCTGCTTCTTTGAGCGCCTGCTTGTCTTGCAACACAAACGCTGTGCTTTCACTCACTCGACTCTGCTGCCTTGACGCGTTCACAATCAAATTTCACTTTCCAAACCTTCCACTCCATCGTTCGACCATCGCACATATCTCAATCATCGCAACTACTTCCTGAGGTCATCGCTCACGCCATCCACCATGCCTCCAAAAGCCCCCACTCACGTTGAGCACAATGTCTATCTCACATCTTCTGTCACGTTTGACAACAAGAAGGACGATTTTGGAAGACTCCAAGTCTACCAAGCTTTCTCATCCCTTGACGAAGCAAATGATTTCTGTGCCGCCAAAGCTGATGAGCTTGCTCAGAGCCTCGACATCGAGGCCCCTGAACCTACTTTGAAGCACTACACCAACGATGGCGCCTTCAAGATGGAACTGCCTCTGGAGAACAGAAACAGAGATGTCATCGTCGAGACGCTCATCATGCCTCTCATGGGCGGCGTCATTAAGCACGACAAGCCAGTTTCTCGCAACACCACAAAGTCGAAACAGGCCAACAAATCAAAAGTCAAAAAGTCACAAGCCTCCGACGATGAAGACGATCAGGATGTCGACATGGACACCGACACAAAGCCCACGAGAGCCACAACTCGCAAGGATTCCAAAGCCTCAAAACTTGACACAGAAGTCACTCAAGCCGACATCGATGCAGCTCCCTCTGGCACCCGCGATGTTCTCAAGACCAACGAATCATACACTATCTTCGGACACCATAAGTATTGGAGTGAAGAGCAAGTCAGAGTCATCGTTAGATTGTTTGGAGGCAGAGTGAACAAATCGCTGCCTGTTTACCACCAACCCGATCACACCCTCGTACTTGGTTCAGAGGTTCCTTCGAGGCTCCTGGGCCGCATCAAGCAAAAGGAATTCAAGCCAATTACTCCTGACGACATGTTTGCCTACATCACTAATATGTCTAATATGGCTGACCCTACTGGTGCTTCCCGTATCACCAGCGAAGAAGTCGCCAAAGCCTGCAAGAAGGTCTCCGGCAAGCCTGTCAAGGAGGATGAGTCAACAGACAGCGACGTGGACGTCAAGGACGCTTCGGGATCTGACAAGGAGTAAGGAGGGATATCTAGAAGGACAGAGAGGCTGCAGCATACAAAAAATCATAGGGCGTGAGAAGCATTGCTAGAAACATTGCTAGAAGTAAAGGACCATGGCTACAAGATAGCACTGCAAGAAAGCTTTCATCTGAACAATAGTCGATCTCCCGTGTGCTTAAAGTTAAGCTGTAGAGATGCTTTACAAAGAACATGGTTTCCACAGAGATACACCATCAAGAGCTCTCTCAGTGGTCAAGCTTATATCCAAAACACAATTGTGCATTTCATCAAACTACAATACCTTTGTACTTGTATTCTGGGATGTGATACAATAGTTGAATGCTGAAGACGACGTTGATAGATGCTTCAGAAGACGTCATTTTCGGATCGGCAATCTTGACCCTGAACCTTTTCTGCACGCTCGGTCCCAACGATCTTTCTTGTTCTCTGCTTTGTCCTGTTTAGGAGGATGCTTGATCTGCATCCTGACTCTTGCGTTCACCACGCTCGTCATTTCAGAACCTCACTGGCGTTTTGGCGAGTCAACAACCCATGTCAAGACGTGCAAGGAAAGTAGTAGCATGAAGGAAATCCGCTGGTCGTGACTTCTGCGACTACACAACGAGCTGTGCCGTGCTCCCGATCGTGTTCGGCTTCATGTGTTCTGTTGACTCAACACCTGACATCCATCCAATTCCGAGCAGAAGATTGCTGATAAATTCGCTGCGACATGGCCATGTTTGATGTATCTCGTATCATCATCAACCTCGGCACCGACTCTGCACGCGATATGTCGTGAGCTTTTATAGGCTGCCGGCATGCAATTCCGTGCAAAAGAGTGGGTTTTGAATGATTCAGGTTCGTCCCTATCTCGGTGGATCTTGACGAACCGAGGAATCTGAGTTGTTCCATCTTTGTCGAACGCATCATTGTAGATCTTCGAAGATCTTTGCAAGTCACTGTTTTTTCTATCTTGCTTCTTTCTCAACATTGATTAAGCCAACCCCTGCACATCTATCTGTCCTTGCAGCTACATCGTCCATCTACACAATCGCAATACTCGTGGAAACGCGATTTTTGTAGTTGGTTGCTGAACTTGCTGCACTTTACATTGAGTCGACGAACAACTCTTCATTTAATTCCGCTTAAGGACTGCGGACTTCGAACCAGCCATATGGCTAGCACACCAGATGAGACGGGCTACCCGTCGCCAGAGACGCCATCAGAAGGCCTTCCTACACCAGGAGAGCATGCACGCCTTCATCATCTACTCGCCACAATCGATGAGCCGGAGCAACCACCTTTCATACAGTCTCGCATGCACTCATTAACACCTACGCTACACGAGGAGTACAATGATCGTCGCAGCTCCAGAACAACAAAAAGGCATTCTTACAATTCCATGACTGAGAAAGAACTAGACAACCGAGAGCACATGATCCAGCAGAAATATGCTGAACGCCTCTGCTCTAAGTGTAAAAACCTGGACCGGGATCAGGAAGCCGCACTGGAGGCTATGCAGATTGTACCACCAGAGAAGGAAGAAGACAGTAAGATTGTTACCTGGGATGGTGAGAACGATCCAAAGAGCCCGAAGAACATGCCCGAGTTGCGTAAATGGATGATTGTTGTCTCGAGTGGTCTGATGACTTTCTGTGTGTCATTTGCCAGTTCTGTGTTCTCGACCACGACTTTCGTAACAGCGAAACTGTTTGGTGTCAGCAGCGAGGTCATGATATTGGGTCTTTCGCTATACGTGCTTGGTTTTGCTTTTGGTAAGCCTCTCGTCGTTATTTCCTTTTGAATGTGCTGCTGATACATTTACAGGACCTTTGGTCTGGGGACCGCTGTCCGAAGCATATGGCCGCACTCGTCCTCTCTTTGCTGGAATGATCATTTTCTGTATCTTTCAGGTTCCCGTCGCTGTCGCTCAAAACCTGCAAACGATCTTCATCTGTAGATTCCTTGGCGGAGTTGCTGGTGCCGCTCCTCTGGCGATCGTCGGAGGCATGTTCGTTGATTTCATGGAACCCATCAACCGTGGTGTGGCTACAAGTGTCTTCGCCGGAGCAGTATTTGCTGGGCCTGTAGCTGGACCTGTAGTTGGCTCCTTCATCACATATAGCTATCTCGGTTGGAGATGGACTGCCTGGATCACTCTCATCATGTCGGCTTTCTTCACCATCGTCGCTTACCTAGTGACACCGGAGACTTACGAGCCTGTCTTGCTTGCGTGGAAGGCTGAGAAGCTCCGTCATGAGACCAAGGACTGGGCCCTGCACTCCAAGAGCCAAGAGGAGCCCCTCAACCTCGACACTATCATCAACAAATACCTCATGAAGCCACTCCACATGATTGCCAAAGAGCCCATCCTCATCGTTCTGACAGTCTACATGAGTCTCGTCTACGGTATCCTGTACCTGACTTTCGAAGCCTATCCTATCAGTTTCGAAGAGGATCGTGGTTGGTCTCCTGGTCTTGCCTCCCTACCATTCATCGCAATTTTCATCGGAGTTGTCCTCGCTTGCGCCATCATTGGAACCTTTAGCAAGACGTGGTATGCCAAACGTCTCATTGAATCTGGCAAGCTGAATCCCGAGGACAGACTCCCGCCAATGATTGCGGGTTCAGTGATTCTACCCATTGGTCTTTTCTGGTTCGCATGGACGTCGCATCCTGATACTCAATGGGCTGCCCAAGTGGTTTCAGGTATCTTCATTGGCCTGGGCATCATTCTGATCTTCATGAGCGGTGTCACATACATGGTCGATGTGTACTTGCTCAATGCCAATAGTGCCATTGCAGTCAACACATTCATCAGATCTGGAGTAGCTGCTGGGTTCCCCATGTTTGCAACCTACATGTTTGATGGATTAGGTGTCGATTGGGCGACATCGTTGCTGGCATTTGTCTGCATTGCACTCATTCCTTTCCCTCTTATCTTCTGGTTCTACGGCAAGAAGATTAGAAGCTTGAGCAAGTTTGCCTTTGACCTAAATTAGAAGAGCTTAGTCTCGTCACGACTGTTAGAAGATACCCAGACAACTTAACGAATTTATGAACACCCATCAAACACAGAGATGTCTTCCACGATTGCATATAGAATTTTCTGAATTTCACAGATCATGATGCGTGTTATGCCCATCCGGATTAATGCTTTGTCGGCTGAGCGCTACGAATCGCCCTCAAATCACCTCACTCCAGAACTTAAGCCACCACTCCAATGACTCTTGCAATCAATATGACTCCCAGATCCTCTGATCTACATATAAGGAACTTGCCTTCTCATCAACTTTTTCGAGGTCGCAACCACCAACAAGAAGGATTCTACGATAAAGGATGCGTCTGTCAAACATCTTCCTCGCGCTCATGGCCATGGCTAGCGCAGTTTACGGTCAAAGCGAGGACTGCTACTCCGACGAGAATGACTTTCAACCAGGCCACATGGAAGACATGGCCAAGCTCCCAGAGGAGATAGTAAGTTCCCTTTGAACCCTGTCCAGCATCCCAGAAGAATCACATTTACTAATCTCATCGCCCCAAAACAGCAACGCTGCATCAGAGTCAGCATATGGGCTTGGGCCTGGACCGATGTCGAGAAACAACTCGATCTCTTCTGCGACCACAGTACCGGCGAATGGCACCACACCATCCCTTCTTGCCTCCAAAAACACTGTCCTTCCGACCCCAGCGCCGCAATCTCCCAATACAACACTTTCAACTCTGCCTTGTGTCGTGGGTGGGAAGGTCCCGGTCTGCCCTTAACTACCATCCTCTCTTCCTCTGGCGCTGCCTTCACCACCAGCACGATTTTCCCAACATCCTCAGAAACCAGATACGTGATGCCGGAATTTACACCTAGACATTCTACGTCAACGAGTTATGCTTGTTTGAATGGACATGACCGGTGTTGGATTAATAAGCCCACGAGTATTTATACTTTGAGGACGACGAGCAAGAAGTGGACCAAGTCAAGGCATAGGTTGTTGGCGAGTACGACGCCTTGGGGGGACAAGACTAGGCCGGCAAAGACGAATGCTAGGCCCACGCATTGAGGTCGAACGGGAGAAAAAGGAAAGGAGATGAGAAGAGGAGAATGGCAAGATGGAATCTGTCATCTTCAGAGCCTGCGAAGGATGAAGGAGGTTCGAGCAAAACAGTTATCAGGAAGGATAATACCAAGCTGCGAAAAAGACTAAAGCACGATGAATCACAGTTTTTGAGATACAATGAAACCCACAAGCGACTTTCAAACATATACGACGGATAGACGGTGTAAAAAAAAAAAAAAAAAAAGACGTGGGAACTCCAAGACCAGAATTTGGTTCAAGATCTCAAAGTCGAGTCTGATATCGCTAGCTTTTGGGGGGAAACAAAAAATTGATTGTATGAGCTCGCAAAATGGCCTCTTCACAACACAGTGACAGACGAGCCAAACTGACAAATTGGATGCCCTAGGAGAATGTGCTATCCGAAGTGACCATGAAGGAGTTGCCTAGTGCTATAGCAGTATAAAATCGCTGCCTAAGCTCACAGCGTCATGACTACCTCAACAAGCGTCACATTACAACCCTTTCGAGACTGTAGCTAGGCAGACGTCTAGGCAGCAGTGCTGTTACCCCTCAGATCTGTCTATACCACAAATATTACACATCATAGAAAGATATCAAAATACATCACAAATATCACATCACATCACTACGAAATCAAGAAGACAAAATTTCCAAACTGCAGCAATTTGATTAATGCGCTGATAGACTAAACTTTGTATGGAAGAAAAAAAAAACTTCTCAACCCCTCTACCTCATCTACCCTCATTAAAAACACCCAGTGGGTACAAAAAGAGTAATAGAAGTGTCCCTGTTTGTGGAAAGTGGATAATGGGAAACAAGCCAAAGCTGAAAAGAGTTGCTTAACTTGCCCACATCGAGTCATTGATGGAACCATGCCCCTTTTTGACGTTAGGTTTTGGCAATTGGTGTGGAGCTGGATGTGCGTGAGGTGAGGGGGAGGTACTGTGACGAGGCGAACTCGCTTGTGTTTGTGGATGATGGTGCTGCTGAGAAGAAGCAGACTTGTGGTTGTGGCGACGGCGGTGGTTCTTGTGGTTTTCACCGCTGTCAGATCTTCTTGATGCCTGATTTGGTGGTCGCAACGAAGAGGTTGTCGACTTTGATTGTTTTGATGGACCGGAGAAGGGAGATGATGACTGTTTTGATGTAGAAGACGATGGGGATGATGATGTTTGTGATTGCGACGATGAGGTGGTCGGCTTTTGTGTTTGTGGCTTTCGCGATTGAGAGGAGCGAGATGTGGGTGTTTCTGCCCAAATAGAGTCGAAGATGCCTGTTGGGCGAGGACGAGTAGCTGGCTTGGGAGTGGCCTTAGACGCATTGGCGGGCTTGTCTTCGGTCTCCTCTGGCTTTTCCTCGTCAGTCTCTGGTGGAACGTAAAGTACCATCTGAAGGTAATACTCGCGAGGCTTGGGGAACTCTGCCTTGGGAGCCTCGGGCTTAGGAGCCTCTGGCTTAGAAACCTCTGGTGTGATAGTCTCGTAAGGGAGTAACTCACATTCTTGCTTTGGCATCCAGGGTTCTTCCCACATCAGCACTGGGCCGGCTCTTCTGTATCTCGCGTAGTAGTCATCCCACAATTCGTCAAGTGTCATGTTGGCCGCATTAGCGGGTCCCTTGTAACGAGCTTCGATGTCAGTGATCTCCTGCAGCATGCTGGACATGTTGTAGGTAGAACGAGTCTTGACAGGCATCGAAGCTGGTTTGATTGATGCCTTGGCGGCGGACGAAAACATTCTGAAAGAAGAGTTCGACATGTTGAGATATTCTGGAAGACAAAATAGTCTGTAAAGATGTGTTCTGTTCTTGATGTTGGTGATGAAGGCAACTAGTCAAGATGGTCCGAAGATGAAAGCAAGAAGGAGAATGGAGAATGGAGAGGGGATTTTATTGCCTCGAGGATCACTGAGAAACCCTCCTAGGATCACTGCATCTGCATTGGGCAGATCACTGAACGAGCCCAGGAAACAATTGGTGGTATAAGCGAAACCACCTCAGGTGCGGGAGTTTTCTTGTGATCTGGAGTTGTGATAGGCGAGCTCAAAACAGAGCACGAAACAGTTTTTGCATGCAAGTTTACAACAGGTGAGCAGGACTGTGATCGTGGGCAAACATCAATATGAGAATTAGCGGATCGTCACTTGGTACGAATTGGACGGCAAATATTAGAGAACTTGATGTATATCGCTTGTGGCGCGTTGGCTGAATTTTCTGAAGCTGTTTCCCGAGATATCGCGTGTTTTCTGATCCTCTGATATCAGCAATCTGGGTAGACCCCAGTATCAACTTCCCTGGGTAAACACCACATTTCTTCTTCGAAACAGGCCAAACGTATACTGCATGCCTAGAATTACCGAGTTTGATCTGGCTCTTTCGCTCTATCCTGCTGAGACAAGTGCAAGCTATGGAGCGCAGTCAGGTGACCAGGAACAGTCGTCCAGGACACCCCAAGATATTCCGACGACCGCCACATGCGGACAAAGCTCCAAGTAGTAAGGCAATCGCGTAGCAAGCATCTGGTGTCTACTTGTCGGAAAATGTTCCTTCTGATGTGGGTGTCTTCATTCGTCTTCCTCAATCGACAGACGACCGTCATCCACGACTTGATTACTTGAGAGGTATGCCAGGCAGGTTTAGTGATTCGTGATGATTGCAAGAATCTGGTACTTTTGTCAAGATAGCCGCGTCCGAGGCAAGAAGTCTGATGAACTGTCGTCGGAGTCGCATCCGGTAGTGAGCTCGAAGGCCATGATTGGGGGCGTGTCGCATCGAGTCCACATAAGCCTCATCAAATCATCCAAGTTCCCATGGTCAACAGAACTGCTGCCTCCTAACAGAGTGGCTCTCGAGCATTATCGATTTTCTGTACATGATGGAAGAAAGATAGAAAGAACACAGAAGCTAGGCCGTTATGAGTTTAACTTCATGGACTCACACGGAAGGTGGGGGGTGCTCGTCATCACCATCTCTTGCTTTTCGTTTATCAAACACATCTCTACAACCACAACCAACATAGACATCGTCCTGGTATGTGTGAGAGAGGGTCCAACGATGGGATGTATAGATCTGCAAGGACTTCTGAAATAGCTCATCCGTCGAACCAAAATTGACATCCTGTTTGACTTTACAAGCAACGATCGTCGACATGCCGTGAGACCCGGTTCATGATCATGATAAAGCCGTTCTATCCCACAAGCATCACTTTTAGCCATCATCAAGACAAATCTCGGAATTGCTGAAATCGCCGCCTACAATATACTTCAACATGCCTCTACTAGAACCCCTCAACATCATCTTCGAGGCTGTAATCACAACCTTATCAATCCTCTGTTTCCTCGCCATTACAGGAGCCTTCGCTGCAGCTGGATACTATGTCGCCGCACCTTTGGGTTACCTCGCTCTCCGGCTCATCGGCCTTGCATGGGGACAGACTACACCTCCGACTCGCAAAGAGACGCGTTGGGTGGGAGTGATGTTTATCGGATTAACGATTCTTATCATATTGCTGTTCAAAATGATTGAGCCGGAGTTTGCGAGCACTACATCTATTATGCCCGGGCTTCGGGGCTTGTCGCAGTTGATGTGGTTTAATTGTGTTGTTTACCTTGATGCTGGTTTGAGAGCGGTAGTAATCACAGGTATGCTGAGTGCAGTGGTCATGGGAGTGCGTTGGGCGGGCTTACTCTAGGCGATCACAGAACTTATCTGCCATGCTTTGCTTTTAAAGAAAAGGAGATTCTGGACAAGACTTCGAGTAGTTTGACAGAGGTTTCATAACGCATGACAGCATGTAGAGCATATATAACATGATGTTGTAGACAGCCTCACAACTTGGCCAATCTCTCCTTGGGACCGGCCAGAGGATCGTATGCGGCAACACTGAGTGTGTCTGGTGCCACAGGTGCAGTATGTGTGTGCAAACTCCTGACATCCACAAGCTCAGGTGTCAGCTGATCGATGCTGCTACAGCCGATCAAGCGCATGTTCATCTCCATCTCGTCCTTGAGGAGTTGCATAGCGCGGTCAACACCAGGTAAACCATATGCTGACATGGCGTAAAGGAAAGGACGGCCAATACCCACGCCCTTTGCACCAAGACAAAGAGCCTTGAGGATATCAGTGGCACGGCGGATACCGCCATCAATGTAAATCTCAATCTTGTTCTCGAGACCCAGACGACGCAACTCGGGCATGGTCTCAGCAAGGATCTCAATACCAGATCGTGATGTATCGAGCTGGCGACCTCCGTGGTTGGACAACACGACACCGTCGACGCCTGCAGCAACAGCTCTAATCACATCCTCGACTCTTTGAACCCCCTTGAGTAGGATAGGCATCTTAGTGACGCTCTTGAACCAAGGAATGTCCTTCCAGGAGAGCGAAGGATCGATGAAGGAGGAAATTGCTCTAGCGGCACCTTGGCTACGGTCGACATTGTCGCCACCAGTACTTTGGACGTTGCTGCCGACGTCGGAGAACTTGGAACGCATGTCCTTCTCACGGCGACCGAGCTGAGGTGCATCAACGGTGATGAAGAGACCCTTGCAGCCACGCTTTTCGGCGTGCTCGATGATGCGTTTTGTGATGTCTCTATTCTTGTTGACCTTTATGTAATTGTGTCAGTGCTGAACATGTGTGAACAAGGCGTGATCAACATACGTAGAGTTGGAGCCACTGAACTTGATCGCCCTCAGCAGCATCCATAATCTCGTCGAAAGAGCAAGATGCTAGAGTAGGGATCATCTGAATGACATTATGCTTCTTTGCGCCACGGGTCAAGACGACTTCTCCCTCGGGGTTTCCCAGCTTGCCCAGAGCAGTTGCTGTTACGTAGAAAGGCATGCTGACTTTGGTACCCAGCATCGTTGTCGACATGTCAACATTCTCAACATCAACGAGAACCTTGGGTCTGAACCAAATCTTGTGGAAGGCGCTGTGGTTTTCACGCATAGTCTGTTAAATTGGTCAGTGACAAGCAGCAAAATACAACTCTGCCAGGCTTACAATTTCATCATCAGCACCTGATGAGTAATAAGCCCAGGCCGTCTTCTTCATGACTCTCTTGGCCACAGCTTCAAAGTCCATCAGGTTGTAGCATTGCTCAAGAATAGGCATGCGCTTGATTCTTTCTTGTCTCTCGACCTCATCGGGATCCTCCTCCTTGGCCTCCTGCTGAACGGTATTCATATCGACCTCGCCCAAGTGCTTGCTCTTGTCCAGGAACTTGTCGAGGGTGTCTGGAGGGTGGATGGGCTCGTATTCTTCAGTGGCGTCCTTTCCAGCATACTTGAGGATAATCTTGGGGCCACCAGGGTGTTCGGGAAGAAACTCTGTCACGTCGTAGGCGCGTCCATGGACAATGACCCAGCATGATTCGGCGCTGTTGTGCTTGGCCACCTCTTCGCCAGTCAATTTGACGGCCTGCGTGTTGTTGCTATCATGGTTCATGTTGACTTTGTGCTATGTTTCGACGACTCGGTCAGGGCAGCGAGATTGGACGGGCAGGAGTCGACGAGGCTGGAGGAAATCGACCTGGACGCTGGGATGAGGTGGGAGACGGTCGAATAAGAACTATCAACGGATACTCTTCCGACGAGACGCAGTTCTCTCCCTCTTCGGTACAAGGGAATGGGAAATGTTGCTGTCCCCACACCACACGGCAGATGCGGAGTTAACTAACCTTTGGTTTCATCCTCGGCATATCTCTGCCCGAATCGCTTCTAAGAGCAATGCTGAAGCCATCATCCAGGATACAGTGCGTCTAGACGACTCTGCAAATATAGATACCTGTGTCAATTCTCGGTCTTCTGATTTCGATGTCATTTACCATTGCGTCTCAGCTCGGAGAAGATGCCTATGGATAATTGAGCCGCACGGCATACCAAGTACAGCAAGTGTTTCAGCATAACCCCACACTTTGACGCCAAATCGCCTATTCTTTGATTGGTCAGGACGCTTAGAATGACCAAACACTCTCGTGATTCGCTGATCCGCTATATCCGCTATACCCGCCAGTTCTTCTCAATCGAGTAATACCAGACGCAACCATCTTTCAGATCCTCAAAGAAGGCTTCGAAGTTTCGTACGATCGTCGGGATTGTATCTCATGAATGATGACCTCGACGAAGAGGTACTATAAAAATGCAGAAAGCAGTACAGAACTAACGGCATGTCCAGAGAGAGCATGCTTAAACTCTGCTTTCCTTGGATATAGTTCTGAGTATGGAAAATATCCTGCATTGCGACAGTTTTATATGGTACAAACGGCGCCATTAGTCGCATGTAGCATCTGCTGCCATGTTATATACCTTGTCTATAGTAGGTCGGAGGCCGAGATCAAGTTGCATTGTTTATCTACTGCATGAGTTATACGTTTGCTATCGTGACTACAATCAGGCTTTGGAACGACCACCTGGAGCTTCGCATAGTTACAAAGACGTACGTCGACCGGAAGATCGTATTCGGCGAGCTATTGACGCAACTTTCAGGCAGGAGAAAAGACAGGACGAAGCAGTCACATGCCGCGCCTCCAGTCATGGAGTACACCTTAGTGTTGTTGTCGTTGATAGAGAAGTTCAGAAGTCAACTGCCATCGTTTATATACTGTGCGTGTTACGGTCAGCTAGAAATTCACAGCATGAAAGTGATTGAAATTCTTGACTTGTCATCCCATCATACTCCCACTACAGCAGAGAGCAAAATAGATACTACGAAAAGGCACAGCTGTAACCAGAAGCAGAGGTATTTCCACAGAGAGTTAACCAGTTGCCGCTTCTCAGTGGACATTATCCAGTTTCCTGATAATATCGTGCATTTTTATAGCTACATGAGTGACATGCTTGCATTAGGAGAGGCTTCATAAACATCGCAAGATAACAACATATACACACGAACTAAAGCAGACACAACGCGAGAAAATGCAATGATATAGATCATAAGAATAGAATTCAAGATGCGCTTCTGTCTACCACAACAGAAGCAAGAAGTAAACTCGCTTTCAGAACATACGGAAAAAAAGCCAACTCAAAGCCACAAACCACCAAGACTCATAACAACCCCCTAGCTTTCTGCCCAAGACTTCATTTATTTAGAGTTGAAGACACCGGCAATGCACTTGGTAACAATAGCCTGATCCTTGTAGGATCCAGCACTGCCAGTAGGAACCTCGGAAAGAACATAGTCGGTAGCGAACATACCAGCAGACCAACCAGTCCAGCCAAGGTAGACATCGCTGTTGGTCATGAGGTAGTTGAGAACATCGCAGACGGCAGTAAGGCAAGACTGGTCGTTAGAGCCACCAGCCTCGGTGAGTATGGCCTGGCGACCGTTGCTGCGGAGCCAGTTGGCGAGCTTGGTGAAGCCTGCAATGTTGGAGCTGGAGGAAACGCAGGTGGAGGAGGTACCGCTGCCGTCAGAGTCGGAGTATTGGTGGACATCGAAGACGAGGTTGGTCTTGCTGCCGTCAAGGTTGGTGATCTTGTTAAGAGCGGCAGCGGAGCCGTTGTCCACAAAATTGGCGGCATGGGTCCTTCGCGGTCGTTAATTTCGGTCTGAATATGGTCATAGGTTGGTCAGAAAACTTACCAGTCGTTGCCGGGAAGCAGAATCATGTTCTGGGTGGCACCTGCCTGACGAATGGCGGTGACAGCGGCCTGAACGGTAGTGGCCCAGGCGTTGATGTCCTGAAGATCATGGGGCTCGTTCATGATAGCGAAAGCAACCTTAGGCTTGCTAGCATACTTCTTGCCCAATTGGCTCCAAATTGAAGCAAATTGAGCGTTGGTAGGGCCACCGGAGGTGCCAACAATTTGGCCGTTCCAGCGGGCGTAGTTGTGGAGGTCAAGGATACAAAGGGCAGCACCAGAGTTCAAGCAGTAAGTCATCTGCTGGTCGTACTTGGCGAAGAAGGTGGTGTCAAGGTCACCACCGAGCTTGCTGTTGACAAGGTACTGCCAGCCAACGGGGAGACGGAAGGCGTTGAGCTTGTCGTCCTTGACGAAGTGGTTCATCTGGTTTTGACCAGTGGTTCCGGGGTCGACGTAGGAGCCAGAAGAGGCACCGTTGGTGTCCATACCGAAGTCGAAACCAGCAATGTTGACACCGGCGTACTGTCAAATGTGTCAGTGTGTAACCCAGGAGGTATCAAATCTGGTAAAACATACCTTGACCTTTCCGGAGGAAGAAGAAGCAGCCTTGCTAGTAGAGGCAGCGCTAGTGGAGACAGGTGCCTTGGAAGGGGCCTGAGTAGTGGAAGCCTTGGCCGAGGTCACGACCTTAGTGGTGGCAGCAGCAGCGGCAGAGCTGGCACCGGAACCGGTTCCAGGAATGCACTGAGAGTACCAGTCGTTCGAGTAAACACAGTGGTAGCCAGCGACACAGTCAGTGGCACCAGTCCATCCGTTACCACCACATTGGCCGTATGCAGAGGAAGAAGCTGCGGCAGAACCAGCTGCTGCGGCGACGACGAAAGTAGAGTACTTCATCTTGATATAGAAGGGAATAGCGAGAAAAGAATGGCACGCTAGTTTTATGAAGAAGGGTTAAGAGAACGAATGGAAGACAAGATGTCAAGAATGCTTGATCAGAAAGAAGGAGCAGGCAAGACAGGCCCAAGACTTTATATACAAAGAGGTGTACCTACAAAAGTGGATATCACGGCTGATGATTGGGGCCATGGATCTAAACAAGAATGGGTCGACTGTCTGGAATACATTAGCGAAGCAACGCTAAGATCGAGAGAGGGGTGATGGAAGACTACTGTGCTGCAACACAGGCTAAAGCCCTAGAAGCCTGAACGGTGGTAGAGACCCAGACAAGCATTTTGACGTTAGCCTGAACCTGGTCGCAGATCTAGCGAACATGGCATCGCGTGGAAGAATTGAAACGCCTTAGATGGTGCAATATGTCTCAGAGGGGCGACTCGAGATGAGTTCGCCGTGCACTTGACGAAAGCCATGATTGCTTGGATTGGGACAGACCGCATGGTGGTATGTCTTCATTGCGGCTCAAAACAAGTGCATCCATGGAAGAGGCGTGAGTCCGAAATGACAGGAAGCAGGGGAGCAGTCGGATCCACCGATGGATGTCGATGCGTGGTTCTTTGATTCCGCAACTTAAGCGAGCAACGGGAGTGGCGCAACTTTATATGGGGCTGAAACACAGAGGCACAACAGCAGCGCTTGGCCCTCTAGATTTCGGCCCTCTGGACTTCTGGGGATACTGTTTCATATCGAGTAGTAGGCACTCGTCCGTGCTGGCCCATCGACTACCGCTCAACTTTTGCCTGTTCGGCTCCAGTATTCTCATTGTCAACGCTGTCAACGTCAGCTGCTCAATCTCGCGTGGAAGCTATGAAGTTGGTCTGTTTCCCAAGCCCCATCTGCAAGTCATGCGAGAGGGCAAAGTAGAAGCAAGAAGCAGGAGAGATTTGAAACGGCTGACGGGTCGGCACGCCGCTGATGCTAAACAATCTAGTAAAGTGTTCTCGCCTGGCGCTTTCAGATGAAATAGCATGCCGGGATCGAAGAAGAGGCGGCTGTGTTTTGTCATCGGCTTTGTTGCCTTCCGAAGTGCATGCAATATGAAAAGTGCTTTGATCGGTACAGGGATGCTGAGAAGGAAAAAGTAAAGTGGTTCCACCTCCCAACTCACGTAATAGTACAAGTTATATACAATAGATGATGTTATACACAATTTCGCCTAGGCTAGAATTTTTATGAGTCGCGCATTTGAGTCTCGTATCTCTTGCCTCTGAAAGCCCAGACACCCCAATTGCCAGCACTGACGTCTTGAGGATCGAGGTCGTTGAGATCCCAGCGAAGACTGCGGAAACGGTTCTCGCCTGGCTGGAGCAGAATATCCATCTCGTCGCCAACGGTGTTGCGTACCCACTCGATGTCACGCTTCATGTCGTACTCTGTGTAGCCCGTGGCAATAATGGGCACCTTAGTGTCCAATAGTGGACGGATAGTGTCTTGCCATTCGTGAGAGCTGGCAGGGTGGCCCAGACCAGGATGGAACAGCACAAAGGCGTCAAAGTAAGGGTCATATGGGTAAAAGACTTGGGCGTTGTGCAAGTTGTGGAAGTACTCAACGTATGTGGTGACCTTCAACTGGTGACTGATGCGATCTTCGACAATGGCACCAAAGGGATTCTGAGGGGTGCGGGGAGGAAGAGGGTACTCGTCGTCTCGGTTTGCCATACTTTCAGGGCCGATGAAGATCAGGTGGAAGGTAGAGCGGGGGAAGAGCCAGGCTAATTGCTGCCATACCTCACGTGGCAAAGACGACTCTGCACGAGCACCAATACAGAACAAGCGAACTGGCGGAGCTGTGGGACGCAGGCCCTTGATTCCGTCACCAGCACCCGAACGAGGAGGGTGTAATGTGTATTGGAGGGCAGTGAAACTCTTGAGACCCTCTGGAGTCAGGCGGTTGCGCACATTGTAAGGGCTCAGTTCGTGAAGAACGCTGGCAACAGTGGCAGGGTATGTGAGCAGGCGAGTAGCTTGGCGGAGACTGCGCTCGTCGTTGATGGCGTTGAACTCGCGCGAGTACAGCATGGTATCCCAGTTGGTCAAATTGACCTGGGCCTCGTCGATCTGCGGACCAGGGTATTCGAACTCAGGGAAGAAGCGTCCAGAGACAAGGTCGTGATCATCCTCATTGATCTCACGGAGGGTATCGCAGATGGCCAAGTGGGCTTCGTAGTCGTCGGCCAAATGCTCTTCACAGCAAGCTACGGGAATGCCACAGTCCGGGCATTCATAACGGACGTGTGCGGGAGGCATAGTGCCCGTCTTTCGGACCTCAATGTCATCGGGACTAGTTGGTTGACGGGTGGCTGAGTGGTCGGGATGAGGGCAGTATGCATTTTGCTTGATGAAAGCGGCGCGTTTGCGAATGGCGGGAGAGGGCGAATCGCTGAAAGAGTGGAACAGGTTTCCTGGTTGTAGAAGCTCGCGGCTGCGGTCGGTAGCAAAGTCTTCGGGGCGGTGTTGGATAGCAGGCGAGTCACGGCTCAACTGAGCAATCTGAGGCCTGGGAGCACTCGTCGACAAGCGTCTTCTACTTCTTGAGATTCTCTTTGACGATGACAGGGCTGGTTGCGCCGATGTGGATGCTGAGAAGAGACGAATTGACGGCCTTGTGCGTGGAAGAGCGACGCGCGAGAGGCATTGCCTGCACGCTGAAGAAGTCGACGACAAGGAAGCCATCGCTGCGTGCTGATTACAGATTGAAGTTGTTCCTTCTTGTTTCGTCAGATCATCATTCGACTTTCCAGTGATGCAGGCCCGAGCTTCGACTTTTGAATGTCTTGGCTCGGCGTTGCTGCAGTCGCGTAGCCATCGACTTTTTGAGTACGAGGACCATCATCTTTTGTGTCGCCATTCCTACAACAGCTTCAAGCTATCTCGAAAGAGTGCTTGTTCTCTGCGCCGCAGCCGTCTTCCGTGTTCTGGTCCTCTTCGCGGCCGCAGCTTGTCCCTAGACCTCATCCTCCCGGCGCAAGTAACAGGACCAGCTTGCGCGCCTCTCCACGACCTTTACGATTCAACGACTATATACAGTACCCTCTCTAGACCTTTAGAGCGCCCTCGAGGGTCGCTCACCACCCATCGCCCGTCATGTCTATCACCTCCAATATGAGCATGTACTCGCTCACCCTGCAACCTGCTGGTGCCATTACCCATGCCATCGTTGGAAACTTTGTCGCAAGCAGGCCCAAAGAGCAGCAAGTCGTCCTGGCTCAGGGTGAAAGACTGAGTCTGTTGACCATTGACAAGGACACGGATCAGGTTCGCACCATCCTCTCACACAACGCCTTCGGCATCCTGCGCAACTTGTCGTCCTGCAGAGTCCCCGGTACTCCTCGTGACTTGATTATCGTCTCCTCAGACTCCGGTCGTGTTTCGCTCCTGCAGTATGATGACGAGAAGAATCGATTTGAACGCGTCCATCTCGAGACATTCGGCAAGTCGGGCATTCGTCGAACCATCCCCGGTCAATACCTCGCCTCAGACCCGCGTGGTCGATGCTGCATGTTCGCCTCTGTCGAGAAGAACAAGGTCGTGTACATCCTCAATCGCAATGCAGAGCAACAGGTCACAATTTCCTCGCCACAAGAAGTCAACCGTCCGCAGACATTGACCTTCGATATCTGTGCTGTCGACACAAACTTCCAGAACCCCGTCTTCGCTGCTCTCGAGGTCGATTACACAGACAGCGACCAGGACCCGACGAACGAGTCCTACGACATTCGCGAAAAGCTCCTTGTATACTACCGTGTTGATCTCGGTCTGAACCACGTCGTCCGCGAGTGGGCTGATGCTGTCGATTACTCGGCCAACAAACTGTTCCCTGTACCTGGTGGCGCCGATGGTCCCAGCGGTGTCGTCGTTTGTTCGCAAGGAAAGATTACATACAGACATCCCATGCAAGAGCCTCACACGCTAGTCATTCCTCGTCGCAAGGGTGGTCTCGAGAATCCTGATCGCGAAAGGCGCATTGTTGCTGGTGTCGTGCATCGTTTCAAGGCTGGCTTCTTCCACTTGCTGCAGACCGAGGACGGTGACTTGTTCAAGCTTACCATGGATCTGGTCGAGGACGATCAAGGTCGCAAGACCGGCGAAGTCGCAAGCATTGAGCTTCGCTACTTTGACACTTTCCCTATTGCTTCGACCATGTGCATCTTGAAGTCTGGTTATCTCTTTGTCGCAGCCGAAAATGGTGACAGCCACTTCTACCGCTTCCTTAACCTCGGCATGAATATCGACCCTCTTACAGACAGTACCTCTGAGGAAATCTCTTATTTCTTCCCTCACGACTACGACAATGTGGATCAATCAGCGACTGTTGGTAGTATGCATCCTCAGCGCAAGACTGTGGTGCAGGATATTACTGGCGGAGATGATTGGAAAATCTATACTACAGCTGGAACTGGTACTCGTAGCTCTTTCAAGACTGTCAGCCATGGTCTGAGCGTCAGTGAACAGACTCGTGCAGAATTGCCTGATCAACCCAACAACCTCTGGGTAGTCTCGGATGATCGCTTCTCCGAGGCAGACAAGTACATCGTACTCGGTTTCCGCGATGCCACGCTCTTCCTGGAGGTTGGTGAGAACACTCACGAAGTCTCTGATCATGGACTGCATAAGGAAGTCACTACTATTCACATGGGTCTTATGGGCGATACCGGTATTCTGCAAGTCTGGGACAGAGGTTTCCGCTTCTATACTGGTCCTGACAGCCCACAAGAAGACTGGAAGTGTCCTGCGCATCGCACTATCATCAAAGCCACAAACAACCACCAACAGCTGTGTTTGGCGCTCAGCTCTGGCGAGCTCCTGTATTTCGAGGTATCACAAGACGGCAGAAGAATCCAGGAGTATGAGCAGGGTTCTGACGTCTTGACCGTATCAGGCGTCGTTCAAGCCATGAGCATGGGTGACGTTCCTGAAGGCCGCGTAAGAGCTCCCTTCCTTGTCGTGGGATGCGACGACTCAACCATTCGTGTCTACTCTCTTGATCCTGGTGGCGAGATGCTCAAGTCTCAGTCCATCCAGTCTCTCACATCACCTCCTCGTTCGATCGAGATTCTACCAATGGAAGACTCGACAGGCATGACAACGTTCGTCCATGTTGGTTTGTTTTCTGGTCTCTATCTACGTGCTGTCCTGGACGATATCACTGGCGAACTCGGCGATGTGCGATCACGTTTCCTGGGTGCTGAAGAGGCCAAGCTTTACCCAGTCGCTATTAACGACAGTCCTGCTGTGCTTGCTTGTGGCGCCAAGACCTTCCTGTCCTACCCTCATCCCGAAACTAAAGAGTTGCTGCTCACACCTCTTGACTACCATTCATTCAACTGCGCAAGTATGCTGAGATCCAGAGTGGCTGGTCGCAAGGGACAAACCTCTGTCAGACAATCGATCGTCGCGTTACGCGGTGCTGAGATCTTCGTCTTCAGCATTGGAGACACCTCGAACAACATCCTCACAAAAACCATTCCTCTCAAACACACTCCTCGCGATTTCTGTAGACATCCAGACTATCGCTACTTCTCCGTCATCCAATCTGATCAAAACGTACTCAGTAAGCAGGCTAGGGAAGCACTACTTGCCGACCCAACGAGATCAGAAGAAGATAAGAAACAGATGGGACCTAGCGAGCAGTTTGGCTGGCCGCGAGGACCTGGCTGGGCATCGTGCATTCAGGTTGTCGACCCAACAGCTGAGGATGAGAAAGACGGGGTTGCATACACGATTGACCTCGACTCGAACGAAGCTGCGTTATGTTGTGACATGGTACCCTTTGAAAACCAAGATGGCGAAACCTTCCTGCTTGTTGGTACCGGCAAAAACATCCCATCTGGAGCACCAACACCAAGCTCGCCTAAGTCGACTGGCTCAGTACATGTGTACCGAGTGTTAGACCCTGGCAACGAGCTTGAGCTCATCCACAAGACCGATTTCGATAAGCCAATCCGCGCGCTCATGCCCTTCCAAGGTCGTCTTGCGCTCGCCGTTGGGAACGAAGTCTTCCTCTACGATCTTGGTATGAAGGCTCTGTTGCGCAAGGCCCGTTGTCGTGTACCTGGCACTCAAATCATTGGTATGAAGACACAAGGCTCACGTATCGTTGTTGGAGACGTGCAAGAATCCGTCTGCTATGTTGTTTACAATCACAAGGACAACAAACTCACACCATTCGCCGACGACGTGATTGCTCGATGGACCACATGCTTCACCATGCTCGATTATGATACTGTAGCTGGAGGAGACAAGTTCGGAAACATCTGGGCTGTGCGTTGTCCCAAGGCCGCATCAGATGAGGCAGACGAGCCTGGTGCTGCATCCTTCCTCGCTAACGAAAAAGCATATCTTGGTGGTACTCCTCATCGTCTGGCGCTTCAATTCCACAACTTTGTTCAAGACATTCCCATGTCTATGCAAAAGACGACGCTGGTTCCTGGTGGTCAAGAGGTTATCTTCTGGGCTGGTCTACAAGGCACTCTCGGTGTCTTTGTGCCATTTGTGGACCGAGAAGACGTCGATTTCTTCGGCAGCTTAGAACAACATCTGCGCACCGAGGATCCACCAATCTGCGGACGTGACCATCTGATGTACAGAAGTTACTATATTCCCGTCAAGGGCTGCATCGATGGCGACTTTTGCGAAAGATACTTCTTGCTGAGCAGAGACAAGAAGGAAAGAATCGCTGGTGACTTGGATCGCACAGTCAGAGAAGTGGAAAAGAAGATCGGTGAGATGAGGACGAGAGTAGCATTCTAAGAGACACGCATTGAAACAATAAATATATCGTGTACAACCGAAAAGTACTGTACAACTCACAGTCATTCCTTCCCCTTCGCCTTATACAAAGCGCCTTCCTTGCTCGCTTGACCGTTGAACATGAATCGTCCATTGCGTCATGGTACATAGCCAGGGTCGTCCCTGATGCAAGTATCCGAACCACGGTTTTGCTTATATTGTTCCAATCACGATGATGATTCGCTAGCTGTTATGCATGTAACTTTCAGACCGTATCGAAATCATATACAAGCCCCGTTAAATGATCCTAGAATAGGGCAGCATGGCGTTGAGTCGAAAAATCGAAAAATTTGAGCTTCGACAGCAACTTCGTCGTGGAACTTCACTGATCGAAGTAGTCGCAATTGGCGTATAAGCGCCTTCTCCAAAACTTCCTCCATACATCAATTCGAAGCCAAAGTCCACACGATTTACGACAGAGGGACTCTCGGGTCATATATCCGTCATGGTTCGCATCGAAAATGATTCTCATCTCGACGAGGACGGCATCGTCACTTAAGTCAGGGTCGCACTGCTCGCAATCAGTAGTCGTTGTCACAGCAACGCCCTCGGCCGGTCTGCGACTGCCAGAATTTCTTTTTCCATTTACGAACATAATTGCATCATCATCATCATTCTGGATAAAATGCTGGACAAACTACCCAACGAGGTCCTTCATCTGGTCTTCGAGCATCTTGCAACTTCACCAGATTTTGTCCATGATGACGATGAGGAGCAAACCAACTACCATCTCAGCAATTGGAAAACACTGGTTCAGCTTTGCAAGGTCTCGCGGCAGATGAGAAGGGTTGCAGAGCCTCTTCTTTATCGCCATTATGCTAAGCCGGACTCCACCCAAGTTCTTCGGGGTCATCACCTGTTTCGAAGGTTTCTTGATACTGTGCTTAATCGGCCGGAGCTTCTGCAGTACATTCGCTGTTTGTACATTGGTGCTTGGTCATATAAGCCTGGAGAATATGACCAATATGAGGCCTCTAACGAGCCAAACCGCTATCTGACATTTCCTGATGAGTTATGCGCTACATACAACGATTATGCAGGAAAATCAGCACTTGGCGACGTCTGGAAGGAGGCACTTCTTGCTGGCGAGGAAGCCGCAGAGATTGCTTTGCTGATGAGTCTCACACCGAATTTGGAGCACATCGAATTCTGCATGCCAGATCTAAGTCTGCTCGAGAATATTGCTCCTCAATACTTCTGGCCCAGCTTGCTTATTCCTTCAGCCAAATGGGATCCAGCTCATCATTTCCACCGGCTAGACTCTGTGATGATACACAAAAGACACCTGGAAACTGGTATGCCAGCATCCGATGAGTATGGATTTGAGGTTGATCCGTTGCTGCTTTTCATCGGACTGCCAAAGCTAAAAGTGTTCTGGGTAGAGGATGACAACGTTGGCGCATATCAAGTGCTCCCGGAAGATTATCCTCTCAGTGACAAAGTTTCACACTTGACTGACCTGACGCTCGGACTTTCATGTATTCACCCGATGAAGCTAATACAGATCCTCAAGCGCTGTACCAAGCTAGAAGCATTTGATTTCGACTTCCAGCCAGAACTGGAGTTCGTTCCAGGTTTCTCATGGAATACCATTGGGGAGGCTTTGAGAAGTAGTTGCGACACTCTCGAGGAGCTCACATTGAGTGCTGATATGAGGTCTCAGCTCGCAACGGAGCAAGAAGATGGCTCAGAAGGAACTTGTGTATCAATCGGATCTCTTCGAAACTTTACTTCGCTGAGAAAGCTGGATGTTTTACAGACCACACTTCTAGGATTTGAGAATATGCTTGACGACATCAATCTGGTCGTACCTGCACTGCCCTTCGCTGAGATGTTGCCGAGCAGTCTTGAGAGCCTCACCATCGATTTATGTACTCTTACGATTGTACCGTACCTAGAAGACATGTCGACCGTGCTCAAAGAACAATTTCCAAACCTCAAAGAGATACGTCTTAGTAACGTTGACCTCAGAGAATGGGATCCAATGGATGATCTTTCGGAGGCTGAGCGCGAGGCTGTTATTGAAAGCCGCAAAGATCGCGTGAAGCGTCTGAAGGAGGATTTTGTCAAGGCAGGTGTCCAGTGGCTATGATGAGCTTCCGATCTTACTGTGATCTGTACCTGTTACAGTGTACCACACGTAGTCGCAGGCTTTCTTGTTTGTACCCAAAGTGAATGGTTGCAACATGGAACCCGCGGATCCTGATAGGTTGGACGACTCATGGAGGATGCATCAGCCAGCCACTAAACATGCACAACGCCGATCAGAGCGGGGCTTCCTCGAGATCTCGACAAAACAATTTGCAACTATGCACGTGATGCTGACAGACGTCTGAGCTATCAAGACTTGAAAGCATCATTTGCACGATACCATAAGTCTCCAGATTCATCGCCTTGGTCCCGCCAAACAGAGTCCCAGCAATGAGCGCCAGCATCAACAAAGGCGTCGTTGTACGACCAGCGAAAAATCTCAAAGAAGCAAGGGACCTGTGGTGGCCGTTGATGATAACCTTAGGCTGGGTGAATCTCTTCCTGTTCCTGTGCCGTACGCAAAAGAAAAGAGTCTGACTGTCAACAATGTCCAGAATCGTTCATATCATGATCTCGGATCATACATCTCGGCATCACATTCCCGAGGTTTGCTTGTTGCGGTTCCTGACGAATCTGACGAGCCTGTGGGCCATTGTCAAGCAACTATCTATGATAATGAGACTGGCTGGGTCACCCTGTTTGGTATAAATGTCGTCTCCCGCACTCTTGTTATCTGCTAACAAGTCGCAGTGGTACAACCTACCAGCCAAGGAAAAGGTTATGGAAGAGCTCTGTTCGACGCAGTGTTGCAAGAGTTCAAGGACAATGACACAACCACCATCGGACTGGACGCAGTAGTCGAACAAAAGTTCACTTACGAGCGCCGAGGTTTTGTTGAGTCTCCGCTCGGCAAAATTCGCTGTATGTCTTGGAATATTCCTACCAACATCCACCATACCACATCACATGACCTGAATACGACGTTGCAGCTGGTCAACATCAAGGATGTTCCACACCAGCTTCTGGCAAAATCCGATCTCGATCACACAGGATTCGAACGCAAACAGCTCTGGAATGAAGAGTTTTTTAACCGGTCCGACCTTTTCGGATTTGCTCTGATCGATGGAAAAGGTGCCAGAAGAGTCGAAGACATCCGTGCCTGGACGGTTGTCCGTCAGGTACCTCAAGGATATCGCTTAGGCCCGGTGTATGCAGCAGACCAAGAATCAGCACACAGGATCGTCGCTGCTGCAATGGACCACGCGATACGAAGGATCGAAAATGCCTCAACCACGTTGGATATGCCGCAGCCTAGAGAAGAAAACTCGGCAACCTATACAATAACGGCGGAGATCTGGGATGGTAATCCTCAAGCTGTGAAGCTTTTCGAAATGCTGGGGTGGAGCTCCGTCGGCGTGGATTACCATCGCATGTGGGTGAATGGCAGAGCTACACCACAACAGTCTAAAGGCGGGTTAGCACACACGGGAATGTACGCCATTTTTGACGCCGCCATCGGTTGATGGGGTATATCGCAAGCGATAACAAGGCCAATGACTCGGCGTGTCATTGCACTATGGACAAGTTTTCGTATGTCGGAGCCAAGAGTTAGACCTCCATGTGGAGATCAGGCACCCTCACGAGGACAAAGGACACAAGAATAGAGTCAATACAAACAGGAATAGTGTATCAGGATGGCTCAACAAGATGATCCTGCTCGATCATTAACTCGACTCAGCGAAAAGTACATGCAAAAGATCGTCATTGTCTTACTCAACTGCTTGCGATAGGATGGAGAGCACCGTAGCCAGCAACGGGGTAAGCGGAGCAGCAATCCCACGCCGTAACAGTAGTGCGTTTGTTCCTGCAGCGGGATTCAAGTCGATGAGTTTCGACGCTGGGGCAAGAACCAATAGTTAAAGATCTGCAGGTTCGTTCCTGCCGTCATGACGCACAACCCTATGGATCGACATGTGATTTCACTCGTTCCTGCCGTGGTACGAGGGATCGGAGCATGGAGGGTCGCAGTCAAGAAACAATATTATAACGTTCTTTGCCAAGCTTTGTCTGCATGGCTGGGTTGACAGTGCGGGTGTCGGGAGATCTGCCACGTCTGCTGCAGGGCCTTGCCGCGTGTTTCTCGACTTCACGTCGTGTTAAAGCGTACTTCTTCTATACACCTAATCATAAAGTTTTTTGACATACGCAACATGTACGCCTCTTGCGCCTTGCGTTTCTGTTTTCCGTTGCGCCTCCTCCAACAGCTATCTTGCGGCGCGTTAGATTTCGTGTGATGGCCGGTACAAAGTTGCGTATGTCTTGCCCGTCTTAATCTGAAAGCCGCAACGTCCTCGTAGAAATTTATCGATTTGGCAACGGTTTCCATCTTTAGCAACCAAAGCGACAACGGTAAGTCAACTGTTTCCAAGGGAAACAACCCACTCTCTCGAGAGGCTGGTGAAGACCGCAAACCTTGCTGCTGGTGCAACTGACAACCAGCGACTTCTATATAACCAGCCTACATCAGCCACCCAAGGCATTCTTTTTCTCTCATCCACGATCACTTTCGCTCATCGACAACCACCCACTTTCGTTTAGGGGGACTCTCGTGTGTTTGTATACCTAATTCGACTAATAACAACACTCGAAGACTACGATAATGCCTTCGTTCATTTCCGCAGCTGTTGCTGCTCTCTCGCTTTCGAGCCTTGCCTCTGCCAATGTGGCTTACCGCCGCCAGGAGGCCTTCTCCAACACCTCTTCTAGCTCTACTCAGCTCTCTACCTCCTCCTCTAGCCGCTCCGTGATCCTTGGTACTGGAAGCTCCAGCATCATGACCACCAGCTCCAGCTCCTCGACTGCTGGCGCCGGTGCAGGATCTGGTTCGGGCTCTGGCTCAGGCAACTCTACCGCCACCGCCACCAGCGGAAGCACCTCGTCCAGCACCACTGCTGCTCCTGCCTCATCCACCAGTGCCACCACTGTTGGAGGCGTGAGCTTCTTCATCGAATTCGATATTTCGTACCAGGGTATCACGATCGATCTGGACATTGTTCTTGCCAAGAGAGCCGGCAACAGCCTCCAAGACTGCCTTACTACTTGCGCTGCCAACTCTGCTTGCGTTGCCACCGCTTACAACACCAACACTACTTCTTGCACTTTCTACAGCAGCTTCGACAAGAACACCAGAGAGTCTGCTCCCGGCATTGACTTCGCTCAAGTCACCGGCCGTGCCAACAACGCTACTTCCTCCGGAGCTCCTTTCCCTTCCACAACTCAGAGCAACAACGGTACCTCCGTGACTGCCAGCCCTAACCCTGGTAACAACGGTACTTTCCCCAACGCTGAAGCTATAATCTGTCCTGAATATAATGATCAAGGTAAGGAAAAAAGCCTCTAGATATACCACTACCCTTATATTATACTAACAAGATATCATCTAGTCCTCCAGGAGACCGATGGCTCTCAGTACCTTATCCGCTGCGGCCTCGAGATTGAGGGTATCGTTCTCTTGACCCGCAAGGCTCGCATGGTCAGACGTCAAGCCACCTTCGGCAACGACTGGATCGTTGACTGCATTGACTCTTGCTCTGCCATGGATACCTGCGTTGGCACTACCTACAACAGTGCTCAGGGCTCGTGCACCTTCTACAGCAGCGTCGATTCTCTCATCGCCAACGCTGACACTGATTCTGCCATCCTTGTCAACGGGGGCTCTGACGCTCCCGTTGTTTCTACCCAGACTGTTACCGAGGGCGATGTCACCCAGACCATCACCACCACCCCTCTGACCACTTCGACCGTTTACAGCACCGTCACCCGCACCATCCAGTCTTGCGCTCCTGGTGTTCCTTGCTCTGCTGCCACTGTCACTGATGTCGTCGTTGCTTACACCACCGTATGCCCAGTCTCGGCCGTTCCTACTGGCGCTAATGGCGGTGCTGCTGCTGGTGCCGTCACCACCCAGACTGTCAAGGTCTGCACTGCTTGCCAGTATGCCCCTACCACCGTCACTGTTTACCAGTGCCCCACCGCCGCAGCTGGAGCTGGCAAGCCTGTTGCAGTCACCACTACTGTCATTGAGGCTCCTGTGTTGGCTGCACCCCCTATGACCACTTCCACCGTCTACCAGACTTCGGAGCAGGTCACCACTACCTGCGGTGCTAACGGATGCGGCAAGGCCACCGTCACTGCCGTTGTCTCGCTCTACACCACTGTATGCCCTGTCAGCTCTGCTTCCGGCGCTCCCGGTGCTCCTGGATCTCAGGCTCCCGCTCCTTCTGCTGGCTCCGAGACTCTTGTTGTCCCCGGAACCACCATCCCTGCCTCGACCAAGCCTGCTGAGACCATTCCCGCCACTGTCGAGAACGGCTCCACCAAGCCTGCCGAGACTGTTCCCGCTAGCGTGGTGCCTGGCTCTACTAAGAAGCCCTCGACCACTATTGTGCAGTACACTCCTACCTCCTCCATGGTCGCCTACACTGGCGCTGCCGTCAAGAACGGCATGGGCTTCGCCGCCATGGCTGCCGGTGTTGCCGCCCTTGTCCTCTAAATTTGAGGTTCAATATTGATGCCATCTGATGCGTCTGGCACACATCACTCTCCTTAATGCCAACCGAACAACCTTATCAACTTTTCTTTGTGCTCTTACAAGAGTACTGGTGACCTTTTTGGAATCGTAAAAAAAGATTCCGGTCCCTTTATAATCACCTTATACCTTTGTTTCCTTTTGTTACAATATGTAAAACTATACTGTGGAGGATCGTCGATAGGATGTAATACCCAACCTTGGATCGTATATACCCCCGGGCTACATAGTCAGAAATAGTTTCACTTTTCAATTCAAATGAGATCTGCAGTATCTCTTGTACTTGACCTTCTTCTTTCCGTCATCTTTATGCCTGTGAGCTTGTCACTTCTCGGAATGATTTGTCCCTTCCTTCCTGCCGTATTTTGCCCCTTATTTTCTTGGCGTGATTCGACCTTTGCATCACTAGGACTTGACAATTTGCTATTGTTTTATGACCATGGAACTGTTTGCAACCGCGAAGACTTGTACCAGCAGCCATTTTCGACGTCCCTACTTCCCATTGGAAGCAAAGGTAAACCGGGTCGGAGCTCGCGACTTGCATGGTGAGCGGACAGAGGCGGCAGTGGGTGTGGGTATGCGGGTTGACTTCTTCTTTGGCGATGCGTTTGCGTCCACCTTTTGAGACTCTAACTACGAACCTTTAATAGTCTTAAGAATCTTGTTACGAGTAAGAGCACGGGTGTCGTGTTTCCTGTCGGCATTTCTAAACAAGGCAGCAAATCTGGTGAGAGATAGATCGGCACTTTCCTCGGCCTCATCTTCTTGATGCAGTAAGAGATTCGATGTCCGCCTTAGCATTCTCAGACTCCTGCTCTGGCTGTCCTTCTTCAAGCCCTGCGTGGCGCTCAATCTCAACCTCAGCATTCTCGGCCTCGTCTTCCTCTTCTTCTTCTGCTTTCTCAGCCTCGAGCTCTGCCAAAGCTTCTGCCAGCTCAGCCTCACGCTCTTCTGCCAGCTCAGCCTCAAGCTCTTTAGTGTCAATATCGATCCAGGTCACTTGGTGGTCGAACCAATCGTCTGGTCTGCGACGCTTGAGAATATCGTGAACCTCGTCGAGGATGGCGCGTAATTCGTCATGGATTTCGCGAAGTCTGGAGGAGTCGCCGGGTCGATTAAAGACACGCCAATTAGCAAAGCTGTTTTCTGCTCGAGCGCGCATAACCTGTGCGCCGTCTTAGTACCAGACTGTAAGTCACTGCATGTGTGTAGGAAGCTTACATCTGCCTTGCGCCAATCGTCTAGGCAGCATGCGAGCAGAGCATAGTAGCGTGTGCGAGGGTAGCCTGGAGTCGTGTCGCGAAGTACGCTGTTGACGTAGGCAATGCACCCGGTGTCGTCGTGCGCATTGTACAAGTCAAGGGCTCTATCGAGATCCCTCACCCATTCCATTTTCGAGGGGTATGATGTAGGTTGTTTTTCAGGATTTCAGGTTGGTAGTTATGGTCCAGTTTCAACACCCTTCAGAACTTCCGAATTTGAGTTGGTTGAGTGCGATTCAAGTGAAGAGGGTGCTGGGCGCAAGTGAGACCGAGTGTGTGAGATTGCTTTTAGACTCACTAGATGCGGCTTGCCAGTTGTACTTCTGAATTAAATGCCATCTGTGGTACTTGAAACATTCTCTTTCACATGTGATCTCACAATTTTGTTCAAATCACTATATTTCCTTGACAGAAACATTTTGCTTATAGAAGTATCTTCGTGCTCATGTTTTCCTTCTGCATTGGTTGCAGCGCTTAATTGGAGTCTGTCGACTGGGCTGTCGATCTGGCAGTGGCCTCCCGCTCTGCTAGCATCTTTGCCATACGCTCTGCTTCAAGTTTGAAGCGGAGTTGACACCACTATTTCAAATCAGCTTACTAGCAGCACAGAGAGATATGATATACTTACATCGCCACAGCTGATCGGCTCATACTTGGGCGGGTTCTCAGGACTCGTACATGTTGGGATGACACCTTCGACGCAGTTGAAGTTCAAACCTGGCCACATCAGTTTTGTCTAACAATTGGCTTGGGATGCCCTCACCGAAGAAGAAAGGCATCGAGACTCGCTCGACAGGTGCATGGTTATACACCCTATGCACTGTGCTCTTGAAGAAGTCGTTTGAAAGCCTCATCATGAAGTCTCCGATGTTGACAACGAAGGTCCCTGGTCTTGGCTTTGCTTTGATCCACTGCCCGTCTTTTGTCAAGACTTGCAGACCGCCAATCTCATCTTGCCAGAGTAAGGTGAAAAGTTGCAAGTCTGTATGCGAACCTAGTCCCACTGCATTGGCTGCTGTTTCTTCTGCCGTGGTTACAGGGTAGTAATTCAGCACTCCATCGGCACCTGGAAACGTGGTTCTCGAATCGAAGTAATCCTCAGGTAAGTCCAGGCTCAGAGCAAACACCCTCACCAATTGTCTTGCAAGCTGCAAACAAGATTTCCAATATGCCAGGATATCAGTTTTGAAGTCTGGGAGGTGGGAAGTTCCTTCCCAGACAAAGTCCTCTCCGCGGATCCAGGGTTGCACTTCTGAGGGCAGAGAAGATAGAGGTTGAGGATGGTCAGGGTCGTTTTTGGGATGGTAGCGCCAGCTGAAACTTTCCTTCACATCGACCGACTCGGTACGGCTGATGTTTGTGCTGCGAGGAGCTTTCCATCCATTAAAGTACTTGGACTTGTCTTGCGACACCTTTTCCTTGAGTTCGGTGTCTTGCTTGATGAAACTGGTAGAATTAGACGCGCTGGCACGATGAATATACCGAAATATGTAGTGTATCTACCTGAGGAATTGAGATTTTGCCTTTGCAATCACTTGGTCATCGATGCCGTGGTTCTTGATATAGAAGAAACCCATATTTGTGCCTGCGGTACGTACGGCTTGGGCAATTTTCTTGCGACTCTCAGCGCTGCTGAACAAGCCTGCGAGGTCAACGATCGGCACTTCTTCCTCGGTAGCATCGCGTGGTTTGGTGTTCAAGACATCACGAAAGACCGGACCGTAAGCAGTATGCAGCTCGAGTTTGTAGCTTGTAGGAGCTTCAGTCACGCTGGTAGATGACATTTTGGTATGGATTGAAAAGGAGGGGCTTGGATGTGATAAGATGTATACTTATGTGCTACCTGAATGCTGCATGGTTGCATCTTATTGGGCCGTCGGAGAGCGGCGTGTTGCTACAAATAGGCATACCAGATACGACTTGCGCGATATACTGTACCGAACTCAACTTTGGCTTATCGTGCCAAATCGACATGGTCAAGGACGCCTGAAGGAGGAATGATCATCTCGGAATTGAACGTGGAGGCATAGAGAGGAAAGCATGCGACATCCAGCGGCCAAAAGTCGTGGCCGAGCTCACGCAATCAGGTCCACAACCTTTCGTGGTCCCTCTGTTCCTGACTTACTCTTCCAGCTTAATTGACACACAATGATGAACTACATCAGAATGTGTTTCATCTCAACTCACACTGCCGTACATGGCCGCGCTGTGCATGAATCCAACTGATAGGCACTTCCCAATGGCTGCCCGCTCTTGCCCGCCTGTTATCTCGCCAAGTGATGCGGTAGTCGTCAAGTCGCTTCACGTCCTTGGCCCTGGAGATCCCTCGATGGAGAGCAGCCTCGAGATACCTTTGCAGAACGCTCAGAAAACTATTGCTTTGTAGTTTTGCTACACGACTGATTTGATGTAAGTCAGAGATGCAACGCAGGAAGTTGATCTTCACAAACCTCCTATCTCGTCGGTATAGTGCCTGCATAGGTGACCTCAAAATCTGTGGTCGGGCGACTGATTAGCACTGCCTATCTGCAACCATGTTATGCCAAACTCTCGGCATGTGAAGTCTCGACCGAGATCAGCGATAGGCGTTTGACCTAAGTTTCCCCTCCAGACGACTCCAAGATAATGAAACTAGGTCTGATTGCCGAGGTGAACCATACATAAGGTGGTTACTTGATTCGACTGCCTTGTGTAGATTGCCTTGACTCACATCAGTTTTTCTTGTTTGTCTTCGATACAATGTCGGGACTTGTGAGTAGAATCCGCAATGGTATTCCCAGACCTCATCTGCATGCAGCAGGCACAGATGAGGTCAAGGGTCAGGACATGTGGCTCGACAACGATGATATCAGGTACGAATGCTAGAAAAACATGACTGAACTCTTGCTGAGCAATATACAGACCACTAAGACTTGCTGATCGGACATGGAACATGAAGGCATACTTGACCTTCTGGTTCAGTGCTGTAGCCACCGTCTCAAACTGGTACGCGGCATCCTCGGCTCAAGCTTTGGGATTGAGTATGTGGGAGTCCATTGCTACTGCTTTGGGAGGGCAAATACTTATCGCCATTGTGATTGTGTTCAATGGCCGTGCTGGAGCGAAGTATCATATCGGCTTTCCTGTTTTGAACAGAGCTGCCTTCGGAGTCTTTGGAGCATGGTGGCCTACCTTCAACCGTGCTGTGATGGCCATTGTATGGAACGGAGTCAACGGCGTGAGTAAATGTCGTCCTACATCTCTAATGTCGCTGAACTTCCTCTAGGTTCAAGGTGGTCAGTGTATATATGTGATGTTACATGCCCTGACACCAAAGATCGCCAATCTCAGGAACATCATGGGCAAAGGATCAGCCATCGGCTCTGGAGAATTCATCGGCTGTATCATCTTCTGGCTCATCACTTGTACCTTCCTGGTCATTCCAGTGCCCAAGATGCGATCGCTCATCTACGCCAAGCTTTTCGTATTCATCGTTTCAGCAATTGCCATGTGTGCATGGACCTTGACAAAAGCAGGTGGTGTCGGAGCTATCGCGCATCAGAAGGGCGCGGCCACTGGATCAGAGAGGACATGGCTCCTTGTTCGATTCTTCTTCCTGGGTGCTGCAAACTGTGCAACTTTTGCATCTAATGCAGCCGATTTCCAGCGTTATGCTCGTAGGCCTAACGATGTTATTCTGGGCAACCTCGCTGGTTTTCCTTTGAGCAACTTCATCGTCTGCATCATTGGTAATCTTGTGGCATCAGCATCGCAAGCAATCTACGGCGAAGTTGTCTGGAATCCTCTTACCTTCCTTGATATGCTCCAGACAACAGAGTACAGCTCTGCGAATCGTGCAGGCTGCTTCTTCATTGCCGCTTGCTTCGGATACTCAGCAATCTTCTCATCAATTTTTGAGAACTCGCTGCCTGCTGGTAACGACATTGCGGCTCTGTTTCCAAAGTACCTTACCGTACGCAAAGGCTTCTTCATATGTGCTGCTGTGTCATTTGTCATCAATCCATGGTACTTGCTCGGCAGCGCAGGCATCTTCATCTCTTTCCTTGCATCGTACCAAATCTTCCTGTCTTCAATCACTGGTGTCCTGCTATGCCACTACTACATTGTTTCGCGCGGCTACCTCAAAATCGACGACCTCTACACAAGTGACAAGAATGGTGTATACCATTACTTCCACGGCTGGAACTGGCGTGCCTACGCCGCCTACATCATCGGCATCATTCCTAACTTTTACGGTTTCCTTAACAACATGGGAGTTTCTGCACCTCCGGGTGTCACCAGAGCTTACTACTTTGCCTATGAGATCGGCTTGATCTTGAGTTTCGGAGTCTATTGGGCTTCTTGCTATCTTTATCCTCCTGCGTTGGTCATGCCTCTAGGAGAATGGCATGAGCCCAAGGACTACGTGAGACCTGAGGAGAGGGCTGAGGTACTTGAAGGTATGCCGGGAGAGACCTGGGGAGATAATGTAGATGGTGTGTCTAAGGTAGTTCAAGGAGAGGTCAAGGAGCTGAGATGATCGCTGGCTTCGAAGTGGGTCATCAACTCTCGCGGGTATGTTTGTTTTGCTTCGTCATGTTTTTGCAGCATTTCATTCATTCCAAAGAAGTCTGGGATGCGACTTCCTCTCCATCCACATATTTTGCTTCTCTTCCCTGTTGACGCGCGTCTTGCTCTGCAACCATCTCGCCACCAGCAATTCTCATCTCCGAAAGTTCTTTGTAATCTTGTTTTCGGGTATCCCATATCATATATGGGATCCACATGCGTTCAAGGAGTTCTTGAAGTTCATGGAGCATGTCGTCCCGAGTCTCCCGACCGTGCCGAATATCACTCTATCAGAAACGACATTGCTGCAAGCGTGGATCCCGGTCCGCCATCTCACTACAGTCTCCAACCTGCTGCCTTTTTCTGTGCCATGAACACTAGACTTGCTAGCCTTACTGTGGCTGTCAATGTCGGACCTACAACTCGGATACTCATGCATCATCCTCGATCACTCATTGCGACTAGCAGAGCAGTGAAAGGCAGCAGGCAACACGGTCGTCAGGTTCCCGCAACCCTTGAACGAGATGGCGGCCCGATCCGGTTTCAGATCCGAACCCTTGACGAGCAATATCCAAGATCACGTTCATCTAGGTCGGACATATCCAGAGCAAAGGCTTGATAGCCTTGCAGACCGCATGCCTGGTTGCTGCTCGGCGTGCTCGCAACATCTAGACCTCCAGCATGCACGTATCCATCTCATATAGCCTATAGGCCTACCTCGTACTCGTGTCTGCTGAGTAGTCAATCTGTACGAAGCTAAGACGTAAGCACCTGTGATCATTGGGCTTGGCTGTTAGTGAGTATGGTTACAATAGCGGCTGAATACCATCGCCAATGTTGACCTCCTGGTACAGCTGCATTTAAGCTACAGAACGAGTGAGGACTTTGTCGCACATGATCACACACTTAGTACTGAGTAGTGCTGTGACTGGTGAGTATCACGAGTTGATTTAGGCTATAGGGTGGTGATCTACTGTTAGGATCTACGAAAACGTGGCATGCTAAAGCTGCGCTGGTTGATGATTGCTGAGTAGATGTTGCCCCTGATCTGCCTGCGTCCTCTGTACTGACTACATGGCACCCGGGCTTTGTGAGCCTCGTGGATTAGAGATTGCATATTCATAGGGCAGTTTCAAGGATGGTAGTATCTGTTTGATGCTGTCTTCCTTTGCAAAGGTTTAGAGAGTACACCGCTCTCATAGAAACCATGCCATTACCTCCAAACCTCAATAGATCAATGGAAGACAAGCGTGTAGCTGCTGGCATCATCTGCTATGCACGTCGCCGCGGTGAGCTGTCGGAGGAGTCTAGAGGCTATACCCGGATACCACTCAAGTCGGTCACATGGAAGGTGATAGAGGCGTCACGAAGACATCAGAATAGATTAAATTGACCAAGTAACGATTGTGTCACATAAGATTGAAGAACAGGAACGTGAGATGGAAGACGCGCAGACGTGTTTAGAGTGCGGGGTGATCGTCAAAAGACTACCTCGCTACAGGGGTATATCCAGTACAAGCATGCTCTATCGAAGCTTGTCCTTTTAACCGCTTTTGCCATTTTACCATTGTTGATCCCAGAATCAAGAACAAGCTACAGCGTTAGCAAAGATCAAGAAGGCTGAGATGTTAGTGCTGAGTTCTGATGACATGATGCCAATAGAAGTGGTGTTCGCTGTCAGTGCTCAACAAGAAGACATGATATTCAAGTCTCCAGAACAGATTTGACGGTCCTTGGAAGGCTTGAGCGCCTTGGTACGTGTCAACCAAGAATCAACAAGCTTGAACAAGCCTTGATGTCCGTACAGTAGTGTGTTTCAGGCGGAGCCGAGGCCAGCCTCCGAGGCTCAAACTGTGGGGTGCTCGAGACGACTGCTCACTACACATGCATCTCTTCCGTGTTCCCACAAGGATTCATATTAAGCCAGGATGTCAGCTAATTCATATCTGCATAGCCGCACATCAATCGAGTAAACACAACAAGATTCTCGACCTGGCGAAATTGCAAATGCATTGCGTGGTTGTTCCTGCAGCCGACAAATAGAGATAAAGTTACACACCACGACCCGACCCCACATCCATTATAGCGGCTAAGGTGGAAGTTTCATGCCTGCATGGAAGTATGCACAAGACGTTATACAGGGCTTTTCTTCGAGCTATCGGCCGTACGAGGTCCTTCGTATAGCCAAACTTGAAGAATACCAATGACATGTCCGGATAAAAGAGTCAGAACCATTCGATTGCAGCAATTCGTGTGCAACATATCCAAGCGAGGTGCTGTGTTTGATTCGTGGTCACCCTTTCATCTGCTTTGAAGTTGGCTTCGGGCGAGCAAGGACGTGACATTGTGAGTGGATCTATCAAAAACGGCGGGTAAATGTCGCCTTGATAGAATTATATAAGGAAGAGCAGTCCTCCCATCAGCAACTCATCCCATCACTTCCATCCACATTCACTCAAACAATCATTCCAACTCTCTTCAACATGAAGTTCTTTGCCACCATTACTGCTCTCGTTGCAGCAGCTGTTGCTGCTCCAGTCGCAGATGCTGAGGTTGAGGCCAGCAGCCCTATGCTGGTACGATCTTCACGATGATCCATTGTATCTCCAACAATCTTGCTGATCAAACACGATAGATTGAGCGCGCCGGCCCCGGCGGCATCAACTACGTTCAGAACTACAACGGCAATTTGGGCCAGTTCACCTACAACGAGAACGCCGGCACCTACTCCATGTACTGGACCAACGGCGTCAGCGGCGACTTCGTCGTTGGTCTTGGTTGGTCGACTGGTGCTGCCCGCTCCATCACCTACTCGTCCTCCTACACCGCCAGCGGAGGCTCCTACCTCTCCGTCTACGGCTGGATCAACAGCCCTCAAGCCGAGTACTACATCGTCGAGTCCTACGGCTCTTACAACCCTTGCGGCGCCGGCCAGTCCGGAGTCACTCAACTCGGTACCGTTGTCAGCGATGGCGCCACCTACACCGTCTGCACTGACGAGCGTGTCAACGAGCCTTCCATCACTGGCACTTCTACCTTCAAGCAGTACTGGTCTGTTCGTCAGACCAAGCGTACTTCCGGCACGGTCACTACTGGCAACCACTTTGCTTACTGGGCCAAGTATGGCTTTGGCAACTCTTACAACTTCCAGGTCATGGCTGTTGAGGCTTTCTCTGGTACTGGCAGTGCCAGCGTTACCGTCTCTTAGATGGCAGAGCAAATAGCTGAAGCGGAGAGTGGAAAGGAACCTGCTTTGAGGACGGAGATGAGACGCTGATGAACGTTGACATGGAAGTTGATATGATTGTGTCCATCTTTGAAATCTTGATGTTTCCCGCGCCTCGTTTGCGGGTCTAGCTTTTGTTCTTCTCATCTCCACCCCGTTCTCTTTGTGACTGTGTCGTGTGTCTGTGACTGACTTCCAATCTTTCCCCGCTGCATCTGTATGATTACCCGCATTTTATTGAGTCTTTCCGCTCCGGACATGGCCATAAGTATGTCGTCGTAAAGGTCTATATCTGTGATGCTGAGCATTGCAATCGGTTTTACACCAGTGTTTGGTTCAGGAAAAAGTTGACCCTTGCCATTCCAGTTCGGACGATACCAGATGCCGATATGAACTTTGGGTCAATCATGGTGTTGATGTCGGGTTGTGCCGGTGGGTACGTACGAGGATGTGGTTCTGACGATGATGATATAGGTTGGCCCGGTTCCGGAAGGCGCATGCTACCAAGCCTTGAGCGAGGTCGTCGAGAAAGTCTGCAAGACCTTGGTCGCTATTGACGATGTCGTCGTTGCGACGTCTGTTCTGAGCCGCTGGTTGAAGGTTACTACGTTGCTTGAAACGATCTTCGTAGTGATTCCTACCTCGCGCCAGAACTTCGAGTTGGTGTATGGTTCGCAGGTGATGATGCATGTTAGCACAACCAAATCATCATCTACCAGAATTGCTTTGCAAGGGTTTTCATAGCCTCGGATAACGCGCTTAGACGGTGATCAAAAGCTTTGTCGTTGTTGTCGAGTAATGGCTATCTGAGCAAGCCATTTTGGGGTGACGCATGCGGCGACGACGAGCCAATAGCAAGATCACCAAAACAATTTATGCCGAGGTTTCAATAGTCTCGAACAGTGTGCTCCTAAATTGTATTGCTCAAAAGCTCTGTCGTTGTCGAGCAATAGCTGTCTGAGCAAGTCAATTCTGGGTCACAGATCCGGCGACGACAAGCTAATGCTGTGATTACCAAAACAATTTATGCCGGGCAGCTGATAGCCTCGAACAGTGTGCTCCTAAATTGTTTCAATTGAGAGCGCCGTCGTTGTCGAGCGATAGCTGTCTAAGCAAGCCATTTTTGGCTGACATACGGCGACGACGAACCAATGCTATGATTACCATAACGGTTGAAGTCAAGCATCTAGTAGCCTCGGACAGTGCGCTCCTAAATCGCTTTGATCGAAAGCCCTGTCGTTGTCGAGTGATAGCTGTTCGAGCCCATTTTGGGTCACAGATCCGGTGACGACGAACCAATGCTATGATTATTATAACAACTTAAGCAGAGCCTCTGATAGCCTCGAGGAGTACACGTCTAAATTGTTATAGTCGAGAGCGCTGTCGTTAATGAGTAATAGCTGTTTGAGCAAGCCATTTTTTGGGTGACGCATGCGGCGACGCAGAATCAAGCCTGGAATCACTAAGTCAACCTCTAATCTGGCTCTAACAGCCTCGAATAATGCGCTCCTAAACTGTTTTGGTCGGAAGCGCTGTCGCTGTCGAGTAATAACTGTTCGGGCAAGCCATTTGGGTGACGCATACAGCGACGACGAAGCATTGCTGTGATTACCATAACAACTTAGGACGGGCTTCTGATAGTCTCGAACAGTGCGCTGCTAAACGTTTCTGATCGAGACCGCTATCGTTATCGAGTAATAGCTGTCACAGCTTTTTTGGGTGATAGAGGCGGCGACGACGAACCGATGCTCGGATCACCAGTCAAATTTAAGTCGCAGCTCCAGTATACCTCTAGAGCACGGTCGTAAACCTTTTAGATCAGAAATCCAGTTGTTGTTAAGTTACGGCTGTCCGCGCTACTTTGGATGATGGCGGCGGCGATGACCATCCATCGCTCTGATCGACAAAACAATTTAGCCCGAAGCTTTAGTACGCTTAGCAAGCATAGCGTTAAACCGTATAGGTCAGAAACCTAGTTGTTGTTGAGTTTTGGCTGTTTGAGCCGACTTCGGGTAATGGAGGCGGCGATGACCACCCAATGCTTGGATCAACAAAACAATTTAGGTTGAAGCTCCAATATACTCTAAGAACACAGTCTTAAACCGTATAGGCCAGATACCCAGTTGTTGTTAAGCTATGGTTGTTTGAGCCAGCTTTAGGTGATGGAAGCGACAATGACCATCCGATGCTCGAATCAACAAAACAATTTAGGCCGATGTTCTAGTATACTTGAAGAGCACAGCCTGCGATTGTATCGGCCAGAAGTCCAGTATTCGTCGAGTTATGGCTGCTTCGACATTGTGGACTGTGGTGGTCTGTTGGTGCAACGACATCTAATGCTCGGATCAACAAGACAATTTAGGCCGAAGCTCCAGTATGCTTAGAGAGCAAAGTCTTAAACCCTTGAGGCCAGAAACCCGGTTGTTGTTATTGTTAAGCTATGGCTGTTTGAGCCAACTCCGGGTGACGGAAGCGGCGATGACCATACAACGCTCGGATTAAGAAAACAATTTAAGCAGATACTCTAGTATGCCCGAAGAGCACAGCATTAAACCAGATTGAACAGAAACCCAGTCTTCGTCGAGTTATGGCTGCTTCGACATTGTGGACTGTGGTGGTCGGTTGGTGCAACGACGACATCTGATGCTCGGATCAACAAAACAATTTTCGACGATGTTCTAGCACATTCGAAGAGCACAGCCTACGATCTTGAAGGCCAAAAACCTTGTCGTTGCCGAGTATTGACTGTCTCTCCATTTTGAGTGGTGAATGCGGTGACGAGCATTTCGAAGCTTAGATTGACTCGAGCCAGGAGAGGAAAGCGCCTGCCTCATCTTCTGATCAAGCTTCGCGAATGTACCATGCGCCAAGTGAGAAGAATCGCTCGCACAAGCAAGTCGCTAGCTTCCTCAAGACCTCGCTATAACTGGTCTCGAGCATATCGCCGCTCAAGCTTTTTTCGCTTTACAAGGAAGTCGCTCGAGGAAGGCGTTGACGAATCCAGTCTGACGAGCAACATAAGATTGCTGTGTAGTAGCCTCCTAGCAGGAAGATCACCAGGTCAGTAATGCTAAGATTCTGTGTGTTTCTCCTATTGATGTCACTGCATGTGTTTTGTTGACGCACATCAGGGGGGAATCTTGTGTTTGCTGGAGGGTCATTGACCCGGCTCTTCACTGTGGGTGTTTCCCTCTGACACTTCGACTTCTCGGAAACACTGTTGTGTTTCCTCAAAAAGCAGAAGCCTCTCTGGTTTTTTCCTTTCTTGGTCTGCTCGAGATGGATTATGCTCAACTCTGCGAAATCTTTGGAGGCTCGTACCGAGACGCCAGTGTCTGAACACCTTTTATATCTGTCATAAGCGGCATGTCGGATTCGTCACACCCAGTAACACTCCATCACTTGAGCGATTTTAACCTGTGTGCCACCTCCACTCGGCCGCGGAACACCGAGAACTCCGCGAAAGTGGCTCTCAGGTCTGGATCGCCATTTGAGAAGAACCATATGCCAATTATCAAGCAATGAACGATTGTGTTTGTGACAACTTAATCAAGTCTTCGAGAGCGTTGGGTAACAGATTCGCATATCGTTCGTTCTTTTCTTCGTTTATCATCTGTTCGCCATTCAACGGCTCTGACATGTTGGATTCAGGTCACGTTGACCTCAAGCAATCGGAGAAGTAGTCTAACGCCATGAGCATAAGCCTCAAAATTTTCTTCTTGGGAGACTTCTCATGCACTCACTCACGAACACGTCGTTGACGTTGTTCTCACCTCTTCGCTCGGTCTTCCTGCTCAATTTGCCGTTTACATCTTTCCCAGATCTCTGCTCGACATGCTCGTGCGACTTGACGACGTTTACGTGTCGCTGATCTGGATTCCCTCGAAGGAAGAACGTTCATGAGTTTGACAAGCAACTCCATCGAACAACTCTCTGCATTGCAAATCACTGCTTTGAGGGTCTTGAGATACAAAGTCCTCAAAGCAGGATGCATGTTGGCTGAGAATTCGATACTAGATGATCTGGCATCATCAAAGTGAAGCTCTAGACTTGCGAGGAACATTTTGGGGCCCTGGTAGCCAATATATTGGATGTGGACTTGTTGGAGATGGGGTAACCAGTTTGACAAACACTTTGCGTTGCGGATTCTCTCCCAAGGGATGGCTCTGACGACAGAGCTATCTTCACGGTTGCGAGAGGAGAATGTGGCTACCCATTGATCACCATGAAGACCAAGCTGTGGTGGATTTGAGATGCATAGACGAAGGTGGCGGAAGAGGGAAGGAGCGCATTCATCGTTGATCTCGTCTGACAACCAAAGCATTGGATGCGGGAAATATTGTTGGGTTGCATCTTCAAACAATGCTTCGTAGATCATGAGACGAATCTCGGTCGGGAGTGCTGTGGCGTTGGGCATCGTGATGTTCGCTTTTGAAGGCCTGAAGTGGAGAGTGTTAGGTGGGAACAGGAGAAAAGGTATCTGCGATTGAAGGACCAAGAAGTTGGTTGTGGTTCTTATGGGAAAAGTTTTGCGTGTGCGTCAACTATAGTCTCTCGAAAGATCTCATAGTCGTGGCAAGCACGAACTCTCTTCCCACGTGCGTATTGCTCTCAGCCTCAGGTTTTGTTTGGCACGCCTTGGTCAATACGTGGAGATACGTACATTCCGTCTTCGTTCGTCTGATCCACCTGCTTTCACGGTTGCGAGTCCAGCGAGCGATATCTTGTGAGCGACTTTGGCTGGAATGATAAAGAGACGGATCTCGTAACATGGAGACTGGAAGGCAGCACATCTGAGTAGATCTTCGTTTCTTTGTAGAGAGTTGAGGTGATGGTTGATTATGCTTGGTTTTTGTCCATCTAATCGACGTCGGGCACGGGCAGGCCCTGGTATAGCTTCATTCTCCTTCCAAGTTTCTCCATGGCCTCCATGGCCTTTTCTTCTCGCAGCTTGCGTGATTCGTCATCAGTTACAAGGACAAAGTCGTATGTGATGAGTTTGCCGCCTTCTTTTACGCCATACTCCTTGGCTTGTTCGGCAGACACTGTGCCGAGATCGATAAGCAAGGACTCCTTGACACCGAAAACGGCATCTGAAGTCTCGTAAGGGTCACCACGTAGATACAAAGCGCTGGAACTAAGTCAGTATAGATTGAAGAGAATTGGGAGATGGCAACATACGTGATCAGATTGTCGTAGCCAGGCTTCTCGAACATGAAATGCATGTGGCTAGGACGGTATGGGTGACGCTTCAGCTTCTTGAGAAGTTGACCAACGGGACCATCATGGGGAATAGGGTATGGTACTGGCACAATAGCGTTGAACCAGAAGACACCGTCTTTGTCACTCTTCATGACAGCTCTGCCGTCGGGACCGTCTCTTTCAGCGTATTGAACATCGTAGAAGCCTTTGCTGTCCGTCTCCCAAATGTCAATCTTGACGTTTTCGATTGGCTTGCCAGCGGTGTCTTTAACAGTGCAGAGGACTAGACAAGGCTCGCCATCGGGGTCGTGTGAGATGCTGCCGCCGTTGCCCTCGAGTTGAGCTTCGTGGGTATGGAAGGGACCTAGGACGGTACCTTCTGTACTGGCAGCGGGCTTGGGGTGGTCGATGCTGTCAACCAGAAGAGAAAGACCAATGACATCCGAGAGCAAGATGAACTCTTGTCGTACGTCGCTGCTGATCTGGCCGACTTTTGTGAGGAATTGGATAGCAGCCATCCACTCGTTTGTGCTGAGCCTGGTCTCACGGGCAAAGTCGTGAACGTGAGAGACAAGTCTCTCCAGCAGATACTTCATGCGAGGGTCATCGCATTGTGAGTTGATCATATGCACATTCTCAGTGATGTTGTCGATTGTCAAGTCCTTGAGCGGAGGGATGTTGACTTCTGAAGGATCCATGTTTGCTGCAAAATCAGGGGATAGCGACTGGAAACAGGAAGAGGAGGACAAGCAAGAGATTCAAAGAGGAAGATGATGATTGATTGTTGTACCTGTCTCTGAGGCTCCCCCTCCAAGCCCCGCAGTCCCCACAGCGCGGAGCTCTTCCGAGTCGTCTTTGCTGACCCGGAAGTTCAGACTCGGAAGATGTCAAAGCCGGAAGATTTGTCGGAGGTCGGAAGACTCCTGCAAGAATGGTGCCAGAAACACTGAGGGCCATTCTCAGATGATGCTTTCAAAGAATCATGGGTCCGTGAGGGCGTCAAGATGTCAAAAGTCTTGCATTCTCAGAAGATTGTGCGCTTACGCCAAAATCTCAAGATCGATCATCGCATAGAGCTGCTGAAAATGAAAGGTCTTTCGCTCAAATGCAGCACAACAGGCAAATCACATAACCAGAGAAAAAGATTCTCTTTTTGAGTGGCTGCTTCGAAGAAACCTGGTAGAACATGCCCACCCGATACAGAACAGATGCTCGTGATGAAGTAAAGTCGACCAGGGTGTTACAGACAGACGGCGAAGGATTCGATCAACCACGCGGGTAGCTGTGGGGAATCGGTGGCCCAAGCTTTGTGTTTACCTTTTCGCAAACACACAAGATGTTTCTTGACTGCGAACAATTGATATCCGACATCTACTAACAATGGCAAGCCCTTTGTCGCCGCTGAATCAACAGCAGCTCAACTCCCGCACTCCTGCGACGGTCGTGCGTGAAGACAAAATGTCGACCAACAGCGTCGCTGCCACTCCTTGCAGAACATCAACTCCGCCCAAACAAACACAAGAAGAGTCCATCATCAACTGGGACGACGAAGACACAGGAAGCTCGCCCTTTGTCGCCGAAGCAGACAGCCGCGCCGCCAGCAACAAGTTTGATCAAGTTCAAGTCGACCCAGAGGTTGACGCCATCTTCGAAGACCCACAAGACCCATCAGAGACTCAATTCTTCGAGACCTCCGACAACAAGGCTTCGACCTTTTCATTCTCTTCTGTCGGAGAGAAAGAGAATACTGCCGCTCCCGAGCCTGACAACATAGACGCCCAGTCTCAAGACGAGAACAAGCACAAGACGCCAGAGAAAGCATCCACACCAGAGCCAACCAGAAAATCTATGTCTCCTCTCAAGCCAAAGTCGACCATCAAGAAGAGACGCAGCAGTACTTTCGAAGAAGATGCAGCTGCCATGCCTCCACCCTCGACTAGAAAGACTTTGCGCTTCAACTCTCCCCTCAAGACCAAATCTCCCACCAAGCAGCTCGACTTTGCTTCAGAAACTCCTCTTCCTCACAGTCGCGAACCTTCGTTTGAGAAGGCTGACGAAAACATTGACGATTCTGTCATGATTCACGACGTTGACGAGACTGGTGTTGACGACACTTGTTTCAGCACCTTCTCTGCTGTCCCTGACATGACCATGTTTGCTAAGTTGGGCGATCGCAGAAGCCCTCTCAAGCAATCTATCGTGAGTCAGCCTTGATCTTCCTACCTTGCTCTTGACTAACGCCCACTCTAGCAACGAACACCACAGAGCGAACAAGCCACACCAAGACCCATCAGAAGCCGCGCCTCTGACGAACGATCCCCCTCTCCCACACCTCGCAGACCTAGAACCCCTGGCACTGCTCAGTCCAACACAACCAACCTCATTGACTTCACCCAGCAGATCGAACGCTTTGCCGATGCTTCCAGCCACCACAATGTTCAGCAGACTCCTTCTCGTCGTTCTCCTCAAAAGTCTGCCACCGAGCCCAATCTCCTCTCATACTTGAACCAGCAACGCTCGCCAAACAAGGGTGCAAGAATGAGCACTCCAGCAAAGTCTACTAGCCTGCTCAATCTGCTCGACTTTGAGCTACCTCCCGCACCCACTCCTCGCTCTATCCCTACCATCACCGTCCGCGAACTCGAATCCATGAAGTCACAATATCAATCTCAAATCTCATCCCTCAAGGCCACTCTCTCTGGCAGAGAAGCTGAAGTCGACTCGTTGAAGAAGGCTGTAGGAGATGCTGAAAGACGTGTCGGCGAGGCCCTCGAGAACCTCCGTGAAGAGAAGGGTCAGCGCGAGCAAATCGAGCATGAGAAGAATCAGTGGGAGCAGCGTGGTGTTGAATTCGAGCAGCTGCTCCAGAACGTCAAGCAGGAGGTCATGCGCAGTGACGAAGAGAAGGAAATATTGATCCGCCGTGCAGAAGAGGCCGAACGCTTGACCGAGAAACAACAAAACCGCGCAGACGAGGCAGAGTCCAAGATCCTCGACCTAGAAGCGCAACTTGCAACTGCTCGTGCTGCCATTCCCAAGAACGACGGATCAGGCAACACAATCGACGAAGCCCAAATCCAACACCTCGTCCAACAACAAATCGATGCAAAGGTCGAAGCCGTATCTCGCGAACTCCACGCTGTCTACAAGAAGAAGCACGAAACCAAGGTCGCAACACTCAAGAAATCCTACGAAGCACGCGGCGAGAAAAAATGCGCAGAACTGCAAACCCGACTGGACGAGCTGCTCAAACAAAACGAAGAACTCACAGCCGCAGCAAGCAACAACATCGAGTCCTCCATGATGTTCACAGCCGACGACCGCAGAGTAATGGAAGAAGCAAACTCGACCATCGAGGAACAACGCGCGCACCTCGCCAACCTCGACCGTCAACTCCAAGTCATGCGCACCGAACACTCCTCACTAATCGCCGAACTCGAAAAAGAGCGCATCGAAAAAGGTGAACTTGTTGCTGCGGTTGACGAAATGCTGCTACTACAAAGCTCAGCTCCTGAAGGCAATACTGCAGCTATTGAGGACTTTAGACGTAGTATCAGCCGTCCTGCTCCTCCACCTCACGCTAGCATTCCTGCCTTTAGAGAACAAGCTGCTCCTGTTGGTCCTGGCTCTGCACAAAGTAGGATTGGAAGGGGTGTACCTAGACCTTCGGGGATTGCGTCCAAGAGCAAGATGATGAGCAACATTGAAAGAATGGGAGGGGCGCCCAAGCATTGAGTTTCTTTCTTGACTTGTTGGCATGTTTATGTTTCCCATGCCTCTTTTTTCTTCTTTTCGTACTATATGATCTCTGCAACAAAGGGTTTACAGCTTCTTGGGGGTTTGGTTTTTGGCTTTTTGGAGAAAAGGCAGTGGATTGGAATCAGTCCTCTTGCTGCTTCCTCAACACTTGTATCTTTCTTTTCGTTATCCAAGCGTCCAATGAACATCTTTGTTTGTTTCTGACCCTTTTACTCCAGTGTCAAATTTGTATGACATTGGTCATGACCAAGATCCATCTTCGTCTCACATGGTGTATAATCTTATCCGCTTGTTAAAAACGTTTTCTGTGACCTATCTTCTTTTACGGCCGTGAAAGAGCAAATTGTCATGATGCGAGTCTTGTGAGTCGCGGACTGATACTGGAAGGAAGAGTGATCTGCCTGGGACATTTTGGAGGTTAAAAAAAAAAACGAGCAAGGTCTCGTGAGCAAGAAAGAGATCTACGGGGACATTTGGAAGACAGTAGGATGTCTTTTGACTGGTTTGAAGCGCTCTCGCTGTTATCCTTCCTCGCGCGAGATCGAAACGAGCATTTGGAAGTAAAAGTGCACGTTGGTGATTGTTCTTAACTGTAAAAGGCTTCTTTCTCATAAGAGGAGAAACGCGATCTACATAGGTAAGCATTTGGAAAGTTTTAGTAAAAGTCATGACTTTTAGTCCTCGCTCGTGGCACATGGAAAAGAGGAGTAAACATCGATCTGCAATGGGCATTTGGAAGATGTGGGATGCCAGTGACTATCAAAGCTTGGTCGTGAAAAGGGCCTAAGGAGAAGGGGGAAGAGAGACACAGATCTACATAAAGCATTTGGAAACAGAATAGACATGGTGAAGTGGATGTCTTGACCGTTAAACCTTACATCCTTCCAGTCCCTGAGCGGTTTTGATTGAATTCCCCAAGGCCGGCCGGATTCTCACAAAAAAACGATTCAAGCGGATACCCGAAAAGCGTAACTCGTAGATCGTAAAAATTGGGCATTATCTTCTTCTCCCATCGTGCCGAGACATAAAGCTTGTTTCTTCAGTTGTGGCATTTCTGTGGCTTGATTTGGACGGATTTTATGAGACAGCAAACGATATGGGTGAAGTAAATCTGAAAAAGGATGATGACATGGTCGTTGTGGCTTTTGCTTGGGTGTGTGTTGAAGAATTGGGATTTGTTCTATTTCGTAGAGGAGAGAAAAATGGAAGAAAAGCACAGAAGGAATTGATGATCCAAATTGTCAGAGGTGTAAATGTTGATGTATTGAGTTTTGTAGTAAAGAGTGCAAAAAAATCTAACCAAAAGTTCTATCAAGTATAAACAAGAGAAAGGGAAAAAAAGATCTAACTATATGCGCGTATTCATTAATTCATTACGATTATTCTTCCAAAGTTTTCCTTTGTATCATTCCTCAGCTCGAACTCGTCGAGTTGCACTGTGCAGGGTATTGTCTCTGAGTAATGTGATCAGGACCAACAACACCGTTCTTGAACAAGTTACCCAAGCCCCAAGCACCAGGACCAGTGTAACTCCACAAGAACCAGCCATTGGAATACTCTTCAAAGATGTCAAGTTGAGCTTCCATGAACTTTCTGGTTGCGGCCACGAGGTCGGCATTCCATTCAGAGGGGTCAAGTTGAGCGGAACATTGGCAGCCGTCAGTAGAGCAAGAAGTTCCTGCAGTAACATTGCCAGAAGCATCAACGCAGATGTTGGTCTGATCGCTGAATTCACCGACGATGACGGGCAGGTTGGCGGACTCGGGAACAAACTGAGTGTTGGGGTAATCGCAGACAGTAGCGATGTGCTGGTCTTGATCCATGTTTGAAGTGTCGCCGCCCTGGTTCTGGTACAAGTGCACATCGAGCACAAAGTTCTGGCTATCGGCGTTGAAGTTCAACTGTTGGGCTACTGCTGACCAGGCTTTGGCACCGAGGAAGGCGTCGTGCATGATGAGCTTGAGGTCGGGATTGGTGATGTGCGACTGCATGGCTTGGACGGTGGTGACAGCCCACTCCTGAGCGCTTTTGGCTGAATCGTAGTCCCAGACAATGGGCTCGTTGGCAAGCTCAAGACCATACACGACGTCGCTGTAGGCCGCAGTGCCGTACTTTGCTGCCATCAACTCAAGGACTGCAGTGCTGGCAGCAAGGTTGGTGCTGTTCTCTGCCCATTGGGCTTCACCTCTGTGACCAGAGTTGTCAAAGCCGTTTTGGGAGCCAGGCAGACCGTGCATGCAGATCAGGGCTTGGATGTTGTACTGACGGGCCCAGCCCAAGGCTTGTTCGAGGTACGCATCAGCACCCGAGATGTAAGGGCTGTCAGTGTTGTTGAAGGCCCAATAACCAATGGGGATGCGGACACTGTTTCAGAGTCGTTAGCAAAGAGCGTCATCAAGGCTGTGTGTGAAGCCGTTATACAAGGCTGAATAAGGGTCGAGATGTGGCTTGAAGCAGGCGGTATAACGGCTTTAGGTATGGAGTAAAACGTACGTATTGAGGCCCCACGCGGCAATTTGTGCCATGTCCGACTCTGTGAACCATGAACCCCAGTGCTTTTGCAGCGCAGCCTCGGCTCCATCAGTCTGGTCGAATGTCCATTGGTCGACTGCGCCTGTGTCTCCGACGAGTTCCCAATTCATCCACGGTTCGAGGACAAACCAGCCTCCGAGGTTGACGCCTCTGATGGGATCTCCGTCTTCGACATCGCAAGCTTGGCGTGATTCCAGGGTAGTTTCGCTATTGCGTCTGGTGAGGGTCGTCTCGACTTCACTGCTGCGTCTAGAAATGGTTGATTCGACCTCGCTGCCTCGTCTAGAGATGGTCTCAATCTCGCTGCCTCGTCTGGAGATGGTTTCAATTTCGCTGCCTCGTCTTGAAATCGTTTCGATCTCGCTGCCTCGGCGTGAGATGGTTGGTGTTGTTGCTTCGCTATCGCGTCTAGAGACGGAGCCAGAGGTATCGCATGGAAGACCTTGAACCAGCAAGGTCGAAGAAGCAAGCAAAGATAGGGTAAAGGCAGAAGAAAACATTATGAATGAGAAAAGGAAGTAGTGGTCTCGTCGTACTCTTCAACAAAAGATGCCAGGCCTGCAAGCTGTCTTTTGTTCAGTACCACAAGTTGTATCTGATTATGGAGAAAGACACCATCTGCGGTGGCTGGTTTGATCTTATACCTCCGTATACAACATGTGAAGGCGAGTAATTACACAGCTTACCTTCGGCACCGCTTAACAGATTCGATAGCATGATAAGAAAATAAACGGTATACCGTTGGAGGATTTCCCGAAACAGAACATGTCGTTGGCAGCCCAGCCGTACACGTGCAGAAAGCTTGTCGCGATTCTGAGTCAAGGGCTGGACTTTGGGAACAAAGAGATGCAGTGTGTGGGTGGAATACTACTCCGCGACAACGTCTCATGATGTAGGTGTGAACAAGCGAGGCGTGGTTGAACGAAACGCCTTGCGTTAAAAGATTCCAATTGACCGAGCTTTATGGTGTCTCAGTCGTCGCTTGATCGATTTCGGTAATAAGAGTCGTCGTATACATCCTGTGAGCCTAACATGTTCAGCGTTCGTCCTTATCGTGACTCTTGCATGAAGCGAATGTAGACGGTGTCTGCACGATGAGCTGAGAGGAAATGAGCTGAAAGATGATTGTTGTTGTTTTGATTGTTGTGTTGCGATTGAATGACCTTGTTGCAAACAGACTTTAAGAACGTCTCTATTCAGGACTGAGTGCAGAATTGCCGAAAATCGGATGTCCCTTGCCAGATCTCGGCCCGTGCACACAATTTTCCAGACACGACCGACGGCCATTTCCATATTCACGAGCGAGGCGAGTCCAAACAGTATCATCCAGATTCTGAATGGCTTCATTGTTTAGAGCTACACGACCTTTTGGAATAATCTCAAGGATAACAACCCCGACCCGCTTTGGAATAGTATCAAAGTCAAATCCCTCTGCATCCTTCTTTTCTACCAAGATGGCAACCAAGGCGAACGACCACTACCTAACTCTCTCCTGCCCGGACAAGCCTGGTATCGTGCACGCTGTCACTGGACTTCTGGCCAAGCATGAGCTCAATATTCTTGATTTGCAACAATTCAGTGACCCTACCTCGGAGAAGTTCTTCATGCGTGTCCACTTTGGCCATGCCCAGGATACCGAGCACTTGAAGCCTGAGATCACCGAGTTGGCTCAGCAAATGAAGATGGACTACAGCATTCGCCCTGTCTCCGCCAAGCCTCGTGTTTTGATCATGGTTTCCAAGATTGGCCACTGTCTCAACGACTTGCTGTTCCGTCAAAAGAACAAGCAATTACAAGTCGAGATTCCTCTCATCGTCTCGAACCACCCTGACTTTGAGCCTCTTGCCAAGAACTACGACATTCCCTTCCACCACCTTCCCGTCAACAAGGACACCAAGCTGGAGCAGGAGAAGCAGATCCTGGACCTTGTCAAGGAGAACAACATTGACCTGATTGTTCTGGCCCGCTACATGCAAGTCCTGACTCCTGGTCTTTGCGAAGCCATGTCTGGAAAAATCATCAACATCCACCACAGTTTCTTGCCTTCGTTCAAGGGCGCCAAGCCTTACCACCAGGCCTACGAGCGTGGTGTCAAGATTACCGGTGCCACTGCTCACTTTGTCACTGCCGATTTGGATGAGGGTCCCATCATTGAGCAGAGAATCGCTCGTGTCAACCACGCCATGTCGCCCAAGGACCTTGTCGAGGAGGGAGCCAACGTCGAGGCTCAGGTCTTGGCTGCTGCCGTCAAGTGGTGGTCAGAGGAGAAGGTCTTCCTCAACGGCACCAAGACTGTTGTTTTCAACTAGACGAGATTTTCTTTCCATGTATGACTAGTTGCAATTTGGATAGTTGAGGCGTCTTCATGGTTATATAAAAAGAGGGAGGGACAGCGTGCGTGGTTTATATACTGGCAGGTCATTTGCATGCAATATAAAAAGGTGGCAATGTGATAGCGACACCATTTTCTGAAGTTTTCGCCCATCGCTTTGTTCAATTGTATTGAGCTTACAGAGCTGTATAATAAGACTACTCTTCACATACTGAATTAAGTCAGGGGTTTTCAGGAGGGAGCTCTATCAGATTGTCATAGCTCCTTCCTTCGCTTTGGGTGGTGACGTCTGAGCAAACAGCCCCGCAGCTGCCCGCTCTGGCTGGCGTTTTTCGTCTCCAAAAATTTCGACCAGACCATCACACTCTCTGCCAATTCACCTCAACACACCAAACTCAAACTTCAATCTAATCACCGTCAACATGTCCGGAGCCATTCCCACCAGCACCTCGGTCACCGAGTCGGCCGTCATCAACGGTATGCAGCTGTTCTTGTCCCTTGTCGCAAACCGCATTCGCTAACTTGCGACCGACCAGCCCCTCTTTCCCACGTCTGGCACTTCATCAAGCTCCAGGACTTCAACAAGTTCTGGTCTGCTCTCGACAAGGCCGAGTACTCCAAGGGCGCCTCTGAGGAGACCGACATTGTCAAGTGGCAGTTCAAGGACGGCACCGTCATCGAGGTCAAGCAGGAGGAGCACTCTTCCCTCAACCACTACATCACCTACTCTGTCATCACCGCCAGCCCCGCTCTGAGCTACACCTCTGTCGTCAGCACCATCCGCTGCTACGCCGTCACCTCTGGCGAGAACGAGAACAGCACTTTCGTCCAGTGGACCGGCAACTTCTCCTCTGACGCCGATGCTGGTATGTCCTGCTTCTTATCTGTTCTTATCAGTACCAGCACTAACATGCGTTCCCAGGTGTCATTGAGGACGCCAAGTTCAAGCGCCGTGAGGCTCTCGCCGACCTCGCCAAGGCCGCTAAGAAGATGTAAAGAGGGAGACAGCAGATGTTTGAGAAAGGAAGAGGATAACCAGCATGACATTCATGATTATGACGAGCATGGAGGGTAGCGGTCGAGATTTGTTTCCGAAACGGTGTCAAAGACAGGCCGCCCATTGCACGTAGAATAAGAAAGACAAGAACCGACTTTCACACACTCGACTTCTTTGCCATGTGCCTTTTTTCGAAGCTTGTTATCCACTGTTGGCTCTCGCAGTGTTCGGGATTTGACCGCGGTGTCTGGCCGCAACAAGCTGCCTAAGTCGGATTGAAAGCTCGCCCGCCCCCACTCGTTCCACGGTGACCACGGAAACCTTGATGAAGCTCTCGTGTACGTTACTGTAGCCACTGACTCACAGCTGTTTTTTTCTCCCTTCCAGACTTGTATAAAAGCTAAGCGTGTCACCTTATCCTCGTCTTTCCTAGTGCACAGTATCGTCTTCGATCTGGTCCACAAGGCTGAGACCAATTCATCACCTCCACCATGCCCTCCAAGCTCAAGCTAGCCGTTTCCCAATCCAGGACTCTGGATACTCTACAACAAACCCTCGATGCATTGGCTGCAACAACCCGCAAAGCAGCTTCGCAATCCGTCGACCTGATCCTCTTCCCTGAGGCCTACCTCGGCGGCTACCCACGCACCTGCGACTTTGGCGCCTCGGTTGGAGCTCGTGCTCCTCACGGCCGCAGTCAATTCCTCGAATACTTCCACGCTGCTGTCGATCTAGGCGATACACCCCTCGGTGCCGGCGATGACTGGGTGAACCGCAAACTTCCTGTCGCACAAGGTCGCGAGTATCGTGGCGATGGCACTAGAGAGTTTCTCGAACGCCTTGCTCGCGAGACGGGCGTGTTTATCGTTACTGGCCTTGTGGAGCGCAGTGGAGGAAGTCTCTATTGCGGTGCTGTATACATCTGTCCTCGCCAAGGCTGCATCGGCAAGCGCAGAAAAGTCATGCCTACAGGCTCAGAACGCCTAGTCTGGGCACAAGGTCAACCCTCCTCCCTCCGCGCCGTCACCACCGAAATCAAAGGTGTGAAATTGTGTCTCGCGGCCGCGATTTGCTGGGAAAACTACATGCCTCTACTGCGCTACTCGCTGTACTCGCAAAACGTGAATTTGTACTTGGCGCCTACGGCTGATGCGAGGGATACTTGGGAGCCTTTGATGAGGACGGTTGCGGCGGAGAGCAGAGCGTTTGTGCTTTCTGCTAATCAGTGTGTGCGGAAGAGTCATTTGCCTGCCTGGATTTCTGCGGGTAAGAAGGTGGAGAATGAACCTGTTGCCGCCTCGACTCATTCTTCTACCTCTCCTTCTCGTCGCAGAAAATCCGTCGTCATGGAAGAAGGCAATGAACTCGTTTTGCCTGACCCCTCTGGACCCACCTCTTCCTCCTCTGCCATTGCTGAAGAAGACGAATTCGTTTGCAGAGGAGGATCCTGTATCATTGGCCCATTAGGAGAAGTCCTCGCACCCAGCATGTGGGAAGTAGAAGATGGGTTTTCCTGCATAGAAGCAGATTTCGAAGACTGTGAGAGGGGACGATTGGATATGGATGTTGCGGGAAGTTATTCGAGGAATGATGCGTTCCATTTAAGCGTTGATGGGTTGGATCTGGATCCACCGCCTTTTTGAGGGGAGTGAGAAGGCTTGCAGAGGTGAATATGAGGAAGTAGTTGAACGAAGTCATAAGGATATCGAAAGCTTCGATTCGGTTTCGAGATAGGCACGATCGATGATTCGGATACTAGCCTGGTTATCTGCTAGATGTGCCCAACAAACACAACAAACACGATGATCGAGTGAGCATCTGCGTTTCTTTCTTTTGGCCTTTGCTGTAGCGGGGCCTGGCTTGTACAGACTCTTGAGATCCATAAAGCTGGTGAGTGTGGAAACCGAGGAGCGCTCAAGAGTTAGTCTTTGTAGTCATGTAACCCACCTGCTGTTAAGTCACAGTATACCTTGAAGAGTGAGATTTTGGAAAAGAGGCAAGAAGGTAAATTCATGAGAATGGATATCTTTTTTGGCGGCTGTGTAGTTTCTACTCCCTACCCATACCAACACCTTTCCTCCTCGCCGCCTGTACAGCTCTCAAACACCTCCCTACAGCCTCCAAGTCTCCGAGCAGAGTCACATGCCCACGCTCAGAACTCACCAATCCACCTCTGGCAATCTGATATCCATCAGGCAACATGGCAGCTTTGGCAAGTACAACGCCATCGCCAGAGGCAAATGCAAGATTATCGTATGCAGAAGCGTGTTTGATGGCTTCTCTGCTTGTGACTTTGGCGCCGTATACTGTGGGCGTGGTTTTGCCGTAGATGACTGCGGCGGGTGGGTAGATGTTGGCTTCTGCATGTGGAGGGTGGAAGAATAGTTCTTCCTTGAATTTCTTGACGCTGGCGAGAACGCGGGTGAGGTATGCGATAGCTTGGTCGCGAGGAATGGTCACGGCGGTCGCAATCGAGGTGTTGGGATCTGTGTTTGGTGTATCCGTCGAGTTCTTGGAAGGCCCAGTGCTGCTTGGGTCATTGTCGGTACCATTGTAATCAATGTTGCCCTTTGCTTCCGCCTTGTCACTGCTGCCAGCTGCTGCTGAAGTGTCCATCTCGGGTGGATTGGCCAAGCCTTCGACGGCATGCGCGGCGGGGTGCTGGAGTGCTTGTTTTACGCGAGATATACTGTTCTTGCGGCCGGGCACTATGCCGCTCATGACGCCTGCCATGCTGTTCATGACACCAGCCAGACCACTGGGGTGCGAGGGCTCGTTGAGAGAAGGCAATGGGCGAGCTATACAGGGAGAGAGACGATAGTCAATCCAGGTTTGCGGATCAAAGAAGTCGACAGGATATTCTTCCTTGGTCTCCTTGTTGAAGAAACAGCGGCCGTCCAATGGCAAAAGGGCGAAACTTGTGCGAATGGTGAAGTTGACTTGAGCAGTCAAAACACGGCTACTGAGAAGCACATCATCGCCGTTTCTGAAGGGTCCGAGAATGTTGACGCAGGTCCTGGGTACACCCGCATATACAACTCCGGCGAATAATTCAGGCCGTTGATTCACAGCGTGTCTCGTGATGAGGCCACCTAGAGAATGCGCAATGACGGTCGCACCACGCTTTTCCTTGGGAGTGCCAGGTTTGTTGCATGGCAGTTTCTCCAGGAATTCAATAAGCTGTTTACTCAAAAACGCTGGTTCCAGTCGCCAATCATAACCATAATCATGAACGCGTAGCTTTCGACTTTTGGCATTCTCAGAGGCACGCATACGTTTGAACAAGCGTCTAGATATGTCAACAGGGCCGATGTGAGAAAGCATCCCGCCTGGGATGATTTTCTCGGTAGCCTTCTCATCAGCGTCGGCATCAAGGCCGACTTCCAGGTCTACTTTCCTTACATTCAAGCCGACTTTAATCGGCGCCCAAAGCTGTCTATGAGGCGGCTCGGCGGATCTTAATATAGAGCCACGGTAGCCTCCAAGTACAACAACATCACCGGTCAATTCATCAAGCGCTTTGGAGAAATGAGGGTGCTGTTGAGCAGACTTGTTCGCATGTGGGGCTGTTGATCCTCTGGGTAAGTTTGCGCTGCGCCTCTGATTTGCAGATGATGGTAGAGCACTGCTGGAAGAGCCAGGATTTGAAATCTGGCTCTTCTTTGAGACCGAGTTCCCGCGCGTGAGAGAAAGATCGGATAGAGAAGCGAATGAGGGCAACAACGGCAGTCTAATGTTAGTATCTTGCCAGCTATCCCTGATGGCCTTCATCCTGCTGTTGACCTGTGCTTGAACATGTTCGAAGCGGCTGTCATCGCCTAGGGAAGGTACTCGCGAGAGGGTGCGGAAGGTTTGTAGGGATGTATCGGAAGCAGAGCGTCGCAGGCTTCGATGACTTCTGCCACTATTGACTCTAGCCATAGGGCTTAGGGTGCTTTCAGGTTGACCGCTGGTTGTCCTGGAGGTGGCTGGGCGAATTGGCGCAAATCTAGGATTGCCATTACTAGAGGTGGACTCGTCCGACGGGGGACTTCTCTGAACAGGCATGGTCTTTGGGTGTTGTAACACATGCGGTTGGTTCGTTTCATGCTCTTCCGAGAGGATGGTGGGAGGATGCTCTGGAGAAGGAGGTTGTGGCTCGGTAGATGCGCCAGCAATGCTGTTGCCTCTGCGAGGTCTTGTGGGCAGGATAGAGGTAGACGAGGACGAGGACAGCGAAGCCAAGGATGCGAACAGAGAGCCTGATCGTCTCTGTCTGTTGGTTGGACGAGTCTTGCGATCGGATTCTTGCGGATGAGCGATGGAGAAGGGCGAGGTCAAGTTGTGTATACTGTATTTGAGGGCATCTCGCCAGTTGTCGATCTGTACTCCCATTCCAGAGGGACTAGTCGAAGAAGCTCGTCGGCGGAAACCATCCTTGAGCACGGAGCGACTCTCATCTGTCCTCTTGAACTTCTTGGGACCGGCACGCCATGGTGAAGGTAGGCGCACCGTCGTCTCTCCTGTTGTGGTGGCCGGCGCTCGTTGCCCTGTTGTCGGCCTCTCTTGCACAAGCCCTCCGTCTCTTGTCACTGGTCTAGCCACACGCTCTTGTTCTTGGGTAGGTGCATCGTCATCTTCCAGGTCTGCATCGTCTTGGATTTGCGGACCGCCAAAGAAGCCGCCCTGCTCGTCAATGGCTGCTTGCTTCTCTGCTGCCGGGGTGTGAGGCAAGATCAGATGGGTTTGGGCTCGTCCAAGACTGACTCCGACAAGCGATTGTGCTTCGGCCGGTGCAATGGCTCGAATCTCGGGGGCCTCATCCTCGGATGACGTTGCTGTGTCATTGATGATGTTGTTGAAATTGATTTCGGCGAGTGCTCGCGGCCGCCGTTCGGGACTTGGGTGTGTGCCAGACATGTTGATTCATGTATACATTGGTTGCTAGGACCAACACACGGTGATGTATGGACCCAGACGCAGGAAGCGCGAAAGAATGGTAGGTGCCGTAGCTCTAGGAAGAGGGCGTAGAGGTATAGTACAGATATATATATAGAGAGAATGAGGTCAGCCTTTGGGCGGAAGTGTCGGCCTTCTGCTAGTTGCAACAGTCAGCCTGAACGATTCCATGGTGAGCCTCAATGACCTGGAAAGAGCCCCAGCTTTGACTTTGATTCCGACTGAACCGGCCGGATGCCATCACAGAGGCGTCCAACAACGTTTACAAATGTCAGATCGCTGTGGCTGAGCACGGCCTTGGCAATCCATCCACCACCAAATACAACCCAATGACATATCGTCTGAATGCTTGATCATGTGCCGAAAAAGCTTGTGGGAACCAAGATTCAACTCGTGAGATGGTATACCACCCTCCATGGAAGTGTCAAAGATCATCACAGATGTCCCGTGAGCCTTGAGACAGCCGATGCTGTTTGAAGACGCCGAAGCCGATACGGCTGCGATACGCTCTTTCTCGGACAAATTTTATTTCTAGTCTTCCATAACTTCATCAACAATGTCATTATACTACGAAGCTTCCGACATCCTCGCCAATGCAGAGGCAAAGGGCGGCTCGTTGAAGAATCGCATCTTTGGCAAGAAAGATCTCAAAAGTTCTCCTGGCGCCATCTTCGCTCTGGTTGCCGAAACCACAAAATGGAGTTCGGTTTTGAAAGAAGTCATTGAAAAGAGCGATGTTCTAAAACTCGAGAAAAAGGTGATATTATCTCGACGCTCTTTTTCTGTGTCCAGTCCTTGGGTCAATCGATTCACAGCGAACAAGAACAATAGTCTTTTTCAACACGAGGCTGACTTCATTATAGCTGACACCAACTCTTGCACTGCTCTTATGTCACGATCTTATTCTAGCCAAAAAGGGAGTTGCAGCTCCTAAATCGCATCCTCTGAATCTCGCCATCTCTCGTCACAAGGCCAGATTGAACGCCGAGTTTACCAAATGTCGCATCAAGGGCAGGTTCGCAACCTTGGATGCCTTCCGTGCTCACATCAACGCGACCGCTGCAGATGAGAGTGCTGAAGCAAGTGCGAACGGCACTAAGGCGTTCCACCCTCGATGGGTTCGTGTCAATGCTGTAAAGACATCCATGGAGAAGGCACAAAGCACTTTCTTCGCCGATTTTACCAAGGTCTCATCGTTGAAGGAGCTCAGCACTACTCCCCGTGGCATCTATTTGGACGAGCATATCCCAAACCTCGTTGCTATCCCTCCTTCAATAGATCTTTCCAAGCATGCTGCGTACCATGCCGGCGAGATCATCTTTCAGGACAAAGCCTCGTGCTTCCCTGCCTATCTTCTGGACCCTCAGGCTAAGGATGGGCAGGTGATCGATGCGTGTGCGGCACCTGGCAACAAGACTACACATCTTGCTGCAATTCTGTCGTCACAAAAATCATACGGGTTGAAGGCATCTGTCACAGCTTGCGAGCGCAACCCTATCAGAGCTCAAACACTGGAGAAGATGGTCAAGCTGGCTGGTGCTAGCAAAATCATCACCGTGAAGGCTTCCCAAGACTTTACAAAACTGGATCCTCGTTCGCAAGAATTTGCTGACGTTGGTGCTCTCCTGCTTGACCCCAGTTGTTCAGGTAGTGGTATCATCGGTCGTGATGACACTGCAGTTTTGCACTTGCCGTCACTGCCTTCATCTGCTCCTGCTCCGTCAAGCAAGAAGCGAAAGAGAAAGGCAAGCACAGCTGTCGAGGTTCCAGTCCCGATCGTTGAGGAGACCAATGATGAGCTCAGCGAAGAGACCCCACAAGCAGCCGAGCTCGAGAACGATGAAGAGAAACTCAAGACCAGGTTGAACAATCTTGCTGGATTCCAGCTCAAGATTGTACTTCATGCTTTCGCCTTCCCAGCCGCCACCAAGGTCACGTATTCAACATGTTCTATCCATGCAGAGGAGAACGAGAATGTTGTCGTTAGGGCTCTAGCTTCGAAGATTGCTAAAGAACGTGGCTGGAAGCTCATGACGCGGGAGAATCAAGTGGACGGCATGAAGATATGGGCAAGAAGAGGTGATCCCGAAGCTTCGAAGGAAGCACTCCGAGGTCATAAAGGCCTGGTCAGCGCGGACGTCCTTGCAGATGCCTGCATTCGCTGCGAAAGAGGCACTGATGAGGGAACTATGGGCTTCTTCGTTGCTGGCTTCGTCAGAGATCCTGACGCGGATACCTCCGAAGCAAATGTTGAGAACGGCGTCAGCGAAGGTGAAAATGAAGAGGACGATGAAGATGATGGAGATGAAGAAGAAGAGTGGGGAGGTTTCGACGACTAAATCATCGTCGCAGATGAATGCGCCGCTCAATCTCGCCTCGTCTTACGCTGGGTTTTGTTATACTCGCTTTTTAGCCTGTCATCTGGCCCCACGCATTGCGTGCAAAGATCGCTCGGTGAAGAACCAGCGCAACGTTCGAGACATTTCGTCCTTCATATGGCTAAACTGTTCCCGCCTGGTATCGATCGCTGCTGGAAATAACGTTCTATTTTGTAGCATGGCAATATCCTTCCAGACGACTGCGACCAGGCTACCGATGGAACATGTCCATCAATGTAGGTTCAAGCAATGGACTCATGCACACCGGCAATCATTTTCTATTTCTTACTGCACGAGAAAGTAAACCTGTTTCCTACGAAGCCACCAATTCTCACGTCTCTTCTTTGTTGAGTGCCGCTAGCGTGGCTTGAAACCAGAGATATGCAGAGTTGATTCACGTACTGCAACATCATTTACGCGAACCTCAAATACACACTCGTAGACCTATGTCGCTAGGTGGAATGTACCAAGTCCACGATCTCGCACTACAGCGACGTCCTCTCAAGCCCTGACTATGCTCAACGTCGCCACAAAAAGTATCCAACAGGAAACTTGAACCTGAAGACCATTTATACCCCTTAACCCTTGATATCGAGGATAACCGTCTGAAAGCCTTCACCCGCGGCGCTATCTCCCAACGCATGCGCCGAAAACTGGAATCAGGGCGATATGGTCAATTTCCCCTTTCTTATCTACAAGCATATATCCCTGAAGCATGCTCCCACAAACACGCAATAGGAGCTCTATATATTGATAGCAAGCAGGAAGAAAAATATCTGAGAAAGGCGTTTGAGCAATATTGTTTGGAGTACCCAGGGCACCCGTCGGTAAGTCGAACGGCTTGATGGCATTGGGTATTGGGGATGTTTTCGAGGATTGATAGGGAGAAGTGGAGGGAGGTTGATGTACCTGGTGCGGTCACTCTGCAGGATGGGTAGAGATGAATCTCCACCTCCAGGTGCAAGAGAAATGCAAGCTGTTGAAATGCACAGTTGTGTCTGGAAACGAGTCTAACCATTGGGGTTGACTTCAGTTGGGCATCTCTGGGGAATCATACTTTTCGTGAATCCATTGTGCATTCCTACAGCTACCTGTGACAGACTGAATCGAGGGGGGATGGTGATATGGGCAATGATGTCAACACGTTCGCAACTGATGCTAAAGCAACGTGAGCGTGTGACGGCAGGCAACATTGGCCTAAAGATACATCGACGACACGCTTGTCGAATTTGGCCTCTACATCCTGATGACACCTTGATCATGACATTCAGTATCAAAATCCTAGTCTCGCTTCTTACGTTGTGTCTGTTTGTCTTCGATCTCGCGTTCGCCACAGCTCCTGACGACCAAGGCATCCAACTACCACTCAAAGCTCCGTACGAGCTTCCTCTATCAAATACACATGATTTTGTATTTTGCCATGTCTCTTTCTCAAGATTCGACAGGTCTAATGTGTTCGATCACAGACTTTGAGACATATATACCATAAAGGCTCTCATCAGTATCCGCATCTCTTACGGAAAGTCGATATCAACAAGGACACACTGCTTGAGTACGAGAACGAAGCTGGGACAACCATTCTTAGACCAGCTTGGGATGCGTTTTCTGTGCAGTCGGATACGTTGATGATACAGCGCCTTGCTGATCGCAGACAACATGTCGTTGACGGCTTATTAGAGCATGGAGCTACCTTCGGTGAAGCCAAAGCTCTCGATGCAGAAGCCTGGACTCTAGACGAGGTCTCCAGCCCTGATGTGACCGATAAGAAGACAGTCCTAAGCTTCGCCCACATGGCGGCAAACGCCTACGTCTCCATCCCTCGTAAAGGCGACTGGATCGACATTGGCGGCGGCTTCAACTATACCGAAGATTTCGGCTGGGAGTCCGATGGGCTCCGCGGCCACATCTTCGCCGACACGCACAACAAAACCGTCGTAGTCGGGTTGAAAGGCACGTCCCTCTGGTTCTTCGATCCTCCAGAGACAACAAACAACGACAGAGTAAACGACAACCTATTTGGAAGTTGTTGTTGCGGGCAAGGAGGCCAATATGCATGGAAAAGAGTTTGCGAATGCCAGACTGATGCAAAGACTTGCAATGCTACTTGTTTGGTGAGTAGTTTGAGGAAAAAGAGTAGTTATTATCATGCTGCGAGGGCGCTATATCATAACGTGACGGCTTTGTATCCGAACGCTGATGTTTGGCTTACTGGACACTCGTTAGGAGGTGTGGTATCCTCTCTTCTTGGTGCTACTTATGGTCTACCAACTCTGACTTTCGAGACTTTTCCTGATGCACTTGCTGCTCATCGATTAGGTCTGCCAACACCACCAGGTCACCAGATTGGTCAATCTGGTAGACAACATTATACCGGCACGTTTCATTTCGGTCATACTGCAGACCCGATATATGTCGGAAACTGCAATTCGTATGACTCGTCTTGCACGCTTGCGGGATATGCTTTCCAGAGCAAATGCCACACAGGGTTCAATTGCACATACGATACAGTTGGTGATAAGGGTTGGAGGGTCTCAATCGGCACACACAGAATCAGCAGCGTCATCAAAGATGTCCTAGAAGCTTATGACACGGTCCCGGTATGCACACAAGATGTTGGTTGCAAGGACTGCTCTGAATGGTCGTTCTTTGAGGGCAATGGGACAAAGACGACGACCAGCTCAACAAAGACTGCTTCTTCGACGGAACTCACTACTACCACGACTACGACTTGCCGCACTCCTGGCTGGTGGGGTTGTCGGGATGAGTCTACTACTACGAAGACAACATCGACGTCGACGAGTGTCTCTAGCTCAACGTGTTTGACGCCAGGCTGGTGGGGCTGCAAAGATGCTTCTACGACAACAAGCTCTTCATCGTCTCATAGCGCTGAGATGAGATCGACTGCCACGCCGATACCATGAGAACGTCTGGCTCCTCACCGTGGGTTGCTGGATTGCTGATCAGATTGCATGAGTTCGTTTGCCACTCAACGACTTCAGCGATCATGAACCTGGACTGACTCTGAAGACGTCCTTGCAATACTTCATCTAAGCGTCAGCGATCTGAGGGCTTCGGCAATCACTATCATGGCGGTGTTCGTGTTGCATTTGCCGCATCCTCGTCAAACGCTCGGGAACATATCGTGTGCAAGCGAGGGCAAAACTCGCTCTGTCCTTGCTTGGTGATGCTATCTCTTTGTCATCGTATTGAGCCTTCGGCTCGAGATTTGTTCTTCGTCAAAGCCACTCGCCGTGACTGTTCATATCCTCGGTTGTTGCACCGAGCACTTCTGTGCTATCCTTACATCTATCCACCCCGAAGTCGTGTCACTCTCAGGAAAAGAGGAGCTAATCCAAGATGTCAAATCTAGACGAGAAATCGTTGGAGATCGCAGTCTTTGTCTCTTGTCGGCAAAGCTTTTGGTACACAATGCCACCCTTCATCTCACATTGCATTGTTAATTCCATTAACGTTCTTTCATCCAAACGGCTCAAAGCCATACTCGCACAAAAGTGCCATTGTGTGTTATATTAAACTTCGAGTCCTCCTTGTTCGCGACCACAAAGCTTTTTGTACTTGACCTCGAGTCCAGCATATAGACATATAAACGGTGTTTCGGTTCATGTAGATAGAGAAGTCTAGGAATCTTGTTCCAGAAAAACATCAGAAGAAAATCACCTATATAGTTCGACTGTCTTTTCACGTTTAGCAACAAAAATTATGTCTGATAGCATCAACAACACTGCCGCTGCTGGTCAGCGCATCACCTTTGGTACTGAGCTTGAGTTCATCGCCATTGTCCCCAAGAAGATAAGGATGCAATACGGCTCGTCCCAGAAGTACGTTCGTAGCGTGCTCAGTAACGCCCGAGTCAAGCTTCCCTGCAACAATCCTGGTTGTGTGGAAGGTGAGCACGAGTTCTCATTGCCCATCCACGATAACAATGTAGACGGAACCAACGACAAGTGGACACTTGACACTGATTCAAGTGTCATGTTGACCGATGGCAAATTCGGAACGAGTCTTGTCCGTGACGATTATGGTGGTCTTGAGTTGATCTCTCGCGTGCAGAAGTTTCAGGGAACCTCGCCTTGCCCCATGGGTCAGTGCTACCCATGTACTGGCGAACCCCTTGAGTGGAGTTGGCGCGACGAAATTAGGTGCTTCCTCGAGGTTCTTCACGAGGCTTTCACTGGACCTGGCTTCTGTGTTCTTGTTAACGAGACTGCAGGCCTTCATGTTCACCTTGCATACGGCGACATTGCTCTCCCTGTCCATGTCGTTCAAGGCCTTCTGGGCACCATGACAGCTCTGGAGCGTTCTTTCGACCAGGTGCTTCCTACCAACCGTATCAGTGGAGCACTTTCTGGGTCGAAGTTGTGGAACTCTTCAAACATGATTGAGCCCCTTCCTGGCATTCATATCGATGGATTCCACACCTTGTACAAACCTGGCACTGTCAATTCAGGAGCGGACTTCTCCAACTTTTACTGCCCTGCAATTTCTACGGCCATGTTTGACTATCTCCACAAACAGATCAGTAATAAGGCACAAGGCATTAACCCGGACGAGCCGCAAAGTTGGGCCCCACAAAATAGCCCAACCGATGGCGTGGTCCCTGTCCCTGCCCTTTCTGCCGAAACTGCCAAGTCGATCGAGAAAGACCTTCTTAGCTTCAATGTTCCCAGCTGGCTGAAGTTGATCGAAACCCCTTCCAGTGGTGAGGAGCTTAAGTCTGTGTATAAAGGTGTCAAGTACAATGCTCTGAGATTGTCGGGTATAGAACCCTGTGAGGACAGTTACTATAAGGGGCCTCCTACAGTTGAAGTCCGCACCCACGCTGGCAGTCTCGATTTAGGTGAGATAAGCGCTTGGATTGATCTTCTGTGCAGTTTGGCTCGCTGGGCTGAGATGGAATCGAAGGAGAATGTGTTCTCTTACCTTCTTGAGTCGTGGAGTGATGCCGAGTACAACATCTGTAGCCTGGCCCGTCATGTCGGTGCCAGCGAATCGACCATTCGTCAATACGATTTCGTCTTACACGACGACTACGCTCAGCGCCGTTTCGAGAAGTACACCTCTCATCCTTTGACTTTCACTGACAACTTAGGAAACCTCAACCGTGCCAACGAGGAGCAGCGCCGCAAGCTGTTCTCTCGTGAGAATGTTGATGAAAAGATTCGTTGGAAGCTCGAGTCTGGAAGATACGGACCATTGCCGACGAGCGTCCTTGAAGCTCAACCTGATTCTGAGATTTTTTCAAGACCTGAGGCCAAGTTCTTGCATTACAACGAGGAAAGCCAGAAGGCGTGGGCTGAGTTCTTGAAGGACTACTATCGTGTTGCGCGCAAACTCGAATTGACCTTCAAAGACTCTATCGATGGTTCTGGTACATCCTCTGATGCTTCTGGTACTTCCTCTGATGTTTCTTCTGATAGTTCTCCTGATGGCGGTGCTAAGATTACCCGTGACTCTGACAACGAGTCTGTGTCTGCGGGTGCCGGTGACGAAGAGCCTGTATCTAGCTCAAGCGACGATTCCGATGAATCTTCTGAATCTGATGAGTCCGATGAGTTTCCTGGGTCTGATGGGTCTGACGACGAGTCAGATGAAGCTGCCAAGTCTCCTGTCAAGAACATCACTCCTGATGAGTCCGAGGATGACTTCAACGACGAAGGATGGTATGGACTTCATCCTGGCTTGGCTAGCGCCTACAACAATATCCCTGGCCAACATCTCACTCACCTTGAAGAGACCGTCCTCGGCATGCCTGCGCTTCCATCTCCTACTACCCCCAACATGCTCGATTTTGAGGATTTGAAGACTGACACAATTGCCAGAATCCACGATGCCTTCTTTGGTGCTGTTACGATTGAGAGTCTTGTTGCTGCCGAGTCCAAGGATGAGGTTGAGAACATCATCGCTCGCGCTGTCGAGACCCAGAAACAGATGCACGTGCTGAAATCTGTTGCGCAGGAGAAGGCCATTGCAAAGAAGTATTTTAACAGAAAGGATAGGAAGGAGTAGAATATCGACAACGACTCATTGCCTGATGGTCGTGTCCTGGTAAGTGTGAATATATCGTCTGTGTACTATTGTTATGAGAAAGATAAGAGACATGTTGCAAGTCAACATTTCCAAAAGTTCTTGAGTTGCCTGTGCAAGTCTGTGACAGTAATAAACTCCGTTCGATCGTGACTTGGTTGAGTAGCAAAGAAGAGTATAGAATGATTTGATATAGGCACAGACAATGATGATTTCTGATGCTTTGGGCTGTTCGGTGTTTTGCTTGGGAGCTTTGAGTCGTGGCGGTTCGCGGAATGCGAGGTTTAGACAAAGCCAGTCAGGTAGGCAGTTGTCCTTCGCTCCTTCTAACCTGTATGCATACGAACATATGCATGTCCGTGAAAGGAGTTGTGCACAGTCGAAGAAGGGACGAGATGAACTCAGGCTTGGCAGGTTTGTGCACAGACCAACATCGCGCAAAGCTCAAGTTTAAAAAAGTTTCCGGCTGGCGACACTCTTCCACCTCTTCTCTTCCTTCCTTGGACGCCATCCAAACATGGCGGACGTAATCTCATTCGTGCCTCAACATGAGGAGGATTTGAGCGATGAGCAGATGCAGGAAATGCTCGCTCAGGCCGCCAGACGCCGTAAGGAGAATGCCAGCGTTGCGCTTTTCGACAAGGACGACAAAGACAAGGCCAACCAGTTCAACTTCCCCAAGCTCAACACTGGAGAGATGGTGCAGCCTTATGTCTCGAACGCTGGAGATGTCGCGACTGTTGACCGTTCGCGCTTGTTGGCTGAGCAGGACCGCAAGTTGTCCAACCAGATCCGCAAGGTCGAGGATCCTGTGGCCGTCAAGAAGAAGATGCTTGAGGTATGTTTATAACCCTTTCTTCTCACTGCACATTTCCCTTGCCTATGAGGAAAATTATCCCAACTTTTTCCTGACGCGGAATCAGGGCACCGTCTTGGTGCCCCTCTGCACAAACTGAAGTTTTTTTTATTCATAGTTACTCTGAGGCACATTCGCACAAACACACGTTTTGAGAATTCACATCAGAGAAGATGATTGCTAACATGCTCTGCTTCTCCAGTCTAAGAAAGCCACTTCTGGTGAACAGTGGTACAACATGCCTCGTACCGATCTCACTCCCGAGTTGAAGAGAGATCTCCAACTGTTGAAGATGCGTAACGTGCTTGATCCGCATAGACATTACAAGAAGGAGAACGGCAAGATGAGACCTCCAGAGTACTCCCAGGTTGGTACCATCGTCGAAGGACCCACCGAATATTTCTCTGGCAGAATCAACAACAAGGATCGCAAGAAGACCTTTGTCGAAGAAGTCCTGTCCAGCGAAAAGGACACGGGCCGTTTCAAGAGAAAGTATGGCGACATCCAGTCCTCCAAGACAAGCGGAAAGAAGTCGTACTACAAGGCTCTCCAGGCCAAGCGCGCCGTCAACCCCAAGAAGAGATGAGGCGTTGTTCTTACAGGTCCGACACGATGCTGTATACCAGTGTCTGCGTTGGGTCAGTCAACATCTCATATCACACACCACCCCACCGTTATTCATCATACGCACCTGCATATCCTTTGCGGCTTCCCTACCAGCCTCGATCACTTCCTCATGGTTGGCTTTGCCCTTGCCCAAATGATCCACGAGCTCTTGTGGTGACATGGAGCTCAGAGCAGCATCATCACCACGAGGTACAGGTTGCAGCACAGCATTGTTAGTCACCAGGCTGAACGCAAGGATCTTGATGCCACTGTGTCTGGCAACAATAATCTCAGGCACGGTTGACATACCGACCACGTCGGCACCTAGCTGATGTAGCATACGACACTCTGCTCTTGTCTCGTATGTTGGACCGGCAACAAAGGCATATACACCTTCATGCAGTTTGCGCTTGGCGTCGGCTGGGCGCACTTTTTGCCATGTCTGATGAGCCTTTTGGCGCAAGCCCAGATCATATGCATCAGACAGAGGAGGGAAGCGTACACCAAAATCATCAGCGTTGGGTCCACGAAGAGGATGGAAGCCAACCAGTCCAGCCATATTCAGATGATCGTTGAGGCAGACAATGTCTCCCACGCTGTAATCTGGGTTCAGTCCACCAGCAGCATTGGTCACTGTACTATTGTCAGCGCCGTTGTCGCGGCCGAGTACACAAAGACATACCGATCATGGTCTCGACACCGAGCACTTTGCAGACTCTCGTCGCGAAAGTCACGAGCTCCATAGTGTGACCTTCATAGAAACTTGATAGAACATACGAATGAGCATACAGTCTATCACGCAATCACTATTCTGTTTACTTACTGTGCTCTGCCGACCAACAAGACCACGGGGACCTTGGTGTCTCCCATAGTGCCAACCACGAGCTTACCAGCATGTCCTTGAACTAAGATGCTTGTCAGTGTATATATGTCAAGGTTGACCATGAAACTCACCAGTAGTCTTTGGGAAGTTTGGAATGTCATGATAATCGATCTCCAGCTTATTATCAGTAGCCACAGTGTCTGCAATGCCTCCAAGACCAGAACCGCAGACGATGGCCACACGGGGGTTCTGTAGGTGTGATGGTAGTTTGGACTTGATGAAGTCTGCTGAACTAGATGCCCGCTGATAGGCCTCCGAAGAAGGCTTTGAGGATGGCAAATGATCATTTACCGCTGCCATTCTGATCGATTGTTGCTAATGAGATTGTTATATCCAAAGAGTGTCCTGGACCTGTGAGATCTATGTTTGCTGGTCGTGTGAGTCGAGTCGATGAATGCCAAGAAGATGATTCTGCCGAAAGCGGTGAGTGATGAATCCCGGGATTGATTTCTAGATTGACATTCTGCGAGTGCGGCGGTGGTATATACACAGGATACGATGGCTTCATATTTACGGTCGCCCTTTGGGCTGACGAAACGTCTAAGGGTGAGTTCGATGAGTTCATGCGAGATGTAGCGACTGACAAAGCGCGCGATGACAGATTGCGCCTCCTGCACCAATTCAAGCCCGCACAGTATACCAGTCTCGCCAACCATGGCATGGCAACCAATCAGTCGTCCTCGAACACCAGCGTGATGCATCCGTCGACTTTGACGACTTCATGAGCCAGACTGCACAAGAGTAAGCTCGCTCGAACCGGCCTACAGATCAGACATGGCATACTAAGACGCCTTCAACCATAGAGCACGAGGTGTCACACTCCCAGCACGCGAGCCTTTCTTCAGCCCAGAGATTCAGCGCGAACTCGAAGCACTCCGTCTCCCTCGTTCCATTCACCTCAACTACCTCAAGCCTCTCAAGCGCACACCAACCCACGGTGTCCCCGCCGCCGATCTTCAACTACGCTCCTACAGCGTGCGCAACCTCGAATTCTTTGCCGACTTCGCTCTTCGCGCCGCTTACTACCTCAATCTCCCTGCCAAGGGCCCTGTGCCGCTTCCCAAGATCACCGAGCGCTGGACCGTTCCCAGATCCAACTTCGTTCACAAGAAGAGTCAGGAAAACTTCGAGCGTATCACATTGAGGAGATTGATCCAAATTCAAGATGGACACCCCGAGGTTGTGCAGATCTGGCTGGGTTTCTTGCAAAAGTACGCTTACTACGGCGTGGGTATGAAGGCGAATGTGTGGGAGTACTCAAGTCTGGACGTCAGCAAAGAGATGGACGAGCAGGCTGAAAAGGCAAAGGCTTCGATTGACGAGAGATTGAAGTTGTTCGGTAGACGCAGCGACCGCATCAACGATGCTGACGTTGATGGCATGATCCACGACAACATCTTCAAGGGTGCTTCGGGTTCCCTGGCACCCATGGGTACCTACGGCAAGTCCAACTAAGCCGAGGACTTTCTACTTTTGTTCGCATTCTGAAGGCGCCCATTGGCTGTGTACAGTATTTCTTGTATAAAATGGTAAAAAGGAGGAATTTACGGCTTTTGAGTTGTCGATATGAGTTTCTGTCCTTCTACGCCTTTCATGTTTTCATTTCATGTCTCACACACATCTGCCTTGCTGAGACCTTGGTGGACTCTGCTACATGTAGTACCAGCATCTTCGAAAACAATTTCTGCCTCACAGTACCGTGACATCGCATCATGTCAACGTGCGCTTCGCGTGGTGGGTCATGCAAGTATTCCATTAGCAGGTAGTTTCACGGTGGAAGAAAGGCTGGCGGCTCCTTCAGGCCCTTTGTCCATGTGGGCAAGCGGGAAGAAGCAAAGAAAAACAAGGCATAATGGGTAAACGGTACAGACAGTCGGGCATCCGCCTTGACAGCGAAGCATGCGTTCAAGATATAAAGAACTTAATCACGTGGGAAAGTATGGACTTTCGTAGGTACTTCTGTGTTGCACTTTCTGTTCTCGTCAAGACCGATCTTGCATAAACAAGCGCAACACAGCAGCTTTCTTCCCCAATCATCGACCAACTCACATTCTCATTCGCGACATCAGTGGCCCGCATTATTTTGTCCCTATCAGCGAGCTCCCTAGAGCATCAGGGCAGGAATTTGCTCCGAAGTCTGGTTTGCCAACCAGAGCGTGTCAAAGCTCCATTCCTACGGCCCAGTCACAAGTTGCCTACGGGTACTGGCCCAGCGTGTAGCCAGGCCATCCGATTCGCCAGAGTTTCTACTGTTTTTTCTCAGAAGCAGATCATAGGTCAGTGAGTTCCCCTCATGCTTTTTGTCTTGTGTTTCAAAAACCATTGCAACGAAAAGAGGTTTCGTTGATATTGCGAGAGCATGTCAAGCGCAGTGAGGGTCGAGCGCGAACTCCGGCCGATGCGGTTCGGCAACGCGACGCGAACCACCTCATCACCTTGATCTCCCATTCAAATACCCTTTGTTGTACTGACGTTGGCGTCTGTCTTCCGTCTTATAGACATCCGGCGCATATAGCTCGAGCAATATAGCGCGAGTCTTCATAGTCATGTCGAATCCGAATTACAACGCCATGCAGAGCTCCGGCTCCAACGTACCTCCGCCTAAGCGCTATGATGGACGCGACGGTGGTCCAGTCTATGATCCCAGTCATGGTGGTCACTACGGTAGGTGCAAAGAGTGCGCATTATTGTAATGTGCTTCAGCTGATCTTGCGACACAGGTGCTAGCTCCTATGTATGTTCAGGGCCATGCGCGACAGCTCCTCGACTCTGGCTAACATGGACTGTAGATCGCATCGCAGGGTAGCGCACCTCCACCAGAGACATTTACTGGACAATGGTCGAACGTCAGTCAACACACACAACACTACCATGAGCTGTGCACTAACATGTATGGCTCTACAGGTATCGCAAGGACTTTCCGGCAACTACAGAGACATCTTGAACACGTATTGGCAGAATCAGGTCACGAAGCTCGAAACCGACGAACACGACTACAAGATCCACCAGCTGCCGCTAGCCCGCATCAAGAAGGTCATGAAGGCAGACCCAGAAGTCAAGATGATCTCGGCTGAAGCACCCATCCTATTCGCAAAGGGTTGTGACATCTTCATAACAGAACTGACCATGCGCGCATGGATCCACGCAGAGGAGAACAAGAGACGTACCTTGCAACGAAGCGACATTGCTAGTGCTCTAGCCAAGAGCGACATGTTTGACTTCCTCATCGACATTGTGCCTCGCGAGGACGCAACTCCTCAACACAAACGCAGACAAGACTTCCCACCAGGCAGCTTCCCAGTGCCAGATGCACAGCTTGCCACTGCTGGACCTTCAATGCAGGCTCCTCCTGCGGCAGCACAACTTCAGAGTCAGGAACAGGGACAACAGCATATGCAGCCGACGGACTACGGTGCCATGGGCCAGCACGTGGCACAAGAAACGTATCCTCCGCAGCAGGGCATGTACCCGCCTCCTGCGCCTTCGGCTGCCTACCCACAGCAACATAGCTTTGACCCTAATATGTATGCTGGTGGCTACAACATGTTGCAGCAGCCAGTGAGTGTCCTTGAATGAGGCAGAAGAATGATGTAACCAGAGGCTAACCCCAGTGTTTAGCCAATGTTCCCGCCGCAAGGACCAAGAATGACGGATCCGTCATTGAGTGGCAACGACGGACAGCATCATTATCGTGCAGCTGAAGATGATGCCGAGGGCGAGAGGGACCAATACGAAGTATGAACGGATGGATGCAGCGAGAACATGACAAACAACTTGATACCCCCCACTACTATTACAACGACTACAAACAAGAAGCAAACAAAAAGTCCCAGATACAGACAAACTACCGAATCATGGACGAGAAGGACCGGGAAGAGCAAAGGTAGAGAGTTTCAAGGAAGATTACGGGACAAGTGTGTTTGGGTTCGCGGACCTCTAGCTCTACGTCTTGATGGTGCACGAATATAGACCGGAAGCTCACAGACTGAGGCTTTCCGCATTATTATCTTGTATAACGCTAGCCTTGGCTGTTTTGGATCTGGCCACCAAGGTGCTCTGGTACGACATATGTTGATGACATCGGGATGTTGACGAGGCAGATGGGTGACCCGTAAAGACCCTGTTCGCTCATTAACCGAAACCGGCCTCGGCATGGCGGGGTGATGGATCGGGCTTTGCAAGTGGTGAGATGCTGTTATGAAGAATGCTGAGAGTGGTAGAACGAGCAGAGAATGGAGCTATATACAAGCGGATGGATGAGTGTTGAGTTGGATTACAGGTCGGGTCTGCGGAGGGCGTATGTCGGCGTATTATTAGTGCATAGGATCGAGGAGGGGCAATTGGGGAAATGACCAGCAACTCGAAGGACGGAGCGGGGGAGGGTTCGGGAAGGTCCAAGCTCTCACATGCAAAGAGCAGCATTGGCAGGTGCTGCTGAGTTTCCCAAGTCCGAGACAGGTCTTCCTTCCTATTCCCTCACTCCTCTTTACTGAAAAGGCTCCTTCCTGTTCTATACACTTTGAACAGCTTCTCTCTTCAATCCCACACTTCCTTCTCATTTCACAAACACCGCAATTATGGTCAAAGTCGGTATGTAACGAGAGCTCTCGGATAGATGCCTGTTGTCCGAAAGAGTCAGGAGCTGACATGGTATACCTTCTCTAGTTGTTGCAGGAGCCTCAGGTGGCATTGGCCAGCCTCTGTCTCTTCTCGTCAAGTCAAGCCCTCTGGTCGACGAGCTCTCGCTCTACGATGTTGTCAACACTCCTGGTGTTGCTGCCGATCTCTCTCACATCTCTACTCCCGCAAAGGTCCAGGGCTTCCTTCCCAAGGACGACGGCATGAAGCACGCCTTCACCGGTGCCAACATGGTCATCATCCCCGCTGGTATCCCCCGTAAGTTACAGCCGCACCATAACAACCTACAGTAACCACTAACATGCCTGCTCCAGGCAAGCCTGGTATGACCCGTGACGACCTCTTCAAGATCAATGCCGGCATCGTCCGCGACCTCATCAAGGGTGTGGCCGAGTTCTGCCCCGACGCCTTTGTCCTCATCATCTCCAACCCCGTCAACAGCACCGTCCCCATCGCCGCTGAGGTCCTCAAGGCCGCTGGCAAGTTCAACCCCAAGAAGCTCTTCGGTGTCACCACCCTCGACGTTGTCCGTGCAGAGACCTTTGTCGCTGAGATCACTGGCGAGAGCAACCCCGCCAAGACCACCATCCCTGTTATCGGCGGTCACTCCGGCGAGACCATTGTCCCTCTGTGGAGCCAGGCCAAGCCTGCTGTCAAGATCCCTGAGGACAAGCTCGATGCCATCACCAACCGTGAGTTCTCGTGGTTCTCTACTTCATACCCACCAAGACTAACACTTTCCTCTCAGGTGTCCAATTTGGTGGTGACGAGGTCGTCAAGGCCAAGGACGGTGCTGGCTCTGCTACCCTCTCCATGGCCTACGCCGGTTTCCGCTTCGCCGAGAACGTCCTCAAGGCCGTCAAGGGCGAGTCTTCCGTCTCCGAGCCCACATTCGTCTACCTTCCCGGTGTTGACGGCGGTGACGCTATTCAGAAGGAGACCGGTTGTGACTTCTTCTCCGTTCCCGTTGAGCTCGGCCCCGAGGGTGCCAAGAAGGCCATCAACGTTGTTTCTTCCGCCAACGACTACGAGAAGAAGCTCTTGACCAAGTGCTACGAGGGTCTGACTGGCAACATCAGCAAGGGTGTTGAATTCATCCAGAACCCCCCTGCTAAGTGAGTTGACTGAACCGCCCGAGACATTAGTCGTGTGCTGACCATATGCGTGGCAGATAGATTGTAACGAATTGACACGACATCCCTCTTCTCAAGCGTTTCGAACTGTTCAATCTATTCCCGTGGTTTTGCATGACATGAGCAAGGTATGGCGATGGGATCAAGGGATACAATCAAGTGAAGCGAGATTGACCCTTGTTCTCTCATAATATGTATGAATGAAAAAATCAATGAATGATACCAACCACATTTCCCAAATCAACATATCTTTTGACTTTTGTGACTTCTGATAGGCTTCTCACCTTAACAGATGAGCTCATCATGGAACATCTACAACCTTGTTTACTAGCATACCGAGCTGTCTGCCCGTATCTGCTAGAGTCCTTTCTTTCTTTCTTTCTGGATGGCTAGCATGTCATGATGTTACATCCCTGACTTGTAAATCAATATCGGAGAGTTTGACATGAAACACCAGGGTCACATCCCCAGCCATATTTTTCCCAATCAAGTTTCATCGACAACGACGTGTATACTGCTAGCGGACGAGTTTCGATCATCTTCTAGTTCGAAACAGTATATCCTTTGTTTCTCGGAATCCTATGAATTCTGATTTTTTTTTTTCTTCTTTTTGATGATGGTTGTCACAGGACATGCGTCGGATCATCGTGATGTGCGAGCAGTCTTGAATCACAAGGCTACACTCATCAGGCAATCTCGGGGAGAATCGAGGTTAAATGTCTTTTTTTTCTTTGTGAATGACAGCTTGATGTTCACGAGCAATGGGAGACGTTGTCCGACAGAGGCAGATTTGGTGGTCAATATATCTTGGTTCGGAGTAACTATATACAAGAAAGAATCGTTGAGCTTATACATGCCCTTGGGCCATTGCCAGCAAGAGCAAAACGATTCCTAGCTCTCATAAACCTCAAACCCATAACACCGTACAACCAAACCCATGCACCCATCAGGCTAATCCCAAAGCCCCCAAAACATCGCTAGAAAAACCATGGTCTTCAACATCCCACTCTCCAGCTCCCACGGGCAAACACAACGAAAAAGGTCTTTCTGCTTTTGCACTTGGTTTAAGCGTCAAACAACTAGAATTAGACTTTTGCTCGCAATCACCACTGCTTCTGCTACGACGGGCTTGTACGTTTTGAAGGTATAGCGGTGTCGCACGAGGGAAAAAAGCGAGAAACTCGGGGGTTTTGGTTGTGTGGTGTGAGGAAAGGGAGTCGTCGTACTCGCTGAAGTGGGAGGAGTGGGATGAGGAAGGACTGGTGTAGAGAGTGGAGAGACGGTTGCTTAGATCTTCGAGACCGGTGTTGACGTTTGAGGGCTCGGGATCGTGTCTGGATGTGTCGAGGCTAAAGCTGAGGCGGTCGGGTGTTGTGAGGCTGGAGGAGAAGGAGGAATCGAGGGTATCGGCTGTGAATGTTGGAGAAGCCATGTCAAAGCTGCCGGGGACGCTTTTGTTGGGTCCAAAGCCGGGGTGGAAGTCGTCTGATGCAACTGAAGAAGAAAATGCTGGTGATGTAAAAGGCTGGTGGAATGTGCTGGTCTGTGACTGAGATTGATTGTTGAGGTTGAGAATAGGGATTGCAGAGGTCGGTGTTGAGGGCCCATGGACAGGCGTGTGAGAAGAAGACGGTCTGAATCGGTTGAGAGGTGGCAATGGCCAGTTCTCTTCATCTGCCAACTCGGACAAAGGTGGGCTAAGGGGCCATTGTGCAGATTGCGGTTCGTCGTTGGCGCCATCGTATTGAGGTATTTGCGATGGTGAATCATCAATGTCCATCGTGAACTCCTGACTAAGACGGTGCGTGTTCTTCTTCGGTTGTCTAAGTGATCCGAAGAATGAGAATCCCAAGCCTTTGGTAAGATCAGTAAAGAGTCCTCCAGCTCGAGTCACTGGCCTTTCTTCAGGCGAAGCACTAGGGCAAGGTCCAAAGGGTCGAAGTTCTGGCAGGTGGTTCATGCTCTGATTAAGATCGGGTATGTTTGCTAGCGCTGAAATGTCATCCCAAGAAGCCTCAACTTGACATGCACCAGGTTTTTGATATTCAGGCTCCTCACGGCGAACGCGTTTTACAGACCTGAGACCCCGAGAAGATGGTCGTTCTCTGAACCTGAGATCTCTTGACATTGTGGCATCCGCAGCAAATCTCTCACGCAATGCGTCACTAGAGCAATAGTAGCGAGGAAGCTTGGTAGGCGGCTTGCTGTAGATCTTCTTATATCTGTCTTCGGGGTTGGTGGTCATGGGGTGTTCCATAGTAGATGGTAGATCGGCCGAAGCGCTGCTAACTCTTTGAGGGGCCTCGATCACTTCAACAGGGATTTCCATGACGTTGACCATTTGCCCAGGTAGCAGTGGGCAGGCATTTGTTGTTGAGGCAGTCAAGTCGCAGGTTTCCTCGGCATCATCGAGTTTGTAATAGTACCAGTAGGTTCCACCCTGTTTCAAGGCACCATTTCTGGGCCTGAGCTGGTTGATACGATCACCATCACAGATAATGTTTTCGAATGAGTGGCATCCAGTCCAGACACCACGACCTCTGTGGCCATCGCTTTGCATACGGTACGATCTTGAGAAGTTGTCCCATGAGCCAAAAAGTTCCACTGTTTGGACATCCGGTCTTGATTTACTAGTTCAGATTGTAAGCATGTTGTCGTCTCGAGTTTCGGACTCAAGTCCGGCAACTTACTAAAGAAAGGTAACGAGTGTGGTCGAGTCCATGTTGCGACTCGGAATCGACAGGCCTAGTTGAAGGATTGCTTCTCCTTTATGTATGTGTAATGGCCTCTTTGAGTAAAGACCTTGCTCTGTTATACAAGGATCTCCCCAAAATAAAATAAAATTGGAAACAAGGGAGAAGTGGAAATGTTGTGGAGGGAGGGGTTGTTGTAATAGTGAGGCTGCTGACAAGGAACAAGGCTCTTATGCCTGCAGTACGTCTCCCGTCCTGAGTAGTGCACTTTGTTAGTAGTTTAGTGCGCTTCCTGCACAGGCGATCCTCTTGGAATCCAAAACTCTACGACAACTTTTTTGGGGGCTGGCGGTGGATTCGGCCTTGTCAGCTAGCGACTACCCTGCCCTTTTGGTGGATCCCTCTCGGGCGGGCGTATGTCTGGATCCGGCAAAAGGACAACCGGGGTTGACCTTGGAAATCTTGATGCAAGCAAGAAAGACGTGGAGGCAAGAGTTATGCACGCGGGACGTTTTTTCGCGATGATGGCACGGCAGGAGCGCAGCGCCGTAGAGGGCTGATGCTTTCGCTCCACAAGGCTAACAATGCTGTGTTCCCCAACGCCGGGTTTCGAGTATGCTTTGCTGCGCGGTCGTCTGTGTGTTTTGGCCTTGGTCGTAGCTGATTAAGAGATCTGTCGCAAATCACTCCGAAATGGGGTGTTTGAAATAGAAGAAGAAAAAAAGATTAGAGGAAAGGTATGGGTGTGACATTTTATTAAGAACCACTCTTCCCCCCCAATCACCGTTCCAGGTTTTAAAATCATTTCACCCTATTCTTAAAATGAAGAGCAATGGTCGATTGGCCTTAGGAATGACATATTCGCAATACAAAGGGGGGCTGGATCCGAGGCCGAACCAGGAAAGCCTGCAACGCACGAGGTGGTCAAAGGGCAAGTAATAAGGTTAGCCCGCCGGCAGCGCAACATCGATGAGATTCGGGATCCACATGTTTCATCCTTTGAGTTCCGCTGGGTCTGTACCGTGGCTCGCATGCGTTCGCCCGTCGTAACGATCATCTTGAGAGTCTTTTCGACACTTCATGACATCTGCCACTGTTCCCTGGCTATGTTCTTCTATTGGTTGTACCTGTGTACATGTAAAAGCATCTTTGAGACAAAAGTTACTTTCACCTCACAATATCAACAAAGATCCTCCCGCCTTTGACCTAGAGATCCCCCTCAATATGATCGACCCGGCCACAAATTAATTCCCAAAAAGGGCGGAGCAGAGCCAAAGCACTAAAATAATCCCACGCTTACTTGCTTGCTTGCGCCATGCCAAAAACCAGGTTTATGCTTGAAGGATGAAGGAGAGGCCGTCTTTAGCGATGTGGCTATCCATAATCCTATCAGCTTGACAAATATCTCTTTCTCGTCTTGTTGTTGAAGGATTGCGATCGCAGCTTTACTCGACTATCGAACTTGCTATTGAAAAAGGCGCGCATGCCATGGTCAAGGAGTGCCCACTTCCAAGGCCACGCTTTCCTTCATCGCACATGTCGTAACTCAACTTCTCATCTGGGTGGCCTTGTAGGAAGGAACAGAGGAATACGCGCCTTTGCCTTGGTTTTTTTTGCTCTCGGTTGCCTTGCTTGGCCAGCCATTCAGCTCTTGCACAAAGCAGGTTGCAGCTATGCGGCCCGCTTACCATTTTTCGACGCCGCGCTGCCCTTGACCTGCTTGCCGTGCTTCGCAATGATCAACCCCAGCCATTTATTTATGAATCCGCATCTTTTGACGCGATTTGTCTCAGATCAACCCATCGCGTGAAGTTGCGTAAGACAGAGCGCCTCTTTTGAAACTCCATGCATGGCATTTTTCTTGACAAGATGTAGCGATCATTCACACATCACTCGATCAGAGTGTGAGGCGCTCGGTGCATCTATTGTGCCTGTGCCTATACCAAGCGAAACTATGCAAACACAGTACACTTATGTCGGCAACTTTGCCAAAGTTCATGCAAACCAGCCGTTTTCTACATCAATGCATTCAGTTCAAGATCCCACGAGAAAGCATCCCAAGACTTCGGGATCCTGCCGTATCAATGCTCTATTGTTCATAGCCTGCCTATTCTGCTCGAACCATAGAAGGTTAACTTTGGCAGATCCCTTGTGATGTGCTGGTTGTGAAGGGCAACCCGCGAACCATCAGCCCATCAAACCTATGCAAAAGAGTTTCAGCAAAAGGCAGATCGATTCTGCATCCTGGCGCTTTTATGCAAAAGACGCTCGGGAACTCCACTGTGCCAGGCATTCGTAGACCTCAGCTGCGTATGTGCCCTTGGCTTCTCGTACCACGACTCGAGCATATCAAACTCCAAGGCTCGCGCGAGAGAGGGCTGAGAGGCTATAATAAGGCATCCCATGCCGAAACGTCAACGTCAATGCCAAACTGTCAAACCAAGAAAAAAAAAGCCATATATCAATCAATCTACTATTTCTTCTTGTCGTCATTGGCCTTTGCTGATATATTTCTCTGCAAGAATAAATCCAAAAATTCGTCATTGGCGTTTCGAGTGTTGGGTCAAGTATCGAGATTCACAAAAGCCATCTGTTTTTCCCAGCCACCTCAGATGGCATATCGAGATTCATAGTTCGACAATCGAGCACAGAGCACCACGACTTACCGGGTTTCTGGGATTCTCTTGGATCTTGGTTATGATGATAGACTTTTGATGTGCTCCCAGCCTTTCTTGCCAGGAAAGAGGCACGTAAACACCGTCGAAAGCGGATATCGAATTTTCCTGAGACGGACAAAACTGCAAAGACGATCCCTTTTGTGTAACCCGACCTCTGCATCCTCCCTCATCCCAAAATCATGACCTGCATGCATGCAGCCCTGACAAATTCATACATGTTTCAGAGATTCTGCAAGGGACAAGATCCATAGTTGTGATTAAAAAGGTAAATGTGATATATCAGATTTTAAGAACCCCAAGCCTGGATTCTTGTGACAAAGGCTAGCTAGCCCATAGCAACCGGCTAAAAGAGACATGAGAAAAAGAAAATAGTGGTACAAGAAAAGAGAATGCGGTCGTCTGAAGGGATAGATCCGAAGAAGCAAGGCATATATCGAGCTTGTCGCTGCATTGGTCGACTACACAGAGCAAGTGATCCGAGCGACCAGGTCCCAATTATGGGGTTTCGGAAGCGCGTTTGCGCCCTTGAGTGCTCTGCCTCAGTCATGCAAAGACCAGGGTGCAAGAAGTCGAGAATTGAGAGCAAAAGCAACGCTCCTCTATCTCGAGGCTACTTTCTTCCTCGAATCCCCTGTGCCCCTCTCGTCAGGAATCCATTCTCTTTCTCTTGGAGATGGCGAAATCTATTGTGTCTTCTTGGGCAGTCCGGCCTTTGCGCGATCGGCGAGATCACCCTGAGCGAGCCACTCACTGGCCTTGACGATCTGGACAACGTTGACCCACTGCTTGAACAGCATGACGGGAGCGGAGACGATGACTAGAATCCATGGGACGGTACTATCCATCTTGTTGGCTCTGTAGAATCACATCAGTCAAACCTGCTAAAATCCAAGAAAAGATCGAGGAGCAAAACTCACCTGGCCATCTCCATTGCGCCAGCGGACCATGGGCTGGAAAAGATTGTCGAAGGCTTAGGGGGCAGGATTGGCGAACCTGGCTGCAGAGAAGCCCCCTCACCAGCAGGTTGCAAGAGCGAAGGAGTAAGGTACGGCGAAGAGAAAGCGAGCAGATAGAGGGCAATGAAGAAAAGCTCGTTCAAGGCACAGCACACGAACAAAACGGTGCGGTTGGTGTAGTACAAGTGCATGATCTTGCTTCTCTTTGCATCAATGTTCTTGTGGCTGCTGCTGCTACCACCCATGGCAAGAGTGGCATACATGTGCATGTAGTGGCTGGTAAAGTCGAGACTGATGAGGAGTTGGAAGACCATGCTCCAGCGAGGCATGGCGGTTGACAGGAAAACGAGGAGACATGTGGTGGTGCAACGATCAGTCACCATATCTAGCACGGCACCAAACTTTGTGGACTGGTTGAAAGCACGTGCGGCGTAGCCATCGAGAGCGTCCAGTAGACATGATATGCTGTATAGAAGGGCGCATGTTCGAGGATGAAGGGGCATGTAGTTTAGCGAGCCGATTGCGAGAAAGACACGGGCGTAGCCTGGGTTCACGTCAGCTCTTGAATGCGCAATTGAGCATTCATAAGCATACCAATCAAGTTTGGCACGAACATGAAGATGTTCTCTTTAGGCGCATTCACAGCAGTGACTTGAGCATTCTGCGCAGGAGCCTGAGCAGCGGCTCTGGCTGACATTGTGATTGTGTGTGGTTTCGGATATGGGTTAACTCGCGAATCGAGTTGCGAGGGAGTCTACAGCACTGCAAAGTGCAATGCGTAGGCCGTGTGAGAGATAGGGTCGTGGCTCCGGAGGTGGATGGTTGGTGGGCTGATGCCGACTCGGCGTTGTAGTGGGCGCGGCAGCAACAAAAGTGTTGCAGATTGATAACGGGCTGTGAGCGAAGGTGCTGGTCTACAGCTCCTAGATAGTGGTAGATGTTGGAATCAAGCAAATTGTAGGTCAGGGGATGCTTCTCAAACTTTGGACACTCATGTCAAGAAAGCTCCCAGAAATCAATCGGCTTGGCACATTTCGGTCCGGCGCAACTTCCGCCATGCTCCGCCAACAATCTCCTGTCTCGGATCGCGTCGCTGCCCTATCCGTCTCTTGTTCAATCTTCAATGGTCCGATAATTACAATACTCTACAAATTTCATTGGGGTTTATGCTAAACTTTTGATGTATCCACGCTCTTTTCATCCTGCCTTTTCCATAGAGTCTGTTGCTCTGTCTCATTCACGTCAAGTTCGCCTGCATCCACCCTTCCAAGAGCCAACCAGACTTAGGAGACTTCCCTTATCAACTCGCCATGCTGAAAAGAACAAACCCCGATTCTTGACAATCGTCAGCGAATGCAACAAACGCCGTTCTACTGATTACTCCTGACATGAAATTCGTATCGTCGCTCATCAAATATTTAAGACTGCTCAGTGCTGAGCAGAATATGCCTCCTGGATGACTGAGTTCTTGGTCACACTTCCTGAGAATCGGCCAGTGCCTCCGGCGAGATAGCCATCATACTCAGCCTCTTCGGCGAGCTTTACGTCACTCCAGCCCATTGTCATGCCCCATGCGTGGTGAAGCGCATCTGTGTCATGCTCAGACATGTATTGCACAATTGTGCCAAGGAGCTTGTCTTGAGTAGTGAGCATGGCTGGCGATAGAAGGCTCTGGCGACGCATAAAGTGGCGGCTCATCCGGTACGAAGCAGGTGCTTCAAGGTTGCTCTGATCGCCGAACGTCGGAGAACGAAGCTGTACATAGCCACATGACTTGAACTCAGCCGATACGAGGCCCTTCTTGCGTGGCTCAGGTGCAGGTTGAAACTCATCACGAGGTGAGTACATTTCGAGTCTGGGTCCCGGACTTATCTTATCGATCACCTTGACCCAAGAGCCCGCGCGGTGTCCTTCATACCAAGGTCTGTTGCTAGGCGGAGGTGCAGGAGCGGCTTGGACTGCAGGCTGCTGGGGTAACAGCCAGCCAGTATTGAGATGAGGAGCCGGCGGTGGAAGGGCTGCAGGTGGGAAGATCTGAGGGATTTGTGCTGCGCCAACCTGCTGCTGCTGCTGCTGCTGTTGCGGATGCTGGTAGAGCATTCCAGGTTGAGCCATTGGTAGATTGCCTTGGTTGTTGCCCGCGGCAATCCCGGTCAACATAGCATGGATCTGCTGCATTGTCATTCCCATTGGGTGGTTGGTCCAAATCTGAGGAACCTGGTACAGTGCAACGCCCTGTTGCTGCGTCATAGCATTCAGGTTCTGTAACATTGTCTGAGCCCATTGTTGGACAGGCACACCTGCAGGTGGACCTTGCCATATCTGGGCACCAAATTGAGCAGCGAAATGACCACCTAGCATCAATGCACCAGGACCAGGAGCCTGGTGAGGTGCAAACATGTTCTGATTAGGGTTGGCAGGATTGACCCCGACATTAGCGGCGCGAGGCATAGCAGTAAGCGAGACAGAATCAAATTTGATCTTCTTGAGGGTCTTCTTGCGCAGCTTCTTGACCATTGCCACGATAGAGACTGGTGTAAACCAGCAATTGGAGAAAGTAAGATCCTTGATGTGTGGCAGGCTGATTAGTTCATCGTCCTTCAATGTAGTAGTCGTCGAGCGAGCAATGGTGGTGACCGGAGCAGGCAAGATGTGGTGATTACGAGCAAAGATACCCTCAGCGTGCTCTCCACCTGCGGCCCAAGAAAAGTTGAGTTTGGTGACGTTCAGTCTGACTCCGATGAAGTCTTGAAGCAAACTGAATATCTTGTCGACAGAGGCCGATGGATCAACGTCCTTCGTCTCAACGATGCCAGCCTCGTCTCTCTCAACAGTGCGCCAGTCAGGGATGACGGCAAGTGTGACCTCTTGCAACTTTGGGAGAGCGGTCCAGAAATCCTGACGAGACAGCAATGGTACCAGATGGCTGGAGACACGGAAGTTGAGCACCGACACCTTGCCAAACACTGAGCTGTTGTCCACAACGCCAAGCATATATGTCGTGAGGAATGCTCTTTGTGCCCATTCAGCCTCCAAGAGCCATTCCTTTTGATGAACACCCAAGCTGGCAGGATTAAACTTATCGAGTCTTCTTGAGAATTCCCGTCTCTGAGCTTGCTCCGAGTAGATCGAGTCGTTTGCGTCGGGAGGCGAAATGTACAAAACTCCCGTCTCCGGAGCATCATGGCCATCGTTTTCAGCAACACCAGATACCACAGAACTGACAGGCTGAGCAGGAGCAGTGGCCCACGAGGCAGGAGAGACGTATGGGGTGGTTGAGAAAGGGGGACGGTAGAAGAAGTTCTCATCCAAGTTAGCACGCTCGAGACTGCCCTCCTTCAAATCCTCTAGAGCGCCCAATCTGTCGTGTGCAGACTCGATAGCCTCCCATAATCTGATACGCTCTTGTTGTTGTGCGTCCACTATGCCGTGCGAACAACCAAAGAGTGGAGAGGGTCGCTGCAGGATCATGCTGCGCAGTGACTTGTCGGGACCATTCATCCATCCAAGGCCGCTATCCATGGAAAGTGCAAGCTGCTGGACCACTGACAAGTGTGAAAAGGCCGACTTCATCTGTGAAGTTTCGTCTGCTGTGCGCTCAAGACCGGCGAGCAGTTCATAACGCGTATACTCCTTTGATGGCCATTCGTACGAGCCAAAGTAGCTCTCATGGCTGTCAAGTCTGTTCTTCTTGGGTGGGTTTTGAAGGGCGTCTTCCTTGATCTCAAAGCTCATGCCGAAGCGACGAATGTGATGGCCAAAGCCTTCAAAGACCTTGAGACCGTGGCCGCGATAGACCTTGTCTTCTGTATCTTCCAGAGCATTCTTCCAGTGTAACGAGCCAGGCTCCACGTCGACAAAGTTATTGATAGGGTCGTCAGCTCTGCGCTTGCCCTTGAGATCGCGCTTTGCGACCTTCTGTTCGATCATCTCGTATAGTTCTGTGTTGAAGGGGACAACGACGGTGTCAAACAGAGAGCCCGAGACACCGCGCTCGAACTCCTTGCTGACCAGGCGCATCGATTTGATGTCGTCGCGTGAAAGGTATTGGTTGATGAGTTCGAACAATTCGACAGGAAACTGGCCGGAGACCCATTGCGCTCTTCTAGCGGTGAGTTGAGAAGCATCGATGCGTTGCTTATGCGAGGGTTGAATCATGAAGCGCTTGTTCTTGCTCTTGTTCTTTCTCTTCTGTGATACGGGAATGAACGGCAGAAAGCGAAGAGTGGGCTGAGAAGTGTTGCGATCCAATTGATAGGCGAGAAGTAGTGCAGGATTTTCCGGATATGTTGGTTTCTTTGTAGAGCGGTCGTTCTCGGTCGCTTGTGCTGACAAGTCCCAGATACTAGCTCCGCAGTCAATGCGAGTTATGTTGTTGCCTGTGGACACAGAGCGAGTTGCATTGTTGCCAGTGATCACAGAGCGAGTAGTGTTGCCAGCGACCACAGATCGAGTTGCATTGTAAGGCCACATGCTCACACCATCAATAATTGGTGAGTTTTCGTCTTCGGTGGTGGTCTCAGATGACAATTCATCGCTGTCAGCAGCCGACAAAGCCGGCAAATCAGCAGGCGCAGATGCGGGTTGATTCTTCGAAATAATCTGTCCCATATTGAGAAGAGGTCCGTTGCGTCGTGAATTGACTGAACGATCGTCAATCAGGGTTGAAGTTGAAAGATCGTCGGCGTCAATATCAAGTGCGTGTGGATGAAGTGCCGAAGAAGATGATGGACCAGCATCATGGTCTTCCATTGTGGCGTCTTGGTACCGCATGCTGAAAACACCTCGAATAGGTTCTTGATCAATGACGGGGTTGGAAGAAGTGAAAGAATTGGATGCGCATAAAGGTGTAGGAAAAGTGAAGGAATTGGTCGAGGGCGTTGTTTGCGCCGGCACAGCCGATCGAGTCAAGTCTTGTTGTTCAAGCCAAGAGGAGACGAGTTCAGTCGGATGCGCCAAGTTGTTCGTAGTCGAAGAATTCAAACGACGTCGTCGGCGGTCTCGTGGATCAGGCGGCGATTCTGCTCTACGTGCTTCGCGGCGTGCTTCGCGACGCCCTTCGGACATGGTCTGCCACGAATAGCTCCGCCGTCTGGCTTGCAGACCGTGAGGGTAGATTTCGTCCTCGGATGCAGTCATAAAAACAGGGGTTTGACAACCCAGCCAGATGTTTATCTTGTTTCAATACTGGCAATCCATGCATGTGCGACCTGGTGTTTCCCGCAAAGCTGGCTGTGTCGTTTGTACCATCTGACCTTGCAGCTCGAGGCGTGTCACAGAATTGGTTCGTCCAGTCTTACAAATTGCAGTAGCTCCAAGCAATGGTATAGTATATCTGCGAATGAAAGTCGTAATGTTCAAACAGTCATCGAGGTGTGCTCGAGCTGTCAGGCACCAAGACAGAAAACACCCGCAGATCGTCAGCGCGGGGTCTTGATGTCGTCAACGGTTGATCTGATAGCTGAAGTATCGAAGGCAACAGAAGGCAACACTGACTAGCCAGCCTCGTCTGAGAGTACAACCACGAGACTAATAAGTAGTACGGGGAAGGCAAAGTGCTGAGAAATGGATGACTTTTGCATAATGACACCGTCCGTAGCAGATCTGGGAGATTGAAAAAAAAAATCGTAAGTCTATACATATTCTATATAACCATATCATGAAACCATGTACAAGACCAGAACCATTTAGCCACCATAATCTATGTATGTCCTTCCTTGAACTCCAAGTACCTAATCATGAATAAGGAGAGGGTATCATATCGGCATAACAATGTCGCGTCAAGTTACTCATTCGTCGAGTAGATTCTGAAGCTCGCAAACTCCCAGTAAGCCTTCTCGAAAGCTGTAGCATTCGTCGCGACAAAGTCCTCGCACTTTCCAGGACATTTGAATTGGCTCGAGTAAACACTATCTGCCCAAGAGCCGCAGAAGTCGATGTTTGCGATGATTGATTGGTTTTTGAAATGAGAGCCAATGTCACATTCTGTGCTAGGGAAGTCGGCAATGGGGAGACCCCATGATGAAGGATCAGGAGTAGTATCGTTGTCTATAGGAGAGGGCACAATTAGCATCTTTTGTATGAGGTAGGGGCATCAAGATCGAATTAGGGTAGCCATGGTTTCGCTGTCGACCTGTGATATGCGTCGTACGTACTAGGTCTAAGATCTCCAGGAGGCGAGTCACGGTTGAAGATCCACATGCGGATACCAGCGTCGCGAAGCTCCATTGCGTAGACCTAATGTTTATGCTGTTAGCAAGAACGACCTTCGCTTTTTAGCTAGAAGGAAACACTCACTGCGCCACCGTCCTCATTAGCTTCAGCGCCGTATGAACTAGAAGAGCCCATCACTGCGCAGCCAGCGTTGTCATTTGTACCGTTGTAGCAATTGGTGCCTGCAAATTGGAACATTAGCATCTTTCTCAAGAGAAAGAAGGTCCACTGCAGCGCCTGTCCAAATGCACAATTTCATCCAATAAGTAAAGGTCCCCATTGAGAGCTGACCAGTTCGCGAACGATCCTAGGCTCTCAGGGGATCCTGTCCGAATTTGGATACGACTCTGCATTGCGATAGGGGCCGAAACCCTCGAACTGACAACGGAGAGACACCAGGCGACTACTGGACCTCTTGTCCTTGCTTACGTACCTTTAACAGTACCCGTCTGTTCGCGTCGGGCATTCATTTTGCAACCCTTAGAGGTGTGCAGAGCCATCTGATTTCCAGTGTTTCCTTGATTGACGGTTTCGACGACATCAATCTCTCCGTTGCCCGGCCAGTCGCTAGGATCAGCAAGCCAGACAGCAGGCCATAATCCACAGCCATAAGGCGTATGCTTGATGTCGAAAACGAAAAGACCAGAGTGGAATTGTTTCTTGGATGAGATGCGAACAGAGTTGCGACCGTTCTTTGCGTTGGTGTCTGTAGAGTCTGCTCTCAGGAAAGCAGTTGAGTCGCCAGCATAGGTCAAATTGGTGGACATGGCGGTAGCTTGGTCTACATAGCTGTATACATGTCAGTGACCATTGTCTCAGATAGCCTTTTGCAAGCCGCATGCATACTTGACAAAGCCATTAGCAGGATCTGCTGTAGAGTGATAGTCGAAATAATCGAAGAAATTGGTTCCTTGCCATCTATCTTCGAGCGTGTAGTTGAGGGCGTGGTAATCCGGGTATGAATTCTTCGATTTGTGATGTTTGGTGCCTTCTACTGCTGCAACGATGATAACGATAATGGCGATGATCGTGGCGATGACGGCTGTGACTTTCCATTTCTTCTGCCAGCCCCTTGGGTTCCACTTTGATGTAGTAGGTGCCATATCCATGCTATTCAGCTGTGCGCCATCGTATGCTGTCTCTGGTGAAGTCCCTTCCGGCAGGAAAGCTTTGTTTTCTTGCATCTTGAAGCAAATCACAAAGATAAAATGAGAGATGAGATTCGTTTAAGAGCGAGGGTTCATAGAACAGAAACACGGCACCAAAATCTTCCAAGAGATATTGAACTCAACGAAGGTCGCAAAAGAGAGGACAAGAGCAAAACGATGGAACCTGCAGCCAGGGCAGAAGGCATAGATAAGTCACGACATGGTACTACAGTGTACTGATCACCACACCTACTTGTAAAAATCACCTCAGCGACAAGAGCAGAGAAGATCTTGTACAGGGATCCCATTGGTGCTTTCGCAGTTCTAAAACGAGGATCCGAGTCTGAATCGCATCCACATGGTGTTGACGCGTCGGCGGGAAGCGCTGCAGACAGACGAACCCGCAGCAAGAATTTGTGGGTCTCACATCTGGAGTAACAGAAGTACAGCAGGCAAGCCCTGGCACTTGTGCGGGCTGGCAAAGAGGAGCAACAAGGTACGGAGTAAACTCGAAGTTGTTGAGGTTTCTGCAAAGTGCTCTGACGTTCGCAGGGTCCTTGCGCCGTCTCGTATCAAGGAATTTTGTCCCGGGCAACTCCCCATGCACAGCGCAACACAGTGACGATCACTGCCAGGCACAGGGGTTAGAGGATCACCTCTCGTGTGCAGAAGCGGTCATGGCTATTCTTGTGTTTTCTGTCTTGTGTTTTCGTATCATCGCCAATACCGAGACGCTGCCAATGCTGCTTCTTTCGTTTTGAGCAAGCCCTTCGTCCCCATCATTATTTTAACACGAGAAGGATTAGGCCGACCGAATGTCAAGTTCAGAATAGATAAGAGAGAAGTCAGGCACAACGCTTACACAGCCATCATGGTTTCGGAAAACAGCCCGAGCCTTCTCGGTTGTACGGTACTTGAACGTGACCTTGGACAAGCTATTTTCTATTGTGCAGAAAGCGTAGCACATGGTGAGCCGCATCAGAAGAACAGTGTTGGGTAAAATCTCATGGGTGGGTATTGACATGGTGGTATAATTGTTGTATCTTCCCCAAATTCAACGTTGCATTCGTTCGTCTCTTGACTTAGAACTCCTTCATGGTATCTCCTCTTCTCTTGCCGCGAAGCTCGTATTTGCCCTATAATGACCGTAGTTAGCATTGGCAATCCCAAGAGTCGACTTCGCCTTCTGAGCGACGGGTGGAAGCTTGATAGTGGACGCCTTGGGCTGGTGTGTCTCCGTCCATGCGTGTCTAGTGTCCTATCTTCCGAAGCAAAGAGTCCTGCTGTGTTTTTGTTCATTCTATGCGTCGTCTTCGCCATTGTTCACCGCAATTGCCGTCCAGAACTCCGCCCAACGTGATCCATCTCTTCAATGTGTCTCCTTTTGTCCGCCTCTTTCCATACACTTTCCAACTCTTGACGCCCAGCTTCCACGGCCGAAGAATACAAAAAAAAAAGCGACTCACATCAGTCTTGTTGGCGACGTAGTAAAGCGAGCTGGGAATGGCAACAGCGAAGAGGATCGAGAGCCAGGCAGTACGGGGAGTCCACTTGAAATGTCTGTAACGCTCCACTTGCATCTCTGCAGTCGCAATTAGAACACAAATATCGTCGGCGCATCTTCTCAAGTCGGGAGCGTACGGTTGTACTTGACCAACGCCGGGTCAAAGGCGAGACCTGTGAAGGTGTTAGTCCATGGCGACGCGGGCAAGCTGGGGATCTGGTAGATTGCGCACTGTTGTGACCACCGCCAGCCATCTTGAATTGATGTGTAGCTGTGATTTAGAGGTGGGTATTGGGATGGTTGTGTCGCTCACACCTTCAATGCCTGTCACTGTTGCTGACGTTCGAGAATGCCAAGAACTGCTTCGATATCACGTGCAGATAGAGTTGCTCGGTCCCATCGTCATGATCTCAACCATCGTGATCTGCTGCTTGCTTGTGATTGTGACGCCTCGGCTCGCTCAGGATTGCTTATCGTGCCAGGCCTCGCGGAATAAATCAAAATTGCTTGGACGATCCTCTGTTGAAGAGATAATACTGTCGTTCTTCGCTGCAGCAGACATCTAAAGAACCTTTCACGCATATTCCATCTCCCAATAGTAAGTCACAATTACATTCCGTGGACTCTCCCGAAGGATCAGGTCGCCTGACGTTGTACCATCCCTCCCGTATCCCCATACGCATTGCATTATCCTCTCCCAGCACGATCGCGCCTCTTTGCTGTTGTACAAACCCGTAGATCATCTCATGTCTCGAGCATTTCGTGCATACACTGTGAAACCTCTGTTCTTCAAATCTAACTTCCGTCAGTCATACAGAACCTTCGTCATGGCATCCGAAAGCACTGCTCCCAAAGTCACTTTGTACTGGCTCGAGCAATCCAGAGCCCAGCGCTTCATCTGGCTCCTCGAGGAGTGCAATGTCGACTACAACATCAAGATCTTCAAGCGCACACCTGAGGGAATGGCACCTCCCGAGCTGAAGAAGGTGCACCCTCTGGGCAAGTCTCCCGTTGTCGGTATCACCGCTCCTGGTAGAACCGACCCTTTGATCCTTGCTGAGTCTGGTTTCATTACTGAGTACTTGACCGAGCACTTTGCTCCTCACCTTGCACCCAAGAAATTTGAGGATGGCAAGGAAGGTCCTGGTCTTGAGACTGAAGAGTGGTTGCGTTACCACTTCTTTATGCACTATGCCGAGGGCTCTTTGATGGCTTTGATGGTCAACAACCTCGTCTTCAGCTGTAAGCTTCTGATACTTCAAATGTCTTGATTTGTACACAAAATTAAACATCCATCTACAGTCCTCAAGAGCGACAAGATCCCCTTCTTCATCCGTCCCATCACGGGCGGCATCGTCAACAAATTCAACGACATGTTCTTCAACCCCAACTTTAAGGCTCACTTCGACTTTTTAGAGTCTCAACTCGCCAGCGCACCCAACGGTGGTGGTTTCCTCTGTGGCAAGGATCTTACCGCCGTGGATATCTTGATGTCCTTCCCTATGCAGGCTGGTCAAAAGCGACTGAAGATGATCAATGCAACCACTTACCCCAAGTTGAATGCCTATGTTACCAAGCTCGAAAACATGGAGGGATACAAGAGGTCCATCGACAGAATTGAAAAGGAGACTGGTGAGAAGTTTTCTGTTATGATGGGTGCTGAGTAGATGAGAAGAAGATCAAGAAGAAAAGAGAAGATATTGTGATGTGTTTTTGTCTATAGATTTTGCACTTTTTTGACTTAATGTTACGATATACCATGTTCACATGATGTCTTTTGACTTTGAATGATCGAGCTTTTTTTCCAAGTTCTTGTTTCTTAAATGACCCCTCTTGGCTGCTATTGCTTCCATTCCCTGACTGTTATTGCCTTCTCTGCTCTACAGCTGTCCATATCTCCTTGCAATGGCGAAGGGCTTCATTCACTGAATGCTGGAACTACAGGTATTAAGTACGATCGAGTTCCGTTACTTTCTTCGTCGTTCTTTGACAAAACTGTGTCACTCACCCGAACTTCATTCCATATATCTCTCTATGTATCTCCTGATTAGCACAGCCCTTAGCTATGCTTCTAGCTATTATCATGAACCTGGATTTAAATCTCATGTTCATAGCCAGGGTTACCTACTCAGCTTCTATCTCAAAGCACGGACGATCTATCTTTTCTGCCCACCTTTCTTGAGCCGCGATCGTGCTCCACCATGGCGTTACAAAAACAGTCAGTGCTTCCCGATGATATAGATCTTGCCCCGCTTTGAGGCTCAAAAACTAAAGAAGCAAAACACTACATCTCATCATCATTTCTGAATTGGAAAAGTCCGCGTTGCAAATTGCACAAGACATCTGAAGCAGAGCAGTGAGATTGCAAGTATTCATTTTCATTCTTCATATGGCCATCAAGGCCAAGTAGCCACTTTACGTGGATGCGTGGGTGAATGCTAAACTAGTTTTACAAGAAAGTTCTGGGACTTTGTCGGAGGCATTGGTATCGTTGATCGTTGAAACAAGAAAGACGAGACGCTTAGGCAGAGTCGGGGATTCTCTCCTCAGCGGAGGGGACATCGCTGCGGGTGCCGCCGATGGCCTTGTCGCTCTCGAGGTTGCGCTGACCGGCGTGCTCAGGAAGGCGAGCGTCGACAGTCTTACCCTGAGCGCCAGACTTGAGACCGTCAAGACCGGTGCCAGGGTTCTTGTTGTGCGATTGGCCATCGTGGTGCAGCTCGGCAGAGGTCTGACCTTGGCCGGGGTGACCAAGACCGGTGTGGACCTGCTGAGAAGTGGCACCGCCAATGGTCTCACCGGCAGTGGTGCCGCCCGAGACTGGAGGAGCCTCAGCGATGTTGTTGGGCTTGAAGGTGCTGGAATAAAATCAGTATTGAATCGAAATATGATTGATTAAATGAACATACTGCTCAGGAGGAGCGGTGCCAGCAGGGAGGGTCTCGGCGTGGAACTCAGGAGCAGCGTCGTTGCCGACGAGCTTTCCAGGCTGGTGGCCAGTGGTGGTCAGAGGCTCGTCTCTGGGAGCAGAGGCGTGGAAGCCGTTGGGGTCAGAGTTGGCGGAAGCTTCAGGGTTGCGGGCGGCCATTTTGGTTGATGTGATGGTGTATTGGTTGTAAAGAGTTGAAGGTGTCGTGTGATTTGGAGGATTGAATTGATGAAAGAAAGAAATGTTCCTGCGTCTCTCAAGCTCTTTTGAACAGCTCTAAAGCTAGCTATGCTTCATGACGCTTCATGACGTTGTCTGCGCGAGGGGCATCGTTTTCTTCCTTCACAAGATCGGATCGAGTGATGACATTATTTTCCCCACACAAGTGCTCTCACCACTTCACCACTCTTCTAATTTCTTCTATGATCGTGTTTTCAGCTCGATGGAATGGCCAAAATACGATGATTAGACAATATACCGTTGACATTGCGATTGGCATCTCAAATGTCGACCGCTCTTTGCGGCCTTGTCACGGCGGAATGCCTCAAGCTAAGGACAACAACCAGAGACCATCTCAATAGTCTTCCTCTACGATACTTCGCTTTTCTTGTCTAGTGATACTCCTGTCAAATTCCAATCATGACGGATACTCAGCGCACCTTCATTATCCTCGCGGGTCACCATCTCCTCTTGACTATGGACTACTTCGTCTGAGGCTCGTTCGTCTCAAGGCTTAAATGCTAAGCCATTGATCTCCTGCAGGTGAAGCTCATTGGAGGGTGTTCTGTGAGCGAATGGTAGATCCCATCGACTTTGTGTAAGCGATTCAACGGACTGGAGTAGTGCTCTCACAAGCGCAATCAGGCACAGCCTGCGGTAAAAGGTATGGTCAAGCTAAGAGAAGGCTTTTGTGTGACTGTAGCGCACTCTTAAATGCTTTCTGAACATCCACAAGGTTTGTGGCTACAGATAGGTGCTCGTAGAAGTAGGTCAAGATTTACTCGATTTCTTTGCCTTTCTCCCACACCGCCCAAGAAAAAGAGCTTGTCAATATACCTGGTTCTGTGGTAGAGAAACTGCATCCTCCCGTGTATCAGAGTCTGCTACTTCCATCGTACTCCAGCTACGGCAACAAGCAAGACACATACTATAAAAAAAAGACACAGATGTTCTTGGTGAAGGGGCATGTCCAGCGGGAGCCGATGGGTTGTCACTTCTCAGTGGACATCTTCCTGTTTCTTCGTAGTGTTGTGCATTTTCGTAGCCACCCGTGTTACATCTTTCGTTCACGGAGTGGATGTGTTGGATAAACAGAAGCAAATTGCATTACGATATGACGCATATTATTCAAACGACTCACCGGGTAGCTGCATATGGCCGACTGCTGGACCATCCCAAGGGGAAATGAAAGTAGGTTTGAGAGTTCGACTATCACTCGCTCAATTTTCCGTGTACTATCATTGTCATATGCGCATTCATCTCGGCGCTCCTCGAATCGTTCCCCTACACACACCATAACTACTGCCCTTCAAGTCGATCGACTCATTGTCGGATAGAATTCATCCTCGTTGTTCGACATCCCTCGGCGTCGTTTACAGTCGACTCGCACAAGACATTCAAGATGGCACCAGCCGGTCCTGCATTGCACGCACACGCGCCTTTCAAGACACCCCATGCGTATGTCGCACCCATGGAGCGCCTCGATCTGGCAATGTCAAAAGACATTCTCAAGAAGTCAACCAATCTCAGCTACGCACATCTGAATTATCTTGAATGCCATGGCGAGAGTGTCTTCGCTGACAACAATTCCGTCAACCTGTTCGTCAACGCGCTGCGCATCCATTGGAAGGTCAGCGGCAAAACTCTTCAGAACGCATCGGACCAAGGCAAAGATCTATACGAACTCTTCGCACTGGGAGTGGACGGTCAGCACGTTATCCGCAACCTTTTCACTAGAGAGGCGATCTTCTTCCTTCTGGGTCGCGACTTCCCTGACGCCATGATGATACTGGCCGCCATCGTTCACCGCATCTACATCTCACAATGGCGCAGCTGGTCCACCGAGCATACACAGAAGAACTCGTCCCAGAGCCGCTACGCTCTCATCATCTCCCACGCTCAGGCAACGTCCAACCAACTCAGCAACAATGTGCTCGCGTTCAAAAGCAACGCTACCCCTGAACTGAGAAAGTGGGCTGAGGAGACCGTGGCTCGCCATCTGATCGCAATTGTCACCCCTGGACATCTGCCACGTCCCTCTGCTCGCAACAACAAGTATCTTCCGAGCTTTCATGACCCGATGCTGGACTCGAAGAGTGTCGAACACACCGCCATCTCTCCAACTCGCCTTGTCAAGTACAACGCTGCTCACAACAACTACGCCACCGAATCAGGTCCCTCCATCGAGAGATACCAGGTCCCTTTCCGACCCAACCCCTCGACCAAGCGCAAGGCTCCTGGTATTAGCCCCAAATATCACAGCTCACCATCCAACAAGAAGATCAAGTTTGGCACCGAGAGATTCAGAGCGTCCGATATTTACAGACCTCTGGGCTATCAGCGGGCCCCCACCAACGGCCATGGTAGACCCAGTCACCGCCACGTTGAAGACCTCCTGACTACTCCTACTCCTGTCAAGTACATCGACCACCACGAACAACAGGCTCTCGACACTCCTAGCCACGAAGCACTTCTCAAAGCCAAACTCCACGTGCTGCAGGGAAAGATCACACAGCACAAACTTGACGACATCTGCGTCGACTTTGCAGACTCCAGCTTGGGTTCTAACTTCAGAAGCTCTCACGAACACAACACTCCGGTTGTCAAGGGACCGTCCTATACCGACTATCTCCGCAACAAGGTGCAGGATGCCGAGTCTCGTCTGACTGTCAACAAGCGCAATACTGCTGGCCATGTCCGCAACAAGAGTTTCGTCGGTTCTGAGGAAGGTGAAATCTTTGACTGATGTCTCGAACACGATTCGATGAATCTCAATACGGTCACGTTTCTTAATCTCGATCAACCTATTCGAGTGTTCATTGAGACAGCGCACAAAACATCGACAACATTCTGACCGATTCCCTCTTACGCTACTACTACAGCAGCAGCGCAACCTCTTCTTGATACCCATCGAAATGCACAGAACAACAACAGATACGACATTGTCCATTGAGAGACAAAAACACTTTCGTCGACACTTGCCTTGGTTCTTGCTTTGCCTGGGCCTTTTCCACACCCTCTTTGGCAACAGACTTTGTTTTCCATCCCCATCCACAAGTATTACAGTTTCCTATCGTGCATCTTCTCAATCATTCCATCGTTATCACGAAAGCCATACAATTCAAACCCGTACATCGTCCGGAATATCGTACTCGACCTCACTAGTCACAGAAGAAGTTTTGGACTCAACCAACCGCACCAGGACTCTGACACGGGGGCTCTGCCCTTTCTTGTCTTCTTGTGCGTGAAGCACCGAGGGTGGATGGAGTGGTAAAGGATTGAGGAAGGACGTTCTTCTATACTAAGTTTTTGCTTGTGTTTTTGAGATTGAGACGTTGGTTTCTATCCCTCTCGTGCCTGATTGTCTGTGATATGTGAAGCCGTAAAAATGCAGAGCTGTATTTGTGGTTGGGAGAGTATCCAGAGAGAGACATAGTTTTGTGCTTCTGCTTTTGGAGGAGGCAGCATGTTATCTCTCTCATGTGTGAATGTCTATGATATGCATAGCTGTAGAAATACAGAATCGTATCTGCAATCGAAAGAGTCTCCAGAGAGAGCCCTCATCCAAGTGTCAAGTAAAAAGCTCAACATATTAAAAAGAACCCATCAAAAACTCACCACGAATCAGAATCGAACTCAAGACCAGCAAAATAAGATGCGTTACACCTGATATTCCCGATCAGACACACAAGAGGTTTAATTACCAAACAAGTATGTAACGCGCGGATCGGCCATTCCGCTCAGCCAAACATGCCCTCGATCGTCTGAGTAGGTGAAAGCAAGGCAATTTTGGAAGGTTATATAGCCTGGTTCAGGGATTCTTGGATTCGAGTTGAGCGGATTTCAGTAAGGTCATTGTGCATTTTGTAACTCATGTTTCGCTATGCTGTCATTTTCTTTTGCTTTTGCTCTTGGAATTGGTGTTTTCTCAACGCTCTGTTTCTTCCCAGCTTCTGTCACGCCAATCAAAGCTATTTCATGCTGGGAATTCCCCAATCCGATATCTACCTTCATGCCGAAAGTATCCTTGCGTGTTCCGAAACTCTTTCCAGGTAGTGCATATCTTGTTTGGGACCGGGTTTTCATTCGTACAACGCAGCCTCTGAAGCTTGGGCGCAAAGTTATCAATTATCCTTGCGGCCTGGAACATATTCATATCACCTTTGACCTGTTCAATAGCCATGTCCGTGACGTTCTCGAGTACGGGTGCGTTAGGCGAAACAACGTTCAGCAGCTCAAGCGCGCCCACAAACTCGATAGAGCGAAGTCTAGGGCAAAATTCGGAGATTGACTCCCATAGGTGATCAGGACCCTCGTACTCAAGGGTGTTGATAGAGAGATGCTCCAGAGCGGTAAGTCCAGAGAACATATCTGACGCATCCGCTATTAGGAACTTGTCGTCAGGGGAAAAGAACCCGTCATCTTCATCTTCGGAACCCTCTTCACGCTTACAGGAAGGATAGAATGAGGTGCCGATCTTTAATGATTTAAGCTGGGAGAGCGAGCCAAGAGGTATGAAAGCTCTCGCCGGTATAGTGTGGTTATATTCACGCCTCTCACCGTCTCCCACAATCTCAAGGATTTGCAGCTGGGACATGTTCGCAATAAGTTTGAGGATCGATTCGTCTCTGAGGTATGACGTTACGTCCAATCGTAACCATGTAACAGTGGGAAAGCACTGTGGAATTAAGGGGATCGCATTTTCTTCGAGGACCAGTTCCAAGCGTTTGAGACTCGGAAATGGATTTTCTGTAGCATCGAAGAAGCGTTGCAAGTGATCGACCTCAATGTCCGCATACTTTGCCTTATCTGGAGCGAAGACCAGGCTTTCTAGACAGCCGTAATGGGACAAAGCGGACAGCACATCATATGTAAGCACCTCACTTGCATATTCTCCAAAATCAAGGGATATCGCCTGGGGTCTAATGCTCCGAAAGAATTGCACGAGATCCACAGGATTGATAGATGTGTATGGAGCCCAGAACAACACTTCTTTCAAGCTAGGGCATCTGTTTGCGACATCATCCAAGAAAGAGGACGTGAGCCAATTGTGATCCTCGTCGGTTGATTTGTCCACTAATTTGAGGCTTTCGAGCGTGGGTTGAAGATATTTAGAGAGTCGGAATCTCTTCGGCTCGTTGTGGAAATTGCTGAGGATGACCTCTTTCAATCTTGGAAACTTCAGTCTATCGAACATCGCATGGACAAGCATACTATGGAGCTCGGAGAAGTCAAGCACGCTGATGCGAGAAGCATAATCCTGACGACGGTCCCGCGGTAGCAATGCAATGGCTTCGGTTCTCTTTCGGTTACGGTCACCATCGCTACCATCCTGTGTTCGAGGGTAGCCGAGCCAGAGTGCATTCAGAGCAAGGTTGGTCCATGTGCCGTGTACGCGTGCGCAGCTTGCCAAGTCTGCATCGCATCTGTCGTCGCGCAGGCAATCGAAGACCTTCATCCGGAGTTCAATGACATCCCAAAATGCGGCAACAACCATGTTTTGTCTGTGTTTCTTCTCCAATCTCTATCTGAGTGTCGAAGGGAGGCCGAAGCTGTGGCTTGTGGATTGCTTGCCGTCGCCAAACCAGAGGCCGATGCACGGCACTAGGTAGATTCTTGTCTTTGCTGTATCTTGGAAAAGAGGATAGTGAGCTGCGGAGACTACGGGAAGTTGCGTCAGACCGTGAACCTTGAGAAGTCACAGAAATGTGGTTGAAAACTGCTGACCGAAGAAGGGGTATCGATTATCGGATCATCGAGCAATGTCACTTGCAGATGTTGTTGTTTCTGTTGATGACAACGAGAATAACAACAGACTAAATCTGGGGAGGCGCAGACCTGTGGAGAAAGAGGACGTTGGGAAGGAGCGAAACGTCGCGTTTCCTACAAGAGTCGATAAATTGACATCTGTAACTATCATATCACCATCATTCTCCTCCGAGTCCCCGTTCAAACCCAGAATTCTTCGACATGGCTTTAAGTACGCGAAAGGGTCATACTATGAACACATACTCATATTACAACTCTAATTCCTCTAAACAAATTTGCCTCTGCCAAAAGTAACGCCGCGCTCGCTATAAAAGAGTGTGATGCAACAAAACTCCCCAAATGCCCCAAAACACAACTCCCAAAGACGCTAAATGCTATGATCATATACATGCAACACGGACATCCTTCGTACACGTTATAATCCTTTTTCTCATGTAATGTCTTTTATGTCTCTTCTTTCTTCAATCATGGTTAGTAATTTCGGTTCTTTTATGCCAACAGTCTCTGCTGCTCGTTGGCCTCGACTTCCTGCTCTTCCTCGTCCTGGACGACAATGTGAACAATATCCTGTCTGTGTTCTTCGGGAGGCATGAAACGGCAGGGAGCACGAGCGCGCACTTGATGCCATTCACTGCTCTTCTTGCGGTTGATGAAGAAGACCTGGATAGCACCGACAATAGCAACACCACCGCTGACCCACCATGCAAGAGCTGTGAAATCAATGTCGATGCCGATACCGTAGAGAATACCTGCGATAGGAGAAGCCAGAGTGCGGCAGGCCGCGCCAGTGCTAGCTGCCAATCCGTTAATCTTACCCAGACAGGAGGGCGCAGGAGAAGCTTCCTTCAGCAAGATAAGGATGACTGGGTAAACGAGAATGGCAAAGATATTGCGAACGGTGAGGCAAGCGTAGATGCCGGGGTAAAGCCACTCTTCGGGGAGAAGCACCAAATAAGGCACAATAATGTAAGCAAGAGGGTGCAAGATAGTGGTGACGATGAACAACTTCCAAACGCCCAGCCAAGCTGCAGCCAGAGGGAAAACAATTGCTTGGACGCCGAGTGCGATGATGCCGTTCACGGACATGACGACGCCTACATCTTGAATTGTCAATCCGAGACCGCCTGCCATTGAACTTAGCTTGCTTCCATGAACTCTGCTCTCCACACGCGAGTCCTGGAAAAAGATGGGCAGGAGGTGATCGTAGGACATGCTGTGGTATGTGAAGATGCCGAGAGCAATAATCAACATAACCACACGCTTAGTAAAGACAACTTGATCCTGAGGCTCTGCTTCCTTTGGCGCATCCGTTCCGTCGGGCATGACGTTCCATTCCTGGTCTTGGACAACCTTGTTGAAGGTACCATAAGACTCATTGCGCAAGTCGACTGCAGCTGTGGTTGTTCCGGCCTGAGCAGCGAAAAGTGGAGTTTCGGCTTCAGTGTGCTGGAGATCGTCAACAGTACTCCAGGGTTGCATGTCAGGGTGAGTTTCCTCAAGAAAGAAGAATCCGCAAATAATTGAGAACAGCATCAATGCTGCGCAAATCAAGTTTGGAAGCAGGTAAGGGAACTTGGCGAAGATTCCGTGAGGTGAAAAAACATCAGGGAAGTTATCGGCAGGAGCTGAGAAGATTCCACCAATCGAAGGGCCAATGATTGTGCCAATAGACCAGACGAAAGGCATGACTGAGTATGCGCGAGGCTCGTGCTTGGGGTTAACAGTGAGCTCTCCGACCATTGTTTGAATGACACCGATGTTGCCATTGAGGAAACCTCCAATTGCTCTTCCAGCCAGAGCCATCCAGAAATTAGTGGAAATTCCGACCAAAAGGAGGGACAGCATAGTGCCTGCACTTCCCAGGAGCAAAACAGGCTTGCGCCCGATGCGGTCCGAGAGACCTCCCCAATACCTGCAAAATTGTTAGTGTGCGATGTAACGAAACTTTCGAATCAGCACTCACAATCCTGTCAAAGATTCAGCCAAAGCAAAGGCTGAGATCAGCAAGCCGGCATAGAAGGACGCATTTGCGCGATCAGTTACATTGAAGTCGAGCACGAGTTTCCAGGCATAGGGAAAGATAGAAGTGAGGGCGATCGGCTCAGCGACTCGGACAAGAGCTGCAAAAATGTCAGATCTGGCTTATCGAGACCAAAACAAGCGAAAGACTCACCCAAGAAGAAGAGCTGAGTAGTAGGGAACTTGTTAAAATCGCGGCGTTGTCTCTGAGGAGGAGACATGAGGTCGGATAATGTCTCACGGTGTTCTGGAGGCTTCGAACAGGATACTGAGCTTGTTTGAAAAGATACTCTTCTGATTTAAAGTGCACGTCTAAGGGTCCGCCCTCGGCTGACAGCAGACTGTATAGAAATGTTGTCGCCGACGAGGATTTGGAAGAAGGCGATGTGAGAGAGATGTCGGCAAAGGAGAAAGATCTTTATGTAGCGCTGATCCGAGTCGAAAATAAAAAGCTTTGATTGGCTCAACGCTATCTTCGGACAGAAACGCGCCGCGCTAAGCAGCGATTTCGCCTCAAGAAGGTATGGTTTTGCGGAGGCGAGTTTCCGTTACTTGATGCTTCATTTCCACTCCCCGTCTCGCCTCATCTATCGAGAAGAATCAGAATCCTCAGAGATTCAACACCCTCATCCAAAAGCTCTGTACGAACACCAGTATACGATTCTGTAGATAAGTATCGATGATCCGTCTGCTATGAGCGAATTATTATCGCACGCATCATTGATGATCGTAAAATAATCGTTAGGGAAAGCCGGGCAAAGGCGTTGTGCGCGTCTTGTGATTGATCCGCTCATTCCCAAAATTGGGATAGCTTGGTTACGGCTATGTGGACGCGGGGAACGTCAAGTTGGTTGATTATGTCGCGTGAGTGGTTGGAAGGCAACCAATACGATGGCTCTGTGTCTCATCGCTGTTCGATATCATTCTGCAGTTGGGAAAATGTTGAAGGTCGCTCTGCTGCCTGAACTGCATCACTGTTGGCTATGTCTTATTATTCCATGGAAACATTTCTCAGTCAGATTCTGTGCCGGCAATTAAACCCAATTTTTTTCTGACCACCACGGACTGTTTTCTGCACGATAGAGGGCCAGCCCGGCGCAGGGTTGACCGTTCGCTGATTGTAACAACAAACACGAATCTTACCGTCGAAGAACAAGGGAAGGCTGTTGAGAACAGCCAGGCTGTGGGGATCATAGCGATTCATCCGCTGAGGAAGATATTCGATATATGACTCGACAAATTCGAATAATCGAATGTTCGCACATGAAGCTGATGTGGATACGAGGTGGAGACGGCCAGTGAGAAAGAGATTGAGATGAATGACAATTGACATAAGGAGGCATCGTATGTTGAGGTCAATTGGAAAAAGAAAGCTCCAGAGCGGCGTCTTCGCCTGGAGAAGGCCTCAGACAGAACCAGTACGAAGCTTCTTACCAGTACATGGCTTGGTGTGGTGACATATCTCAGCGGAAACCTTATCCGTAAGTTGGCAGCTCGAGAGCACAGGGAAGAGTTAAGATGGGAATACCGCTATCACATGCAAGCTGAAAGAAAGTTCTCCAACTGAGCACCCCTTCTCCGTCCAAGGTGCAAGGCTTCTTGTAAGCTGTCGAAATGCACAGTTGCGATTCGAAGTTGCGTCTGACCATAGAAATAGCTTCTGACGGTGTTCCCTCTGTAGAAACAAGATTTTTCATGAAGGTATTGTGCGTTCCCATAGCTACACTGTAGACTGGGTTTAGCACACGGGGAGGGTGGAAGAAGTGTGGCGCAGGCGGCGTATGACGTAGGGTGCAAGTGCCACAGCCGTCGCTGAGGGGTATGAACTCACCAAAACCCTCTTCACCACACATCTTTCTTGAGTACATCTCAATCCCATCTCAACCACACAACTCATAACCAACACCTAACACATCATGTCGACTACCGTCAGCGTCCAGAACATCTCCGCTCAGACCTCTGAGAAGGAAGTCCGCGACTTCTTCTCTTTCTGGTGAGTTGTGTCCTTCAACCGAAACAACCATCATTGACTAACCCATCATCCACAGCGGCAAGATCTCAAACATCTCCGTCACCCCCGAGTCAAACGCCGCCGACAGCGTCAAGTCTGCTTCCGTCACCTTCGAAAAGGAGTCTGCAGCCAAGACTGCTCTTCTCCTCGACAACACCCAGCTCGGTCACAACCAGGTTCACGTCACCACTACCGCCTCTCTCGACCAGCTCGCTGGCGGCAAACTCTCTGCTGCCGACGAGGAGTCTTCTGAGCACCTTTCGCAAGAAGACAAGCCCCGCTCTCGCATTGTCGCCGAGTACCTTGCCCATGGCTACGCCATCAGCGACAAGGCCATCGAGCGCGCTCTTGCTCTTGACCAGCAGCACGGTGTCAGCGCCCGCTTCACCTCCACTCTCCAGCAGTTCGATGCCAAGTATCAGGCTTCCGCAAAGGCCCAGGGTATCGACCAGAAGTACGGTGTCACTGACAAGGGCGTTGCTGCCTGGTCTGGCCTGAGCTCCTACTTCGAGAAGGCCATGGGCACTCCTACTGGCCAAAAGCTCAGAGACTTCTACAACCAGGGCAGCAAGCAGGTTCTTGATGTCCACAACGAGGCCCGCCACCTTGCCAACCTCAAGTCTGGCAAGAACGATGTTCACTCCGTTGGAGAGGGCAAGACCAAGTGTATGTTCTACCTCAATCAGAGCTTCCTGCGCATTACTAACATTGCACAGGCTCCTGCGCTAGCGACGCTGGCTCATGCCCTTGCGCTCCCGGACACTGCGCATGCTCGGGATGTGCCAAGAACTCCGAGAAGTCCTCCGGTGTTACCGCTGAGTCTGCTGACATGAAGGTCGTCTCGGAGGAGCCCAGAAAGACCAAGTGCAACTGCGGCGGTGCTGAGGGTTCCTGCCCTTGCCCTCCCGGCCAGTGCACCTGCAACAACTGCCCTAAGGCTTCTTGAATGCTGAGATCCTGATGGACCCCGATACAGAACAAAAATTTGGCTTGGACGAGGCACAGGTGTTTACTTGCTTGCTCTTTTGGTAATGGTGATTGATACCAGCGTGTGTTATCGCGCACCGTCAACGACTTTATGCTATGAATGAAAAACAGTCTTCAATTATATCCTAAATATGATTACGTCCTATGGTCGTCTTAGAGTGATCCTCATATCTTAACGCATGCCGATACCATTCAGTTTGTAAGCATGACCGCTAGTAGGCAGGGAGGGAGGGAGTCAGATTGCATGCTTCGCTGAGTTTCATATGCTATGAAAATTCCCATCAACCCAAAGGTTATTCTGCGATGTCAGTCATAAATTAAATGAAGAAAAAATGGTTCGACGCCTCGAAAGCGCTCAACGGCAAAAAAATTCTAGTTCTGGCTAAAAGTGGCAACACTTACGAATAAAGATGTCAAAACCTGGAGAAAAAGAGTCATATCCATATAACATGGTCTAGATCGCTGCAAAAGAAACGACTCGGGCCTCATCTTTTCTGTGAATATTCACTGGGAGTCTCTTTCACACCGTAACATTCCTCAAGTGCTCTTGGTTTCGCTTGTTCACCTCTTCCTTAAGACTTGGATTTTTACCATGAGCGACCCCACCTCCAAGGAACCCAATGCCAATGTCTTGGATGAAGAAAAAGGACTCCCTGGACCTGGAAAGGATGCAGATGTTGAAGTTGCTCAATCATGGTCACTGAAAAAGTTTGCATCGCTGGGAGTGGAAACTGGAGGCATTGTCCCTATTCCCATGTCAGAGCGAACAAATACAAGAGTTCATGGAATCTTCACTTTATGGCTCACTATGAGTGTCAATCTGCTACCGTAAGTCCTTGTTATGGGTCACAAGAGTATGCACATATGGCTGACTAGGATCAAGAATTGTTACTGGTATGACTGGACCGCTAGGCTATGGAATTGGACTCAGAGATTCTTCTCTGGTTATCCTTTTCTTTAGTATATTATGCACGGTGCCAGTTGCGTATCTGGCAACGCTGGGCCCCAAGACTGGTATGCGACAGATGATTCAAGCAAGGTTCTCGTTTGGATATTACCTTGTCTCAGTACCTGTCATTCTCAACCTTGCGACTCTCACCGGCTTCTGTGTGATCGACAGTGTCGTTGGTGGTGAATCTCTGTCTGCCATCACCCATGGTCATCTGACACCTGATGTTGGTATTGTGGTCATCGCCATCCTAGCGATGTTGGTCTGCTTCTGTGGTTTCAAGATTTTGCATCGCTACGAGCGTTTTGCCTGGATTCCTGCTCTAGTCGCCATCATTATTGCTACTGGAACCGGCGGTAAGCATCTGAGCAACCAGGCTGTGTATCCGGCTCCGGAAGCATCTACTGTCCTTTCGTTCGCTGCACTTATCGCTGGTTTCCTCATCCCTTGGGCGGCGCTGGCTGGAGATTTTGCCGTCTACATGGTTCCTGAGGCGTCCAGTGCCAAGGTCTTCTTTTACACGTACAGCGGTCTGTTCTTACCTACAGTACCCTTGCTGGTTCTGGGCGCTGCCATTGGAGGTGCATGCCCCAATGTGCCCTCCTGGCAAGCAGGCTATGATTCGACCTCAGTTGGTGGAGTGCTAGCAGCCATGCTTGAACCTGCAGGCGGCTTTGGCAAATTCGTTGTCGTCCTTCTCGCCTTCTCATTGCTTGGAAACATCGCAGCGACCATGTACAGCATTACGCTCAACTTCCAACTTCTGCTGCCCTGGATGGTTAGAGTTCCTCGCTTCTTGTTCGCCATCGTCATTACAGCCATTGTGATTCCGGTCGCCATTCGCGCGGCCACCAGCTTCTTCAACAACCTCGAGAACTTCATTGGTGTTATTGGCTACTGGTCTTCTGCGTTCGTGGCTGTCGTGGTTATCGAGCATGCTTGGTTCAGAAAATCGGATTGCTCGGCCTATTCTCATGAGAAGTGGAACAAGGCCAATATGCTGCCTAGTGGCATTGCTGCATTGGGAGCTAGTGCTTTGTCTTTTGCTTTAGTCATCCCTTCAATGGCGCAGGTGTGGTATACAGGACCTATTGCGAAGACGACTGGTGACATTGGGTTTGAGCTGGCCTTTGTGGTTACAGCATTGCTATACGTGCCACTTCGATACCTAGAAATCAGGATACAGAAGCGTGTATAGACATTAGATCTGTAGAATAGTAAATTATTCTGAAGAGATGTACATATTTCTTGATCCCTGTGGCCAGTATCCTGAAGTTGTGTAGACAGTATAAGTGTTGCATAAGTTATGCTTTGCGAGCTCCGACCTCCGTGCTTCCATCGTCATGAGCAGCGTGGAGTGTGGCCATCTCTACCAACAACGCCATCAACCATCGCAACTCGCCCTCACTCGCTGGTCGACACTTCTCCATCTAGTTCCTGCATCTTACCAGCGCTTCACATCATTCGATCGCCCAACATGGCGCTCGACACCTTCTTTCACAACAAGATCGAGAGCATGAAGCTCGAGATCATTCAGCGTCAAGCCGTCCTCCGCAGATTGGAAGCGCAAAGAAACGACTACAACTCAAGAGTGCGCCTGCTGCGCGAGGAGCTGGGCTTGCTTCAGCAGCCTGGCTCCTACGTGGGTGAGGTTGTCAAGGTCATGAGCACAAAGAAGGTCCTGGTCAAGGTGCATCCCGAAGGCAAATACGGTACGTCGAAACAAGATCGCCATCATGTTATGTGCCCTACTGACTCTCCGCGCCAGTCGTTGATGTTGCCGACGATATCGACATGTCCAAACTCACCGCCGGCAAGCGTGTCACCCTCCTCTCCGACTCATACAAGCTCTCATCCATGCTTCCCTCATCCGTCGACCCTCTCGTCTCACTCATGATGGTCGAGAAGGTTCCTGACAGTACCTACGACATGATTGGTGGTCTGGACGAGCAGATCAAGCAAATCAAGGAGGTCATTGAGCTCGGTCTCAAGCACCCCGAACTTTTCGAATCGCTCGGTATCGCACAACCTAAGGGTGTCCTTTTGTACGGCCCTCCTGGAACAGGAAAGACATTGTTGGCAAGAGCTGTGGCCCATCATACCGACTGCAAGTTTATCAGAGTTTCTGGTTCCGAGTTGGTGCAAAAGTACATTGGAGAGGGTTCACGAATGGTGCGTGAGCTTTTCGTCATGGCACGAGAGCACGCTCCCAGTATCATCTTCATGGACGAGATCGACAGTATTGGTTCCTCGCGTGTCGAGGGCTCTAGTGGCGGAGACAGTGAAGTCCAGCGCACCATGCTGGAACTGCTCAACCAGCTCGATGGTTTCGAGCCCACCAAGAACATCAAGATCATTATGGCCACCAACCGTCTCGACATTCTGGATCCCGCCCTCCTCAGACCCGGTCGTATCGACAGAAAGATTGAGTTCCCTCCACCGACTGTTGAGGCTCGTGCCGACATTCTTCGCATTCACAGTCGCTCCATGAATCTGACCAGAGGCATTAATCTCACAAAGGTCGCCGAGAAGATGAACGGATGCTCGGGTGCTGAGCTCAAGGGTGTGTGCACAGAAGCCGGCATGTTCGCCCTCAGAGAAAGAAGAGTTCACGTTACTCAGGAGGACTTTGATCTTGCAACCGCAAAGGTCCTTAACAGACACAACGACCAACAAGTCTCGCTCACCAAGCTATGGAAGTAGATGGGATATACAACGCATGCAACGATGGAACTGCGGCCAAGGTGCAACAGTGGAGTATGGAGTTTTGGGCTCTAGTAATTCAAGAGGAAGCATGGCGTGGAATCTGTACCATAGAAAGCAGCAGTGGCCACCAATCAAACTTGACGAACCATTCTAACTTGATTCTTGCATGCATGTCAACGTGACATCAAAGCATGCGCGAGATTCTACGATTCTAAACATGTAAACGACATGATACTCGCACCGCTCGGGTTCTATCGCCGCCAACTTGAACGTTGCCACAAATAGATGCTGACGACGACAAGCTCAAGAGCAAGCAGTACGCCTCACATTTTGTAATCACAGCCACAGCAATGCTATTGTTATTCCAAGGCAGGCGAAATCAGAACGGTCACATTGAACATGACGAAGACCGTTTGTCGTATTCAATTTGAGGCTGAGCCAGCATTTACCCGTCCGCGGGCACGAGTCCGTCCGTCACGCCTCATGGAAACCCAGGACAAAGTTGGTAGGCAAGGCGCGAGCCATTAAGCAGTAACTCTCATGATGCTTACAAACGGGCATGGACTGGTTTTGTTGCTCAGGAGCCAGCAGCATCCGAGACAAGGTCATGTGACGGTGTAGAATCCCAAATAACCTACATTGTCCGAAGCCGGAACAAGGGTGAGGTAAGCAAAGCTGAACTTGGCACGGGATGCTTGCAAATATGTGGCAGGGTCTGGATCAAGCTTCAAAAAGGTCCAGAGCGTGTTTTATCGTTCGACAAAGCACGATAATTCGCTCGCGAAAAAGAGGAGAACGATAACACAAGGCGTGAAGATTTGCCAGCGACAGGGGGCGATCATGTAAGAGTAGTTGAAGTGGGGGAGGCAGAAGGACATGGTACCGAACATGTATTATTGGGGAAGATCTTTTTGCACATCTTTTGACCCTATCTCGTATTCTCGCCGTCAATCGACCAGATACTTACCATAAAGACTCAAGAGGCACGTGGACCCGGTTTTTCTGTGCCTTTGTTCTACGAGTCGAGACGTCAGGGTCCAGGGATCATGTTTGTTGGCTTTACTGTATTTTTGCAGACCAAAACGAGAGATATTGTGTTCAAAGTCAGAGGCTTTTCGAGGTTGAATAAGACGTGATGACTGGACTAGAGCTTTCGAGGACGGGCACATGAGAAGAAGCAGTTTGATGCGATGCAGCAGGGCAAAGGCTGAGAGGGATTATTATTGGGGCGGTTGGTTTTATGACGTAGAGAATTTGGGCCTGGGCACGGGCATTGATGTCTAGGTAGGTCTTCGAGACCCACGCACCAACCGAGCCTGTGGACAACGACATCCGTCGCTCGACCTCTTACAGATGCATTCTGCTGCTGCTATCAGAGCTCTCGCCGCCTAGCCCCATCTCATCCCGCCAACTCACCATCTGCCGCTCCGTCTCTGGTCCTTTGAACACCTGTCGCAACTCACAGTCACGAAAGAAAAAAGCCTCCTACCCCAGAGACTCATCAGCCGCGCACACGCAGCATCATGTCTGCGGCAAAAACCCCCGGCGCTCGTCCGCCATCTACCAGCGCGCACAATATGGGTCCCTTGCTTCAATCACCACAACCCCATCGTGGCCATGTGCGCACGCCTAGTCCAAACTACTTTGGCTTCACTGCCCAGGACGAATCCTACGACTCGGAGTCAAATCGCCATACGAGGAAGAATTGGAGTCCCCCTTCGTCGGCAGTGAGGTCTACCGCTGCCTTCTCACCTACCGTCATCCCTGTCGACCAGAATCCCGACTTCGATGCTTTCCGACGTCAATCCGAGAGCGTCGGCTTCAATCTGGGCTCCCTGCATGACTTTGACTTCAAGAAGCCTGCACTGCCCTCTGGAGGCAGCAACAGCTCTAACACAAATACAAACAACAACAGCTTCTTCAACAACATCAACATCTCGGCCAGCCCAAAGCCCACGACCGAGCAGAGACAGATGCCGCCGTCAGGCCGTGCTCCCTCCGGCTCAATATCAGGTGGACGTGCTCCCTCGGGCTCCATCTCAGGTGCAGGTAATGACTTCAATCTCGATCCCGAATCCGCGTACCAAGGCCGCTCCCCAAAAAGACATCTTTCTAATGATTCGTCTTTTCCAGACGGTCTGCGCAATGCTCCTGAGCGCCCGAGCAGCCAGCCCAGGCTAAACATGCCTTTCAACCTCAACCTCCCTCCTCAACCCCAGTTCAAGCCCAGAGCCGAGACTGTTCCTGTGGCCGGCCCATTGAACGACTCTGACTCCTTCATCACTCCTCAACATCTCTGTAATTTGCTCGACTCCGCTGCCGAGGAGATGTTGATACTGGATTTGCGTGTCTCAACACAATATGCTAGTGCCCACCTCAGAGGAGCCCTCAACCTGTGCATCCCTACCACCCTTCTGAAACGCCCCTCTTTCAATGTAAGCAAACTGGCCGAGACATTTAAGGACAATGCCGATCAACGCCGAAAGTTCGAAAACTGGAAAAGCAGCAAATACATTATTGTTTACGATTCAGCCTCATTCCAACTCAAGGACGCCACTTCTTGTGTTAATACGATTAAGAAGTTTGATAGCGAAGGAGTGGAAGGCAAATGTTATATTCTCAAGGGTGGCTTTGCCGAGTTCGCCAAGAAGCACCCTTCGCATATTGAAAGAGCAGGTGGCCAGTCAGGCCGTGCCGGTGCTCCCATGGGGATGAAGCTGGACATGACAGGTCCCGAGATTGCACCTGTCATTGGAGGTTGTCCTATGCCTGTCGAGAAGAACGCCGCCAACCCATTCTTCGGAAACATCAGACAGAACATGGATCTTATTGGTGGTGTTGGCCAGATGGAAATCAAGCGCCCTGCACACTTGTCAAAGGAGATTCAAGACCACTTCCCTCCCTGGCTACAGTCAGCATCTGACGAGAAAGACAAGGGTGCTCGCGTGTCCGAGAAGTTCTTGCAAATCGAGAAGAGAGAACAAAAGCGTATGCAAGAGGCGCTCTCAGGAAAGGTCTCGTATGGTTCACCTACGCAGTCCATGCCGAAATCATCGATTCAGATCGCTGGTATTGAGAAGGGTTCGAAGAACAGATACAACAACATCTGGCCCTTCGAACATTCTCGTGTCAAGCTGCAGGATGTCCCTTCGCATGGTTGCGACTACTTCAACGCCAACTACATCTCCTCAAAGCGTTCGCACAAGCGCTACATCGCCACCCAGGGACCTATTCCTGCTACCTTTGCTGTAAGTTCAATTCTCCACGTTACACATTTATACAATATCTGACTCTGCAACCAGGACTTCTGGAATGTGATTTGGCAGCAAGAAACTAGGGTCATTGTTATGCTTACTGCGGAGAAGGAAGGCGGTCAAGTCAAAGCACACAACTACTGGTCAGACAAGCAGTATGGCCCTATTCGTCTCGAGTTTCTCTCCGAGAAGCGTGCTTCATTGGACCCGGCAAAGATCAAGAGGCATCGTCAGCAACGTCCTTCGGTTGGTGCAAGAAAGTCTACTGATGGTGCAATCCTCGCTCGCATCGATACAACTACTTCCGAGAGCGCATCAAAGGACGATCAACCATACGTCATTGTCCGTAAATTGGCACTTCGCCACGAAGGCTACCCATTCGAACGTATGCGCGAGATTACACAACTTCAATACTCGAGCTGGCCCGACTTTGGTGCACCAGCACACCCAGCACATCTTTTGGGACTAGTGGAACAGTGTGAGGCCGTTGTTCGCAGCACAACGCATTCCAGTCTGTCAGAGCCGGATCCTCCAGAGGCACCACCAATCGTTGTGCACTGCAGTGCTGGTTGTGGACGTACGGGCACCTTCTGCACGGTAGCGACGGTCATTGATATGCTCAAGCGACAAAGGTCATCACGAAGAAGACATATTCGCGACAGCTCACCCATGCACCTCGACGAGCGCCGAAGCTCGGTTCAGATGAAGGACAGCAGCCCCTTCTTTGCATCATCCACTGCCCAAGTACCGTCGTCAGAAGAAGAAGACGAGGTCGATGGCAAGTGGGTGGATGATGAGAACCAAGACTTGATCGAAAAGACAGTCGAAGAGTTCCGCAAGCAAAGAATCAGTATGGTGCAGAGTCTGCGCCAGTTCGTGCTCTGCTACGAGAGTGTGATGGAATGGCTTGTTGAGCAAGAGTCTGAAGACTAGACGTCTAAAACTCTTTGTACGACTATGGATGCAATGATATTGTGGGACGCGGAAGAGGGGAAGGATATATTTGATTAAGAGACGGGCATTCTAGGCAATGAAACACAATGCATGCGATGCAAACGCACTGGGCAACAAATTCTTCTTCTCTTCTTTTTTTTTTCTTCTTCTTTGCAATTGGCTTGTTTGTTTTTTTATTCTCTTTGGAGGGCTGAGAAATGGCTTAAACATGCGATACAATGTTTGCATAGGGCAGAGCATATATGATAGGAGTAGAGTGTATTGATCTTTCAGGGTGAATGCTTCTCAACCAAAACATAATCCTGTTCCTGCTCTGTTTTCATCGTGCTTTTATTGAGAGTTCTGGTTATCGCTGTCCATCAGCATGCTTGAACACAAAAGGTCCACCTTGCGAGGGAAAGGAACATTTGTATTGGCCCAAAGCCGCCGTCTTGGCGTGAATGGTACCTTAGACTGGTGACGACTTTCACATCTGCAAGACTATCAACTTGAGAAGACATCGAAACAAATACATCGCCGTGATGGCGACGAGTATTTCGTCGCTTCCACCTGAAGTTATCCATTTGATTGCCGCTGCCGCCCATCTTGATGACCTAGCCAGCTTACGCCTCGTCAGTAAGCAATGGCACGACATATCAACCAAGTTGTTTGGCCTCGCAAAACTTCAACATCCACGTTTCATAATATCGCCTTACAGCTTGCAGGGGCTTTTTGACTTGACGGCGCATCCAATCCTAGGTCCTTGTGTTCAATCGATCGAACTCGGTACATACCGAATGAAGAAATATTTCGTGAATACCCAACCTCGTCTGGAAGCCAGTCAAGCGAACACTGCAGCGCTTACACAGTTCCCGTTCGAGGTCACTGGGTTGCATATAGTTCTCCTCACTAAGGCTTTGGCAAATCTCCACAGACATGGTGTTGTGCCTATGATTGGGTTGTTTGAAGATGTGGTCTCCGTGGGCCCTGGAGAGACGTCTCTTCGCCGTGGTTATGGCTATGATGAGCTCTATGGCTCGGTCAACCTTCTTGAATATGGCGATTCAAGAGCAGCACAAACTCTTATAGCCCTGGTCAAGGCGCATGATAGCTCCGCATGTCCTATACGTGGGATCTCAGTCGATCTTCAGTGGAACTCACTTGCCCGACAAGCAATAACCAGACATCCGGGACTACAACAGCTACTCAAGAACCTCTTAGTATCCAACTCAGGCGAGTTCCGATCTGGCTTGAACCTGACCGTAACACTTACAGAACGCAACGGTACAACCGGATCACACACCCTCAGAATCCATGATCAAGACAAAAGCTTGTATCTGAAGTTTATATCGATAGAAGAATACGAAGGCACGGAAATTCCACAGTTGGACCAGGGAACCTATGGTTCGCTTATCAATGCCATATACCACCAACACTTTGAGAAAATATCACTCGAGCATTGCTCAATCGATACTTCGGTATTTGGTCTCTTGAGAGCACATGCAAAGAGTTTGCGACATCTGAGTGTCTCGTCTTGTATCTTTTATGATGATGAGATTCAAGATGGCATTAATTTGCTTACGACTATTGGACATGGCCTGGCTTTGGAGACATTGGTCATCGTTGACCTCAATTACGAGAATAAACACAGCTTGATCTCAATCGTTGGAGAGGAAGTCAAGGGTGACAGTTCGGCGGAAGTGACTACTATTATTGAAGATCTGGTCAAATCTGTTCGAGCAACGAATGCAAAGATGGGACGAACTGGAGCTGACGATGAGGAGCAACTCGACGACCAGGTGCCTTGATCTCTCTGGAGGCACTCTCAGCTTCAACTATATCTGGAAACGACACTTTCACCAACAGTCCTCCGAAGTGGATACCCATTGACGTTCAGAACAGTCATGCTCAGGGATGTTGGTCTATATTGATGTTTGGGGGCAGGGCTCGAACTCTATCCAGAGTTCTCAAAAACAGCTCTCCTCCCTCGAACAAATTCAAAATTCTTGGACCTATCTCAACTTGCAAGATATCCTTTCGCTATAGCTTATTCAGCACATGCAAATGGCTACTGGCACTGCAGATGCACCCGAGATGAACTGCACACTAGTTCTCCCTCACGAGATATGGGACATCATCGCAAACCTAGCCCACCCAGATAACTTAGCCAACTTGCGGTTCGTCAGCAAATGGCTGAACATCGCAGCAACACGACCATTTGGAATGTCTTTTGCTCATCGCCGGCTTATCGTTCCCCCCTACAGTCTGTAGGGCCTGGTCCAACTGACTGCACATCCTGTTCTGGGAACCTGTTTGGACTCAATCAGCCTGGGCGCATGGCATGTCGATAAAAACACGAGGACTCTGGAACAGATATTGAAGGTGTTGCTCGGGAAGCTGCTCTTGTACAAGGACTTTTCAAGAAGCTGGACACTAAATAAGAGCTTTTGACCGAAGCTCTGAATAACACCAAGTGACTCAACATCAAAGTAGGTTCTAGAATACACGATGATGTAGTGCATGATCAATCCTCATTGTCGAATCTTGTAAACAGCTCATTCTTTGTCACGAATGGGAATGGGAGGGTTGAATTGCGGCCTAAGCAATGCTCGATGAAGCTAAAATGCAGCCTCCCCGGATGTCTCATCAGAATTCTACCTGCAAGTGACGAGCATAGTCTATAATTATAAGAATGCTTCTAATATATAGGTCTAAAGCATTAGTAAAGACCAAGTCTACACACAAGCATTACAAGCATATACACATGACATTCTCGGACGAGATCACACAGCAACTGAAACTCGACCCTAAACAGAAAAGTAACAAAAGGGGTATTTTACATCTCTAAATCTCTCTATTGACGGCCTCAAGCCAGCCTTGCCCGTCTCATCTACGCAGCAGCAGAAACAGAAACAACAGCTCTAGGTTTCCTAGCAAACAACCCAACAACAGCATTAAACATCTCGCTAACCGGCATAAGCGCAATGTTATCCTTATCAAACACTTGAGCAAGTTGCTCAGGTCTGACAACGGGTTTATCGGCTTCTTCGTCGTTCTCAAGGAGGAACACATCAGCGGGCTGTGCTTCTACCTCCATGTCTTCGGGGAGCGCAGGAGTAGATGTTGAGATGGGTGCAGTGGATGTGGCAATGGCAGAGGGAGTGGCGGCTCCAGCGCGCTTGCCGCGACGTGTGCGTACGCCATTGAGGGAGGGAGCAGCAGCACGAGGGACAAGAGTGAAGACCTCGGCAGCAGTAGTCAAGACCTTGTAGCCTCTTCTTCCCTTAGCAGCTAACACAGCCGAAGCCGGATATGGCAATGATTGATTGAACTGTGGAGCAGAGTTTGTAGGGCTGAATATTTGCACACGAGAAGCACCGCCCTTTGTTTTCACTGACACAGCAAAAGTCTTGTCGTCGGGGTTTGTGGTAAGAATGGAGGTGCCAAATCTTGCAGCGCGTTCGAGATTGATGCAGTAGAGTTGCACTTCATCCACGATATCCCAGACTGCAATGGTTTGATCGGCAAGGACGATAAGGTGGCGGTCGAGGAATGCGAGAGCGCGGACAGTGCCGGTGAAGAAGCCGGAGCGTGCTTGCTCAGTAGCTCCATCGGTTGTGTTGATAAAGTGTACGGTAGGGGTTTCGCTGACGTGCTCGAAAGCTTGAGAGACGGCAATGGCAGAACCGTCTTCGGAGTATGCCAGGGCAGCGCCCTTGGGGGGAGGGAGGAGGCGGGATTGATCTGGGACTTCAGCCAGCTCAAGACTACGGTCAAGAGGGATCGAGTGACGGCATGACCAGTCGACGAGACCTTCTGCCTTGCTACCACGAACGACAATGCCATTGCGAAGGCGAGTCTTGGGCTTCCAGATGCGAACACAGCTGTCTTCACCTACACTTGCGAAACCAACCTCGACAGGGTCAGCAACAAGATTGAGCACGCGACCAGGCTGAGCATCGTCGCCTAGCTGATGAGGGCTATCGATTCTTGTCTCCAGAGCCCAAATGTTGCGTTCAGAATCCCAGCGCCAGATCTTGAGGTAGACTTCACGACGGAAAAGACGTTGTTCATCGTTGGAGGACTTGTCAGCGGCCAAGTATTCAACATCAGGGTAAGGAGGAGACCAGTGCTCGGCTGTAGCAAGCCATTGTCCATCGTGGCTGACCTGGAGGAAGGCAACATCAGGAACCTTGATGCGATTACCTTCAGGGCCCTTGTTGTAATCCGTGACCATGTTGCGAGTCAATGCCTGGCGGGAGATGTGACGGTCGTTGGAGATATCATAAGTCTGGAGGAAAGGTCGGGGGGCGGCGGATGAGTTGTGCTGAGAGGATTCGTTGGTAGAGGCAGGTACAGATAGCAGAAGTTGGTCAGGAGATAGAGGATTCAAGGTGGCAGCAGCAGCTCGCAAGAAGCTCTTCTCAGTGTCGACCTGAGCGGAAGTGTTCTTGTCAACACACGATTGAGCCTGGAGTCCAGCAAAGTTGGCAATGGGCTTGAGTTCAGTGGTAGAAAGAACCATGACTGAATTGTCGGCGAGTTGAATGGCATATGAGGTACCGTTCGGCGAAACAGTAAGACGCTCAATCTCGGCGGTCAAGTGAGGAAGGAACTGCTTTTTGCCGGTCGATAATTGCCAGAGCACGAGAACCGTCTCGCGGCCACCAGAAATGAGATAGTTTCCATCCTTGGACCATTTGACAGTTGCGACAGCCTCGCGGTGCCAATGGAGGGTGCGAGGAGTCAAAGACTCAGCGTTCTTGTTTGAAGGGTAAACATTTTCGTAGAGGAAGATTTCACCAGAGACGTTTCCGACCGCGACCGAGATGTTTTCTGTCTTTCCCTTCTTCGACTCGCTAGATTCGGTTCTGCACTCGAGACTTGTCACGCCAGCAGAAACTGTGATCTCGACAAAGTCGTAACGAGGAGAGTCTTCGGAAGAAACACGTTTACCAACGACCAGTTTCGTCGCTGTAGCAGCAACGATGAATTGTCCTTCGACGCGGAGATGGCTCAGAGAGTCCTTGGATGTGTAGATAGTGCGGCCTCCAATGACGATGTTCCAGTCCTCCTCATCATGGCAGATGGCGTACAGAATATCTTGTGAAGCATCTTCTGAGGGTACAGCGGCCAAGGCAGAGATGGCACCCTCGAACTTGATATCGTCTTCTACAGGCGAGCCGGTGATCCAGTTCCAGCGCTGAACACGACCAGTGGATGAAGCAATGTAGAGTTCCTCATCATCAGCGGTCGAAACAGCAAAAGCAGTGGCAGAGCGATCGGGACCAGGCAGTTTCCTCTCGACCAGCGATGTGGCAATTGACAGAACCTCGATTTCTCGGCCGTTGGACGCAAAGATGCAACTGGAAATGGTTAGACGGATTCGTGGAAGTGTAGGCACGATTGAGCATACCTCTCGTCCTGGGAGAAGACAGGATCGTGCAAAACGAACCTGCCTCCCAAGGGCTTGGAGAGCGACCATGGCGACCTGCCGTCAACTCTTGCTTGTGGCTTGTCGACAATCTGGGCCTGGTCGATGGCAACGCGATCGGTGCCCTTTCTTCTGCCTCGCCTCGCCTTTTTCCCTTGACCTGGAGTGGTGACTACTTGTAGCGCATTCTGTTCGGCCGAGCCAGCAGTTTGTGGGAGGTTTGTAGAGGGTGTGGTGAGTTGATCAATGATCTGCGTCTTCGGTGTAGACTTTGGTGTTTGCGTCTTGACGGGTTTGGGAGTGGTTGTAGCCGTGTCCTGGTCGAGATGGTCGCTCTTTTGGCGCTTGGGCAAGGTGGTAGCAGGAGCCTTGTCACGCTGGGAGCGCTTTCTTTTCAATTGTGTGTCGGACATTGTTGCGGCTTCCTATTTGGTGCCTCTTTCCGTGGTTTGAAAAAAAGTTGATGAACCCTCGTCGGCATGCGGCTCCAGAAATTCCTGAGCGCGGAGAAGGCTTGGCGATTTTTTGCGGTCGTCCAACATTGAACCCAGGCCTCTACCATTCCCTCGATTCATCACTGTCGCCCTCTCGCCCATCGCATTCAGTCGCTCCTTCACCGCACATCTCACGAGCTCCCTCATTCCAACGGCAAAATGATTATCCCCATCCGCTGTTTCTCCTGTGGCAAGGTCAGTCAACGAGAACCTGATCCTCACCTCTCTTCCGCAATGCGCTGACACACAACAAGGTTGTCGCCGACCTCTGGGAGCGCTACATGGCTCTGCTGGATGAGGGCATGCCCGATGGGTGAGTTTGAGCCTACACGCGACAACTTATACAACCTTCTGACAAGCTGTGACAGTGACGCTATGGACAAGCTCGGCCTGACGCGCTACTGCTGTCGCCGTATGCTCATGACCCACGTCGACTTGATCGAGAAGCTGCTCCGGTACGCGACAATTTGGTCCATCTTTCATCGCTATCCCACTAACACGTTCCATCAGCTACAACCCCAACGAGCGCGACATCATCAGACAGCGTGTCTAAATCCTCTTCCACAAACGATACCTCTTTTGCATACAACAATCCGGCGTTCTTGGGCAATTTTCAAAGCATGGAGTTCTGGGTGGTCCTTTTCAAGAATGGGCGGTGATGGAATCGATTGAAATTCGAAAAAGTCGACGGGTGAAACATCATGGAAGAGAAAGGAACTTGCAAAGCATTACCAAAAAGAGCCTCGTGGCTAGACAATGCCAACTCACAATACTGTCACTCGAGAAGGGCTCCAACACGAATTGATACCCGTGCCTTTTGGCTCTTGGACTCTCCCGGTTTTTCGCGGCACTTTCTCCGCTCGTTGACTTAGATTGCATACGCGACATCTTCAATTGACGCTGTGGCAGACAACGACTGAGACAGAGCGATCTAGGATTATGCTCTCATAACAGCCAGACGGAATCACGATGAAAACCATCTCCAAGTTTGCACATTGTTCACCAAAAAGCAAAGAGAGATGAGAGAGGCGTATGAAAGACATGCATTGCCATTCGCTCATAAATGGAAATTGTCTCGTAATGCAACGTGGAAAGGGCAGAAGATAAATTGACGATGAATGCCGCTTATACCCCAATGACAAAACCGAAAGAACGAAACAGAAAAAACTCAAGAAGATGCCCAAATCATTCGCCATATCGTACAATGTTGATCCATGAAACGCCATGCATGCATGAGTACCGTTAATGGAAGAAATGCCATGCCAAAAGAACGTGCAATGATGAAAAAGAAACAGAATGCTGTCTGACCGTCCGAAAAATAGGCCGCGTATGAAGTCAAGAACGAAAATGTCGTTCTGAATAGAGGTTGTGACAGATGAAGGGTGTTATGAACAGGTCAATGTAGGAGGATGAGAAAGGTGATCAACAGCAACGACCCTTTCTGACGTTGGTGTTGTCCTCGCTTTCGCCAGCCTCGGATGCATAGCTCACTGCACCGGGAGTATTGGGAAAGCCGAGCCAGCTGCGTCGCTTGTCGCCATGGCCGACTCGGAAGCTGCCTGTACCGCCATTCGGGAGGTCAAAGTAGCTTGGGCCGCCTTCAGCGAAGGGTGTGCGTCCCATGGTGGCTTCGATGGTACGTTGCTGGTCCTGTCTGCGCTGATGCTGATCAACGAGCTTGCGTGTGATGACGCGGAACATTTCTTCTATGCCCTCGCCATCCTTTGCGCTGATCTCGTGGCAGCAGTCCCAGATGTGTTCTTGACCCCAAAAGCCACTGCTGCGGTTGCTGTGTGGTGAGGCCATGGCGGCAAGATTGTTAATGCTAGGAGGTGAGCTGTGCATAGCGCTTGCTGGACGAACACTGCCAGGAACAACTTGGTCTGGGTAGAGCTGCTCTGCAACATAGCCTATGCAGCGCTCAAAAGGAACCTCGCGTTTGGACGGGTCCTCAGCGACAACATCGCTCTTGGTGCCTACGACGTGCAGAATCAAGTCCTCAGAATCTCCCCAGCCAGCCTTGTCGCGCAGCTCTCGCAGCCATACGCCCATCTCCTCAAAGCTCTTCTTGCTCGTTATGTCATAGCATAAAACGGCAGCGTGTGCACCGCGATAGTATAGCTTGCTGATGCTGCGAAAGCGTTCCTGGCCGGCAGTATCCCAGATCTGCAGGCGGATGTCGGTGTCTGTTTCTGGGTCGTGAACGCGTGTGGTAAGGAAAGAGGCGCCAACGGTTGAAGGAGTGCTGGGAGGAAGGAAAGTCTGATGAACGAAACGGTGGACGAGCGAAGTCTTGCCCACGTTCTGAGAACCGAGCACGACCAGCTTGGCCTCTAGTGAGGTCGTGGGTGCTGCTGACATGACTCGGCGGATTAAGAAACAGTATAACAAGAATGAAAGTGACCAATAAGGATTGCGCTGGTGGCGCTCGGTTGGTTTGCGACAGAGTCCGACTTGGGCCGATGAGAAAGGCAACAAGCAAGATCGTTTGTGGCTCTGGCCGACACGCTGTGTCCGTGGGTGCAATATGTTGTCCCAGGTGATCAGTCGTGGGGGTCTCTAGAAGCCGCGGCCGAGCCCCAGCAAGATTTGGCACGCGGCCATCGCCCAAGCGGCGCCTGTAGAAGCGAAAAAAGGAGGGACAGAAAAAAGTCCCTTTGTTAGAATAGAAGAAAAGGGTCTTGGTTGGGCTTCCCTCAGGGACTGAAGTTGTGTTGATGTTTGTGCCTGCCTGATTAGGTTGCTGCCGTCTTCCGACTGCCGTTGGCCCAAGCTTTGACACCTGCTGCACCACTTCATCCTTCTGACCCCCTCATCGACACTTGCAACTGTGAACTTTTGGCATGTCCAGGCGTTCTGTCACCAATAAGTAGGGGTTCTCGGTGCACATCGTGTTGCACGCATTCATGTTGTGTATCGAGGCTCATACGTGGAATTTGGACCTGGCAAGACGCCCGAGCATCTGCGGCTTCGCTATCTCGAATCTCACCATTGCACAACGTCTTTATTCATGTGCTGCATACAAACCGTTGAGCCCCCTCCCTCCACACTGATAACGGTTCTAGATCTTAGGCTCAGCCCGCCGTGAACCCTGTTGTCCTTCTATCATGGTTTCCATCTACGACTTATACCCATCACGAGAATGTGGCACCTTTGACATTTCACCGTGAACTCAGACCTTGATATACAGATCTTTGGCATTGTTGCGAGTGTTTACTCTGATCAGGGTTTTGCCGATGAAAACACTCTACACCCACACCTTTGTGCGTACTGATTGTCAGCAGAGAGACTTCATTTGTCCAGTTCCCATTGCTGTGGGTCGAGGAATACTTGGTGAGATGAGAATCCACTCGCCAAAGGCTACAGCTCGGAGAATACTTCATATCATATAGGAAGCGGTACCCTGCATGCAGCATATCTTAGGAGGATCTTATAAGATTCCTTGTCATGAAGATGGCAGACGAGCGACACTTATATACTGACTTAAATTCTTGAGGATTGGATCTAGGATTTTAGCGACGAATGTCATTAAGGCGTCACCATATCTTGCACCGATCAAATGTCTCGTGGTTCACCGTTGGTTACATCCTTTCGGGCTAACGCTCCTGCTGTCACCATCCTATACCGCTCATTTTCGGAAATCATCGGACCATGCTTCAACCTCTGATCGAGACCATTGCTTTGCTTTCCAGAACACGCATAGAGGTTCTAGCAAAGCAGCCGATTGACATTTCGGGACTGTTTGCGAATGAGGGATTACCCAGTTAGGAAGTACTATCGATTTGTCTCTGGTTCATGACGCCCAAGGATGCTCCCCACCGTTGTTGCTCTATCTTGTTCGTCCCGCCCTCGACTTTTGGTCTCTAGCTGTTGCTATGTCGATGGTCTCTGGCGTAGAGAACCAGTAATGCTACCCCAGTATTGATCATGCCGTTGAGGTGTCTCAAAACTTGCGATTCGCCGCTTTGATCCTCGAGTCTGGGTGGGAGTGTGGTTGATACCTAATCTTCGTGTTTATTCCTAAATCAAGTCTGCGACTTGTCGAAATGCCTTTGTACAGTACATTGATATGTTTTTCAAACCTCTAGGTACTAATCGTGATAATTTACTACTTACTTAATTTACTAGAGTCACCGCTGCTATCCAACAAGTATGCGCTTCCACGGTGCAGCCTTATCAGGTGGCCTCGTCCTGTCATCTCTATCTGGTGCTGCAACTCAGGAAACACCTGCACATTCGAAAAGCCATCATGCACAACCATCTATTCGAAGACCCTCGAGCAGCCCAGACTCTGATACTAGGAGAGATTCTGTTTTGGGAATGCTCAAGAAATTCCTCCCTGATGTGAACATTCCAGTGGCATTTGGATTCAGCAACGACCGAAACTCAGACGAGAGAATGCAGAGAAATCGTGATAACTGGACTTCAGATTCTTTTTCCGACGGGAACCCCGATGAACAGCCTTCTGATGATTCAACTCCCTCGCATCCTGTCGAGTCTGCCACATCGAAGACGATGGCTTTCCCGCGACGTGCGTTGTCCACAGCAAAACCTTTGACACGAAAATCATCGAGTCATATTTCAACGAAGAAGAGCAGCACGGCACGAGTGACGAGTAGTGGCCAGCTCATCAAAACGTCGTCACAGAAAACCAGCTCAACCAGAAAGACTGTGTCTGTGATACGCGGAGCATCATTACCGAAATCATCGACTCGGACGACGACTTCCTCAACACCAAAGGCTAGCTCAAGCAGGACATCGAGTTCGTCTCAAAGGGTTTCAAGTTCGTCGCGGCTCACTAAGCCCGTCCGAGGTTCCAAACTTACGAATTCGATTGCTTCGAGCTCGACACGAAAAGCGGTCAGCTCTAGTTCGAGTAGACATACGAGTAGTGTCAAGTCATCGGTGGCCACACAATCGGCTTGTAGCGCGAGGAAAGGAGTCACAATCTCTCTCGAGCCGTTTGACAGCTCTGTATCAGAAAGCTCCAGTGCAAATCAGAAGTTGTCCAGCTCTACAAACAAGGCTTCCAGCTCTTTCAAGACGCCTTCTGTACCGACTCAAAGTGTCAGCAGCGCGCCAAAACTGGCCGCTAGTTCCTCCCCTCAACAGTCGCAAAGCTCTAGGAGGCTAATGACAGAAGAGGGTTCTGGGCAGGAGAGCTCGTTCGGTACGACTCGGGTCTCAACAAAGGGCAGTGTGCCTGATCTACTGAGTAGACCCACGAGCAGTGTTATCCCTGCATCTCGTGCCTCTTCACAACCTACCATCGTATCGAGTTCGCAGAATGCCGCTTCAACACCCTCGAAGACGACGAATGCTATTCGCGGCTCTGTTTTGGAATCCTCGTCAGTATCTACCGGAGCTCCGAGTGCTGCCCGTGGTTCTCTCCCTAAGAGTTTGACTGCTCAGGATCATTCGACTTCTCAGAGTGCCTCGCTAGAGGCAGCAACCACTAAGAGCAGTTCGCGAGTATGTCGAGGCATGGTGTCCTGCCCGCCCGAGGTCTCTGCTCATACCTCGCTAATGTCGGCACCACTCTCCTCCAAGCAA